TCACGATGCCAGACAGTACAGTGGCGTTGTTATCATCAATTCGATACACGCGCACTGATCGTTGGAGACGAAGAGCGAAGTTTCGGTACGACTCCTTGTGACGACGGCCAATTTCGGCGACACGAGCAACGGTGTTGAAGCGTTCAGTCGGAGTCAAAACACTGTCGACGAAGGCAACTTCACATTCCTCCCAAGTTAGAGAAGAACTACTGTGACGAGTCAGCTCATCAGTGAACTGCTGTCGTGTCTGATCGTCCAGAATCGCCATACAGAGCAGGCGTTGGGCACTGGCGAGGAAAGGAGTCTCGCCGTAATTGTTCTCACAGTAAGTCTTGAATCCGTCGAGGAACAGGTGAGGGTCGCGGATGACTTGATACGATTGTCCCTTGCCGTGCTTGTTGTCACCAAATCGGGGAGTGCCCGAATCGAGTGTCAACTTCTTGCTGTCGACCCTAATAGCGGTGGCCATAGTCGCCGTGGGATTGGTAATGATCGGTGCCATCGGTTGGTCGAGAGCCAGTGCTGCTGACAGACGCGCACAATCCGCGGTCTTTTGTCGCACGACTTCCAAGAGTTGGATGGCTTCCTTCTGCCACATCTGGTAATTGACATCGAGAGGGTTCTTGTGCATCTTGAGCAGGGTCCGACGGTATAGCTTGGACCAAGTAGAGAGATCGTGTTTCTTGGTGGTGATGGCTTCCTCAAGACCGCTGGTGAGCTCGGAGTCACTCTCATCGTCAGCATCCGTCATGGCAGAAAAGGTGTTCAGGTCGAAGACTGGAGAGGGCTGCGTGTGCTGGTTTGCCGACAAGATGGACGAGGCTTGTTCGTTGTCATCGCTCATAATGATGTCCTCTTGGGATGCAGGGGTGGGAGATGGAACGACAACAAAGGTGCCGGTGGCATCGATAGCCAAGTCTTGGAGAGTGGGTAACTCGTTGTTGTCAACGTTGTCAGACATAGGAGTGATGATTTTTTGTTTTAGAGTGAGAGTGTGGGAGTGATCGTTTTTTTTTTTTTTTTTTTTTTTTTTTTAAACAAAGAGAGGGATCTGTTTAATTCAGGGACGAAGAGTCCTTATGTACTCTTCGTCCTAATGATACACGTGATTATAGCACAGCCTGTTCCTTGTCATTATCCCATAAAAAAGTTGCGCCGCCTGCTAGAAGCTGAGAGAGGGGGAGGGCGATCTGGGCGAACTTGTCGATGTAAGTCTGGTAGAATTGTGCCAAGCCCAGGAAATGTTGAACGTCTTTGATGCTGGTGGGGCGTGGCCATTCCCGAATGGCTTTGACAAGTCCTGCTGAAGTTGAGATCCCATCCTTGGAGATGGTGTGTCCAAGAAATTCGGTTTCCTCCTGCATAAGCGAACACTTGCCGAGTTTGGCGTAAAGTCCATGTTGTCGAAGGAGGGCGAGGACGCTGCGAAGGTGCTTTAGATGCTCGGCCTTAGTTTTAGAGTAGATAAGAATATCGTCTAGATAGACAACAACCCATTTATCCAAAACCGGGTTGAGTACCCTTTGCATCATGTTGGAGAAGGAGGCGGGTGCGTTGGTGAGGCCGAATGGGACGACGTTAAATTCAAAGTGTCCATATCTGCATCGGAATGCCGTGTTGTGTGTGTGTGGTTCGTAGATCCTCTGTTGGTGGTATCCTGAGAGTAGATCCAGTTTACTGAAATAACGTGCGCCATGAAAACGGTCAATTAGCTCGTCGATCCTGGGGAGTGGATGCCGATTTTTCTTGGTGATCCCGTTCAAAGCTCGGTAGTCCACGCACATACGCAGGGTGCCATCCTTTTTCCGAACGAAAAGTACTGGAGCGCCGTAAGGTGATGTACTGGGCTTGATGAATTTTTTGGCGAGTAATTCTTCCAGCTGCCTCCTGAGTTCGTCGAGTTCTGCAATGGAGAGGCGAATGACTGGCTTGAATGGTGGGTCTGCTGTGGGGTCTGTCTCGATTTTCATCGCGTCGCCTCTGTCTGGTGGGAGGCCGCTGGGGAGTGTGTCGGGGAATACGTCCTTGTCGCACGATCTTGGCAAGATCGGCTGCCAGATGGCATACTCAGAGTGGTCAATTGAGGTCTTTGCAACCCTGAGCACAGAATGACGGTACGCTTTCGTCCATTGCGCCAGACTATGGCGCTTGGATAGCAGTACGTCTTGCAGGTCAGTCGTCAAGTCGACATCGCCGTTGTAGTCCGAATCAGACATGATCGAGAAAATTTTCAGATCGGATTCTTGACCGGCGGAAATGGAATGATCGTCCGTAGAGGGTGAAGGATCGCCAAGTGGGTGAATATCCGGGTCCCGAGTTGCTGATCTAGCCCAGGTAATAAACGTGCGCTGTATGGGCCGGTATTGCTTGGAGGTGGCCGAAGCGATCGATGCATCTATCGTCTACCATCCTGCGGAGCCTTTTATCCGCCACGCCGTCAGTGTCCAGTTTGGGTTCTTGGACAGTACATCGCTTGCGCTTCCTGGTGCGGGAAGGACCAGGTGACGTGGGACTTGAATCGGCTCTGCGATTGCTATCGCTACAGGAGTTGGAAACCATATTGTTGTCGTCCAGTGTGGCGTGATGATGGTTGCTTCCAGCTGCTCCTGTTGAAGGCGTGCCAGAGCTCGCGGAATGATGTTCCAAAGAGGGCAGAGGTACAAGTTGCCCAGGCCAGTCCAAGGATGCTTCAGTGCATCCGTCCCCATCGCTCTCGTGTCCGGTCTCCATGAAAACTGGGGCGTTATGAAGTTGCTCGATGAGGCGAGGAGATCGACGTGGTGTGGGCCTCAGAGGCGGTCCAGCTCCTGGAAGAACTGTTGGTCGATGCTCCATTCCAACTGTTCCACCATCTGCCGCAAAGGTTCATCCGCTGGATTGAATGGAGATGGGACGTATGTCGTCCTAAGTCTGGTTCTTGTTGCTAGGCAGTGCTCCCAAATCTGTTGTACCAACTCCATCAGTGCTGGTGACCGTGTTCTTCCAAATCTGTTGACATACGCAATGGTTGTGGTGTTGTTGATCATCAAGTTGACCATCCTGTCCTGGACCTGGGGAAGTCGTACTGCCTTGACCGCCGAGTTTTTGAGGGACATGACGTGTTGGATCATCAACCTGGCGGGGAATACTGCGGCCGTCGTTGCCATCGCCTTCCCTATAAAGGACGACAGCGCACGTACCGAGGTTGTGGTCGCGTTCCTGATCTTGGTGGCCTCGCGACGGATGTTTCTCAGTTTGGACTTGGGGACCGCGAGCGTCATATTCTTGGTATTGAAATGGAATCCTAGATGGTCGAGTTCCTGCGAGGGCTCCAGGCTCAACTTGGCCACCTTGATCTTGTATCCCAGCTCCATCAGCTTGGCTTTTAATAGTCGGGTGTGTTCCTTTGATAGTTCCTTGGATTTGGCGGCGATGATCAGATCGTCCAGATAGGCTGAGATGCGGATACCTTTCCTGCATGCCCAACGTAGGCCTGGCTTGAGGACCTTCGTGAAGACAAGTGGCGATAACGACAGGCAAAATGGGAGGACTCGGAACTGGTATTGGGTCCCATTTCATTGGAACTGGAGGTATTTCCTGTGAGAAGGGTGGATCAGAATATAAAGGAAGGCGTAGGCCAGATCGATATTTGTTATTTAATCGTTCTTCTCTATCGTGTTGCAAACAGAGTTGTCGGCCTCCTTGGGAGAGGAGGAGGAGGAGAAGGAGGAGGAGAAGGGGGTAGAAGGATTGTCATAATGCTCGTTCATGAACGTCTCTAATATGCCGGATGCATTCCTGGGCGAGTAAAAAGAAGATTGTCCATTTATTTTTGTTTTTGTTTACTCGGTCATACACTGTGTCAGAGATCAGGATGTGTGGAGATAATCGAGATATTAATTAATCGCACGTGGACATGAGAATGGGAAGAAACAGTAGGGGTCAAAAGGGTTAGCAGATGTGATGATTACCATGGAAGAACTCCTTTATGGTGATATTATTGGCGATATAGTGTGTTGCTGTAATGGTTGTTCGTTGTGGAAGGGGGTGAGTGAATAAAGAGAGAGAGTGTGTGCAGTGCGTATGTTGGATATGAGTTGGAGTGGACGCTAGGTGTCTGATGTTGCGAGGAATGTTCAATTGAGGCGCGGTTGTGTATCCTGCTCTTGGTGTATCAATTGATGATGTGTACGAGGTAGTGGTGAGGTATCAAGAGAGAGGGTCGTTGGTGTGGGCCTTGCCAGGCACAACAGCGACCCCACAGTGGGGCGCCATGCACCCTGCAAGGTGCAAGGAATGAAAGGGAGAAAGAGAGCAGACGTATATGAATGCGAGAGTTGGCGTTGGGTGAATGACCTTCTATGACGGAAGGTGATGAGAGGAGGAGAGAAAGTGAAGGAGAGTAAAAAGTGTGAAGGAGTGAAGAGGGAGGTGGAGTGAAGGGTGAGAAGGAGTGAATGCAAAGAGAAGGAATGTTGCGTGATCTCCATAGTCCAGGTACACTTTCTGAAAGTAGCGTTCGAAGCGAAATAAAGTTCTGTTTTCACAAATTAAAAGGGCATTAGTTCACAGATCAAGTCGTGCGTCTTTAGTGCGTTGGGGAATGTGAATATCGTTCGTTCATGCGTTTATGTCTGACCAGCCAGAGGTACACCCTCACTCCTTCGCACGAACAACTTTCTCATACGAAGTGACAAAGAGGGTGCCATCCCATTTTTTTGAGTTGCGAGCACGTTGCAATTTTAAGCACTTTTCTGGGCCTGATCGCGCCTGGATCGCGTGACGCGAAGGAAAATATAATCGCAAATTCAACAGACTCCATCCCTCGACTTGCACCAGACCATCTTCTCGCGCTAAAGTTTGCCACCATGAACAAACGAACAGACAGAGGCAACCTTCTTTAATCCCACCACATTCAAGGCTTCTACCAGGACAAGCGCCACGAGCAACCTAGAACAGGACCTCACACCCGCATCGCCACTCTGAATCCGTTCAACACATCCCCTGACACGTACATCCCGATGCAGCGTACATTGTCAACAGCTACAACATCCACAAAAAGCCGGCCAGGGTTGACAGCAACAATACCCAACAGGGCACGGACGACGGCCACAGCTACTACTACTAAAGGGGCCACTGGAGAAGGTGCAACATTCAACATCGGATCGACTACCACCACTACTTTACAGCCGCGTCACACCCAGCCTACGCGATCCTCCGCTTTGACAGGACTGCTGTCGTCCAAGAAGACTCTAGTTTCACTGTCGACACTTGCAACAACCAAAGTCTCGACTACTACATCTACAAAAGGCCCCAACCCCTACCGATTCTCCTTCGGCGATGCTTCCGACAACCCGTTCCTAGAGCAGCCTCCTCGTGAGCTGTTCAAGGATGCTGCCCCTACTGTTACCTCCTCCACCCAACAACCTCCTCGGGAAGCAACCTCAAAGCCTCAGGAGCCGAACGGACCACAAGGGCTTGTGCTAACAAGGGTATTGCCGATCAACAGTCCAGCTCGAAACTCTGCAGCAGCACCGACACAGGTCCCGCGAGACTCTTCCACAACCAACAAACTGTTGCCCAAGGCTGACTATGACAACTTTCTGAGCAGGAGCACATCGCAACGCAATCCCGACGCGGCGGAGGAACCAGACAGGGATGCAGGAGGTATGAGCGACATTCTCAAGAAATCTCTCAGGACGACGGCTATGGACATTGCAAGAAAGTCTATCATGCATCATGCAGATGCTTCACCACGCAAGACCTTCTTGAAGGTCAGCGAGGTTGCGGCCCGCAGCCATGGTGAACCATCACTCCACGACTTGCTTGCTGCTACAGAGAAGAAAGATGATGGCGAGTCTACACTCAGTCGACCAGCCATGGCAGAAACGACACATAGCTTTGGTCATCCGGATACGCCTTTTACTTTCGAATCGACTCCTCTCCCTCCTCTCAACCTAACGACTGCTTCTCAGGAATCTCGCATTCGGCATGGCTTTGAGGAATCAGAGCATAGAATCAGCACACACGACAAGCACGCGGCTGCCCAGGATGCAGATGCAGTCGATTCAAACACGACCCATGACAGAGTAGGTCTTTTATTATTGGCAATTGCCCATGCACGATAGACGCTTGACTCCAAATCATCCACTGATCACATTCAATTTTTTGCACTATCATTTGCAGGAACCAAGTTTCAACCCGAGAGCGAGCATAGCCAACAGGATAGCTCCGTACAAGGTTCTATCGGTGAATGAGCGCGAGACTATGCGATCGAGTCGGGTAACAGGATTCCGTGCCCGACCCATGGATTCCAAGGTGTTTACGATGGCTGGAGAGTTTGGGGTTCCCAGGATCGTCAAGCTACCGCTGACGAAACCCGTCTCGCCTGTGTTCAGTAAACGAGTACGATCTAAGGCGACGGCAACGGAAACAGCAGCTGTACCAAAATCAACAACAACAACCACCAAGTCGTCTCTTCGTTCAGGACCTGTCAGGACGACGGCATTTCAGCGACTAGTGAACATCACCAAACCCAACCAGAGGAAAGACGCAGACCGTGGACGCCAGGCAAGCGGATCGAATGATGGCAAGGGCACTGTGGACACCGACAAGAAGACAAGACAAAGCTCAACAGCATCGGCAGTGGCCCCTCGCAGTGGTGATAACGCCAACTCTCACACGACATCGTCATTACTGCCTGTATCTTCAGCGCCGCTGGCACCGCCTGTGCAGGAATCAGCAACAACAATATACCCTCCTACCACCACCGCCCAGAAGCCACTTAGCATCGGATCCAGCTCGTTGTTTCGACCTCCAGCGATGAACTTGTTTCGGAAGACGACGTTGGGACCACCCTTGCGCGGAAACGGACCCAGTACAACTACGGCTCCTGTTACAGCCGCACCACCAGTAGTACGGATACCAGAAAAAACGACATCACGAGCTCCTCCGGTGGCCCACTCACGGAAACCCGCGACACAACCAGTACCGTTCAAGTTTGCCACCGATGAGCTGCGAAAAGACGGACACGGTGCCGCTGCGACATCTGCTACCGTGGAACCAGCACCAAGACGGGCAGCTGAAAGGACGACGTCAGGAAGAGGCACTGCGGCACCAATTCTCCACGCGCGGAGACCATTGACCCAACCGGTGCCGTTCAAATTCGCGACAGATGACATCCTCCGGCGGCGACATATTATGTTTCAATCAAGAGGACATTCCAAATCTGCCGCACCAGTGACATCCACGGCCACGGCAGTGAAAGAGAAAGCAAGGCCTGCCAACTCTGGAATCTTTAAACGTCCTCAGCCTCTGGTAAGTCGTAGAGCAGTTTCACTAGCAGCGAAGAGATTACAAATGCAATGGCGGATAGTAATAACTAAACTAAAACGTAATTATTTTGGACATGGTATTATAGAAACGACTAACTAATCCGGTGCCTTTCCGCTTGGCTACTGAACATCGTGCAGAAGTCCGACCACCTGTGACGCGACACACTCATACCCACGAGTCTGCAGCGTTGGCTTCAATCCGGACACCCCCAAGACGGAGTCGATTGGCGGGTGTATTTCCAGTTCCCACAGGACATCCGTTCATGACATCGTCGATCCATGTTGAACGACCCTTCGTGCCTACTGTCCCAGTCTCCCCTAAATTTGGTCGCCGAGTTCCCGTCCCATCGCTCCGACCCACGCATTTCGTGTTGAGGAAGAGCACCAAGGAGTTGACCCAACCGCATGAGTTTCAATTCCACTCGGATCAGAGAGCTAAGGAGAGGGAAGAGTATGAGCGACAGCAGGCTGTTAGGAAACGTGAACAAGAGCTGTTGGATCTTCAACAGAAATCAGACAAGATCCACCAGGCAAGTCCTCCTTGTCATAATTACGACTTATGATTGTAACCGTTCGCAGAAAATGCTGATTCATGTGTTAATTTGTGACTTTAAAACCAATAGGAGCGTGAAGAGAGGATGAGGATGAGAGAAAGTTTAGAGCGGACATTCAGAGCTCGTCCGATCGCTCACTACCAGCCGACCGTTATCCACAAGGCGAAGCGACCATTGACGAAACCTGTCAGTCCCATGATCGGTGAGAAGCGCAAGCGATACGAGATGGAGCAGCAACATTTGGAGCAGCAGCGAGAGGAAGAAGAATATCGCGAGCCACAGCAACATCTCCAGCATCTTGAATACTCTCAGGATCGACGCGATGGACACCACAATGATTCTCCTTTCATCTCGTCACCCACCAGAGGCAGTGTCCCTGATGCGGAGGTCTATAGGTCGTTTGAGGAGGCCAAGATTCTTCAGGCTCAGCAACAGGCGCTTCAGCAACAACTTACGGAGCAGGAGAGGAGGCAGGTTGTGTTGGCCAACAGTGCTCGGGCGACTATTCATCAGCCGCCTATTCGACTTTCGTTCCCTATGGATCCTGAGACTGAGGCATTGCAAGAGGCGGAGGATTTTCAGACTAGTGATCATTACCACGGAGAAGATTTCAGAGAGCATGAGGCATTTGAGCATGAGGAGTCGTCGTCGTCGACGGCGCTAGCGGCACCTCCAACGGCAAGTCGATCACATCCACAGCCTTTGCCTCCGGTGAGGGACAGTTTTGGAGGCAGCAACAACCACCGTTTGTCACGGGAGCTTCGCCGCATTAGTTTGGAGGGTCGTCGGACTAGTGGCGAGAGAGGTATTCGGTCACGACTGAGCGACAATTTCAGTCGGCGTAGCGCGAGCAGTGCTGGTTCACGGAAGAGCGGTGGTGAAGCTGTAGCGACTCAACCGTACTATCCTTTCAACAGGTCCCAGGAACGAACTAGCGCACCGTCGAATACTACTCTGGGTGGTGTTAGGGCAACAACAGCGGCAGCGATAACTACCACTGCGCCAGCAACGAACATCACAACTAGTTCAGCACCATTTTCAGCGGAGATGGCATCCGCCGCATCAGTAGTGACACCCGCACCGTTACCAACACCAACACCAACGACTACGACCGCTACAACCGCTACAACCGCAACCACAGCTGCAACGACAACACCATCAGCCCCTGCAGCGACCTATAGACCTGCCATCGTGTCCGAACAAGGGAAAGACGAACGCCGTCGCAGGAGTGGGAGCTTTATCCCATTAGAGCCAGCAGCCAAGCCCGCCACCGCCTCGCCTTCAAAGTCATCGAGGCTGTCTCGGCTTTTTGGCGCGCCGCCAGTCTCTGCTGCAACCTCCACTTATGCAGATGTCAAGGATTCTTTTGCAGCCAGGGCTGCTTCGACTGCTTCGACTACTTCGGCGGCAGCATCTTCATTGTCGCGGTCCAAGGGACCTGTTGTCATTGAGCATTCCCATACCCTTACATTGAGCGATCTTTGAGCACATTACAAAACGTCTTCTTGAAAAACAGCTGTATCAACAAGAGTAATATTGAGAAAAGCGTCTATTTGTCTATGGTTCTCTTGGTTTTCCTTGGGAGCTGAATAGTTTAAAATGCTCGCTGGATTATCTTAGACAGGGGTGACGGGAGCAGGGTGGGACTGGACGATGATCTTTGAAAGCATGAGATCAAAGGCTTCCTGAGACCCTGCCTCCTTAAGCATGAGCTCCTTGACTTTAGATTCGAGCTCAAACAGATGTTGGTCTGTTCCTGTGGGCGCGACTATCCTGAGGGCGTGGGCTAGGTTCAGCAAGTAATCCTTGTTTGCTCCGCTTGGGCCTATTTTTCGAAGGGGAGAGATCAATTGAGGGGAAAAAGGTCCAAGGATGTGGTTAGTCAAATTTGTTAATTGATTTTTTGATTACGTGATATGTGAGGCAGTTGACGAGCGCAGATAATTTGAAAGGAGGAGAGGAATGATGGGGGTGCGGGACTTCTTTTGCGAGTGGGCGGGCGTGAGTGCTTTTACCATGGGAGGCATAGATTTGTTGAGCGATAAGGTCTAGGGGTGCGGGTCCCGCGAACTCTGAGTTGTCTGTCGATCCAATGTACACAATCGCCTAAGATGTTCAAGTCGAGTTGTGAGTCAGTCAGTCTCAGAGGTCTGTTTTGTGTTTAAAGGTCCTGTGCAAAAGCGAATAGCATGATTATTATTTTTTTGAGCGATCGGGCCAGGACAAGGTACCTTCTCAACGACGGGGATGTGGGTGCTTGGTTGGAAGACGTCTAAGAAATGAGTTTCATATCCGTTCTTTTCCCGGTGGTCGAGGTATGCTTTTGTCTCTGCGACTTTGGATGCTGGGACCTTGTAGGCTACACCCCAAGTGATATCGTCCTGATCCGAGGAATGCTGTGAGGTGGAGGAAAAGAGAGAACCGGGGAGGGGTTAGTAGGCAATTGAAGTCCAAATCGACTGCTTAAATTGTCCGGTTGGTATGTTTGCGCAGTTGTAGGAAGAAGGGTGGTTACCATGTCGTCGTCAGTGAAGCGCTGGGAGAACTCCTCATAGGGGATCAGGGTGACGACTCTGCCGGGTGCCTCCTCGGTGCCTCTGTGATCGGTGCTGCTTTGCCAGAACCGGCGGACATGGCCTTTGATGTATCCGACCTTGCTATCAGTTATGAAATGATACGGAACATGGGTTATGGTCAGGAACAGGGTTCACTTGATAAAAGGAGACGTGCGAGTTTGAAGCCGTTGGAAAGCCCAGACATTCATGCGGTTGCTGTGAGGTGGAATGAGTAAGAGAAGGAGTAAGAGAAGGAGGAGGAGGAGGGGGAAGGGGCTACCTGTCTTCGAACTCCAGGTCCGGTCGCCAAATTAAACTGCCGTATCCAAAGAGCCACATCGTTGTCGTTATTGAAGGGAGAGGGTTGTCGAGTGGTAGGGAAAGTGAATGAGTAATGCAAAGAGGTGCATGCAACCTGCGAAGTTGCCTTCTTTTATACTTCGTGTGACTGTAAAAATAATCAACTCTCAGGGGCCACTCTTGCTCCTTCTCTCCTCCTTTCTTTCACTTCTCCAACAGCACCAAGACACGAGATGCAGACGACATGAGCTCAATTCCGCCGTCGTCATGGAATCAGTACCAAGGAAGAGGCGCACAAGGAACTGCAACAACTGCAACCACAAATAACACTCCACCCACAACTACTACAACGCCACCAACAACTACGACCTATACTTCAACAACCACTTCTATCTCAACTTCCTCGTCACCTGTAATCCATCAAGGCTCGCCTGAATTACCGACTACTGCATCCTCTGCGTATTCATCCTGGACAGTCCCTTCACTGGATGGTTTATTCTCGGCGAGGAGGGCGTCTGCGTTTGGACTTAGATATGGACTTTCATCGGTTGCAGGGACGATGGTTGGAGGGGGTGGTGGTGGACCAGCTGGGGGGAGGGTCTCGCCTGCTCATAGTGGGATGTCGATGATGATGGAGGGTGGTTCTGCGGGAGCTTCACTCCAGATCAAAACCCGCAAAAGTATGCTTCTTCGATGTTTTTCAATTGCTCGGTTCTAGTCGTTGTAAGGAGTTATAGACGTTGAATGTTGTTAACGCGAACTTTTTTGTTGGGATGATAGTGTCGATACATATGTCGGAGACGATTACGGGAGCTTTGAACGATGCTTCGTTGGTGTTTTATCGGGTCAACGAGCATATCCATAAGAAAGTGCCAGTTCTTGTTCAAGAGAAGGTAACACGTCACTTCTTTGGCCTGGAAGTGCCAACTGAACAGCCGTGCCACAAATGATAACCAGGGGGACTGACCATGGACGCGTATGTCTTCTTTCTTTGATATGGCAATGTAGAAAGCACTGATGAGTATCAAGAAGGATGTGGAGACAGCGAACCAGGATATGGAGGATGCAAGGCAGACCATTTCGAGTATGCAGCGTATCACTGAGTTCAGCACCATTGAGGCATTGGTTCAGAGGAGTCTTGCAGCTGTTCAGAAGTGAATGAAGAAGCTAATAAATACGATTACATTTTCTTCTGTGACTTGTTCATGGACCGGATCCATCATCATACTCAAACACAAATGCTCTCGATTTTTTTTTTCTGTTTGTTGTCCGTCTGTATCTCCCTCTCTTCGACCCTTCTTCCCTCTTCCCCTCTTCCCTCTCCCCTCCACTGCTGACCGGTCACTCTTCCTCTACCTCATACTCGCGTAACTTTGGGACATACCAACTCAAATACGACCTCTCACACACACCCCTATGATAGGAGCGTTTCCATCAACGACTCTTGAATTGCACAACCACCACCAACCCCATACTACAACTACACAGAGCCCTCGCAAGATCACACACAACCCAATGGAATCCGTTTCAAGGAATCGGTTCCAGCCCTATGCGCGTCGCGCACGGCAGCAAGCCAGACAGCCAGACAGGACCAATGAGATCATTCAGGTATGAAAAGAAGCTCCAAGTACGCCGAATCGCGTTACTTTCTGTGTGTGCCTTTCCAAGGCTTGCAGGCAAGGAGAAATAAGAGATGGTCCGCAATGTGTCGCGTCAAACGAGACTTGGTGGAGCAGTACTTATATAAACCATCTCACGCACTAACACCACGACAAACAAATAACAGCTGTGCCTTTCGGAACGATTCTTACCCTGTTTTACTAATCTGCCCTCACCTCCCATTGTGCTTTGCCACCCTTCCCTTCTCATCTTCAACGCCACCTATAGCAACTGCCCAAACCTCTTGCTGGTTTCGTGAAACGGTCTCTGCAGTGGTTCGGCTTCATTCAACCAGAGGAGGACTCGGATTCTGAACTGGACAGAGAACTGCATACGACGAATGGCGACTTTGAGTTCTTGCCAGGCGCAGACAAGGAGCACGAAGGACAGGCAAAGGAGACTGGAAAGGACGACAAGGCGAGCAAGCATCAGGACGAAGAGTACTCAAAGTTGTACCCTGACCTCCGTGACTACCTCGACTCTCTCAACGCGAAGCAGGCTTCTCAGGTAAGATGTCATGCCCAGAAACATATACACGTACAATACAAGCGGCATGTTCATAAAGATCTACAGAAAGGAGGCAGGCCCCTCCTCCCCCTCTTTTTATTAATTCTCGAAGCTGCCGTACTTTTCGCGAGATATTCGGAGAATAAGGGTTACACTCCACTTCAACAACGCGATTGATTGTTGGGGCTTTGCAACAATTCCTGATTGGCCAGTTCAACTCACTTCTACCCTTCTTTTCTCTGTTCCTTTTTTTTATTTACTTCCGACAGTTGGACTCTGAGGAATTGGCAGCCGCGATGACTCCTGAGAAGGTTGCCGAAAGACTCAGGTTGCGCAAGGAGCTCATGGATAGCACCAAGGGCCTACCTATCCCTATCCAAGTATGTGTTAACCTTTATGCGATACTCGACCTAAAACCCATATTTTTGGTGGTTTTAGAAATGTTACGAAGAATACTAACAGCATGACTCTTTTTTTAACACTACTGCTTCATCATGGTATTAGAAGAACGAGGTGACAATTAAAAAGTCAACACAGGAGGAGGCCACATCGAAGGACGATAGTCCTGAAGCTAGCGAGCCCTCTGTCAAGAGTGCTGGAGAAACCCTGGATGACATGTACAAAGCTGGTAATGAATCCGCCTTGCTTGGATGAGCAACAGTCGTACCATTTTCGTTTACGTCTGCACCTTATGACTGACCTCGCTTTCAACATATCTGTTTTCGCTTACTGATGTAGGTGCAGCGCTCTCACCTGCAGAGATTAACTTAGTCATGCGCATGAGGAGGCTACAGAAGCAGGTATGCATTTAAGACTTTTCTGAGGGCATGCATGTTTTTGTTTTTGTATTATCGGACTGATGCTAATAAGCGTCTTCATTTGTTTTCGTTACAATTCTTATAGGCACCTGCTGCTACGAGTCCATCAGATATGAGGTTGCTCGAGGATTATCTCCCCAACGTGAACAACCCTATCGTTCGCGTAAGTCTTCTCTGCACAGCACGTAAAAAAAAGGATGTTCGCCAAACCAAAACCAGACTACTCACTTTCATCATGTTTTGCCAATGTTTCTAGTCATCTCAGGAGTCCAGAAGCACATATAGCCAGGATCGCCGGTCGCTTGACAAATTTCCCACTCGTTCACAGGAGCATAATGGTCATGGCCGGAGTCAACTCCGCCATGAGCCTTCGGACGTTGTCATGTCGTCTCAGAGTGCTGCCGAAGAAAGATACGATAACCACACACACTCTCATTCGCAGTCCAACAGCCGTCACTGTGCTTGTGGACGAGAAGTTGACAACGAGCCTAGTGCGTACCCTGGCAAGAGGACCCGTGCCGACCGATCGCCCACGCCTGTATCAGACGATGAAATGAGTTCTCAACGTGGCTATCCGCAGGAGCAGGAGAAGCCTAAAAAGAAGAGGAACATTCGCAAAATTCCTGGCCGATTCACAGCTCTGGATTCTTCGGACGAAGAGGAGGACCAGCGACAACACGATCTCAGGGTGGTAAGTTCAATTTCTTTGACCCTTCCGTACTTATCTGTTATGTAATATAAATGGTGCAGGTATATTAACTGTTTGCGTTTATTTATTGACCACTATAGGCTGAGCGTAGGGCTGCCCAGAAGAACCATGCCACTGCCTATAACTCCTCTCATAGCACCCAAGGAGTGCCTCTTTATCACACACCTCCTCAGATCTACCCTACCCTGCAGTATGGCGTCCGTACAAAGCTTTATAACCCGAAGATCGACGAGGTGTTGAAATGGACTGCTTCGCCTCCCTCCGACCCTGTGTCATTGGACACCTGGAGGTGCCCCAAGTGTGAGCAGCGCACTAGAAAGACTTCGTCAACCTGCCAGTTCTGCAAGGCTGAGCGACCAGAACCATCGATTCCCAACACCACCCCTATCTCGACACTGAAGGCTATGATGAAATCGGACGATTTCAAGGACCTCAAGGAGTCGTTCACGTCCAACCCCATCGTCTCGGCAGCTATCTCAGCCGCCCCTGCAGCTTTCGGCGCTCTGGCCACTGCTGGCGTCTCGGTCGGTGCTCTCAAGGCGATTTCAAACTTGGTGTCAGAGTCGAAGGATTTGGAGACACCAAAGAAGGCAGACGCTTCAAAGGCTCCTGCTCTGTTCCCTATGACTACACTCGCGCCTCCTGCCGCTGCACCATCGATCACCACCTCAAAGGATGCAGACAAGGAGCCAGAAAAAGAAAAGGAGAAGCCCAAGTCTATGGGCACCTGGGCGTCAATTGGCTTCAAGGGTCCGGATAACTCAGGAAAGTGGAAGTGCGATGTCTGTGACAGCTACAGCCTGAACGCGCTCGACAAGTGTGGAGCCTGTGAAACTCCTAAGCCCGGTGCAGAGCCAAAGGCTGCCGCTGCCGTTCCGAACATGTTTGCAGTCGCTGCTGCAAACGCTGCTGCTCCGTCGTCCTCTGGGTCGAAGCCGGCTGCACCCGCACTGTTCAGCTTTGGAGCACCGTCATCGTCCGTTACTCCTGCTGTCTCCGCTGCTCCCGCCATGTTCTCGTTTGGACAACCCTCGTCTACACCTGCCTCAAGTGCAAGTGCCGCTCCAGCAATGGACCTGTTCGCACCCCCTGCTGCCAAGCCTACCTCGACTGATGCTGCCTCCTCTGCTACGAACCCTGCTGGTGCTCCTGGAGGATTCGTTTTCAAGGCATCTGCTGCTACACCTGCAGCTACAGAGATGAAACCACCAGGAAGCTTGTTTGGATTGACCTCAGCAGCAAGCGCTGGTGGCAACGCGTCCAAGGCCCCAGGTCTGTTCTCCATGACAACCCCCACACCTGCCACCTCTGACTCGGCCAAGCCGGCTTCGGCCCTTATCAGCAACCCCTTCGCGTCCACAACTGCATCCATCGCAAGCCCCTTTGCCATTCCCGCCACCTCTGCTATTGCTGCTTCGGCCCCTGCACCTACGCCATCCTCGCTCTTTGGATCGACTGCACCTGCTCCCGCATCGGCCCAAGCGGCATCCAAGCCAACCGCAGCACCGATTTTCTCGTTCGGGGCTTCATCAACATCAACTGCACCCACAACCCCTACCACCCCACTGTTTTCCACTTCCGCCAGCACGGCTTCTCCTTTGTTTGGTGCGAAGCCAACGGTCACTTCTGGAGCGGGCCTCTTTGGCGCTGGATCAGCTAGTACAGCCACGACGACAGCAGCAATTTCAGCGCCACTGTTTGGTGCCTCTTCTACAACCACAGCAGCCCCCGCATTCGGAGTGACGGCAACATCGACACCCGCTCCAGCATTTGGAGCTTCAACTACTCCTGCTCCTTCCTTTTTCGGAGGTGCATCGTCTGCAGCTCCCACGTCAACCTCGTTAATGTTTGGAGGAGCCTCATCAACGACTTCGCCCGCGAAGCCAGCGACCTCTTCAATGTTCGGAGGCACCACCACCCCTGCGCCATTGGGCTCTACTCTGTTCGGTAACCCTGCTGCTAGCGCAACGACTACCAGTGCCCCCGCTACCGGATCCTCAATGTTTTCGTTCTCTAACCCGTCGACTACATTTGGTGCAAAGCCTACTACCATGCCTGCGTCGACTGCTCCCACGTTCTCTTTTGGAGCAAGCACCCCGGCAACATCAGCCGCAGCAGCAGCTCCTGCTAGCACTGGATTTGGTGGGTTTGGAGCTTCGAGCACACCTGGTTTCTCAATGACAAGCCCTGCAGCGAGCGCTGCATCGGCCGCCCCTAGTCCTTTTGCATTTGGATCTGCCACTACTGTACCAACAGCCGCACCCTCGTTTGGATTTGGCTCCAGCACACCTGCTGCGACTGTTGCACCGGCAGCCGCTGGTTTCGCTGGCTTTGGATCGGGATCGAGTGCTAACCCCTCGGCCGGAGCTTCTTCGTCGAGCTCTCCCTTTGCTTTTGGAGGCAACTCTGGCACAGGTGGATTCTCAGGATTTGGACAGACTACAGGAGCATCCCCTAACACTTCGAATGCATCGATGTCAATGGGAGCGACACCAACGAATCCTAGCAGCGGTGGCTTTGGTGGTTCCGCGCCTGGTGGAAATGGCTTTGGCATGTTTGGGGCCGCTGCCCCAGGATTTGGAGCGTCAAGCACGACTCCTACGATTGGATTTGGTTCGCAGAGCGCCAACCAGTCTTCCCAGGCCAGCCCCTTTGGACAACAGGGTGGTGGAGGCTTTGGCGGTCAGAGCACTTTCAACTCGCCTATGGGAGGAGCGGGAGGATTCGGTGCGTCATCTGGAATGACTGGATTCGGGGCCTCCGCAGCTCCTGCCGGAGGAGCAGGAGCAGGAGGATTTGGAACAGGCAGTATCACAATTGCAGGAGGCGCTGGTAGCTTTGGCAGCCAGGCAAGTGGCGGCGGTGTTGGCGGATTTGGAGCGACCACTAGTAACAATGGCGCTTTCGGGTTCCAGGGCATGCCTACAGCACCTGGTGGATCGCAGTACACCCAACCCGCCCAACCTGCTGCTGGTGGATTTGCGTTCAACATGGGCGTGAACACTCCAACGCCAGGTTCCGAAAGGAAGATCGCCAAAATGCGCAAGAAGCGCACCTAAGTCCCCGTTAAGGTGGATTTTTTTCTTTTTTACTTGCGTTTTCTTTTTTTCCCTCTTCCCATAGTACTTTCATTTTTTCGCATTTCTTATTCATTTCCCCTACTCACGTTCACGTTCCTTCCCCTTTTTCACATCTGTCTTTTCTTTCTTTTCTGACCTCTTGTACCATTACTATAGTTTCTCCCCACTTTTCGTTGAATAACAAACAAACACTACCCACCAAATAAAGTCGTAGACCCAAGAAAGCATTCTAGTATGCAAGGTGACAAGTGGAGACGCACCGTGGCTGAGGGATGGTTAAGGTCAAAGATGAAAAAAGGGAGCATAAAAAGTGTTGGAAGTGAAACATTGCGACACATTGAGCGCGAGACAGGTCCAACGGGAGACGAGCGAATAAAAATTTGAGTGTGACCACATCATGTGCGTGTGTGTTTGGATAAGCTGGAAGGAGGAGGACTCTCTATCAACAAAGATAGATGGACTAGCGTAGAATGGTAGAATGAGTGAGCGCATCTCTTTTGTCATTATTCTTTCTCTTTCCTTCTTTCTTTGTCCTTCCCTTGGCCCTTACCTTCCCCGTCTCCCTTTTTTCATCGCGTATTGACTTTCTTACTCCCTCCTCTTCCTCCTCCTCCTCCACCTTCTCTTCCTCCACCTTCTCCTCCTCCTCTTCTGCAACACCCGATATCACCACACGATCAATCTGGTCATATCGTAACACAAAACAAACCAACGATCCAATCCTTGCCCAACCCCTATTTCTCTCTCTTTCTCTCTCTCTCTCTCTCTCTCTCTCTCTCTCCTTCCTTCCTTCTCTGTGCCACACACTTGAACAAGATCCGCCGTCTTCCCGATCTCATAAGCACAGCAATACAACCCAACCCCTGCGCGCGAGAAAACAAAACCCACACCGATACGACAGTCCTCTTCAACAAACAACACGCATCATCCCAACATCTTATCAGCGCGAATGAGTGACATCCAAGAGGCGAACGTCTCTACTCAACAACCTCAGTCGGAGCAGCATTCGATGCAGATGGCGACGACAAATGGACCACCGTTTGCACCGGTCAGCGACCGACGCGGTGGACCTATGGATTTTGGTGAGCCCATGCAGGATATTCAGCCTCTTCCTTCCCAACAACAACAACAACAACAACAACAACAACAACAACAACAACAACAGCAGCAGCAGCAGCAGCACTCCCAATTACAACCCCAGTGTCAGCCCCAGGGTGAGGGACAGCACGACCCTCGAATGTTGATGCACCCACTTCAGCCGCAGATCTCGAATCAGTCGACCCAATCCAACCAGTCCTTCCAGTCTGTCGAATCTGGCGATTCGTCTTCCCAACAACAGAATAGTGGCGGTGGTTTTTCCGGGGGCTCCGCGCCTTCTCAGCAACAGCAACAAATGCAACAACAACAACAACAACAACAACAACAACAACACCATCCTCTAAAACTGCAACAGCCTTACATAAACCCATCCCAGGCTACCACCTCTTCGTCATTGACGTCCGCATCAGGTCACCTTGCACCTCCACAGCACTCACTTGAGAAACCGAGATCGAGACGGTGGTCGATTACGGGGCGGTTCTTCGAGAAGCGCAAGTCTATCACAGAGCCATTTCATGCCCCTGGCGGAGCGCCTTCGAGTTCTTTCTCGTCGTCATATAAAAGTACGAATGCGAATATTGTAAGTGGTGCGGATGGGAAGGGGGATAGTTTGGGTGGACCAGAGTCGAGTTTTGGACGCCGTGCACAGAATAACGGTGGGAACTTTAATCATACCAGCAATACCAGTAACAACAACAACAACAACAATACGATGACGGCATCGACAATGGGCGCTGGCAGCATTAATTCCCAGAGCAGCAGCAATGGAACAGGAGGAGGAGGAACGGACTCGAAGAACAGCTCCCCCCCAGGCAGTAACGTTAACAGTCGTCGGTCGAGTCTTGCAGATCTTCCCAAGGCGATCTTGTCGTCCTTGCGTCGGAGCTCGTTGGTCGGTCCTGGTGATGCCTGCAATGTCATGGCTGCTGTTGCTGCTTCGATAGGTAGTGCTGGTGTAGTACAAGGAGCAGGGGATACGATTATGGAGGAAGATGAGGATCTGGATGAGGATGGTGGAGTTTCGAAGGTCTGGGTGGCTCTTCCCAAGGCCCCGCCGCACGATCCGCATACCAGTCGACCCCCACCCAAGAGTATCCTCAAAAAGCGGCCCTCTGAGATTAACGTCGCTACTGCCGACGCCGCCGGTGTCGATTCTGCTACTGCTGGTGCTGCGGCGTCTACTGGAGATGCTGCTGCTGATGACGCCAGTGCTACCTCTACCGCTAACGCAAACGCCACCAGCGATCAGCTGCCTGATCAGACGCTGAGTTCAGAGAATGTCCACCCGATGGCGACCTCAGATATGGACGTTACAGACATCGACCTTTTCACGCCCACTGACCACCGCGCCCGCCTCCTCACCCATTCACCCAAACCCACCCACCCACAACATCACCTCGTCAACGACAACGCTGACAAGAGCCACATCTTGATAGGTGGTGCAGGATCACCCATGCCTAGCAACAACTCTGACAGTGTCTCCAGCAACAACAATAACAAAAACAATAACAACAACCACAACAAGGTTCAGCAAGTAGCGGTGTCGTCATCGCAAGGGGCAGCGTTACCGCCTGATTTCACACCAGGAGTACAATCCAACTCGTACTACAAAGACCGCGGCGGCGAGCGTGGGCAAGGGGCTGTCGGGGATTACATCTCCCAGGATGAGCTGCTCACCCAGCAGATGATGGGTATTAGCTCCCGGGCCCAGGATCTCGCGAAGCAGTACTATAGCACCAGCGCCAACAACACCAACAACACCAACAACCAAACCTCCTCTACTGCCCATACCCTCGCTCCGATTGCTTCTGCGGCGGCCAGTGCCGGAAGGAAACGCTCGATCTACTTCCTGGAGACAGTGGAAATCATCCCAGCACACAGGAAGTCGGATTATAACAGACAGAGCGATAAGCATGCGACGTTCAAGATCTTGACGCCGGATATGAAGTCTGAGATCCGGGATGAGTTAAATACTTACAAGATGCGCGAGATGGCAGTTCATGTTGAGAGTATGGCTAATACTGCTTTTCATTGAAGGTGTTTGGAGGATGGTGGAAGGAGGGTGAGGGTGAGGAAGTAGAGGGGTTTGGCTGTGTATATAGTAGCATTTTTTTTTTGTACATATCTCTATTTTGTTATATTTTTGGCAGTAAATTCTTGCGAGAGATGGAGACGTGACTGCGTGTGCGATTGTCTATGGTTGATGTGTCGCGTGAAAAAGAAAATTACGTTTCATGATCGTCGCAAGTGATGGTGGCACAAAAATACAAAAAAGGGCCGTCTGATGATCTGCTGGGCTTTTGGTGAGGGGGGAGGGTGAAAGGAAAAGGACAGTTTGAGTGGGGCAAGAGTGCAAAAAAAAAAAAAAAACCTGTTCTTGAAATCCGCTGTATGCCAGCCGAGCTGCAGATCTTTTACACATGTCAAAAAAGCTACTCTCCACGTTCTTGTTGGACAAAGGGTCTTTCATTGACAGGCAGCAGTATGATTGCTTGCTTGATGGGGTTTAGAATTGAAAAAGTAAAGAGTGTTGAGTGCAAGAGAAAGGTGGGGGAGGTAACGCATGTGAGAAAGTGGCTTTTGAGGAGGGTTGAAAAAAAAAAATTAAGATCATTTTCTTCACGTCGTCATAGGTCAAAACGCGTCTGGCTCTTCTTTTGATTTTCACTATGCCCTCATCGCCAACGCGTGCAAGTTTGCAATAGACGAAAAATGCTTCACCATCACAATGAATCGATCAGGCGCTGTGTTTTGTCGTAAAGTGTGTACTTGTACACACTACTCCAGCCTAATGAGAATGAGAGAGAATGACCATTTTGCCTAGCAAAAACAAGTTCAGTCATGCCTCCCCTCCCCTCCCTTCCCTTCCATTGTGTTTATTGTTGTTTTATGCTTGGCCCAAAATGACGGGAGGAAAGAGTCACTTTAGAGGGAAACTTGTACTCCCTACGCCCATGTAGATGAATTGATGCTGAACGAATTCGTTTGTTTGTGTTTTCTAGGGAGAAAGCACAAAGGCAGAGAAGCGTCTCATAACAAACAAACAAACAAACAAACAGATGATGAACACACGCTGTGATAAAAGGAAGGGAATAGAATCAGGGAGAGAAAGAAGGAAAGAAGAGATGTAGTCGAGGAGTCTTCTTTTTGGCCATCTCTACCTCGTGAACCCCCATCACTTACTACTACGACCCCACCACACCGGTAGCCTAGGAGGTAGGAGGTTAGAGACTTTTTTTGGGGGGGAAGGGAAGAATGGAGGGGAGAAAACGGTCCCGTCATCCTTGGGGCATTCAACGAGTTCACCGAGGAAGAATGGCTGCAGACAAAGGCTTGTTTGATTGGGTAAACATTACTAAACAACCAGAGAGGAAAAACAGGTCATTGGGGATGGATGGGCGCTCGCTGTTGTTATATGTCTATGTGTGTTTCTTGATATAGAACTACCTGGCAAAGCAAGGTATCCATTTCTTGTCCTTCTTTTCTTGACTGAACAACCCCCCCCCCAGATACTCCAATTACCCGTCATCATTCGACATTACAGGGTGGTACGAATTCTTAATCCCGCTTCCTTTCTCCAGCGATTGGAAGGACTTTAATTGTGGAGCAAGCAAGAGAGAAAAAGAGCAATAAACACAAAGACAGGGGATGGAGAAGGGCAATTGCGCTGCTCTTTTCTTGTTTTGTGCTTCTTTTTTTTTTTTTTTTTTTTTTTTTTGCTTTGTGCTTTGTGCTTTGTGTACGCGCGCTACGATGCCTGCTGTGATTGAGATTCTACCTTAAGACGACTATTACTTCTTGCATGGGTGAGCAATGGGCGCACACCCCTGATTTCATTCTTGACAAAACGTGGTAAACTCGGTTCCAACTCAGAAGTAAGTGTGTCTGTGGAGAAGGAAACCAAATAACTGAGCGTTGGGATGGAGAATGGAGGTTGTAGACTGGGGTGTGTACATGGTTTGTGGAGAAGAAGAGAGAAAAGAGGGCACTGGTGATCGAAGCGATAGTAAGAGTCATTTTGAAGGAAAAGTCGAATGGTTGATGGCTCTTGCGGCAATGATGGAGATGAGGCAAGGAATTGAGTGCAGCTCCGAGCATTTCTCCCCAAGGATGAGCATGCCCTCTTGTCTGTCGGTGATACGGAAGAAGAAAGGGCTCTTCCCCCAACGTTGAGCAGAGAGAATCGATGGTTCTACTACAAAAGGAGAGGATCGTTTCAACCCTCCTCCCTTTTCCTTTCCTCTTTTCTCTTTTGTTTTCTTAACCCCATTGGCCATTCAACTGACCATTGAACACCGTTGCTTATTCCTCCTTCACTCCATTCCACTCTACCTCTTCTCTAGTTCAACACTCTCACTTCCTCAACAGACCAGTTCTCTTCTACACTCACAATCAGTGACAACGCCCTCGTTCACTCCCCCAGCTCACCAAAACACTCTTTTTATACGCCCTCCACACCTCCACTCACCTCTTCGACACGACAACAATGTCGACCCAAGTAGCTACTACCGTCACCCCGACGATGCTCAGCAACGTCTTTACTCTCCTCCGCAACCGCCAACGCTCCCTCATGAAGCGCAGCAGAGCCAACCCAGGTCTCGCCATGCTAGCACTCACAGCCATCCTCTACTTTTGGATCGGTCGTCTCCGCTCTGGAAAGAAGGCGCCTCCACGTGGAAAATCCATCCCTCATCTCAAGTCTCGCTTCATGATGCTCGATGTCGCCTACCAATATATCAAGGCCCGAGCAGAGGGCAATGAACTGAAATGGGTTCAGGCGCTGTCGAAGCAAGGACTGACGTTGACGACCGAAGTTGTGGGCCATTGTTTGATTCTGGCGTTTGAGCCTTCGTCGGTCCAGCATATGCTTGTCAAGAACTTTGAGAACTATCCCAAAGGTAACCCTTCTTCATTTTGAACGTTTGTTCTGTTGGTTGAAGAGATAATTGATGTGCTGCTGTTGTTCGAATGCAGCACACAAACAGCGGGTGCATTTTTTTTTTCCATCATTCGCTTGTGCTCAAGAGGTACATGAGAGAAACCGATAGGGTGATTCTTTTTCATTCTCTCTCTCTCTCTTACTCCACTCCTTTTCGTACTTTTACCCCCTTCCTCTTCACCCTATTTTTTTTTTTTTTTTGCCAACCGAGATTTTTGTCACGAACCCGTTTGACGCAAGCCGAAGGACAAACAACTTTGTTGGCAGAAACAAAGTTGTTATTAATTTCGTCTGGCACATGTTATAATGGACTCTCCTCTATTTTTCTTTTCTTTCGTTACTAACAAGTGCACATACACAACGGACAGGGTTGTCCTTTACATGGTGAGAGAAAAGGGTTGTTGATTGTTGAGAAAGGGTCGGACGTGAAGGAAACGGAGCAATTCTGGGCATATTTAACTCGCCACACCTTTGGCTCAGCCACATGGGAGCAATTAAATTGCTAGCAAACAATTTTCTGTGTTGAGCACCGCTTTTTCATTATGACCCTCTTCTTGACATGCATCCTCTAATTGAGTCGACTTCGCGTTCATCGTGCATAAGAGAAGGGATGAAAAAAGATGACAAAGAGGGGTCGATGTTGTTGATGGACAACGACATGGACACTTGTTTATTTGTTTACCTTGTTTTCCCGCATGATTTCATAAGGAGTCGAAAGTAGCCTGTTTTGAAGACCATGCTGTTTGCGCTCTGACGCCGCATTTTTATGTAACCATTGTTGACAAAAGACTAGCAACTAAGCAAACCTACAATCTTGTCTTTTCTTACCTCTAAATAGGTCCCGCTTTCCACAAAGCGTTCTTCCCGTTTATGGGCACAGGCATCTTCAATGCTGACGGGGCAGCCTGGAAGAACCAACGTGCCTTGGCCCGTCCTCACTTCCAGGTGACAGAGTACAAGGGCGCCGCCCACATCGAGACCCAGATCAACCAAGTCTTTGGCATCCTCGACGCGACGATCGCCCACGGCGCTGCAATCGACGCCCAAGACCTCTGGTCCCGCTACACTATCGATACCGCTACGGGTTTCCTCTTTGGAGACTGTGTCAACGCCCTGGGTGTACCACAAAACAAGTTTGTGCACGCGTTCAATTACACACAAAAGGTCTGTGGGTGGAAGGTCCGATTGTGTGACTACCAGGCGCTTGTGCCCAGTTTTGAGTTCCCCCAGAAGGTGAAGGATATGGATGCGGTGTTGTTGCCGATTGTTGATTCTGCGATTGCGAGGGAGACGAAGAGGCATTCGGAGGCGGTGGAAGGTGAGGAGAATGAGCATAGTCATGATAATCTTTTGGCGCATTTCTTGAACTCTGTGGATGAGAATGGAAAGCCGTTCGATCGTGTTTACCTCCGTGACATGTTGATGAACTTTTTACTCGTAAGTTACTCCCCTGCTGTTTGCCAAAATGATGTTGTTTTGCACCCGTGGTTGATCATGCATCTAAAACTCTTTCATTCATCCTCCTAACCATGGAATCGTTCTTGTGCACTAAAAACAAAATAGGCAGGAAGAGACACGTCGACAAACTTGTTAACCTTCATGTGCTACAACCTGGGCACACATCCAGAGATCATGGACCGCGTCCGCCAAGAGATTTTCTCCGTCGTCGGCAACGACCGCAAGCCCGACCACGAGGATATCAAGAAGCTCAAGTTCCTCAAACAAGTCATCAACGAGACCCTCCGTCTCTACCCGGCAGTCCCTTTCAACATTAAGACCTGTCTCGAAGACGACGTCCTCCCCAACGGATACTTTATCCCCAAGGGCTCCCTCGTCGTCCATTCCTCCTACGTGACCCACCGGATGAAGGAGTACTGGGGTGAAGATGCGGAGGAGTTTGACCCAGACCGCTGGGGAACGGAAAGGGTGAAGATGGTGCGCCCGTTCATGTTCTTCCCGTTCCATGCTGGGCCACGTATCTGTTTGGGCCAGAACTTTGCGTACAACCAGGTGATGAATACGATGGTGAGGTTGATGCAGAAGTATACTTGGAAGGTTGTTGATGGGTTTGAGCCCAAGCCCGAGTCGGATATTACGATGTATTCGAGGAATGGTATGCAGATCATCTTTGACCACTACCGCGAGTAGGCAAGGGGGAGGCCCTGGTGGTGCTATCTTTCTCTCCTCCTTTTTTTGCAAAAAATGATATAAACCTACTGTTAAATATAAAAAAGGGTAATGAATTGTCCATGTTCTATTTTTTTTCTGTTTCTCTCTATTCGTTTCCTTTGGTGTTGGTTCCAGCATATTAATTCACTGCTTCTCAACTCTCTATTTCAAAGAAATCTATTGGTCAACCTGCGATTTCATGGTTGGATGACTGGGAATGGATGCTCGTTTCCGTTCAGAAGGAGGTAGCTTTCCGGGTTGCATTGCGATATGTCATAGAAGAGGCCACCTTCGACTATTTTTTTTTTATTGAAATGGGAAGGGGATTGATGTGGAGAACCACGAGTGCGTTCATAAGTTTTTGCTGAGTATGCGTGATAGCATTTCAAGCATCTAAAAGGAGTCAAAAATAAGACAACTGTCGCGGCGAAGTCGCGGGGCACTCTTGCCACCTTTTTTTGTTTTGATGCAATTGAATTTTCCTCCTCCAGAGTGGGAGTTGTGCGAGGAGTGAAAGAATGGTTTATTTGCCCGTGAGGCGACCATTTGAATTTTTTTTTATCACAGAGACAGGCAACGTTCATCAGTGATGGTGCCTGAGATCAAACTCAAGACTGGTGCAGAGATAAATGGTGTCTAGATGGGGATCGACACCTCTATTTGACCATCAATTTTCGTAAGGATGAATGAGAAGGGCGCCATTATCTTTTGGAGTGTCCCCGTCTACCATGAGCAGCCTTCTTACTTTTAATAACACTGTTTCCTCTCCCTCATGTCGCTGATACACAGCGAGAGAGAAACGATATTGACATAAGCGAGAAAAAAACATGAGCAAGCAGCATCTTTAACAGAATCATCTTTTTTTTCATTTTAACGCGTCGTGATCGTCAAGGAACAACACATGTTGTGGGTGTCGTTTTGTATTTTACCGCACTTCGAACTCTTACATCAATGTGTACACTTGGTGAACGGGCCCTTGGGCCTGCGAGTCAGCTAGATAGGGGAGAAGAGGGGGTCGTTCCAGATCTTAAGGGCAGCCCAGGAACGCTTGCACAGTCTGGATTCCAGAGAACCGCTCGTATGGCACATCTTTTAAAACAACACCCGTCCATCCAGCGACCCGGGATCTCTGTGAAGCAGCAAGTCATGTCTTGTCTTTCTAAACCAGCAAGCTCGACTCCATCACAGGCGGCCTGGCAGACACCATCTTTTAAATCAGGGGCACTGCGCTTAGTCCGCACACTTATCCTCTGCTCTCTTGTAGACCATAGGAGCTTTGTATGATGATGAACCCTAGGAGAGCTTACCAAGCCTGTCTGTTGTTTCGATTGCTGCAGCCGTGACAAGTCACTGTGCTATCTGAAGTGCAGTCTGAGTCCATCAGACCGAGAACAACCCCCTTAGAAGAGAATCACATTTTATTGTTTCTTCTTCTGATTTCGTCCACCAGTGGGGGTCCTGCTGGTCTGTGAGACCTGTGAGCAGGCGCGTTGGAGACTTTGCTTGTCCAACTCACTCAAATCCTCGGCCATCAGCCTTCGGTCCCGTTCATCTCCAATCCTGAGTGCGAACCTCAAAGCCGTCGTGATGCAGCGACGCAACTTGGACGCGAATCCTTCCTTGGTCAACGGGATCAGCATAGAGCCGACCTGATAGACTCGAAACACACCTGCAATGTCCATCTGATAAAACTTGGTGTGCGGACCAAAGGAGGTCGAACCAAAGACGGAAAACCTTCTCGGTGGGAGAGACTCGCGAGAAAACTCGGCAAGCTGCGCGATGAGCGTGTCTCGCATATCCCTCTTGACCTTGATCTCATCCAAGATGCGCTTGCGGGTGTCAGGAAGGTGAAGGACTGAGGATTCTGCAAGGTAAATTTGAGATCGCTCCGAAGCAAGGTATCCCACACCATCGGCTTGATGTGCTTGCTCCTTGATCTCCTCCAAGAGGTTCTTGTTCGCGTTCTTGCGCACCTCTACTCCTACAACAGGTACTTCTAGGAATCGACTTGATACATCCGCAAGCTTCAGGGCACCTCGAATGATAGACCATGTAGTATCCGCAAACCCTTCCCGCTCATTCAACGTTTCAGGAATGGTATCCCGAAAGTGGAAGTAATGATCGCTAGAGCACAAAAAAAAAAAAAAGGCAAATTAAAATCACTTCATAGTAGGAGTCGCAATGTTGAATTGAAAAAAAAGAAGCGAATAGTGAACTTACTAGGAGTAACAAATGGCGTGAATGTACTCCACAAAGGGATCTCGGAATGACTCGTCTTTGATAGCCGAAAAGACCTCGTCAAAAGAAAAGGAAGATCGGAGAACTCGGTCGACGACTGGTTGGAAGGTGGGCCATTTGGTAGCAATTGAAGGAGCGCCGAATGTTGGTAAACAGGCCGTGCTGTACTCCTTGTTGGAAAGAGATCGCACAAAGGAAGATCCTTCCGTCATGTCTGCAATGTGATCTTGCACCAAGGAATATGATCCTTCAATCGCCGCAAATCTCTCGAAAACAGACAGCATGTCGATCTCGTCTTCCATCCATGTTGTGTCCTGATTGAGTGTCGCGAACACATCCAGGTCTAAAGGTGAAACAATCAGTTGCCTGTCAGAATGAATAAAAACCCCCTCTCGCGAGTAGAGATATGCCGTGATGCAGTTTTTCAATGTAAGGGTACCTGGTATAAGACTTGAAACTACGTTCGCGCAAGGACTCTCTGGCGGTTCAGTTGATTCAGGTAACTTTGTTGATTCTTTCGCCCGCTTGCGGCGGTGTTCCTTGACAATAAATGGGTTCTGAGAGTGAACGTCGTCCTGTTTGAAATCCAGTGAAATGATAGAAACTTCTTGTCAGGGTTTTGCATTGAATGTTGTTTGCAGAAAAAAAACAAGTGAACCTGGACAACTTTTTACCTCAACGGACGAAACAAAAGGATCATTCACGAGAAGCCCAAGACTACCCCGTCTCCACGACGAGCCAGTGTCGGAGGTTGAAGATTCCATTTTGTCGAAAAGCCCAAGCGCCCTCTTGGTAATAATCTTGCTCCCTGCATTGTTGAGTTTCCTGTTGGTCTCAATGGCGGTCATTGCTGCCTCTGCTGTGGCTCTTGACAGTGCTCCTGGAAGAGCGTGCAACTTTTGTCGTATCTTGATGTTGCTAGCCTTCTTCAGTAATGATCGCTCCTTTGTTTTGAAGTCGGTGGTCTACAGTAGTTTGTCAAGAGTATTACAGACATTATTAGCTCCTCCATTAAACATTTTTCTTTTTCGATGGAGGAAACGCGTTTGGACCAAAGACAAACATTATGCCACCTACCGAGGACTCCCTCAAAAATGCGGGGACCCAACTGTGACTGTCCTGAATATTCTCCAGAGACGAGCGAAACGCATCGGTTGCAGCTCCTTGGTTGCGAAAAGTGAAGTTGTTGTAAAACCTCTCCGCACACTCTATTGCTGATTTGTATGGTTGTCCAGCAATAATAAAGTCCTGGCGCTCCTGTCGAATGTCGTTGCTCGCTGCGTTGGACATGTTTGTTGTTTTGGACATGTTGGTTGCTTTGGACATGTTAATCGCAACAATGTGTCGTCGGAACTGCTGCGGGTTGTCAAGGCCTTTTGAACCAATTTGGAAATATCCCCTTAAATGACGGCAACACAGTGTACAAACCCTCTCGACCTCTCTTCACCCTCACCTCTCTCTCACTTCATCCTCTCACTTTTCACCCTCTCTCGTCACCCTCCCCCTTTTACCTTCCCCCATTCATCTTTGTCGGACGTCGTGTGTTTGTCATTGCCGGTTACTCTCGTGTGCCTATATGGAGGCATCTCTAGGTCAGCGTCTCGCGTTCACGGAAGTAGCCATTGTCCTAGACTGACTGGGCGCCATGGCAACAAACACACGTCGATGGATCTGTAGCCTACTCTCTCGAGAGGAAGCTGCCGCTTTGTGCTTGAATTCGAATCAAGTTAACCCTCTGGGAACAAAGTTGCCATGCTTCCGACATTCCCCTACCTGAGACTCCTGTCCAAAATGCTGTGTGCTTTGCTTGCCGGTTACTCTTGCGTGCCTATTCGAGGCATCTCTAGGTCAGCGTTTCGCGTTCGCAAGTAGTAGCCATTATGCACCAAATGTTGGTTGCGCTATGGCAGCAAGGCATACTTCGATGGTTTGTAGCTTCTGCGCTCTTTTCTCCTCCGGGGAGGGAGCCGGACTACCTCTTTGTGCTTGTTCGAATCAAGTCAACCCTCTGGGAACAAAGAGCCATACAAAACTCAGTCCCTTTCCCCACTTTTCTCTCCCTCTCTCTCTTTTTTATTTTATTTTACTTTTTATTTTATTTTTTTATTTATGGGGCACTCGGCTCGCGACCTGCTCGCGGTGTGCCCTGCACTACATTTTCTCCCTCCATGGGAGTGATGTAGACTGACGGCGAGCCAACAGTTTACTATTTTCAACAAACTTCAGTATAGTTGAAATGGGCGCGAGAGTTACGTCACCGAAGACGCAACCCAGGCACCCACCACCCACAATCAGCACTAATGTGTGTGGGCGAACCAACACACGCAAACTATGAATATATCTAGGCTAGAGTCGAGCTGCCTTTCCGCGGCCTGAGGAGGAGGAGGCAGAGGCGGCCCTCTTTTGCCGTCCTGGCGTTTGACTGGTGGTGGTGGTGCTGCCGCCGCTGGTTGTCGCTTCGATGGGACAAGGAGCGAATCCGACAAGTGCTTGAGCCTTCTTCCAGGGAAGGGAGCCATCGGAGGCGACCGGTTGCAAGTACTCGGGACGTTCTTGATCGATAAGATACCCTTGGATGATGTTTGCCATGTTCTCGGCCGCCATGACGTCCCGGTGATGGTAGACGTGGCAATGTGGACAAAAAAGCCGACGGAGAGTGACTTGTGCCACAAAAAGACCGCAGTGGGGACACTTTTTTGAGGTATAGTACTCATTCTGGCCTACAACAATATAACCAAGGGATCTCGCCTACAAAGAAAATAAATAATAAAAGGTTAGCTGTTGGTAGATATAAACTGCTGGTAGGATTTAGTCCTCAATGCAATCGAAGGAGGCATATTCACCTTTTGAACGAAGAACGAAAGAAACGAGGAATGCAAGGAGGAGAGACCACTCCTGGTATTAAAGTTGCCAAGGCCGACCCCAATGAGTACAGCGTTGGAAGGATCTCGAGGACGTCCAATGCTTCCACCGACAATTCCGAGAAGACGGTCAGCGATCAGCTGGTACTCGTAGTGACGGGCTCGCTCCATGTCCCACTTGTGGCGCTTGTACTGCTGATCACGGCCTCCATAGAACTCTAACAACCGATTTTCGACTTCCTTCAGTTCTGCAACATAGTCGACGACACTCGCACCCTGGCCTTCGAGAGGGGGCAGACGGGTCTCAATGTCCTCGATTGTTTCCTGTTCTCCCTCCTGTGTAGCCTTTTTTTCGCTCTCGAGCCACCTCCTAAACTTGAAGGACGGCTGATAGACCGCCTTTTGCTTCACGGCCAAGTTGTAAAAAGTTGTTGGATGACACTGGTGGCGAGGTAGCTGATTCTTGCGTTGATGCGGGGGTCGGTGTATGAGTGAGAGTAGGCACTAGAGTAGCCGCGGCGTGCCCCTTGTCAACCCCCTTGCCTTTTCCTTGCTGTAGCTGTTCATCTGGAAGGTGTACAAAGGCTCCGATTACACATGCCTGCCCTCCGTCAAGTGTGAGTGTTTTGAGTTCCTCGGGTCGTGTACCAGGCCATAGTCGCTGGACGTCCTCCTTGCTGTGAATAACATGTCTGATCTCTTGAAGGAAATAGTTGATACTGCCCACAGTTGACGTCAACCTTACCGACAAACGATCCTCGTCCAGTCGACGGTAACGAACATCCTGTAGCTCTCGAAGCTTAAAGGCAAGTAGCTGGACTCGAAAGCCGCCAGTCCTTACTGAGCCCCGCAAGATGTACCCCTTCTCAGCATAGGTGACGGGATCGAGCCATTCGTTCTTGACGGTCCCCAAGTGTGTCCTGATCTGAGGCAGAGTGACCAACTTCACAGCAGCACGATGTCCAACCTTTCCCCGTTGACGACTCGTTAGACCTTGCGGAGCGACGTCGCAGATGAAGTGCTTGATAAGAAAGCCAGGGTGTATGCTTCCCAGCCAGGCCTCAAGATCAGTGGTGGAGGAGATCGTCGATCCATCCGAATCAGCCAATTGAATGAGCTTAGCCTTGAGCGAGCCTCGTTCCTAGAAGAAAAGCGCAAGATTCCTCTCCGAGAAGGAAAAGAACGGTTGTTGGGAGGTGGTGAGGGGAATAACCCAGCAGCCACTGTTGGTCAAGTCATTAAGGAACAAAAAGTTCTCGACTGCTGAGAGGTCCTCCTGGATCCTGATGTCAATAGCCTCTCCCAAACGACCGCTTTCGAAGCCCTTGCGTATAAATTAATAAGCGAGGAATATGAAATAAAGGCTCCAATCGTTTATGCCATGAACCTTTCAACCCGGCTATCACAATGTTCAATAGAACTTTCGCCCTTACTTTCTCAAAGAGAGCATGAGTTCCATGCCCATACATGAGCTTTAGCTCGACTGCCAACTGTCCTGCAGCCGACCGCACAAGAGAGTTTGGAGTGAATGGCATGATGACCCTATCGCCGGACCTCCTCGAAGTCTCATGAAATCCGAGAACGCGCGAGGACTCAATGAGCATATTGACAGAGGTGACGATGCTCTTGGTCTCCTCCACTGGACGATTTCCCGAATAGAGGTAAGTAAGGAACGACCAAAGAAGCTGCTTCTGATCGCTTTCTTGTCCATCGATGTCAAGACTGTCCGCATCCACGTTCTTGTCACCATCCACGTCATCTTGGTCGTCATCGGCGTCCTTGGCCTTGGCTGGTTCGCAAAGGTAGCTGAGAATCGTTCGCTCGGATTCCGTGATAGCCTCCCTCCGTGCCTTTAGCCGTTCTTGCTCCGTCATTGCGCGCGGCTCCATCCCCTCCGCCAACTCGGTCCTTTTGTGTTGCTCCGCCGCAGTCATGCGATCACGCAACGTCTCCACAAACTGTCCAATCAACTGCTGCCCCTCCCGCTTCACCCCGGCGGCCAGTCGAGTAGCCTCTTCGATACAATCGACGACTTCTTGCTGGAGACCATCAAGATCGGTGGGTAGAGCAACCTTGGGGGTGGTGTTCATCAAGTTCAGCAGTACGCGTTCGACGTTTTTACGCAAAGTACCAACACTCAACGCCGATATAGGATGATACCAGCTGAGAGAGTATACAAGACCCTTTTTGTCCATTTTTGCCGGCGGTTTAGAGTTCGAGACAGAAGCTCTAACTGCCTTCGACTTGGACTCTTCAGTGGAGGTGGGGCTGGTGAGAGTCTCAGAAGGTTCCTTGTAGTGCTTCAGCACATACTGCTTTGCCCTGGGTGGTGGATCATGGATTATTTTCCTCCTCCTTTCCTTGAAAGAGAATCGAGGACGGTGACGCGGGATCCTTGTCCTCCGCAGTGGTGGGTGACTAACTGGCTCTTGGTACGAGGAAGAGACTTTGGCGTCGTTTTGTGAGTTCAAGGCGAGTTGTTGTAATGGCGAGTGTGTCCCCGTAGAACTGGAGCTGGTTGGAATCGATGGTTGTTGCTCAGATGGAGGGGGTTTAAAGACGTGTTGAGGAGCCGAGTTGCTTTGTTGTAATGGTGAGGGTGTGTCCGTTAGGTTGGAGCTGGTGGGAGCTGGCGATTCGACTGTTTTGAATCGGTTAGAAGTACAAGAGGAGCGCAAACGCACAATCTGATCCTTGGGAGCGCTATTAACATCAAACAAAAAATAACCCACGGTGAGTTGCACGATTCGATGACAGAAAACGCCTAATGCAGAGTGACATATACTCTCGATCAGAAATGTTGAGCTTACTTCTTCTGGTCAACTGTCTGACAACGTTTCTTGAAAATTTCGTGCCGGGTGCAAAGATCCGTGAATCTCTTGCAGAGTTCATTATAGGCGAGGCAGATTGCAGAGACATCATAGTCGATAGGGGTCTGTTCCAGGTCCACGAAGACTCGCAAAGCGAGTTCAAAGGTTTGGTTAACAGTATTCTTGGAGAGGACTTGACGGTTCGTCAGATAAGCAGATACAATAGACTTGGGGTCTTGAGAAAGAAAAAAAAAAGTTAGAGACTCGATTTGGGCGTTTCTTAAGACCACAAAACGTGATCCTTTAGACTTTGTTTATACATACCATCCTCTTGGAGACTCTTGATAATGGAGTAGTTAATAGCCGGGCCAAGAAAATAGATATTCTTGTTGTAGTCATTCGATGACACTACGGCGAGGGCGGTGAGTTGAGCCGACGACAACCCAAGGCCCCGACGAACGTCCGCGAGCTTGTATACCAGGAGCAGACCTTGCGAGATGGGCGCCACAAGGTGCAGATCGAGGAGTAGGCTAGCATGTCGCTGTCGGCCGATACTACTACACCGCCTGGCTGGCAATCGAGAGCAACAGTAGGGTCCGCTTCAGTCTCGCAGGCTCGTACTGTCCAACCGGCTTGAACCATATAGGCGATAAATGCTTGGCGGGCTGGCAACGACCAATAGAACATGCGACCCAAACTGGTTCTGACTTCGGTAAATTGGCGCTTTCGGATGCTGACGTTGTTGTCGATACGCCGCTCGAGTTCATCCAGGCTTCGCTCGCAGCTGACAGTTGCCTTACGCGTGATAATTTGTAACGCTTATACGATTCGAGACCAACAGCAATGCAATTGTTCTTCCTACCATCCTCGCTCACATGCTCTCCTTCTCTCTCTTTCTCCCTCAGAAGGACTATTTTGTGTTTTCTTCCTCCACTTATGCACCGCTGTTATTCAATGCGTCCCTTGCTCATGACAGAAACACCCCCCCCACAAAAATAATAAGACACGAAATGTAAAAAATATAATTCTTGTTTGTGCTAGTTTAGTTTAGCTGGATATCAGGTCTGTTCTCTCTAATCCATTTGACATTCTCTGGTTCGCTCTCCTCAAGAGAACCAGCAACACCGACTGGATAGCCATACACTTCTCCATCACAGTCCCGGTACCTCAGACCGCTAATTGTCCTCAGTCTTGGCCAGTTCTCCACCATCCACTGAACCTCAACCAACCCGATCCGGTGTGCCATCTGGGCGACATCCAATTCCTCCAACTGCTTCAATCCGGCCAACTCGTCGAGTCCGCTCTCGAGGGAGAGTTCCAAGCAATTGCGATCAAAGTATTCATCGACGGCCATTGTACGGATACCACGGATCTCCAACCGCGAGTACTCGGGATTGTCCCAGTCACGACAGTGTTTTCCCAGATGCAGCTTCTGGAGGTGGGTTAATTGCCCCAGTTGTCTGAGGACTCTTCGTTGGACAGCGTGGCTCTCTTGCTGCGCGACAAGCATAATGCCCGACAATGGGACTTGGTCTTGAGCTGTAGCAGGACCAGGAGGAGGAATAGGAATAGGAGGAACGAGAAATACGTCGCCCAATGGAATGTTGACGATGTCTGGGCGCGGGACATTAAGGATCTTGCACTCGAACACCTCGACCTGGTTGCACGCCCAGGAACTGTCGATTATCTGCAAGGCATCCAGTTCTACATCCTGGTAGGGCCGATATCCGAGATCTTCTTCAATGGCCTTGAGGGTGCGTAGAGTCGGGCTGGAGCATAGTATGGCGTGAAGGATGTCTTTCGAAAAGTCACAGTCGGCGGTCGAAAGGTACTCCAATGTCGGTGCGTGCCTGAGGAATGCATCCTTGACGGCGGTATTGTCGCTGGCGTAGGTTATACGAGCACGACCATCCAGCGTCAGCATGATGTGTTTCAAAGGTGGAGCGCGCATCAGGATCTGGGTGACATGCGACGGGTGACCATGGGACATATTCAAGTGCGTAAAACCTCTGTCGGCCAAACGGATCCCCTCCAGCGCGTCATGATTGACTCTCTCAGATATTCCCATCTGCATCTCTCTCAACCTCGGATAGTCGTTCAGGAGTGGATGCAACAGTTCACCGTCGGTGCACTGGAGGTACCCCTCCATAGCCACTACGACGGTACCGGTCTGAGTCTGAGTCCTCCCGGACTGCACCCCCAGCGAGAAATAGGTGGCTGGGCCGCGTTTCCAGAGATCGTCTTCTGAATAAAACTCTTTTAGCAACAGGAGTGACTCTCCAGCGACCTTGACGATTGACTGACAATCCAGACAGTGCGAAGGAACAACCAGGAACTCCAGCTGCGGGCTGCGCTCAAGAACAGACACCAGATATGTCTCGCCATCACTCTGCAACTCGGCACGACTACGCACTCTTTTGCTAGGAGAAAGGAATCCTGCTGTCACGGAGTCAGAAGCGTCGAACAACCCAGTTCCAGTCGAGGGAGGGGGGAAAACAGACATCGCAGGAAAATATGCTGTGCGAGAAACCTGACTCTGCCCAACACTGAGCGACCCTTCACTCCTCCCCTTCGAAAGCATGGCTAAAGTCCTGGTAGTGGCCACCCCTCCTGTATATCGATCAGCTCTGTGGGTGGCGTCGAGGAAGACCAGGTTTGTGCAAGTGATTCCGGATTCGACAAAGGGTTCGAGGGCGATAGGGTCGTATACTCGGAGTACACGGATGTGATGTCCGTTGCGGAGGAGTCCTGCGCGTCCTTCGGGGGTTTCGAATTTGGGGATGGAATCGTTTTGATGGATGGTGATGGAGTGCCAGAGATGGGGGGCGAAGGTGTTGAGGAAGGATTTGTTGACGAGGCTGCAGAGGGCCAGGTCGTGTTGGGAGAGGTTCTCGGCTATGAGTTGTGTTAGTTCGAAGATATCGAACACCTTGTCGCTGGGTGCCATCAGATGTAAGTGAAGGAGTTGTTGATGTGATGGAGAGATGTCGTTTGAATGAATGTGAAATCAATGAAGTATGATGGAGATGAAGGAAAGGAAAAAGAGGAGAAAGGACAGAAAACAGCAAGGAAGTTGTGAACGAACCTTAAATTCAACTGGTCTCCCAATAGAAGTGAATAGAAGTGGAGGTTTTTTTGCCACCACTCTCATGTTTGATCACACATAGATATTTCTCTGTCGCTGAAACTCAAGATAACGCTGATGAAAAGGAGACGATCCCCTTAATGTTTAACAGATGCGGCTGTAACTCTCTCCTCATTACCCGTTCACCTCGACGGGAGGAATACTATGTCCGGGAACATGGTTAGTAGTGGTGTAACCGTATGAGAACTGGGTGACTGTTGCTCTGAAAAGTGAGCTAACCCCTCTTGAACTGGGAGCACCCTTGGCTTACTTTTTCAGTTTTCTCCTCGGCCATCTCCCTCATCCCTTCCTTTCCCCTTTCTCCTTTGTCATTCAACACTCCACAACGACATAGACTACTACAATGAGCCATTCACCACCCCATGTAAGACACAGTCCCGTCCTGTCTGCCCAGCCCACCAAAGGAATCCTCAAGCGACCAGCTGCTCAACAGGGACAGGAAGAACGCGCTCCTCGGTAACAATAACCCCAACACCTTCGCGCTTCTCTCTTCTGTGAAAGTGCACCGTTCACGTCACCAATGCCATCTTGGAAAGGCAAACTTTACTCACCTTGTTATAACTCTTTTTGGTGATAGACTGAAGTGGGACGAGGAGAACTTGACGATAACAGAGGCGCAAAAGGATTCGACTATGAAGATTGACGAGCCCAAGACACCTTATGTTCATTACGACCACGAGCTGGATAAAGTTATCGACTTCGATGACGGTAATAGGAATTGTCGCCTGTCTTCTTCTCTCTTGGCTGCTTTTGCGTGCGGAACTCGAGCCGTAACAACACGGAACCAATACTGACATTGTCCTACCTGTTGTCCTGCGCATGGATATAGATTCGTTTTCATTGGATGGGAAAAAGAAGAAGCATGCAGCGTTGGCTCATACGCCGCCTGTGCCGTCGTACATGGAGGATTTTAAGGGCGAGGACGACGATGGCGATAATGACGATGAGGAGGACCCTGACGAGTGGGATTCTGAGGAAGATGACGATGATGAGCCACCATCAAAGACGAGTAAGTATTTCCGGTCAGGCAATATCTTGTGTACTCTTTTAGCCACCCACAAGTCTGCACCAACTAACCAATTGCTCTAACCCCCATTACCAAAAAATAGTTGACCATGACAAGTTTGCAAAGATGCGGGCGGAACACTATCACATGAAGCAGGCACTGCAATTAGGACACAAGCTGGCAGAGGAAGAATTGAACGCGCTGGACAGTCCACCCATTAGTGCAGGACCTGTGCCACCCTTACCCTCGTTTGCATTTAAGTCGAACCAGGCCATCAAAGGAAAGCAATCAAACAAGGATTCTGACGTCCACATGTCCTAGTTGATGTTATTTGGTACCTATGAAAGGACTTGGCTGCCAAACAAATAAAAACAGGGTTCCAATGGTACGCGTCAGTCTAGGTCAGGGCAAGGTCTCTCTATGAGTGTGATGCGTGTTCCGCGGCGGTTGAGGCGGTAAAGATAAGTATACATGTGTGCGAGCCAGACCCTATCTCCGTTTCGCTGCGCACTCCACCTTCTACCAATTTTACTTTCTTGAGTGAATGCGTCGCGCTCGTTCATTTTTTTCTCACACCGCGCACTAAGTGAGAAATGTGACTGTCTCGCTTTGTTTATTTTATTCTATAAAGAGGACCAAACGACGCTTTTTTGCTCTTTTTCTTCTTTTTCCCTTTTCTGATGTCTCAACCTACCCTCCACTCATCAGCAGCAAGTCCTTGGACACCGACAGCAACCTCCTCCTCACTCTCCTACCAACCACCATAATCGAACAACCAATATGAGCATCAAGGATTACCAGCGCGAGTTTATCGAGTTTGCTATCAAGAACGAGGTCTTGAAGTTTGGCGAGTTCACCCTCAAGTCCGGCCGTATCTCCCCCTACTTCCTCAACGCCGGCCTCTTCAACACCGGTGCCTCGCTCTCCAAGATCGGCAAGTTCTACGCCGCCGCCGTCAACGATTCCGGTATCGAGCACGATATCATCTTTGGCCCTGCCTACAAGGGCGTCCCCCTCGCCTGCACGACCGTCATTGCCTTGGCCGAGGCCCCCTACAACAAGGATACCCCTTACTGCTTCAACCGCAAGGAGAAGAAGGACCACGGCGAGGGCGGTACCATTGTCGGATCACCTTTGAAGGGCAAGGTTCTGGTGATTGACGATGTCATCACTGCCGGTACTGCCATCCGGGAATCGGTCCAGATCATCGAGGATTGCAAGGCTCAGTTGGCCGGTGTTCTTGTTGCGGTTGATCGTCAGGAGACGGGCAAGAACGGCGACATTTCGGCTATCCAGGAGGTCGAGAGGGATTTCGGTATCCCTGTCAAGGCCATTGTCACGATGTCGCATATCATGGAGTACATGGAGGAGCAGGGCACCTATGGCGCATACTTGGCCCAGATGCGTACCTACCGCGAGAAGTACGGCGTCTAAGCTAGAGGATACACTCTGTCGTTCCCTTTTCCAATCCAATCCAATTATCGTATCATTAAAAAACAAAGCATTTATATTTATAAGAACATAACGCCATTTGACGACATTGATTATGTCAGTTGTAATTGCCCTCGGATACAGTTATATCTCGTTGGCGAAGTCCTTTTTTCTCCATTCCTCCGAGGAGACATTGTTGGTCTGCCCCAGACCAAAGAACCAAGGCCCTTGCTCTGTTGTTGATGTCAGCAGATTTTGTGTATGTGTGTGGAGGAGAGAGACAGGGGGAGATGCGTGTGAAGAAAAAAGTCACGTACGCAGAATCAAAACATTTTTTAGCGCCCCGTCTCATTTTCATTTTCATTTTTTCTCTTTTTCTTCCACTCCATCGCACCCCCAGACTCACTCCCCGACAACACTCATTACCACCACAATGGCCGAAACTCTTACTCACCCCCTCGTCAAGGACGGCTGGTTCAAGGAGACCGGAACCCTCTGGCCCGGCCAGGCCATGACCCTCGAGGTTAAGGAGATCCTCCACGTTGAAAAGTCCCTCTTCCAGGACGTCCTCGTCTTCCAGTCCGCCTCCTACGGCAACGTCCTCGTCCTCGACGGCGTCATCCAGTCCACCGAGCGCGACGAGTTCTCGTAAGTTAAAAGGCTCCTCAAAATTGTCTTTTATTTGACGTTGTCCTTTCTTGAACTGGTCGAAGAGGGAGAAAAAAAAGGCTTGAGGCTGTCGCGTTGATCTGATTTGATAAGCTAACAAGGCAACAACGATATTATGTCAATCAACCATAATAGCTACCAGGAGATGATGACCCACGTCCCCATGAACTCCCACCCCAACCCCAAGAAGGTTTTGGTCATCGGAGGAGGCGATGGTGGTGTCTTGCGTGAGGTTGTCAAGCACGAAGGTGTTGAGGAGGTCACCCTCTGCGAGATTGACGAGGTAAAAAAACAACCAATACAAGGAAAGCAGGCAGGCAGGCAGGGAGGCTTGTTTTTTAAACATAACAACACCATCAACAAACGCCAACGCCAACGCCACACCATACCGTGGTCTCCTTTCCTACCGCAACAGAAAACATCCGCAACAGAAACATGGATCAAGAGCATTGGATCAATTACCGAAATTCCCTTCCTTCACCTTTCCTTTCATCCCTTTTTTTCAACGAATACGACACAGCTTTCTTGCAATACCCCCGATCCACATAACAAACAGCACGTTATATCCAACGGATGTAATTTAGTCTACTGTTTGTTCAACTTGGAACTGACACAGCACCCTTTTCAATTGACAATTCGACCAATGTTAGGCTGTTATCCGCGTTTCCAAGAAGTACTTGCCCTCGATGGCTGCTGGATTCGAGCACCCCAAGGTCAAGGTCCACGTCGGAGACGGATTTGCTTTCCTCGAGGACAAGGTCGACAGCTTCGATGTCATCATCACTGACTCCTCCGATCCCGTTGGTAAGTGCCCCTATCTACAGCAAACTCAACAAGCTGCTCGTAGAATTCTTTTCATCTCAAGGAGAGATAATTTGAATCGGAGTGATAAAATAACTGCAGATCGGTTTTTTTGGACATGGATCACTGCTGTATATGGCTGCCATGTCTGTGTTTCTGTTCATACGGATCGTCATTACCCGCGCGTTTGTGTGCTAATGTGCGTGCGGTGAATGAATAAACTGGCGCTTGATGACGATGAATGACTAACCATTCGGCTTGCCTCTTCTTGCTTTTCTATGATTATGAAATAGGCCCTGCTGCCTCGCTCTTCCAGGCCAAGTTCTTTGAGTTGATGAAGAACGCTCTTCATGCCGGAGGAATCATTTGCACCCAGTGTAAGTTACTCTTACTTTGATTGGAATATCATTTTCTGTCCGTGGAAGAAACTCAGGAAGGCTGGCGGAGAAAGGAACCAAAGGGCACGGAAAGGGAAACAACACTGGTATTTGTGTGTGTGTGAGTGTATGTGTGTAGCGTGTGCGCGCCCACATGCCTCATCTCTACACCACACACCCCTTGAACGAGCAGCGTGATAACACCATGATCATACACCGTGATTACCGTAACGACTACGACAACGACACCAAAAAGAAAACATCATGCGTTGGACATGCCTTAAACAACAGCACCAAGGGATAACCGCAACCCTCAAAACCACATGGAAACTCAATGATCATAGAAAACCTAAACCCTGATTCTTACAATTATCCTCAACTTTTAATAGGCGAGTGCATCTGGCTCCACATGCCCATTATCAAGGAGGTCATGGGCTTCTCCCGCAAGTTGTTCCCCACTGTCGAGTACGGCTTCACCACCATCCCCACCTACCCCTGCGGCCAGATCGGACTCTTGGTGTGCTCCAAGGATGCCAACGCCAACATCAAGGAGCCCCTTCGCCAGTGGCCCAAGGACCAGGAGGCCAAGTTGTGCCGTTACTACAACAATGAGATCCACAAGGCCTGCTTTGTTCTCCCCCAGTTCGCCAAGGCTGCCTTGGAGGCCCCTGAGGAGTCCAAGTAAAAATCTGGAGAGTGCTTGTTTCTTCATTTTATCTTCTCCCATCGCACGCAGTTTTTTCCTTTTTGTTCATAATTTTGCATCATACACTTCCCTCTTTTCTTTTTCTTGCCTTCCTGAGCTCTTAACCACTACCAAAATAAAAACAACAAGCTGGAAAACAACAATGGGCTATCATAACAGTGGTGAAATCGACAAAGGAAGGAAAGGAGGCGTTGCCCAATGTGGTTCACAAACGAGTTGTATTTTGGGTGGCTTAGCTCTTTTTTTTCTATATCAATTTTTTCTTTTGCTTGCCACTAAACGGACACACTCATTCCACCAACCACACAAACACACATAACAAAAAGGTAATGCAGGAGCAGAAAGCACCATACAACAAGGAAGAGAACGACTCATACACACTGGACACAGACAAGGAGGAAGCTAGTTACTGTGAACGGTGTATCCTTCACACAGTTCAACTAATCATACTCACGCTATCATTACTTTTTTTCCCACTCTCATGACACCTTGCCAAAACAATAGTTCATTACCCGGACAGCGAGTGACAAAAATACCGACAGCGGACCTCTTTCCCCGTAACTCATACAACAACAACAACACCAACAGCTTCGATAGCCACTCCAACTCGAACGGACCGCCAACACTTACAGCAGGAGGAAAACAATAAACATGGACGACTCGTACGATCAAATCATGGACGACGTTGACGACCACGGTCTCACAGCCAACCAGGGTGCCAACATTGATATCCTGGAGGAGGAAGACACTCACCCCCGCCGGTCATCCTACCACCACAGCCATGACGATGCTGGCCGTCGCCGCGGTGATGAGAACAGCGGCAGCGACCGGGACCGGGAACGTGACAGCAGGGGCGATGATTACCACCGTCGCCGCAGAGACTCGCGCGATTATGGATCCAGCGGCACGCCTGGTGCCTCTGGAGCAGATGCGACCGCTGCAGTAGTAGCAGGAGGAGCATCGAAATCGGCGGGAGGTCGCAGTCGCAGCCGATCGCCTGCTGGCGGTCAACACCACGAGGATTCCTATCGCGGTGAACACCGTGCATACGAGACTACCAGTGGCTCTCGGGATGACAAGTATGAGACGGATCGTGGGGAGCGTCGTGGATCGGATTATGAAAGGGCGCCACGTGGAGGACGATCGAGATCTAGGAGCCCTGTTGGGACAACTTCGTCTGGTAGAGTTGCGCCCGGCTTTTTGAGGGAACGACGCGTCTATGTTGGCAACCTTTCGTACGATGTTGCCTGGACTGATCTCAAGGACTTTATGCGCGAAGGTAAACAAAGCAATCAGGGCCATGTCTGTTTGTTTTGTGTGTTGTTTACTGTCCGCGCGCTGTGATAATAGTCTACTGGATGCTAACGTATCACCTCTTTGTAAAATAATAACAATAATAGTTGGACCGGTGGCACACGCAGATGTGCTCTTGGGCCCTGACGGAAAGTCAAAGGGCTGCGGAGTAGTCGAGTTCCAGACTGCAGAGGATGCCAAGACAGCCATTCGTAAGATGAACGATGTGGTCCTCAGGGGCCGCCCCGTTTTTGTCAGAGAGGACCGGGAATCTGGAGAGAGAATCGGAGCCTCTGGTGGCCGTGCTCAGTCCTCTAGATCTGCTGATGTTGCCATCCGTCAGGTCTTCGTTGGCAACGTAAGTTACTTCCTTGATCTTTTGCGTTGCTGATTGTGGAACGACGCTTGTAATTTTCGTCTGCGTTGATTGTTGATTGCTATCAAATTAACACGTTTTTGTTGATTCCTATTTACTTTCGTGCAATAGCTGCCATTCTCAGTTCACTGGAAGGATCTGAAAGACATGTTCAGGAGAGCAGGACCGGTCGACAGGGCGGATGTCTTTATGAACGGCGACATGCGGTCTAAGGGATCTGGTATCGTCTTATTCGAGAGAACTAGCGACGTTCAGCGAGCCATTTGTACGTAACCCGGTATTTGCTTGTTTGAGGGATTATGAGGGCATGGTTTGGTGATAGAGATCTGGGGACTTTTTCGTTTTCGACAGAGAGGCGATGGTACTGGACCAATGAGAAGAAACAGGAGATCCCATAGAGAATTTTGGAAGCATCCCGACAATGAGGCCTTGTTGACTTTTGCCGAGACCAGCCATGGAAAGGAGGACCAGCACCAGTATGCCGACACCTGCTCGCAGCTTCGTGCAGTATCAAGCTCAACAACCTTGCCGGAAGACACGCCCGAGTGAGCAACACGCCAACAGAGATCAGTACGCTCAATCCAGAAAGTGAGAGTTCACGGAGACTTGCAGCAGGAGCCACACCAAGCAACCGTTGAAGGCCGGTTCAGCACTTTTTTGAGCCCACGAAGAGTTGAAAGCGAGGATTGTCCAGGAAGAGGAGAGCTATATGATAGGGCCAGAGGAAGAGGCTATTGAGAATAGGAACTTAGGGGTTCAGGAGAGTGAGAGAGAAACTGGGCAGAGACTGCGAGATTGCTGTGGCGCTAACCGAGACGAGGACGATTTGGACACTATGAGCGTGCGAGATCACTAAACAGTTGCAACGATCCTTCTTTTTGTCTATTTGCGCTCGACCTCGACCCCTTTTCCCGGACTGGAACCTTTCCACTGCCGTCGAACCTTCTGGAACTCTCTTTTGCAATCGACACATTCGCACCGCGCGGGAACACTACCATTCGGACACTAACAGCGATGTTTGACAGATATGAATGGCACGGACGACGTATCGAAGTTCGCGAGGTGGGCACAACTACGATTTTGTTGATTTCGATGATGGGGAGATGGACTAGGGAGAGAGATTCCTTGGGGCCGAATGGAGTGTGGGTGTTTGAAGATCAAAGATCCGAGACGAGGCGAGACGAGATGAAAGAGATACCATTAGACATACATGAATCTTGAGCGCTGTTGTTTGAGCTGGAGACCGTTTCCGACGACGATAACAACGAGTCCTCGCCGCACTAACTGAGCGGCTACTGACAAAAGGCGCCCAATGGGGAGGGGTGCAGAGAACATTGAGGGATCGACTATATGGGGTCACCGCAAGGATGTCGGGGAACCATTGAGGACGTTCGATTTGGTTATACTTACACTTCCTTCCATCCTACTTGTTGGCCCCACCCGACAACTCTTTTTTTCTTTTTTTCAGGACAAGTTTGGACCTCAGGCGGGATCTCGATCTTCGCACCGTGGAGACGATTACAGACCCAGCCATGGCGGATACTCAGAATCTCGCGAATCGCGTGACCGTGGTTATGGCTCGACGACCAGCAGTAGCCGTTATGACGATTATAGACGCGAGAGCAGCTCTGGCCGGTCACGCGATTACTATGACAGTGGCAGCCACGGCCACTCGTCCTCCTCCCGTAGCGGCCGTCATGACGATATGTCGATGGCCTCTGTTCCCTCTGGCCCAGCTGCCGGCTCTGGCGACCGCATCTATGTCCGCAACGTACGTCTTTCTCTTTTGTTTACTTGGAGATGTCGTCTACGTCGCCTTGCCCTTTTGCTCCTCCCTTGCTAACCACCATTGTTACCTTTATCTTTTACTTGAATCTCCCATACAGTTGCCTTTCACGACGACTAATCAGGATTTGAGGGACTTGTTCAGGATCTGTGGATCGATTCGGTCGGCAGATGTGTTGATGCAGGATGGTCGTGCCAAGGGATCTGGTGTTGTCCGGTTCGAGTCCTTTGAGTCTGCCGACAAGGCCGTTGGTAAGATATTCTAGCTTTTTCTTCATCTCGATGCAAGACGTGACGACATTCATTGATTTCACAGCTGCTAACGCGCACTTTTGTTGTTGCTTGATGTTGATAGCCAAGTTCAATGGATATAGCTATGGAGGCCGCTCGCTCGAGATTACCTACGACCGCTAAAAGGACGACATTGACAGTTTAGTTTTGGGATACAGGAAATACGTCTAACCAAAGTCGGTTTGCCAGCTCCGTCAAGGCAGAATAGCGGTATGAGGACTTGTACGAGCAAAGGACGCCGCCATGCAAGAGAAAGATGGTAGAAAATAGTAAAATGAAGCATAAACAAACAACACAAAGTACGAACAACAAAGGGTAGCTGCATTTCGGCATTTGCGGATAGAATGGGGCGATGTATAAACCATTATGCAACCCCTTTTTTTTTGCGCTTCGTTATTTTTGTATCTGCAATAGTCAATAATGATTGATGGGCAAGGATCGTCGACGCAGGAGTTTGATACTAGATCGTAGCGCTTTACACGATCGACGGACCGGACGGTTAGAAGCTCAACGTCAATGACTGGGGGAACTCAAGGCGAGAACATTGCCGACAAACGGTGGACTCAAGAGCGCTAATGACGCCTGGGCGCAGCGCAAGGGTAATAACAAGTGGATTTCATCTCTTTCACACACGTTCTACCTTTTGTTTTGATTATTTTTTTTGCAGGTTTATTTTTTAATTACTATCTACGGGGTTTTTTTTGTTGTGGTTTTTGTTATGGAAGGGTATTAAATGTTACTTATTCGCGATAAAAGTTATTGTTGTTGTTGGTCTGATAACCGACAGGGACCTGGATGGGCGGAGACATGTAACCGGGTTGATTATGGCGATGCGGGTTCTTGTGAGGGAGCGAAGGTGGAGGGCTCCTGGACCTACCCACCGGACTCGTTGGGCTCGTCGGACTTGATGGCATTCCTCCCATGGAAGGAGGCGCACGACCGATGCTCTCACGGGATGCTACCATGATCTGTTCGCTGCTGTCGTTTGCGTTATACAACAAGGACTGGGTCGTCGGGGGTTGGTTTTGGTACGACTGTTGGATCTGGTGGGAAGGATTTTGGGGTTGGACGCCGCGTGGGGATCTAGGGGTGTGGGTGTAGGAGGTTGCGGACATTGCGGGGGATCCGCGGGTTGCGATACCGATGATGGGGACTGAGTCTAATGGGTGGCTGTTGTTCCCGCCAGTGCGGTAGGAGGTTGTAGGGGATTGGGGAGGGGGGCTTGTTGACATTTTGGGACTGGGGAGGTAGATATTTTGTTGCTGCGAGGTAGGTGGGCTGTTGGAGTGGCTAGTGGTGTTGGTGAGGCGCGGGGTTCGGGGGACGGGGGAGGGTACGACGGGTTTCTCGGCGTAGGGTGTGTAGGTGTCGCGGTCGGAGGTGGAGGAGTTGAAGTATGCGCGTGTGGGACTCGTGAGGTTTCTGGAGGAGTACTTTGGTGGGTCGGTCACGATACCAACAATGGGGGCGGAGTTACCGGCGCGGGAGGAGAAGCTGACGTTTCGTTGGAGGTGCGAGGACGACGCGTGATGGAGGGATGTGGGGTGCTGCTGTTCTTGGAGCTCGTATTCCTTATCGAGGAGGTCGTCCATATCGTACCACTGCGAGTTGTTGCTGGTGAGGTTCCTAGTCGACAAGGATTGGCTATTGGTGCGGAAGACGCCTGCGGTAGGGCCACCACCTTGCATATCGGTGTGGAGGCCATGGTTGCTGCTCATCGACCTCGCCATGGGACCACCCTTTCTTGCAATGTCGCCGATAGAGCCGGAGTGGATGGATGGGTGGCCGTTGACCATTGTGGGAGAGTTGGATCCGTGGCCGTGGTTATCGGGTGACCGGGATCCACGAGAGGACGAACGAGATCCGTTCCCGCGCTTGCCACGTCGAAGGACGTTACTGAGCAAATACCCCCACTCCTCCCAGAACTCAGCCTTTGAAATAAACACCGCCGCCACGACAATACCAAGCAGCGCTAACAACGTCTCCGCCGCCGCAAACCAATGAATACTCGGCAAGTTGGGCCTAGCCGCATCCGCACAAAACGTCTGCATCTCATCTGCAGACTTGCCCATCTTGGCTTGCGCAAAAATACAGCCCATCCAAGTTCTCAACCACGGCGTAGTCTCATTCGTCTTTGCAAAGGAATGCGTATCGACGAAATAGAAGAGCCAGAAAACAGTAAGAGAAGCCATCACGCTTCCAACCATGAGGGCTGGACGCCATTGGCCCCGGAGGAGCCGTTTGGCTTGCATGGTGGTTGTGACTTTCATGCGAGCGTCGGATGAGAGTTGGGAGAGGCCTGTGTCGATCTTTGACGACATCACCGCCAGCTATGTTGTGTTCCACGAGAACAAGAGGGCGAAGAAGAAAAAAAAATGAGGGTAAGCGACGATGCCCTGCGCGTTACATTCGTATCGTATAACACGAAAAGAGAGAAGGCTAAAAGGACGTACGCGTATCATTTTGGCAACGGTGACGACGTGACAGATCATAGCCGGGTACATGTAAACAGCAATTGGGTAGAACAAATAAGTGTTCAAGTTTTCGGTGCCGACGAGACAGGAGAAGCCGATACCGGGGTACTCGGCCAAATTCTTGACCGCCACTGGAATCGCGAATACCAGTGGGAACACCCAGCAGAATGCCGTGAAGTATGCATAGTGCGCGTCTAGAACGTTGCAAAAGGAGAGGTAGGGTGGTGTGTGGGTTAGTGGAGGGAGATTGGAAGGGTGTGCATGCATGTGCATGTGTGGCGAGGTTTGGAGTGCGGAATTAGATTTTAGTCATCTAATTTGATTTTTGGACGTGCAACGTCGAGAGAGCTGGAGAGGCAGGGCAATCTCCAGGCTATGGGCAAAGGGAGATGAAATGGATCGTGTGTGCTATTGGTGGAGGAAGGGAACAAGAGTAGAAGGAGGATTCAAACTTACCGATCCAGTTGTTTCTCCAGACAGCCAACTAATTATAAGAGAAGAATCGACGATAACAAGAACGATCGATGGGTTAGAAAATGCTTATCGGGGTCTGAATAGAGCGAAGAGGATTCATATTCCATTGTCCACCACCACCACCATCATGCCACAAGCCAAAAAGACACCAGCGGGTGCACCAACTGATGTGAAAAAGAGCCAAGGTAGATGTAATGAACATCAGTCAGCACACAACCAAAAATGCATTGTTCGCTCGGACTTTGTTTTTTCTTCGTATCTCTCACTAGCGCGTTCCTTCGGTCTTGTTTTTGTTTTTCGTCTTTTCGTCTGAGTTGAAGAAAAGGGAACGAAGGTGCTCACAAAAAACCAAAAGATATCGAAGCTTCGAACGGTGCGAAAGGGAAAGATGAGAGATAAAGAAGAAAAATGGAAGAGCGGCGCAATCGATTGCACTTGTTCATACTCCAACCAAATTCTCACGTCCTTAATCTTCCACACCCTGTCTTTGTGTGAAAAGGTTGTGTGTGTGAATATGAGGACGATGAGAGAAAAAGATAAACACGCTGACACATTTGGAATACACGGAAATAAACAGTGGCAATCGAAGAAAAATGAACCCTCGTGCACCCGCCAACCAGCTCTTCTTCCAAAACCCAATCCCCAGCTCACTAAAAAGACGTTCGTTACTGTCAAACGCTCTTTTCTCTCTCGGCCACTCTGAGACCGCCTCCAAGCGCGAAAAAAGTGGATGAAGATGCAGGCATTGATGATGACGATGGATACAAGACGGGCATCGTGATCTCATAAATGGAAAAAATGAATGATACAAGATCTTGTTATCCGTTTAGCCTGTCCCTCCCTTTGTCCGATATCATTCCATATCATGTCGTGTTCATGATGATTTTGATAGACAGACCAGACAGGCACATCCCAACCCCACGCAACTGAGAGCCTTCTTTTCTCTCTTCTCTCTCTCTCTCATCTTGTGCCTTGTCCACCCGGTAGGAGATATGGACGAGGCAGGACAGCGTCATGTCTTGAAAAAATCAACAAGAGCTGTTTGTTGTTGTTGCTTTGCTTGCCAACAACCCAGACCCTCATCCTCAACATAAAGTAGAATGCCCCGAACACTCGCACACATACACACATACAATCAAAAATAATATTCCGAGAACAAAAAACAAAAAAAAAAGGCAAAAAAGAAATGAAATATTAAAGTCCAAATGGAATAATAAGCAAAAGGGGAGTGGCAATGGCAACTTACCAAGTGAAGCTTATAGATAAGCAACGAGCACCAGAGGGCACTGGTCTGAGTCAGGTAAATGATCAACACGCCCTGGACACCGCACAGTCTGTTGTTACTACCCGTCGACGGATCAACATCATTCGCACAGGCGTTCGAGTAACCTGGCATGACATCAAAGGCCGCATACCACAACGACAACGAGACCGTCAAGAACAAGACTGAGATATGGGGTTGAGATCTCTTGCCCGGAAGGACCAAGTAAGAGATCGCCAGAAAGGTACTAAATCCCAGTGCAGCCTGGCGAATAAAGTAAGCAGCCTTGAGGACATTGTCGACCTTGTGGGGCTCATAGAAGCTGTTGATTGCTGGGCAACGGACACAGCAGCCACCGACACAAGCGCGACCGTGGATGACAACACCAGGGTCTGGGTCGGGAACCATGATGGCAGGGCATTGAACTTGTTGACCCGGATTGAGTGTTACTGGTGGTGCCGTTGTAGGAGCAGGAGTAGGGAAATTAAAGATGGTGGTCGGCGTTGGTGTTGCGGTGGCATTTCCTGCAGCTCCTGATGGTGCTGGTTTTGTGGAAGTGGTGTCCTGAGACAGGGCGGGTGTCAAGACTACTGAAAGAGCCAACACGGTTCCAAGTAAGGCTTTTGCCAAACGCACCATTGTTATCGGTATGTGAGAAGGCGGTGAAAAGTGGGAATAAGAAGTGGTTCACACACCTGATCAGTATGAATTTTGGGCCGAAACAAATGAGACGAAGGTTGTGCTGTGGATGGATTGACCGTTCCGGAGCAGGGGGGGGGGGGGGGAACTTTAAATAAAGGAGTGACGAAAAAAATGAAAAGTAGCGTGAGGGAAGCTAACAACAGGAATGAAGGGAGGGTATCGAGTGAGATTCTGATTGTGAGTGAGGGTGGAGGATGAGAGGGTATAAGAAAGGTATGTACAGGAGTGTTGAAGAGAAGAAAGTGGACGTTATTAAGCGGGGGAGGTCATTGATACGTGGACGGTGGTAGCGGTGGATGAAGAGAGGATGAAGAGAGGATGTAAGATGAGGAGAATTGGGATACAAGAGAAAGTGAAGAGGATTATGAAGTAGAAGAAGGAAGAGGATGAGGGTGCGAGGAAGATTATGAAAAGACCGTCAAAAGGGGAAAGAAGCAGAAGAAAAAAGAAAAGGAGAGAATAATAATCAGATGAAAGTGAAGTATTTATGTGCCGCGGGTACTCTTCTCATGGAAGGTTCACTTTCTGTGAGGCACAGTCAACAAGACCTGGACCTCAGACCAAGAAGGACCAGACGGATTGGAACCATCACTACACAATTCAATCAGTCTTACTCAATGATGGCAGACTGCTGGTTACTGATGGATAAACGATGGTTCCCTTCCTTGGAGCGTCGATTAGAATCCACAAGGAAATGTGTTTGTAGCAACAGCCATACCACACAGGGTCTATCGGCTATTCAAGAAGAAAAGGCCATTCCAACAAGAGGCCATTGCTCGCCGACGTTTGTGCGTCACCTTGTTGCTGTTGTTAACAATGTCAATGTCAATAGGGTCGGTGTTGATCGTTGTTGTTGTCGGTAGCTTGTGGTTGTAAAGTTTAGTTTAGTCCATCCTCTCATTGTTTGTTTGTTTGTTCGCTTCACGTTCAATTCATGAGAGCAAACACCCCTATATGTGCCATGGACGGCCCAGTGTCTCTGTACATTGCAAGCCTACCTTTGCCATGGTGAGCCATCCCTTTCGTGTCTCCTTGTGGATGAATATTAGTTTGCACATGCCTTTCTCTTTTTGTCAACCTACCCAACGAGTCAGCCAGCCACACTTCATGCAATGCAACCTCAAATTGTTTTTCTTTGTGTTCTGTATTTGTTGTTTATTTTCGTGGGGCGAAAGAGAAGATTAACAAGAATATCCGTCCTCTCGTCTTCCTCGCGATAAACAGACAAGCACAATAGGTATTCCTCTCTCTTTCCTCCACTTCTTCCGACGCTTTGCATCAAACTTTGTCTTTCCCCCTCCACAGATATGGTTAATACTGTTCCCTCTCCTCTCTTTTTTCCACGCCAGTCGAGCGCCTAACTCATACTTCCAGCCATACAGATAAAACAGCGCATACAGAATTGTCATAGGACTTTTTTTTTTCAGTCAGAATGTCCTTGTGTCCTCAACCTTGTTTCCTCGTCCTTCCTCCCTTCCCGTAGAAACGAAACATATCACTCGTTCATATAAACAAAGCACCAACAACTTTGTTGGACAAGAATTGAAAGAAAAAAAACTCCACCAATCCTATCCTTCATTTTTCGCATTGTTCGCCTACACCTGTCATTCATCACCCACATCTTTTCATACCCCTTTTTCAGGCCTTGGTACAACATAATGTGGAGGAGGAAGGAGGGAGGGGAGAGAGGATGTGGCATGTAGCAAGGTAGGTACCGAGCCGTGCAAGAGTTCGTATTGATGGTGAATGGGGGATCGCAATGAATGGCACAGGAGACGTGGTACCAGTTGGAGAAATGAGTGTTTCTATACTATGCATGGGAACGGAGAAACTCTTAATGTCACTCGACGGTTCAACGGGCAACTGTTGGGATAAAAGAAGGGGCAAAGGGGGAGGAATAGGTGCGATGCAGGGGAGAGGGGAGTGGAGTATAGGGACAGAATAAAATGGTCATCGGACAGACAGACATACTCTTTTCTAACTAAAGCACTTCCCTCGGCTTTCTGCTGTGGGTATGATAGTCTTGAAAACTAACGATCCTAACAATTTGTCAGGGCGATCTGTTTCGGTGAATATTTTATTGGGAGGCCTCGTGGCGAGAGGAACCTGCACCAGTCAGGTAAGCTAAAGAGTAACGACTTGTGCTGGCGAGTGGAGTAAGAGAGCGAAAGGGATGGGGGAGGTTGAGAAAGCGCTAATTCTCCACAAGGCTGGCTTACTTTCTGACCGAGCAAAATTATTCTGACACCTCTCCGAACCAATCGACGAGGTTGCATTATTTTCTGCTCGTTGTTTTGTTTGTTAACGGTTGGTGTTAGAGATAGGAGGAAGAGAGAGAAGGAGGGACGATGAAGGGGAGGGAGGGACGATGAAGGGGAAGCACGACGAAGGGGAGGGACGACGAAGGGGAGGGACGATGAAGGGGAGGGACGACGAAGGGACGACGAAGGGACGACGAAGGGGAGGGATGTGCCGAACGAAAGCCTGGTGTTGATACACAACCATACACCAAACGCACACGACACGACACGACACGACACGACACGACACGAAATGCTTTTACGCCAACGCTCATCATTCTTTCGTCCACCCGCTCGTCCTCAATGCGCACGCGGCAACAACAAGCCCCACGCTCTAACCAACCATGGTACCTTCTGCCCCTATCTTTTATATTGCTCACCAGTCTAGTCTGACCGTTTTTCTACCTCCGTCTTTACCTTTGTCGTTGTCTCTAGCCCCTCTGGGTTCTGAGAGCCGGATCAAAGGGGTATGAGGCATGGCCTTTTATGTGGACTCTGTTCGGATATACACAATTAAGAATAGAACCACCAACCGTCCCCACAAGGGGTTGTGGGTGACAAAGAGCGTTTGTTTCCTGTTGTCGTCGTAAATGAACCCATGCAAGAGAGTAGAGAGCTTGGCAGACAGACAAACAGAGTCGGAGGGGGTATGATGGAGGCGTGCATGCTTGGTCCGATGGTGAGCAATTATTTCTTGCATGATGCCAGAAAGAGAGTCAGTCGGCTAGAGTAGCAAAGGAATAGGTCACTTTGTTCCAGACTGGTTGCTGTGTCTACTGCCCATCTCTCCTCTCACTTTCTTTCTTTCGCTCTTCTTGCTCATTGACGCAACCATCATGGTACCCTTTCTATTCTCCCTAAGCAGAAATGCGGGATGGTGACCTCCAATGCCAACAGAGAAGGAGGAGTAAAACCGGCACGCTTGTTTCTTTGCAGGCTTATTCCACAGGCTACCCCGAGCGCGATTATTTTTTTTGATCGGTAGGTTATGTCGAACCAGTCAGGGCTTCCTTCCCTGTTCTCGCTGCACATCTCATTATCAACACACAACAAAACATGGAGGGAAAAATAAAACAGTTGAAAAAAGCTCACCCTCTTTACATTTTTTATAGTTGTTCTTTTTTTTTCTTTGTTATCAGTGCGGGAGTATGCCATGTACCCTCGGTCTGGTCATCAAGTCCAGAGGTACAGCTCTTTCCTCTATTACCCTCCTGATTGAACACAAAGTTGTTGTTTTGGTTGTTATTTTCATGTGCTTATTGGAAGAGGACAGGGAAGGAACTTTTGTAACGGTAGTCGGAATGAGAAAGAAGAAAGCGACCAGGCGTGAAGCAAGAGGAGCCCCACTGATGAATAACGGACGAGATGTTATTGTTTTGTTTTTTTTCCTGGCGGTTGACAAAAGCGACGATATGGGGTTTTTTTCTCAGCCTAGGCCCGAACCTTGACGGGCGAAAACAATGAATTGTTTGAGGAAGGAAGAACGACAGCGCTAAAGAGAGTTTCAAGGATTATGATTTCCATCCAACGTTATATGTGGGTTCATGGGTCATTGAAGTTTTATGGTTATTGCAGAGGCACGGACCAGGTCGGCTCCTTCACATCTATTCAAGAGAAGTAGAAGTTACCCAGATTCATACAATGCAAAAACCGGGCCCTTGCCTCGACTCTCTGCTTCTCCGACACAACTCTCTGCTTCTCCGACACAACTCACATCACATTCATAACGGTGTCCTAAAAGAGATATGCGCCAATGAACCACTTAAACAGAACAGCATCCCTTGAAATATAATGGGGCGACTCCGCCATTCCTACACGACAATCATCGCTGATTCCGTTTACGTCAATTCCGGCTTAGTTACGAAATGATCGAGAAACAACTACCGGAAGGTGTGACATTCGATTGTCTTTCCTCCACCTTTTACATCTATTTTGGCATGGATGCAACAGGCATATAACAGCCGATACTAACGCTGTTTTGCTGGTTCAGTCCAACGTGATTCCATCGTATTATTGCAAATGGTTGCCGTACCTGCATCAGGTATTCGCTACCTTTTTCTGTCTCTAACTTTCTCTTATATTTCTCTCTTGGTTCTTCGCGCCTTTTCCATCGTAATTCACCAATGCTCCTTTGTCCCCTCTCGCTTCTCTCGTCTCAAGTAGTCCTTTCTTTTCTCTCGTTATACCCCTCCGCTTGTTGTTATCTCTTTCCCCCACCCATTGCTCCTTACCATATCCCCTCAATTGGCACCCAAAATAGGGCATGTTGTCTTGAAAGACAAACACTCATAGTTTTGACATATGGGCCATGTTTGAGGATCAAGAAGAACCTTCGCCACTCTGCTCTAGCTCAGGCATCGACAAGGTTTTTTTGTTTTGCTTTTTGAAACATCCGCACTCACCCCCTCTTCAGCTATGGCGTCTCTAGCAGGCAATTGCAAACAAAAGCGAAAAGAGGAGAAAAAGGAAGAGAAAACAAGCATTAAGACAGTGTTCCCACTGAGAACGAAGAACGAAAGGACTGTCGGACAAGGAGCTTATTATGTGGGTCGCCCCACTCTTTGATTGTCTCCCTCGGTCGGTTACTCTTCTTCCTATATTCTCGTTTCTTGCCTCTCCCTTTCTCTTAACCATTGCACTTTCTTTTTCCCGCCCTTTTTTTTATCTCCCTTTCATCTCATCTTACCTTAAATTTATCGTCAGCTAGCACATCGAATAACCACCATCATCGGACAAAAGCATTCGCTACCCCGATCATACGCTTCATTTTGTTCCCCTCACCTTCCACTCTCTACCTCCCACACACAACCCCCCTCACCTTGTCCCACACAGAAACACCAGCAAAATAATGCACAAATACAGGTCAAAGAAACCAGCATCATTCTTGGGCTGCTTCCAAGAACGCCTGATCTAGCAGGTCAAGCACCCCTCACCATCTTGACCATCGACTCTTGACTCAATCAATGCTCCATCGGTACTTGGACCTATGCAGCTATTAGAATGGGACTATCTGCACCTGAGGCGATCGCTAGTAAGCATCCATCTCCGTCTATGATTGTACATATCAAGGAGGTTCCATATTTTGGTTGCATAAGGTGGATGAGCAAATTGTGCTAACGGATCGAAAATACAAACTCTTGAGCGACAATCGCAATTAGCATGCAGTATGGTGCGGTAACGTCAACGTCATGTTCTTCAGAATGCCAACAAGGGAATGGACAATGTGGTGGACCAGTCGTTGGAATCTCCGGACACCTCCCAGAAGTCAACCAAGTCATTTGGTACCTCTCAGGTTGACGACCATCAGGACAACCCTTTACCAAATGCGCAGACTATGGACCTTCTTCCTGGAGAAAGTCACCAAACCTGCTGTTAAGACTGCATTGCCAGGCCTTCAGGGCCGCATTGAAAGGGCTGACCAATTGCTCTACTGCAACGTATTGCTTCTGCAGGATTCGGTCGCTTCTTTGTCATCTGTTACAGGAGAAATGAAGGCGAATGATGATCTCGCCAATGCTCCCCAGGCTCTCACTCTCGACAAGGGTGAACAAAAGTGACTGACAGAGGTCAAGGGGGACCCTATGAGGTAGGAGCATATGCAATGCTTCGTTACCAAGATGGTCGAGTTGTTCATCGCGAAAACTACCAAAAACTCGACCAAGGTCGCCGAGACTGTCACCCTTGGACCTGTTTTGCAGAGAGAGCCCTACCGCAAGCTGCTCTCTGGGTTCATCCGTGACTTTGACGAGGTTCGCATTCTGGACGTTAACCTGCTCCAAGGTCTTGTCCAGCTGGTCCAGTCTGCCTCGCCTGGGTTTCTCATTTCTGACAACTTGGTTAAGGTCCTCAGCGTCCTCAGGACCCATTTGGAGGGCACGCACCAGCACTCGTCTGAGAACCTTTGCCACCTCACTTTAGCTAAGGAGGAGCATTGAGTCGACAGTGTGGCGCGGTTCGAAACTGACCGGGGAGTGGTTCCTGAGTCGCGCCAGGCGTGCATAGACATGTCACTGGATGGGGGCTTGGTGTTGCTCCGGTGTTGGTGTTTCGTCGCTAGGGATCCCTTTCTCCTCTTCCTTCGGTATGAACCTGCCGCGGCCTAGTTGAATCCGATCCGAAATCCGCATATGCTCCCGAGGTCTCATTTCGAGACGAGACCTGGATCTCAATGTCCGACTTATTGATCCTCAAACAAGTCCACCCAGGTCAATCAATAATATCCTCCGCTAGTTCGAAATAACCCTTGCCAAGACACTCCTTCCACCGCGAGCACGTCGCAAAGAACCGACACATCTCTATCGAGCAATGCTTCTCGAACGAGAACCGTACGTAGACAAGGTTCCCTCCGCATGTCCTTGTCATCGCGTCCAGGACGTTTTTGACCCCGATCCTCCCGAGCTCCAATCTGATGAGGTGGGTAGCCATGAGATTAAGCGGTTTATTCCGACATGATCGCTGCTGGGAAAGATGAAGGTCGTAAGAGAGTACGACTCAGCATCCTCCTCCTCCCTATCAACCTCAGTCTCAGCCCTGGAAAAAGAAGATGACGCCGCCGCCGTCAATGGTGCTGTTGTTGTAGCCGCGTCCGAACTCGCTGTCTTCCTCAAGTCGCCCCAGCACGGGAAAAATATCCATCGCCTTGCGGCACGTCTCCAACGCCACATCAAGCTCTAGTTACCCTTGCCAAATCAAGATACTTCAGCACCTCTCGCAACCCCTGGAATCGATATCCTCTGCAGCGCCGTATGCTCCATGGTCTCTAAATACTCCCCAATAATCCTCATTGACGTAAACCCATTGCCAAAGGTTCCAACGCTTCAGCACCAACATAACATCCATGCCACTTGAGGTGTATCATTCCTGGACGCGCCAGTCCTTTAAGGAACTACAGAGACCGGAGATTGCGATGAGGCGTCGCCGACAAGAGTGCCTGCGGATCGAAATCCTTAATACTGACGGAATGAACAAACGACTCCAGGTTTCGCAAACAACCTCGAGAGGTTACAAATCAAAAGGTTTTCAACCGCGGATTCTGCCATTCCGATATCCAAATGACGAATACACGCCATCCTCGACAGCACATTCCTCAAAATGGCCTCACTTGTCCGCGCCAAATGACAACTCTCCTTCCTCCTCGATCCACGAATAGGCCATTCTGAAGAACATGGGCGGTGAGAGCGCCGCCTCGGTCTGGAAGTCAAGTCGTGGTAAGTTGCCCCGATTAACCAGAACCAAAACGCTACTTGGCGCCGGTCAGCTCCACAGAACTTGGATCCTATATTCTCGAGATATGAGCCAAAGAGCAGGGTTTCCAGCCGATGGATCTTGATCGGAGAGGGCGTCGGGTACATGATCAACAGCGAATGAAACCCGGTAAAGTTTGCGTCGAAGAAGAGGGCGTTCAAGACGACGACGGCTTTTGACAATGACAAGTTCCCGAATCCAATGCTGGTACTCCAAGAGGATACCTGGTAGCTCCCTACTGCCAGTGTCAATGGCAGCAATAGTGCGAGCGTGAGTCCGATCCTTGATGGGAGTGCTGGCACAAGTTGGAGGACGATCCGCACTAATCATAGCCCTATTCTTATCTCCAGCTCAACCTCCAATACCACTCCCACTTCTTCTCCCGGTACATACTACTCAAACGCCCTCATACACTCTACCAGTTCTCCATCCACTCGTATCTCTCCCATCTCGCCCACACTGAACCATTCAACGTCCTTCTCCCCAATCTCCAGAGGCGCCACATCTCCCCCCAATCCCTCTCGCCAACTCAGTTGCATTTGAATAGCCCGAGGGTCCAACAGAGTCCTTGACTAGGATTTGTGACGAGTTCTGTTCAACAGCAGCTACAGCACGTCATAGATTATCCTCCATGGCGCATCACCCTCATCCCTCCTAGATGACTAGATAAAACATTCCCCTTCCTTGATTACAAAATATACCCCGCAGAGGAACCCCCAAAAAAAAAGACGTTGTGCACACTGCATTTATTTATTGCATTTTTTTTCTGTTAAACTATTGAACGGATATAAGGGGGGGTTGACGCCAAGACAGCGACGATGATTCTTTTCCCCGGCTAAAAAAAAAAAAAAAGTCGAATCGTGATATTATTTTTAAAGCTTCCACTGCTTCTCACGTTTACGGATAAAGTTGGCGAGGTACAAGACGCCTGCCATGGTCTCTTCAGAGGATGGCAAGATCTCGTCCTCGGGTAACATGAACCCATACCGTCCTGTGTCGCGCAGCTCGACTCCGTACGAGTACTTGACCTTTCCTACCGCGTACGTCCTATTTTTGTCATAGTTGGAAGCGAGATAGATAAACGTTAGGCAAGGAACACATGATTGTAATGATGAACACCCAACAGGAACATAAACACCCCCGAACCAGGATATATAAAAAAAAGCAAAAGCTGAGCAAAAAAAAACCTACCAGTCAATAGACCCGCCAGCTGCCTGATAAATGACATTACAAATAGACCCCACTGAAAACTTCTTCCCATGGACATCATGCAGCGCCTTGGCAGCACCCATACCAGCCTCCGTCAGATCTTCATCATCCTTGGGGATCTTTTTGCAATCGCCTCCAAAGGGCGACATCCAGAGTTGAGAGTATGCATGGAAGTCGACGTAGGCGACGACGTTTTTGCGACGGAGGATGAAATCAGACATCATTTTAGATTCGAGGGCTGCGAAGGCTTCGGGGCCATGGTAACCTTCGTTGCAGGGGTTTGCGGAGCTCCCGTCTCCGCCGAACAAGTATCCCCAGTTCCTGTTTGGATCCTGTTTTATGTATTTTTTGTTGAAGGGTAAGAAAATAAGGAGTGTCAGGTAAAGGAAGAAGGCAACTCTCAAAAAAAAAAGGCAGTGTCAGGACACCCTAGAATCAAAAGTGAAACGTAAGCATTGACCCGCCCGAAATAAAGCAAAAAAATAAAAATATTCTTACGATGCCGGGGCAGAATGGGATGGAGGTGGATTGACGGTTCTTTCGCCACATGCGGTTGTGCTCCCAGGTGTAGACATATCCGTCAGCGTTGAGGACAGGGACAATGACAAACTCGAATTGGTCAAGGAGGCGGGTAATCTTCTTGTTATGGCGGTAGCCTAGGATGAGTTCCTTTGCCATGTATGATACCACCGCTGGACCAATCCATTCTATTGAAAGGGGTGAATAAGAAAAGGAGGAAAAGAGGATTAGATTCATGTCCATACACGCCCTCTTCGGTCCCCTGTTCCGCTCCCTCTTGTCCATCCCGTCTGTCAAAAATGAATCTCGACAGATCGTTATCGATCGCTCTTGCATTTTTTTCAGCGCACGAGGGTGTCGGGGTGAGAAATGGCCTCTTTCGCCTACTGTGCGATATTGCGTGCACACGGATGCGCAATAATGACGCCGAAACAGAACAAGAACTGCGGGTGGCGGCGTTACCTCTGGCATGTTGGCCTGCATGGAGGATAATGGCCTTGGGGTGCTTCTTGGGCTTCCTGGGCTTCTTGGACTTGTGGATGAACCGTCTGGGGGCGGGGTTGAAGAGCCACGACCACCAGGACGACACAATGTCGCCATCCTTCTCGCTCATTACTGGGATCATCTTTGATCCATCCATGTCGACAATATCCTGCTCCTCATCGTCGTCTCCTTCGTAATCCTCATCATCGTCAAAGAACCAGCTCTTGGACTTCTTTTTCTTCTTATCCTTCTTCTTGAACCCATGGATAGACATTCCAAAGATCTCCCGGCCTTCAAAGGTCTTTCCGATCGAGACTCGCTTGACAAGGTCAGGGTATCGTTGGACCATCGTCTCGGTGAAATTGTTAAGTGTCGCAAAATCATGGTACTGCAGCCAGAACGAGTCGTCGGTGAAGTTCCAGTTCTGGTTGGGTGTGGATGATTGCTGAAGAGTGAGAGCGGGAGATTGCGAGGGGATGAGGTCCTGGAGGTCGGGGATCATGACGGTGGAGGGGATAGTGTCGGTGACAGCCTTGATGGAGTGGGAGGACATCTTGGAGGCGGGGACTCGAAGATCCACGGTGCCGATCCTCAAGTTTGACCACAGGTCCAAGTTCTCTTTCTATCATTGGACATGGTTTCGGGTATCAGTGTTGGTGTGATTTGGTCGTGTGGGTGGTTTTGCGTCTTGTAAACAAAGGGTGTGCACACGAGGGTGAGGAGAGAATGCAATTGGATTGGAGGGAGCACAAGTGAACAACAGACTTAGAAAGAACCGGTCCAAAAGAAGAGAGCAAACACGCACATACACACAAACAAACACGAGGATATGAATTGTCCCGTTTCAGGGATCAGGGTCACCCATCCCATAAAATATCTCTCACGCGAGTGTGTATTTTGTACGCGCGCATTAAAATGAATCCAAACGGTCAAGGAAAGAAGACGAGTAGGTTGATACGAGAGATGGAATGCAAGAGAGCCGGAAAGCAAGGGAGGGGGGAGCTGGAGGAAAGGCACAGAGTAAGAATGCTTACCTCGACGGTAGCTTGGAGTAGCTTGAGCTGGGCGAGGTTGGAGACATCGAAACGAAGGACTTGTTCGCCGTCGAATCGTGCATATGTGTGGATGGTTTCATCATTGTTATTGTGGATATTGTGGTGGCCATGGTACGCAGGAGTGAAAGTATGTTGTTGCTGTTGGAGGGTATCGATGGGTTGAGGGTATGCGATACAGAGGACGGCGCAGGACAGGGCCACGGTGGCAGTCGCCCAAGTTTGACGCATCGCGAGAGTTGTTTTCGCTTTGTTTGAGCTTGTTTGTTGGTTTGTTCACGGGAACTGTGTGAGAGTGAGGAAACAGAGGGGAAAAAAAGAAGAGATGGAAAGAAAAAAAGAAAGAAAGAAAGAAAGAAAGAAAAGAAGGAAGATGGGGATTGAAAAGGATAAGAGAGCAACTGAAGAGGCGGAAATGAAAAGCAATGGAGATGCACGGTTCTCTTTTGGGTCTCGCTTTTTTTTTTTTTTTTTAGAATGGTTGAGATGCAGTACATGCGATCATTAGTAGGAGATTCGTAATTGAATGCGCCCTCTTTAATTGACAACATACACGTCACCCTCCTGGCGGGGCACATACGCCAGGCACGTCTGAGAAAAGACACGTCCGCACAGAGGGGAAGGCAGACAAGAGGAAAAGACAAAGGAGTACGCGCATTCATTCAACTTTTCTACTTTCTTTTTTTTCATTCCCTGCTTCTTTCTCTTCAACACCCATCTATAACAACTACTTCAACAACCAACAGCAAACAAGTCAAGCTCGATACCCGCAGGAGTCAACAACCCACAACCACAAAGACAGACACAGACAGACACATACATACAATGGAGATTGACTCAGACATCCCTCAGTTCCTTGCTTCCCAGAAGCAGCAGGCTCCCGCCTCCCTTCAGAACTACTACAACACCTTCGAGGACCTCTACGAGCGCAAGTACGTCCCTTGACTCTCTCCTCTTTGTTATCGTCAATCAAAGGCGCTCTTTTCCTTCAAGGATTATGTAGAAAAGGACAGACGACAGTCAGGGACACGCGTTTCTTACAACCAGAAGCTAACCTGGCAACATCCTCCACTCTCATGAAATAGGTTGTGGCATCAGTTGACATTGGCGGTGCAGGAGTTTGTATCAAAGCCAGAGTCAGGGCCTCTCCAGGTGGGCCTCTACAACAACTTTATCTCGGATTGGGAGGCAAAGATGAGCCAGCAGAAGCTGGTGTCCTTGGGTGTCTCTGCCGCCAAGCAGATCCGAGGTAACTATGGGCGTGCCTACACTTCATCGTTTACTTACGGAAACGGTCAGATCAACTGCAGTAATCACCTTCTCATTGATGCCCAACCTAACAATGGTTTCTTTCCTCATTATTGTATACGTAATTAGAACATAAGGAAGCGAGAGAGTTTTTGAAGACACTGACGGAAAAGGTCAACAAGGACGAGACGAGGGAGGCGTATGTGTTGGCAAAGATGGAGACGACTCATTTCGGACTGTTGTTGGGCGATCTGGACACGACCAAGAAGGATTTGGAGGAGTGTGGAAAGTACCTCGAAGGCTTTGATTCCGTCGACCCTCAGATCAACGCCAGTTTCCTCCGCGTCTCTGCCGACTACTACAAGGTACCTTAGCATTTCATTTTTTGCATATCAGGAAAGCTGTTTTGTAATTGAAGTGAATCAACTAACGCCGGTTGTACTTTATTCATTGGTGTGGGTGTGCAGATCAAGGCAGACTATGCCAAGTACTACAAGAACGCGTTGTTGTACTTGGCCTGTGTCAACATTGATGACCTCTCTACTACCGAGAAGGCCAGCCGTGCCAACGACCTTGCCCTCTCAGCACTTCTCGGTGACTCTATCTATAACTTCGGCGAGCTCGTAAGTATTTTGGGGGTCTGACAGAATGTTTTTATTCGCAACGTTGTCAAGGATGCTGAATTGAACAGAGAACACTAACATGTTTATGGAATATCTTCGTCAATGATAGTTGATGCATCCTATCTTGGAGTCGCTGGTTGGAACGGAACGTGAGTGGTTGAAGAACTTGCTCTTTGCTTTTAACAGTGGCGACATTGGAAAGTTCGAGGCCCTCGCACCTCACTTTGCCCAAGAGGTAAGAACCCGTTTCGGATTGTTGATATCGTTCATGTCTATGTGTGGTTCATGTTACTCAAATACTAAACTGTGCATTATTTACAAATACATGATTGATCTAATAGACCATTTTGCAGTCGAACATCACGGCGTTGCGTCAAAAGATTTGCTTGATGTCGTTGACAGAGACGGTGTTCAAGCGCAATTCTGACAACCGGTCGATCCCCTTTGGAACGATCTCATCCGAGACCAAGTTGCCATTGGAGGAGGTCGAGATTCTGGTGATGAAGGCGCTTTCGTTGGGATTGATCAAGGGGTCGATTGACCAGGTGGACGCCGTTGTCCGTGTACACTGGGTGCAGCCCCGTGTCCTTGACAGGAATCAGATCAAGGGCATGCAGGAGCGTCTTGTCGCCTGGAATGAGAACGTGAGGAAGACTGCCCTTACCATGGAGGCCGAGGCCGTTGATGTCTACGCTTAGACGTATCATTGTGGCGATGAGGAGTGATTCTAGGTTATAGATGACGCGCTCGGAAAAAAAATACAATAAGAAACAATTTCCTTTGAAAAACGAAATACAACCACTTTCGATTGCCATGGGAACTTTTTTTTGTGTCTTGCTTGAATGTTAATTTGAGGCGTCAAAAAGGTACGAGTCAGCACCACCCTCCGCGGAGATATCAACAAGAACACTTTGCGCCTTTCAAAACAATGGTTGACGCTAGAACCTTTTCTATTGTCATACATGATCGGTGGACATTTGGTGTGCTAGTTCTCAATTGAAGCGAGACAGTCATAGATGTGCTGGTACATGACTTCATTAATCGGCCGAACGGTTTTTGAAGGTCTTTTGTGAGAATTGAGAATGACCCAAGAGATAAAGCCAATTGAAGACCAATGCCAAGTAGGTTGACAGTCGTAAAGGGGACGATAGCGTGCTAGGCTTAATAAAGGCTGCCCAGTTGATACAATTGGAGAGAAAGATGATGGGATGTTGAAGAAGTGTCTGGCGGGCGTGTTCATGGGTCATGCCCTGTCTGTCAATTGGGCGCTTCCCTTCCCTTCCCTCCTTTTTTTTTTCTTTTTCTTATTTCTAATTTTGACTTTTTGACGAACAATGTCAGGCGCGTTTTTTTTTGTTTTTTTTTTCACAGATAAGTTTAGATTGAACCGTTGAAGAGACGAGAACAAGTCAAGGATGAGACGAGATGTAGTGTGTGTGTGTATGTATGTGGGTGTAGGTGAAAAAGGGTATTCTTGTCTTATTGTCGCATGTTTCACTAACAATCTATGACGCTGCCTGTCCGTCAGTTTGTCCACTGTTGTTGTATTTGAGGACCTTTTCGTCTTTGTGCAACAGCCCATTGAAAACTCAAAAGGCTACTATTACTCATTCTGGATGGGTCAAAATTGTTCAGGGCAATCAAGGCATGATCTCCTACCCAAGGCTCAGGGATCCCAACACAATGCAAAACGCACCACCTCTTACCCCTCCATTTAGTTGATGATGGGATCGAAGTGGATATTCTGCCTCCTCGGGCCTCTCTGTCTTCACTCGTGTTAGACTATTACGATGAATGAATGAGCGTCGTTTAGGCTGAGAGCAATTACGGATCGAAACAAGTGCTAATTCATCATTTCAGCAAACAAAAAGTATATATGAAGCGGCTGCAGTTGGGAGGGAGGTGGTGCAGGCGGACAAATTCGTTGGATGGGAAATAAAAAAAAAAAAAAAAAAAGTACAAGGTGCAGTTCAGGGCTGAACTTTGTTCCTTGTGTGCAGGGAAGGATGGGGCGATGGCGAGTGAATGATGTTTGGAGACACCTTTGGAGCGTGATCGAACAATTCATTTCTTTTTAGTTTTAGGCGGGATGAATAGATTAAGGAAGGAGTTGTATGTGTGTACTATACTGTAATTGAAAGGATGTCTTGAAGGATACAAGGGTTGGAGAGATAAAGTCGAAAATTGTGGTAGACGGTCCAAGTGCTATGAAGACGAGAGATGGATGAATGTAAGTTGCTCGTTGATGTTTGAGAGTAGGTTAAGGTACCGGGCCTAGAAAGATCAAATCCCCAGGCCCAGGCTGAGAGATAGAGGGAGGTGTGAGGCTGAAGGTACAGCCACTGACTGGTGAGAGAAGGAGGGACATCGTCCTATCTCTGCAAGAAGAGGCAAGAAGGCTAGAGCAGTAAGGATGAAGAGGTGGAGCTGGGCTGTGCGTATGCCCAGCCCCTTGTAGGAACAAGGAAGAAAGAAAGAACGGACATGTTTCGATTTGGTGATATTGGTATGTAACTGTTGTTTTCTCGAGAGAGAGAGAGAGAGAGAGAGAGATGAACATATCGCTTGTGTGTTGGATATGAGATGCGTGAATGCAATTCGTGTTGCATGTTGCCTGAGCCTGAGAGAAGTGTGTCGATCTGAACAGCTTGTTTGTTTGTTTTGTTCGTTTGTGTTTGTTTGTTCGTGTTTGTTTGTTTGTTGTGCACAAGAGGCGTGTCTGGCGAGGGAAGGACACGGCGTCTGAGTGTGTGCTCTTCTCTGCTGCTCTGTGGATATCATTTTTTGCGCTCTTTTTTTTTTTTTTCTAGTCGTTCATTTCTCTGAGAGTCTGCTGCTCTTTTAACCTCTTTTCTTTTCTTTTCTTTCTTCGCACTGCTTCTCTTCTCTCTTCTTCTCTTCTCTTCTCATCACTCTCCTCTCTTCCTCCTCCATTCTTCTTCTTCATCACACTCCCTTTTACCTTCCCCTCCTTCGCCACTACTCCTCGTCCTTCATTCTCCTCTCTACCCTCATCCTCTGCTCTCTTCCTTCCTTCCGACATCACACCCCAATCCCGTGCATTCATTCACACACACGTACACTCATACACTCTCTCTCTCCTTTAATCTCCTCGGGGTCTTTATTCTTGTACAGTGGTTTCCTCTCTCTCCTTGTTTACGCCCACTACAGCCTCCATTTCATTTCAATTCACACTCTTACGCCTCCTTACACCCTTTCATTGTCCAGCTCACTTACATCGCATACAACAGGTAACAACAACCACATCAACACAAACAAAGCAATTGTTTTTGCTTTTGCCACCATATTTTTTCCTTTCCGACTTCATATGTAAGCAAGGCGAGAATATTCGAAAGAATAGAACGCTGCCTTTGACAACAACAACAGCAATAAGGGTACATCGTGGGAGTAGCAAGCGAAGAAGGGTGTGTTTGTGTGTGTTGTATGAGAGCGCGTGTAGGGTAGTAATAAGGCTACTTCTACTAGGCAACAAGAAAAGAACACGCTAGAACGTTAGCCTTATTATTCATTGCACTCTCTACCTTTTGCTTGCACCCAACTTTTTGAAATGCGGAATATTATTTTCCGGTCTCTCTTCTTCTTGTTCTCTGCCCTAGTTCGTGTTTTGGTTGTTTCATCTCTTCTCTCAATGGCGACAAAAGGATACAGAAGACAGAAACCCCTTTTCACTCACACAATGTCCGCCTTTGTTCCTCTCCTTCTTCGTTCTGGTACCCTGGTAGCTGGTGCTTTTTGAAAAAGAAGGGTCACTCACCCTTGGCATATGATGATGCACGATACCAGGGTCACCCACATCTAATAATTCACCCATCTCCATTTCTACAAATTGCATGCCCAATGCCCAATGGTTCCCAACTAACCCTCTTTTTAATTTTTTTTCTTTCTCTTCCTCCTTGTCTATTTTTTCTGCTCACTCATTCACTCCTTCCTCCTCCTTTTATCCGCTCCATTCTTTTCTTAATCGCTCCCTTCTCCTCTCCCCTTCCTTCCTTCACTTCCCTCCTTCGTTCTGTCGTCCCTCCTTCAACTCTCTCGTTCAATTATCTCCTTTCACCCGTTCTCTTATCCTACCCTCTTCCTTCCCCTCTCGACCTTCCTTTATTCTTGACTTCACACTTTCTTTCTCCTCCAACTCTCGCCCCTTTCGCCTCTTCTCCTTCAACATTACCACCTGCATCCGCCCAACTACTCCTCTATTCACTCTTCCCTCTGTACAGAATTAACAGCCCCTAATGGCCGACTACACAACACCCCCTTCAAGTCAGGGTCAGCCAGCCAGGTCAAACCCACTTGCACCCGTCGCCTACACTCCCCAGAGCACATACGTCCCTTCACCGAAGAACGAAAGGAACAAGTCCATCCACCACCCAAACCCCAGCAACAACAGCCCTTACCGCTACAGCACCAGCAGCAACCTGTCGCATTCCAATACCGCCCTGGACGAGCCAAGTCCTTCAGCTCAGTACCCCCCCTCCCCACTTCAATATCAGCATTCATCCCAGCACCAGGCAGACCACCACCCTTCTCCTCTCCAGCACCACCCTTCATACCAGCAGCAGCATCAACAACATCAGTATCAGCCGCAGCAGCATGGATTCTCCAGGCGTCCTTCTGATGCACAGTCTATCCTAAGCAGCAATGGTTCGGTCAGAGAATCGCCCTCCCAGCGTATCTTGGCGCAGCAGCAACAACAGCAGCAACACATCAAGCTTGCACAAGTTAACGAGCACGAGGCCAGTGAACCCCGGCAGTCGTTCCAGTTCAATATCAGGAGCCAGGATGGCTCAATGGCAGATATCCAGCAAGATGTCTCTAGTCTCAATATCTCCTCGCCTCCTCGATCGCGGCCTCATGACAACGTCAACAACTCAACCTCTCAGCAGCTTCCAACAAACGCCTTCAACCCCCTTCAAAGCTCACAGAAACCGCATCAGAACTACTCGTCCCATGAGCAGCAGCAACAGCAGCAGCAGCAACATTATCAGCATCACTCCCACCCATACAATGAAAGTCATGCCTATCCTCAGCCGTCGCCTACTCCCAGTACTGGTAGTAAGCTGTACAGGACCTCCACAGGATCTTCCACCACCCACACTTCTTGGAGTCAACCCTCGTCCCCCGGATTTCCGCCTCCATCGTTCAATGGACAGCTCCAGGAGTCGGTCGAGTCTGGCGAGCCCGTTTATATCTCGGAAGCTGCCCGGCTCCTGCTCGACTTCAATCCCAGTATTCTCTCAACTATTGCCGTCGCTTTCCGGGAAAAGATGTTGCAGAACGAGTCCAAGAGGCTCGAGTCTGTCAACTATGACCTCGAGTTCCCTTGTACCTTCACAGGCAAAGAGACGGTGGTATGTTTTCGGAAGGAAAAAAAAACCAAGCAGAGCGCACAATACTTTTGTCGGTTTGTTTACTTTTGCCGCTTCTGAGTTTCCTTTTTGTCGACCATCTGGACTAACGCCGGGCCATTGTTCTTTTCGCATAATTTTCTGTAGGATGTGATCGTCGAACTGACCAAGGTCGAGGACAGAAGACATGCGCTGGCGATCGGTCGGTCACTGGAAGAACAACAGCTATTCTTTGGCGGTGGAACCCTCTACGACTCCAACAACGACTTGTACTTTTTCACCGAAAACACACTTGCCTACATCCCTGGCAAGTCAGAGTTCCCAGCGGCCCCTATTGGAGTGTTCCCTCATAGCAGCCGGTGCTACTCTTACGACTGTCAGCCTGGTAGACCTCCCTGTTACTCGTATCTTTGTCCCAACCGCCAAAGCATCGTAAGTCGCGCTGAATGAAAGCGATGAGGCAGTGACTTTTTAATGCATTGATATCCAACCATATACTGACATTTTACCCCATATCCTTCTTTCTTTCGCTCCTCGTTGCTGATCTGAATACTTACACGGACGTATAGTCGAGTATGTTGGGGCGGACGAACAGTGACATTTCGACGGTGACCACGACTCAGGAGAAGGTGTGGGCCAACTCGGTTTCTCCCAGCGTCGTTGCCGCAGCGTCAAAGAAGGAACGTAACCGTCAGGAAGCCATTTTTGAGGTTATCCACACGGAAGCAAACTACATTCGCGACCTGGAGCTCTTGCAGGAGGTACGTTTGAATGGATTATACAGTAACACAGCTTTATCGAGGGATTGTCCATGGTGGCCAATTGGAAACACCTTCTCACACGCCCTATTGACATTCCTTTTCATTTTGTTCTTCTTTACTGCCAGATTTTCATCAACCCACTTATGGCAGGGAACATTGTATCTCCGGATAAACTGGAGACCCTCATCGAGGATGTGTTCCTCAATTTCAAGGAGATCCTCGAGCTGAACAAGTTGCTCTTGGCGGATCTCAGAGCACGCCAGGAGCAACAGCCGCTGGTTGAGAACATCGGAGACGTGTTCTTGCCTCACATTGCAGGGTTTGAGGAGGCTTACAGCCGGTACATCCCCCGGATCGCCTTGTCAGAGTTTGCGTACAAGAAGGAGGCGGCACAGAACCCCAACTTCAAGGCGTTTCTGGATAACTGCACCCGTCACCCAGAGGCTCGTCGTCTTGGTCTGAGACATTTCATTGGTCAACCTTACCAGCGTATTCCCCGATACCCCCTCCTGCTGAGCGAAGTTGTCAAGAGGACTGATGAGGACGTACCCGATCGTGCTACTGTTCAGGCGGTCATCAAGGTCTGCACGGAGCTCGGAAAACGCATTGACTCTTGCATGCCCGAGGGCAACCGACAGCTGCGATTGATGAACATTCAGGACAGGATCATCTGGAAGTCGGGCGAAGCACCGCAGGACTTGAAGCTTTCGGAGAAGGGACGCAAGTTCCATTTCGAAGCCCTTGTTAAGCGACGATCGAACCTGGATTTCCAGATGATTGAGCTTCGACTCTTCCTCTTTGACCACATGTTGATGATGACCAAGGAGAAGCGCGACAAACAGGGCGAAAAGGAGGACATGCTCTACCAAGTCTCCAAGAAGGTGCGTGATTCTCTCGTTGCATTCTTGTTCTTATACCTGCCAAGTAGTTGATCTAACCTATGTTTCTAACACTTGATTTATTTAGCCGATTCCATTGGAGTTGGTACAGGTGTGGGCGGATGATGGCAAGCCAGTGCCGGTTATGAATGGACGTGGAGATGCTGTTCCTGGACGGAAATTGAACAACAGCACAAAGTCGACAAGCTCGGGACATCGCCATTCAACCTTCATTGCGCCACACGACATCAGGGTCGGCTTCCAGGAGACAAAGTATGTTGCGCCCGTGACGATCGAGCATCGAGGACGACGAGGCGGTATCTACACGATCTACATGACGGCGAGCGATAGGGAAAATCTTTTGGAACAGATGCAGATTGCGCAGGCGCGCCGACAGGAAGCCGTTTCGGGCTCGCACTTGTTCAAGATGCAAGTCATCACCCATTACAACGCCGCACCTCCACTCCCTTCCTCCAACCTGGTTCACAACCCCATGGACGGTCGTCGCTCGGCCTGTTCAACACCCTATCTCAATGTTCTGGACGGCAAGCGACGCGTGGTCATTGGAACAGAGGAAGGAGTATATGTCGGCATGGAGGATGACCCTTTCAGTTTCCGGCTTGCCCTGCGTGAGGCGAGCGTCAGTCAAGTCAGTGTCTTGGAGTCTTACCACATGTTGTTGGTTCTTGCGGGCAAGGTCTTGAAGGCATTCAACCTCAGCTGTCTGGATCCCAACTCGGACAAGTCGCTCCAGGTCGGTCAGCAGCTCGGCAAGAGTGTCCAGTTCTTCTCGGCGGGCACCTGTGCAGGCAAGACGTTGGTCATTACGATGAAGAAAAAGAACGGAGGCGAGAGTCACTTTTCCGCATATGAGCCTGTCGAAAATGCAGTTTTGGGAGGGCAGCACCGCGGAGGATTCAGTCTGTCGTCATTCAAGTCTAACAAGTCGGACTGGTTCAAGTTGTACAGAGAGTTCTACGTCGGCACGGATTCGTCGCAGCTGCAGATGTTGGCTAAGATGGTCTGTGTGGTCTGTCCCAAGGGATTCGAGATTGTGATTCTGGAGAACTTGAACAATACCCAAGAGTTCCCCAACCGACACGATGAGGCGTTTTCGTTCTTGGAAGCGCGACCCGGAAGTGCTCCTATCAGCATGTTCAAAATCAACGCCGACGAGTTCCTCATGTGCTACTCAGGTAGGCACCTTGCCAATTACATCTTGCATATACATGTTGCCCTTGAAAAAGACGAGACACTGACCTCTTTTCATCATTTTTTCTGCATAGATTTCGCGTTCACGATGACAAAGAAGGGCGAGTTGGCCAAGAAGGAGTTGATCGAGTGGGAAGGCCGCCCCGAGTCCTTCGCATTGGCGCCTCCGTACATTATTGCGTTCGAGGCCGGGTTGATTGAGGTTCGACACATCGAAACAGGAGCATTGGAGCAGATCATCCTGGGCAACAACATCCGTCGACTGTACTCGAATGTCGAGATCAGGAAGGAGCCCGCCAATGCAGTCATTCAATTGGTGATGTCTGACCCCAACAACCCCGAGAACCGTCAAGTCGTCAAGATGGTGAGAGTGCCTCATCCTATCAAGCAGCCGGTCGAGTATCAGCCCAAGTCACCCTATGTCCCCAACAACGGCCGACTCTCGTACCAACAGCAGCAGCAGCCTTCTCCTACACCTTCGCATTTGATGTCACCGGCGTTGCAGCCTGTCTTGTCAACAACTGGATCAGGACCTGCCGTCTTGGCCACTCATACCCACCATCATCATCAGCATACCACCATCACCACCAACACCAACGGAAGCAACGGCCACCATCATCATCAGAGTAACAACCAATATGGCGCATCGCATCCTGTACAGCATTTCAACCCCCATCAGTACCAACAAACGGCGCCCCCTCCTATTCCTTCCCGACCCCTACAACAACAAATCTTCCCGTCATACCCTGTGCATCCTTATGCGCCTCCTACCCAGCCTTACCCGATGGTCATGGTTGATCGCAAGGAGTCTAATGGTGGTGCCGGTCACCCCCAGCAGCAGCAACATCAACAGCAACAACAACAGCAAGGAGGAGGCGGACATGCCATTTCGTGGAGTTCTGGGGGATATCCTTAAATACACCAACAGCACCATCTACCATCCCAGCGCCATATCAAAATAATAATAGCTCAAGTAATAAAATCGTAACAGCATTTTTCACACTGTGGCCAAAACGGATCTTGTTTGCGTCTCTGAATGTGCTACTCCCTCTCAAACGGGCTTTCGAAAACCATGTGGAGTACACAGAGCAACATCAATGCATGTGCATCTGGATTTGAAGGAAGAAAGAAACATATCCTTCGTTCTTTTATTACATATAGCCTTTTTGCGCGAGCAAAGAAAGAGAGAGAGAGGAGGGGTCGATTAAAAAAAGCAATTAGTAGATTTCTTGAAGGACGGCATTATAGTTTCGGACATCCTCCGCTGTTTCCTTGTGCAACGCCGTGATCGATTCCACTGTTTCGTTCATATCCTATCACACCAACCCAAAAAAAAAAAAAAAAAAAAAAAAGTCGCGCGTTAGAGGATTCGACTTTAAGAACCAGGACATACAAAACAAGGACTTGTTACGATCAAAGCGCGCCAAAAACAAAATGAAAGTTATTTTACCATGAGCATGGGACCTTTATCCCATTGGAGTCGATGCTCCCAGAGGTCCTCGTACAGCGCGGCGCGGAGCTGGTCTAGTTCTTCGACCGTGCTGGTGTCCGTCTTGTCAACTAGGGCTTGGCGCAGAAGGGTGACTTCTGAGGGGTCGAGGATTAAGACTGGGGGTGGAGTTGGGGTTTGCTCTTTGATGGGTTCCAGGTCCAGGTGTTCTGGTGCGGTGGGATCTTGGTCAGGGATGATTGGGTCCGCTACGGAGGCGTCTATGGTTTCGACTGCCACTGGTTGTGTTGGTTCTGTAGTAGTGGCGGTGGTAGGAGATCCAAGTGTGGAGGAAGAGCCATTGACGGCGTGGTTGTCACTTGTCATCTCTATATCATGATCTGCAGCCACAAGGTTCTCTTCCCTCGATGTTGATGCTGTCGTCGAAGGGTCGACAGGAAGCGACGATGAAGCGGTTGTCACGATACCGTTGGCGCTGGCATCATTATCGTTGTCGTTCTTAAGAGGCTGGAGAGTATCGATGTCCATGCTGTGCTTCTCCTGCTCGCCTAAATGAACGTCATCAGCTCCTACTACTGTTGCTGAAAGTTCTCTGTGTCCATGCTCTTCAATCTTCGCCACCGCGGTTGTTGCAGCCTCTGCACTGGCACTATTGTTGGTAGTAGGTTCAACAGGGTCTGAATCAAAGGCGATGAGGGACGTGGTCGAAGAAGACATGGACAAAGAAGTCCCGCTCATATCATCATCCAAATCCTGATCCAAATCCTCCTGCTTCAAGACGCGTGGCCGATTCGAGAACCTGCCTCCGCTCCTGCTACTCAAATTCACCTCCTCCTCCTCTTCCTCTTCCTCGTCATCGTCCTCTGCGCCAGTTCCGGTAGTTCCTCCTCGTGCGACTCCATTAGCACCACCGTGGTTGTTGTGAGAGGCCCGATGACTAAGGCGGAGGAACAATTCAGGGTCATCAGGAACAGCCTCGGCTTCAAGACCGAGTTGGCGACGAGACGATCGTCCACCTTGGGTCTTTTGAAGGGACTTGAGTTCTTGTCGGACTCTGGCTGCGGTCTTTTCGGATTCGATGATCAGTTCTGGGTCGAGTCTGCTTATCATCCCGTGTGCGACATCCTGGAACGCTCGCGCCTATTTCAAAGGGAAAAAATAATAATCAAGAACAAAAGTACCATTAGTTAACATGGACAAAAGCCTGAGGGGACAAAATAACAAAAAGAAATGGGAGATGTAGGCTTACTTTGTAGATGATGCGGCTAGGATCATGGATATCATTATACAACGCGGTATTCTCACAGATCTGATCCACATCTGCCAAAAACTCCTTGACCTCCAAATACATCCGATCGTCCACCTTATCATTCATCGTCGTCAGGTCCATGGGTTTCTTGACGATTTGATAATAATCGGGAAACTCTTCGGGTTCGACGGGACGGAAGAAGGGTTTGAAACGACGTTCTTTGAAGAGTTCTTCAACGATGCTGCGAAGGGAGATTCGGAGTTCGCGGAGGACGTATTGGTCGTGTTCTTTGAGGAGTTTTTTTTCTTCGGTTGTTGGGACGCGGGGTTGTGGTGGGGGTGCCTTTTTGAGGGGTTCGATGGTGGTGGTTGTGGGAGTTGAAGATTGGAGTTGAAAGTCGGTGGGAGGGCGGGCGAGGTCGACGACGAGGGTTTCGAAGAATGCTTCGCGGCTGGATCGATCTGGTTTAGAGAGTTCTACACGGCCCTTGACGCTGGAGACGAACCACCGCCGGACAGTGACTGGAAGATCCTTGAGAGGTGTCTCGCTGGTCGCGAGGAACAAGATTCGGTCCTCCGGATTGAGATCCTCGAGGAGGTTCGAGAATGTCGCCTTGACGGCGTCAGACATAACAGTCCACCAGACGTCAATATGTGGGATATAGATGACACTGGGCGCGTGCCGCTTGACCTCGATAAAGAACTGGACACATGCTGCTTCGGGGGTGCGACTGGATTCAGACATCAACGCCGCAAGGTCAAACTGCTGAACGGTACAACCCTCGAGGTGGTGCAAGAGTGCAGGACCGAGGTAGCGTTGACCCATCCCACGAGACCCCGAAATAATGACGCGCGGGCGGAAGGTCTTGAGTTTCTCAAAACTCCTGTATCCCATCGCCTGGAACGCCGCATCATCTGCATCCTCTTCCTCATTAATGGCGCTGGTGCCGCTCGTTTTTGCCTTGGTCGGGAACAGCCTATCAACGGTCCTACAGATCCTCTCAAACTGCCCCTGCAACAGCGGCTTAACATTTACCGGCAGCGGCGAAGCTGTCGCGCCCGTGACACGGTACGACGCCGGGACCATGGCCTTTGCAGATTTCAACATATCGACCTCTTCCACCACAATGGTCGAAGTATCAATCAACAGCTTCTCATTGCTCTCATAGATCTGCGGGTACCGTCTCCGAATCGCCTTGAGTGCTGCTTCTGTACAAAGAGCCTTGATATCAGCACCACAGTAACGGGTGGTGATCCGGGCGAGTTCGGTTTTGAAGCCCTCGTCGAGAGCGGGGACCCAGCCACAAGTGTTGATGTCGATGATGGCGCGGCGGGCGGCTTCGTTGGGGAGGGGGAAGTAGAATTCGCGGTCGAATCTTCCAGGTCGGCGGAGTGCTGGGTCGATGGCGTCGATCCTGTTTGTCGCTCCAATGACAATCACCTGTCCTGTCGTATCGAAAATAATCCAGCGGAGGAAATTAAAGCTCGTTGTTAACGCGATTTTCATCCTCTCCACATACATCATATTCCCTCACTTGTCTCAAAAGATGAACTTACCACGACCATCGAGACCGTCCATGAGAGCAAGCATAGTAGAGACAATCGACGCATGGATCTGCTCCTGTTTACTCGACCGAACAGGACAGAGTCCATCAATCTCGTCAAAAAAGATAATACTCGGCTGCCAGGCCTTGGCCTCCTCAAACAACAACCGCAACTGCCTCTCTGCTTCTCCCACCCACTTGCTCAAACAGTCTGCACCCTTGCGCATAAAGAACGCGACCTTTTGAGTTTCGGTCGAACAGCTGGAAGCCAGCGCACGTGCAAGGAGCGTTTTTCCTGTACCGGGCGGTCCATGGAAGAGGACTCCTCGTGGAGGCATCATCTGGAAGCGAGAGTAGACTTCTGGGTAGAGTAAAGGGAGGATGACCATCTCCTTGAGGGACTTGACATGATGGTCTAAACCGCCGACTTTTGAAAAGTCCACACTTTTGCCAACAGCCAGGGGGTCGGTATCGGCCAACTGTCCTCCAGCGCGTGAAGCAATGACATCTCTCCTGGACTCTGCAAGCTCGTGCATGTTCATGGGCAAGATACGAGACGACGATCCTCGCGAGTCTGACGAGGGTCCTGAGCGGCGTTTGTTGAAACCGCTCGAAATATCCCGATCATCCTCTGAAGAATCGCCTGCGCGCGCCAGGGCCTCCAAAAGACTAGACCGATTCTGACGAGGCCTCATGAACGAATCTCGTCCACTGTTGCCACCAAAGTTCATCCTCGAAGTCCGTGGGCGGGTGGGCGAAGGGACGGGTCGGTCTGGAATGTAGGTAGGCCTGTTCTTGGGCCGCTCTCGAAGATCGTACTTTCGGTCCGAATCCTGTCGCGACTGAGAGTGTGCTGATTTAGAGCGCAACGAAGATTGTTGAGCTGCGTGTCGAGAACTCCGCGCAGGTTGAGATTGTACACGGGCACGGAGTCGAGTCATGCGGGTGAGGCCGCTGTTGGGGTCCTGGTGGTCGACAAAGGGTGATTGTTGACTGTCCTCGGCAGCATCGGTAACCATCATCTCCTCGTCTTCATCTTCCCGTGCTTCTTCTTCTTCTCCGTTGCCTCCTTCCCCGCCTGTTGCTCCATCGCCTGTTTCCAGCTCCCTTTCTTCATCGGTTGAAAGGGAGCGATGGAACCGGGAGCTAGATCTGAGAGGCCGGTGATGAGCCTGTTGGTCTGGAGTAACATCCCGACTGTTGGAAGAATCATGTACCAGGGATCCGGTCATGCCCCGCGTGATCCTCATGTTCTCCGTGATAGGTCGAGGAGGGGGAGGAGGGTGTGAGGCTGCTAATGAAGAGTGAGGTCGTTTTGCTGAGAGAGAAGAGCGCAGGTTGGATGAGGAAGAACCTCGGTACCGGCTGTTGTCGTGGTTGCTGTCACGTTCGTCATAATGCCGTCTGTTATCCTGTCGAGAAGATGCATTCCTGCTAGTCCGCGTGACAGGTGGTGGTGTAGGGTGGATGACATGGAAGGGCTTGGGGGCCGTGATGGCGCTTCGATCTCGAAGAGTGCGTCGTCCAAAGTTCGAAGGTTCCGGTTCGACCTTGACATCCCGACTGTTATCCGAGAAGTCTTCTTCCTCGTCCTCTACAGCATCATCTCCTTCATCTCCGACGAGTTGCTCTTCATACTCGTCTTCTTCCTCGATCTCGCCTCGTCTCCTACGATGATGTTGCTGCTGCTGGTTTTGCTGTGACGACGAAGACGACGGCAGTTGTTGCTTTTGTTGCTGTTGTCCAATAGTACTGATCCGAGTACTGGCACGAGTAGATTCCCTTCCACGACTAGGCGATCGATCCTGTTCCTCGTCATCGAGATCAAAGTCGTCTGGATCGGCATAGTTGACCCGCTTAATGGGTCGACGGGAGGGGACTGTCCTTGCTGGTCTCTCCATGTTGCTCGTTCCTGTGGGGTGAGTAGCCGTTGCGATGGCGGTGGCGACGGATGTAGTAGTTATGGTGGTGGTGGTGAGGCTTGTTGAATCCAAAGTGCTGCTATTATTATCGATGGCTCCGGTGCCGTTGTTATCAGAATCATTGCGCCCGTGACGACCATTTGTAGTCCTGACTTCAGTACCCGGAAGATGGGTGGCGATGACGTTGGCCAGATCTTGGTGATGATGATCACCATCCACTTGTTCTTGAATCTTTCGTCGCTTGGTCTCATTAAGGTCGAGGTTATCTGCACTGCTCGAGAGTGCGTCGACGATGGGTGTAGATCGGTCCGTCTTTGAGCCAGAGCCGGAGGAGGAAGAAAAGGATGGATAAGCGGTACCAGCACCTAACCGTGAGGCGTCGTCGCTGGATATGCTACGTTTGAGGTGATACGGGTCGTTGTTTGTTGTTGACGGTGTTGACGCCCCACTCTATTTTGGTAAACCAAAAGAAAAGATATGCGCGTTAGTTTTAGAAAACGAGAAACATAGTAAAGGGTGCGGTAGAAAGTTACAAGACATTGTCGAAGTGTGGGCGCGTACTGGTGAGTGGTGATTGTGATCCATGGTGGATTAGAAATAGTTTGTGTTGGATCTGGCGCTCGGCTGCTACGTTGTTTTGTTCGAAAAATTAAAAGACGTGTTCAAGGGTGAGTACGAAGGGTTGCCAAAGACCTGAAACATCAGTGATGGGAAGCAGAACTGATATGACGTACTGATATCAGGGGACAGCTGATGGTATGAAGGGGTAAAGGTCCCAGCGAGGGGTGATGGTTGGGCGAAGTCGAAATAAATGATATAGCCTCGATAGGAGGGGCAGGTTCGCGAGTCCTAGGAGGGTGAGCTCTCTGACTGTGCTTAAACAAAGACCGGTACTAGCGTCGAGCAGGTGTCGATGAGGATGTTGGGACTATGATGGTGATGACCAGACTGTGTGAGGGAGGGGTACTGATGCGAGGGCGATAAAGAAGAAAGAAAGGAAAGGAAGGAGTGATTAAGAGGAATGGAAAAAAAAAGAAGGGCTGAATGCAAAACCCTGTGGAGATGGACAAGGTGCGAGGGTGTGGGATGTCCTGTCAGGCGCGTACTTTCTTCTTTGTTTCGGTGCTTTTGTCGGTCGAGCGAGAGAGAAAACATAAGCGCGCCAATTTTTCCCAATCCCTGAACAAGGGGCGAAAAGTGGCTTAGGAGTCAACACTCGCAAATTAAGTCCCAAGGCAAGGGTCAACCATTCACACACTTGTCCATTCAACCCGACAAACGAACGGAACACAGGCCATGACGGACCCCCAGCTCAAGACGGCAAAGAACAAGGCGCAGAACGAACTCCTCCGTCAACGACAGACAGGAGACGGGAATTGGTCCTGCTGTGACCTCACCTGCGACAAGGCCCCCACAATGTTCCGACATATCGCAGCGAGCCACAGCGACATTGTTCAGGCACTGACCAGCGTCCAACTCGCCAACATGTTACAGCTCAGGGCTTCGACTTCTACAGCGCAGGACCATCGGGATCAGGGTCAGAGGCATGGCCAGGACGAGGATGCAGAGTTCAAGTCCCGTCGAGCTGAAAAGTATGGGAGCGACCCTATCAATCTGACCTGTCAGTGCGATCCTGCATTGGGGACCGTCATCCTGTTCTATGCCTACTTGCCGATATCCGACCCTCTGGCGATTGCGCGACTCCACAAAGCTTGGTTCACGGATCTGGAACTCTGCGGAAAAGTTAAGCTGGCGACTGAAGGAATCAATGCGACCCTTTCTGGACTCTCGACCTCAGTTACAGAATACATCGACCTCCTCACCGCCCTTCCGGAATTCGAGTCCCTGAACCTCTCACGCCCAGTAACAATAAGCTCTCAGCACAACGGCAACACCGAGATCGACGCCACCCTAAAGAGGAAGCGATTCAACTTCTTCAAACCAACAGAAGGCTGCCGCCACGTCTTTGGCGAGGAGGCATCGATAAAAGTCGTCGAAGAGATCTGTCCGTTAGGAGCGCCAGAACTGAGCGTCTACCACGACCCCAAGAACAAGCAAGGCAAACTTCCACCCAAAGAGTTCCACGCGAAGCTCAAGGAGTCCGAGGGGAGGGATGACTATGTGGTGTTGGATGTGAGGAACTATTATGAGTCGTCGATTGGTCGGTTTCCAGGAGCCATAACGCCGCCGATTCGCAAGTTTTCGTCGTTCAGGGATTATGTTGATCGAAACAGGGAGTTGCTTGCGGGGAAGACCATCCTCTCCTATTGTACTGGCGGCATTCGCTGGTAAGTTCTAGTTACTTGTTCGTAGATGATTTGATGTTTGTACTTCCTTCATTATGTGGCGACTCTCTGTGCCTGACCATGCAGCCCCTCCTCTTCACCATCGGTCCTCTAGCGAGAAGGCAACGTCGTATATGCGGCAATCATTGGAATCAGGAAAGAGCGACGATGTGAAAGTATTGATGCTGGAGGGCGGAATCCACAACTACCTGGAATGGATCAAGCAGGAGCGGACGATCAAGGAGAACCCACAACAGGAGTCGCTTTGGCTTGGTAAAAACTATATCTTTGACGCGCGGCAGTCTCTAGGTTTGGAAGAGACAAGTAACTCTAAAGACGCCATAGAGGCAAGCGACGCGATAACCTCGACTCAGCTGATATCGTCGTGTGAGGGGTGTGAGGTCCCATGTGCGCGATATGTCAAATGTGATGGGTTTGGATGCCATCGACTTATTATTGCTTGCACAAAATGCTCGCCGGTGCCAGTGGACGTTGTTGCGAGGACGACAACGACGACGGGCAAGAGTGGGATGTGCTGTTGCAGGGAGTGTGTTGAGATGGGAGAGAAGGTACGGGAGTATGTAGTTGCCTCCGAGAGCGGTCCCATAGAAGGACCGCGTGTCAAGCGTGGGATCTGCCAATGCGAACGCTCTAGACGGATAAAGCTCGGCGAAGAATAAACATGTCAATTACTTTCTTATCAATGGTTCAATGGCTCAATTTTTTTTTTGTTTGCAATGGTTCAATGGTTCAATGGTGTTCAATTGTTCAAAGAAAGGCCACGTGACGGCTGTTTTTTCTTTGTGGTTTTGTAGTCCTCATTTGCCGTATTGTGTACCCTCTCCTTTCACATATCCGCACGCAAACGTCTTTCTTGCTTTCGCCATTCCTTTCACCCTCGCACCCTAAGCACCTCACAACAAGGATCAAGCTTCAACTCCCCAGCAGCCTCTCTTCAGGAAGAAACGATCGACACCGCATCTTGAACAATTAAGACAACAACACAACCTAACAACACAGCAATCTACAGCACCTTGTCCACGATGACCTCAACAGCAGACAGCCAGTGGTACTACCAGAAGGAGGAATTCTACGGAACTCCAAGCCAAATCAGCGGTCTGTCGTTCCCAGTCGAGAAGGAGAGTCGACACAAGGGCATCGCGTTCATTATGATGGTCGGCATGCACCTGAAGCTGTAAGCAAATCGCTCAACTACTCCCCCATTTGTGTTTGCTGGTCCAATGACAACCTGTCCCAAACCCCGAATATTAACAGCCGTCTATGGCTCTTTGCTTTGTTATTCTTTAGGCCACAGTTGACCATGGCAACAGCCGCCCTCTTCTTCCAACGGTTCTACATGCGTCGATCCTTCAAGGACTACAAATACTATGCAAGTGACACTTAGGAGCAACGTGCTTTGGTATCATCATTTACGACACTGTCTAGTAATGCGAATGGTGTGCATGGACCACTATCAAGCATTTGACGGACAATAATGTGAATGAGACCGACTAACAACTATTTGTTTTTTTAAATTTTGATCGTCAATAGGATGTCGCTGCAACCTGCATCTACCTTGCCAGCAAGACGGAGGAGAGTACGCGTAAGTTCAAGGACATTGTGATTGCCTGTGCGCAAAAGGCTGCCAAGAAGGATACACCCATCGATGACTCGTCCAAGGCAAGTACTACCAATCATTGTACCTTGTAATGTCGGTCGATGTTCTTTGTTATGTTCGAGCTTTCATCTGACAAATAATTACAATCTGAATACTTTAGGAGTTCCGCGTGTGGAAGGACACGATCATTTACACCGAGGAACTTTTGCTGGAGACCCTGTGCTTTGATCTGAGCGTGGAGCACCCCTACCATTTCCTGTTAAATATGTTCAGCCACTACCAGAAGGACTCTCAACGTAAGGAATGCCATCCTACTCGTCGCACTCATTGCACGGACTGATGGACGAAGCCTTCTCTGGGTTCTTACAAGGAATGCTTGTTCATCGTATGGGAATTTGCACCCTTTCATATTTTAGGTGGCCGAAAGTTGAAGCAGGTTGCATGGGCGTTCGTCAACGACAGGTAACCCTTTACACTTTACACTATATTTTAGTCCGTATTTCGGCACTATGTGGTTGCATTTGTTCTAACAATAGCTCTTATTTACCACATTGTTCTTTTTGTAGTCTGAGAACGACGCTGTGCTTGACCAAGTCGCCCAAGATTGTTGCGTTGGCAGCTTTGTATGTTGCAGGAAAATACTTGGACGAGAACCTGATGGATTCCTTTGGCGAGTTTTGGCGGGAGAGTTATGAGCCCCACGAGCGTGAAATCCATGGTACGTCTGGAGATTTGAAAGACTTTCTGAATATTCAGAGTGAGCAACCACTTGGGCAATGTACTAAACCACTGTACTCTTTTCTTTGCTTGCATAACTGTAGAGGCGGCAGGTGAAATTATGGATTCATACTTGATGACCTCCAACAGGAATGGTCGATCGCTGGATAAGGTACGGCGATGAGCATTCTCTGATCGTTGACCAAGGGTTTTGAAAGTTCAAACGTTTGTTTATGTTCTAATCAATGTGCGTTATACTGCCTGCCATTTTGCCGTTAGATACCGCCTGGCTCGAAGCCTGGCAGTGAGTACCAGGAGAACGGAACACCCTCGTACGGCGGCTACCTCAACAGCCCGGCCAAGCTTGCAACTCCTGTGTACGGCATGGATCCTGATCGACCCGCCAATGGAGACCGATCCATGGCGCCCTAAAGAGTCGCTGTGCTCCGCTTTCCCCCCGCCCTTGCGTCACATATGTAAAACAGAAAAACCCCACTAAACCATCCACAACTAACATCAACACCGAACTACACAAAGCATGGATCGCGCAATAATTCACTCTCCCATATTACTTTTTTTTGCTTCTTTTTCTTTTCTTCTTTTTTTTCGGACCCTTTTTTTTCTTTTTCTTTCTTTTTCTTTCTTTTTTTTCTTTTTTTCCCAGCTTTTTTCTTTCTTTTTTCTAATTCTTTCGCAACCTCCCTCCTCTCTCTTACCTTCCTATTCTTGATACGGCAGAGTTCCATTGGGAGGCGTCTTCAAGAGGTCATAGGTTGACGCTTGGACACTGTTCCGGACACAGCAATAAAAAAAGAAACCAGGAAAATGAGCGCTCAGTTTTTGTGATAGGATGAACGTCTTCCTTTTTGATGCTATGTATTTTTGTCTGAGCGACCGAGCGAGCGAGAGAAAAATAAAGAAAGCCGAAAGAGAGTGTCCCTTTATTCCGCAGTGTTTCTCCTTCTCAATGACAACGTTGAGCGTGCTGCTATTGCTCGTGAGTGTTACTAAGGAAGGGAGCGCTGAAAGGAAAGAACGACAGAAAAGAGGAAACTGCTGCCAAAGGCGAAGGCAGGCCCATGGTCACGTGGAACCCCTCTTTTCGACTGTCAGGTTTTCCCCTCAATCCCTCCACCTTTCCTCTCCCTCCTCCTCCTCGTTTTTTTTTGAACTTTCGTTTCATCGTTTTCTTCTTCTCCTCTCTAACCAGACATCCCTGTCTGTATCCCTCCTCGCTTTCCTCCTTCACTCCCTTCTCCAACACGCGCATCACCCATACCCTCATCAACAGCAGCACACAACAGGCCCCTCCAACAACTCCACATTCCACGGCATTTAACACCAGTACATCATCACATTGTGACAGTTCTTGTTCTTAGGACCCTTGAACAAAGCTAACAACGCACACAACAACTCGACCTGCACTCTCTCAACATATACACACACACTCTCTCTCTCTCACTCTCACGCACACTCACAGCCATCTCAAATAAGAACAGGCTAAAGAAAAAGCGCATTCGATTCGATTTGTGGCGAGCCCAATGTCGAGCAGAAGAATCGTCACTGGCGACACCATCTTTGCCAGCCAACTCTTCACAAGGCAGGAGCTCGTAGGGCGAGGTGCCTATGGAGCAGTCTACAAAGGGTAATGTCCGCACAACAACAACAACAACAAGAACAACAACAAGAACAACCCTGCCTACTATTAGTCTTCACTCCTTCTCTTACATCCCCCTCTGAAGAAGGAAGAGGCGAAAAAAAAGAAGTGTCGTATTGCAATCGATGTTCTGGAAAGAGGTTTCTGCACCGACACCTCTTCGACCAGCCGCCTTTTCATTTCACTCCTGTTCGTGTTTCATACGACGATCGCTGACTCTTTTACTTCATGTTCATAAAACAATGAACAATAGCGTCGAGAATGCGACGGGACAAGTGATCGCTATCAAGGTGCTGAACCTCGACACGGAGGAAGAAGATGTCTCTGATATCCAACGGGAAATCGCGACGCTTTCGCAGCTCAAGAACTGCGATTCGCAAAACATCACTCGGTACCATGGCAGTTTCCTGAACGGGACCAAGCTGTGGATCGTCATGGACTATGCCGCAGGAGGGAGCATCCGATCTTTGGTAAGTTGAGAGATAAAGAGCAGGCGGATTACAACAGAATCTAGTAGGTCAGACCAAGAAGGACATGGGTTGTTGTGTGAGTGCGGTGTGTGTGTATGTGTATGTATGAGTATCGAGTCGAAACAGGCTTACTTACATACACCACACGCAAGCGCTTTTTGTTCATTTGCCAACTAATTTTATCGCCGTGCCTTGTCCCTTATTGTCTGTTGGTGTCTGTTTGGAATGTCCTTTTCTCTTTGCCAATGGTCCCCCTTCCCTTGCAATCTCATTATATTAAAATTGCGATTGCCCCTTCTCCTTCCTTTATGTCTGTGTTGTGGTTTTGTTTACTTATCGTCTCTCCAATCCATTTGTCGGTCTGTGTGTATATTTCTGTGTTTTAGCTCCAAGCCCTGACGAGGATAGATGAGAAATGCATAGCGGTCATCGGAAGGGAGGTCCTCCAAGCGCTGGGGTACCTCCACAAGCATGGCATTATCCACCGAGATATCAAAGGTAAAAAAATAATAATGAAGGTCATCCTCGTTCATCTCTATTGTTGCGCATCCTCTCTCCTTCCCATTCTCCCTTCCCCCTTCTCCGCTCTCTTTCCCCTCATCCCCTCCTCTCTCTCTCCCTTCGTCCCTCTCCCTCTCTTTTCCTCTCTCTCTCTCTCTCTCTTCCTTCCTCCTCTACCTCTTCTACCTCATGTCAGGGAACAACTGTAGCAAAGGGCTAGACAGTTGATTGGTACACCGCTCACATAGACACATAGCTCAATCGTGCCAAGAAAGAGTGAAATAGACACAGAGGAAGAGAGGACGGGGGGAAAGAGGGAGGAAGAGGGATGAACATGGCGTTACTGATTCATGGCACATTGTGCCCTTGTGCGATCAGCCTCACCACAGTTGCTTTACCCCCTTGCTTCGTTTATGCTCCTTTTGTTGCTGACCTCGTGCGCTTCTTTGGTTATGCAATTTGCCTCGATCCACCTGTCCACTTTTTTTTGCTAATTTGCTGACTACTCCTTTTTTTGCATTGTTCGAATAGCCGCCAACATTTTATTGACGGATGAAGGACGTGTTCAACTGTGCGACTTTGGAGTAGCTGGGCAAGTGACAATGAATTCTCTGAAGCGCAACTCGTTTGTCGGGACACCGTACTGGATGGCGCCAGAGGTGATCAGGGAAGGACAGACGTACGACTTCAAGGTACGACTGAGAGCCGAAAAAGGGTCATTTAGGTGGTCCAGACCTGCGCGGGACGAACGAAACAACCATACCGTTGTTACACAAGATCGTTTGTCTCACAAACGAACCACTCGATGGTCGACCTTTGACCCACTCCCGTTCTAACATCGACACTCTTTTGCTGTTTAGGCGGATATCTGGTCGTTTGGAATCACAATATACGAGATTGCAACAGGAAACCCGCCATTTGCTGACCAGGATCCTATGAGGGCTGTCACATTGATCCCAAAGTCACGCCCAGCTCAATTGGAGGGTGACTGGTCGCCAGCTATGAAGGAATTTGTCGCGCTCTGTCTGCACGAGGAGCCCAATGAGGTATGCATGCACCACAGACCCCAACCAAGAGCCATGCATGGATCGACGAAAAGCCTGCAGATTTTTTGGCACTAACCCCTCTCCTCATATCCTCCTTCTGTATTGCAGCGCCCTTCTGCTGAGGATTTGTTAAAGACAAAGTGGATCAAGAGCACGAGCAAAAGCCCCTTGACGCTTTTGAAGGATTTAGTTGCCAAGTATGAGCAGCACAAAATTGAGGCGGCTCTCAACAAGGAGGAGACAAGCAGGTAATTATTGGACGCATAGCATATCAATATGTGCGCTAGTTTTTGAACGACTACTAATGCGCTTATTTATTTTCATTAGTGATATCGATATTGACCACGAATTGGAGAGCTTTGACATGGAAGTCGACCCAGATGCATGGAGATTCGATGTAAGCAGGTGCAACAGCAAATACTTTCACTGGGAGCGCAATATATTTGTATGCGCAACCTGCCACTCACACCCTACAACCGCACATATAATAGACTGCAAAGACCCTTCCACCAATGACACCGTCGAGGACCTCGAGTTTGAGCAAACCCGACTCCAAGAGCGATCACCCTAATGGAGTCAAAAGTCCAGCCCTCTCAGCTCAGGACAGCGGCGTTGTCATCCAAGGGCGCAGCGGGAAGTCATCAGACCACAATCTGGACAATGCAACATCTATACCCTCTCCTGGCGCAACATCACCAACAGTCAAAGCAAAGGCATCCCCAACATCTCCCAGGAACTCCAAAAAGGCCTTGCCTATAAAGTCACAGCCAGCTGTAATCACCCACGAATCCCACCCACTGCTGCGACTCTTCATGCATCATAAGAGCGCAAGCGAGGAGGACGTCTCGACATCTCACTCGTTACTGTCTCCACAAGGCCCCCATATGGCCTCTGCTCCCATGACGCTCACAATCCCCAATTTGGAAGAGATTACCAATGCGCGACTGGCATCACGCTCGCCTGTGCCCAGTGGCGATTTGAATACGTCCTTTGACCAGTTCCATCCTTCTCAACACCAATACCCGGCCCCAGCCAATAGTCGTCAACAGGATTCTGGACCTACGAGGATGCCTTTCGGATTCAACATGTCAAAGCCTTTCCGGTTCGACAGGAGGCCCTCGGCACCCGTCGTGATGGGTTCGGCACCAGGACAGGATCATGGCTTCCACAACCGTCATGTGTTGACCCGGGGTCCAGGTAGCAGCTCGGCTCTCACCTCGCCAAGAGCAGTGCCAGTACCGACGCAATCATCGCTCTTGACCGATATGCATCAGAGGCAGAGTCAGCAGGATTCGGACAGCAGTCAGCACTCGAGCAACAAGGGCGTTCACAGCCACGAGATTGTTCTGCCAAATCAGCTTCAAGGAGTCCAGCCTCACAATGTTCGCCCCAGCTCAACTCCTTCATCTCCCGCCATCCCTCCAGTTGGAATGATGGAGTCGACTCCAGGAGCAGGATCGAGTTTACTGAACCCATCTCAGACAGGGACACGCAGGCCCTCACCTTCAATGTCGCACCATCAACAAGAACAAGCACAGCAACAACAACCACATCCTGTCCGGCAGGCACACGATGCAAGGAGCAACTTACCTCCACAAATTCCTCATCGAAAGGCGAGTTTGGACTTTTCTCAGTCGGAGCGGTTTTCTCATTTGCGACCTAGTTTGCCAATCCGACCTCCAAGTGCAACATCCGTTCGGAGCTCTACTTTCCATGGCCTTGACTCTGGACCAACGACCAACATTTCCCACGGATCCGACAGCAACAACCACAGCGGCATCACGGGACCATTTGGTACTTCGTTTGGTGGTCTCTCTTCGAACATGGCGGCTCTGAGCATGCAGCCCATTAACATTAGTGAGGAAAAGCTGCCGCCCTTTGGTCATTCACCCGCTCACCTGCGGATGATCAACGCTCTTCCCGACAACAATGCGCCTTCCATGAACGGGGTTCACCGCGGCAGCGTCACTATGAGCGAGAAAGATGGGGTTTCTCCCGCTTCCAGTGTCAATGGTGACGGGGCTACAGGATCACACCACTCTGGACCTAACCATGGCGCCTCGTCATCTTCGTCATCAGCGTCGTCGGTATCGTCAGCTTCCTTGCCCAACTCGGCGGCGATCAGTGGTAGCTTTGGAGTGACTGGATCTGGATCTGGATCTGGACCTAATCCGGGAGTTGTGATGGCAAGGCCAGGATTGAGGACTGTTGGCTCGAGCGAGAATTTCGCAAGGAGGATTCGTTCGGCTAGTATGCTCAGGAGGACAGAGGAACAGGATAACATTTCCAAGGGCGCTTTCCAACCCAGCAGACCTCCTCAGGCTACGGGCGCCCCTCCGGGTCAACAGCAGCCGATGCAACATTACCAGCAGCAACAGTACTCGTATAATCATGAGCCGGGTTCCGCGGACATTAGTCGGTACAGGAGAGCTAGCTCACCGCGTCGTCGCAGTATCAGCATGACCAACTTAAACGGCCTTTCTATCATCATGATCCCTCCCAAAAAGGTGAGTGGATGGAAGATATTAGAGCGTTGGGGGTGTGGTGTTGCTTGCTTTGTATTCGGTGCCAGTTAGCCTTGATGCGAGATGGGTATGAACTAAGCACTAACGGTATTTTTTGTTATTTATTTTGGCGCCTTTCTAGGGCTCAGATGATTACTCGACCAACCCATTGTTACTGCCACCGTCACCTTCAACCACTCGCTTCATTGCACCGTCGTCGATGAATGTCACGGCTCTGTCGTCGAGTCCTTTGCGCCCAACTCTTCACTCGATGGCCTCATCCTCGTCACTTTCGTCGTCCTTTGGCAGTGTCTCTGGTGCTTTTCCGGGTAACCAGCTCAATGGAGGACGGAATAGTAACAGCTCACATGGACTGCAACAGCAGCAGCAGCAGCAACAACATCATCCACATCAACAATATTCGAGTACGCCCATTATGTCGGCCCAGAATACTTCTTCTTTGTCGTCCTCTGTGCCTACTTCTACCGTTCCTTCTTCTCCTCCGACTCTTGCTCAGGTCACCAACAATAACCATCACAACAGCAGCAATAATATCGCCACTGTCAACGGGAACAGCATTCACTCCAGCGCCAACCATAACATGTCCTCGACTTACAATGAGACTCTCACAGCCACTCCTGGTGGCGCCAAATCTGCCATCAGCCTCTCGGGAACATCTTACCATCAGGGGGCCAATTATCCTGGTCATGGCAACCACAGTAACAACTTGCAGCTCAATGCTTCGGGACTTGGACATTTGGCCTCGCACAATGGATCAGCAACCACGCTGGTCGGGAGCAACAGTCATCAGAACCTTAGCCAGCATCTTGTTGGTCAAGAACGCCATCACCACCAACACCTGCAGTCCCAGCAGCACCAGCAGCACCAGCAGCAACAGCAGCAACAGCAACAGCTTCAAATGCAGAGACAGATGCTGGTGTCACCGATGCATATGCTAATTGTCACGCCTGAGCCCCGGCCATTGCAGATGGATGCGTTGCGCAGGAACGAGGACTTGATGGAGGAACTCCAGTTGACGATGAATGACTTGTCGCAGTGGTTGGAGGTCTTTGAGACCGGCATCAAGACCGTTCGCTCTTCTTGACCACCCTTTTTCTTCTTTTTAAACACCCCTTTTTCTCGCCTGTATTCCAGTTTCTTTTTATCCATGTAACACTACCTTACCTCTCCCTGTATTATTTTCTTTTTTCATCTCTATCTCCTTATTGTTCCATGTGCCCTTGCCTTTTTCTATCCTCCCCTCCTCTTCCTCCTCCTCCTCCACTACTGCGATGAGCAAAGCGTCCTTCATCTTCCTCACTTCTAAACGACCCTCACCTTTCTTCTAAACCTCACCTTCAACCCTGATAAGAATAAAAACGCAAAAACAACATAGACAAGCAGTACGTGTTCCAATGATTTTTATATGGCTGCTTACACTCACTCTTGCTGTGTTGCAGTAATTCCAGTGGCGGTGACCTTAGCAGTAGAGGAAGGAAGGGGTTCGCCTTCACGCAAGAGGTTGTAGTCGTCCATTGTGCACAAGTCCTTGAGCGCAATCTCTGTCTTGTCGACCTTTGGTCTCACCACTGCAATGAACCCATGCGTTGATGCCTAAGTTTTTATGAAGACAAGTTTTTGATAAGGACATTTGTTAACAAACATTGATTCCAGTCTTGTCTTGTACTTTGTGAAAATGTCTTTTACGCAGACTGGCAAAAGAAAAAAAAAATGAGGTTGGGGTTGTTACCTTCGTGAGCATGGTCTGGATGACGAGGGGGTCAGTGATTTCTGAAGTTCCACGTCTCAGAAGGCGCTCATTGAGTTCGATCACATGGCCACTGATGGATCCGCGGACCACAAAGATGACGCGTGTGGGGTCGACTGATTCTGTGCGCTTCTCCAGTTGTGATGCGGGGGTTGTTGATCTGGAGGTTGCTGTGGAGTTGGTGGTGGTGGTGGTGGTGGTGGTAGTGGAAGGAGCAGGTGATTGGGCTACAGAGTCGCTTACTGTCATGGTGATATCCTGATCCCTGTTCTTTTCTTCTGACTTGACCTCAATATTTTGCTCCGCTTCCTCCTTCATGGCTGGTTCCACAGATCCTTCAGCAACCCAAAGGTCCCTTGCCTCGATCTTGCAAACAACAGTCTCCGAATGACAGGACGGTGGGGGCTGCTTCTTGGAATTCGCAGGTATAGCCGTCGGTTGCGGTAAGGCCCCCGCAATCTTTGGATCAAAGCAGATGTTGAGGACTTTGTACCGGTCTGGTTGGGCGAGGAGTGGGTGGGTGGGTGCGAGACCGATGATGCAGAGTTTGTTAGGGGATTGGTAGACGTATTGGTCGCCTCGAAGAACTTCGAGACCGGTTTGGAGGTCGATGATCTTTTGAAGTGTTTGGGTTGTGGAATTTTGTTTTAGGTCCTTGCCGTCTAAGTGAGTGCAGGGGTGGGGACGAAGGGAGGGTGAGAGTTAATGGGGAGTTGGACGGGGTAGGTATTGCTTTAAAGACGTACTAAAAAAGTATCGTTGTAGATTACAGTTTCTTGGGTGTAAGAGAAAAGAAGGAGGCGCTTACTGGTTGCGAGAAAGTATTGCTTGGTATAGTATCGCAAGAGGTAGGCGGAGGGGTCGTCGTTCCAGGACTTTGTTTCTTCCTTGTAGGATGTTAGGTCGTAGACGATGGGTGCATGCTCGTCCATGTTGGTTGGTGTGGGGTGTCGAGGGTGTCGAGGGTGATGTCCTGTGTGTTGATGGAGGAGGTGGAAAAAAAAGAGAGTTTTGGTGGCCAAACAACACAACATAAGAAAAAAAAAAGTCAACATCAAAACCAACAGCAGTCACTTTTCTTTGAATTCACGCGCTCAAAGCCTTGACGCGCGCGAGAGAGCTATGCAAATGATGTGTGGGGCACAAAGAAGCGGGATTAAAAAAAACGCATACACTTCTATAGCATTATGACATTATGGTTTTATTGTATCGATGAAAAAGTATATTGACAACTCTACGTCTTTTGTCTCCTTGCTTTTTTTGTACCTTTGGTGACCTTTTTTTTTTTTTTTTTTTTTTTTTTTGGCTACAACTTTTTTTGAAGTACTATGCAACTAAATCCGACCCAACAGCAGCAATATGCCGCACGACATGCTTTGCAGCGAACACTCGATCCGCAAGGACAAAACCCACCATCTTACTCAAAGTTCTCAAAGCCATCATCATACATGTAAACTCTCTTTTTGCTGTTTACAAAACACATCGCCCACCCATTTTGTATGTACTGTACTGTTCCTTTTGGAAGCGATTCTTGAGGGCGCACAACGGTTCGCTCTCCCACCCTCCCCGCTACCTTTTCTGCCGCCTTGCATACAAAGCCGCCATCAGTGTGCGGAAGAGCCACCTTCTCTGACCGTCTCTTGAATGCCTCTTCCATACCTCCACCTGGAATTGAGAGTGGTGGCAAAAACCCCCCACTTCGATTCACTTCTATTGGGAGACCAATTGGATTTAAGGTTCACTCACTTCCTTTCTGCTTTCTGTACTATCTCCCCTTTTTCCTTTCCTTCATCTCCATCACACTGTTGATTTCACATTCATTCAAACGACATCTCTCCATCACATCAACAACTCCTTCACACTCTTACATTCGCGCTCTTACGTTCACACTAGCGCAGCGACTCCTTCACTTACATCTGATGGCACCCAGCGACAAGGTGTTCGACATCTTCGAACTAACACAACTCATAGCCGATAACCTCTCCCAACACGACCAGGCCCTCTGCTGCCTCGTCAACAAATCCTTCCTCAACACCTTCGCCCCCCACCTCTGGCACTCCATCACCATCCACCGAAACGATTCCACCCCCAAATTCGAAACCCCCGAAGGACGCGCAGGACTCCTCCGCAACGGACATCACATCCGTGTACTCCGAGCATACGATCCTATCGCTCTCGAGCCCTTTGTCGAATCCGGAATCACATGCACAAACCTGGTCTTCCTCGACGCCACCCACAGTGTTGATCGATTTACAAGAGGCTTGGCCACCACCAGGGCTTTAGCCGTACTTTCCAAGGGGATGAGGAGGGGGTCGTTCGGTGTTGGGCAGAGGCAGGGTTTTCACACAGTCGTCTCTTCTGGATCTGGATTGTTCGGCGCTTCTTCCCCCGTAACAGCCGGATCCCTTAATCCTAGCAAAAGAGTGTATAGTCAGGCGGAGTTGCAGAGTGATGGCGAGACATATCTGGTCTCTGTTCTCGAGCGCAACCCGCAGCTGGAGTTCCTGGTCGTTCCTTCACACTGCCTGGATTGTCAGTCTATCGTCAAGGTCGCTGGGGAGTCACTCCTGTTGTTGAAAGAGTTTTATTCAGACAAAGATCTCCGTCTACGGGGCCCAGCCACCTATTTCTCGCTGCAAAAGCAATTCAGGAGGATTCGGCCCCAGACTGGTACTGCCCTAGAGGTTGTGGAGGGGTACCTCCGATGCACCGACGGTGAACTGTTGCATCCACTCCTGAACGACTATCCGAGGTTGAGAGAGTTGCAGATGGGAATATCTGAGAGAGTCAATCATGACGCGCTGGAGGGGATCCGTTTGGCCGACAGAGGTTTTACGCACTTGAATATGTCCCATGGTCACCCGTCGCATGTCACCCAGATCCTGATGCGCGCCCCACCTTTGAAACACATCATACTGACGAGGTATGGTAGTGCTCACATAGCCTACGCCAGCGACGATACCGCCGTCAAGAACGCATTCCTCAGGCACGCACCGACATTGGAGCGCCTTTTCACCGCCAACTGTGACTTTTCGAAAGACATCCTTCAAGCCATACTGTGCTCCAGCCCGACTCTACGTATCCTCCAGACCATTGAAGATGAAGACGGAAGTCGACCCAACAAGGAGGTAGAACTGGATGCCTTGCAGATAATCAACAGTTCTTGGGCGTGCAACCAGGTCGAGGTGTTCGAGTGCAAGATCCTTAATGTCCCGCGCCCAGACATCGTCAACATTCCCTTGGGCGACTTGTTTCTCGTTCCTCCTATTCCTATTCCTCATCCTGGTCCTGCTACAGCTCAAGATCAAGTCCCATTGTCGGGCACTATGCTTGTCGCGCAGCAAGAGAGCCACGCTGTCCAACGAAGAGTCCTCAGACAATTGGGAAAATTAACCCATCTCCGGAAGCTGCGTCTAGGAAAACTCTGTTGTGATTTAGGCAGGTCCGAGTACTCACAGTTGGAGATCCGTGGTATCCGTACAATGGCCGTCGATGAATACTTTGATCGCAATTGCTTGGAACTCTCCCTCGAGAGCGGACTCGACGAGTTGGCCGGGTTGAAGCAGTTGGAGGAATTGGATGTCGCCCAGATGGCACACCGGATCGGGTTGGTTGAGGTTCAGTGGATGGTAGAGAACTGGCCAAGGCTGAAGTTGATCAGTGGTCTGTGGTACTGGGACTGTAACGTTGAGGTATATGGCGACGCAGCCGGCATTGCTGGTTCTCTTGAGGAAAGCGAATCAGAGCATGTCAAGTGGATTAGAGAGAACAGACCTGATATTCAGCTAAGCTAAGCTAGCACAAACAAGAAATATATTATTTTACCAAACATGTCTTTTATTTGTTGGCTGTTTCTGTCAAGAGCAAGGGCGAGGGCACAGATACATTGAATAAAAGTTCGTGTTCAAGTACCCCCCTTCAAGTCAATTGCTACGAAAAGGTGCATAAGTTAGTAAAGAAGGTATACAATAAATAGTCCTTCTGATGGACAAAGAGAGAGAAGGTGAGTGTGTGAGTGAGGATGTAAGGAAGACAATAGCATTGCTGCTGGCCCTGAATCGCATAGGCTTTATAAATCATCACGCGTGCTTAGCCTCATGCTTAACCCCATGTTATCATTTTGATCATGAGAAAAACGTATCGCTGGTTAATCCAACTGCGTGCAAATTCTTTATTATCGAAAGCGCCAAATAGCAAAAAAACATTTTCAAAGATCGCTGGCTAGCTCACATCCGAGGCCGTTTCGTCTGCGTGTCGATTGAAAAGCCGGTCCGTTTTTTTTTTTGGGTTTTTGGTCGAGTAGCAGTGAAGCATTTTGCACATAGATCCGCCGGCCCGATCTCGGTCTTGACCTATCGTCGATAGTACCTGGACGTTTTTTGTACACCTTTGGACCCTCATCCTCGTCTTGCTCCTCTGCGGTCTAGTGCGAGACTCCATCACTTGGATACTTCTTTCTTTTGCTTTTTTTCCCTACTTATTTTCGATCCCCTCAGTGTCTCTGCTCGATGACATTCGACATTGGCTTTGAATTGTGTCGCCGTATAGGTATCCCCTATATGCTCCATCTTCACTCAATCTCCGACCCACAAGGTCGCGAGCCCTTTCCTTTCCCTATTTTACGCGCTCAGATTTCTGGCTGTTGAGAGTCGGTGCTGATAATGTCGACGTGTTTGCTAATGCGGTCAGGGTTTTGGATTATGTCGTCGATTTGATCATAGACGACAGGGCTCCCCAACACCTCACCCGAGAGGACCTCGCTCTGACCACTTTCACGAACAACGTCCTTTGCATCGCCAATGGTTGGTACCGATGATGAGTGCTTATTTTTTCTTTTCACCCGGCTACAATTTCCACCATCGTCGTCACCGATACATCTTGACTTTCCATCCTCCTCCATTTCAGTCGGCATCTCGTTCTCTAACCTCATCGTCACAGATTATTTTGATAGTTGCGTCTCATGCGTGCTGGTCCATTTCTCCCTCCCACCCCCGATCCTGCAATTTCGATGCTGTTTCTCGATACCGCTTTCAACCGAACTTCCTACTTTCGAGGTGCTCATTTTCTACCACGCAAGGCGTCAGAGGCATCGATTACTCCCCTACTTAGCTTAGCGCGCCATACCCCACCTCGGATTTCTTCCACCTCTCTCTAATCAACTTTCTTCGCTCACGCTCATGTCAACGACTTTTTGTCCGCGCGCTCATGTTTTAACTTCCACGTCCTCCGCTCTCTCTTCACCATGTTTCTGGACCGAGGCGGTGATGTTGTTAGGTAAACGTTTATTGACGATTTAGGTGTAGGGGTTAATATGATGATTGTTTTGAGGAGGTCTGACACGACGATGTTTTGGACGGAGGGGGGGTTGATATGACGATTTCGGTAACTGGTTCGCCTCTACATTTTTTTTTTTTTTTTTTTTTGAGAAAATCCTGGCCATGCAGATTTTTGTCGTGCGATATATCGGTAGATTCCTCTGGAACTGGGCCAACGTTCTCTTCTAAAATAGGATATTTGCTGATAACCCTTTTTCCAGTCGCCACCGTTAGTCTCAACCTCCAAGTGACCTCCGATGCAGGTTAATATATCGCTCCCCGCTCGTCCTAATTCGCGAAGCCCACGTTTTTCGATTTTGCAGAGAGGAGAGTGAAAAATGAGGATGATATTAAAAGAGACTCATGATAAAAAAAGGTTATGTGGTGATGCCCATGCCAAAGTCGAAAAAAAGGTCATGCGGGGATGCCAATGCTAAATCTGTAAAATAAAGGCGATGGATGATGCAGATCATCACAGTGCAAAAACAGTGGTCAACCACGTAACAAAACAAAAAAAAGATGGCGTGCAGCAATAAACAGTCGGCAATTTTGTACACTTCTCCTTCCTCCATTCATTTATTTGGCTGCTCAGATCGATGATATCTCCTCCTTGGTGGCCTATTGCTCCTCTTCTTGGCAGCCATGATGGCGGCATACGACCCCGCATACCCTTTACTCTTCTTGGTCGGCGGCCTCGAGTACTTGTACAACGACCCGACCTCATCAATCTCCTCCTCGACAATCATCATCGCCTTGTCCACACGTTCTTCAAGCGTGCCCTCCTTTCCCATGGCTAGGAGGTGCTTAAATACGTTGGATATGATCCGCCGCTGGATGTAGTACGCGCTCTGCTCGGTCAGGTTGAAGTTTTTTCGCCACCGCTTGGCCATCACTGCGGCCGCACACCACACAGAGGGCCGGTCCTGTTCCGAAACCACCCATCGCTGCCAGAGATCCTCCAGTGACGACGACACGGCAGTGTGGAGCCGCCAGGTCCTTTCGAGGCCCACGAGTTCCTCTGGTGGGGGCTGGTAGTATAGGGCCGCCACTTCGTCAAGCAGCGCGTTGTAAGCTCGTTCACTGAATATTTCAGTGCGTGGCTGGTCCGCGTCGAATGCATAATCGCCATCATCATGGTCATCTTCATGGTCCTCGCCACCATCAAGGTCATATTCGTGGCCCTCACCAGGATCCTCATGACCAGCTTCTTTGTTTTCTCCATCGCTCTCGTGACCAACTATGCCCCATTGCTCGCCACCGGACTCCTCCCCTTCCTCTTTGTAGTCCTCATCCGACAGTGCCTTGTAGTCATCGTCGTCGTCGTTGTCGTAGCTATCCGAGTCCGGCCCAGAGATGTCGCTCACGGTCACATAGTTCTCATGGTCTATGGTCTTTTTCTTGCCCCTGTCCTTGTTCTTCCTCGTGGCCATGGGTGGAGGTGGCGTTCTGACTTTGGCTTTGACTGGTACCTTGGCTGCAGCTCTACGTGGCGCCTTGACTGGGGCCTCGACTGGAGCTTCGACTGGGGCCTCGACTGGAGCTTCGACAGGAGCTTCAACAGAGGCCTCGACTGGAGCCTCGACTGGGGCCTTGACTAGGGCCTCGACTGGAGACTTGACTAGGGCCTCGATTGGAGCCTCGACTGAAGCTCTACGTAGCACCCTAACTGGGGCCTCGACTGGGGTCTTGACTGGGGCCATGACAGGTTTCCTCGTGGTCTCGTTGACGCGGTGGTACTTGGCATGATGAAGCTCCTCCTTCTGGTCCTCGTCTGAAAAGTCTTCCTCGGCATCCATGAACCTCTCGTCCACTTCCATATGCTCCACCACCGCCTCTACAACCGCCTCATCCACATGCCGGGCTATATGCTCGTTTTCCCGAATATAATAATCGTCTCGTCCTTGACTCTCCCGTGCAATATCCATTTTCTCCCCATCCTCCATCTGACTCACGCGCCTAGCGACATTATCCACCAACACTTCCAGATCATCCATCCGACGAGATCCATAGTCAAGTCTCTGCTCAACATCATACACATCCATCCTACGCACCACAGAGTTGTGGCGGTGATTGCTGGTTCCCCCCAGACTGTTGTCGCTATGGTCGCCATTACTGTCGTCATTGGAGTGGAGCATTTGCGAATCCCGGTTCCGGTCAAGTCGATAAAGCCGACGATGGATCATACTCAGGTCCTGGGCAGCATCATCCTTCTGCGCATTCAATTGCCATTGCAGGTCCGCAACATGTGCCCGGTACTGTCTCGCCATCGACTCGATTTGTGCCTGGTGTTGACGGTCCATATCCTCGAGTCGGCTGGTAAATTGGTGGACGAGGGCATCGTGGCGGGCTTGGTTCTGGGAGACAGTGTCATCGAGGCGAGTAGCCATCGCAAAGACTTGTTCGGTGAGGAGGCGGAGAGCGTTGTTTTGCTTGGCGACGCGGTTGTGGAGGTCGATGACCGAGTCCTCTGCGGTTGGTGTGCCTGTCGTGAAAGAGAGAGCGACAGTAGCGCATGTAGGGGAAGGGGAAGCAGTGGGGGTGATGGTAGTTGTGGTAGTGGTAGATGTCGACATGTCGACTGTCGTAGACGCTGCTCTTGTTCTCTTGCCAGTCATTGAGGTTGGCTTCTTGTCCGACATTGCTGTGGGAGTAATGGCGACAAGACACGAGGCGTGTATATGTTTATGAAAGGGAGGCGATGTGTAAGTGTGTGATTATGAGCGGTGTGAGTGAAGAGTGAGTGTTAGACACAGAGAATGAGAAGAGAGAGAGAGGAGCGAGAGTTGTGTGTGGAATGAGATGAAGAGTGAATCTAATGAGTCAAATGTGAGAGAGGGTTTTTTTCGTAGTGCGCAAAGTGATGAGCGGAGTGACAAGGAAAAAAAAAGGAGGAGGGTAGGTGGACAGAGAGAGATAACGTCGCTTCGATTTGTTTTCGTATGCTTGTTTTAAGGGGCACCCCATCCTTGACCAACATGTGCTCCTTGCCATAATACAAAAGATTTAGCTCACCTGAGTGGTGGAAACGCATGTATTAGAGGTTGAGAATGTCTGCAGTGGTAGTGCTGGGAACTGCATGCTCCGTTCTCGACATTGTCCCCTCTTGTGGAGGCAGAGATAGGGTATGCACCCACTGGTAGTTCTGGGAACTACATGTTTTCTGTCTCGAGAATGTCCTAGGTTAGTGGTGGTAGGAAGAATCAGCTCTGGCTCCTTACTTATGTGTCTTTGTATTTTGCGCACTTGGTGACAGTTACCCATGCATTGATCGTGAAAGAAAAAAAGGCGTAAACGAATGTTGGATGTGATCGCGTGTCACATAAACGACAGACACGCGTGGCGAAGACTAAAAAATCTCCTCCACTCCTTCTTTTACATCCTGCAGACTCCGGTCTTTGTTTTTACTTCTTTACTTCCTTGGAATGTCTGAGAGTCGATGCCTAGCTGAGTGTTCTCTTGACAAAGAACATGAGTTCTAGTTTAATCGAGATGGCGAGAGTGAAATAAATCAACAACTATACTCAGACGTCGTGATACCCTTCTGTCGTTTGGCTTTCTCCTTTGTTCCGTCAGGGCAAAGCCTTTTTTTTTGAAGCGCACAGAGGTAGGAGGTCAAAAATAAGTTACAGTTGGAGGCTATTGGTGATGATGACCTCCAAAAGGACGAAAGGAGAGGAGGATTCACAGTGAATGACATGATTGAAGAAAGGAGGAGAGACTGCTGGTGCAAAGTAATGACAAACAGGGATGTTAAGGATAATGATGATGTAACTAAGGAGAGATGTAGTAGCGAAGTATGAAAGTACGTAAGAAACGGTAAAATGATACCTCACCACCTTGCAAATTCACTTCAGGTCGCAGTCGTATAAGATCCCCAGGACCAATTGCTTTATCCCCCAATATTTTATTTCTGAAAACAGCTGCTAATAGCTTCCGCAGGTTTGCTGGCACCAGCTTCTTTTATATTGAACATGTTCTTTAGCTTCTTTCCACTTCAACGTTTTGCCTCTGTACTTGATGCCAAGGATGTATGGCGGTGCCTTAGAATCAAGCCTCGTCGTTTTTTGACGGGGCCTGCACTTACATAGCTAATGTCGGTACCAAACCCCAGGTAGGCTTCTTACTCACCATCCGAGTCCCAAGCATATACCACTTTATTTCAGCAGAAATCAAAGGTGTAGGCTCCTGCTTCAACATCGGTTTGGATCGAGAGGATGGCTAAGTATGCTGGATTGAAGGACTTCATTTGGAGCTTTGTTGTAATGAAAAAGGCGCGCAGGATGATAATAGTAAAAAAGAAAAGAGATATAGGTCGGAATTGAAATGAATGTGGCCTACTTGTTAAGTATGATTGTGAAAGTTCAAAAGTGTAGCCTCACTATTTTAGGTCCCTTCTCTCGGCGTTGTTTGATATCGTCGTACATTTGATCATGGACCCATCTTCACCTCCGTAATATACTCTCCTGGCAATCAAAAAGAAAATGATAAGGGAACCGTGTGAAAGTTGTGCCCTGCGAGTATTTTCTGTGGGTGATCCTGGGGACGGTTCTTGGTGTTTATCTGTAGTGGGCTGGAATGTCGAGGGACTCTCTGAGTGTATGATAGCTCTCTTTTAAGGAAGGCTGGCTTTTGTCAAGGCAAGGTCAGAAGGTGTCAAAGAGGGTCTAGGAGGTGAGTTTGCTAGGGTGAGATCCTAATTCTTCATGAAGCTATGGCCTCTCATACACGTTTCCAAGAAGAAAGGGAGCTGGCCTTCGTAAGATGCAGATATGGACAGTTGAGTATGGGGTAATCGGTACGAAATAGGGTTGAGCTGTTAGGTACTGTCGACGCGGTACATGGCGGCATGTATGCTTGTCCCGTATAGCACTGAACCCCGGAATGGATACGATAAAAAGTGGGAAGTTTGACCTGGTCCAAAACGGTCGGTCAGAGCAGTGGGCCTAGGAAATATCCTTTATTGTTTGTTACACGAGACGGCGCCGCGGGGTTCAAACATGCGCCTCAAGTTTCTCAGTAATCATTGCCTTGAACGAACTGGGGTGCTCCGTGTCTACACAGCCGCACGTTTAACGTTTTTATGGGAGTGAAACGTGTTGTCGGAAAACAAATGTTCATGCCAGCAGGACAAAAGTCACATAGTTGATATTACCCCACTGTACTCGTTGCTCCGTTGGAAGCAATTTTTTTTCCTAAATCTTAGTGCTGGTGGTATCGTCCTCAGGGTGCGAGCCCAGTCCCTGATTGTGTATACAATACCGGCATCATTCACGCTCTCCCACCATTCGCCTTTCTTTACATTTGTTCGCTTAACTGTGACGTAACAGAAGGGAGGACATAAAAAGGATGGAGAGGGTGGACGGAGAAACATGACGCATTAGGAACACAAAAAATATTTTAGGCCCACATTTTTCTCGAGCATGGGCACACAGGTTGGTAGCTCCTTTCCTTTCCTTCTGTTCCATACCAGGCATCTACTTGTTAGCCAAAACTCTCGTGAAGATTCTGATCAGGGCTTCGCCCTAAGCATTTCCTTTTCCACCCTTCCTTTTCTCCCTTCCCTTACTCTTTCCTTTTTCTAAGCCTCATTTTTGCTTCCTGGAAGCAGGCACTCATAAAAACATATCCTGCGATTTTTTTATTCTCTCACATGTTCAGCACACCCTAGCGCCATGCTCGTCCCTCTTGTCCTGCTTCCTTCTGCTTCGATATAATGCAACAACAAAAACCGGTGACTGAATGAGCGAGGTCATATACTGCAAGAGTGAGAGCAATGTCCGAATCGGCATCATTGGCGAGAGTCATGATCAGTGGAGGGGTGGGTGGGTGTTTGGGTAAGGGAAGGAATCGAACTCAGCTCCATCCGCCCTCATGATGGATCAGTACTTTATCATGTTCCGCATTGGAATGTAAGAAAAGAAAGTGCTTATGAAAGGGAATATATGGAAAGAATATATTATGCAAAGAGATGGGATTCTATGTGTTATGTATCTACGCACCAAAGCTGGAGAGAAAAAAGCATCTAAAGGCGCTTGCAGACAGCATCGGTGACCTCCTGGGTAGTGCTCTTACCGCCCAGATCAGGGGTCTTGATCAACCCCTCCCTCAACACTCCATCGACCGCCTGATAGATCCTTGCGGCGTCACCAGAGTATCCCATATGCTCCAACAGCAAACCTGCACTACGGATCGCCGCAATTGGGTTTGCCTTCTGCTGGCCTGCAATGTCAGGTGCTGATCCGTGGACGGGTTCTCCGACCACAAAGTTATCGCCCACGTTCGCCGAGGGGACCAATCCAAGAGAGCCGACAAGAGCAGCAGCGCCGTCCGAGATGATATCTCCGTAGAGGTTAGGCGCAACGACAACATCAAAGGCCTCAGGCTCGCGGAACATTCTATAAACCATCGAATCCACCAACTGCTCGTCCATATCAACGCCGGCGTAAAGGGCCGCGTTGTTCTCCTTGACGCCACGGACGGTCTCGCGCCAGAGGCCATCGGTGATGCTGAGAACGTTGGACTTGTGGATGATAGTGACCTTTGGCTTTCCTTGCCAAAGGCGTTCAGAGGCGGGGATCGATGAACGGAGTTTGTCGCGCATGAGGGCCATGTTGAAGGCCATCAGGCCAGCTCTTCTTGAGGCGTATTCGGAGATCCTGCGATCGGCGTATGCGACCTTGAGGCCGTTTGCGTCTGTCTCGATCCTCTCCTGTTTGATATACTATTGGGATGTAATGATAACAAGGGAAAGGGCAATTGTTAGGAGAGGTGAACATTAATGAAAAAGCATGGCCCAGAGGGGAAGGAAATGAGTAAAACACAGGAAGATAAGGAGGGAAGAATTACCAAGCACTCAGTGTTCTCGCGGATGATCAACATATCGATCTGCTTCTGTCCAGTTCCGGCGACAGAGGCGACGGGGCGGACGTTGGCATAGAGGTCGAGGTGCTTTCTGAGGGCGACGATGGGGGATGAGTATCCTGCAACCTTGTGCGATGGCGAACTAAAAAATGAAATCAATTATCGTTCATTAAAAGAGATCTGTTAGGACTGCTTTTTTGACTCCTTTCCCTCTCTCGCACACCCACTCAGGTGTCGGACATCGTTTTTTGAGTTGAGCCCTGATGGAACCATTGTCTGTCATCCAAGATGGAGATCGATGATATTCGCACGCGCCAACTGAAGGAATAGATAATCTAACAGCGGTGATAAAGCGCCTCTTCCTCATCGTTGTCCTCTATATACACACAGAGCATGTTCCCGTATTCCTGCATGTCTCTCCTGTTGCCATTATCAATCAATTAATGCGTTCCTGCCTCGCTAGTATTTACCTGACAGCGCCAAAGAGAGCTCCTTGGCACTCACCACGGAGACGGGCAAGGGTCTCCTCGGGGAGGGCAACGCCATGCTTCTGGAAGTGCTCAAATCCTGCATCGAGGTGGATGAACTCGAACCGGGGGCTCAACTCGGACTTGGGCAACGACTCCAGAACTTGGCGAGCAGCCTGTAACAAAATACAACAAGGTAAGCGAGGACATGTGTGAGTAAGAAGGAAACCAGTCCTGACACACGGGTATGACTTTTCTCATTGCGACATAGGAAGAAGGGGGAAAGGCGGAGAAAAGGGACTTACGGGGATGACTTCACGACCGATACCGTCGGCGGGGATCAAACCGATGGTGACTTTGTTGGACTGGGCGGCAGTAGCGAAACCGCGACGAAGAAGAGAAGCCATTTTTTATGTTATGTATTTACAGGTATATGTGTGGTATGTATAAAGAGTGGGATGGAGCCGATGTTGATGCTAATTGCGAAACAATGGCGTGAATGAGCGTGTGAATGAGGAGGGAATGGAAGGAGTGTGTGTGTGTGAGGGAAATAGAAAAGGAAAGGAAAAAAAAAGGGGAACTAAACCCGTGCGAATGGCTTTTATGCATTTCGTCCAGGTACAGATGATAATCAGTGAGTGGGAAATCTAAATTATGTGAGTGATCTTTTCATCACAAATAATTTTTTATCACTTGTGAACGAGACCAAACTGATCAAACTATCCCCAATCAGATCTACACGTCAAATTCATCCGGGGATTGGTGGCGCTGGTTTCCTTCCTTTTTTGATGATCGTATTAGATCGCTGTGGCAGCCGTCTATCCACTGGAGTCGTAGTAATCCGTACTAAGTGCTAAGCGCATCCACATACGACGAGGTAGTATCCGTTGTGGTCAAACATCCCTCCCCCTTTCGATGCATATGGTAAGTAGCCTTTCGACCTTCTTTGTCTTGATTTCAGCTTTTTACGTTCCTCTCCCCCACACCCTTTTCACGGCTTCGTTCCCAGAAGCATTGGATTGATGAAAAAGGCCGTGTGTGGACACTACTCTTCTTCTTATCCTAGGAAATATAAATAGCAGCATCAGCGCTTTGTATTTTCCTCTTCCTTCTTCCTTCTTCCTTCTTCCTCTCTCTCCTATCGCACTTTCACTCCAACACATTCACACAAAACGCCCCAAGTCCAAATCCTCTTCGCACATCCCTAAACCATGAACTACTACGACACAATTATCGAATGCGTTGTCATGCCCGCAATTAACGCAGCCAAGCCCGTCGGAGCCATGCCCCTCCCAGCCAACAGGCCTTACCCTCGTCATCAGCAGGACGAAGACGAAGAGCAGGGCGACATCACCGAAATCGAGTCCAACAACGTCAACTGGAACATGCTCCATTCTGGCCGTCTAACCCCCGATCAAGAAGAACGTTACCACGCCAACATCAACCGTAGCGCCAGTGATTCTCCAACCTCTTCCTCCGTCTCCCGCCTTGACCAACGCAACCGTGACTGTGAACTTGCCTCTGACCACCATCACCACCATCAGCAGAGCTACCAACGACAGGGAATGGGTAGACACAAGTTTTCACGCCTCAGTGCAGGAGGAAAAGTCATCAACCGTTCCCTTGCCTTGAACTCCGCTACATTCCAGATGAAGCAAGGCAAGGCCGCCTGGCGTCAGCTCGGAACTGAAGTGAGGTCACGTCGAAACGCGACGGAAGATTATGAGGTTATCAAGCACGTGTGTCGCAGCGTTGGTGAACGACCTGAAGGCATGTATGAGGAGCAAAATCTCATCCGCCAGGAGCTGCGTCGCCGTTGAGTAGTTGACATGGACATTGTAAGCGTCTCCTGTAAACATCGTGCTTCATTTCCTGGCGCTAGTACCCCTCCTGTTCTTTTGCTCCGTACACAATGGTTCCTTCAGATGTTGATAGAGTAGCGTTTATAGAGTGTGGAGGCGATAAAAGAACAATAAATTACAAACGCTTGTTTCCTGTTTATGGCTCTGACTTCCAGTTGGCCCACTCGTTCAATGTCTCGTCCGTCACATAGTCGTATCTCCAGATGAACGAATCCTCTCCCGCGCAAACTACAGTCCTGATGTGCATGGAAATGAGGATTAGTACACAAAGATCAGAGTTTGACAAGGCAAAATGGGAACGGTTACTCCATACAAAATAATTGAATATGAGTGTTACCTGCTGTCGCGCGCAAAGATGCATGTGCGGATAGCTTTTGTTGACCGACGGTGCTTCAGCTCTGTCACCGTCCGTCCTGTATCGATGTTGTAAATATAAACCGATCCATTGCTTGTGCCCACGCAGAAAAACAGCTCATCCAAGCTATTGTCATAGGGTTGATATAGAAAAACAGTCAGAGCTTATTGATTTTGTCATATTTCATCCAGTTCAGGCATTATACAGCTGCCCTCGATCGTACCTGACGTCGAATCGGCACTGGTTGCTGGCGGTGTTTTTGATGTTGAAGGTGCGGATCTGGGCCAGAGACTCGGGATCCCAGTACTCGACCTTTCCGTTGACAGACTTCGATAGAACCTTGCCCTTTGCGAACCGGATGCAGTCTAATCAGTTTGCCAACGTACATAGTGTTAGCCCTGGCTTCTCTGTATCACCCATTCTCAAATATATCCTGGTACTACTCTTCCTATGAAACGTACCTATCCTGGCAGAGTGAAGTCCAGATTGCAATACCCGACTGTCATTGGCCAACACAACGATGGGTTCCTCGGGTTCAGAGTCCAATGTAGGGATCGACCATTCACGGATCTCTCCGTTGTAACCTCCTGTCAAAAACGTCTTTCCTTCCGTGTTTGGGTCGAAGCACTAAAGTTATAAATAGTAATTGCCTGTCAGTGATGTTGGGTTACTTCTATGGAACTGTAGCTCAATCCCTTGATGTGTGTAAACTTATGCTTACCACGACAGATGCCTTGATCTCAAAAACGAGTAAGCATTTCCCTGTAAGAATGTTCCACATGCGGACACTGCCGTCCTTTGACGCCGAAATCAAATAGTCGTCGTTAAAAGGGTGTGCCTGAATATCGGTAATAGTATCTATCATGAGAAACCCAGTTCTTATTAATATGGTTGCCTAGCAATCCTCGTTATCCCGTAAATGAAATTAGCAATAAGCGCTGAGACTTACGGCTATGTCCTGTAAGGCGAACGAGTTCCTTGGACCTCGACAGACTGAGGATGTGAACAATATTGTCTGTGCCTGCAGTTGCAAGAATGGCATCCTGAGGTTGATGAATCCAGCAGCACGTCAACATTTCCTATAGTGATCGATAAAGTGTGAAGTGAGCATCCTGCTCTTCTTTGACCGTCGGTCCAAAAACACTACTTGGCCGTCTGTGTCACTTACAGGGAGCTCCTCTGCGCCTTCTTCGCCAAAGGGGTCCAACAAAAAGTGCGACATAATATCCAAATGATCTCCGCAATGCTCGTTATCGTAAATGTTTGCCTATAACACCAACACAAAGAATAAGATCAGTCTCGTTGCACAAAGCAATATTGTCATCCTTTCGCAACTCATTAATATTGTCCGCGACGAGTCGCAATACCTGTGGTCCACCAGTAGTTCCAAGGATATTACTATTATCCCACGGATCCCGCTTAACAGACCCCCGCTGCTCAAAGACCTTGACATGATCCAGTCCAAAGGGTGTCTTGTTATGTCTCTGGTCCAGACAGAACGCCATCTGGTTGATTTCGCTAGAGTGGTTCTCCTTGACGATACGGCGGAGACGCATGTTCTTGAAGATGGCTTCCAGTTGTTCGCTCTTGTTGACTATGCTCGTGGTAGTTTCCTCGGCGGTGGTTGTTGTGGTAGTGGTGATGGAGGTGGAGGAGGAAGATGGCGACTTTGGTTTCTTGGAGGGTGCGGGCGAAGCAGAGGATGCGGGGGTGAAGAAGTCGTCCTCGGAGGAGATTGCTCCGGAAGACTCCTCTCTTTCTCGCTTCAGGGGCGATGCTGCTGCTGACATGATGTGCTGGGTGGATGTGTGTGAGGCTGTGGCGAAAGAGGGAGAGGAAGAAAGAAAAGAGGCAAGAGGCACGCGAAGCAACAAAATAGTGGCAAAAATGAAAATTGTAAACAAATACAAAAGCGCGTCCCAGCCAGACACTGCACAGATCATTCAATTAGGGGACAGAGTTGATCAATTGGTTTTTGAAAGGTTTATTTGAGATGAGAGGGATCACTTGTCCTCCTTATCAGATCCCTCCTGGTCAGATCGCTTGCCGCCCTTGTCCTCCTTGTCTGAGCCTCCCTCCTCGTCGTCGTCAGAGTGTGCATCGGCGCGTTTCTTGTTCTGTCTGTTGTTGTTGGCTCGCTGCTTTCTCCGCTGTCTCTTGTTCCGGTTCTTTTCTGTCTTTTCCTCGTCCTCTGCCTTCTTTGACTGAATCTTCTCCTCATACTCGCGCTGTTCTCGCTCCTATTGAATTTATTGAAGGCGAAAGCGTAGAAGTTGTTAATATTTGCACTTGATCAATTGGGAAGCTGAACTAGTCCAAGCTTCTTGGCTGTGATCCTTGAACGTTCGATCTGACCACCCATTAATAAGCATTCTCCGGGACGGACCCTGATCTTGCTTGTCCACAACAACCTCTCAATTACAATCCCAACGACAACAAAAAACAATGAAGCCTTCAAACATACCTCCTTGGACTCCTCATCCATCTGCTTCAACCGCGCATACTCCCGCCTACGTCCAGCCCTATACACATGGAAATCTCCACTTCCTGCACCTGCACTGGAACCCTGAATATTCTTCACATAGTCCTTGGGTTCACGGTTGATTGGTTTTGCTTGGGGTCGTTCGGGGATCCGGACGGGCTTGTCGATCTTCTCGAGCAGCTTGTCGAGCTGCTTCTTTTGTAATTCCAGTGGCGTGAGATTGTGCTTTATGGGGGCGCGTGGCTCCGATGATTCGTCGTCGGAGAGGGCGTGTTTCTTGGAGGTTGACATTGTGGTCTTAGGATTAGAGTTGTTAATGTGATGTCCCTGGACGTGTGTTTGTGTTTGTGTCCTGGTTGATTGGCTTGACTTGATGCTTGAGGTTCCTGTGCGAGTTGCGCGGTGAGAGTTGATGTTGGAGATCAAAAAAAGTGCAGTAGAAGAGAGGCTGCTTTTGCTTTGCAGGCAAATGGGTCACGTGCAGCTAATCTCTGATAGATTCCTACGCGAGGAAGGAAAGACCACGGAGAACATGGAGGAAGACAAGGGGAAGAAAGAAAGGGCAAAGGAGGCGGTCAAGGAAGGGGAGGAGGGGACGATAAAGGACATGTTAGTTTTCATTCGCCACCAGAGAAGAAGCAAGTGTCCGTCAGCAGAAGACAACGTCAAACCAATTGTTCATGTCTTGACGATACAAATCAAGGAAGCAAAAATACACTTGCATTGAGCATCATGCTGAGTGATGCTCTTTTGCTCTCTTTGGTTTTTCATTTTTACTCTTGGTGCATCCTCTAATTCTCCTTCTTCCTCCTCCTCCTTCTTTCTCACTCTTTTCTTTCTCTTTCTTCTTTTTCATCTACTCTCTCATAACACCTCCCTCTTTGTATCTCCCACATCAATTCACTACATTATCTCTCTCTTCCTCCCCCCACTTCTCCTCTCCTCGTTCTTTCTCTCTTCCTCTCTTTCGCAACTCCAAACATCGATTCACCGAAAATAGCACCGTAGCGGCAAACAATAACAAACCATGTTCCCAAGAAGTGAACGGTTTGTCGAAAAGGCACGTCCACCCACCCTCCAGTAATTGTAGCAACAACACCAACAAACAGAACAACAACAACTCTCCTTCACCCGCACTGACACACACATCCTCTTCTTCCTCCACACAAACAGATCGACATCACACCAGGACCCAACCACTACGACGTCAAGAACGGCGAAGACGACCCCTACAAACGGTTCGGGTTCCTGGGCAAAACTAAACGTTTCCAAGACCAACATAGACGCCAACAACAACTGCAACAGCAAGGACTCAGCAACTCTTCTGGAGGACCCTATGAACGCAACTCGTTATCGCTATCATTGCCTTCATTGGTGATTGACGACGATGGGACGGACACGGCATCGGTTAACTCGAATGGATCGACAACCCCAGATTATACCCGTCGGCCAACGAATGTTAGATCAAAGAGTTCTGATAAGTTGGGGTTGATGTCCAACAAAATGGAAGAAAGGCTGAAACGAGAGGTATGATATAGCGATAAATGACATTCGGTGGGCTTATTGGTATGATGATGATGAAGGTTGAAAAAAAGGACGGACAAGCAAGGGACAGGCTACAAAAAAAAAAGGAGAAAGGACGAAGATCCGTTTTACCCTTCCGACTCATACTTGTCCCTGATGGTGAACGTCCAACTCTTTTGGTGTTCTTGGACCATGATGTGTGTCTGTGTGCAATGGCACAATTAACGTTGAAGGATGGGCGGACCATTCTCTCCTTTCATCCCCCCCCCCAAAAAAGTCATCCACCACCACACATTATACCTGTTCCTGCCTTCACTGCTTCAAGACACCAACCTTGTGCCTGCCTCACCCCACTAACACTTCTTCTCTCCTGCATATTGTTTGTCATGCTGTCCCCCACACCCCTCCCTTTATTTCTTCAATTCCCTATGTCTCGACCCCATTGTCTCATGTAGCTCGCAGGATTGACCGAACGATTCGAGAAATATAGGATCTCACACCAAAAGGACCTGGATGTGATGGCCGAGAAGCAGAAAAGAGGCGAGGCTATGTACCAAGGCGCCATCAAGGACAAGAATGCCATCATGACCCAGCTTGCCTCCAAGGAATCGGAAATTGGTATGTATTGAACAATTTGTTAAGTCCCCGGCCCTCATGCTTGGTTGGCTGCTTGGACGTATCTATACAATCGATCGATCAATGCAATGCGATGCACTCCTATTTTGTTTTCCCTCCCTTTTTCTGCATTGACAGATGACATTGTTTGTCTACCCCTGGTAGAAGATGAAGTTTGTTATTTTTATCTATTACCCTACTCCAACCAAGCAACCATGGGCGTATTATTGTGGTTGATCTAATTTTGATTTTCGACTAGTGCAGTCAAAAGGCAGAGTGCTCAAATAGATCTTCGAATTCATATGAGTACTACCGTACCTAACTCCACCTCTTCCCTCCTCCTCTGAACGAATAGCGGACCTCAGCGTGCGGCACAATATCCTCAGAGCCAGTGTAAGTACCTCTTTCGACAAAAGGCTTGCCGCGTCTCATCTCGAAATAAAATATAGGGTTGATTCAAGGTTAATGAGAGGACATGCAAGCCAGTCAAAACCCAAAAAAAAAAAAAAGAGAGAGCACTATCCTCTACCACACATATCAGAAAAAAAATTGTTCTCTTGCAAGCAAGCAAGTAGGGAGCAGCTCTCAACTTTTTTGGATGCTCACACACACACACACACACTCACTCACTCACTCATACATTCGTTTTATTACCTCTTCACCTTTCGTTCTATTTTTCCCTCCAAAAAATATATGCATGCCTCAATAGCTCGACAAGTCAGAAAAGGCAGCAGCGGTAGTCAACGACAAAATCGGGAAATCTGTCCTGCTCCAGAAACGTATCGACGAGCTTGAGAAGCTTCTCAACCGGACAAAACTCTCCCTCGAGGAACAGCAATCCACCAGCATCGCCCAACGTGAGAAACTCACACAGGAGAACCAGCAGCTCTCAGAGCAGCTCGGAAAGCAGAAAGAAGTCTCGGAGCAGACTTTGGAACAGGCTCGGGAGGAACAGAGAGTGGAGCGAGAGAGGTATGAGGCGGATGTGAGACGGGCCAAGGATGATTCGGAGTATTGGAAGCGCAAGTATGAGGATCTGGAGAGGCGAGTGAGGGAGTTGGAGGAGGAGCTTGAGAGGGAGAGGAAGCTCGTGGAGGAATTGCGGGCAAAGATGAGGCAGGAGCGGGAGCAGTTGCAGGCTCAGATCGATGCAGCTGAGGAGAAGGTCCAGACGCTGGAGAACAGCCAAAGAGAACTCAAGGCTGCTAACAAGGAGACCACAGACCGACTTCAGCGGGAGAAGAAGCAGCTCGATGAGCAGTTGGAGGCTTCGAGGATGGAGTTTAAGCAGCTGGAGGATAAGCACCAGGCGACCGAGCGTGAGCTGGAGGAACAGACCGTCCAGCGTGCTAAGGCCGTCGAGGCCATGGAACTCCAGCACCAGGAACACCAGACCCGTCTCACCAAGGAGCGTCAGGACCATGCCAAGGCCCGCCAAGAACTCGAGCAGTCAATCGCTCATCTGATCTCGGAACTTTGTCAGAATAGGGATGCGCTATTGAGGGTCCAGAAGGAACGCACCACCTTGCAAGAGAAGTACGATGACAGCCAGTTGGAGATCCAAGCCATCTCGGGAGCCATGAAGACCCTCGAGGAACAGCATCAGGAGTTGAAGGAAACTTCTCGACAGACCCAGGAGGAGCTGACTGCCAAGCACAATGACTTTTCGGAAGAGACTGCCCAGCAAAAGAAGGAGTCAGATGCCCAGATCACAGAGCTCAAAACGACGCTGGAGAAGAAGCAGGAGGAGTATACTAAGGTCATGAAGAGTATCGAGTCTGTTCAAGCCGAATTGAAGAGCGTCGAGTCTGAACGTGAGGAGGCCATTGCCCAACGTCTGGAGGAGGAGCGGCAGTCACGAGAGAAGCAGGAGCGTTTGGATACCCTGGAGCAGGAGAATCAGTTGGCGACAGTGCAGTTGACAGAGATGAGCGAGAGTAACTGTATGATGAAGCAGGAGTGCGATCGACTGATCGACCTGACAGAGACCCACGAGAAAGAGATCGTTGACTTGCAGGTCAACTTTGACAAAGCGAGCGCTGAGAACAAGGAGCGAGAGGCTCAGCAGCAGAAGCGGATCCAGGAACTCGAGGATGTCTCTCTGGCAGCTGCCAAGCAAGCTGAGGTCTTTCGCAGGAACGAGGAGGTCTGGGAGTCAGAGAGGATCAAACTGACGGAGAATACCACGGGTCAGATGTCGACGATTGCAACCCTGGAGTCGCGCTTGGACATCATCACGTCAGAGAAGGAGGCCGAGGCCAAGGCGAGTGCACAGAACATCCGGGATCTGGAGATGCGGTGTCAGCTGATGGAAGCCGCATTCAGGGACCTGTTCGAAAAGTCTGGTTCGACACAGGAGATCGAAGGGTCTGACGAAGCGACATCCGACACTGTCTGGAAACAGCATTCAGAAGCCATCCTCAACGTCCTCCTCCACCATACCACCACCTGCTCCATCAGCAAGACCGAACACGCCGCTCTCCTCGAAGAAAAAGCATCCCTCGAATCCTCTTCCCTTGCCCTCAGCGCCCTTCTGGCCAACCAAGATGCCTCTGTCACCAAGTCCCACACCGATCACTCTGGCCTGCTCGCAAAGATCGCCGAACTCGAGGACCAAATCCTCCGTCTCAACATGCAAGTCGAGTTCCTGGAGGCCGAAAACATTGGAAAAGTCGCCATCATCAAGGCCCTCCAGGACGAATACGAGTACCAGGAACGCGTCATTCGTGACCTGTCGAAACACGATGACGCCGTCAAGGAAGTCGCCCGCCTTGAAGAAGAACTCCGAACATTGACGAACCATACCCGCGATACGGACGAGTGGGTCAAGCAGGTGCAGGCGGATGTCGAGAAATACAGGGAAGCGTATGTCAAGGCGGATATTGCGCGGGAAGAGACGTTGTTGGATATGAAGAAGCTGCATGAGGAACTGGCCGAGTCCGAAGCTGCGCGCTTGCAGGTCGAGAACCAGCTTCAGGCCGATGTCAGTGTTCTTATCAAGAAGAATGGACTTTCTAATGATGAGCTCTCCCGTCTGTCAAAGATGAACGTCGACTCTGCCCAGAACCTCTCCCTCAAGCAAAAGGTAACTTTTTTTTTTATTTGCTCAAAACATGTTTACATGGATATGTCGTGGGTGTTTGTTTTCGTATATTCATCGTTCTCACATTGTATTGTCCTTTTTGTTCGATATGATAATAGGTCAGGCAGGTGGCGCAACTCAAGGAAGAGAACTTGGCGCTCAAGAAGAAGAACCTCGCCCTCTCCAACACCCGCGACACCCTCCGCCTCAAATCCCTCCAAACCGAACGCGACCTCGAAGCTTACAAGGCTGCCGTCGCCAATGGAACCCTCAGCTCATTCACACCCACACATACACATACACATACACATACACCTAGTGTCAACACCAACACTAACAACCATCGCCAATCGACGGCCAGTTCCGTATCCGGCGCCTCTACCATCTCATCCGCCACTTCTTCAGCAGGTGACGTATCACCAAACGGAAAGTTGCAATTGCAGGCCTTGACTGCCGCTGTTTCTGACGTCGCCGTGTCTTCTACTCCTGCGCCGTCGGTGGCTTTGTTGGCATCTCCGATGATGCGTCCACGTTCGACATCCACAACTTCTGTCCGATCTGCGAACGGTGGCAGTTCCTCGTCCAAGCTTTTTAGCAGCACTGCTTCCTCCTCTCCTTCTACCGCGAGTGGTGGTGCTAAGCCTATCAGCAATAAGGGACCGATCCGATCTCGGGCTGCGCGTAGTTTCATGGCGGGCCATGCCTCTACCGGCAGCTCTTAAGGGCCGTGCTCCCTTTTTTCATACCGTTGTTCTTTCTTTCACCCGTTTTTTCTCTCCACCTTGTACCAAGATTTTCATGTAACATATTTCCCATCCCCAAGGCCCCAGCCTTCAATAAACATCCACTTCAACCGTTCGCTTCTCCTCACCCACATTGAATTGTCAACACCATGCATGCAACGAAGGGGCAAAACTGGTATCCACTCATCCTACCCCATCGCTGTTTCTTTTCCCCACTTTCTACATCTCCTCCTCTTTCCCAAAAAAGAAACGGAAATAAAAGGTTTTTTTATTAAAACGATTAACTTACCTTGCCATTCCAAGGATAATCGACCATCATCACAAACAACCATCCGTGGTCCGTGAAAAAAAAACTTTAAACCTACTCACTCAGTTCAGGGGGACCGACGACTAGTTGTGTCTCGCAAAAAAGACCGAACCAAGAATATAGTAGTAGCCAGTTCAGATGTTAATTCACATTCCTACCAACACTTAACATCCCATTGTCCATCCATGACTTTCCCATCTCTTGTTTTTTTTCACACCTCTTACCATGAACCAAACAAAAGCAAAAAAAAAAAATGAGGTTGAAAAAAAGGTCATTGACGGGTTCACCGTCTGGCTATGGATTCTCGTGGTGGAGAACCCATAGCCCAGGGTACACCACCGAGCTGGGTATCACAAAGGTTAATAGTTTGAAATGAAAGAAATAAGAAGCAAGCCCTCGGTTGTCACTGTAGGTAAAGAAAAGCCGATGGTAGAAACTGCCTCTGGCCTCAGTACGAGTGTCATCCTAGGCATACGTTTTCCTTTAGTCGCCTTACTGCCTTAGTTCGTATAGTTGCAAAAAAAAAAAAGTTCACAAAGGAACGGCGTGCCTCAGAACGACTGTCATCAGAGTAGCAAGAAGAAAAGATTATCTGGTTTGTAAAAGGTGATTTCACGCCACTAAAATGTAGTCGTCCCTTTTTCGCGTGTGATATCATTTTTTTCTTCCCTTTCGTCTTCGCCCGCTCGCGCGTTCCCTTTTCCTTCAACTTGCAAACACCACTCCTACTTTCTTATCATGCGGGAATCAGGACCAACAAAGATACGATGCGACGCGACTTTGTTCAACAATCTCCTTGTCTGGATTTATGAAAAAAAAAAATACTCCCCTCCTTAACCAACACGACCTGGTAGTCTGTGATGGAGACTTCCAATCCTGTGAGGCCCTTTACCACCACCAATTTTCGACTTCAACCAGCAAACATCCTATGAGTTTGGACAACTGGAGAGGAAGGAAAGTACAACTAGTTCCCTTTGATGCCCCTAGTGATGGGATAAGAATGTAGAAAGATGGAAAAGAGTTCACGCGAAGAAAACGTTCATTATCACGAGGAGGATAAGAAGAAAAAGGCATGTGTTGGTTGTCCAAGGAATCAAAAAAAAAGTGCGTCTGTAGTGAGAATAACTGGAAAGAAGGGTCGCATATCCTCCTTAACCAGCGACCTCGAAGGCCATCGTACCTTTCATTCCTGCTCAGTAAAACATCTGCGCGTTTTCAAAGACTTTAACTCTTTCCCTACATATAAAATCGTCTGCGCCCATCCTGTCGACACCGACTCTCCCCCCCGTCCAGAAAAACGTCCTTCTATTTGTTTACTATTACCATTACCACACACTTGAACACTCAAAAAAATAATAACATGCTTCTATTATGATGATTACTATCTACAAAAAGGTAACTGACTGGGCGAGAAACAAAATGAAAAAGGGAGGACTGAACGAAAAGGGAATAACCGAATCTCTAGCTGCGAGCAGCGTTAAGTGCAGATCCCTTACGGAACCAGTCAACCTGATCCTTACTCATCGTATGCAATGCCTTAATGACATACTTCTCTCCATCAGGCCGCCTCACATTCAACAGAATCTCGCCTCCTTCGGGCGTATCATTCTTTCCAGGACGACCAGCAACCAAGTCGGCAACTCCCTCGGTCGACTCGATGACATCTCCGCCGTGCATCTTTTCCCAATCGGCTGGGTCGGCGAAAGTGAGGGGGAGGACACCTTGCTTCTTGAGGTTTGTTTGATGGATGCGGGCAAAGGACCGAGCGAGGATGAGGGGGCAGCCAAGGTAACGCATTTGGAGGGCTGCGTGTTCGCGTGCCGATCCTTCACCGTAGTTGTGCTATTTTTTTTTTAGTTGAAATATAAAAAAAAGTAAGCAACTGTGTCCCTTATGGATCTGAGAACAGGCAATAAGAAACATGAAACACGCACAAAAGACTTACATCAGTAACGACGATCCAAGGCTTGCCAAGAGCCTGGTACTCCCGTCCAACTTCATGAATAGCCCCCTCCTTGCCCGTAAAAACATTCTGGACAACATTCACCTTCTCATTATCGGCATTCAAAGCCCCATTCAAGGTATTGTGGGCAATATTCTCCAAATGACCCTTATACTTCAACCAAGGGCCGGCCGCACTAATATGATCTGTCGTGCATTTGCCCTTCACCTTCAACATGACCTGCAGATCCTCGAATTCACCAACGGGTCCAGGACCAAAAGGTTCAAGGACTTGGAGACGGGAGGATTTGGGATCGACGTTGATTTGGATGGCAGAGTTGGGGTGGGAGATGTCGGGGGGAGTGTAGGAGAGGTTTCCGGGGATGAAACCGTTTTGGGGGAGATTGTCACCGTAGGGGGGTTGGAGCATGAATTCCTTGCCCGAAGCATCGATCAGAGGATCGGTGAGGGGGTTGAAGGTGAGCTTTCCTGACAACGACATTGCAGTCACCAACTATTTGTTTTTGTTCAAAAGTAACAAGTAAGAATGTTAGTGTCTTTTTTCGCATTGAGCAGTACTCTGTACAAGAGAGAACTAATACAAGAAAGTGAAGGAAAGGGGGGGGGGGGTCTTACCTCGGGAGAGGTCAAGAAGTTCATGGTGGTGGCGTTTCCGTCGTTACGGTTCTTGAAGTTGCGGTTGAACGAGGTCAAGATGGCGTTCTCCTCCTTATCGTTCAAGTCATCGCGCGTCCACTATTGTACAAGGAAAACAAGGAGACAAACCAAATTAGGGGGGGGGGGGGGGTTTTCGTCAAGCGAGCAAAGAAAATCACTCCTGTCCACGCTGTTCGTTGTGCATGCAAAATAAGAAGAAGTGACTCACCTGACCGATGCATGGCCCGCACGCATTGGCAAGAACAACACCTCCGACCTGCTCAAGAACACCAGTCTGCCCATCCCTCTCAATCGTCGCCCGAATCTGCTCCGAACCAGGGGTAATAAAGAACCCAGCCTTGGACTTGATTCCCTTCTCGACCGCTTGCTTGGCCAAACTCGTCACACGATCCATATCCTCGTAACTGCTGTTGGTACAACTTCCAATCAGTCCAACCTTGACCTCATCCTTCCATCCGTTCTTCCTGACAACATCGGCGAATTTGGAGAGAGGGGTGGCGAGATCTGGGGTGAAAGGACCGTTGATGTGGGGTTCGAGGTCGGACAAGTTGAGTTCGATGACCTTGTCATACTGTGCTCCCTCGTCGGCCCTGAGGAAGTTGGCGTGTTGACGGGCGGCCTCGGCGACGGGTCCGCGGCCGGTGGCGTGGAGGTAGGAGGACATACTGTTGACAAACGGGAAGAGCGAAGTGGTGGCTCCGACCTCGGCTCCCATGTTGCAGATGGTACCCATTCCTGTACAGGAGAGAGTGTCGATTCCTGGTCCAAAGTACTCGATGATGTGGCCCGTTCCTCCCTATTGTGTTGAAGATTATCGCCATCTTTTTGCGTTAGTTGGCCATATCTTTGCGCTCACATTTTTACGCTTAGAAAAGTAAAAAAAATAATAATTCAAACAACAACGAGGGGATACGTACGCGAACGGTGAGTTTGCCGGCAAGGTGCAAGATAACATCCTTGGGAGAGGTCCACCCATTCAACTTGCCCGTCAGCTTGATTCCAATAACCTCTGGGGCCTTCAACTCCCAAGGAATATTTGCCATTGCATCCACAGCATCTGCACCACCAACACCAATAGCAATCGCACCCAGTCCACCAGCATTAGGCGTATGACTATCTGTGCCGAGCATCAACAATCCGGGAGCAGCATAGTTCTCAAGGACGATCTGGTGGATGATTCCACTGCCGGGCTTCCAGAAGGACATGCCGTATTTCTCTGCAGCGGATTGGAGGAAGTTGAAGATCTCCTTGTTGTTCTCGATAGAGTTGACGAGGTCTTGGTCGGCGCCCTTGTGGCCGACGATGAGATGGTCGCAGTGGATGGAGGAGGGGACGGCGGTGGTGGGCATTCCTGCGAGCATGAACTGTAAGATTGCCATCTGTGCCGATGCGTCTTTTAAATAGGGAGGAGGAGAGGTGGGAAAAAGGGGATTGTGTGTTAGTGTCCTTGCTGTCTTTTTTGTCATTATGTTCTATTACATTGCTTTCTGGTTTCTGGCTGTTTCTTACCTTGCATAGCAACACGATCTATTCATTATCAGTCACATATTGAGAAAAGTAAAGAAAAGAGGTTGAGCGTGTAAGTGAGTGGTCAAAGTACAGTTTCAAGTGATCGCCCTGGACAGATCACAATTTAGGGTTATCATATCAGAGCGAGATGATCAATCCCATCTCGGTCCTTCCATCCCCTCAGACACATACACACTCAGATCCAACTCAAATTGAATTGCGCCCTCTCCAATTGTTCTCGTTCTCACATACACCCTTGAACGAAGATGCCCAGTCACATCTTCTCCTTTAATCATCCCCTCCTACTCACACATATACACACCCTCCCTTCCCAAGCCCACTCCCCTCACTCAAACTTACCAGGAGACAGCTTCAAATACGTCTGTCCACGAACAGGCGTAACCTCCTCTGGGTTCGTCAAATGCGAGTAAAGAATCTTCTCCGACAACGTCAAGGGACGGTTATCCAACACCCGCTTGACCTTCTCCAAGTTCGACACTAGCTTGGCATAAGGAGGAGTGATCCTGGTACAATCCCGGATTGCGCCGGTGGTCGAGGCTTCTGTGGCGAGTGTCCGGAGGGTGGTTGTCCAGCGACTGCGAGGTGTCCTCGTTAATGGCTATCATGGTTGTTCAAGTAAAGGGTGGGAGGGAGAGAAGAGGGTAAAGGAGGACGGTCAGTGGGGAGTAAAAAAACAAAGAGAGATGAAGATGATACAAAGCGTAGTAGTATGGTAAAGGTTGGTTGTTGTTTGACGATGATCCTGTAGACGATGTTGTACCTTGAGGAAAGACATGATATATGAGGAGGGAGGGAGGGAGGGAGGGAGAGAGGGGAGGGGGAGAGGGGAGAGGGAAGAGTAAAGAAGAAAGGAAAGAAGTTCGGAGGGATGGAAAATAAGTAAAGGGAGCGATCACCTCGGACGTCCTTATCCTTTTATGATAAAAAGTTGTGACTCTGGTTCTTCACGCGATTTCTTGATCAATCTCCAAGGGCATTCTGATAATCATATCCGATCGACAAAATCAATTTGTGCTCATAACACACACACACACACACACACACACACACACACACACATACACACATACACACATACACACATACACACATACACACATACACACATTCATCTTTTTCGAAAAGATATAAAAGTTGAACAGAAAAAAACGAACTTTTATGGTCATTGACGAAGAAGTAGAAAAAAAAGAATGAGTGAAAGAAATAGAACGCAGAGACAGGGAATAAGGCATTCTGGCTGGATAAAAAAGAGGAAGCGGGAGATCGGGAGATGCTCCATCAAGGAAGAGTAGAGAAAAGGTGAGAACAGGGGGACAAGAAAGGAAGATCGAGACAAGGGCTGAACCAACAACGCCGAAAGATTAAAACAAGAGAAACAGGAACTGTTTCTCTTGCTTGTTTGCTGGCGCCTCTCCATCGCCCCAACTCCTTCTCATCCATGACTGCATTCCACCATTTCAAAGAAATCCTCCAAGAGAAAAATCAGAGTAAGAGTGCAAAATACAGATTTAGTTGGCGGTGTTGGTGATGACAGCGGTGCTAACGGCAGCGCCGGTAGTCAACTTGGCGTTGGCAATGACCTGAAGGATATCGGTCAAGGACTGCTTCCATCCGTTCAAACGCTGGCTCAACTGTTGCCACTGAGCGTTGCCGAAAGTTCTGTAGATCGAGCGGTTGATAATAACCGTCTTGGAGACCTGGTTCAACTTGGCCTCGACCAATCCAGCGCGGATAACATCAATGACCCACAACTCAACCTCGCTCTCCTCAACCTCCAAGGCCTTGGCAATCTCCTGATAGCTGAGCTGACGGGTCAAGTTCTCAGATCCCAACGAGGCCAAGGACAAGAGGCGGATCTTGCGCAAAGTCTCCTCCTCCTCCAATCCAAGCTCCTTGACAAGACCGCCGTTCTTGGCGACCAAACCACGGTAATCCTGGACGTTTCCGCTCATAAAGACAGAGAGGAGTTCGTAGACCTTCTCGGCCTTCAAGTTCTGGATAGCCTCAATCTTCAACAAGTTCTCAAAGTTAAGGACCTCGGGGAGGGCGATCGACTCAACAATAGCACGGGTGGCGGTGGCCAGGGGAACCGAATCGGAGGAGCCGTTGAAGCTGGTAAGGTGCTTAAGAAGGAACTCCAAAGACTGGTACCTACAGTTCAATTGACAACGCAATAAAAAATGTGCGCCACAATAGTCAGCATAAATATTTCCTTGAACGTTTCTAATTATCATTCATGTTCATGTTCTGAATCCGTAATATCGAAATAGGCAGACTTACTGGTTTCCAGACTCCTTCAAGCGGTCGGACAAGGTCAACAGCAACGCGCGCTCAGCCTGGACATCGACACCCCACTCGCTGATCCAGTTGGGAACGTACTGGAGCTGGGGAAGGACGAGATCCATGTCATCGCTGGCAACAGCCAAGTCCACAATAGCGGTGAAAACCGAAAGGCGAAGAGGCGAGTTGGCAGGGAGGGTGTTGAAGATGTTGGAGAGACTATATGATGACAGAACCAGAGGCATGAAACAAAGACGTCAGTATAACTTGACGGAGCAAAACTGCTAAGCGAGTTGAATGGTCCATGACAAGAGTCGATCCAGAAAATGTCCAGAGCGCTTTCACATACACCTTGAACTTGAGGGTAGTCTTCTGGGTGGGCTCAGAGGTGAGGCTAGCCAAGATCTGCTCCAAGACGGACTTCTCGGACTCGACGAGGGCAATAGCGACAAGCAAGTTGTAGGCAGACTCGAATTCTATGCGAGGCACAGACAATTAAAACAAGAAAGCATTAGCACGATTGTCCCCTTTGGTTCCGTTCCTGCTTGTCCCAGATCGGGTGGCAGAGCCAATGCTTGAAAAACAAGAGTGAATATGTACCCTTCTCGGGAGCCTCCAACAAAGTCTTGCTCTCCTTGACGAGGATGTTAGTGGCCTCGGTAACGTTCTTGGCCTCGATAACAGGGACGACCTGCTTCACCAAAGCCTGCTCTTCATCACCGCGAAGAGAGCTGATGTAAGTGGCCAACTCTGCAACCTGTCGACAAAAGGAGGTGTGAAGGTAACGGTATTCATATTAGTTTATGGCGCCTGATGGGTCAATACTGTCGAAGCAGGGTGTGTTTTGAAGGGTATCCTGGTCCACTGATCCTGACTGCGACCTTCAGGAGAAAAAATGTGTTGGCTGCTATTCTGTTCCTGACTGTGAAAACAACAACGCAAAAGGGGTCAAAAGGTCGTGCTGTAAGCTGTCGAGGCGGCACTTAATAGAAACTGGCGGTGGGTCATAAGCTGACAGCAAGCAGCATATATCGTGCTCATTGCGCTTCGTCGTCGGTTGTTGTATAAGGTGAGATTAAGTACAGTGTTGGATCGAGATCTGTCCTGCAGTGTTGTTGGTGTAATGGACTGCCGTCCTTCAGTGTGCTGAGAGAACAAAAAAGTCGCCCGACGAAACGAATCATGGTAAGGTGTGGGTGTGAATGCAATGCACTCCAGTGCAGAGCCAGGACTGGGGAGTGGATTGCCGAAGAGTAAGTGTAGGTGACGGTACCTGGTCCTGGACAGGAGCGTCGATAAAGATGATGGAATCCATTGCTCAGCGTGGTGAAGAAGTAACCAACACTCAACATCGCATTGCTTCTTCTATGAAAAAGGCCTTCCACAATAAAGAAAATAAAATACGAAATTGAAACGTCACCGTATTTTCGCTTCTCAGAGATTACCAAGGCGCCTTGGTTCCTCAGTAGCACTTCCGCCCTGGACTGATCTGACAGTGGGCCTTCTTTCTCAGACTGCCAGGCAGAAGCCGCAGCAGCAGGCGAATCAATGGTCAAAAGACGTTCCGTCCTGCAATAACAATCGACATTAGCAACAAGTTCACGAGCACGAGAAATAGTGATATAGAGATAGAAGTTTGAAACTAGATTTTTTAATAGGTGTGAAGTAGCGGGGGACTGGTGGCAAAGGGAGTCCTGCCTCAAAAACAGGGTCCGGACGACAGGCCCACCCGCCATTGTTGTTCATCCCGTTAAAAAATATTTAACCCTTGGTAGACTCGGGGTTGACGTTCATCTGTAAAAGATAGGTTGTAAGGAGAAAGACGGTATCAATGTTAGATCAATTGTAAGATAGTAGGAAACTCAGCGAACATGCCAAATAATAAAAAGGACGATCAAAGTATTGGGAAGAAAACTTACGCGACGCTTGCCACCGGGAGCGTTGGTAACGTTAACGAATCTGCGCTTGTAGGTATCGCGCTTCTTGGCACGACCAGTGAGCTTCTTCTTCTTCTCCTGCTTGGCAACCTTGGGGGTTTGCGACTTGACCTTACCGGCACGAGCCAGGGAACCGTGGACTTTACCCTATTGACCAAGGAAGGTGCGCACAGAGACGTTGATGGGTATTAGTCTCGTGTGGTACAGGGTAACGAGATATCGTAAACTTCCAGGCTCTTCCTGTAATTGTAGCGTCCCGATGGTTGTTGTATGATGGTCGTTGAAAGGCTAGCGTGCTCAAACTCCACTTCAACTCAGTCAACGGAAGCCGTGAGCTTGTCCATCAACAGAGATCCCACTTGACGTTAAGTCAAGGGGTGCTGAATCAGAGGTCCCAGATGCTTTGCTGACTGAGTGAATGACCCAAAGCCGGTCTGAAGTCGAGTCGTCCTTGTCCGGTCATGAGATCGCTTGGGAAAAGTAAAGGCTGCCGGTGTTTCCGCTGGTTGATGGTAGCCTCTCTGCGATGGTGTCGGGACGAGTTCGCAAGAAAAGGGTAAGGTGACAAGATGTCTCCTCCATCGGCGCTGAGGTTTGGCGAAAAGTCAAAAAAGATCTTCTGCTTGATGAAAAAGTAGATCGTGATCTCTTTTTGAAAATGGCTGGTCCTGCTGGTGATTGATAACGGCGATGACCCAGGGATGAATGAGGATATTTCGATAGGAGTGTTGAATGGTGCAATGGTTGGATGGCTGGATGGCTGGATGGGTAGTTCGCCCGCAGATGGTCCCGATGGATAAATTTCCCATATGTAGAATCGGCTCTATACCATTTTGTGATGTAGAAAGCTGAAAGGAGGATCATTCGCTGCACCCACCGCAGGCCAATATACATTGATTCGAAAAAAATTGGTGGCTTGCAGGCCTCGGTGTGACCGTACATTTTCAATTCGCCCTTTCTCTCCCCTCGTTCCTGTTCTCTATTTAAAAGGGAGACTGTCGTTGAAGGAACGTATCCCTTCACCTCGTTCAGAACGAAGCAAGGCTACCACCCATCTAACCACAGCCCCTACGCTGTGAAATTATACAATGAGCAAGGATCCCCGGAAAACAAAACCCGACAGGAGTCTTCCAGGTTAGATGACAACCCCGATGACCCCACCTTCAAGCACATTCATCGAATGAACAGCGGAAACGCGTCTCTTGACAGAAACTAACCCCTTTGTCGCCACCGTTCTTCAACGTGTTCTGGTCGTCTTTATATCTTTTCTCGCCATAGACTTGATCCCTCTTGGTAAGCGATCTTAGCATCGAGGATAACATTTCAATGCCACTATGTTGTACACTTTCAGTAGCTGACAGCTCATACTCTACCTATTCCGATTGATTAGGAAGGGCGCCAACTCGACCACTAAAGTCCTCAACAAAATTGGAATCAGGAACGACACACAACGCACCATTCGACTCTTCACACAGCACGCCAGAAGCATTGAACGATGGCGTGACTATGCCTCCACAGAAACGAGTGCGTATGGGATCAACCTCTGCAGGAGCCAGCAACATTGCTCCCCTCACTCCTCCCAGAATCAAGGCCGAAGAATCAACACTGAAATCAGCTCTCAAAAAGGCACCATCACAGGCAACAGCGCCAACATACCCACATCAGCCACAACAAACCAGACCCAAGACACTGTGGGCGCTGACCAGGAGCGTCAAACTCGATCCAGAGACCAGTGTCGTCAACCCTCGCCAAGTCGACGAAGAAGGTACTATTGGCGTTTCTGTTCAATTGCCATCAAATAATTATAACGCTCACATGGACTGACTCCCTTTTTCGCCTTGATGTGTGTATTAATAGTGCGAAAAACATTTACGCAGACGTCATGGCAGGAACCACCACCACTCCAACATATCAAAGCAGCCATCCAATATCTCAAGTTCAATGCCCTCAAACCGGACTCAGTCATCACCACAGGATTCTTGCGACTGAGCGTGGCATTCCCTGAACTGATCCGCGACAATACCGTTTCTGCAATGCTGATCACCATGCTCCGACCAGAGTTCACCCACGCTTTCAAAGTCAGAACCAACGGTGCAGTGGTGTTTCTGGCATGCGCTCTCTTGCACATTGGCTGGGACGAGATCGAGGACTGGCCGACGGATTTCGTGATGGCCTATGTAGAGGATGCGCTCGGAGAGCGATCGTGGTGTGCTCATGTGGATACGCAGTCGTTTGTCGGCAATGTTCTGACTGCATTCTGGGCTGGTGATCCTGTTGATGACACGGCGGAGGAAAAGTTTGATCCGGTTCGGTTGGATGAGAAGGCTAATACTGCGGCCGTGCTAGAAACTATTGATCTGAGCCAATATACCGATCCGCTGACACTGCGGAAGCGATACAAGGACTCGGAGACTAGGAGTAATATCAAGTATATCACCATGCAGACCATGTGGGAGCATATTCCCAATACCATAAGCAGTGGAGCTGTGGATACATCCGTCCGAAGTCTCATCAAAGTTATGATGGCAACGTGTCGATGGAGTGAAGTCCGTCGCAAAGCCATGGGGTGTATGGAATGTAAGTCTTCGTGCTGTTGTCGCGTTACATGACATCCCGAGGAAAGCGCTTTTGGGACACAGCTAACATTACTTTGGCTTTTCTCGACCTATTAGTCTGGCTCGGGAACTTTATGAAGCACGCCAAGATACTTCTACGACTAATTCTCCGCCAGATGTGCGCACAGGATACGTTGTTGCAAGAGGATCTGGAGTCTTGGACGATGCTGTTGGATTTCCGGTACAAGGGGCGAACCCACCAGGTCGAGGCTGTCAAGGAGGAGATCCGTAACGCGCTTCAGGGTCCAACAGGACAGGAATTGATCAGGGCAGGACTGACGCACATTGTCGACACAGAGATGAACCCGAACGAACTCAAGAATCCTTATCACCTGGATCTCATGGACCAGTTCTTGCTCTCACTCCAAGACAGCCCCGGTGTTGAATTCGGACAGCTGATTCAGGGATGTGTCGTCGACGCGGCGTTACATATGCTTGGATCGACTGTCAGTCCGCCATTGGCACCCGTGGTTCTGGTTGTCAAGCGGTGGATCCGTCATCTCGGCAAAAGGATCATGGGCTGGAATAAGGATATTATCTTTGGACTGTTGAAAGATAGTCCTCATCTTGCCAAGCTGGTCCAGAAACAGGAACAGCACCAACATCTCCATATCCCACCCGGCGGACGCAACATGCCGACCATGTGGCTCCAAATGTTGACCGAGATTATCTGCAATGTGTTGATGGCTACCGCGATCGATGCAAGGGAGGTGGACGACATCAGGATCTGCAAGTTCCAGATCGGAGAGGCCCATGCCTTTGCCCTTCGTTGGTTCCAATCGATCAGTGTCACCAGCGGGAGCTCGGGAGATGGAGAGTTCTGTGCCATGCCCTTTGGACACGTGCCAAAGGAGGGACTGAGGATCTGTATTGCGCGTTTGTTGTTCCTCGATCCACCGCCATCATACACCATGGACACGGTATGTTTCAACACCGTTGGTGACATAACATGAACGCGAGCAATGTGCTACATGTTTACTAACATAATGACTTTGTTTGCGTTGGATATCTATGTAGACGTCACAGGAGTTTGATGCGGGACTGATTCAAAAGGTGGTGGAGCGTGGACTACCCCTCATGGAACATGGACTAATGGCCTTGCTCGAGATCAACCTCCCTCCCAAGATGTTGCTCTCAGTGGTCGGAGAATATGTCTCACGAGCAGCCGACCTCTCTCGCTTTGTAAGTTTACTCACTCCTTTAAGTTTACCCGTTCCTTGAATACGTTTTGGTAGAACGTCCCGTGGCATACAAGATGAGATATCTAACATTCTTACGACTGATATAACGCATAACGCGAAAATAGTACCCAGAAGCATGTGTTGTCAAGAACCCGGATGTGGTGGTAAAGTTGTTTCATCTGACAAGGTTCACCGAGTCCCAGAGCAGTCAGGTCTTGAAACTGGCGGCAGATATCCCCCTGGCGTGGACAAGAGAGTTCTGGAACTGTTGTATAGTTGTTGTCATGCTGGCCTCCTGTAACCCAAGGTGAGCTTATGTTTTGCATCTATTGTTTTGTTGGCAGTTATCTGAGTAATGACATACTAAACATCGGGGGAGTATTTTCATGAAAATAGAATTCTTGCGCTGGTCGTGTGGGATTCGATGCCGGTGATCCGCACGATGCTAGAAATGTGTATCTCTCAGCATTACACCTTTCCTCCTCCCAACTACTCTTCACACTCGGATCCATCCTCTGAACGCCTATTAAGATTGGCGATCCTTGCAGATCAGGATGATACAAATCGTGTGTTGGCATGGGAGAAGGAGGTGTTGATCCTTCAAGGACAGTGGAGCGAGGCACGCGGTGCTAACCCGTTAAAGGTTGATGAGAGTGAATATGCAGGGTGGCTGATGCGGCTCGATTATGGACCCACCCAACCTGCCCGGAGCCCACCTGCGGATATCTTGCAGCAACTGCGCGGGCTGAATGATCGGTTTGGGTTGGGGATGAAACTTGCGGCGTCGAGGGAGCCAGATTATTTGGGGAGAATGGTGGGGTCTCATGACGATGCGCCGTGGGTGGATCGGTTGTTGAGGGAGGTGCCCGAGATTATGAATGCCTTGCCGGCTTCGACCCTCTGTGCGCGGTATTGTCGGTCGATCAAGTCTAATGCGAATGCGGACACGGAGAACGTGACGATGACGGCGAAGGCCAAGGCGATTGCGGCGGAGGTTAGGCTGGCGGATGCGAACGTCAAGAAGAAGTTGTTGGGGTATTTGGAGACTGTTATGCAAGGGCGTCCGGGAGAGCCTACACAAAAGTTTCAGCAAGTGCGAGGTATCTTTGAGTACTTTTTGGTCCGGCTTTCACCTGTCACCGAATCCTCTTCTACAGCAACAGCGGGAGCTTCGACTTCTGCGGCCGGATCTGGATCTGTGATTGAGGAGACCAAGATGGCGATGGATGCACTCTTCCAGGGCGAGTTGCGGTGGCCAGATGTTTTGGCACAGACAGTAGCCCTCTCACCGGACACAGGGTTCCTCTGGAACGCGCTCCAGTGGATCAAAACCTTCATTTTGTTCGAGAACGATATTCAATGGTTCGGATCCTGTCTGAACTTCTTGCTCAAGGTCGAGGGTGGCGCCGATGGTGATTCAGCGTTGGAACAGAGTTTATTGACGATTGCCAGTGTGCTCACGCGGCGGCTGTTGGTGTTTGACTGGTTGGTCTTGGAGCGCAAGTTAGTCTTCCAGAGACTGGTGGATCGCGTACAGAGTTATTTTGCGAAGCAGGATAGTATTATGGAGGACGCAAGCCTGGGATCGGCATCCAAGAATATTGATAGGACGTCTTCGGCGGCATTGAGGGCGATGGCGAGCTCGAAGGTGCAGGTGGAGTTATCCGGCGGTGTTGTGTTGAGTACTTTTCCTGAGATCCTTCGGTTGGCGATCCTTGTCATGGCCGTCGGTGATCATCCCAAGCAAGGTACCTTTCTCTTGTCAGTCGGAACACATTGTAACATGTTTTTTTGTTATTCACCGTCACACACGTTATTAATTAACCATTTCATTTTCTTTCATTTTCTTGTGCAACGACCAATATCTAGGCGTATCAACGTGGAGCATACTGTTCAAGGACTCAGTTCAAACTCACCCGGGCCAACCTAAACGCCTCCAAAACGGATCAGCCCTCTTGCAATACACCAACAACCCACCATCACCGTCACCTTCACCACTGGCAAACGACATCCAGTTCCGCCTCCGGATCGTTCAAGGATCCAAGGACTCTGAGGTCGTCCGCGTCGCGTTGGATGGATTGAACTTGGTGCAGACGATTGAGTTGTGCAAAGATGCGTTTGGATTGGACATGTCGGTTGCCCAGTTGGTCCATGGTGCGCTGTTGACGGCGCTTGAGAGTGAGGGTAGGATGAATGTTCCTGTGCCTGTTCATCTCGAGGCCTCGACCGGTCGTCGTAAGTTATCGCTGTTGAAAGAAGGGCATTGGATATTGGATAAATTCTACAGTGATTTACTGAAAAAGGTGACGGTTTCTAACACGATTCTTTTTTTTTTTTTTTTTTTCCCATATTAGAGCTGATGGTGCTTCTAAAGTACTATGCGGATCAAGGTGGGGAGGCGAGTCTGAAGGCTTTGGAGGCTGTCAAGGTCCGCTTTGGCGGCGCGTTGTCGCCGGTGATGGCAAAGTCGTCAACAATTGATCGGTCAACAAGACTTCGTGCTGCTGTCCTGCCAGACTTTTTCCAACTCGCGTCTTCTTAATCACACGCGCGTAACAAAACGTCGCCGAAAATAGAAAACTGTAAAATAATAAAAACTTCAAACAAACAAAGAAACCAAACCATCATAATCGATGAAATGAATATGCAAGGTGTATTAAATTAAATCAAGAACTCGTGGCAGTCTTGTCCTCTGTCGTTTTTGCTGCTGTTGACCCTCCTGTTCCTGTTGCAGCATCCGCGGCAGCTTTCCTAGCAGCCTCAGCAGCAGCAGCCTCAGCGGCCGCCTTCTTCTTCTCAGCCCTTGCCTGCGCAGTCTCCTCCTGCTTCAACATCCCCTCACGCTTCTTCCTCTCCTTCCTCGCCTCCTTATCCTCCCACTCTCCACCCTGATCCCCTACCTTCTTTGGTGTAGTTTCCGCGGTCAACAAATGTTTCGTTAACCGTTCCTCGAAGCGCGCCATCTGTGCGACGTTCATTCGGAACTTGTCGTTGCTCAAGTCAATCAACACGCGGAGGTACGATAACGACACCATGAGGTAGATCTTTTCCTCTCCAGTTCCCGTTGTAGTTCCTGTTGTTGAAGAAGAGGTGGAAGAGGGTATATAGGCGATGGGCGCGTCGAGTTTGAGGGTTGACCGGATGGCGAGCATGGTACGTTTTGTCGAGGGGAGGATACCCGAGTTACGGTACCCCGAGAAGAGCGAGTGGTTCAAGAATGTCTTTGCCGCTCCTGGGGTCGCTGCTTCAATATGCAGAATCTAATGGTTGAACAGTGGAGAGAAAAAAAAAGTACTGCGTTCAGTATTTTCTCAAGGGAAAAAAAAAAAAAAAATGATAAAAGCATGCTTTACCATGGGCTCGAATTTGAAGTAGACCAATTGAGACCGCGCCATATCAATAGTCCGCATCCCCTCCTTCCCTTCCTGTTCCTCCATAGTAACAACACGATGTGCCTCTGGCCCAAAAAGCATCTCGACAATCCACCGAGGATCCTTTTGCTGCAAGACCTGATCGGGAAAGACGACAGGGTCATGGCTGACGTATAACCATTGTCCGCCCTTTGCCCGTTTTGCGGCCTCGACTGCCGCCAGGGAGGTGTTTTCTTCATACCCTTTGCTTGTCTCCTCCTCCTCCTCGTCATCGTCATTGTCCTGACTCTTTTCGCCTTTGGTTTCTCCAGAATCAGTCTTGCTTGCAGCCTCGTCGGCGGAAGACTCGAGCCCCTCGAGGTAGGTACAAATCCGTCCAGAGCAGGACGAGGTAGTAACATAGTCCTGGTGGTTGTTGATCAGCACGATGAGCGGGAGGAGGGGTTCGTCGACATAGCCCTTGGGCGATTTGTCCGGAGTGTCGGAATTCAGGGCGATGAGGATGGTTTTTTTGCGGGTTAGGAATCCGTCCGACATGTTGGTGTCTTGGTTTTGTGAATGGAGTGAGAAAGGAGAAAGGAAGGATTTGATCAACTTTTTTTTTTTTTTTTTTCTCTTTTTTCTTTCTATGAAAGTTGTCACGTGTATCGCCACCAAATCTCGATATTTGGCCCAACCGCTTTGTTGTGCCCCTTTGTGCATTTTCAAAAAAACATCCTCCACCTCTAACCTTCACAGAATAGATGGTCGACAATTCATTTATTTTGCAAAAGGATAGGAGACTATGTACAAGAGAAAATAAAATAGTGTCTTTTGAAGTGAAAGGAGAGAATCCCCGCTATCACCATTCACCCATCATGTCAGGAACACGGTCGAGCATCTCGCTAAAGTCAAGCAACCGATTCTGGATATCCTGTGCGTATCGGGGAGGAACCCAGCCAGCTACCGAGTAGGGCCATCCCGGGTCTGTTTCTGCCTCTCCTCCTGTCATTTGTCGCGCAGACGCATCCTGTTCAAATTCGTCGTTGCTTATTGTAGGAGATGGAGAATTGGAACGATAGTCGACACTACCGCCAGTCCCCCTCCTTGTGAGTTCCAATGCCGCGCGACTAGCGATAGATGAATCCATTCCTGACATGTCAGAAGGTCCAATTTCAGTGATGCTGTTCCCGCCTTGCATGGCTTGGAGGGTAGCCCGTCGCCGCTGGTCCTGATCCAACCGTTCCAGAATAGCCCTTGCCTCATGATCCGGGTCCATGACTGCCACTACGAACGCCCAGCAGACCATATAACAGATGGCAGCTCCGATCAAACACGAGATCTTTGACCAAAGCGTCTCGACTTTTCCCAACACAAACGCCAAGAAGCAGAGTGCGACCGTAAAGGGCACGGCGTAGAGCAACAACCAAGTCGACGTGCGCAGACAGATTCCATTGGGCGCTGTCCTGATAGTTCCTGCGGTAGGTCCGTGACCGAGGGAGGTCTCGAAGAGGGAGGGCATCATCGAGAGAACGGTTCCGCTTGTTGGGTGTTCGTGAAGGATTGATGCTTGAGTGTGTGAGGGCGAGGATGGAGAGGACAGTGGTGATCGATGGTTCGTAGAAAATGGTTTGAGATCCTCATCGGACTCCAGAGTCATGAACGGTTGGTCCTTGTGCAAGTATCGGCATAGTGGACAAATCATCTCCTTCCCCATCGCAAACGCCATCCTAAAACAAAGCATGAGATTTTCAATATACATTTTGTTTGTTAGTCAAGTGAACACCTGCAATTGTCTCTCTTCAATTCAACTCAACCCTGCCAAGACAATGCTAATGCGATATAATGGGGGGACTTACGTGATGCAAGAGAGGTGGAACTCGTGTCGGCACGCGAGGACGGCCTTGGCATGTCGCAGAGGCACGATCCTGTCCAGGCAAATTGCACAGTCCGGATCAAACGGATCAACCACTTTCTTGTCCTGCCCCTGTTCTTGTATTGATAGGGGTGTGATATCTGATGCCCTGTCGGTAAGGCCGATTGCTGTACTACTGTTGCTGTTGCTGTCACTCCGAGTTGCTGCTGCTATTGACGAGGTTGTTTGTGAAGCCGAATAAACTTCCGAATCCGATTGGGCTTGAGTCCAATGCGCAGACTCCATCAACGCCCTTCCACTCTCCTCCGAGGCGGCGGCGGCGGCGGCTAGGGTGGCTGACAAAGAATCATGTACATCTCTCGCAGTCGTTGTCGTTGCTGACATCTCCCGATAATCAACTGCGCTGTTGCTATCGACAGCACTATCTCCCATTCTGCCACTGTGATTGCTGTTATTATTTGTTGTTGACGTTGACTGGGGTGACCCGGGCGGTGAAAGTGGTGGAGCTGAATCAGACCTTGTCCTGCTGCTGTTGCTACTGGTCAATTCGTCCAGTCCCCCTCCGTCTTCTCGTCCTAACGTCGAATTGTGATCATCGAGGGTCGCGGCTCTCCGCCGGTTACTTGTGCTTGTGGACCTTCTCCTCCGCCGTGATGCCCGGAAGGGAACGATGTATGTGCTTTCTCCCAGGGACTCCATCATATCGTTTCTTGCTTGTTGAGTGTTTGTTCGTGTAGAGTGGTGGGCGTATTTCGAAGGGTGTGTGACTCGTACTTTTTCGGACTTTTTTTTCGTTCAAAGTTGGGCTGTGAGCCAAGACAAAAAAAGGGTTGTTGCGGTTGTTGCGGTTGTTGTGGTTGGGTTGTGAGGGTGAATGGGAATCGGGCTGCGAAAAGAGTCGAATGAATGTTATGAATGTTATGAATGTAAAGAGTAAAAGGTAAGGAAGAAAGCGAGAAAGAAGAAGGAAAGGAGGAAAGGAAGATGTGGGTGCACATACCCCCTCCTCCTCCCTTCTCTGAGCGGTGTGTAAAGTCACTCGCTCTGTGCTTGACTCAGTCAGTCAAGAGGAACAACAATTTTCGCGAGGGCATGGAAAGGCGCATGATCGTCCTCACTCCTCCTTGGCGTGTCACTCGCACCGCTATAATTATTGCCTTTGACAACATTACATGCAATCATTTACCCTCCCTCGCAACCCAGGTGTTCACTCTTCCTTTGCATATGCTCGCTTTCGCCCATCTTTACTTTGCCTCACTTTACCTCACTGCACTCCCTCGACCTGACCTTACCTCACGGCCCCTATTCATTCCTTTTTACTCCCTTTCTGTCATTCCCTAGTTGTTGTTATTGCTGTTGTCGTTCCCTTGTTGTTGTCATGGATGTGCAAGGACATATACTCAACAAGATGCATAGAGACACATCGCCCTTCCTTCCTCCCATTTGCCTCGCACCCATGTTCACTTCTTCACCCCTCCTTGTTAGACCTTCCCTGGTAAACAAAATAACCGTTGCAAAAAAAAAAAAAAAAAAAGGCGCGTAAGAAAAGAGAGGGATTATTCAATAATGATCACACAGAAAGGACACAGGCCACCCATAGACTATCACATCAGTCACATCTGTAGCAAATGGGCGCACCGAGCACTCCCCGATTGGGGATCCGACCTTCACCCCCCCCCCCCCCCCCCAACTCTCCCTCTTTCACTCACCGTCACTTTGTTCAACACCCTTTTGCCTTGCGATGGGTAAACAAGTCCCGGCTCTCATCCACGTTGTCCTTTGCCCCAGGCGTTGTTGTTATCCATGTAAAATAAAGGTACATTGGGGGGGGCGTCATGATTGCAGAAGAAAGGGGACCTGTTTGTATCTATGCAAATCACACTCCTCGGGGACAAGAGATAATCACCTCACCTGGAAAAACATAGGGAAACAATTCCTCCGCGATAAAAAAAAAAGGACAACTGCGAAGTTCCAACCAAAACTGATTGTCTTCTTCACCTTTGTTTGCGCTGCGTTCCCCCTGTTCTTACACATTGTTGCGGTTTTATTGTTCATCTAAAACTATCGCCTACTGAGGCGTCAGTGGCGAATGTTGCTGACCGGCCTTGGTAATAGATACAGAACTCGTCCGTCTCAAGAAATGTTGCCTCTCAGGAGGGATAATAACTCCCGTAGGGTCCAAAGGCTCCATAATCGGATCCTCATTCGCAATCGACGTATGCACAGGTCCGCCTTCCTCCTCCCGATCCAACGCATCAACATCAATTCCGACCTTCTTGGCCTCATGTCTCGCCAACACCCATCGGATCAAGACCGGCAAAGCAGCCAACAATGCAACTGCGCCCAACATCAAGAAATTCTTGAGTGTAAGAACATCAACTCCCGAAGAATGATCCTCAACCAGCTTTTCCAGAACCATTCCTGCCTGGACGTGGACGACGGAGGGCGCAGAGACGCCGATCAAGGTTCCGAGAAAGAATTCTGGCCAAAGGGGAACGTTCAAGTGAGGGGAACAGATATTGACGAACCAGTTGGGTGGGAAGGGTGCTAGGCGGAGGAGGATGATGTAACTCATCAGGTTGTTTCTGTGGCGTTCTAGCTGTTCATTCCCGAATCCAAGTTTACCAAGATTACATGGAGTGTAGGAACAAAGAAAAAAAAAGATGGACGGTTTGTTAGCACCATCCAGATATTTAACGTTCATTAGGTTGTTGTTGGAAATGGGCTGAATGACAAACCACAACTTTTTGTCTAACAGCCTGCTCATTTTTTTTGCGCTCGTGCCTCCACACAAACAAACCCCATAAAATGCAAACGGTACGGTGATGACGCCTTTCTTCCTCCAGTTCCATCGCATTTACCTGAGTGTTCCACTTTTCCATGCGATCCCCAAACTTGCGCTTCACCAACTTGGAGAAGAACATCCTTGACAGCAGATAGCAATTGGTCGCACCGATTGCAGACGCCTATTCGTCATGACAAATAGCAAGAATATGTATCATGTGTTAGAAAGAGATTTAAAAAGGGCGCAATACAAGAAAAAGTCGACAAGAGACATGAACGTCCTTTCCTCTCGTACATCGTCATATTATTTCCGTTTTCATTACAAGTAAAAAAATCGAGAGCAATTGCAAAATAACTCACCAGAGAAACCATGATCAGGGCCACCCAGAACTTGAACAGTGCGCCTCCCAGGATACTGAGCCACATGCTGCCTGGAACAGAGAACGTCTGAAGGCTATGAGGATAAAGTGTGAAGCGGACATCGGAAATGGAAAAGTGGGATGTTGAAAGGGACGAGAAACGATGGTTAATCAGTCCGTCGGAGGGAGGAATTCGCTATGCATGCATTTTGTGTGTGTGTGCGCCTTTGTTTGTTGAGTTGTGTGTGTGATTGCCTTGATTTCATGGAGCAATGAGAGCGGCAATTCATTCATGCGGGGAGCAGAAACGTTTTAAAGACAAGAAAAAAGGCGAAAAGTGGGGTGACACCCAAATTGACCAAAATGAACGAGAGTGAAGAACTTACTAGAGGTAGATGGTGAGGAAGCCAAAGAGGACACGGTAGTAATGCTTGTCCATATAGACACTAAGGATCTTGCGCAGTGCCTCCAGGTCCTCCAGCGAATGCGGGAAATGCATGTCCTTCCGATGTTCCCTATTGGACATTCATCAATTCAGCCCGCGCGGTAAGAAAAAAGAAGGAAGGGAAGGGAAGGAAAAGAAAGAAAGAATGATATCAAACGGATCAGCGACCATGCATTTGAAATGATTAGTAGTAAGCTCATCCCCCCATAGTCAATTATGCCAAGAGTTTGCCTCTTGTGATTGAAAAAACTTACTCGTCGACACTCGGCAGGGTATATTGCAGAACAAGGACAAGCACAATAGTGCCGAGCCCGAGGATCAGGAAGAACTTGCCCAGACCCTGGAAGAAGTCGAAGATGGATCGGTACCATGTCCTCCATGTTGACTGATCCTTGGCTGCGGCGGGGTCTTCGTCTTCACTCGTGCTTGAGGTGCGGTTGTCTTCGCTGCCGTATCCGTCATCTTGTGCAAGTGTCGTTGACCCCGTTGTTGATGTGGCTGTGTCTGTGGTTGTGGCGTCGTAGGATGGTATGGGATATGGGTTCTGATTTGATGCAGATAGGAGGGGTCGCCTCTGTTCTGCGTCTTGCCGTTGTTGATCCATGGTTCTTGGGCGTTGTGTCTGTCGTTGATTGTCCTGTGTGCTCGCTTGTGTGATAGAGATTGCCTTGCGCCTCTATTAGTGGTCCTTGTCAGAGAGTTGTGAGAGTGGGTTGCGAATGAAGTCAAGTGTAGTGAATGAGAAGTAGAAGAAGAAGAGAGAGTGAATGGGAAGAAGCGAAGGTGAGAGCAGGAAAAAAAAGTACAATAGGTTTCTCTTTGTGCCCCTCCTCCTTATGTCTGTCCCCCCACACAAAGGTCACGCTGAACCCAGACTGCTTTTTTAATACGAATGTGAGACTGGCCATTTGCCACTGAATTTGTAGCAGGGAGTGGAATGACCCTTGCGTGTGTTTGGATGATGTATGCAGCGAAATGACCCTGACCAATCCGTCTCGCACGCACCCTTGTTTTCAATAGGAGGGTCTTCCTGTGCTCGTGTTTGCTCTCTCCGGAGAATAAAGTTGTTTTGAATGGTATTATTCGACTAGAGTTAAAGGTGAATATAGAACATATGCTAATTGACTAGAGATACTGACGGTATCGGAGAAAGTGCCACTGTGGTAGGTATCTCCTGCTGTTCTAGAGAGCAAGACCCCAGATGGCAATAAAAGTAGACAAGCCCAAGATCACCGACTGAAGAACCTGACTTGTCCTGAGAGGAAGTGTGCTCGTGGCTCCACTGATCCCGTTCTTGCAGTTGTTACAGAACGCTAGTATACCCAATTGAAGCAAAGGAAAAGGACAGTCGGCAAGAACAAAAGGTGGTGATGGTAAGTGCGTGGAATGGTGCACAAACATGCAATACAGACTCGGCCAAGCGGATGTACTGAAATCCGACACGCGGAATGCATGTATTAATTGTTAGAAAACGACTCCTTGAACTTTTATTCTTGTATTTCTCCTTACCTCCTGTTCTTGGTACATATGGTTCCTATTCATAGCGAGATCAACAAGAGGGACAAGGCAACAAAGCCATTAGATACGGATACCCCACAACCTGTCGAGTACTTCCAAGAACCCGCGCGTAAAAGACAGTAATGGATGCTGAGGAAAACGAGAGATGGAGACGCAGCACTTACTGGGATGTACATGCCGAACTGAAGATCCGAGTAGGGCATGAGGTGACCACTGATGGCGACTCCTTGCTTTCCAAGTTTCGTATCATAGACACTCCTATTCAATCGTGAACAGAGAGGAGGAGAGAAACGATAACAAAAACGGAGTGAGTCGAGGCGTTACCGATGTATCCAGTATCAGTCAAGGGGGGTCACCTTCCAAGGAAAAGTTGGACTAAAAAGACGATGGGACCTGTCCTTACAAGGTATAGAATCCCATAAACAACGACGGCACAACAGCGTCCGTTTTCCAACTCGTTGAAGTCGCCGTTCCCGAAACATTCGCCACCGGCCAGACCATCTTTGGATTCGACGTTAATGCAACCTCAATGGTCAGGTTCGCGGGCGGGAAGACCAAGGTTGTGTTATCGAATACCCATTCAAAGACAATGTTGGACCCCACGGGGAACAAAGGTGGGTTGACAGTGTTTTGTTTGGGTTGGACCATGGACAGGCGACTAACAGGGCGGCGGGGGTCAATGATGGAGTTGGGACCGACGGGGATGCCAGGCCCGCCGATGATGGTTTCTGAACCAGGGCTACCCAGGGGTGGTAGGGATGTTGGGCGTGGGAGGAGGGCTGTTGCTGTTGCGGATGAAGTTGCGGTTTGGGAGGTGGATGGACTGCTTGAGGAGGATGAAGATTGTTGTTGTGGTGGGTGTTGTTGTCGGGCTAAGTAAGTGAAAGTGTGAGGAGGTCAAGCGACTTGGATGTAAGTGACACAGGGTTATGAAGGATTACTAGAAGCTTTCAATGGAAAGTGATGTGCTGTGTAGATTCTTTACCGAAGAGGTGGGGGGATTCAGGTTCTGAAGCAGCGGCAACGAGAGAGAGGAGGAGGGTGGAAAGGACGAGTGTACAGAGAGTGAGCCATCGTGGAGAAAGGTATCTGAGGCGATTGGTATATGGGAACATTTTGGTGGAGGATGAGGTGGTAGCATACAAGGTGGGAAGGATGGAGAAGGAAAGGAAAAGGAAGCAAAAGAAGCAAGAGCGAAAACAGAAGAAAGATGAAAGAAGGAAGGAAAGGGAGAAGCAACAAGGAAAGAAGGAACTTAAAGCAACGAGAATCCAATGGATGGCATTGCCATGAGCTCCACAAACAAAGGAAGCAAGTCAAAAGGTAATCGACGGACAAAGCTGCAGAGAAAAAGATAAAAGTGTTCAGCACCCACTGAGTGCACATCTGATACTACTCTTGCTTCTTTGGACAAAACAATGGCACCTCCTTGGCATTTTCCTTGTCCATCCTGGATGCTTCATTTTAGGCGGGCACATACACAGAGGTATAGTAAGGGGGGGTGAGGGGGAAGGGTGGCCGAACCCCTTCGTTGTTGGTGGTCGAAGAGAGTTGAAAGGGGGACCAGAGGGGAGGGTAAGGGCGGGTTAGGAGAGAAAAAGGGAGAGGGAAGAAGGGAGGGGAGGGATACGATGGTAAGAGATACATAAAGTTGTCGCCATGGCAGATTCCGAACGGGTTTGTATGTGTGCAAACGCGTATAGATTATGTTGTCGCGACACGTGGAGTGAACACATCGTAGATCGATAAATACAGAGTTTATTTTTGACTATGAAGAAGACGAGGAGGGTGCGATGAGCTCAGCGGTCATCTGGATGGCATTCATCCCAGGGACGCGCTTGGCTTGCACATTGCCAACAACCTGACTACCTGCCTGGTCCTCCCACAGCGGTTGACTCCGGATCGCTTCTTGAAAGGACGTGGTATTGGCACCTGTCACAAACTTTGCAATCACGGTCGACTCACTTTCTCCTCCTGCTTGTTCGTCAACTACGACTTCCATATCAGTTGCTGACGTTGATGCCGCTGCTGGTGGTGGTGCCAACTGGTCGTTGTTTGTGGTTGTAGAGGAGCGGGTCTTGATGTGAATCTGCAGGGCTTGCCATTCAGAGGAATGGCTTGCCTTCTTGAACCGAATAACAATATTCTCGGGGGAGACAGAGTATGAGCATTCTTGGATCAGATCTACCACCAATGACTGTTGTTGTTCCTGAGAGAGCACAGGCTGGACTAGCACTGTTGTTGAAAGTGTTGTTGAGTTCGAGTCGGTGTGGTTGAAACTGACCTCTGCAGCGCGGTGTGAAGGTGCGATCTTTGAGGTTACTGAGGCAGGGTCGATTGAAGACAGGTGAACGATGAGGACTGCATGCCCTGACGTCTGGTGGAGGTTGATCGGATGCATTGTTGGCGTTGCTGTTGTGTGAATGCGAAGCAGGGGGGAGAAGGGGTGTTGTGAACAAAGGCAAGCAGGCACACCGTTGGGTACATATTTTCAAGCTGCTTTGATCTCGCAATCACCTGACTTTGCCTTTTCTAACTGACCGTTCTGCCAGTCAGGCGCATCCTTCTCCTCTTCGTCCCTTCTTTCACACCTGTCCATCCTCACTCCTCCTCTTTCTTTTCAAACCTCCTCCTTCCTCGACTATAACCCACACGACTATACCATGGCTCTTCAACGCCAGTTCAACTTCTTTGACAAAGTCGAGCTCAAGGATCCCGAGGACCCCTCAAAGTCGCCTGAAGTCTTCAAGGTCCGTCCCATGGCACGCCTCGCATGTGCTTCTGACAGATGGCAACAATGGAAGAACCTAACCTAACCGCAACATTCAACTACAAAAACAATAATAGTCTATCGAGTCGAATGTAGCGACAAGTGGACGTGGCCATATGGTCGTAGCAGACCGGTCGGGACTCGTTCATATCATCGATAAGGCTCTCCAGGTCGAGTCCTTCCTCGCGTACGACAGTGGGCGCGTCACACACATGAAGCAACTCAGGCAACGCAATATCCTCGTCACTGTTGGAGTACGTTTTCATTTTTTTTTTTTCGCTTTTGCTCTATTGTTCTGTCGATCATTGTCTTGGCAAACGAGATGGTGTACTGTGCAAGGAGCTGACCATGGCTCTATTCGACCGTTATTTTAAACAATCATGTTTGCAACAACTAGGAGGAGGAGAACGCGGTGCAGGTTATCAAATTTTGGGATCTCGACAAGCCAGACAGGAACAAGCCAGGACCTACGTTGGAGCGGTCAATTCGCGTGACACAGCAAGGGAACGCATTCCCCGTCTCTGCACTGGCTGTTCTGGAGAACTTGTCTCAGGTTGCTGTTGGTTTGGCGAACGGAACTGTCGTCTTGATCTATGGAGACTTGATGCGTGAGCGTACCACAGCACAGAAGGTTGTTCACCAAAACGACGAGCCTATCACAGGTACTTTCCTCAAAGTCTCTTTATCAGAAAGGCGAGCATTTTTCAGCTGACAATAATGACCTATTAAAGCTAACCGTTGATGCCTATTGCTTTTCATAATAGGTCTTGGCTTCAAGGAACAGCAGAAGGGAGCACTGTTATATATCGCAACGACCGCCAAGGTTCTTTTGTACAACACCTCGACTAAGCAAACACAGGTACGACCTTGTTGATATCTTACCGGATCTTTTCAGATTGAGCGTGAGCCGTTCATGATGCTACAAGAACCTCACACCTCTGCGGACAAAAACAATAATTAGACGCTTGATGACCAAGGCGGTGGACTGGGTTGCGCCGTGATGAACGAGAGCACGCAGGAACTCGCCATTGCTCGTGACGAAGCCATTTTCTTTTACGGACCCGATGGTCGTGGTCCCGCATATGGACTTGATGGTAATGCTCAAGCAGAAACTGGAAGCGCTTGTAAATCGTCATTGACAAAGGTCAATGAAAGCGCTCTCGCTAACACCACTTTTGGACCCTCATTGTTTAGGCGCAAAGACATTCATCTCGTTTTACAAGTCATACCTGGTGTTGGTATCGCCTCCCAACATTCCTTTAACTGCCACCAGGACATTCGGCATACAACCTGCTTCTGTTTCTGCCAACGACACAACTCGCCTCACCGTTGTGGATACCGCCAACAAGTTCACAGCCTACCAGGCAACTTTCCCGCAAGGCATCAGGAGCGTCATTTGCGAATGGGGAAGCATCTACATCGTTGAGAACGGTGGCAAGGTAAAACATCCTTGCCTTTTGTATTCGCATTGTCCGGAAATGCCACATACAGGATGGCGGATTAAATTACAACCTTGTTACAAAATAGGTCTACCGTTTAGACGAAATGGATACGTCGGTCAAGCTGGATATCTTGTTCAAAAAGAACATGTACCTGTTGGCCATCAACCTTGCCCACAACCAAAAGTACGACAATGCCAGCATCGCAGATATTATCAAAAAGTATGGAGACCATCTTTACAACAAGGGAGACTACGATGGCGCCATGGGACAGTATGTCAGAACGATCGGTCGACTGGAACCTTCCTATGTTATCCGAAAGTTCCTTGACGCCCAGAGAATCTACAACTTGACATCGTACTTGCAGGAACTCCACTCCAGCGGATTGGCCAATGCCGACCATACAACCCTTTTGTTGAATTGCTACACCAAGCTCAAGGATGTCAAGAGGCTCGATGAGTTCATCAAGGTACCCTTGTCGGTATCATTTGGCGCTCTTGAAGTATATGCATGTTTCCAATAATGTACGCTAACGAGCTCGTTCACATGATCCTATAGACTGATAGCGACTTGACATTCGACTTGGAGACGGCAATTCAGGTGTGTCGCCAAGCAGGCTACTATGAGCATGCTGTCTACTTGGCCGGAAAGTTTGAGGAGCACGACTTGTAAGTTTTCTGATAGGATGGTACACGCGCGGGACTGCCCACGGAGCATTGACATTGAACCTGACCCGTTTTCATTTCATACGCCAATTAGATACTTGACGGTGCAAATCGACGATGTGAAGCAGTACGATCAGGCTCTCGCGTACATGCGCCGACTTGGACCCATAGAGGCAGACAAAAACCTCCAAAAGTACGGGAAAGTCCTCCTGACCCACCTTCCAGAACAAACCACGCAGCTTTTGGTCGACCTTTGCTCCGGTTCCCTCGCAAGAATCGGCTCTTCTTCACCCACACCAGGCACAGCCTCCCCTGTTCCAACTCACACTGCAGGAACTCATCATGGCGCTTTCAGCATGCCTTCCTTTCCCATGGGAGGTCCAGCTGGCGCGGTGTCTCCACCCGTATCATCATCTGCCAGCCCCAACCTCGCCCATCAAGCCACCTTCTCGCCTAAACTCCATGGTGGTGTTCACTCCAAGTACGCGCCACCCTCACCTAGGACGTTTATGAGTCTGTTTGTGGACCTGCCTGCGTACCTAATTACATTCCTGGAAAAGGTCTCGGCTAACCGTTGGCCAGTAGCAACTTCTGCGAGCCAGTCGACCATGGGCTCTAATCTCAAGACACCAGCCCCGAATACCCACTTGAATAAGCCAGGCAGTATTGGCAGCTCTAAGAAGACTGTTGTTGGAAACGACATGACCGAGAAGGGATCTATCGGCGGTGCCAGTCGGTTTGGATTGTCGAATGATCAGGACATGGAGGAGCGTAAGGCGATCTGGAACACCTTGCTGGAACTTTACTTGGCAGACCCGCCGATGGCATCATCTTCGGGTAAAGGTCAGACCATGCATGTGGCAGAGTTAAACCGCAAGAGCAGGGACAGGATCATCAAGAAGGAGAAATGCATGAAGCTGTTGAACGACACCGAGATCCCCTATGATACCAACCATGCCTTGGTCCTCTGCCATATGGCAGGATTTGACGAAGGCATTGTGTTTTTGTACGAGCGTATGAAGATGTACACGGACATTCTTCGACTCTGGATCGGTCGGGACGATACTGCCAAGGTGATGGAATGTCTCCGCAAATACGGGTGAGTGTCTGTCTATGCTCATTTGCATCGCATGCTGTTATCAGCTGTCCTTTTTATTTTATTTTCAACGAGAACTTGTTGTGTTACTGCGACACCTCCTTACCCCTGACAAATTATTATGTTCATTGTGACACTCCACTCCTAGCCCGCAAGAGCCGTCGTTATACCCCCTGACACTGTCATACTTTTCGTCCTCGCCATCTCGTCTCACGTCAGCAACGCCTGATTTGTTGAAGGTGTTGGATCACATTGACCAGCAGGATCTGCTGCCTCCACTGCAGGTTGTGCAAGCCCTTTCGCAGACATCGGTGGCGACGATTGGTATGATCAAGAACTATATTGGCCACCGGATTGAGGCTGAGCGCAAGGAGAGGATTGAGGACCAGAAGCAGATCCAGAGTTACCGACAAGAGTCTGAGAAGAAGCGGCGGGAGATTGATGATTTGAAGACGTCGGCGAGGATCTTCCAAGTGACCAAGTGCAGTGCCTGCGGAGGGTCACTGGACCTGCCTTCGGTGCATTTCTTGTGCAGACATTCGTACCATCAGCGGTGTTTGTCTGATTCTGCGGATCGGGAATGTCCCAAGTGTATGGTTGAGCAGCGTACGGTTGCCGATATCCGTCGGATGCAGGAAGCCAATGCTGAAAAGCACGATCTCTTTATTTCTGAGGTAAGCGATCCTTTGCGTGTTTTATGTTGTGTGAGATGCGATGTGCCATGGCTTGCAGGTGCCTTTTTTTTTTTTGTGTGTATGTTTCGTGTTATTAATGTGTGGTTTGTTTGTTTCAATTGTGTTTGATAATTGTAGCTTGAGGATGCGGATGATGGGTTTGAAGTGATTGCAAAGTATTTTGGCAATAACACCATGGCCTTTGCAAAGCTGATCGATGGGTCGATCTAACGGACCTCATCAGATATGAACCCGGGCACACACATTTATCACATTTATTGTCGACACTTTATGCAAGAGACAAGTTACCAAGGAATAAATTTGGTTCAATTCACACAACGGCGTCGCTTCATTTTGTATTTTCTGTGAATTGTGCTCTCGTTAGTTATGATTATTATTTTTTTATTCACTTTCATACTCGTCGTTGTCGTCGTCGTCGTGTGAAGACATGACAGGGAAGATAGAATGAAAGTGAGCTCGCTTTCCTTGGATGGTTGGAATTGCTCACAAGATTAAAGAAAACCCATGGCAATGGCAGTCGCGACCCTTTTTGGCCCTGAAAACGAGACATTCAGAGTGCGAAGTGTGGTTGTGGTTGGTTGGGGTGCATGCCAGACGCTCACGATGATTTTCCTCCTTGTCCTAAGCCTCTCTGGGAAGGAGGGAGGTCAGGCAGCCATTGAGTGGGCGAGCCATGTATCAGATACTTGAGTGCCTTTCTTTCCCCTGGCAAGCAGGTCTGGCTGCATATCGGCAACAGCCAACTCAACTCTCTTTATTTATTTTCATAAGCAGCACCACCTGTCTGACTTGACCTCCTTTTGTCTTTTTCTTTGTTCATCAACAACAACAACAACAATAGGCGCCCTTCTTTTCCTTTCCTTTCTTCATCTTTTCTTTACCTCCCCTCTTGCCCTCTTGCTCCATTCTCTCATCCTTTCTCCTTCTCTCGCATCGCATCCACTTCTTTCCTTCCTCTCCCTTATACCCAATCCACAACAAACAACACATACGCCTATTCCACATCGCATCATCATCACGACAACTCCCTTCCTTCCCACTTTTCACACCTACTTCTTACTTTGTCTGAGCTTGACTAGACCAGCAAACAGCCCACCGTCACCTTCAAACTCACACCCGTCAGCTGCCAGAGTCTCCTTCTCTCCTTTCCCTTCCTCCTCATTACCCGGTCAGGACTAACGACCCCCCCAAAACGACAACACAAACGACAAAACAAAAACAACGATAGCTACTTCAAACACACACACCCCCCAACGCACCTTTACTACTCCCTTTATAACACTGACAAACACACACACAGACATGAGCACGTTTGCATCGTTGATGGAGAGCGCTCAGCGCGAGGACCCCAGGGCACAATTCCTCCTCGGCCAATACTTTGAGGAGGGTCAGGAGGGGTCCCAAAAGAACCCTGGTCAGGCCCTCCAATGGTACACCAAGGCAGCCTACAACGGCGAAACCGACGCCCTCTTTCGAGCTGCCTATTGCTACGAACACGGTATCGGCACCGTCCCCAACATCAAGGGTGCCGAGGACTGGTACACCGCAGCCGCCAACAAGGGCCATCTCGAGGCCCAATTCCATCTGGCCGAGCTCTACTCGCGAGGAGGTGCTGGCGTGGCCAAGAATCCCAAGGCGGCGTTTGATTTGTACCTCAAGGCGGCCTATGCGAGTCATACGCCCTCGACCCGTCGTGTTGGAGAGTGTCTGATGAAGGGTGAGGGATGTCAGGCGACTGCTGAGGGAGCTTCGATGTGGCTCGAGACGGCGGCCAAGAACGGGGATGCGAAATCGACGATTCGTCTGGCAGAATTGTATACTACCGGGTCTGGAGACGCCTTTCCGGCGGATGCCGAGAAGGCGTTTGGATGGTGGATGACGGCAGCGACGGCGGTTGAAGGGTCGATTGATGTGATTGACAAGTCGTTGGCAGAGTACAAGGTTTCCGAGGCGTTGTTGAGCGGTAAAGGCACGGAAAAGAATGTCAAGGTCGGAATGCAGTGGTTGCTCCAGTCTGCACAGGAGGGTCATCCAGAGGCCATGCATGTCTATGCAAAGTTGCTCAACAACCCGCCTTCGGCCGAGATTGTCAAGGATACTGGCCATGCGATGGAGTGGCTCGAGAAGGCTGCGACTGCTGGATGGGCCGAGTCGTTGTTGAGTCTTGGAAATGCTCACCAGTATGGCATGTATGGCAAGGTTGTCGATTTTGAGCAGGCATTTTACTTTTATGAGAAGGCTGGTAAGGTTTTTTGCACTTAGCGTTGTTTTTCTTTTTTTTTTGTTTGTCGCGAATGACCCCCTCCCTTATTGAGTGAATGAGTGATTGAATGACGGTACGACAAAGTGTGTAAGATAAAAGATATGAAAATAGGTCCGCTAATATATTATCTTTATATGAAAATGTTTTATAACGAAATAGCGGAAAAGGGCAATGGAAAGGCTATGGCGACGATTGGAAACATGTACTCGCAAGGGCAAGGAACAACAAAGTCAGCCGAGAAGGCATTCGAGTGGTGGCTCAAGGCCGCGCAGCTGGGAGTACCTGTTGCCCAGAACGAGATTGGATACTGCTACAGAGACGGATGGGGCACGAATCAGAACCACAAGGGCGCTGTCGAGTGGTTCACAGCAGCGGCCAACAATGGACATGCGGATGCCTGCTGTGCGTTGGCTCTGTCTTACATCAACGGTCGTGGAGTGCCCGCCAACATGGAGATGGCGTTCGAGTGGTTTAACAAGGGCGCGGAACTTGGATCGGGCAAGGCGATGTACAACCTCGGGATGATGTACAAGAAGGGCGACTTTGTGCAAAAGGATGACAAGAAGAAGTTTGCGTGGTACGAGAATGCGCTCCGGAATCACTATGAGGAGGCGGCGTATGATTTAGGAGTCTGTTACTTGAACGGCGAGAATGGATCCAAGGACCCGGCCAAGGCTCGGGAACTGTTTGTCCGAGCCAACAACAATGCCAACTCTGCAGAGGCGTGTATCAACCTGGCAGCGATGGCTGTCAACGAGCGGAACGACTGGGCCGAGGCTTTCGACTGGCAGATGGCGGCGGCGTCAAAGGGTCATGCAATTGGAATGAGACGTGTGGCGATCATGTACAAGGAAGGCAAGGGAGTTGGAGTGAACCCCAAGGAGGCAATGGGATGGTTCTTGAGGGCAGCGCAGGCGGGAGATGTGCCTTCGATGGGTCATTTGGCCAACTGTTACAAGACTGGGTTTGGAACTGAGAAGAACTTGGAGAACGCGACGACGTGGGAGATCAAGGCCATGCAAGGACAAGTCGTTGCCCAAGGCGCTCACTTCAAATAGTCTCTCCTCTTTTTTTCTTTTCCTTTTCCATCTTTTTTTTTGCTATGTTACCTGACGTGTTTGTCGTTTTTTTTTTTTTAGTAGAAGACGCGTTTCTTTTATTTGCTATTCCATACAACCTATTATCACACAAAAGCCTCTTCATCCCCCTCTACCCCCACCATTAAAAACATAATACTGTGCCAATTGAGTCGTGAAAGTCGGCTTTGGAAGATGGATAGGGATAACTGTGGTACAAATGCAAAGAGATGGATAGTGTGTTGTGGGCCAAGTGGACGCGAGTCCGTCAAAGTTCTGTCGGACGAGGTCGTGTTTTTGCTTGTGAACGAGTGGATGGGGTAAAAAAAAAATTAAAAAAAAGATGAGTAACGTGAAAAGAAGGGTATTCTCCCTTGAAGGAGTTGAGCCGTCATTTCCGAGGATTGCAGCAAAAAAAAGTTGTCGGTCTGTGAGTGCGATTGGATGTTTTTGAAGGAAGGAAGGGGAGTGAAGAAGAAATGGAGGATAATGACAAAGGCGGCGAAAGGAGAACTTCAGGGGGAGATGATCGAATAAAAGACCCAGTCGGCAAGAGCACCGTTGTTCCGCCCCACACAAGGTTAAATAGCGACCCAGCCAGTCAGCATCGACGTTGTCCTGTCTGTGGGCAGTGACTTCCTCAACTCTGTTTTTTCGTTTTCCTCTACCCACAGACAGGACGAGGGGAAGAGGAAAGAGGAGGGGGAAGAGGAAGAGGGATAAAAAGAAGCAAGAGGGCGTCCTCTATCCTTCCCTCCCTCCTTTCTTCTTCGCTTCACTTCATTCCTTTCTCATCTCTCGTCTCATTCCCACCCTCTGTTCCTTTTTCACACCTCATTCCCTCCCTCTCCTCCTTCCTATTATAGCATACCCTTGTCACTTTAAACCACCGGACTCGTCTCATTCACCCCTCCTCATCAATCCTCACACAACCAAAAAAAAAAAAAAAAAAAAACCAAAAGGATGCCGTCGGCCGAGAACCAACAACAGCTGGACATTGCAGCAGAGCGCGCAAAGTGTACCTTTGACCCGTCCCAACTGACAGCACTGTTCTATGGCGGAGAAGAGAAAATGAAGCGCTTCAAGGCGATTGAGGCCATGGTCGATCGGGAGCCTGTGTTTGATCGTACCGACCGCTACTTTCTTGGGCGCACTGAGGTAAATTGGGAAGGGAAATGTTGGTTAACAAGGCCAACTGGACACAAATGCTTGCTATTGTCGAACAAGGAGTTAGAAGGAGAGGGGGACAGGACTAACAACAAAAGATACTTTCTTTCCGGATTATTATTTTGTAGAGGTTCAAGAGGGCTTTGCCCATGGTGAAGCGATATGTCGAACTCCGAAATGAGCATGGACTCACCCCTGAGGAGGCTGCACACTTCAAAGTCTACATCGACGATTACATCCCCGTCCACCTGCATGAATGTAAGCATGTACACTTTTTTTGTTGGTTAAGGTAGTGGGCGAGAATAATAGAAACGTGTAACTGACAATGCAATGTCGTATGTCTTTTCTTTCGGGAAAAATAAATAGCAATGTTTTTGCCGGTGCTGAGGTCGCAGGCGAGCGACGAGCAGCTCAAGGTCTGGGGCCCTCACGCCGAGAACTATCATTACATCGGATGGTAAGCCAAGCAACATAAGCCATTCGAACGAATGCCGCCCTTCGGTTCTTTCACACACTTTCTCACAATCATAAATTGCTCACATCCATTTTCCCTGGTCCACTTGTCTCCGTCCACAATCGATCGAAAAATAATAACAGCTACGCACAGACAGAACTCGGGCACGGCTCGGCTCTCTCGCGCCTCGAGACTACTGCTACCTTGGACTTGGCAACAGACCAATGGGTCATCAACTCCCCTACCCAGTCCTCGGCCAAATTCTGGATCGGTACCTTGGGCAAGATGGCCAACCATGCTGTCGTTCAGGCCAAGCTGATCATCAAGGGTAAAGACTATGGTTCTCACCCTTTCTTGGTCCCCCTTCGGTCGTTGAAAGATCATACCCCTCTGCCTGGTGTTGTCATCAAGGACCAGGGTCCTAAACAAGGAGCTATCTCGATGGATAACGGGTACGCCCGTTTCAACCACGTCCGCATCCCACGCACCAACGTAAGTTGTCACTTTTGGTGAGCATACATATCTTGTTGCATCTTTTGATCATAACTAAGTCTGACATGTCTACCCTCCTTGAAATAGATGCTGATGAGGTTCTCGCAGGTGTCGAAGGAGGGTGTATACTCCAAGCCCATCCACCCCAAGCTTGCCTACGGAGGCATGACCGCCGTCCGCACCACCCTCATCAACCACTCTGCCCTCTCCATGGCCAGAGGTTCGTTTCCCTTGTTTTCTCTTTGCCCAATCGGATCATTCATGTCCACTTTCAATGAGAGACTTACCATGTTCATTTATAATTGTTAATAGCGGTGACGATTGCGACAAGATACAGTGCGGTGCGTCGTCAGGGCAACGTTGACTTGAAGACAGATCTCGAGACCCAGGTCCTGGACTACCCAGCTGTCCAATACCGCATCCTCCCTCTCCTCTCGCACGCGTTTGCTACCATCTTTTCAGGATACTGGATGAACGAGATGTACGCCCAATACAATACCGACATCACTAAAGGCGACACTTCCCTGTTGAAGGATGTCCATGTCTACTCTTCGGGACTCAAGTCTTACTGCACCAAGCTTGGTGCAGATGGGATTGAGGAGGCCAGACGGTGCCTGGGAGGACATGGGTTCTCGCTGTTCTCGGGCATGATTGATTTCCATCGGCAGTTCTTGGCTACTGTTACCTATGAGGGTGAGAATGCTCTCTTGACTGTAAGTCTTTTGCCCTTGTTTTTGTTGGGGTGGTAACACACCCTGATCCTCGCTTGTTGGCGTGAGATCCTTTTCTTTCTTTCTTTCGTATCACGGTGAAAAGCAGCAGTTTGCTCACCATGCAGTGTATGATCCTTCCTTTCTTGAACCAAATTAGCAACAAGTGTCGAGATACTTGCTAAAGTTGTACAAGGACGTAATCCGCAAACCCGACATGCACCTGTCCCCTCCTTCGCGGTACATTGTCTCGTTGGTCAATCATGAGCGCTTTGTCCAACAGCGTTGTCCGGCCAGATCCATGGCGGAGTTGTATCATCCCAAGATTGTTCAGAAAGCCTTCCAGCACCGTGCGGCTCGTCTGATCTTTGAGCTTGCTCAGGCTGAGAAGCAGGGTGCTCAATGGTCGGACCTTAACCTTGAGTGTATGCGTCTCTCAAAGGTACCCTTTTTCTTTTGCTCTTTTCGCGTGTTTATTTGTTTATCAATTGATTTACCCTAGGACATGTTTGATTAACGCGTCTCTTGTTGCCTCCAATTTTTTTTTTCCATCTCCAATAGGCGCATGTGCAATACATTATGATTGAAAACTTCCACAACGGCCTAGAGAAACGCTACAACGTCTCCAGCAACCCCACGGCAGAACAAGAAGCCCTCCTGGCGGCCGTCCGATCCGTCTACAACCTCCACGTGTTCTACACCCTCGAAACCGAGCTCGCTGAATTCCTTGAAGACGGATACTTCTCCCCCGAACAAGCAGCCTGGACACGTCAAGCCCTCAAGGACTCTCTCAAATCCGTCCGGCCCAACGCGGTGGGCTTTGCAGATTGTTTTGGGTTCACGGATAAGTTCCTGAACTCTGCGCTTGGATCGTATGATGGACGGGCGTATGAGCGTATGGCGGAGATGACAGAGTATGAGCCGTTGAATGGGAAGGAGATGACGGATGAGAGGGGCGTTGTGTGGGGGTATGAGGAGTTCTTGAGGCCTTTGATTTTTGGAGAGGTGGGTGCTTATAAGGCGAGGAAGCCCGAGTCGAAGCTTTGAGAGGGGTGGATGGGGAAGTTGTGGTGGGGGGAGGGAGGAAGGAAAAGGAGGGGGATGAAGTGGGGGGAAGATGGGAGAGGAATAAATACCACCTTTTTTTTTTTTTTACTTGTCTGCGAACGTTTGTCGTATCCTCAAGTCTAGTGACAGCAACGCGTACCCTTTTTTTGAAGTCAACAGTCGAGGAACTGTTTGCTTGAGCGACTGGATCCAATGACGAAGGGGTTGGCCGTTGTGAGCGTATATGAGACCAAAGCGAGTGTTCCCCCACCCCCCAGAGTAAGGAAATGGGAGAAAAAGCAACACGAGAATTATAGAAAAGATGCCGACTTTTTTGGTAACGTTTTTTTTTTTTTTTTTTTTTTCCCCTCTTGATAAGATGATGATGAAATCGTGGGATCCGCCCAGTTCTCGGTTTTACTAGTTTACAAAAAGTCGTTTTTCAAGATCCAATTTGGAGGCAGAGTTCCGATGTTATTATGTACTGTAGCTGAGATTGCTAGGCTGTTAACTGTTCAAATTGAGAGACGCGTTCAATGCTTGGCTTTTTGGAATCCTCTGCCAATTCTTTCGCACAGCGAGCCAAAATTTGGAGTTTTTGGCGGAGCGGAGCGGGTCGTAAAACCAAAAAGGAAGGTGAACTAGCGCCATGCAAATGGCATTCTCACTGGAAACAGCACGTGATACAATCAATGGATCAGTCCCGTGCAGAACCCTTAAGAACCTTCCTTTTTGGTTTTTACGACCCGCTCCGCCAATAACTCCATATTTTGACCCAGACCGAGCTCACTACTGCGTGAGGCGCGAAGAATTGGATTCCCAACCCATGTAAGGGAGGGGATGGCTGCGAGACTACCTCAAAGAAGTGAGTGGCATTATTAGGCTCGACTCCACCTCCCAGAGAAGTTGGCATGAGGCTTGCCTCAGGTTCTTTTTCTGGGAGAGGGGGGGGAAGAAGGAGCTGTCGAATCGAGTGCAGTTGGACTGAACTCAATCGATATCAAATTGGGTACTCCCATACGCAGATCGAGAGTAAAGGAGATATCGTATGCGAGCCCCAGGCCAAGCCCTTCGGGGGAAGCAGTCAAGAACAACCCACAGACAAAAAAGAAATAACAAGGTTGGAGAGGAATAAAAGCAAACATTCACAAGAGTGGAAAGTCGCAAAACTGGGTGTACTATTGATGTTGTCGTGTATGATAATGTACATAAAGGAACGAAGATATGGTTGTCTTTTTTTTAGATATTCTAAGCTTCAATCTGCCACGTCCGTTGCAGAACCTCAGTAGTCAACCCAGCCCTCAACGCCTGGCTTTCGTTTGTGGGTTGTCCCCATTTCGAGGTATCGTCGACCGAATGCTTTCCGAATGCACTCGTCTTCTCGTTCGCCACGTTCCGCTCCAAAATTCTCTCGCAGTCGTCAGGTCCGCATGCCTGACCCTTGCGCACGTACTCGACGAATTGCCCGTATGACTTTTGTGCAGCGCCGATGCTCCCGCTCTGCTGCTGGATGGCGGTGGTAGTAGTATTATCGGGGGTAGCGGCAGATTCCTTGATATTCTCCTGTTCCAGATCCCGTTGCAGCGACTGCACAAACTTGACCATCCGGGGAACATCCACATAGCGAGGAGAGCTTTTCCAGTAGGCGCTCACAAAATCTCTGGCGAGATCGCCGTACTTTTGGATAATCGACACGGGCATCTCGGGTCTAATGAGGATGTCCATTTCCTGCTCGGCAAGTTTCTGGGCTGCAGGGTTGTTCTTGACATACTTCCGGCTCGCGTCTCGCAACTTGTTGCGCTCAACGCCAGACATGGACTCTCTCTGCTTGTCCGTCTTGACCATCGAATCCGGCAAACCAAGGACGAGGCTGTGATAGCTCATGATACTCCACGCGCCTTTGAGGTCCTTGACGTATGGGCAGTGCTCTCGAGAGACCTCGTCCACATAGTTGGTCGGCCCACAGACGGTCTGGAAAAATCTCTGTCCAATCGCACTGGTCGTGAACTCGAACCACCTCTCCTTGTACCGCGTGGTGTCGACACTGATAACGGTCGGCACGGGTTCGTGGCTGGGCATAAAGATCGACGTTCCGAGGGCGTTTCCATGAGGCGAGATCAGAACATTGATATCCCGGAGCAAGTAGGCCGTCTCGGCAATCCCGCATCCATGATCAAAGGTTATCCACTTGACACGGAAGCCAGCTTGGACAAGACCCTGGATCAACTCTTCGTCGTTGACAAGACGTCTGGATCCTTCACGCTGGATAATGCCCACCACCAACTTGCGTTTGCTCTCCTTGGCCGCCTCGCCCTCCTTGCCCTCGACAAATAGGTTCTGGTAAGTCTCTGCAGGGTCAACGATGTCGGGGTGCATCTGTCCAACTCTGCTCTTGACCTCTCCGTTCTCGACACCGTGGTTGGGTCCAGCTGACTCAAAATTGTAGTACCTGGCCAGATCCAGACATGTCAGCTGCGACTTTGCGGCTTTCTTTTTCTCCACCTCCTGCTCTTGGGCCTCTTTGTTATCCTGCTCGTATTTCTGAGTCTGCTCCTTCTCCTGTGATCTGTTGATCGACTCTTGCGCACTCTTGACATGACTCTCCCAAGTCAGCGGCGTCGACCAGTAGTACTCCGCGATCTCTTCCTGAAATGACTGGTAGATCTCTGTAGGGGTGTTGTTCTCGCAATAGACCAATCCGCACTGCGAGCCCAGTCCAATAACGGCCCTCCGGAAGCAGATGGGGGTGTCCTCAGGAGGAAGAGTCTGGAACGGCGTTGTCAACTCGCTTTGGGCAAGAACGAGTTCCTTGCCAGTCTCGAAAAAGTGATCCATCTCCCAGGCGCCCAAACGGTCAAGAGGGTCGTAGTAAAATCCTCCAGCGCGGAAAGTCCATGAATTCTTTGTGCCTCCAAATCGCTTCATTGTGCTATAGAGTATATACATATAATTCAAGGGTCAGCAAAACATGTATCATGACGTCTTTGTTGCCTCCTCCTTGCTATATTCCTGTTTTTTCTTACCTGTAAAGAGGAATCATCCCGTTGTAAAGCCAATGCGAAAAGTGATGTGGCGAGTACAATCCGTGAACAAAGACCGTCTCGTCAACATAGTGGGCACGGATAACCTTCCTCCAAGAACGTTGTAGCCTTGGCTGCCAAAATAAGTCAGAGTCTGTATCCGAGGACATCAGGTTGACCTTGGGCAGGTTCTTTCGGGGCAAGATACCGTTGCTGCGAATAAATGCGCCTATGATGGAATCAGACCAAGGAGAGACAAGCGAGAAAAAAGAAGAATATTTTTTTAAAAAGGGTATGGAGGGTTGAGGACCATGTTCCACATTGCTGAATCCGAGAATCCACTGCTTGACCTATACCTTGTCTGTCAACACAGAGGTGTTGAACAACGCACTGCCGAGATCGTCGATTTGTCGTTGTCTCCTTTTCCTGCTCACTCAGGTCATCGTCCGTACAGGTCCAAGTCGCCTCGGGGAGCTCAATATCCCTCGCAACCGTCTGTCCTCCCCACCGATTGTTCTGCGCAATAATCGGTTTATCTTTGCTGTCGAGTCCAAAGTACTCTGACGAGGAAAAAGAGGAGCCAAGACGTATACTTAAGGAGTGGCTGAAGGTGAACAAGACGACACTTCCAATAGTGAAGATGAGGAGAACGAGAAAGTAGCGGCGAATAATTTTTGGAGCCATCAAGTTGTGAATTACGGCCATGACCGACTGCATGAAGCCGCCTGAGGTCTCCATGGGGGGGCGATGGCAGAAGAGGGAAGCGGAGAGGGAGAGGGAGGATGGTTAAGAGGTTGAGTGGTGAATTTAAGATGGGCGATGGTGGTTGATGAGAGTGGAGTTAAAAAAGAAAAAAAAAAAAAAAAAAAAAAAAAAAAAGGTTATCCCTACATGGAAGGTTGTTAAGGGTTTAGGCACTGTCTCGTCCTTTTGTTCCTACCTTTGCACTACAACATTTTTTTCTTCGTCGTCACATCCCGCTACTATCACTTCCGCAACTTAGACCCATCTCAACCCTCACCAATCCAAGACCGGCATCCGTTCTCAACACTATGTCGGACCACGGCCTCTCAATCAAGTCTTTATTAACGAGTGCCCGGTATCACGACGAGCGAGAGAATTGGAAAAAAATGAGTTAACCACTTCTACGCTGATGACGATCTAGCTGCTATGGTTCGCCACTAGAATTCCGTGCTGGGGAAAGCAAGCGAAAATGGGACGCCACCTTCACAGAAGCCGCGATACAAGTCGTTTACCCCAGCGTGTTCAAACGTATATTAACCGGGGTTGTGTCAAAGTTATCCGATCAATCTTAAAGACCGATGCAAAGCATCTTACCCGGGCTACTCCATGGTCTAATACCAAAGCAACAATCAAAGTAGCCGGATGCCGATGTTAAGTCAGATGTTGTTGAATACTATCCAAACTTGACGCCTCTATCCTCCTCCTCCTCCCCCCACCCCACCCCTCTCCATAAGAGCCACGATGGAGCCAGATCCCGACTCGGAAGTGTCCTAGGAAGCAGATTGGGGGATCGGGTGGAAAACAGGAATCAGTCTCGCCTATGGATACGGAATTGGGGGGGAAGCGGGGCCTGGGCTCATAAGGAGCCCAGCCGCAGAGACGACCATATCTGGGAGGAGGGGATCGGTAAAGCTCATTTTTCTTGGTTATGGTTGGTATTATTTTTTTATTTTGGTGATGAGTGGTGGCTGGTCCACTGTTGATAATCTGATACGGTTCAACATGGTTTCCCCCCCCCCTTTTTATTTGTCAGGTTATCTTTTTCTTTGCGCGATTGATGAGATTAGATTTGAGCGTTCCTCTGGAACAAGATAAACAGGCAGTGATCAAACGGGTTTTTATTATCCCCTGTCTTCCTTTTTTTTGGAGGGGGGATAACGCGTCCAACACCTTCGAACAATAGAGCTCACTCAGGGAACAAATAGTGGAATAACCAGCATTCAATTGCATAAGTAAGAGTTTCTTTTTCTTTATTGGACAAGGCTTTTTTGACGCGCCGCGCGGGCACGTTGCCGTCTAGAACTAGCAGTGGAACATGTCGTCGCAGACACTGATACCGAACGCGAAGAAGAGGGCGAGGGAATAGAAGCAGAGGGCAAAGTTGAAAAGGATGTAGATATTGAAAGTGATCTGTTCGACAGAGCCCTCCTTGTCATCCTGGTGCGAGACCGTGTCTTATTGCTAGTCCACGTCTGGCGAGGCGATGGCCGAGAACATAAACCGTGCTGTTGTTGTTGGTGTGAGGGAACGGATGGAAGTCTTCCTGTTGCGGTGGTAGAGATGCGGTGGATGATGGTGGATTTTAACGCATCCAATGTATAAAAGTGAGTCCAGAAAGGTGATTTCTCATCCTCTTTTTCATCCACCTCCACCAGTCCTTGTGGTTCGCTGATGTGGCTGACAACAGCTGTGGCGGCGGCGGCGGCGACCTGACCCAAAATTGGGACAGGAGGCGAGGGAGAAGGTGTAAAGATACTAGAACGACGAGAATTGGACCGACTCGACTCTCCTCCTCCACTTCCAAAGGTAGCACTGTAAGGAGGAGGGTAGTTGGAAGAGTAGTACATCATGTTGCGGTACTCTCTCGACGTGTCATCTTCAGCGTCGAAAGGCCCTATGGTTGAGAAGTGGCCGAACTCTTGTTCGCTTTGATAGATGGTCTCGTCGTCGCCGTTGTTGTTATTGTTGTCGATGTCCTTTTGCTTTTCCTTGTAGGTTGGTTGTGGAACATTCTGCTGGGGGCCCTTCTTTTTTTGAGCCTTGTGGTCTATATCGCCATCCCTGGCGTTGTCCCTCCACCCAGGTTCGAAACCAGGCTTACCATCTGCGACCATCTCAGATCCTGAGAACACGTTTGAGCAAGGGAGGGTGGGGGTTGTTGAAGCAGAGTAGGGCGGCACGTGTGAGTGTAGGTGGTTGTCTGTCCCGCATGTGAGGGCTATCGCAGTAGCTGTGGTCCGGATAAGCGCAGAGATGAGAGTTGCCGTGATCGACGCTGGTGTTGAAGGTGCTGTTGCTGTTGAATCTAGTAAAGAAATAAAATATGAATTTGGTGTTAGCAAATGTGTTACAAGGAAGTCATGAAAAATGCGATGTGCATGTTAAAGGAGATATAAACTTGTTACCTGCAGATTCAGGACCAGTTTGCACATCATTGACAAGAGTGAGGTTCAAAAGTTGACCTCCCATACTCTGTTGCTGTAGTTGTTGGCGGTGAAGTTGCTCAAGGTTGTTGACACTCCTGCCTGGTGAAGCCATCACCTCTGCTGCTGTCATGCCTGGTGTCAACATTGTGCTCGCTCCTCCTGCTGTTGCTCGTCTTGCCGATCCAAGTGACATATTCATTCCTGTGGTTGTAAATGCACCGCTGCCAGAAGTGTACAGATCCGACAAAGACCTTCGAGGGTGACTCTCTGTTGTTGTAGTTGCAACTCCGGTTGTGGAGGCGGTTGTTGAGGTGGAGTTGGTGGCGGTAATGGAGGTGGCTGGGGCGGGATCAGCAAGCCAATTTGATCCTGTCCCACCATCCGCACCTGCGATTTGTCGTTGCTGTTGCTCCATCGTGGTGACACAGTAGTAGAACGCTCCAAGACAGAGGACGACCAACAGCCCTAATCGGATCAGGATATTGGAGGCTGCCATTTCCAGCAGTGGGTGGGGAGGGATCCGCTGTGGTCCGTGGACGCTGTTACTCCAATGATGATTGTAGTTGGAGAACCATGAGGAAAACGATGCATGGTGTTGGCGTTGGTGAGAGAAACGCGTTGAGGTGGTTGGCGGTGCGGTCGACAAGAGGGCAGAGGCGAGGTCTTGGTGTAGAGACGAGAGGCCGTTGGGTAGGTCTAATAAGAAGAAGAGAAGTGTGTCCATGGCGCCCTTGGAACTTTTGGCGAGTCTGGGTGGGTCGCTGAGGTAGTCCACCAAGATCCTGCGGCAGTCAGTGAATGTTGATAGAAAAGAGGGAGAAGGTGAAGAGAGGGAAAAAATGCGGTTGATGAATGAAGTGCAGGCAGAAGAAAAAGTTCCGGAAGAGGAGGGACGCCGGCCGTTCCGGGAACGACGAGAACACCGACCTCTTGCGGTATCCAGGTGCTTCTTCTGCCGGTTGTGTTTGTTGTAAGGATGTCGATGCTGTTGTTGGCGATCTGGCCTTTGAGGGTGTATCGACTCTGGTCTCCATGTCCGCGTCGTCCTTGTCCTTAACCGCGGTGAAAATTGCTTATGCGAGATCGGTTGGCGCGATAGTTGGTCTTGTTGTTGTTGGTGCGATTGAGAATCGACCAAGATATCGTGCATTGGGTACAGGCGACGAAGACGGCATCGTTCTTGTTGATGCTGGAGGTGGTTGTACTTCCATGTCCATTGTGGAATCCACGGGCAACTGCCAGTGCTTGCTGGCTGAAGGATCGTATCCAGGGTATGGCTCTCCTTGTCCTTTGCTTCCTCTACTTCCCCAACGTCAAGGTCGCTCTCTTCCTGCTCTTGCTTTTCCCGGAAGCCATAATCCTCATCCTTGCACTCCTCCTCGTCTTCCCAGTCGCTGTCGTATATATCGTCCCGATCGAGAGAGGCAAGACTCCTGAACAAAGTCTCGACGACCCAGCGCCGACTTCTACTCCTGAGATCCGACACTCGACTCCTCTGCGGCCATTGTTCATGTCTCAGAAAAACAGCCCTCTGTGCATCATAGTTGTCCGGGTCGGCAGCCCTCAGCTCATCTTCTGCATCGCTACCTCCATAGATTGGTATCAAAGGGTGGTGAGTGTGGTACAAGCTTCGTCTCCTGCTCTCACTATTGCCCCTGTCATTGAGGTGTGCTGCTGTGTCACGGGAGCTCGCAGAGGTCCATGATCTTGTCCGCGGGTTCCAGTGGGTTGATTCTTGCGACTTTTGCTGTTGGTTGAGGTAGTAGTGGTGCCTTGACGACGAGGAATGTTGCCGGTTCTGGGAGTACGGACTTGACGAGGAGGAGGAAACAAATATTGAGCCCGAGGTGGATCCTGTTGAAGTAGAGTCAGAGAAGCAAGGGCAAGAGAGGATGGTGCAGATCACGGTTGTCGAGATGATAGAACTGCAAATGATGGACTTCAAGTAAGAGAGGCGATATGATGAAAAGTCCATGTCTAGTTGTCGCTGAGGGTGGCGTGAAAAAGTTGCTGTTCTTGTTTTGTGAGTTGGTAGGGTATCGAGGAAATCAGCGAGAGAGTGTGAAGTGAGGGAAATGAGGGAAAGAGGGACAAAGAAGGGATAAGAGGGGCAAAGGCAAAGAAAAGGAAGAAAGAGGTGTCGATGGGGTATGTGGATGGTTCAATTCCACTGCCCTGTTCTTTTGCATGTGCCTTCTTTGCAGGGCATGAAAAGATGAGTGCAACAGGTATTTAATTATGAAAAGGCGTGGGCGAATATGGGTCGTGGATCGTTGAGATCGGAAGGTGGAATCACTTTTACCGATCGACAGACACCGCCACCCACACCTTCACCCCCTCTCGCTCAACTCATGCACTGGGGAATCTCACTCTGCTTCCTTCTCTTCTTCCTTCTCTCCTTGATGTATGTATGGCAATTTCTTGGTGAGAAAAGAAAGGGGTAGTGTGGTACTGTGGAGTACCAATTGACCTTGTGGGCCGACCACCCTCTGGTATGATCGCCTCTCTTCTTGAGAAATCACATACTTCGGGCCTTGCATGGTCAAGATTAGAATTCTTGGTGGCCCCTTTTTCTAGTGTCTCTTGCAATTATTCTTTTATTTCTTCTTCACCCTTCATGTCTCAAGGAAACGCCGTAAACAGGAAAACTGGACCCAATCTAATACACACCTCATCCGAGGACAAAGAGAGGTCAGCATCGTCATCATGGCGGTAAGAACACATTCTTTCAACAATCCACAACAACAACAAAAAATGAAGGAGGGTACTTACCGACGTTGTCCTTGGGATCGCAGGCGCATTTGAGCTGCAACTCTGGACTCTCAGGACAGTGCTCATACATCCCATGACGGTATCCAATCTCGTTGAAAAAGTGAATCTCTCGCCGATCCAACATCAACGCCGCTGCAATCGAGTGAACAGGAGCATCGCCCCACCGTTCATAAAAGAACCCGCCTGCATCGTCTAGGAGCTGGAAAAAGTCCAGGTACGCCTTGGATCGAAAGAAAGACGTGTCGACAATCTCAAAATTGGACCAGAAATGACAGTTGTTGTAGGTGTCGCCCTTGTCGTAGCTGATCCATTCGAGCGAGTTCCGTTTGGCGATATGTTCTGGGTGAAGCTTCCTGAATCGCTTAACGTTCTCCCATAGAGTCGGGATAGTGTCGACAAATTCGGGGAGGGCGATCGTGAAGCCGTACTTGTATTTCTTGGTCTTCATGATCATGAATGGATCAATGTTTAGGAGATCGCATGAGAACGAGACTCCTGGTTCAACTCTCCAGTAGTAGTCGTATTCCTGGACAAGTTCGTGTCGGAAGATGAATCCCGACATGTATCTAAAAAAGCAAGTCAACGCGAGTTAGCTGCGAGGTTAGGAAATAAAGCGAGCGCAATTGACATGAACAGAACGAGGAGATTCGTACCGACACATGTGGCGATATGACTCGCTCTCGCCATAGGGCACGTTGCGGTTCTCCATATCCTCACGGTTCAGTGCTGCTTGGGTTTTGTTGATAAATGGCGGGTAACTCCATTGCTCCTTGGGTATCAATCCTATCGACAGATTCACAAAGTAAGCCGTGAGGACATGCAATTGACGTCGAGTCACAAAGATCCTTCAACAAAGCCAATTCGTTTCCTGCTTTTCCTTACCGAAACTGACGGGTGCGGTGGTCATGGCACGGATGTGGGTCTTGAAGTGCTCGGTGAAGGGCACGTTGTTGAGGAATACATAGGGGTATCCATGCTTGCGGTTGAAGACTGACTCGAGGTTCCTTATGGTCTTTCGCATATCGTGCAAGTCTTTGTTCTGCAGAAGGACTACGAACGCGGCATTGGCCCTTGGTGCATTGTTCTGTGCGTCATTCTGAGCTGTATATGTAGTAGCGCCAGTTGTTGTTGGTAGTGGCGGTGGTATGACAGAGTTGATGTCTGTTGTTAGGGTATTGGTGGCAAGTGGATGTAATTGAGCTTTTTGATGATGGTGAGCCAGTGATGAGGCGGTGTTGGTGGAGTTCCTGGTGTGCTTGAATAGGTAACCAGCCAAGAAGGCTAAAGCGAAGAGGAGTATCCTGCATCCTGTCGCTGCGAGTCTGCGAGGGATCATCGTCTGGTGATCATCCTGAATTCAAAAGGGCAAGGGAGAGAGAGAAGAAGGAGAAGAGAAGGAGAAGAGAGCAAGGAGTCGCCTGCTCAAGGGAAAAAGATACCTGCGAGTGTTGCTGTCCTTTGGAGCAGTGACTGACGCAGAGAAGGATGAGCCCACCCACATAGTTTTTTTTATCTTTTCGCACTTGCACTTCCAGTCTTCCAGGGCACATCCATCCATCCATGGACCCCCAACACTAAGCCCTCTTTTTCTCATTGTTCACTAGATCCACAGACTCTTTTTTCTTTCTTCGTCTTTCCTTTCTTTCATTGTCCATTCCTTCCTTCCTCTTCTTCTTCTTCTACTCCTCGCTCTCCTTCCTCTCCCTCTTCTTCTCCCTCTCTCCTGTCACTTCTCCTCCTCCTCTCTCGATCCCTTGCTTCTCTCACTCTCCGTCTTTAGCCCTTCTCCTCCTGCCGGTTCCTGTTCTCCTGAACTCTGACGGCCCTCCTTTCTCCTTTAATACATCTCCCTCCCAACCGACTCTCATTCACATTCTCTTCCTTCTCAACCTATTCCCATCCTTACTCTTCCTCTCTAATTCCTTCCTTCACACAACCACAAGAATAAGAACAACAACAACAACAACAACAACAACAACAACAGCACCGATCAATCAGATGCTAAAGTCATTCGCTGACAGGCTGGGGATCCCTTCTCCTTCTCCTTCCTCCTCCTCCAACCCTTCCTCCCGCGCAACCTCCCCAACCCCCTCCACAGCTTCTCTCGCTTCCTCCACAACCTCAACCTCAACCGCCCACCGCACCTCCATGATGTATGCCTCCCCAAGGCCCCCAAGTCGTCCTCTCCCTCAGGGCGGACAGCTCCCCAAACCAACCGGTTCCTCCTCAGGACTCTTAACCCCTCAGAACCACCACATTGGTCTAAGGACACCTACTACTACTACCTCTACGCCTTCGCCAGGAACAACTACTAACCTACGCAAGATCTCAGTATCCTATCCAACAACCACCACCCAGCCTGTGTTACCACCCTTGGCAGCCCAACAAGCAACCCATGCCTCTCCTGCCTCCTCCTCCCCACACCTCGATCCACAATCCTCAACCCCTGTCATGGCTACTACAACCCCCACTGCCGCTGCCGCTTCTACTACAGCCACTGCAAATCCTCCAGGTGGTTCAAAGACAGAGAACGTTACTGTCACTGTCCGCATCCGTCCCTTTTCATCATCCGAACTCAAGGTCGCTGGCGGCCCCACTGATGTTTGGACAGTCGGAGACACCGGATCGAGCATTGCCTACACTGATGACTATGCCGTCCAAGCCAGGAGAGTTGCCGTCGATTACAAATACGGTAGCTATTTTTGAGCGTCAAACAGGCTATCTATAGGAAATGGGACGAATGTGTGATGATGATGATGATGATGATGTCTGTCGTTGATATCTAACCAGATGCCTTCTTTCATGCAATGTAAATAGACCACGCATTGACGGGAAGCGACAATGAGCTGATCTACAACACCAGCGTGAAGGACTTGGTCCTATCAGCCATGGAGGGATACAATGGTAACAGGCGATATATTACTAGTCATTGGTGAGACGAATCAGAAAGAAGGAAAACCGGCGGGGATATTGACCCCATAATGTTGTCTTTCATCATCGTTCGTCTTATAGGAACGGTCTTTGCTTACGGTCAAACCTCGTCTGGAAAAACATATGTAAGGACATACATTCTGTCATTGTTCGATCTTTGTTTGCTATGCGCCATTGTGTCATGGCTGGCAAAAGACTACATACTGACATTCTCTTGTATCCTCTTCTTTGTAACGATGTCTTTGAATACTATAGACGATGGTAAGGACAACCGCAGCCTTGGATACAAAATGGTGCGCCTTGCAACTTGTTCTGCATCAATTGAGCAAACTCTCACATTCGGTTTTCCTCCTCCGAAAATAACTTGATAGAGTGGAAATGAGTCCCAACCAGGTATCACACCTCGTGCCGTTGAAGACGTCTTCAAGTACATTCGCGAGAACTCGGACCGTGAGTTCCTGCTGCGTGTCTCCTACTTGGAGATCTACAACGAGTCAATCCGTGATTTACTCTCCCCTGAAGCCATTGATTTGCGGATACACGAGGACAAACGTGTAAGTCATCGTCAGTGCTTATTCCATATTAAACTGATATTGCGCTGTGCTAGTTTGTTCCTAGATGGACGAATTAAACTAACCTTATGGTACTTATCGACGTGGATAGCGTGGCGTGTATGTCAGTCCGCTCAAGGAGGAGATTGTTACCGCACCCTCTCAGGTGATGCGCATCATCGAGCGAGGAGACTGTAAGTTTGTCTCTTGGATTTCAGGCGCACTTGGCCATTTATTGCATCGAACACAACTCATTATACTAACTACCTTGAACCTTTATGTGAACAGATCAACGACATGTCAGCTCCACGGATTTCAATGCACACAGTAGTAGATCCCACTCGATCTTCCAAATCGTACGTTAAACAGGAAGCCTTTTTTCAGAATGGCGTATGTTCATGAAGTCCACTTTTAGTCAGAAACAAGCAACTCACGATCATCTTTCTTCCATTCAATATTTTAATAGGTCATTGAGAGTAGAGACAGATCACCGGCGACAGCGGGAAGTCCTACAGCGCGGAAACCAGGATCCAAGTCTGCAAGTGCTGTCAGGGTGTCACAGCTGAACTTGATTGATTTGGCAGGATCTGAGAAGGCGTCGTCAAACGAGGAGCGTCGCAAAGAAGGAGCTTTCATCAACAAGTCACTCTTGACCCTTGGAACCGTCATCTCCAAATTGACCGAGGAGAAGGGGTAAATTGGGCTGATGTGTTTTTGAACAGGCGGGATTGCCAATTGCATGGCAAGGAGTGCACGTTTAGACTAACAGCGTTCATAACTTGAAATTATTTAGGGCTCATATTCCGTATCGTGATTCAAAGTTGACGCGCATTCTGCAGTCCTCGCTGAATGGCAGTGCTCGCGTCTCCGTGATTTGCACGATCAGTCCGTCGTACTTGAATGTGGAAGAGTCGAACAACACGCTCAAGTTTGCGGCGCGTGTCAAGAAGATTGTGACCAAGGCGCAGACCAACCAGGTGATGGACGACAAGGCTTTGTTGGAGAAGTACCGTCGCGAGATCAGTGAACTCAAGGCACAGCTCATGTTGACTGCTGGAGATGGCTCCGCTAGTTCAGGACCTGGTAACGGAGCTGCACCTTCTGGACCTCAACAGGCTGAGCTTTCGAGTCTTTTGCAGAAGGAGCGGAGGAAGCATGAGGAGGAGATGGTCGAGATGAATATGGTCCGGAATGCACTCAAGGAGCGTATTGATCATCTCACAAAGTTGATTTTGACTTCTTCGTCGGTTCATACCAAGGGCGCTGGAGCTCCTGATCCACCCACGGCACGGTATACTGTTGAGACGTCTGCCGACGGAACTGTGATGGAATTTCCAAAGGAGATTGAGTCCCGCCTGGCGCGTAAGGATACGATTCTCAAGGAATTGCAGTTGGAGTTGGAGAGCCAGCAGGAGAAGATGGTGTTGATGAAGACTGCGTTGGAGAAGGCTGTCAAGGGTGATTCGGTGGATCTGGAGAAGACGTTGGCCAAGGTTGAGAATATGGATGAGCATAACCCTCCAAGGGAGAAGTTCTTGAATGAGAAGCGGGCTTCGATCATGAATATCAAGAATTTGGAGGAGTTTGATGGTGTTGACGGTGGGGATCTTGCGGCGCTCAAAGCTCTTCAGCAGCAGCATAGGGCGTTGCAGCGACTGGATTCGCGCGAGTCTGGCAAATCTGTGCAGGCGATTGAAGACGAGGAAGAAGATGAGGAGCTGATGGACACGCCCTGGAATCGTGCTGAGCTGCAGTCGTTGAGACAGGCGAAGCGAGAACTGGAGATCGTAGTCATGGATCAGGAGCGTAAGCTGGAGGATATGGTTGCCTTTGAGGACTCTGATGAGTTTAGGGAGCTGATTATTGAGATGGAGGAGCAGCGGGAAAAGATTGTTGCGATGGAGGAGGAAAGGGAGGGGTTCCGGATTATGATTACCGAGTTGAGGAATACTATCCGCAAGATGGAAATTGCTGGACCTCCTTCGAGTCATGGATCGAGTAATAATGGGTCGAGCGCGGCTTCTTCGGCGGCTTCGACGATGGCGGCAGCGGCGGCGGCAAGGATTAGAGAGGTGGAGTATGTTGCACAGAAGGAGAGGCGGCTCCGGATGGAGGAGCAGACGCATAATATGGGCCGGATTGCCTCCCTTGAAGCTGAGCTGACTATGCTCAAAGCCGAGCTCTCTGTCCGCAACCTTGCCGACTTTTAGGGCTTGCGACAAATTAAAACCCTTTTTCTTACATTATAATTAATTTGGATTGTTATGATATGATGTTATTTGTATTATGATCGGGGGTCTGTGGTTTTATCAACGGAATTGATGTCTGTGCCTAGGTTTTAGTTTAATGAGCAGCGCCCAAGGGTCTTTCATCCTCATCCTCATCCGCAGACGTCCACCCAGGTTGCTGCTGCATCGGAAGCTGCATCATCATAGGCTGTTGCTGATAGTACACCTGCTGCTGCTGCTGTCCCATTCCCGGCATCACACCCTGTTGCAAAAACTGCCCCTGCTGTCCAAACTGCTGCTGCTGTTGTTGTTGAGGGAACTGGCCGGCCTCCCAAGCAGACCGCCTCTGCTCCTGCAACCACCGCTCCTTCTCAACATTCACCATCATTTGCTGTTGAAGTTGTTGGTGTTGGAACTGTAGCTGGTTGGTTCCATGGGCTTTAGCAAGCTTCTTGTCCCGTTCCATTGCCGAGATGGCACCAACAAGTCCTGCGGAGGGGGGTGGGGGTTTTGCCTCGACGTGGATAAGCGTTGCTGGTTGCTGGTAGGGGAGGAACTGCTGTTGTTGTTGTTGGAGGTGGAATTGATGAGGTTGGGTAAGGTATTGTTGTTGCTGGATGAGAGTAGGGCCCATTTGGGGGATGAAGGAGTCCCGCGATCCTGTGGGGCGGTGTTGTCCTCCTCCTCCTCCCCCTCCCGAGCCTCCAGAACCACCAGAGCCGTTGGATCCAGTCGAGTTCAAGGACGCCATCGACCCTCTATCGATCCCCGAAGCCTGCTGGAGGGTCACCACGGACGCCACACTACCACGGTAACCGGCCGGGAAACTGCTAGTCAACAGGCTGGTTCCTCCATTGAACGATGTAGGAGGAGTCGTCATTGCGTGTCCGCCAAGAGCGGCGGCGGTCGCTTGGAGGTGTTGCTCTCTGATCAACCGTTCCTGTTCTTCTTCAATAAAATCGCTCAGACGTGGCTGGGAGGACGTTTGGCTGTAAGAATGCCCTCCATTGTAGACTTGCTGTTGACCGCCGAGGAGGGAGCCAGTGAGGGGGGCGTTGCTGGTTGCGGGGTTCAGAGGGGACGAGGAAATTGGTTGGTGGTGGTAAACAGCACCACTGCCGTTGTTGACAACTGAATGAACAGAGGACGTCGAGAGCTGACGGTTATGTTGGAGGAGGGGCGACTGTTGGACCGAGAGGTGTGGGGAATAAGTGTTGGGCGATGCAGGTGTAATAGTCGTCGCTGCCATCGTGGGAGATGACGGGGTTGTGAACGAGGAAGATGAGCCCATGCCCATAAGGGACGAGAACTGAGGCAACGAGGGCAGTTGTGGGAGATGGTTCTGTTTCTCCCCCAATGGCACATCATCGTCACTATCACTCGTGTTGACCTTGTTGGTGTTGGTGTCGAGGTTATGCACGGATCCATTAGCGCTGGCAGCACGAGAATGGTGCTGGTGAACAGCCTGCAACTGCTGCTGATGCTGCTGTTGCTGCTGGTAAACAAGAAGCTGATACGCCTGCTGTTGCTGCTGCATGGTCGCGATCTGGATCTGCTGCTGCTGCATAATCATCACCATTTCCTGTTGTTGCTGTTGATAGATCGCCATTGAGGTTGCCAGGTTTGACGTTGCGATTTGTGAGGACGCCGATGTCGCCGATGCGGCGAGGTACGGATTGGAGCTGCTGTTGCTGAGGTTGCCGAGACTCGAGTTGCTGGTGTTGTTGATGGCCATACCCAGGTTCGTAGCGGGAGGAGGGGTATAGGCGTTGTAGGGTGATGTGGCGACAGGCCCGGATCTTGGCGACGACAACGGAGACGGCATGCCCCCGACTCCCAGTCCTCCTACGATTCCAACAGTAGCGGCGGCGTAAGGGTCATATGAGGAAGTGCGTGAATGGGGCGCAGAGGATCCTCCTAGTCCTGTGGTTCCCAATACGGTGTTCAAGTGTCGGTTATGGATACTCCCACCAGAGTGAGGAGGCTGTTGTTGTTGTTGTTGTTGTTGTTGTGGGGCAGGAGAATTAACTGCAGGAGTCGATCTTGCAGCTGGCTTATGCTGCTTGTCGTCATCGTCGTCGTCTTCGCTGTCAGAGTTGACAGGCGCCTTGCGGACATAGTTCTGTCCTGGACCTGCGATCCGGGTTTGAGCCATGGACTTGACCAACCCTCCCACTCCCCCACCGCTCTTCTTGTCCTCGTTATCCGTGTCACTGTTCTCCTCCTCCTCAGTGCTGTTGCTGGTGTGGTTGAGAGCAGCTATGGGCGTAGATGTGGAAACGGGTGCTACCGTTGCTGATCTCATGGCGGGCTCATCATCGTCCGACTCTGTATCAGAATTAACAGGCGCTCGACGGACATAGTTCTGACCCGGCCGTACGACCCCACCCACTGTTGCACTCGTTCCTGCTACTGGCTTGGGGCTGAATGCACCGATTCCGTTCCTGATTCCACCATTCGCCTTCTCATCCTCTTCTTCATCTTCCTCCTCCACAATGTCCTCAGAGTCCGAATCAGCGTCAGAGTCAGACTGAACAGGTCCCTTGCGGACGTAACCTGGTCGTCGACCAGGCCGGAAGGAGGATCGATTCACATTCCCAGGGGCTCCCGTCAGCACCACGGTCGTGTTCCCGCCCTTGTTGCTAGTGGTGCTGTCGGTGATATTGGTGACGGTGGCGTGCTTCATGAAGGAAACGGAGCGTGTGGGCTTTGTGGCCATGTTGAGGGCTGGAGGGGATGTTGGGGTTGTGGGGGAGGCTAGGGCCGACATGTTTTATGTTTGTGAGTGTTGTGTGGTAAAAAGGAAGAGGCGTCAAAAATACGAAGGAGTGGATGTGAAGGGAAAGAGGAAAGGCTTTTTTGTTTGCCACTGGGAAGTGATGGAGACAAGGAAAGGCTGAAAGGGCGAGGGATGGAAGAAGAAAGAAGAAAGAAGATGGCAGGCAAGAAAAGAGAAGAGAAGAGAAGAAAGGGCCAGAGAAGGATTCGAGGTTCATTTAAACCCATGGCGTGCGCTCTAATTAGTCGTGTATCAGGTTTATTTTATTTTTATCATTGAACACTCAGTTGTCCTGATCATCATCATCAACCAGCAATTGAACGCAGTGCATTATGCTTCTCCCTTCTCCACCAACAATGAACGGAAGAATAAGAAAAAATAATAATAATAACCCGCATTTGGAACTCACTCATGCGTCCTGCTCGGGTCCTCATGCTGCTCTCAAGAACAAAACAAACGCATATGTATTTTATTATACCCATATCAAAATATAAAGACGGAGTTATTTAACTGGTACCAGACAATGGTATGAACGGGCGCCACTTTTCGAGGAGCCAGCTAGCTTGCTACTTCTGTCCATCATCTCATCTTTTCATTCTTCTTCGCCATCTCTTTTTTTTTTTTTTTTTCCTCCAAGCTCGAATGTGGTTGTGCATCATTGAAGGATGGACATTCTTTGAGCTGGTGGACAATCAAGACGACATGTTTTTGTAATTTTAGATTACCCTTCTTCCTTTCTTTTGCCTTCCAATTGTGGGGAGATGGTTGACAGCTGCACAGCGTTGTAGCGAGGGTAGCAGAAGTTGTAGGGGGAGAATAGAGATTGGAGACAGTGGTAGACATTCATCCACTGCTCAACAGCAATTATCCCCTGGTTTGATCCAAATTGAACCTTCTCTTAGTTACAAATTTATGATTCTGCGACACATACAAAACACACCACCTTCATACAAACAAAAATAAAACAGGAAGAAAAGAGAGCCATGAATGGATGAACCAGAAAAAGATTAAGGAGTGCAACAAGAACAAACAAACACAAAAAAAATGCAGGGGAACGCCATTGGACGGGCAGAGAAGGAGAAAGAGACAAAAGAGTGAGAGAAGGAAGGAAAGAAGCAAAGAAAACAGTAGATGGTACCAGATGAACACGATGCAGAACACCACTTGTGTAAAGGGAAGGACGGAGAAGGGAGGAAGAGAGGCAATGCCGTCTGGACCATTCGATGTGCCCTTTAATTTTTTTCTTCGAAATAGATCGGGTGATGGCAACACAGAATAAGGGGTTGCAGTACGTGTTTTGGTAGTCTACTCAACAGCAAGGGGAAAGAAGGGGAGGCAAGAATAGACAACATGGCATGGACCCTGCCGTTTTCTTGGGCGTTTGGACCACCCGTGTCATTTTCAAGGAGAAGGAATAACAAGAATAGATCGATGGGGATGAGGTGACAAGGAGAATCCAACTGGCAGCATCAACAGCAGCTGACTATCAAACGATGGTGACGACGATGACGGTGGTCATGATGATGATAGTGGTGGTTTTATTCTTGCTTACTCTGCTCTACCACAGAAGAGTTCTCCTGTGAGTGATGTTTCGTGCTCAATGACACTGAGACATAACGCTCCACGCCCAGCCCTTCCATGCTTCACCTCTCTTGTGTCGAACCCACCCACACATATATGCACTCATTTCCATCCTTCCCTTTTGGCAAGACATATGAGGGATGAAATGCCAGTATGAAAAGAATAGAACCTGGTGCCTGAATTTTTGTTCATGTCATTGGATGTCAGCTGTAGAATCACACGCGCTAAAATTATGAATTCCAACGAAACAACCAATCCCCACCCTCACGACGCATCAACCCATGTTCGTCTGGAGTACAGTGCTTCTATGAGGTGTACTTCGTCTTGAGAAGCACGCGCGTCGTCATTGATGCTCTTTCTATACCTTTGTCGCCCTATTAAAGACGTCTTTCAACGGTCAAGAGAACAAAGGAAATGCTCCTTCATCTCAAGCCCCTTTACACATTTCCTCTTCTTTCCTTCGAGATCCACATTATTTGTCTAGGTGACTGATTGACACGCATTCCAGGAGTTGCTGCTACTCAAAAACTGTGACACAACCCAAATTGTGGCACACGTTCATCCTGGTGGCATACCCACAGTTCTGTGTAACACAAAGAGCCAACATAGTTCAAACACGAACGACGCGCGATCAGAACCGACTTGATAAATACTTCCCCATTATCTTTTTCTTTTTCGATCCCTGTTAAACATTCCTTCGCATCCAAAATACTCAACAATGTTTGCTTCCCTAACTCTGCAACCAACATCGAGCGCAGGAGGATCGTGATCAGGGGTGAAGACTCCTCCTGCCCCCATCCTCATCAACGGAGCCTCCTCCGACGACATAACAGAGAGGCGACAGAAGCAACATGTGACAGGAACGGACAAGGAGCGAAAGAGGATATCTTCTCGGATCGTGATGCACCCGACAGTGAAACTGCTCAAAGGCTACGAAAAGACATCCTCGCCTGGAAGGTAAAGTACACCTCTACTCCTCTTTTTTTGTCCTAGTTGAAGGGTTCATTGTTCTGCATTGTTTGTTCGCGACTGTGAGACTTTTTTCTTCTTACTATCGTTTCATTCGCTTGAATGTTCCTGTCCCTCCCCTTTTTTTAGAAACATTGCGACGAGTACCATAACGGTTGCATCGTGTCAGTGTATGCTTGTCCATGAATACACACACCCTCTTTTTTTTTTCTACCATAAACGCAAAGACCTGCAATGACCTCTCTCTAATGCACGTGCTTCCCTTCCTCGCCTATCCCTCCTCTTTCCACCCACTCCACATTCTCTCTCAATGACCACCACCTTCCAAGTCCGCCAGACAAACATATCTTTCCCCCGAAGAACCAAGATGGCCACCATTAGAGAGGACACACAGGCTCTCCCTCATCTCTTGGCGCGCCGGACTGACCACAGGTTGGTGTGCCCGAACAAGGAGCCAAACTTTGATCTGGATACTCGATTCAAAACGCTGATGGCAGAGTATGGACCATCGCTTGGCGAGTCCAAATGCAGCCAGTCTGCGGCTATGGTGTATAAACGCTGCTCGCCTGGGGAAGGAGAGAAGCAAGATGGATGGACAGTGAAATGGCGTCTGCCAACCCCCACCGCCAGCGACAGTTAAAAGTGACCACACGCATGTCACTGTCACCGCCGTCGCCACCCTCAGATTCAGGCGCTTCGGTCATGTCGTCTCCAACGCCTACTTCTCCACCTGCACAAAGCCACCTGTCCACCATCGCCGCCATCACCATCAGCATCACCACACCTACTAACGCTCCGTCAAGCATGGGACGAATTCGATGGACCGATCCGCGAGATATGGGCCCAAGGCTCCTGCTGACCTTACACCATCCAGGACTGGGAACGACTCTCTCGACGGTCAAAGCTCGTTGAATAGATGTACAAGGAAATTTTAAATCTCTATTTTGGGCAGGTCCAGCGGGGTCTCGAACGTGTCAACACCACCACTAGTCACTAGTACCCGTACGGACAGAAGGGATGGAGGTGGCCTGGATGGGGGGTGGAGAATTTCTTCTGAGGAGGGAAAGGAGGAGAATGGCGAGGAGGTTGCAGATGAGATGGGGCATTATGAGAAGTCGAAGGAGGCGTGTGTGGATGAGATGTCGGACCGGTATGAGACTGTGGGGTGGTCAGTCGATTAGGTGCTCTGTCGGTTGTCTGAACGAGACAACATTCGCTGGCTTGGCTAACTCGTTCTTTCAAGCGAAGCAGAGAAGAGGTTGACGAAATAAAACACGATATCGACATGGAGGGCTCAATACCTGATGGATCTACTACTACTACACGAATTTTACGCGACTGGCGTTTGAGCCAAAATTCAATGTCCACATAAACAGTAAATATGGTCCCCCCCTACTTTTTTTTTTCTTCTCTTCTTTTCCTTCTTTTCTTCTCGCGGTGGTGGCTATATTTTGTTATTTTTTTATCAGTGGGTGGATATGTTTCTTTCGTGCTCTAGCCGTGGTTCTTTGTCTTCTAACCGTGGTTTTCTTCAAGTTCCGATCCTGTTTCCTCAAGTTCTGGTCGTGTTTTCTTTCCTTTTTCTCTTACTCTCAGTGTTGCTGCGTGCTACCGAGATGGTGATATATCCTGCATTGTTGGGGGGGGGGGAGGGAGGGAGGACTGGGTCGATGTCGAAGCCGCGATGACAAATGATGGTGAAGGCCGACCATCCAGGACAACGCTATTCGTGTTTTTGGGAGTAATTGGTGGTTAAGCAAAGATCTTATCTCTTCAAAGGACTCAACAAAAAAAAGTTTATGTCGTCCCCACCTCCCTCCCTCTCTCTTCCACTTCTAATTTCACGAGGCAAGTAAACAAACAAGCGAGCGAGGTTGCGATGGGACGAGAGGTACAACACAAAAGGACCGACTTTTTTTTTCATATGAATGTTTTTGTTTTTTTTTTAATTCTATACAAAGTAAATGAACAAAAAGCCAAGTATCCAATGTTCGAGTTGGAAGGAACAAACATGTGCGTATGTGTAGGAAGAGAGAGAGAGATGAGAGAATGGGAATGCAAATTAAAAAAAAGTACAAGAACTAAAAGGACAAACAGCTTTTGTGATGAAAAGAAAGAAAAAAAAAAGAAATGGGAAAAGATACACTATCGATGAAAGAAGGGGTTATGGATGTGCTATGTATGAGATATAGAAACACGAAAAAAGAAAAAAGAAAAAAAAAAAAAAAAAAAAAAGATCAAGATTGCTGGTCCTCCATGGGGTTTTCAGGGATACGATCGCTCGAGATGCCTAGCCCCTTGACACCATGGCCAATACCGCCAAGACCACCAATACCGCCAAGGACTCCACCAATGCTTCCCAGCGCACCGCCATTGGAATGGTGCTCCTTTGTAGGTGTCGCAGGAACAGTTCGAGAGGTCCTGGTCTTGCTGGGCGCCCGCTTAGTGATTCCCGACATGGAGATGGATCTGGTCTTGCGAGTCGATCCAATCGAACTCCGATCGCCTGCAATGCCGACTCCTGCCTTCTTGGACGACAAGGCTGAGCTGAAGGACTGACGACGTGGCGTGACTCCGGTAGGCGATCCAATGAGTGGACTGCTAGGGCTCACAGGGGAATGGATCCGCAATCCTGCTAGTTGAGTCGCATGGTCCTGTGTCTCCTGATCATACTGCTGTCCGCCATTATAGGAATCATACTGTCCATTCAACTGCTGCTGGCCCTCCTGGTGGTAATGGTGATGTTGGTCTTGTGGATGCTGCTGTGGGTATTGAGGGTATGTCGGCGATCCATATTGGTAGTGACCTCCACCATTCTCCGGGAAACCAGAGGGGCTATACATATCAGGCGAGGCTGCTCCCGAGGCGGCGGGCGAGAACCCATGCTGGACTTGAGGAGTCATGTAGGCATGGGGATGGGGACCCGAGGGCGACAGAGGACTGGCAGGGTAAGATTCCGAATCATGTCGACCACTGTTATTGTTGTAGTGGTAGTCTTCCCGGTAGTCCTGAGTTGCCATATGAGACGCCGATCCGAGAGATTGGTATGGGTAGGATGAGCTGTTGTAGCCGTAATTGGGGTAGTAGGAGTAGTCGCCACCGTTACTGCTGCTGATGCTGTCGTTCCTATAAGACGACGATGCAGGAGGGTATCTCTCATCCGCGGGGTAAGGGGTCGAGGATGAGGTTCCAGGGCCAGATGGAGCACCAGCGCCGGCAGCGGCAGCAGCAGCGGCAGCAACAGCGTCGTCGTCCTCGTTATCGGCATAGTGTCCAGGCGAGCGACCACGAACAACCAAGGGAGCCGAGAGCAAATTAGCAACCAAGATTTGCGCCCCCGTATCAGTCTCAGCAAACAAGTCAACATGAACTTGGTAGTACTGCTGGGCCGCTCTCCGCTTGCCATTGTTGGCAGTCGCCGTCTTGAACTGGACACGCTCATAGGTGACGACATAGGGCTGCAGACCAGTCGGTCCTGGACTGAGATCGCCCCCTGCGCGGACGGGCATCCGTTTTGGTGTGATCTGGGGACCCTTGTCACGCTTAGGTGTATGCTGAACCAACTCGATCGCCTTATCGCCGTTCTGGATCTGGGCGCCAATGCAGATCAGGAACCGGTTGACCTGAAGGAGCTCGCCGTTGTAGTCCAGCAGACAGGGGACCTCGGGTTGCTGGGTAGTGTCGAGTCCTGGAATGAAGAAGCAAGCGCTGATCTGGAAGTAGTTGCGACGATAGCATGTCCAGTCGTTTGATGCCAAGAAGAACCCCCTATCAATCTTCGCCGCCAACTTCAACGTGTAGCTATTGTAATTGTAAAAGAAGGGTTGTTAACACGTTGCGCTCTTCTTGTGTATTAAACAATTCGATTGAGTGAACTTCCACAAAGCCATACCTTGTGGAGCGATCCATGCTCACGACGTTGTAGAGTTGGTGAGCAGGGAAAAAGTAAGGGCTTTCATGGGTGGCAAAGACCTCTGATCGTTTCCTGTTTCGCGAACCACCGCTCATCATGGATTCAGAGGTGGGAGAATGTGCCGAGCTGGCGTAGGCCGCAATGTTATCGCCAGCGATTCTGTCGGAGCCTGTAGCCATGTCAGGGCTTCCTGTCTGCTCATCCATGCTGCCGTGATGGTGGCTGTAAGAATGGTTCCTAATAGTACATTTTAGCATGGGAAAGGATGATGTCAGATAGTGAAATGTCATTTGGATTTTTCTTCAGTAGCTTGCTTATTTTCAATCGCCACCCTGTTGCTTTTGTCCTTCTATCCCTCAAACTGCCATTTTTCTCACAAGTGGACCCCCTCCCCATGTAATCGTCGCACAACAAGCATGTAAGCTGAGCTTTGGCTGGGAAAATTAAAATACTGCAATAAATGAGAGCAGTGAACTGAAAAATGACGATCCCAGACGACATTCGCTGCCATCCTTCCTTTCTTCTCGTCTTCGTTCTTCTGGCGCTGGGAATAGGAGGCGGCGACTGGTCGACTCCCTCGCTCTCGTTTCTGTCTCCTCTTTCATACCCCCTGGTTCGGTCGGTTGGTCGGTCGACCGGTCATTCAGTCCGGTCTGTTCCCCGCATGTGACCCCTTTCCTCCTCCTCCTTGTATCCTTATCAGGTACAGAAAAAAAGGCCTTGTGCGAAATATTTCATTCTCCTACAAGTATTGCTTCCTCACGCTGCCTGCCTTACCCACGAGGTAGTTCTTCGATCTCTTTTTTTTTTGAGAATCTCTCTCTCTCTTTGTCACAAGGGAGCATCGCCTCTTCCTTTTTCCCAACTCAATTGTGTTTGAGATCCTTCTTCGGACACCGAACAAACGCTTTTTTTTTTTTACGACGATGACTGGCCAATTGATTTGGTTTTAAAGTTACCTGGGGTAGTGTGAGGACGATGACGAGGAAGAGTAGGATCCATTACTGAGAGTATTGCCGCTGTTGTTGTTTGTGATGTTGTTCCCGTCTTGTCCGTTGTTGTTGTCATTGTCTGGAACAGAGTAGCTCGGGTGGTCATAATGGCCGCTTCCTTCCGCAGTGGGGCTCCTGTTGTTGTTCACATGGAGCACCATAAAAGAGTCCGTCAGTCAGGGGCCATGAAGATAGATAGGAGGGCGAGGATGCTTGCGATAATAAAAGAAAGAAGAAAAAAAATCTTATTCTTGTCCAGAGGCATGTAACAGACATATCTTCTAACCACAATCGCTATCGCCATCGCCATCGCCATCGCATATCAGTGCAGACCCTCCCCCTCTTCCTTAAGAGTCTTTTTACTTCAGCTCACTGCACTCGCACAATCCCCAACCTTTGTTTTATTTTTCTCATGAGAACAGAAAAAAAATAACGCAGGTGAAAGAAAAAGAAGTCGGGAAGAAAGGAAGAAGAATGGCAAAATAGGACCCGATTATTCAAATCGATAATTTTTTCCCCTTTTTTTCCTTCATGCAACTTCCCGTCTTCATCTTCATGACAAGACGCTCAGTTGTGTGGTCCTAGGTGTTCCCCCACCTTTTCTTTGTTCTATTTTCTATTTTGCTCGCCCCCGTTTCACAACCTCGTCTTACCAGGACCCGTAACCTCTGTACCGCCAGAGATGCTCATGGACCCAAAGGGAGAGCGTCAATGCTTTTTTGTCTCACCCTTCTCTGTCCGAACACCGCTTAATCTTGTGTGACCCCTGTGGGACAATTGCAATAACAATAACAATAACAATAACCAGATCTCGTAGCAGAGGGGCACACATACCTCAACAACAAAAAAAGGGACCCTAACCGAACACAGTATTCACACGCAAAAACACCACCACTTTCACTCTTTTCTCACACCCACAACATTAGATACAACTCCTTTTGTACACATCCTCGGGTACATGTCTCGAATGGCTGGAATGAAGGACAGATAGATAGTCTACACACGATGTGCATGTTTCTGTTCTTGAAACCTCCTCTTTCTCTCACACTACTCATTGCCTCTCCGATCAAAATCTCGCCTTCCCCCTACTTTTTCTCTCTCTTTTAGTCCATGTACCCCGCACCAACAGACAGGAGAAACCGGAAAAAACAGACACAAATAAAGCAACTTACAAAGGGTGCTGGTGGTGCTCCTGGGGGTATGATGCATGCTGTGCATAGTAGGGTTGCTGTTGCTGCTGCTGTTGTTGTTGTTGTTGGTACTGTCCACCGTTGTTGCCCTGCTGCGAATGGTCATATTCATAATGGCCATGTTGTTGTTGCTGCTGCTGTTGTTGTTGGTACAGGTTATGGGTATTGATGGGCGAGAGCGGCGAAGTTGACAAAGCGGGGGAGGTCGGGGATGCAAATGAGTTGTGCAGGCTTGAAGGATGACCTCCATGAGCAGAGTAGACGCCACCATTGCTTCCATTCCCGAGTGCCTGACCAGTCGTCTGAATGGGGTGTGGGAGGTAAGCGCCGTTGGCAGGGTAGCCCGAAGAAGTCGGCGCAGAGGAGTAGTGGTGTCCATTGCTGTTATTGCTGCTGTCGTACTGTGCCTGTTGCTGGTCCTGCTGTTGCTGCTGTTGTTGTTGTTGTTGTTGTTGTTGTTGTTGGTCATTGTGCACTTCTGAGTATCCACTGCTGCTGTTGTCCCCGGTGTACTGGTGGCGCATGGGACTGCTGCTAGTGTTGTTGATTGTAGGGGCGTTGGTATAGTCAACTGAGATGGACGATCTTGGCTCGGTTTTGTCTTGATAGTCCAGGTGTTTTGAGGCATTGGAGACGGAGCGTTCCCGAGGGAGATGATCGGCCATGTTCACTATTGGCGAGGCTGCTGTTGTCATCGTGTCGTGAAATGAAGATGTTTCTGCTGACAAAAGCTGTGAGGAGAGGAGCGCGCAGGAGGGAAGGAAAGAGAAGAGAGTCGAAAAAGAGAGTCAATAGGCAGGTCGTTCATATAAACATTTCATTGCTTCGGGACAGTCATTTTTTCCCCGTCCAAGAAAGGAGAGTTGTCCAAGGGACAACGAGGAACGAAAAACAAGGGTGCTGGGAAGAAGAGATAGGGAAGGAAGAAAAAAAAGAGGGTCAAGACATCCAAGGAGCACCTGCAAGCTACGAAGGGAAATAGAAGCAAATGGAAACAGAGAAGCGAAAAAAAGGAGGGAAGGGGAGGGAAGGGATGGGAAGGTGAAGGGAAGGGAAGGAGTGGCGACGGGAACGGATGCGCATTGTCTGAGGCGCGTGCGAAGAAGAAGACTCTGGGAAACAAATGATTGTAATGAAAAAATGAGCAGCCCTCGACGGGAGTCTGTAGAAAACAATAAGAACAGCATGAGTGAGTTGTTCCTTTGTGTGGTAGTGATAGTGGTGGTTGTTGTTGCTTGTACCTTGTGATGAGGAAAAAGTGGAGTGTTTGTTGGTCGTCAAAAGGTGAATGAGAAGAGTACAAGGAAGGAAGGAAGGAATAGAGAGGAGAGGAGAGGAGAGGAGTGGAGTGGGTGAGTAGAAGACAAGATAGAACACGAAAGGGAGAAAAAGAGGCGAGAAGGGAAAGGAAGAAAAAAGAGAGAAGGTAAAGAAAAGGAGGACAACGGTTACTGTTATAAAGAAAATGATGAAGAGGCTATGACAATTGAACGAGCAAACTAACCAACCAACCATGGGGTCACAACGAACATAAACGAACGAAACGGACGGACGGACGGATGGGCACACAATGCTGGTCCGTCTGGGAAAAACATCAAAAAAAGTGGCCAAGAGAAGGACAAGGCCGAACACAAAAGAGATACATACACACATCGAAAACCCTAATGGGATGTTACGAGTATTCTAATCCAATTCACTCAGAGGTAGGCTTGCGCTCGAGCAACAAAAAAAAAAAAAAAAAAAAAGCAGAGAAAAGGAACACCGCCGACCGCACACGCCCACCTTTACCCTTTCATCAACCAACCACTGCAATCCTATCTCTTCCTTTTATTTTTATTCGCTTACATTGTCCAACCCTTGTCAACTTGTCCATCGTTGCACGACACCCTTTTCCCCCTTCAATTGAACAAAACCAAACAAATGTTCATGGGCTGACCTTGTTTTAACTCTTGCAAACTGACCATCTGTCCACTCAAGAATCGACCATCAACCCGTTATATCGCGAAGCATCGGGTCAAGGGGATGGATGCAGATGAGAGCTTGGCTATTGAATATCGAAAATGGCCAGTTGAATAAATAAATAAATAAAATGGGTGAATCGGATTGAAAATGACTAACTACCCTAACTGAATGGATAAGATAGGGCCAAAACAAAAACAAAAAAAAGAAAGAAAAATAATGGCGAGCAAGCCGAAGAACAACGAGTCAAGAATGATTTTTTTCTTTGCGAAAACATAAAAAAACGACAGTGGAAAAAATTAAGCATTTTGCGTTAGTCATTGGCATTAACCTCCAGTAATTTGCATTCAATGCTTCTGCTCACAATTCAATCGCAATAACATTTGTACAACTCCTACTCAAGAGCTTTTTTGTTGTTTGTTCCTCTGGTCAATCCTCAACGACCCGATGAATGAATCGATGAGAGAAAGCTTAGAACACTATTATTCTCAGCAACTAACTCAGTTATCTCTTACTCACTCTCCTTGTCAGTCGTCAATTGGCAATAAGAAAACAATAAACCAGTCATTCATTATTCCAATCTGTCGCCCTTCTTCCACTCGCTGACTTTTTTACCATAGATATCCCTCGCTCTCTTATCCTGCCTTTCTATCCCTCTGACTGCTAACTGACCTTGCATCGAAAGAAGAGAGGAAGATGAATTGATATGCAAATGGGCCAAAGAGCATGCAGGCACATCTCTCAACAAAAATAAAGTAGGGAGAAAAAAACCCCCACCACTTCAGGTACCATCGCCTCCATAGTGAAATATCATTGCCCAATCCCTCAACCACCAGAAACATCGCCACTGTCATAGCTCGCCACCAATTCAGTCCCATCAATTATCCAGGAACGATCAGTTGCCTTTTTTTTTTTTGGGACGCGTCAGTCTGTCTCATCAGTGGCACTGCAAATGTGAGGCGTGCGGCTTTTTTTTCTCTCCTTGATGATGATGGCATGTGTGTGTCTGTGTGTTCAAAGAAATAGGTGCGAAGATGGATGCCGAGAGAACTAAATAATAACGCGCCTTTAGACAACAAGGGTGTGGTCATGCCACCCCACCTCGTTGTCGCCATCATCACCCTCTCATCCTTCCCCTCAGTTGACGGTGGTTCTGTCGCCCTTCTCTCTCTATCTCTCTCGCCTGCCATGCACGAGGAAGGTCCGCGTTTTTTTTTATCAACATCAACAATAGATTGTGTCGCCCTTCCCCACTCTCCATGGACCTAATGCAAAGTTTTGTGTACACAAAACAACCATGACAGTGTGGTAATGCAAAACATCAAGAGGAAAGGAGTAAGGAGCATCAAAAAAGCACAGGAGGGAGTTTTTAGCATCATCCTCTCCCAAAGCAACAGCGCACTGGGTATTTGCATGTCGCTCATTGGCTACAAATGAGCGAGAAATGTAAAACGACTGGTAGACATAAGCAAAAAGAAAACGCACACGCAAACATCCAACAACATTGTAAGTGATTCTTTTGAGTATCAGCCCTTTCGAGAACAGAACAGGTCGCTGTCGACAACAACAAACCATTGGTATAATACACACAACAGCTGAATGGATAGGCGGATGTAAGAGCAAAAAATATATAGCAGAGGGAGCAAACAAACAGGAATGCGGACAGGACAAAATACTTAACCCACCATGCCCCCATGTCGAGAGCAAAAAAGGGGGAGAAAAGAGTGGATGGGACAAACAGATGCATCACTGGAAGTAGAACAAAGGGCGCTACGCAAGGCTAGTGCCCTCTCACTCTCAACTCTGCGCGTTGGTCCATCCTTTTGAACGAGACACAGAAGCGAAGGCGAAAGCGAAGAGATGAGAGGAAAGAGCATCAACATGCACTTCCCCTGAATTCGTTCTGAGTCCCTTTGCCCCTTTGTGTTCGCGTCTAGAAAGAAAGTCGTCATTCCATGCCGACCACGCCTTCATCCCTTCATCTCTCTTCTCTCCCTTGAACATTTCCCCTTTTTTCTCGACCCCTCCTCTTCCTCTCCTTGTCTCTATGCGCCCAGACCAAAATCCTGTTATATGAACAACACGCTGTTTGTGTGTTTTTCTCTCATGGGTCTAGGAATTTCGATTTTTACAAAAACGCGAAAGTAATAAACAACAGAAAGGGAGGGTAATCACATTTTCTTTTGGCATGTCCCGGATCTTGGCTTTTGTTCCGCTTTAATTGCCCACCTCTGTTAAGTGTCTACCATACCCTCTCCGCTAATTGCACAACTCATGCTGCTGTTGTGATGCTGTCGCTCTTTTTTTTGGTAACTGCACGTGTGCGGCATATGTTTTTAGGTCCAGGACAACCCTCATGGACCAAGGATAGAGAAAGGCGGAGGCGAAAAGCAACAACAAGAACAGACGGACATGCATGCGAAAGTTGAGACAGCTCCGAAATGTATGAAAAAGCGCCTTACCTTTGCCTGCCTTTGTTTGAACCTTCCTGAACTATTTCCTGTTGTTTGTTTTCGTTTATTGTTGTGGTTGTTGTGAACGAAAAGAAAATCGACTTACTCATGAAAGTCCGACCAGACGACGGACGGACGGACGACAGACACAAAAGGACGAAAACCTTTGCGGAAAACCTTGTCCAAAGAAAAACAGCTCTTAAAAGCGAGAGAAGACGAAGAAGAAAAGAGGAGGAGGAGGAGGAGGAGGAGTTTCACAAGTCGCCAGACCTGTCAGCCATGAAACTAAAGCCTTTGGAACTGTGGGGAATCTCGGGCTTGCCTGTCGGTCTCGGATGCCGGCCAAGAAAATAAAGGATATATTGCCCCCGTGGGTTCATTTTCCTGTTTTATGGGGTCCGCGTTGCTGTTGGTGTTGTTTGTTTGTCGAACGGTTGGTCTATTAGAACAAAGAAAATAGGCAACAAGGAATTGAATGCAAGAGTCGATGATTCTATTACCGTCCCGGTAGAACTTTCCACACCCCTCATACTCCTTTCTCCCTCTATTCTTTTAGTTTCATGAAACTTGCTTATCCACTTTTGTCGAAGCTAAAACAGACACAAGGCAGATAGAACAAAAAGAAGAAGGTATAAGCGTCCTTCTTCACACCAACGAAGATTCGCATGAAGACAGTCGTTGTCGTACGATGAAGAGGGAAAAAAAAGGGTGTGGAGTGCGCAAACAGTGAACACCCAAAAAAAAAAACCCCCCTCCCCAGACACAACAACAACACAGGTGAAAGTGAAACACAATCACACACATTATTCATTCACTCACTCGCCCCGTCCACACCCAGGAGCGAGTGTGGTACGGCGCAATAAGTAGAATTAGCAATTACAACGAAGTGTGCAACCAACTCTTTCGTGCCCTTTGGCTCAGTTCAGTAGTACGAGAAACTAAACCCTTATTTTTGCTGTTCGGAGTCCATTGGAGCATGAACACAGACGGGTATCTACCCATACTCACACGCACACGCATTCAGAAGGATTACTCACGGGAGAAAATCGATAAATGAAAGGCTCTTCCCAGTTCCCGTCCTCCACCTCCCAGAGGTTTTGAGAGTCTTGCGTTTATTTACGGCAGGGGAGGGGGTGAAAGTAAGTAATAGATTGTACGACAGTTTTCTTTAATGGGCTGCACCAATTGAAGAAAGAACGAACAGCCACTAGAGGGAGAGCGCGAGGGAGGGAAGGGAGAGGTGGTCAATGAGCATCAAAGGGAGGGAACCGTCAAGTGTTGTTTTTTTCCCACACACTCTCAATCCGCCGCAGAATGAATTAGTTTATCTTTGTTGAGTTTAGGGGACAGAGAGACAAAGGGCCGTTCTTCCGTCTCTCATTTTGGAGTATCCTTTCAGGAACCGAGACCATTCATATATTGACAAATGAAATGAATGAAGGCTAGAACTGTTCACAATGTGGGGGTAAGTGGTAGGCGGTGCCCGATAAGGTGGTGAAGAATATACAATTCAATTCAGTCGTTCAGTTTGACGAGTGGATACAAATGACAAGACATGCCAAGGTGTGAAGCGAGCGTAGCCAAAGGAGCAAGAACTAAAGGCGCCGTGTCGTCGGGGTCTTTTTTGTTTTTTGTTTTGTTCGTTGCCTGTTGACACTATCAGGACGACAACGGACGGATGCAACCCAGGATATGGTAGGTCATGAGGAGTGTATGCCGCACGTACAAATCAAGCGAGGTGGTTCACACGGCACACAGCACTTGAGATTTGGAATGGGATTCTCCAGCATTCCCCTATCTCTCCCTCCCTCTCTTTCTCCAGCTCTCCGGCAATCGGTAGAATGATTTGCATTGCGAATTACAAACACATCCTCTGTGCGTGCGTGCGTGCGTGCGTAAGGACTTGTCAACAACACTAACAACATGTCTGCCCACTCTCTCTTGTTCTCACCATCAGAAAAATCTCCTTTTATGCGCGCGCGTAAAGAGAGACATACGCGCATCTACAAATTCAAGGCATCTTTTTTTTCTCCCTTTTGCCCTTTGAAAAAAACAGAGCACACCTAAGAGAAGAAGAGAAAGAGATGTTCAAAATTCCGCGGAACTACCAAAGCTCATAAAAGGTACCAAGCCTCTCCTTCTCCTCCTCTCCTCTCTGCTCATTCACTCTCTCAAGCTCCTTCTCTTTGTTCTCTTCGGGGGTGTTTTTTTCAACTATTCATTAGTGCTGAATTCGCCTATCGACTATCATGTCTCTCGCTCTTCTCTGTGAAAAGAAAAATGAGGGAGGGCTCTTTGTTTTTTCGTCGATTTTTTTGATTTTTTTTCTCACTCTTTAAAGTGCATCACGATGGGACATGCATCTCTTGAGTTGAGAGGATGGATGAGTGGATGAGGAGAGGGAAGGAAATGGCCAATTGGCTAGCTCTTCTTTATGCGTGCGTGTATGGTTGTATGAGAGCAAATAACCAGCAAAATACAGAAATGCACTGCAGATGAATGAATAATGATGATGCTGATGGTGGTGCGGAACGAGCAAACAACAAGAGAGCAAAGTAAATAAACAAGCAACAGCCCTGCCTTATTTATGCCCTTGACATGTGTGGGTATTGTTGAAAGGAAGGAGTACGAGTCGAGGAGTACAGTCGGGCGAGAGGACAGAAAGAGTTGGAGATTTGCTTGTGCACCACCACCCTGTCTGTTCTTTCATTATCTGTGCGCACCTCGCACAAATACCTCTCTTCTGCCTCAGGTCCAGTTTATTTTTGTTTTTTCTGGTGCTCACTCTTTGTGTTTGCCTTGCTCTATTCCATTTCCTGTTTTCTCATTTGTTTCCTTCATTCTTCCTGCCCTTCATTCACTTTACTTTGGAGATTGAGAACACACAAAGGCGATCATCAATATCTATCATCTCAATCGCTACATTGATCTATTACACCTTGACTACACCGCGTTTATTTTCATATCTGCAATGCTTGACCATGAGCTTTGCCCAACCTCCGTCTCACCCGCAAATAGTGCATTGTGTTTCTCGTCGTTCCAATAAATACGTTTTTCTTATCTTTTGTTTTAATCGATGGGCAAGACAAGGCATTCCGGTAAACAAGAAGGGAGGAGAAAACTTAACTTTAATCCACCAAACAACGACGGCTTGGGTTTCGAGAAGATGGCGTTTTCTTTGTTAGACTGCCAAGGTTTTTCTTTCGTCGACACTCTTTGATAGGGCTCGAACCGGTATATACAAATTGTCGTCAAATAACTCAAATGAAAGCGTCAACAAAAGCCAACAAGCAAGCACAATGTCAAAGGCGGAAAAAGGAAAGACTGGCAAAATCAAATCTCGAATGTCGTTCAATCATGCAACACACGATCAACAGCTGGGGGAGAAGTTTTTGTTTTGGTTGATTTTTGTTTTATCGGCAGGTTTTCTAGTCGATGCTTTGCTTTTCGGTCGTGATGGATCTTTGCATTTCATTGTGCGACAGCCTCCCCGTCGCGGAAGGCAGGATGAGTTTTTCTGATTAGGGCCGTGACACAGACAAAGATATGAAGAGCGCCAAATGAAATGACCCTTCGTCGGTTACTCATAACAAGGACCTTCAATCCCATGAAACCACAGCATAGAAAGAGGACGCAATTGAGAGGGTTGCTAAGAAATGGAAACACAAGGTGTACTCTCGGTCTGCACTCAGGAATACGATGAGATACCCCATCCCTTTCACTTCATTCTTGCTTTCCTTTTCCCCACCACTTCCCCACTCTCAAACTAGGAAAACTCCACCGCTTGCTTCTTCTCCACAAAGAACTCGTACAAAAACACAAACCAACGCAGACTCCATTATGATTTACGCCTTCGTCTCTGTAGAGCACATTCACTAAAATATACTTTCGGGGAAAAAAAAACTGGAGACATCCATGCCTCATTTCGATGATGGGGTCAAGAACGGGTCGAGCACAACCGCTACAGCAAGTAGCGGGAGGGGGAGGACAAGGGACAGGATGTCACCTCCGAAGCAGGAGCAACAACCGCGAGATCCTCTCATCTATACACCACCGCCATCACTTCAACCCCACTCCTACCCGCGGACCCAAAGACGCATCTTGCAACAATTATCCCGCTGAACGAATCATGATCCTCGTCACTGCTATGCTGCTTTGTTTGGCCGTCGTCGTTATCAGCAGCGCCTTTGCCTGTCACTGCGTGTGTGTCTGTATCCACGGACGAACCGAATTATCGAAATCGTACCATCGCCATCATCGACAACAGCGATTCCCGCTGTAGTAAAGACGACTACAAGAAAAATACCCACTCTAGCCCTGGGTCTCATCCGCCACCATTACTACTGCAGCAACAGCCACCAGAGCACCGACAGGACCCATTACAGCTGAGCAACATCGATAAGGACGAATGCAAGAACGGGATATTATTGGATGTGCCAGACCTAGAAGAAGGATCGAAGAGATCCAACAGCCGACCTTGCTGTTGTCACCACTGTCTTTCTTTCGGCAGCACCAACAACAGGAGGAGGAAGATAAAGAGCAACAGCAAAAAGATCGATTATCGTGTTCGGGGGTGCGATTTGCGGAACAGTCGTCGTCGCCGTCGTCGTCGATGGTGGAGATACTAGTTGATGACGAGCAACTGCAGCTGCAACAACCGCAACAGCAGCAGCAGCAGCAAAACGGTATCGATATCGAGAGCACCGTCAACAAATTTACCGCCATCACCACTACCACTACCACTACCAACAACAATCAAAACAAGCAGGAGGAGCAGGACGAGGGCGAGAAAAAAGATTGGCCAAGAGTCATTGACATTATTGCAATCAACAACGAACTTGACTTCCTCGTCATCCGCCTCCATGAGCTTGACTCGGTCGTCGATACCTTTGTCATCCTTGAATCCCCCCCCCCCCCCCCCTCCCCTCGCAGAAAGCACCTTCCCTTTCCCTCTCAAAACCTACCATGACCGCTGGCTAGGACCCCACAACAACAACTGGACTCTCGCAGAGCTAGAAATGTAGGAACAAGCAACCAAGAACGACTGGCAGGACGTCGGTTTCCGAACCCGTTACTCCAAAGAGACTCCCGGCTTGCCCCTCTTCAAAAACACCTGTTGGAATTGTTCATATTGCCAATCGAACATTTCGCAGATTATCCAGAAACGGAGGCGAGTTCACATAGGGAATATATTACGGTTAAGAAGAGGAGTCGAACATGGATTCTTGATCGGGCGAGGGGTGGGGGGGATTTGTTGGGGCAAACAAAGAAGGATGCTTTGACGGATTTGCCCAATAATACAGATGTTCCCGAGTATGTTAATCAGAACCGGGAGAGGTTTTAGAATATGCTGGCGATCTATGGCACACCCAATGCTAGGTTCCTGGAAGTCGATACTGATGATCCTCTGGGCGAAGAGGGTGTCTAAATAGACCATTTCCTGATGACATGAATACAGAGCATCCATTTTCCAGCGGGGCGATGATGTGTTGTAAAATGCAATGATGGATATGTGTTTAATGATGCAGGGTCTAATTAGTATTTCCAACTAGGAGCAAGCAAAGAGAGAAAAGATAATGTTAGTATCTGGCGCACATTAATTACAACAAACAATAGTAAGAGTCCGACCATGCAAACCAAGGAACTTACATCTTTAACGTCTTGTCTTTGGATCCACTGGCGGCCTTGTCGCCCGAGGGACTCCAATCAACGGTGAAAACCTCATCCAAATGTCCGGGCAACTCCATCTTCATCTTCTTGGTTTTGATATCCCACAACTTGATCGTGCTATCCTTACTACACGAGAGCAACATTCTGCTGTCGCTCGACCACACAACCTGGTACACCTCTGAAACATGTCCTCTGAGGGAGGCAATAAACTTGCCGTCGCGGCTGTCCCAGATCTTGACAGACTTGTCGAAACTGGCCGAAGCAATGTAGCGACCGTCGGGCGAGAAGCTGACATGGTTGACCGTCTTTTGGTGACCCACCATCCGCTTGGGTGCAACCTTCTTGCCATCAACCTCTTCCTTCTTGTTGGGCCAGAGGTACATTGTGAAATCGTCCGATCCGGAGCATAGCCTCTCAGGGTTGACCGCGATAACCTGCTCATACCGCTGCAAAGCCCGCTTCTGTGCTTCATTCTCGTCCTTGTACATCTTTCCAGTATGATCGTTGGCGCCTGTCCTGAGAACGGCGTCAGTGCTCAGGGCAAGTGTAGTAACCCAATGGGCGTGTCCTGAGAGAACCTTGACGAGCTTTCCGGGGTAGTTTCCAGTCGAGGCCCAGACCTTGATGGTCTTGTCCCGAGAGGCCGAGTAGATGAGTCCGTCTCCTGCCCACTTGACACACATCACAGGGGCGGTATGCTGAGCCATCGAGAACTCCAACTGCTTCTTAACCACATCCCAAACACGGACCGTACCATCCGAAGACGACGACGCAAGTCTCCGGCAAGAAGCGTTCCTATTGTCAAATAGTGGATATTGTCATATGTTAAGATCAGCGGAGCAGTAGCACAACAACACAGCAACGATCCAAACCATACAATAGTACTTACAAGTGCAGGGGCTCCCAGGCGAGGGCACTGACCCACTTGGTATGGCCCTTCAAGACGGCATGCTGCTTTCCTGTCTTTGGCTCCCAAACAATGACCTGTCCATCCATACCGGCCGAGGCTAAGAACCGGCCGTTAGGCGACCAGGCAACATGCTGCACCCAATGCTTATGGCCCTTCAACATGTGCTGTGGGGTCTCGGTGTTCAAATCCCAGATACGGACGTTGGTATCACCACCACCACTGGCAAGCATGGTTCCACAGGGCGAGAAGGAGACACAGAGAATGGCATCAGTGTGTCCGGTGAGGGAGGATGAGCAACGGGTGACAGCACGGACCCTGAAGACCGCCTGGGGTCTGTAGAGGATCTTGAAAGTCTCTTCTGTGGAGTGCTTTCCTGGTTGGATGATGTCCTTGTCCAGTGTGCTGGCGATCTCTGTCTCTGCGACCTCGAAGGTGTACGGCAGAGGGTCTTCCTCCTGTTCAACATATGTCCAGTATAGTGACCAAGTGTAGAGCGTGAAGAGGGTGCGTGCAACTTGGTTAGTAGACTGTTATACAAGAAAAGTACATCATAGGGCACAGCAAGAGAATAAGGACGAAGAACATACGTTGCCCAAGAGACTGTTGAGGAGGAGGGCGAGCTGCTCAGGGTTAACGTCGACAGGCAAACTCAGGGCGGGGCCGGAGGCTTCGCCCTCCTCGTTGTAGAACTGGGCAATGACGTTGGAAGTCTCTGTCATGACTGGAATGAAAAAAGTGGAAAGTGGAGGGGTGGGAAAAAGGAAGGAGGAAAAGGAGGAAGGTCGATGCTGCGGTAGGTAAAGGGAAAGGGGATGCAGCAGTGAATAGAGAGACAGAGAAAGAGGAGTGGGGCAAAGGTATCTACTTCGGCAGGCAAGTTGACAGCGGTGGCCAAGCAGCTAATAGAGGCACAAAAAAAAAAGAAAAAAAAATTGATGGCTTAGCTGCAACAACAACAAAAACCGGTCCCACATTGATCTGATTTACCGCTAATCGACGCGTCGTGTTCGTGTTTAATTAGTTATGAACACAGCAAAAGACGGATATAATACAGAGCTAAAGGAACGGCAAAGGGATGATGGCATCGAGCACGAGCAATGCCATGGTCAGTACATATTCACCCGTGTTATGTTGATCTGCCCAATGTCAACCGTATACATGTTTATCTTTTGCTACTGTGAAACAACTCCCTCTCCGCCACCATCATCTTTTTCTTCTCCCCACACTCACCATATATCAATGGTTGCATCCGCAGTTCATATCGATGTAGGGGATGACACCATAACCGACACCTGGCAAAAAAAATTCAGTTCCCTTGCAATCGGCTCCAGAAGAGTCTTTGTCAATCTGCCTGCACTCGCCACCATCCTATTCTTCAACGAACTCTACCACCTCCACTCAAGTCAGTCAACACAAGTATCTTCCAAGTACCAACGCAACGACTATATCACTCCTGCGAACATGCCCATCACACTGCCTCCATTAACAGATCACACTCCGGAGCAACAAGCAAAATCAACAGGTCCACAGGAGGAAGAGGGCCCAAGTGTTCGACATAATCCCTATCAAAGATGAGCTAGACCAACTCGAGAACTGTCTGAACGAGTTCAACACCGTCGTCGACAGTTTTGTTATCATCAAATCCTGACAGACGTTTTCGCGCATGCTCAAACCATTCTACTATCTAACCAACAAGGACCGCTTCCGAGACTTTCAATCCAGGATTATCCACATCGTTCTCCCACCAATGCTAGACAGGAGTGAATGTGCATCCGGGGCGAGACATATTCGAGATCCGGATGGCAGGAAGAGGTCTTTGAACACAATAAGGGGATTTAGCTTGCCTTCGAGATGGGTGAACCCCAGGAGGGTGATTGGCTCATTGTCTCGGGCCTGGATGAGATCCCACGCAAGAGCGCTGTTCTCGCACTCCATGGTTCCGATTCGACAGAACCTGGAGACCAGACTTACTTTTCTGGACCCAACATGGATGTCAGAAATGTGATCCCGTAGGGCAAGGATATCTGCCGGTTCGGGTGTCAGCTCTTTGAGTTTTTATACGAGTGCAGGATCGACTCTGCGCCTTGGTTCGGTCCTGTCGCCTTTCAACTGAAAAGTACAGGGGAAAATGGAGACAAGTGATTTTCAATTTGGCGAAGACAGGATCCTTTTAGTGGTCCAGTCAAGCCATATTTAATTCTCAGTTCGTCAATTAAAAATGGCTGCTGCTTAATTGCAGCACCTAACCTCAACACAACTACATGACAGCACGCTGGGGCTAGACCGATTTCCAGAGATGTGAAATAAAACAACTTGTACTTTCATATCATTTTAATACTTCAAAATGATCAAAAAACAGGAACAAAAGGAAGAAGGGAAAAAAAGAAAGGCGACAGACAGATGGCAGTTGATAGAGGTCGTTTGAGTGATGGTCATGTCCTGAAAATCAAAAGTTGCTTAAACACCATGAGCGGCATTGTTGTAGTTGATATTGGTCCGCGACTGTCCTACGAATGAGGGATCATTTCGTATTGTCCGAAGTATATGAGACAGAGTGCGACAATTATTTATCTTAGAGGGTAAAGAACAATTGCAAAGGTCTTCCCTCTGCTCTTTTTCGTACGGAGACGCCAAACTAATCTCTCTCACCACGTAAACGATATCGGTCATTCAGAAAAAATACCACAACATCCCGTGCATTAGAGAACATCATACGACGCGATTGAACATGGCTAATCTGATCAGTCGCTCACTTTTGCAACGCAGGAAACTCTCTTTGGGTAAGGTGCAGCCAGAATGTAAACAATGCGGTGGATAGGAGTAAAGGCGGCGCAAGGGAGCCAAGTGGATGAACGTGTGTGTTGAGTGTAGAACGTTCAAAAGTTGACTCTGTCTACATGGAACCACGAATTGATCAGACAGTTGTACGAAAACACGAAAAGGCACGGAGAAAACACGTACGCGTCCTTATGCCCAATCTATTCCCACCCCTAACTCTACCATTCCGCACAGCACTGCAAGCATGGGATATCTTTCCTTTTGTCTCTTTTGACATTGACTGACAACCAAATTTATTTTGCTCTCCAGGATCAAAACAAAAAAAAATAGATGATGGCCACAGCAACCAGCAGGAACAGGGGCCAAAAGCACATCTTCACTCATACAAACACCAAGTACAACAAGTTCTCGCACCAAAATGCCACTAAGCAACGACTCCGAGTGGAAAATAGATATTTCTTCTCCTAATTCGATCTCGCCTCCCATCTACAGTTCAGGCGACTCTACAAGAACCCCAAGAACTCCAAGAACTCAAGAACCTTTCTGTCAATCCTCATCCTCTCAAGACACCCCACCCTTTCCCCCAAGTTCCAAGTTCTGTTCCAAGCTATACGCGCTGCGTTCATCCTCGCCACCGTCTTAGCATTGCTGCTTATCTGATTCGCCTCTGCTGCGCCGGTGCCACCAGTTGTTAATATCGAGCTCAATGACTCTTCGACAACAACATCAAACGGTGGAAAAAAGGATTCTCCTGTTCTTTTGACGGCGAGTGCCTCTCAGAGTTTGGCTACAACTACGCTTGCTTCTAAGAATAACCAAGCCTCTGTGCCGACGGTGGTACCTATTCCTTTTCACCCCACGCATATCGCCTTTTCTCTCTATCTATTTGTCGAACTTCTACTTGTAGTGGCCGTTAGGAGTAAATGAAAAAAGAACACCCGTTCTCAACTTCCTTTGTGTTGCAATAAAAGCCAAGGTTGGGGGGGGGGGGGGGTAGAAAAAAATACTGCACTGTATCTGCACAGGTTTTACTCCATCCTACAAGAAAAAAAAGGTCATAATATTCATGACACATAACTATTTACGCTCGCCCGAGGCTTTCCTTCTACAGCAAGACACATTTCTTGGTAGGGTTCATGGGCGCGCCAGCCTTGCACTGGAAGGCCTTTGCAAAATAGTCAGAGTTCTGGACGACACCGTTGATACGCCACTTCTTGGGCGAGTGGTTGTCTTCGTTCAGCATCTTGACGGATTCCTCGGGGGTCATGTTGCCACAGTGCGCACGGGCGTATTGGATAAAGAAAAGTTGTTCAGATGTGTAACGCTCCAATCCGGGGAGCTTCTTGTTGTTGTGCCTGAAAAAATGAGGAAAGAAGACGACGTCGGAGAGAGAGACAGGATTAGGAACCATCGCCAAGGTGAAGAAATTGCGAGGAGATCAAACAAAACAAGATAACTAAAGAGAGAGAGAGAGACGACACTTACTTGTTGTTGCCCTTGCGCTGCACCCAGGCATCGTAGGCGATCTTGAGGCCACCGTTGTCGGCAATGTTCTCGCCCAGGGTTCCCCATCCATTAACGTTGTGCTTCTTGCTGTCTGGTCCGTCGATCGTGTACTCGCTATACTGCTCAATAAAGCACTGCGATCTGGTATCAAACTCTTGGATCGACGATTCTTCCCACCACTTTTGCAGTTAAAGAGCGAAAAGGAGTTTGTTGTTAGTGTGAAGGAAGACAAAAAAAATGCGTTTGAAAATCACAATTTGAAGAGACAATAAAAGAGCCCATGCTTACCTCATGGATGGCACCAGTTTCGTCATATCGTCGTCCGTTGTTGTCAAAGGCATGTCCCAACTCATGGGCAGCGACGACGCCAATACCAGCATAGTTGAGGTACTCTGGCACGGCGGCATCAAAGAAGGGCGCGCGCAATATACCAGCAAGGATCTCGATACTGTTCATGTTGGGGTTATAAAAGGCGTTGACTGTCTGAGGGATCGAAGCCAGTTTGATGCGGTTGGCTGGCTTGTTCATATCACGGAACATGGCCTCCTGCTTCCAAGTACTTGCTCTGACCTGGTTTCCGAAATGGTCCTTGTCTTTGATCACGAGAGGGCGGTAGTACTTGTCGACAGAGGCTGACTGGCCGACATTGGGACTGCTAGTTGAGAAACCGACCTTGGGGACGATGGCCTTGAGCTTTTGGAGAGCTGCCTGGCGGGTGCGGGGGTCGAGCCAGTCATAGTTCCAGAACGACTTTTCGAAACTCCAGCGGAGAGATCCAATCATCTCGTTCATAATTGCCTGCGATTCTTCGGGGAAGGTGGCCTTGACAAAGAAGTGCCCAACCAAGTCACCCAAGTTCTCGTTGACCAGTTGCACACAGCTCCTCCAGGGGTCGCTGGTAGCGGTCTCGCCTGGGAGAGCGCTCTTGAGCTTGGCAAGAGGTCTCTGAAGGGGCTCGGCAAGGTTTTTGCCAAGGTTGCGCATCAGGGTCCAGGCAAAGTAGTTCTGGACGGTTTGCAAGGACATAGTCTCGAGGGCGTTCTCGAGCTGGCGGAAATAGAACGACCAGAGCATGTTGATGTTCTCGGGGAGTGGCACGTCGGCGGGGAGGGCGTTCTTGAAGATCACAGTCCAGTCCAACGAAGGAGTTGCCTTATCCAAATCCGAAATCTTGTCCCAGACGATGGTATCGTCGTCCTCATCCTCGTCATCATCGTCACCATCCTCGCTGTCGCCAGTCTCCTCCTCCTCAGCACCGGTACCAGTCTCAGTGCCAGTATCATCGGATCTCTTCTTCTTGAGGGCAGCGGCCACATCAGCCTTGGGTTTGGTCTCAACACCAGCAAGGATCATCTCAAACGCAACAACATCCTTTCCAACCTGCTGCCATTTCTTGGGCACAGCGCTCTGAGGCTTTCCATTGCCCTGGATGATATAAAACATCTCTCCAACAACCTTCTCATACAATTTGACGATCTTCTCGTCTTTGTACAGCGCTTCATCCTTCAATCCCAGTCCAGAATGCTGCGCCGTCAACATCTTGTGACCTGGGTTGTACACGTCATCCCAGAGATCCCAAGCAATAGGGTTCTCGAATCCATGCTTCATGTTGTATCCCAAAAGAGTCGACAGGGCCTGGCGGTTGGCGGGTGAGAGGACTGTACGGGTGCCGTTATTGTTGTTGGGAGTGGTGGGAGTGTTGGTAACGGGGAAGAGCTGGGTGAGTTTACGGATCTCGTCCTGCAGGGGCTTGCGACCGACCTTGGCGAGCTGTTTGTTGTCCATGCAGGCGCCATAGTAAGAGTGAAGCTTCTTGAGGTTACGTTGGCTGGTTTTGTCGCCCTTTGCGATGACGGGCCCCTTGGGATTGTTGGGAGTTACGATTGAGCGAATCACATCCTGAAAGAAGAGAAAAATTTGAGAAAAGTGACAAACATGAATAAGGATAGTGTTAAGATAAAGTTCTTTTCTCTGTGTTGCAAGGGCTGAGTTTTTTTTGGATAGAGAGAGTTTGAGGATGAATGCGATTGTGAACTTACGATGTTCTGTTGGTCAATGGAGACCAGGTAACCGTTCTTATTCTCTCCAGGACGAAGCTTCTCACGCTTATTGAATCCGCCGCCTAAACAGAATTAGAGAGCAGCATGTGAGGAATTAAGAGCAAACAGGCGCAAAAGTTTGTCAACGAGCACAATAACAAAATCCAAGAAAGGCAGAGTGAGAGGGGAGTCGCTTACATGCAAACTGGGAAAAGTCGACACACGGATCAGCGGACGCCTGCATGTCCTTCAGGATGTTTGAAGCGGTCTGGAGGCAGCGAGGTGTGTTGCAGATGCCCTACATAATATTAAGAACAGAAGATCGAAAAACGTTAGGAAATTAGGTTTTTCTTTTGACCAAGAAATGCATGTGTTTTTGCTTTTGTTGTCGAGCATACCGAAACGGGGACTGTAATAGGTGCACCCTGGATGGTCAACTGCAGGGCGGCACCAATGGCCATCATCATATAAAATTTCTGCATATTAGTTGTGTTGTGTGCGAATGATGGAAAGGATGGAGGGGTTAAATGGGTAAAGGGTAGGGGTGGAGGAAGGGGACGGAAAGTTCTGTAAAGAGAATAGAACACACTTCTGCCTCCATGCCTTTTATATGTGACCAACGTATCTCCATCTCGCAATGATGAATTCTTCAAGCTGCGCTCACTATCTCGCCCGCCCCGCTCTCATATTCTCAGTCATTGTCGCTCTGATAAATGACATGTGTAGTATCGATTCTCAACTTGCTGGGAAAGGATATCGTACCTGGAGTCATTTTTTTTCTTTGTTTTGTAATTAAAGCAAGACCCTGGGGGTTACGAGAGCATACAGGGACCAAAACAACTTGGCACAATAGCAGAACAGACGAAACGTGGGCCTCGTCTGGCACATCGTAATCAGGACTGGGTTTGTTCAGAGGATGTAGGATGGCGTGAGAGAGTAGGCCAAATTTAGAGCAGGGTATCCTCCACATGGTACCCTGTCTCTTCATAAATGCGATCTGAGATTTCCCAGGACGAAGAGACAACAACTGTCTAGCCGGCTCTTGAAAAAAAAACGAGCGAACAAGAGCGGGTGAAAGAGGAGTGAGCGGAGTGGGGTTGATAGTTGGTAGACGTATGGCTGTTGTGCATTGCTAGCCGGTTATGTGCTACCCGTGAGAGTCTTCGCGTCTCTAGAAAAAAAAATACTATGGTGTGATATTGAGACAAGAGGGTGAGCTGGTACTGCTGGATACTGATGGGCTAAGTCGCGTCACAGCGCCGCCAATGGAAGAAGGATAATCTATGACAAGTAGGTTTTCATTTGATGTGACCAATCATCCACTAAAGAAGACCAGGCCGATTTTTTCTTCATCCTCTGCTTAGCAGGCGCTTTCCTTTTATCTCTCTTACTTTTTTTATGTTTCGCTCTCTTTCGCCCTCCATTTCGTGTCTTTGTCTATTTCTCCTTGTTCTTTTCCGCCTAACTTCTTTCCAGCATAAACAAGGTAACGTGTATCAACATTAGTTTTGTCGAACCGGTTTGTGAGGAGAATGTAAGAGAGAATGATTTTTCGTTTTTGTTTGTTGTTTGTTTGTTTGTTTGTTTGTTTGTTTGTTTGTTTGTTGATTTGCACCCATCTCCATCTCCTACACTCCATGTGCCTCGCTCCTATACCAGGCTATCAGCGCAGCTGTCGTTCGCTATTAATGAATTGCGACCCTAGATACTGCCCTCTCCAGTCAGTTCAAAGACGACACAGGTGGGCAAAGGGGGAGACCAATTGATGCAGTCAGCGGAGAGGAGAGGAAGTAAAAGCCAAAGCCATATGTGAGAGTCAATTAGGAGGGACAACATATTTCGCAAACCAGAGTCTCACAAAGATTTCAACTCCAGTCCTTCTGTGACCCATTCCCCTCACTGAAAAACGACAGACGCAAGAAAAAACAAACACAAACATGCACATCATCCTGATGGGCACACATACTCACGAACGTCACTTTAGAAAATGCTGCATCTCACCACAGAAGAACTAGGAGAATGACGACACATGACAGTGTGGAGTCGTTAATGCCTGTGGTACAAGACAAGGAGGAATTAAAGACACTTTGGGTGAGGCATAGAAATGAACCAGGGTAAAATCAACAAAGGATGCCTCTTGCCCCTCTAATTGATCAGAAGGCAGGAAGGGGAAAGGTGGGAGAGTAAAATGAGAAGCGGCGAAAAGGGAATGAGGACCCGGCTGAACAAAAAAGAGAAGTGGAAGAAGAGAGAGAGAGGGAGGTGGGTTACCATAAGCTACTCACTCGTCGGTTCAGGATTCTTCCATTTTTTGCTTGACTGTCATCCTTTTCGTGGTGGGGCTGTTTGTTATGGCTCGTCGGTCCTGGCTACTTTGATATGACAAAAGGTGAAGGGATGTAGTTGAGTTTGAATTTGTCAAGTTGTGTTTGTGTTCAGTACCGGTACCGTCATGTCATGTCATGTACCTTGCTTGAATTGCCCACGGGCGGGGTCGGCGTACTGTACATGCGGCTAAGAGATTCAGTAGTCCCCTTGTCCCTCCTCGCCTGCAAGAGCAGCGACTTCTCAGAATTCTCATGTGAGCCCACTTCCATTCTTCCCTCTTCCCCTTCCTCTTGTTCACTGTCCTTCGTGTTTGTTGTTCGTTTTGCTCATTGGATTTGTGTTGCGCCATATGGTGTGGAAGAGCGCTTACACGAGTCCCCGATCCCTCATTTGCATTTTTCTTGTTTAGCTCCCCTCTCTCTATCTCTACCTTTTCCTCCCCTCCTTCTACTCCACTTTCATCCTTCTCAACCTCACGCGCTTTTCATTTTCCTCCTTTTCGATTGTTCTCTTTTTCTGTCCAACCCGGTAAAGGAGAGGGGAGAGCGGTCATTCAAAGTTTCAAGACTTTGCAATCAAACAAGAAAAGAACGGATCACAACCTCAACACTTACACAAACACACAATCACACGAAGGGATTGGGACTCAGATGAGTGAGCGCATTACTGGGTTATCAGATTCTTTTTTTTCATTGAGAAAAAAACAACGCCCAATCTCTTGCTGTTGCTCATTCGGTACTTCTGCTGCAAAGGAGAAAACAAAGTTATCAGATCCTTTTTGATTGAGAAAAAAAAAGAAGGAAGGAACAACAAGGAACCATATGGTTTCCTGATCGAGCAGCCTTCTGGAATGTCTCCCGCAACCTGTACTCCATTGCCCATATACCCATTATACCCTTATACCCAGCCTGGAGTAGGTGCGCCAGGCTAGGAAGTTGCAACAGCCGGCAGTACCTAAGCGAGAAGGATCTGATAAGGGCACACAGAGTGCGGAGATCTAATTATCTTCCAACAGCAACAACAAACAGCTGACAGACATGGCAGACATAAAAAGGACCAAGACCCCCCTTTTCTCTTCCTCTTTTCTTTACTGCTCAACTTTCCTCACTCTCTTCTCCACCTATCAACCACCCACCAACACAACACATATACACAATGAAGATCGCCGTTGTTGCCGCTATTCTCGCCTTGACCGCCTCCGTCTCTGCCCAGTCCGTCGGCCCCGTTGACCCCGCCAAGCTCCCCACCGGCTGGTGCTCCATGTACACAGGAACCTGCGAGGAATCGACCATCATCACTGAGTGCGGTGCCAACTCCACCTACACCGCCCACTGTGTCTCGAAATTCTCCACCGACAAGGTCTGCACCGCCTTCACCGTCTCTTGTGTTTGCACCCCCTCAGCCGGTGGTGACTTGAAGGATGTCTCTGCCCAGGCCCTCAACGAGACCGTTACTGGTATGTAACCAGTTTTTCTTTGAGGAGTCAAAAAAGGAATTCAGGAACAAAGGATGATCCTGACTGCTCGTAAGAAAAGGAGAAGTATTTCACAACCTAACAACCTGTCCTTCTCCCTCACTCCCTATCACCCAATCTTACAAATAGGCATGCCCGGTATGTGCGACAACCTCTCATTCTCCAAGAACACCACCAACCCCGGCGTTATCTCGGGTGACTACCTCCCCAACGGCAAGCGTCCCACCTCGACCGCCAATGTCACTTCCCCCGTCACCAACCCTTCCAACACCGCCTCCACTGGCGGCGCTTCCCCCACCGCCACTACTACCCCCGGTAATGACAAGTCTGCTGCCTCTGCCCTCCAGATGGCCCTCCCTACCTTTGCCCTTGTTGCTATCTCCATGGGCTTGGCCATGATCCCCCTGTAAAAATGTCATATAATCTTTAATAACATAATACCCACACACTAAAGCGAGCATGCATCCATTGTGTTAGACTCCCAATAAAAAAAATAAACAGATACAGAGTGTACCAAAAGAAAAAGAAAGAAGAAATAGCTCCACATTTGCGTATGCACAAGCGGAGAATGTAGTCCGTGTCCCGACACGAGTTGAAGGCCAGCAGTGGGAGAGTGCAATGGGTAATCACGAAGGACGAATCAATACTCAGGAGGGAGGGGTGTCTTCCTCGTCTGAACACACGTATTGTAAGGTTGGTGTCAAAGCAGCAACCGTCCAAGTACGAGAGGCTGTTGAAAGAAAAGGGCGATTGTTATTCCAATTTGCACTCACTTGACCTTTAATATTACCTCAATGCCAGGTTCTTGGACATGGGCCTGGGTAACCTTATATTTTTTTGTTTGACTAGAATGTTAAGGCCCAAATACCTTATTTGTTATTACTTTACCGCGTCTTCATTTTCCCCTCTGTCATCCTTTCCCTCTGAAAAGAGATCGAAATCCCCGGGGAGAAAAGAAAAGGGGACATACAATGCATTCTGGTGGTACTCTCACCTTTTTGTCTAGGTAGGCCAGAATGAGTCCTCTCTGCCTACCCTATTTGCATTCTTTAAGGCTTAGATGTCTCTGGTTCTTTCCACCTTTTCACCTTTCATTTGTGCACCCCTACTATTCAAGCCCACAATAAAAATCAACAATAACCATGCCGATCTCGGTCAATATGGAGAGTGAGTTGGGACCTCCTCTACTGCCCTACCAACAAGCAGCTCCAAAATGGCATAAACGAGCATGCACCCGTCGACTCGCAAAGCGACTCTTCATTGTCCTCATTTCCCTCACAGCCCTCTTCCTCGCCACCAAATTCTACCACATCAACAAATCTAAATTGCTCACCAACTGGCGATCTCCTTTATCTTCTTCCTCTTCTACCTTCTACGCCATCATCCGCACCACCACAAGCACAAGTAAAAGCAAGGCCATGGCGCGTCAAGGGTTATATCCACACTAACGACTTCCGCAAAAGCCTCAACCGCACAAAACTCAAAGAAATCGAATCTGAAGCCAAAGCCAAATACGAACTCGAGAAATCCTTCGTCATCAAAGACCCTTACCCAACCTTCGCCGATGACCCAGAGACCCTCTTACCCAACAACCAACGCCGCCCGCGCGCCCGTGTGATCGACATCATCCCCGTCAACGACGAATCCGCTATGATCAAAGTCCGGATGGAGGAACTCGACCCGTCGTCGACCCCTTTGTTGTTGTCAAGTCGGAATTCACCTTCACGGCTTAAACCCAAAAGTTGTATTTCCGGAGAAACAGGGATCGGTTCAAGAAGTTTGCCCACAAGACCTTGGCGCTTTTCATGCATGAGATGTCGCGGGAGTCTAGGGGACGGATTCTGCAGGACACGTTATATAATATCACTTGGGCGCCCGAGGTCCATGAAAGGAGTTTGGAGATGAGGGTGGCGCTGAAGGAGAGTGGGCCGCGACGGGGGATTGGATTATTTATTCGGATTTGAATGAGATTTCGAGGAAGGAAATGATCGCGGCGCTGTATGGGGTCGATTCGGAGAGGGACGAGGATCGGTCGTATCGGTCTGGTGGGTCTGGGGGAGGGTCGAAGGTGTTGCCGCGGGGGAAGGATCCGTTCAGGTTGAATTGCGCGTTTTATGAGTACTCGTATGAATACCAGTTTGAGATGAAGAAGTGGAATGGGCCTGCGGTGTTCCGGTATTTCAAGCAGAATGAGAGCGTCTACGATGACTTTGCCGTACTCAGCCTGCCTCCGTCACCAGCTACAGCGCTTCCGCCAACACAGGACAACCAACAGCAAGAGCTCAACTCTTCTCTCAAAGCACCATCAATATCAGCACCTGCAGCAAAGAAACGCCCAACAGCCGCCGAGGTATTCGAGAACTTCAAGGACAAGGACCTAGCCTACTACCAACCGGACAGCAGCAGAGATCAAGATATACAAGGACACCATGAAGAACCTCTGGATCGACGGCGGGTTCAAAACACGATGGCTCGGCGATAATGTCAACTTCCCACTGTTGGATGAGGCCTGTTGGCATTGCACCTACTACCAGGCAAACATCTCCCAGATCCTTTACAAGCTCCGGTCGTCATCCCATCGAGAGTATAACCGGCGGATCGCGAACATGGCCTGGATTCTGGATCGGACGAGAACGGGGCAGGGTCAAATTGATAGGCCCAACCAAGAGTTGTGGTATATCCCGGATAACCATGATGTACCGGAAGTTGTTAATCAGGACGGAGAAAAGTACAAGTACCTCCACGCTGTGCATGGAATGCCCAATGCTGGATACCTCGACGTCGATCCCAACAAGCCCCTGTAGATCTCTCTTTGCTCTCCCCTTTCCCTGTACATATCATAGTTCCATTAGTTGGTTTTTTTTATGAAGATTGATTTTATTTGCACAACCAGAAGTTTTTACTTTTCACTTCACTAAAATGCCAATACGCGAGAAAAAGGTCCCAAGAGTCCCTCCAACAAGCTTACTGAGAAATGATAGTTTAGTAGAAGGTCGAGGGGCGCGAACCCATGAAGAGGGCACGGTGGGCCTTGTCGGCGGAGCGGATGACGCGGTGGGGCAAGGGGAACTTGATACCGGGAACCAAGATCTGCTTGATGTAGGGGCGACGGACATCGGCGTTGGCAACCTCAGCGACGCGGATGATCTGGATCGAGCGGGAGCGGGCGCGGTGGCGGGAAGCCATGTCAGAGTAGCAAGCCTCGACGGCGGCGTTGCGGGACAACTCGCGGTACTCCTTGTACATGTTGTGGGTGCCCGAGCGAGAATCGTAACGGATCCAGATACCGAAGTTCTTGATCTGAAGGGGCTTCTTCTCGTGGATCTGTTCGCGGAGAGGAATTAAAATGAAAGGAGCGCGTTAATTAAGTGCTGCTTCAAGGACAAGAATACAAACAGAACAAAACAAACAAGCAGCAATTCTTCTGAAAAAAGGCATACCTCGTTGATACCGACAATCTCGCCGTTAACCTTCTTGACCTTCTTCAGCTTGCGCATGAAGTACCAGAAGCGGGACTTGGCAATGACCTCGTTGGTGGCAAAGAGGCGCATGCGGAAAAGCTTGGGGGTAGCATCCTTCTCGGTGGGGAGGTGGCGACCGACCAATTGGTACTCGTGAAGCTATTGAGTTATTTCAATAGGTTGACACAAAAGTGACCAGATTGAAAGGGTAGAGTAGAGAGAAACGAACCAAGTAAATATACTGGTCAAATAGGTAGAGGTGGAGGAAGGTGTGGGGATTGGAAGGGGGGACGTGTGGGGGATGAGGAATGTCCTGATATTGAGCGCCTGCATAGATAATGCTTCGGCTTTGAACTCAATTGAAGTTTTCCCGTTCTTTTGTCCTGCTCCTGCTCCTGTTATACAAATTCCATCTCCTGAAAAGTGTCGTATCCGTCAACAGAACCCTCTTCGTCGCGGTGTGCGTTGGAGCGAAAGAGGCAACAGTTCCTTCCTCTACCCCTGCCTAGCGCAGAGCGAGAGACGGCAACAGCGTTGATCCTTCAGAGGTAGTGGCGGCTGTGGTGAGAGTATGTCGTCCGTGAACCCAGCACTCTCGTGTCAAGCAGCGGCAGTTGCTCTGAGATCAGTTGAAAAAACAACGATCGCCAACCGAGATCGCACTATTTCGAGATCCAGAAGGAAAACTACAGTTGCAGATCCCGACAGGAGCGTGAGGACAAAGCTGTTGCATCGATGGAGTGCCTCCTTTGCAGACGACAAGCCGAAGGTGTTTCGGCCGTCCTCCCAGAGTCTCTGCCGCCTGCCGCCTGCCACCGAGCTGAGAACGTGCTGACTTGTCGAAGTTGACGATGATGATGGAAGGCTCAAGATCTCTGACCCTGGTTGAAACCTCAGCTGATGATAATATCGATACGCTCGCTGTTGTCGGGTAATGCAGAGGTGTATCGGTTGCCGATGGATGCCGTATCAGTCGATGGATGGGTGTTGGATCGATGGATGTGTATCTATCGATGGATATAGTTCACGCACTCTGGACATATTGAGAAGTCTTGTTGCAAAAAAGGAGGATCAAACAAACTCACCCTCTCACACTCAAATAATAAAAATTGAGACGTTCCGTCACGTGCAGTTCTGTCCTCTGTGCGCACAGGCACGAACCTTCTCCAGTCCTGCACTTCTCAGCTTAGTGTGCACCACTGAACGTCTGCTTTGCCCTAAGCTACTGATCGAAGGATAGGCTGATCAATGAAAAAACGATCGAGGAGCTTGCGCTCTCTAGCGAACTGCTATCGCGCCTCACAAGGAGACCTCACGTGCGATCACTTTCTTACCCAAAACCGATGCCGCCCACTTTTTATTCTTTCGCTCTTCTTTCTTCTCCACACGCCCGTCCAACCACGAATAATGCATCGCCAAAAGACTCCTTATAGTCGGCCCACACCAGCGTCCAGTCATGCCGCAGAAGGGCCAGGCAACATAGCGAACAACAACCCGTACCACACTGCGGCAAGTCGAGAACGTCAAGCTCCTCCTCCTCCTGGCCCTGTCCAACCATACTCCAACTACACGCCCAGCTCGCCTCAGACACCCCAACCAGTTCTCTATCAGCCCCACTCCCAGCAGCAGCGACCTGCTGTAGCGACTTACTCTGCGCAGGCGATGAAGACCTTTGCCCCGCAACAACAGTTCCCGATGGTCACGCCCGAGGCGGCTATGGTCCCGATACGAAGTCTTCAGCCCGAGAAGTCGTTTGTGGTGAGTTGCTTTTGCCCTGGATTTGGTGGCAAAGTCTAGCTTTAGGTCCTACTTTTCTTGGTATGAGATACTCATATCCTTTTTTTCGCGTCGTGGACATAAATGACACAGCGAGTGTCAGGAAGGACCGTGCGAGCTCTGGATATCAAGGCGTTCCCGAACAAATGGGACTCGAGCAAGCAGACTTGGCTAATGTCATTTACGATCAAGGATGACTGTGATACCATCGACGTCAAGTTCTGGCACAAGACCCAGGAGCATCTCAAACGCTACTCTCACCTGACGGTAACACAAACACGGCCAAGGAGAAGAAGATGTTGTCTCTTATTCTTGTCAGAATTGTGGATCAATAACTAACCATCCTTCCGCTAACCTTCATTGCGTTCATTCTCGCGTGCTCTTGATATACCAGCTCGATCAGGTGGTCCATATCTGGACGGATGAGGTCAAGCTAATATCACAGCCTTATGGAGGAGGCCAATCGTCATACGCCCCCTCAACATCGTCGCCGCTCGTTCTGAATCTTGGTGAGGGCAAGGTCGGCCACAAGATCGAGGTCGGGAGCGAAGTCGAGATGGAGACCTTGTACAAGGTCGCGCTTGGAGCCAATCTGGGAGGTGTCATTCATTCGATCCCGATGAAGCAGGTCTTCAACTCCTTGGGTACGATCAGAAGTCAGCGCTTCAACCTCATCGTCTGTGTCAAAAAGGTAACTATTATCACCTGCTGCTTACACGTTCACCTTCGACGGATTTTCAATTGACGCGGTTGCATAATGCTTTCCGTTTATGATAGCTCATTAGCTCGGGAGTGATCAACTCCAAGAACGGGCCACTTGTCAAAACCTGTTACACTATTTTCGATGCTCAAGGACAGGAGGCCTCATTGACGATGTGGGGCGAGACCATGGCTGAGGTCGCTCAGCGGTGGATCCCAGGGGTCACTAGTAAGGCTCTTTCTTGCACCCGTCGATTACTTTTGAACCTGTGATTTTAGCTTTCCATGATATTGTGTGGCGTTTTAACGGTGTGACCTCTTCATTTCCATTCGTGTTACCGTCAACTAGCGCTGGTCATTACTGGAGCGCAGGCGTCGATGTACTCGATGAAGCCCCAGATCACGATAGGATATCAGTCCCATATCCAGGTTGATCCCATTTGCAAGAATATTGAGGTACCAATCCATCCAACACGACGACCACGCTTGTTCACTACTTAAGGGAATTTTTCTAACGGTGTTGATTTTGTGCATACTCCATAGTGGTTGAGACACTTTGCATCACAGACTAAGCAGGATGTTGGTAGGTGCGGCATCTTGTAGACAGTTGATTAAGGAAAGCTATGTACTAAACGCTACGTCGCTGACTTCTGTTTTTCTACTACTTTTCCGATAGACGGCGGCGGGGATGATGATATCAGACTTAACCATATTCAAACCAGCTACCACATTATCGATCTCTTACAGTTGATTGAGTCCATGAAGCCTCTGGGTACGTCACTGACTCGGAATAGCAGCAAGGACATGTACTGTACAAGAGTGAGTGAAGGGGGCGATAGCTTAATACTAACTGCTTCTTATTTACACGATCTCGCTTTGTAGACGTCAACTACGGATTCACGTTCGCGGTCTTGTGCGAGCTTGACATTGACACGACCGCCTCGGACGTCCTCACAGCCAAATGGTAGCACACCTTTTGCTTCAGCTCACATCAGCTACGGAAAATGAAATGATGTCAGTGGCTAACGCAATACCATTCCCTCCTTTCGGTTGATAGCCCGCTGTGTCACAACGCAATCAACTCATTCAAGATCGAGGCTTGTCCTACTTGTAACGTTGCTCCTAATGGCGACAACATGTGGCACTACAGCCTTACGAGATACACTTCTTTCATGGATGACACTGCTGAGCTTCGGCACCCGAGCATCGCGTCACGCGTCGTCGAGGATTTCCTTGGATTCTCGGTACCGGCGATACTTCATTGCAGGTGTATGAGTGTTGTTGTTGTCCTTTGAGCACCAATTTATCAAGGGATATGCTGATCAAGAAACACATTTTTGTTGCGACCTTTTGTCGTAGCCTAGCGATTTTAGCTCGCTGTCGTTAACAGAGCGTGCTCAACTCAAGGTGGATGCCCTTGTGTTTCTCCGAGTCTTCTTAGTGCTCTCTATGATCTTATCACAACCATTACTAAACCATATCGATTCTCATAACCATAGAAACGTGTCTTCTTGGAGCGCTTCAAGGTTCACTTCAAGGTACGGCGCCCCATCTATCCAATGCCTTGCTCAAAGATTGTTCTCCATCTAAATGTGCATTCCAGATACTGACATCCATTTCTTTTCCGCCCTGTGTCCCGTAATAGATCGCTTGGTCGGAAAGCAAGAGGCAGCACATCGTCGAGATTCTTGCCATGTCGCGAGCTCTTCTCTCTGAGATCGAGCAAATCAACAACACCCGTCACTGATGGGTGTGCAATGCGCCGTCCTTCCATACGCATGCGTGCCCAGACAGAAAAAATATCCAATGGCGAATTGATTCTTGGCTCCCTTTGCTACATCCTGGCGATCCATCTGAGCTGGCTGGTTCAGCCTTTCAAGTGCTGGTATCCCGAGTTGCGCCGTCTTTCTGTACCCACCGGCCTCAAATACCGCTGTGAAGCCGTTGTATCTTTTTTTTTATTAGCGAGATTATCGCCAACACCTAGTGTATGCTTTTTAGAAATTCCTGAATGAATATGCGTCCTTATGAATGAATCTGCTGTTGCTCCTTCTCCAACTTCTTCTGAACAGCCGTCCGGATGAATCCATGAACAGCCTGCACAGCCTTATAACAGATCTGAGCACACTCAAAGTACTCTTCCTCCGAGAACAATCCTGTGCTGTCTGAGTACAATGTCGAGACCTCTACTGCCTCCTTGTCTTCCTGTGTGCTATCGGAGGTTATTGAGGACTTGTTGTCAAAGACAAAGGTGTGGGTGGATTTTGCGTTGGCGAGTTCTTGGGTGGTGGGGTCGAGGAGGATCTGGTTGGTTTCAGCGTCGACGATGCAGGTGACGGCACCGAGGATGGATTTGAGGGGTATACCGGCGTCGAGGAGGGCCAGGATGGTTGCGTTGAATGCCGTTGCCAAAATCTAATTCATCAAAGAAAATTGGACAGGGTCATTTAATTTGCTTTGCACATGGTTGCATGCAAGGATAATGGCTTCCCAATAATAACTACCAAAACTTGAACTTACGCTGCCGTCATCCTTCATGGTCTGAACAACGATCTGGATACCCGTCCGGGGGTGAAGTCCTGAAAGAACCAAGGGTTCAAGGGTCTCACGGAGAGCCTGTTCCCGTGCCTTGTCCTTGATCCCGGGGAGACCCACCAATGGTCTAACAACGACCTCAATCGTGGCTCTGTCCAGTTTCTCGTCACGCAACTTGACCTCTGCAGGTCCAACCACTGAGCACATCACCGACGACTCGCCTACGGAAGTCGAAGTTTGGAAGTTGAGTTTGGTTAATATATGGTGTGACTATGGTTATTGTCTGTTTTGCTTGTGTGTTTGTGTGAGCGAAGGGAGGTTATGGTGTTGAAAGTGAGCGGTTGTGTACCAAAGTCGAATTGTGCGGAGCCATCGGCCCGGTTGAGGAGGTTCTGGGATGAGAAGAATGGGCGCAGCTGGTGGGCGGATGTGCGGGTGCGGTCGAGGCGCGACATGTTGTGTTGAATGTGTATGTTGTTGGTATGCGTGTGAGTGAGCTGTAAACGAAGCTTTTGGAGGCAACACCAAGAAAAAAAAAAAGAAGCACAGAGTATGGGTGGCTTGGCTGAGGAAATCATAATTTTGTGACCTCTTTGAGCTCGAAGCGTGTTCAGTTTTTTTTTAGAAAAAGGCGATGGTTTCTTCGATGAATCGAAGCATTGAGGTATCTAATTGAAGGGGCTCTCTAATGATGTTGTTAAGGTAGTGGTCGATGGTGGTTCTGGTTCAAGTGCTATTGGCCAATTAAGAGTTCTGGACAGCGTAAAGTCGCATCGCCCTCGTATCGAGGTTGCCTGCATCAATCTTATTGGATATGGTACTAGGCACCGAGATGGAACTCGACTGATCACTGATCGTACCTTTTTTTTTTTTTTCTACCATTATTCCCTGATCAATTGCTATCATCTGTGCCAGAGAAAAAATAATATCAGGTACAGTGTTAACCTTCAAAAAAAAAAAGAATCCAAAACAAGTCACCTTCCCACCCTACCATTGGAGCGATCTGTGCGGTGTGGGAAAGTACAAACGCAAACTGTAAACACATGGACAACATTTATTTTTTTCTTTGGGGTTGTCTTGCTTTGCCCTTTATGAACCTATTTTTATTTCTTCTTCTTTCCCCACTTCCCCTTCTCCTCCTCAACTTGCCCGCTCTCCTTTCTCTTTCATTCATTTCCCTCATCTCTCCTTAACATTCCTCTTTTTTCTTTTCTTTTCTTTTCGTCCTTCATCACACCTTCCTACATGGCACAACCGGGTTTTGCTTCTGCCCAGAGCACCTCAGCCTCTCTCCTCGCAGAAACCATCGCTCACTCATCCCTCGCCGTCACCTCCTCTTCCCCTCCACTACCACAAACGATAACTGGCTCAACTACCACCACCACAACAGCAACAGCTAGCTCAAAACCTGAACAGAAACATGGCACTAGCATTAAAGGAGGAATTGCCGCTGGCACACCGACCCTGACAAAGGCAGAGACAGTCTTTTGTGGATCCACTGCAGGTGTAATCTCTCGCTTTGTCATCGCCCCCTTGGACGTCGTCAAGATCCGGCTACAAGTAAGAAAATAGAAGGACGAGGATGGATTCAAAGTTGTCTGATGACATTGAAACGACAGATCCCAAAGGCTTACTGTTTTTTTTTTTCTTTCTTCTCGGACATTCATCCAAATAGTTACAAACGCAACGCAAGGAGCTGCCGAAGGTTCTTCGGAGGAAAGTAGGAGCAGCAGAAGGAATCGGATATTCGGACATGAAGGCCAGGGCAACTGCAACGGCGGACAGCTTAGCTGCAACAGCTCGGATAGTACAACCAAGATACAAGGGCATGCTTTCGGGAATGGCTACCATTGCTCGGGAAGAAGGGATCAGGGTAAGCAGAGAAATGACATGGCAGGGATTGCGAAGCAAAAAAATTGTAGGATTTGAAATCACCCTCTCCTCCCTCTTATGCATGTTGCGCTTACATACTTTTCATTTCATTATATCCTCAAATTAGGGCCTGTGGAAGGGCAATATGGCGGCAGAATACCTTTATTTGACATACGGCGGGATCCAATTCTTGGCTTACCAACAAACAAAACTCTTCTTGTCCAAGACCGCCGAGCTTTCAACAACGCAACGGGCACATGTTGCACAAAAGTATAGGCATGGAGTTCCAGTTTACGTCCAAGTCTTTACTACCGTCACTCAATCGTCTTCAGTCCAGTCGTTTATTAGTGGAGCCACTGCTGGAATCATGGCTACCGCCTGCACATACCCCTTTGATCTCTTGCGGACCCGGTTTGCTGTCCAGCGCGATGTCAAGGTAAACTCACGGAACAAGCGGGAATGAAGGAGGCAGATACTACCTGGGCGGGAGGGTCGACATCTTTCACTTATTTGGATAACAGGATTGGCAGGATACAACCTCTCCTTAATTTTTCTTAACTCCAACCCCTCTTCAACTCCTATTCCGATTTGAAGCTGGTGAAGCACGCAATCCTGACACCTAACATATCGATTCTCTCTTCTCATCCCACGTAGGTGTACACAGGAGTTCCCCAGGCTTTCCGACATATCTTTAAACAGGATGGCGTGAAAGGATTTTACAGGGGCATGACTCCAGCATTGATCCAGGTCATCCCATATATGGGCGTCATGTTTGGATCGTACGATTCCTTTAAACAACTGGCAGCCTGGCTCAAGGTCAAGGCAGCCGACACCTCGTTCCTCTCAGAACCCTCAGCAGCATCATCCCACAACTCTAAAACATCGTATGGATCCACGTCCGACCCCCCGTACAAGGAGAAGAAGAAGACCTTTGGACAGATTTTGCTGGGCTTGGAGGATATGGCATGTGGAGCCATGTCGGGTGTGATCTCCAAGACTGCGGTCTATCCTCTGGACATGGTCAGGAAGCGTTTGCAGATCCAAGGGTCAGAGCAGCAAAGGAGCATTGTAGGAAGTAGGGGTACTGGGTCGGGGCCAGCACCGACGACGGTATGGAGGTGTATGGTTCATATTGTGCGACAGGAGGGGTACCTGGCGCTATACAAGGGCCTTTTGCCAGGAATCTTGAAGGCAGCACCTGCGAGCGCTGTCACCTTTTTGGTGTTTTCGCAGACTGGCGCTTTTATTGAGAGGACTCGACGTCCCCAGCAGCATTCACAGGAGCAGGAACAATGACCCATATAATAATAAACCTTGTCTCGCCCTGATACCTTTCTCCTTTCCCCTTTGTCCAAGCTGAAGATGTGGATCTTTTCCATTGAATTGAAAAATAAAAGACGTGTTATTCAATCCAAATTTATCTATGCTTGGATAATCGCGTTTCCCTTGTTAAAGTCGTCGGCACCACCAGGTCGTCACCGCAGGCATGGACAAGCCTATTAAACGTCAAGATACTCAACAAGCGAGCCTGGAATTAACCCTGGACAGCCACACCGGCATGGTCTACGCAGTTCTCCTTTCAAGGGCGGATCAGCAGGAATAGAAAGAAACCAAAGGCGTATTTTTTTTTAGGTATTGAAGAAATGACTTTAATGTTCTCTTTACGATAAATAAACAAGAGTCAGGAAGTAATGAAACAACGGCATGAAGAAAAAAAAAAAAGATAAAGAACAATCATACAAACGTAATAAAGCAAAAAGGAAAGAGGTAATAAAAGGGCGGGTTTCTATAGCTAAACAAAGTGATGCGTGTGAAAAATAGATGTAACAACAAAGTGAGGAAGAAAAAGCAAAGGCGACAATGAACGGATGTGGAAGAAAAATAACAATGCAGCAGAATCAACTTTAGTTTCCAGAGTTGTCATCTTCCATGTCCACTTCCTCTCCATCGACAGTCACAGCCACAATCTCGTCCATGTCCTCCTGTGCTGTCGTCGAGCTCTCGCCGTTGGCTGCGGTAGCAGCAGGAGCATCGACCACCTTGCGCCATCCAGACTCCTCGTTATCATCCCTGACCATCTCTGCTGTTGGCCTATTAGTAGCAAGGAATATCATGAAGTGTTAGAATTGTCTCCAATAAAAGAGCTGGCCGTTCATCTCAAAATAAAACAAGAACAAGAAGAAGCGTACCAGTAGTGCATGTTGGTCTTGATGCTGAGGACGGTGGGAACCATATCAAAGCTCATGGCTTTGACGCGAACATAAGCGTTGTCCTGGCACTTCTTGACGGCGATCAGCAAAGAATCCAGATCAGGGGTAGGGGTGCCATTGATGTGAGTGATCCACATGGTGGGAACCATGCCGTACATGTATGATGGTGAGCCCTTGGAGCGGGCGCTGACATAGACGCGACTGGGCAAAGTTTTGCTCTGCTGGAGAACGGCCTTGTGGGGCTCGTGCATCATAGCTCCTGCCCAGATCACCAACCGGTTGGTGCCCTGTCCGCTGATGGGTTCGGTAGGAACAGTCAACTTGACCTCAGCCTTCTTCCTCAGCACAACAATGTCCAAATCCGCTGCGTCATACTGGACATCCAACTCGTACATGCGCGTAACAACCTTGCCGTTAATGCTCAAGATCAAGTCCAGCTCCTGCAAAATCGATGCCGAAACCGATCCGGTCTCTGTCCGACGAACCATAAAAATGTGGTGGCGAGATGGGTTGGCCTCCTCGACCTTTTTGACCCAAATATCTGTGAGACCCATGTGGCGGGCCTGAGCCATCTGAACGGGCATGACCTCAATGTTCAAGTTGCGCAACTTGGGGTAAAGGCCCTCCTGCATGGGCTGAAGGACGGGCATAATGGTCGAGATGTGCAGTCCAAGGTAGTACTCGTTGTCGCGTCCCGAGTTGTTGCGCTCACCGAGATACGACAACCACAATCCCTGAACACGGCCTTCGCTGTCTGCCAAGACACCCGACGAGCACTGCTGAGCCAAAGGGGTATCCAATGTAATAGCATCCAAGTTGATACCTCTGAAACGAGGAGTTCCGTTGTGGGGGATGGTCACACTGGTGATATCGGTAACAACAGTCCTGAGGCAGATGGGGCGCTGGTTGTGGTTGAAGGCGACAAGGGAGACTTGGTGTCCCTGGACAAGGTTGACAGGGGAGATCTTGGCCGACTGAATGGGTGTGCCACCGACATCCTTGGGGTTGTACGAGATGATGGCAAAATTGTGGGTTGGGTGCAAGTACACGACCTTTCCTGGAACAATGATCGAGTCGGCAATGGTGATGCTCAGGTCTCCCATGGCAAAAGGCACAATGTTGCGCGAAATAACAATCAATCCACGCTCCGCATCAACAACTAATCCTGCACCGTATTTCTATTAGCAGTAAGAAAAGTAAAAAAAAAAAAGTATCAGAAACTGTTGCAAAACCGATTTACATGCCAGCCTCCGCTCAATCGCACGCCAAATAACAGCAACTTACTCTGCTCTTAGGGAAGCCGTCAATGCGGCAAGGCATGTAGTAGCTGACCTTGACCATGCAGCTAAACAGCTCCTTGGCTGGTCCCAGAGACTCGTCCAATTCCAAAAACTTGACAGTCGAAGGAACAATAGGCTTGGGTGGCAAAGGTGCTCCTAAGTTGGTGAAGTCCCATAATCCAGTTTGGTCGTTCCTGACAGCTAACCGGAATCGGCTCCAGTGGCGCTCGACCTGAACAACAGCAACGCTGGTGGTGTGAACGTCACCAATCGAATAATACACAACGGGGATACGCTCTCTATCAGGGATCGTCTGCATGACCTCGATAAAGTCGTCCAATTTGTAAATCGTCTGGTTGTCGATGGAGGAAATGATCCAGCCACGGTCAGGTCCGTCAAATCTGAACATCCCGCTAGGCTCTGAGACATAAACACCGCTAACAGGGACACAGAAGCTGCGGGCGAGCTGGTAACTGAGGTTGTTCAACTTGGAGCCTCCGATCTCGACATAGCGATCGGGTGTGATACTGTGAAGATCCTGAACGGTGACCTTGACTCTTCTCTGCTCGCCGCCGCGCTCGGCAAGAATCTCGACCTCCTTGCCCACGTTGCGATCCAAACAGTCCTCCAATGGCACAAACTTGGTGATCAGCTCTCCGTTAATCGAAACAAGGATATCTCCTTCCTCCAAGAAGCTAGAAGCGGGTCCCTTGGGCAAAACAGTCTCAGCAACCAACATTCCAATCTCCTCAGGGAAGCTCGCACGGACCAAAGCCTCTGTCTCCTGGCTCAATCCAAGACGGCGCGTCTCGTCAAAGGGTCGGTACAGAAACTGTGTCTGGATGGTGCCACGGGCCACAGGCATGCCCTCCTGAATAAAGGTTAATGCGCGACGAACACGATCCAAAGGAAGGAAGAAATCCGTAGCTGCCTTCAAACTGCCTCCTGCTTGCAACGCCACAGCGTTTCCGTTGATATCAATAACAGGTGAGCCGCTGGATCCTCCACTGGTACTCGAGGCGGCTTGAAGGTAGAAGGTGCTATAAACATTGAGTAAAAAAAGATTGGTCAACAGCTGAACTGCCACATCTGCATCTAGTTTGGAATGAAATCATTTCGCTATGAGCCCAGATGCTGATAGCTTTTTCTGTTTTACGTACTTGAAATCGTTATATGTCAGATCACCGTATTCGGGGGCGTTGCGGTCGAGACGAGAGATGGACCCAGACAAAATAGACAGTTTCTCTCCTGCATCGTTACCAACGACGCGAATATCAATGCCGACCTTGGCCATCTCGGGCACCAATGGGATCGAAGTCACCTCCATGTACTTGATCTTGGAAGGGTCAAACTTCAGGAAACTAAATGTTGCCAGAAGGAAAAGAAAGGGTGTTAGAGTGGGTCATTGTTGTTTGATAAACAATGGCCAGCATGCATCTCTGCGTGTATGTCTGTTTGTTTTGTTTGTTAGGTTGATGCAATTGACCCCCTTTAGTCCTGTTCTTCTTTTGTCATCTTGATCCCATTTTATCGAGATGAAACGGATCGCACAATGAAGAAAACATAGTCCCGAGATAACAAATTCCGACATACCCAAAGTCATGGACGGGATCTCTGTACACAGGAAAGACGTCGACCTCCTCATGGTCGTGACAGACAGCCTCTCCAACAAAAGGTCCAGCACAGGCAACATGTCTAAGAAATGAGTAGAAAATATATTGACATCCAGCGTCAGCAGCCGTCAAATTGAATCGTCAAAGTGAAAATAGTACGTCACTACACGCTGCGTAAGCATTAGATGGGTGCGCTAACCTGTTTGTGAGGATCAAACCACGCTCCGCATCGACAATGAATCCTGATGCCTCTGATGTCTCGGGGCCTAGTTGTATGCGAAGAGGAAAGGCAGTGTAAACCAATGGTTAGTGAAATTGGCCAGGCTATTGCTTTTTTTACATGCGATCGATTCGTGAGCACTCGATCAACGACCACGCCACATATTAATATGCATGGACACAGGGATGGGTCTATGCAGGCTCATTAATCGAGGATGTATTGGGCTTATTGTTCGTTCATTGACGATTTTGATTTCTTTTTTTGATGTTGTTGTTGCTGTTGCGTCAAGTTGTATCTGCATGTTGCCTCACCCCCTTGGTCCAGCATGTACACACATACACACCCCCTTCTTACAAACAAGCACACACGCCCTCAAAGTGGCACCAGCAAAACGCGAGTATCCTGTGGATAAACCCATGGCCAATGTTGTACTTGTGTACAGCCCTTGACAACATTCTCCTCGTCGACTTCAACGACTCCAACAAGCACAACCGACGTATGCTCACTTTGTTTATGGTCGTCTTCTGGTATACACGCCCCCTTTCTTTTGTCTCTTTAGCTGTCGTTCCTGTTGTTGCGATTTATGTTGCTGTTGTTTTCGCCGTCTACTGCTGCTGATTGTCCTGTCTTGTTCATCTTGTCCCTGCTGTAGGACTCTTCGCCATCCAAGACGATGTAGTTTCCAGGTTTGCCATAAAAGCAATTAAAAGGTTGTAATGTGATGCTGATCACACACTCCCCTCATTCCCCCTCTCCCTGCCAGAATGATCAACACAACAAGAACCAAAAAAAGCAAAGTTATTATTACCTTCGGTATCAAACGCCGAGACCTGACTGAACCTGATCGAAACAATTGCCTTGACAGCCTTCTCGATGACTCGCTGCCATTGTGGGGGTTCGCTCAAAACAACCGCCGTGCGCGTAGATTCAGCTCCAGGGTTGTTAATGGATGCAAGACCACCGTTGAGAGAAGGGTGGTGGATGTGAGAGGATTCGTCGCCTTCGGGGTCTGTTCTTGAACTGATGTCGTCTCTGTCGGAGGCGGGGTCGTCAGTGCGACGCCTCTTGTGGAGATGGAGGCCGCCGTCGGTTGGGGTTGAGACTGATGTCGCGCTTGGAGAGTCTGTCAGGTCGATTTCCATTATTTGGGTTTTTTGTTTTTTTATGAGGTGTTACAAAATGGAGGGTAGGGATATGTGTACAATCGTCGAAAAGGACGAAGAGGAGAATAAAGCAAGTAGGAGAAGGAAGGATGCGAGTTGAAGAGAGGAAGGCGGAAAGGGGAAAGGAAAGAAAGAAGGAAAAGGAAGAATAAAGAACGAAAGAGGAGGAGTGTGTGTGGCGACGAGGAAAGAGTTTAAAGGTGACGGACGCGAGTCTATTTTAACTGAAAAAAGAAAAAAACGAAAGCGTAAGCAAAAGAATGACTGCTTCTCGAAATGCTTGTTCAAATACATGTCGGCGAAGAGTACTAGGCCACCCCAAAACTCCTAAACATCCATCCCACACCACCACCGCACGCTACAAACCCTATCTTGCCCACAGTATTCAGCCCCCACTCGCCACTCGCCACCATACCGCACCGCACCGTATGACATACACTTACAGGGTCCACCGCCCCTTGCCTTCAATCCTTTTCACAGCAATCGATGAGCAATGCTTCATTTGACTCTTTCTCACCTACTCCTCGCAAAGCAGCAATAAGCCACAACAACCAGGCGGAACTTCGGTTTTCGCTCGTGTAAGGAAAGTCTTTATGCAAAGTGTGCCCTGAGCAAAAAAAAAGGGGGCTTCACTTCGAAAATGCAAATGGGAAAACAAAGTAGAGAACAACAACAAGAAACTAAAAAAATGCATAGTCGTGTGACAATGCTTCCTTAGAACTTGAAGATCTGGTCAGGCAGCTTGGAGACAGCGTTGACCTTGTCGTAACCAAGATCCTGGGTAATCTTGGACATGGCAGAGATCATGGGAGGGGGTCCGCAGAGGAGGACCTTGATGTCGGAAGCGGGCTTGGGCATGTGCTTCTTGATCATGTCAGCGTTGACGAAGCCAACACCGCCGGTCCAGCCCTCTGGAGGGGTGTTGAGGACGTAGTGGACCTTGAACTGGGGGTGCTTCTTGGAGAGGAGGTCGAGCTCGGCCTTCAAGATGATGTCTTCCTCGGTGACGTTGGCAAAGATGAAGTTGACGATGGTCTTATCTGCGGGGTTCTTGACAATAGCGCGGATGATCTATTTGTGATATCACATTGAACTGCGTTAATGGCCATGTATTTCCTTTGATAATATTAAGACTTTTGAATGACCATTGCCTCCCCTTCGGTAATAAACAGTTGACCCTCCTCTTCGATGAAATGACACCAGCAAAAAGATGGCAGTGGACTCTCTTGTCATGGATCAATGCATTGGATCCGCAGTCGGAAGGTACTAAGATCAGACATAAAACGTACCTGGAGCATAGGGGTGAGTCCGGTACCGCCGGCAATCATTCCGATCTCACGGCAGATGTTGGCAGAGTAGTTGAACTGTCCCTTGGGTCCACGGGCATTGATGGTGTCGCCAATAACGAGCTCAGAGAACATCTTGGAGATGTTTCCTTGAGGGTAAGCCTAATGTTGGAAACAATGTTATTGTTAGCAGCTATATATGCAAATGCCAATGCCGAATACAACAAAAGGCATGCAAGGGGATAGATAGTCCTGATTGGTCCCATATTTCCCTTGCTGCATGTTTGATGGGGAAACGAAGAAAAAAGTAAGAAATGTACCTTGATGCAGAGGACAAAGTGTCCAACGTCGTCGCTGCTGCTGGTGGGGGTGTAGCTGCGAGAGATCTCCTTTCCGTTGATGTTGGCCATGATGGAGATGTGCTGTCCAATGGGCAAGTTCAAGATGTCATCCTCGTTAGGGAGCGCAAACTTGTACCTAGAGGTTTCAATGGAAGAGAGAGAATCGGCAATGGTGTTTTAGAATCCAATTGTCCCGTTATTCCGTTGGGGCAAAATGCCGTTCAGTGCCTGACTGCCCAACTGGGCTTGAAATATTTTGGGTTCACACATCTACTTTTCATCGGGAGAAATGAGGAGAGATGAACGAGGGTGATCTAACAAACAAGCTAAGACTAGAAGCCAACCAACTTACATGGCAGTGTTAGGACTGCAGACAACCTTGTCAACCAACTTGAACTTGCGGTACTCCTTGGGATCCAATGGAGGAGCTATCGGAAGGAAAAGTAGTTGGCGAGAGTGTCGAGGTTAGCCAAAAGAGTCAAAAAAGCTCATTCCGCCTTGTTGATCCTTGCTCTCAACGGGAGAAGGGAATCCAGAAAACGGGTGTGGGATGCAAGAGCCAAAGGGTTTTGTCCATTAAGAAAGGACAAGGCGCGTACTTCTGATGGCAGTCTTCTTGAAGAGGAGGCGGGCCCAGGTGGCGGCGACACCAGCAGCAACGAAGGGGACAGCGTTGGGGTCGACAAAGTAGGCGCCGATGAGGAGGACGCTTGAGCAGGCAGCGATGGCGGGGTTGGAGAGGGTCATCTTGCAGTCGGGTTGTTCGAGGGGGAGGGAGGGAGAAGACGGAGGGAGGGAAGGAAGGAAGGGTGAAGAAGAAGAAGAAGAAGAAAAAAGAAAACAAAAAAAAGAATCAAAAGAAAGAAAAAAAGTAAGGTCGGGACGGAACCAGTCAGGCACACACACAAACCAACAAAAAACGTTGCCACTGAGGTTGAACAAAATCAGACCACCGCAGAAACCCAAAAGAAGACTCTTTTGATAAGAAAGACAGACAGGGGTTGGACCAGTCTGTGTGCAAATCCAATTTGTCATTTGCAATAACATGCCACACCACCTCACACACTCAACACATACTCAACACATACTCAACACATACTCGTGCCACATGTGTCAGTCAATGGGTACTCGTGGGGAATAAACTATTCACACAACACAACGACCAAGATCCGACACGGCTCGGCCTCTTACACTTTCCTCTTTTCCTTGTTTACTAACTTTCATTACGCCCATTCGTTCCCAGCCATTCCTTGGCATATAGACTACAACAGCACTTATTAAACCGTCTGTGTCCATGCGCACATTCATCTCCTCTTTCAGGTCACTTTTTGACCAACAATTCTTATTTTTTACACCTTTCCCTTTCTTTCTGTGACAGACGTTACTCGCCGTTCACATATCAGTGCTGATGGTTCCTGGACTGATTAATGGTGATAAATGAGACCAAAAGAGTTATCAGCGATGGTGGCGTCTTTGCTGCAAACTCCAAAATGCAGGAGACTCTTCATCCCAGGCACACACATCTTATACACGCTGCGAACAGTGCAAAGTTCAGCAGCAGGGAGAGAAATGAAGTAAACCAAGGAGCCATACTTGCTTTGTCTCAATTGGCCAATCAGCCTCGAGCAGCAGTTTGATTGAAGGGACTGCTTTTCGAGGCATCGTCCGTCCCCGCATTCAAGGTGTTTAAGGGGCATATGCTCTGTCTCCCCCACTCGGGGAAAAAAAGTGGATACGGAACACCTGTGAGCGAATGGGAATGCGACTACGAGACAAAGACTACAAAATGGTACAAGTGATAGAGTGAAATAGTGAGGGAGAGTTCGCTATCAACGACGATGTGCCCGTGGTAAAGTACGAGAAAAGGACAAAAGGGCACAACTCAGGGGCTGAGTGACAGACAAGGTTCATTGAGTATCGAGCTTCTCATCGACAAGTATAAAAGGAGCCGCGATATCCGCCCTGGTTTTCTCTTTTTGTTTCTTCTTCTGTTCTTCTTTTTGTTTCTTGTTCTTCTTGTTCTCCTGTTCTTGTTCTCGTCTTGTTCCTCTTGTATTTCTGCTCACCCTGTACACCACTCCCTACACCACACCACACACTCCTAACACCCACACCACCCTACCACATCTACTTTCCCACACTCTGCCATGACCTCGTCCTACAGAGTAAGTCATGTCAACTTTCGTCATACCTGTCATACCATGTCTTACAATTGCAGCTGCACATGCCGTGCCATGCCATTCACCATGTCAACACTGTGGCAGTAACAGTCGACCCTGTACCTAACACTCTGCCATCCCATTCCCCTTCACTCAATTACCCCATTATAGATCAACTACCAGTTGCGTGCCCATGTAAGTTTAGAACCACAGCAACAACTAGTTTCTCACCCCCTTCCTTAGTCTTGCTCTCCCTCGTGCGTCATATGGTTCCTGGAGTACAATACGTACTCATTTTTTTTTTACCTTTTGACACATTTGATGAACCAATAGAAACGCGACCCCCTCATCGAATTCATCAAGGGCCTCCTCCTCACCCCCTTCATCCTCCACGCCAAGCCCCGCAAGCCCGTCCTCACCTCGCCCGGAAACGAGTCCATTGATACCATCCTCGCCACCGGCAACGGTACTTCAAACGTCAACCAAGATGACAGGAACGATTACCAGGAGGAAGACAAGCCCATGGTCGATGCCAACCTTCAACGATACCTGGAGATCATGAAGTCTGTCGAGGCCATGATCGAGGAACACCGGCGTAAGGCTGTCAAGGGCGTTCCTGAGCACTCGAGACTCCACAGGATCGTTCCCTCGGTTGCCACGTTCTTTACGCCCTTGCCTCTGGAGGCTGCCTTCTTGGATGCCAACGCAAAGCACTCAATTGCTGCCAGACGCTTCGTGCCTCCTTCTTTCAACGATATCCGCAGGTAAGCAAGCAAGGTGTTTGTAATTTCGGCGACTTTTTTTTTGTTGTTGTTGCAGTTATCAAATCGGACCATTCAATGAAGCTGCTCACCCAATCATTCATTGGTTTTGCTATGAATTACATAGGATCCTGAACACTGCTCAAGTTATGGCCATTGCACCCACCATCAGCCTCATCACCTTGTAGGTCTTGGTCTTCAGCATTCCTTTATATTTGTGGATTTGCTCTGTTGATTGTCAATTTTGTTCTCCCGCCTGCATAGTGCATGAATGAACTACAGAACGACAAATTACTTTGTTACCATGGCTGCACCATTCAGCTGATGTCAATTCCAACCATAATCTTATTTCTCCCATCTTCCTTACCGAAAATGATAGCGATGGAGACATGACCCTCTATGACGACGGAACATCATTCACTGAAAACTCTCCCCTCATCCCTCTCCTGATCGCGTTGATGCGCGCCGGTCTCCGGGTGGCCATCGTCACCGCTGCCGGTTACCCTGGCGATGCCGGCAAGTACGAAGAGCGCCTCATGGGTCTCTTGCGCGTCTTTGATCAGCAGAAGTTGTCGGAGAAATTGCTTGAGCGCTTCTATGTCCTTGGTGGCGAGTGTAACTACTTGTTCCGTTGCGGCTGGAAGAAGTCTGATGCCACTGGCGAGCCTGTCGTCGGCCTTACTTATATCCACCCAGAGTAAGCTTCCTCGCTTGTATTTATTATTTATTTATATTGCCAAGTTCAATTGTGTTGTCCTGTTTTCTAAACTAACCCCCATTTCTTCATTACCTTTTTAGGTCGTACCAGCCTTCGGATATGCTTGCATGGAAGCATGAGGATATCCAGGAGCTTTTGGATGTTGCAGAGGAGAACTTGAAGAGATCAGTCTCGGCAATGAACCTGAAGGCCATGATCCTGCGCAAGTCCCGTGCTGTCGGAATCGTCCCTATTGGAGACGTCAAGATTGCACGAGAACAGCTCGACGAGTGTGTTCTCTCAACTCAGCAGCGTCTCTTGGAATACCAGCAAATGTCTGGCTCCTCCAAGACTACCATCCCTTTCTGCGTCTTCAACGGCGGCAACGACGTCTTCGTCGACATGTACGTCTTTCCATCTTGTTATAATGCTTCATGATTGAACTGAACTTGTGATTGCTCAAGCTGACATATGGCTTCATGGGTTTCCTTACTTTGTCCTTCTAGTGGTAACAAGTTGATTGGTGTCCAGGTTCTTCAGACCTACCTTGGCGCTGCACCCGAGGCTACTGTCCACGTCGGAGATCAGGTAAGATTCGATTCCCTTACTGGTGACTCTCCAACCGCACATCTCACAGTGAAAAAATTATCATACTTGAACAGCAACTAACTACCCTGTTTCTCTCGACTTTTGAATATATAGTTCTTGTCGACTGGAAACGACTTTGCTACACGATCAAGCTGCTGCACTCTCTGGATTATCAGCCCCGAGGAGACAGAGGGCGTCTTGAAGGAATTGACCCCGCTCTTGACCATCCCTGCCGAGGAAGCATAAATGATACATTTTTGTACTTATCGATATCCATCTTTTCTTGTATACTCCTTGTTTTTTGTACAAAGTCACCTTGTTATGAGTAATAAACGATACAAATTAATAACAACTTGCGATAAGGATTGCATCTATCGAGATAAAAAGGAGAAAGGGAGATGGGATCTGTAACTGGGGCCTATCGAGCCGCAGTTTCCCCACGATTGCTCGTGTGAGTGTTGCAGGATGCATAAGAAACCAGCATATCTAAAAATTTGTTCTATGCTAGAGACGCGTGAGATGTGAATCCGTAGAAAAAATATTTTTGGCTCTGTCGCAGTGGAAATGTGAGACCGAGATGGTGCCCTTTTTTTCAGATTCCCGAACGGACACCGGTCATTGTCCTCGCTGCTCAATGCTATGTGGATGGATGTGTGAAGGATACCACCACCACCACCACAACAACAACAACAACAACAACAATAAAAAATAAAAAAAAAATAAAAAAAGTCCCAGAAACATCATGCCCTAGCTATGGATTGCATCATTACTCGTCTCTCCTCGCTTGCCTATTTTTGTTTTATTTTATTTTTATTCTTTGGTGATTGACACTTTGCCCTTCTTGATCACCTCTATCATTTTCTAATACCAACCCTCCCCTCATCCTTACTCCCATCCCTTACCCTCATTTATTTCCTTCACATATGACAACCGATTCTCCGAACTACCACACCAGCAACTCCAACATGCGTCGATGCATCCTCTCCCTAACCCTCGTCGCCTGCGTCGCCTTATCACTCTCCTTCACACCATCAACCGCCACCGCAAACCCAATCTCCCACAACAACCAACCATCGAACTCGGCCGCTCAAGTCTTAATCAAGAACCACCACCATCAAAAAGCACACCACAACGGCGGGCTATTGAACCGTCTCTCGTCCTCATGGACATCTCTCACAACCCCCCTCCAAGGCCTCCACGCTATCTCCGGATCTCCCGGTCCTGCTCCGAAGAGTAATAGCGGTCCCAATGTCAAGCGGTTTCATAAACGCGCCGTCGACATTAAGAAACCAGCAACGGCATCCGCAAGGGCGGGAACATTGGGAGGCAAGACGGGAAGAGCTCAAAAGAAGAAGGTGGGTAAGTCGACAACGAGGGTGAACACCTACTCGGCCTACGAGGCCATCGTCAATTCTGATAGTCAGATGCCCGTCTTCTTGAACCAGCACCATCCCATGACTACCAACAAAGGCAGTGGTAACGGCAAGGGGAAGAGCAAACCCACATTTCCTTCCGTCCCCGTTGCTGCAGGAGGAGAGAAGAAGAAGAAGAAGAAGAAAGCGGGAGCGGTGACACCGATTGATATCTTGCGCCAGACCGACACCAAGAAACCCACTGCCGCTTCGCCCATCACACCATCTGCAGAGGAGGAGGAGGCGAAGGACGGAGAAAGGAAGATGAAGGAAAGGGCAGAGATGGAAGGCACCTCCCCAACCACGAAGACCGAGGCAGAGACGGAAGGCATAACCCCGGCCAAGGAACCCCACCACCCTAACAAAAAGAACAATAACACCAAAAAACTCTCTTTAGCCAGTCGGGCCGTCGTGACAGAGGCGATGGAAGATGGAACTTCGACAGTCAAGGCCCTGTTCGACACCGTCTTCTCGCAAGAAGAACAACAGCCTTCTCGTCGAACTGCCGTCGAATCTGCCACTGGTACTGAAGTTGAGATGAAGGGAGAGGATTCGGAGGATATCAAGGCAATCAAGAAGACAATCAACGCCGCCGCCCACGCTGCCGTCGTCGCCGCCGCAACTGCAGCTGTAGCCGGTAACAGCCACCACCTTGAAGGACGCGACACGACCGGAATCCTGAAGCAGACCTTGGAGGATATAGCGTACAAGATCGAAGAAGCCGCCACTGCTGCGATTGCTCTCGAGATCCCATCCCTCACCGGCCATACTCTTGTCTCACACTCTTTCGCCGCGTCGCGTGAATGGGAACCTACTCTGGAGGCTGAAAGGCTAGCACCGGTGTTCGAGAACCATCAAGACGCAATGATCGACGACGAAGGAGCCATCGATCTGCCTGCTATTGCCAACAACAACAACAACCATCACGACACCACCACAGCATCCACAACCGACGAAGAGTCCGGCTCCACCGTCACCAAGCAGAAACCAGGTCCCATATTCATCAACGACAACGAATACACCTCCCACTCCTCCTCCAACGAATATTCCGACACAGCCACATCCGACGAATGGCACCTCATCGACAGCGACGACGACGGTGACGATTACATGTCCCAATACATCCACCGCCAGCCCGACAGCTTCCTCGGTTCAGAATCAGTCCTCTTCACCGGTACCGTTCTTCAACGAACCCTCGCAAGTTCCTTCCTCCTCCTCTCAGGCTTCGTCATGCTAATTGGTCTGATCTCGTACAAGGTGTATGCACGGAGGAGGAATACTTCCCCATGGGCCTTCTTACATTACATGACGTTTGGAATTTTTGGATCCCTGTTCTATGACTCGGCCTATTTGTCAAACTTGACACTCAGCACTTACAATATCACGTCCCAATCCTCGCCCTCATCCCCAACCATAAAAAATGGCTTCGGATCCGGACCCACCACCTGGCTCCGTAGAGGCAGCCTCATCCGGCCCACAGGCTACAACCACAACATAATGTCGACCCCAGCCGAGAAAGAACCCCTCCTCCCAGAACCCGTCGTCGCCTCTTCCACCTCCTCCTCCTCCTCCTCCTCCTCTGCATCATCGTTATTCAAAAATGGTGACCCGAACCGCACAGAACTCCGTCGCACTTCGACTGCACAACACCACCAGATGCAGATCGAGCTTACTCTTCAGCAGCAGCAGCGACGAGAGGAGGAACAACAGCAGCACCAGGCTGACATGGATTATTTACAACGGTCCTTCATGCGCCGCACTTCCATCTAATATTTAAGATCGTATTCACTTTTTTTTTTTTTTTTTTTTTTAACCTAATACATATTCATACCGCCGTTCACGTAATAAAAGCACGATCACTGTTACAAAAAGCTCTTTGTACGTTTTTTTTTATATCATCGAAATTTATCGATAAAAAATGGGATAGAGTGGAGCGGGGGGTGTAGTTGTTAGTTTGCGGTGAAGGGGATGCAAAAAAAAAAAAAAAGAAGAGAAACGAGAAAAGTCTAAAATAAACATCGTTCTTCTTTTTTTCAAGAGACGCGAGAGATTGTATACATGTAGGTAGAAGAATAGGGAAAGGTAAGCAGATGCATTTAGTGGTGGTGCTCCTCAACCTCCTCCTCCTCCTCTTCCTCCTCCTCAACGGCATCCTCGGTGATGGCATCAGCAATCTCGACGTTGGCGGTCTCCCAGGCAGAGAGATCAGCAGCGGCATCAATAGCGGGGGCCTATACATAAAAAAAAAATGTCATGGAGTCGTTAGTGTCGATTTTTTAAGGTGTGTCCTGCTTTGTTGGTTTTGTTGCTCGCAGATGTCATTGTTCCAGTTCGATTGATCCTGTGGTCAAGTTATAGAGTTGGTAAAAGAACGTACAGCGGGGGCAGCGGGGGTCTTGAACTCCTTGATTTTGGAAGAGGTATCAACACCCTTGGCCTACAAATGTGATACGGAAATAGTAAAAACATGTCAATCGTCTGTGCTTCTTCGATTCGTCGTCTATGTGGTTCAACATCATCCGTAATCTTCGACTTGTCATGTCCATGATAAACAAAGCTGATACGCACCTCAGGAGCGGGCTTGTAACCCTTGAGCTCCTTGATGTACAAGTCCTTGAGGATATCTACAATTGTGCAGTAAACACAAACGTAATTGTTAGATCGAGATATTTTAAGCGCCATGTCAACAAATAACGCGTCCTATTCGCGTTGGTTTCGATGATATCGATCCTAGTCTGTCTTGTGTCATTGAGGATCTGACTTACCCTGCATCAAAGGGGCAGAGGGGGAGGCAAAGCTGCGGACGGCCATGAAGGCGGGGCGAGCAGCAGCGACACGGCTGATGGGGGCCTATCAGCATGAGCAAATTGAGTGATATGATGTTTAGTTTGACTTGAAGCTATTGAATTTCAATGGCTCAAGTTTGGAGGATGGTGTGTCAACGGAAAAGGTGGTTTTTCCAAGGGAGTAGAGTAAAGGTGTATTGAAGGTAGGTGCGGAAGATATGCTGAAGGAGAAGAGTCGCATGAAAGTTTCAACGATACAGGGCCTGGATGGACGTTGAACGATGGCGACAGTAGGCGAAGTTCAATCCTCTCTTTTTGCCTCAAGCGAAGGAAGGAAGGAAGGCTGCAACTCTGGCGATCTTCCTCCTGTACGCCGCATGCATCCTGGGAGACGTGAGGTGAGTGTACCTCTAGCTCCTTCCCGACGTTTGTTGTCATGGTGAATGATACCCTCTTTGATGGAAAGAGTGACGCCTGATCTTGATCCCGATCCAGTAACAGCAACAAGGACTTGCAATGAGGCACGACGCAAGTCGATGAGAGAATAGGTCTGTTGCTGTTTATCTTTCCAGTGGGCAGTAGCTCTCGCTTGTTGAAAGTAGAAATGTCTTGGGCATATAGTCGATATACACCATTTATGCCTTGTCGTCACGTCTAGGGCATAAATGGGCGGTTGCTGCTATGTTCCTGAGTGTGCTTGCGGGTTGTTGTTGTTGTACATCGAGTAGGTGAAGTATGCAAGTGTGAATAGCGTGAGAGAATGAAGGTGTAGCTGTGCGTAAGGAAAGGAGTGAGTGGACGGGTGAGCAAGTATGGCAGCTTACAGCGAGGCGGACGAGGCGGGAGGCGATCATGGTTGATGGGATGTGTGTGTGAGAAGGGTTGTTGATGGATGGGGACGGAAAGCAAAAAAAGAAAGGGAAGCCAGAATCAATTCTCTACTCTTACTCCCTCGCACTTCGTCGTCCCGAAGACAGGCGACGGACACAACCGTGTTTTTGTTGTTTGCATGTCTTCTCACTTACATATCGTGCATTTACACAGGGTTCAATGTCGCTATGCGACTCTAATGATGACGAACAGAATACGCTCTACGACGCATGTGCTGCAGTCACAAAACACAGCATAGTAGTTGAATTCATTTTATTTCTGTTGTCATGGGACAAAGACTCGCTGCTCTGCAAATCCGGCGCTCGTTAACCTCCGCAGCTCCATTAGATACTGTACACATTCTTCTTGCTCCTCCCATGTGGCCGCCTCTTCTATTCTATCCCTCCTACTCATACAGCTCTCCACTCGATCCGTCTCCTTAAGCAAACGCAAATCCTGTACTGCACTCCGAAATCGCCGTCAATAGCTGCTGTCTCAACTCATCATATGTCTCGTACTCAGGCAGATCCAGTTGATTGAAACTATGCGAGCAATTAGAAACATAAAAGATGTTAGCTATCATTTCTCTTTCGAAATAATTGGCAACAAAACAAACCAGGCAACGAAAAAAAAAAAGAAGAAAAAGCGTACCATGTGTGCGCGGAGGGGAGGCGCTTGGTGGATGAAAAGTCCTTGTGGATCTGGAACTTTTGGACACCAGAAATGCCCTGAAGCTGAGAGAATCCGCCTAGGGGCACCTTGGATGTTCCGGTCACAAACTGCAGCAGCTTGGCACGCTCCGTCTGGTCAAACGATCGTACAGCTCGCCAAAAGTATTGGATCTGCGGCGACGCCTGCGAATAGTTCTGGTACTCCGCGTTGTTCTTCCACTCATCCACATCAATGTCTGGCAATCCAGAAATCAATAGCTCCAGTTCCTGTTCGTTGAAGATGCTGATCAAATGCGCTGGGATAATCTCGTGGAATCCCTGCAGGAACGAATGGATCTGGTCCTTGATCGCTAGCGTCAGCTTCTGCTCCGTGATATACTTGACATACTCGTGCTTGTTCTCCTCTGTCACCGGAATGTTGCGTCCATTCGGCTTCAAATCCACCGTCTTCATGTTGCCGAAATCGTCCGTCTCCACCGAGAACGTCTCCTCCACAATGTCCGTAATATCGTTGTCCAGCATCCACACAAGAGACTTGTAGTACTCCGGATCCACTGCCTCAACATCCCGATAGTCAACCGGTCGACCCAGGATATGCTTGTAGAACGATCGCGTGAAGTACGCGTCCAACAAACGACCGTCGTAGATAGCCTTGCCAATCACGCGACCAATAAACTTGAAGAACAGCAGATGGTCCGGGTTGACCCACGACGCTCGGTTGGGCTGGTACGTCAACTTGTCGGCAGCAGATGTCTTGAACATAGCATAGTCGGGGTTGAACATCTGTCGGGCTAGGACCTGGAACCACTCCCTCGTCACTCCTCCGGCATCGACACCTTCCTCGCCGTGAAAGTGGACGTTCAGCTTGCTGTACTTTATCTCCTCGCCCGACCTCGACTGCAGCTGCGTGAACGAGTCAATAAAGACCATCTCGCGGCGCACATTCATCTGCAACGTGCCATAGTGTCCCTGACTGGCTGTCCGCTTGTGCACCTGCTGAGTAAAGTAGTTGCGCTTGTTGTCGAACTCCAGCATCTTGGGGTTGTGCACCAGCAACGAGAACGATCCAGACATCAACGCCGGGTTATTCCGTACCATAATGTTGAGAATCTTGCTGTGCCTCTCCGTGAACTGTAGGAACAGCTCCTCCGTCGAGTTGGTTGTCGCCTTGCAAACCTCTTCCTCCATCTCGAGTGTCGACGGTCTCAGACCCACATACTTGCACACCACCATGAATGACTCAACCAGAGGCAACAGCACCGTCGCCACGTGGACCATATCGCTCCGCTCGTGGATCAGCTCCAAAGTGTCGCCCACCTTGGTCCAAAGGGCCTGGAACGCAAGATTGTCGTAGATCTGTGTTGCCTTCTCCTCGTCCTTGTTGAGGTTTGTTGCTCCTGAACCAACATCCCGCATCGATCTTGGCATCACAGCGTCCGCCTCCTCAGGATCAAGAGTCGGAGCAAGCTCGATGTTGACTTGAGTCGATGTTGGGGCGGGGGTAAGGCTCTGTTTCCGAGAGTACATGTAGTCGATCGTCTTGAGAACACGAAGCAGCTTGGCCTGCTTGGACGATGCAGGTGTGAACTGCTCGAGAACCACTCCCTGCACATCAACGCCTGTCATCGCGTTCGTCAACGTCTCCGAGAGTGTGTCGAGATCTGTCAAGATGCCGGCTCCCAACTCACGCGCTGCTCTGATCAACTCTGCCGTAATCACGTCCCGTGCGCCATTCAATGCCGAAAGATTCTGGATGACTGACAAAGTGTACTGGAACGTCCTGCCTGAGCACTCTCCTGCCGTCAACACACGAATGACCAACTGGATACAATGGTCAGGAATGACGGGAGGTTTGAGTGCTGGGGGGTCCGTCTCGGCAACTTTGGTATTCGCCCTTGCATCCGCCTTGGTATCGGTTGCTGTGGTAGCCGTAGCGTCGGTAGGAACAGTTGACAAAGCTGAAGTGGAAGCTTCCTCTGTAGTCGTAGTCGGAGGTGCGGTACTCGAACTTGCCGCTGGTCCGGCAGATGTTGGCGAAGCCGAGGGTTCTGCGGGCGGCTCCTCGGCTCCCCCCTTGTCCTTGTTGTCGGTCTTGTTGTCCTTCTCGTCGTCATCCTTGACAAGCGTGGCGAGGGGTCTGCACAGAATTGAGAGCAACATCATCAACTGCTCCATCAACGCCGAGTTCTCGACAAAGGTTGGTCGTTCAAGTAGACCCAACAAGAGGACGATTGGATACTTGGAGCTGATAGTCTTGTCCTTGTCTTTGCCTTTGCCCTTCTTGGACGGAGATCGCTTCAACGTCACATTCTCGTGCTCCGTGAGGAAGAACTGTGCGGCCTGGGAGTTGAGCGAGACGATGTAATACAGCGCATCGAAGCAGCGGCGGGCCACCAAGTTGGGTACATTATCCATGGCAGAAGGCGTGGGAGCTGGAAGTGTTCCTACGCCCTTTCCTTTGTGATGGTGCGCCTTAACGATAGGTTTCCCACGGAGAGACATCTGCGCAAAGCTCTTGTCCACTGCCGCCAAGTCTGCACCTCCATCCTGAAGAATAGAGAGCAAGAGTGACAACAGCTCTGTACGCGTCTTGCTGTTTTCGCAGAGGTTCGCAAGTAGCTTGTTGAGGATGTTCTTGGACGGGGGCTGAGGTAAGAACATGAGTCGGACAAGGGTAGCCAAGGAAGACTTGTCAACCAGCTGGATAGCATCTCGTGGGACAATGGCCTTCTTGGCGGACGATCCAGATCCCGTTGAAGCAATCATGTCGCGAACCTCTCGAAGACCGGGGTAGTTTCTGGGAATGCGGTTTAGGATCGCAGAAGCCTCTGCCAGCGCTGCAGAATTGTTGCCTCCATCCTGATAGATCTGTCGCAGTTGTGGAACAAGGCGAGAGAGAGTGTCAGTGAACGCAGTCGCCATTGGCAAGCCCGAAGCAAGATCGTCGGGCACCGCTCCTTGACCGCGCAGAATCTCGTCCAGCTCGGCACGCATATTCTGTGGAAGAGCCTCCAAAAAGTCGGGGTTAATGCTCTGGGACGCCGTCGATGACGATGTGGCGGGTTGTTGTGTAGTCGTAGGGGCAGGGGGTCGGCGTGATTGCAGGTAGTCGTTATACACCTCGCGGCGCATGTCCTCCGGCAGTGCCTCCAAGAACTCGGGGTCAATGTCGCTGTCGGTGATATCCACCATGACGCCATCAATCATGACCGTGCGGCGAGCTGGGGCAGCAGGCTCGGGTTCCTCCACTGGCTCGGCGGTGGCGCCTGCGACTTCCTCTACCTCCATAGCACCTTCTGCGGCAGGTTCCTCCTCGGTCTCACCACGCGCAGCTCTGGCTGCAGCCAGCTCAGCCAGACGTGCAGCTTCGCGTTCAGCTGCCGCAGCTTCCTCTGCAATCCGGACCCTTTCGGCCTCCTCCTCAGCCTTTTTCTTCTCCTCTGCAATCCGCTTCTTCTCGGCCTCAGCTTTCCGGCGGATCTCTTGCTCCTTGGCATCGCGTTCCTGCTTGAGGCGGTGTTCCTCCTTGGCGGCTGGGATGAGCGCATTGGTAATGTGGTTTAGCAAACGCGTCGCCTTGTCCTGGGCAGCTGCTCCATACATCATACGGCACTCTTGAGACCATCTCTGCGAGGTGGAGAATGGCACAAAGTTCTGAACAATGCCAAACATGTCCGGCTTGTTGGCGGAGGCTGCATCGGATGACGATCCACCGGCTGCCACAGTGGCTGCATCAGCTGGAACCGCACTGCGGGAACCACCACGGTCAATGGGCGCCACAATGGCATGTCCGTGGCCGCTGTTGACTTCGACGCGGAAGGCACCATGACTGGCTCGGATAGCACCACCGTTCATCAAAGTGCCGAGAATCTGCGATTGGTTGCCGCTCAGGAGTTCCTCAAATGTATGCCAATCAGAAATACCGCCATTGACGCCGAGGCCACTACGCGAAGCTGACCGACGATTTCCGTCTGCGGTGGTACTGGCACTGGTTGGGCGTGGCTGTGCGAGCAACGGGTGTGTGATCACGTCGTCTGAAACTTGAAGGAAAGGGTTCCGGGCTGGAGCTCCCAACAATGGGAACTCATCGTCCTCGATGTACGAGAATCGACCTTGGTCGGCAGCTGAGTCGTAAGCCACAAAGCCCCGGTCTTCCAAACGGCGTCCACTTGCTCGTGGACGGCGACCACGAAGATCAGCCACTTGAGCACCGTTCAAAAGAATGCTCTGGTCGTTGATAACAAACGTACTGGTCATGTCCCAAGGACCGCCGCGTCCAGGAGCTCGGACAGGGTCGAAACCTTCAACATCATCTAGCAACAAAATGTCACCCTCTTCTTCGTCATCTTCCTCGTCTCCTTCTTCGTCCTCGTCGAGATCGTCGAGGTCATCCCCGTCTTCGTCGTCCTCATCGTCCTCACCATCCTCCATACCGTCTGCTTCTCCGTGATGAAGGTGTGGGTTGTGAGTATGCGTATGATGACGGTGGGCGCGGTCCTGCTCGTCGTAGTATTCAGGATCAGCAACCTGGGGATCGTCGTCTTCATCGTCGATGACCTCCCCGATCTCGTCGTCTTGGAGGATGATGGGTCGTGAGTCTGCATCCCACTCCATCATCTCCTCGTCATCGTCTTCGTTGTCGAGGGCTTCTTGGAGCTCGGCCTCCATCTCCTCGTCGAGATCGTCGTCGTCATCGTCGCCCTCCATGTCCTCATCGTCGGGGTCCTCCTCATCGTCCGACATCTCGTGGCTGTGGTGATGGAAAGGATTGCGATCGACCATCTCTTCCAATTCATCCTCGTCATCATCGTCGTCACTGAGTTCGTCTTCGCTTAGGTCGCTGGCATCGCTGGCAGTACCCTCATCGTACTCCTCGCCTTCAAAGATGTCGTCCTCATCGCCTTCATCATCCGAATCGTCGTCCTCGGCGGACTCCATCGTCGCTCCATCAAACATTCCGAGCGAGGAGTTGCGGTACAGATCCGGTGCGTCGTCGCCTGAACCTGCTCCGCTGCCTGTTCCGGACAATGGGGTCGACTGACCCCTCGCTCTGGCAACACCTGAATCGGTCGCCCTACTCATCTTGAGAGAGAGCTTTGTCAGATGCTCCAATGGCTTCAGGACGGCGTTCACAAGGATCTTGGCGTGGGGGTAGTTGAGATCGATGTCCGCGAGCACATTGGTTAGAGTGAGAATGAAGTTCTTCTCAAGCATGACCTTGACAATGTTGATGGACATGTCTTCGCTAGGCTTGGCCATCGCTCCGGCGGGAGGGGAAGAGCCGAGGATCTTGTAGCTAAGCTCAGAGAGGGAGAGGAACTTGCCGTACTTGAATTCGACGGGCAATGTCGACGCAATCGCATCCTTGAAAGACCGGATCAGACCGTCAATCACGAAACGACGGACCTGGACAAGCTCACTGAAGGGCTTCTTCTCTTCTTCCTCGTCTCCATTCGAGCACATGGCCACCAAGAGGGCAGACGCAAAGTTGGACTCGATCGAATGTTTCCGAAGCTCGGTCTCGGACGACTGCACGACAGTTCCACGGTAGGGGATGAGATCGTTGAGAAGGAAGCTGAGCCAGTTGGACCTGGGTTTAGTCGCTGCGTGAGATGACTCCTTGCCTCCTTTCCGGCGAGAGTAGTTCATGAGATCGACCTTGCAAGAGGGGTACGAGATTAGGAGCTCGTTCAGGCATTGTAACACGAAGCATCGGTGAATAAAGTTGGCATCGTGCAGTGCGGCCGCGGCAGGTGTCGCGTCCTTGTCGGAGGAGGAGGTCGCCTTGGCTGACGAAGCCTCGCCGTGCTTGACACCGTCACTCGAGACGTTTGATGGACTGGATGGAGCTGGAACAGTGTCTCGCGCACCGAGGAGCTCAGAGACTAAAAAGTGGATGACAGTCTCTGATATTTCACTCGAATACTTCTTGGATGCTTCGGCGATGGCGCTAGCGGAGGCTGCGTGTGGCTCTGAAGACGTGGCAGATGACTGTGGCTCGGCAGGGGGTTGCGCACTTGTAGACGAACCTTCTCCGGCATTGGACTCTGCTTCTTTCTCATGGTCTTTGTCCTTGCCCATCTCTTCATCTTTGGCTGAATCACCTGAGTCCTTGTTGTTTTCAGGTTCGGAAGGAACGGAAGACTTGGTGAGCGTCAGTTGGACAGCCCTGTGCGATGAATCGTATTTGGACACCTTACTGACGGCCAGCGTTCCGGCAATAAAGGCATCCAAGTCTCGAAGTCCCAAAAAGTTGTTGTGGCGAAGATAACTTTGAAGGTCACCGGTCCTTGCTCGCGACGGCTGAGTGAACCAGCGCACAATCTCCTTCTCCATGACTTCCTGCAGGACGACGGAATCCTCAATGATGTGGCGAAGGATCATAACGATAAAGCTCTGTTGTCCTTGGACACCGATCCGCTCGGGCTTGAGAGTCGAAAAGATCAGATCAAGACCTTGTGCCTTCAAGAAGGACATCGCCAGACTGTGGTGTCGAGTGAGTCGAACAAGAATCCTGAATACTGAGAGGGTGATATCCTTGGTGAGGTCTTCTTGCTTGAGGAGAGTGATACTGTGCTGCTGGAGGCTCTCCATGTTAACTGGAGACACAATGTCCTCCTTCATCTCCTTGTCGGCCGCCTTGCTCTTGCTGTCCGGTGTGGCCTCGTCTGGAACAACCTTTGGTTCATCTGACAAAGACACAAAGCTCTCCACCATGAGCAGGAGGGGTGAAAGCCATGGGTTCCCCTTCTGAGGCGCCTGCGATTTGACGTGCTCCTCGAGGATCAAAAGCAAAAGAGGGACTAGGGTAGTGGTATGGTCGCTCATCTTGGACTGAATTGCGACATCGCCAAAGAGCAGTGCCAGCAATCTCAGACGTGCTCCGAAAGCGCGTCCTCTCGAGGTATCCTTGAGGTTGGTGCTCGCCTTCTCGAGATCCTTGACAAGCTCCTCCAGCACAGTGCTGTCCTTGTCCTTGCAGAGTAACACGAGCAGGTCGCGCACATAGAATACAATGTCGTTAATGGACTCGATAAGTTCCAGCGAGCGGCTCACGAGAAGAAGTTTGATTTCCTCTCGTGCCTTTGACAGCTGATCCTTGTGCTCCAGATGAAGATCCAGGGCCAGCTTGTACTCCTGCTCTCTCTTTTCCTCCTCGGTGGGCTGATCGTCCTCAACGTCAATCGCTCCTTCCTGAGTCGCTTCTTCAACGGTCGACTGGGCAGTGGTCGCATCGGTTGCGGTTGCGGTTGCGTCCTGCTCCGCTTCTGTAGTGGACTCTTGCGTCTGAGGAGTGCTGGTTGCTTCATCGTCTGCCATGGTAACATCCAAGGCTCGGGACATCTCCAGGGCCTGACGAAGCATCTCCTCTTCGTCCTCTTCTTCGTCTTCATCCTCTTCATCACCGTCCCGCTCAACGCTCGCGTCTCCTGTTGCAGCTCCCCCAGAAGGTGCTTGCTCAGTTGCACTAGCGTCGGTAGCATCGGTAGTAGCAGTAGCAGCGGTATTGGCTGAACTTGTTGCGGTTGGCGGTACAGGAGGTTCATTGGCTGTCGCGATGGCTGCGGCACGAGCTGCCGCTTCCTCGCGCTCCTGTTCGTAGATCGCGGCAGCAACAACTTCTTGATGCGTCAAAAGGTACTCGGTAGCACGCTCGAGCTGATTGCCGCTTCTAGTAAGAGCAAGCTCCGCAGCTGAGCGGGGGAAACCCATGTCGAGCAGCATGGCTACACTGTTGGCATCGGGAACGACAGGTCGGACGCCAAAGACATTCGATGCAGAGGATCCCGCACCTGTTCCAGCGCCAGTTCCTGAAGAAGGGGGTGGAGGAGCCACGACAGGAGGCTTTAGCTCACCAGCGGCCTTGAGAACGTTGATGATGATCTGAATGATATGGCGAACAAGAAGGGCCGGGCACTGATCGAGGTGTTTATCCACCCAAAGTTGCTGAATACGCGGCACAACCAACAATCGGACGTCGACCAGGAACTCGTGAGGGTTAAAGAAGTACTCCTTCCTGCTCTTGTCGTCTTTAGATGTCAATGGAGCGGTATGGGATGACTCAAGCAAGAGTTTCGATGACGTGAGTGTCTGGAGCACGCTCAACATAGTCTCGACGCATCCATGAACCTTGGCCAACAGAACCATCTGCTCTCCTTCTGATGTGGTCGAAGCAGACCTGATAGTCGAAGCCTCTGCCCACGCTGAATCCAGCCAGGTGAACAGGGCCTCCAAACTGCCAGTCCTGACGAATGAAGCCGCCATAATGGTCTGAAGAGTTGTCGGGTTGCGGTCGTCAAGTAGCAGGTATGGCAGCAAGTTGAACATAGTACTGAGATACGTGTACTTGTCACTGAGAGATTCGCTTGCATCTAATGTAGCGAGGACATTTCGGTAAGTAAGTATGAAGTAAACTTGCAATACACTTCAGGAGACAGGGCTGAGGAAAACGGATGAGGCCCTTACCAAGACGCTTCCAACTAATGTGCGACTGTAAGACTCCGGACAATGAATCTGCGATCTTGAATGCGTTTGTGCGCTGTGCTGGCTCCATCTCTCGGCGACTGAAGAGCATCTTAGTGATACCTACATAGTAACATAAAAGACAAATGTGAATATCCATGCGCAAGAGCAAGATTCAGCACCACAATGCCGGGAAAATGAATAATTAGCGTACCTTGATACATGGGCGTGATGTACTGGGGGATCTGAGTAAGCACAAAGCGGAGGAATTTGGTGTTGATGACAGTAGGTGAGTATATGTCAACCGAGGGCGTGGCGGCCGCCATCTCCTTGTCTTCTCCCGCCAACTCTTCTACGTTCTCGTCGACTGTTCCTGGCATTGGCACATGGGTATGAGCACGCTTGGCCTTGGAGCTGGGGTCATTCCAGTCCTTGCCGAGGATGCGCTTCATGGCAATGCTCTCCCACAAACATGCCCTAAATGAAATATAAAATAAACTGTTAAACAGCCTTTCGCTGATAACATCGTGTGCTACAAAAAGCAAGAACGCGCGGATGTCCTGTAAGTACCTGTGGAGCTGGCCTAGACCTGCTAGGGCCTGATCACCCTGTGCGTTGACAAATGCAGCTAGTACCGCGGCAGAGTTCCGACCATGGGAGAAAGTAGGGGCACAGTACATGTCCGAAAGCAGCCCGCTGAAGGCGTGTAAACTAATCAACGATCGCAGCATGTTGTTCCCTCGAGATATATCGTCGTCGCTCGAGACTATGCCACATATCGCAAATAAGAAGTTAAATATCAGTTACTTTGATCCACCTCAAAGCAGGATATCGCAATCTTGACACTCAAACGTGACGTGCTTCTTACCTGTGATGTCGATGTACTGAACAAGGTCAGACCCAGCATTGGTTGAATCGAGCAGCGGTTGAACCTGCTGAAGTATCCTGTTCACTTCTTTCACTACTGCCGAAATTGCAGCCGCAGGGTTGGCTTCGCTTAACAGCTTGAGAAGGTGCGACAGCGTAAAGAAAGCTGAGGAGTTGGCCAGGTCGTATGGCAAAGTCGGCAACGAATAGAATCGCAAAAGAGTATCGATCCCGTCTGCCTTCAAAAACTCGTGGGCGCTCGCTGCATTCTGGAAGAAACTTTCGCAAAACTACGTATAATAGAGTGATGGTATTGGTGATGGCGTTAGTTTCGTAGTTCAATTGTGCGTTTGCAATCTCCATCATCATTACGAGGTTTTCGAATAAGGAGTACATACCCCGGCGGAGCTCTCGATGAGTTGGGCAACAAGACTATCTTTCCTATCGTCCTTGTTTGCGTCGTCGTCAACAACTTTGCCGAGGGGAGGCGCGTCCTTGGCGCGGGTTTTTTGAAGGGTGCAAAGGGAAATATCATCCTCTGTCACTGCATCCGACTCGCACATCTTCAAGACTGTCTTCAGCGCTTCACCCAACTCAGTCATCACCTTGGGTTTTAGTGTTGGCTGATGCCGCACCAACTCATCCATTGAAACGCCGAGTGTCGATGCAATGTCGCTGTCCTGTAAAGCTCTCACGTGAGGAACCGAAGTGAACACGTCAAAGAACTTCTTGATATCAAAGTCCTTGGTGAACATCTCCAGTCCGCTCGCGTTCAAGCAAATCGCTCCAAACGCGCCTGGCAGATTCATTACGACATCATTGGAGGCAGGGATATCCTTTGACAAGCTGGCAAGAAGAGTCTGGGGAATCTTGGCTTCCTGAAGGATGCTGAGCGATGTTGGTTCGTTATGGATGAAGGACGTCATTGTGTTGATAGCTATAAATGTACAAATATGGAGTATCTGGTTAATTTAGTCCGCATAAGCGTTGTGAGCGATAAGAATGCCTGTTACATGATGCATACCATGAGCGTAGATGGAATTTCCGAGAGCAGAGGGGTGCTCCATAATGTCTTTGAGTGTCGCTGGCAAGGTTGTCTCGATCAAATTCCGCAAGCCTTCGTGAGTACCAGGGCTCTGCATCATGTGGATGATAAACTTGAACATGGCCTTTGACAGTGCTGTCCTCTCGAACGGAATAGGCGTCGTTTCCACTTCTGTACAACGTAGTAAAGTAGAAATCTGTCGATTAGATAAAGGAATCATTACATGAGGGCTACTAAGCAGTCTATATATGACGACGAACCTTTGGGCGCACCGGTATCCGTAGAGCTGACATCTGTCATCTGAGTGGCCTCCGCGTCCTTGACCAATTTCAAAGAGTAGTCGACCTCCTCTTTCATCCTTGCCACTAGACTGTTGAGTCCACCTGACGTGCAAAATGATGTGAAAGCTGTGCTGAACCCGTAAACAAGGCTGTCGAGGATAGTGACGCTCTTGGTGACATTCTGCAAAGTTAGGAAAGATGAGTTCATGTCAGTCTCGCTTCTTGATTAATCCAGTACAACCTTTGCACAGGGGAAGTTGCTGCATTGGAAGTCAGACTCTTACCTTCAATTGGGACGAATGCTTATTCGAGAGCAGTTGAAGCAGTACAGGGACGAGGCCAGCAGAAATAACCATGTTGCCTCCTGACTGTGAGCTGATAATGTACGAGATAAACGCAAACATGGCATCCAGAAATTCCTGAGGATAAGGAACTATTATGTCAAAAGAGAATGGTAACAGTTAGAATACCACTTGGATTTTTTTGTTGGGATGTCTTGCGAATCAACATCGTCATGCAAACATCACCAATACCTACCATTCTCCGAATCCAGTCCTGTAATGACTTTGCGCAATGCATACAAGAGGACACCGTGACTAGCAGAGGCATTGATTGCGGTCAACACATCCGGATGCCTGTTCCTCAAATGAGCCAGCCCGTCCAAAGCAAAGAGTGCCACAGTTTGTACAGGCTAAACGGTATGAAAAGGGTTTATGTTAGAGTTTGTCTGTGTTCGAACAAAGAACAAGAAATGGATATGTCACAGTCCTGTAGATAGTGTATGAATCAAAGAGAACTTACGAACGGCACTTTGTGGTCGGGGTGAATCAGATCAGTCAGGCTCTGGATGATCTCGGGCTCAAAGGCGAAAAACTTTTCGACAATAACGGCCTCAGAAAGAACGTGCGACATGACAGCGATCGCCAAGATACGGATTAGCAGGAGTTGCTGGCGGCGCTTAGGGTCACGAATTCCAGTTGCTATCCTGATACGACTGAGAAGCTGGAAATGGTGTTCTTCTGAAACCTTGTACTCTTGCACCAGATGGTTGAGGATCTCGTAATCTGTCGCTCCCAATTGCTGAGGGTCAGATACCTGGATCACAACCAAACCCTCGCTTACAGATGAAAAGGCTGGTGTGGCGGTTCCGGTGGTGGCCATTGCTGAGGCATGAGACGATGATGCGCCAGAGCTGGAATGTCTCCTTGGCTTTCCAGAGGCTGAGGTCGGAGGCGCAGATGCGCTTGACGGTGTGGTGGCCGTAGCAGCAGCTATGGTATGTCCTGATGGCGCAGCTGATGACGTGGGCGGTGAGTCTGTGGCGGGGTTTTTTGATGGGGCGATTGTCCGAAAGAATTGAAAGCTCACTGACTGGAGCCGCTCTGGGATCTCTGCCTTGTCATCTGCCAATTGTTGAAGATCCAGCCCATACTCTTTGCTGCCCCATGAGTGCGCCAACGCCAAGAGGCGATCCTGGGAGACTGTGAATATTGATCGCGCCGAGCGTTGAGCGCTGTGACGCTGAGCTGGTCGAAGTAACAGCCGCAAACATGACTCCAGAATGTCCAAGTCGCGTGTGTTCAGTAGGTCGTTCAGTTGCTATTATTACAAGGCGGAAGGGAGCAACACAATGATGAGAAAAGAATAATTCTCTTTTTTGTGGCGCAATAGGTCCAACGTGACAAAAGCAAATTACAAATACGCAAGTATATGTTATATACCTCATAGGAGGCATAAAGGTTTCTGTTGGTGCAGCTCTCGAGTAAGAGTCGTGAGAAGGAGAGGATGGCGAGGGTGAGACGTCGATCGGCGGGCGAAAGCTCCTTTGACTGGGGCCTTTTCATGTCGTGGGTTTTGCAGAGGGTGTCGAGGATGTCGTCGAAGCGGTTGAGAACACCGACCCAATGGAACAAGTCTCCGCGTGGCCAGTTCCATTCTGGCGTTGCTTCGATATGTGCCGCAAGCTCTGCCTCTGGACTCTCCTTGAGCGTCTTGATGAGGTTTCGAATCGGAAGTGGCTATTTTCATGGAGTACGAGTTGTATAGGTTAGCGTTCTTGGTTTCTTATTGCCTTTGCAGCGGGCACACGAAGGATGTATCGGTGGTGGTTGTGATAACCACATGATTCCTTTTTTCGACTCCTGGTTCTCTCTGTATATCTCTCTCTGTCACTCTCTCTCTCTCCTCGTCCTCCTTTAGCTACGCCGTCAAAGATCATTCTTAGCCTCTTTATGTGAATATAACCTTAAGCCTGCCTGCAACGACCATTCATCACTGGCTTCCTTCACACACGCCCGAAATAAACCTGCACCAAGGCCAATGCACATAACCAAGAGGACCAAGTCCATGTCAAGTCGAAGCAATTCATAATGCTTCGTCATTGTCTTCTATAGTGCCGTTTGTTAGACTTGTTTTGCTCATGTCCGTCACTGTGCGAAGTCGTTTGGCACAGTAATAACGTTGACTAGCACAGCTGCTGGGTATCAATAAGGTGTATGTCGGAGATGATATGACGTCTACTGCGGCGCGGCGACAAAGAGCCTCGAGGCACTACTGGGACTGTGTCTTACCGGTACCGCCAGCTTCTTGACAGGGGCCTTTTTAATCTTCATTCGAGGTACTCGTCAAGGTGCGTGTGTGAGTGTGTATGTTGAATGGGTGAAAGAGGGAGTGTGCGTGCGTGCGTGCGTGCGTGCGTGTGTGTGTCGTGGCGCGGAAAAAAGAATTGTGAGCAAAAAGGAAAGAAAAAGGGAAGAGTGTGAAGGAAGGAGAGGGAAGAAGGACGCGTCTCTCTCTTTCTTTTTTTATGTTGTTTGACGAAAGAGTTTGAATGTGTGGTGTATATGCGTGGACCGACAGCAACAAATAAAGCGTGTGTGGGTGTGGTGGAAGTGTGTAAGTGTGTAAGTGTATGGTGGTTGGGTTTGGTCGAACGAACAAAAGTGGGTGAGGGGTGAGAGAGGGAGACGAGAGAGAGGAGACAGCGTCGTCATCGTCGAATGGCGCCGAGGTAGAGGGGCGAAATGTGGCTTGGCAAAATGTTCTCGAAACTCCTCTTTTTGGTGGCAACACTCCTCCAGCCTGTAACTTCCCCCTTTTGAACCACTTGGCATACGGTTCTTTATCACAATCCCATAATTTACACTCTACTCGGTTCACGTAAAGGTACAATTACATCACTGCTCCTATACTTTGAGCTCAAGTCGGCACCACAACCGCCACCTTCACTCTCTGTAGACTTGACCTTGAACACTTACTCTGCCTGTTCCTCCTCAACGAACGGTACTTGTTCATGGACTGAATTACCAGTCACAACGACGCTTGGAGTAAACAATTTTTTTCTTTTTTTTTTGCCTCTTGACCCTCTTGCTCTGGTTCCTTGTTTATTCCCCCTCTCCCTTCTCGCTCACACCTTCTTCCCCTAATCGACCATGTCATCGCAGCGCTTCTACACCGGCGATGAGCAGGGCCTCGTCAAAGGTACTGTCTCATCTCATCTCTCAATAATACAACCTGATTCAGCAAGCATTCTCACCAACTGCCAACACAACCAAACCCTCGTCTCACAACTCTTTTCGTTTTCTTACTTTTCTTTCCAACAACATAGTCGTGACCATCACAGAACCCGTCGTGGTCAAGCCCAAGCGTGTCCGCAGGAACCAACCCACCCCGGAAGCTCTCCCTAATCCAGTCCCAACCGTCGAGACCTGGGGTATTCCTGATCGTGAGAAGGCTATTCAATTGCTGTGCTGGGACTCGGAAAAGAAGCATCTCGCCGTCGCTCGCAAGAATGGACTTGTTCAGTTGTTGGATCCCAAGGATGGAACTGTCACCACAGAGTTCAAGCACACCCTTGGCAAGGAGGGCAAGATCGATACTGTCTTTGTCGGATTATTCGCCAGTTCCGAGTACGTCTTCAATTGCTCTTAATATGTATTGTATGTCATTGTTTTGACCAGGTCAACAAACACAGGTCAACTAACCATAACTTGTTTTGCACGTCTGTAGGTCGGTTATTACATGCACCAGCACTGGTCGTCTTGTTGTGCAATCAATTGCGGATCACTCAAAGACAACTGTACTGGAGGTCGGAAAGGATATCTGCAGGATGAGAGTTCACCCTCGGGAACACCACATTGTCGCCACAGGAGGCAAGGAGCAAGAACTCACTCTTTGGGACCTCAAGGCTCTCATTAAGGACCCAGCAGCAGAGGAAGAGACACCAGAGCCAGCAACAAAGAAGGGCAAGAAGAACAGCAAAAAGGCAGCACCTGCACCAACACCTGCACCGGCAAAGGGGGAACCCGAGGTCCGCTACAAGTCTAAGGATATCCTCGCCAACGGCCAGATCTTCAAGGCCAAGAACGTCAAGAACGACTACCTGGACTTGCGCGTTCCTGTCTGGAACACGGATCTGCAGTTCTTGAACCAATACGATACCTCCAGGATCGCTGTCGGCACACGGCACCACCAGATCAGAGTCTACGATGTCAAGAGCGGAGCCAGGAGACCTGCGGTCGATGCTGAGGTGGGCGAGATGCCTGTGGTCGCCATGGCCAACGGCAAGGACGGAAGTGAGATTATCTTTTCTGACACCGTGACGAACGTTTACTCTGTTGATACCCTTACCGGCGCCATTATCGGACAATACAAAGGTAACTTTTGCTCTTTCTTCCACCTGGTTACTCGGCATTTTTTGCTTGTTTCTGGCACAAAGCTAACTCTTCGTTCATAATGTTGTAACTAATGACATACAGGATTCACTGGAGTGGCAACGGCATTGGCAACATTTAACCCCTTCGAGAACGATTCGGCCGCACACCTTGTCACAGTCGCCATGGACCGTTGCTTACGTGTGCACGAGATGACCAAAACCAGGAAACTTCTGCACAAGGTCTACCTCAAGCAGCGTATGACCGCCGTCGTCGTTGGAGAATACACCCCTGCCGAGATCGCTGAGGATGAGGAGGATGGCGTGGTGTCGAGCAAGAAGAAGCGGGCTGAGGGAGGCGAGGGTGATGACGATGAGAACGATGATGATCTCTGGGAGAGTATGGGCAAGCTGGAAGATAAGAAGAGCAAGAAGAGGAAACTCGCCAAGGAGTAAGCATTCATTATTCGTTTCACCAAGCATCATTCACATACTCCCACCCATTGCATTTTTAGAGATCTTAGCACCTTTCATCTTTCATTAAAACTCGATAACCATTACAGCTGCATTATTTTGCCAGACACTAATTAGGGCGAAGGAAGACAACTACATAAAATTAGGATAAGGGAGGGAATTACATGAAATAGGCGGCCAAGACGAGCGAGACCAACGCGAGTCCTGCACCACTACGGGTGTTAACAACTGAAGCAGTCGAGGGTCTACCAGTCATCTCGGGCTGGCCAGCCGGGTTCGTCGCAGTCGCGCCAGGAACCATCGTCTCTGTGTAGGTACCCGTAAATGTCCCCGACTCATCATGCGTTCCATCCATTATCCCCTGTCTGCCGTTGGTGCCGTGTCCAATATCGGTGTGGGGATTGTTGTTACCGTGGTGGCCGCCGTGGTGTCCATTGCCATTGTTATCGCCCTCGTCCCACTCGTCCTTATCATCATTATCATCTTCATCGTCCTCGTCGTCGTCATCATCATCATCATCATCACCATCATCTTCGTCATCGTCGCAGTCTCGGTGAGGCTTCATGTAAGTACCAGCAGGTTGAACAACATTGTTGCGCCGCTTGAGGGGGACCATGGCTTGAGCCTCTGCTTGAGCCAGCCAGACGGATGACATATCTCGCTTGCTGGAAACTTGGTCTTGAGTAGCGGAGAGGGCTACGCCTGAGGAGGTGATGGTTAAGGTGCTGACCATGACAAGGATGATGGTATGGGGGAACATTTTGTTTATGAAAGGGGGGTTGGAAAGTTGATATGCGAAGGGTGTGGGGGAAGAAAAGGGAAATAGTGATGTAGTTTGTAGGAGAATAGTGAGGAATTATGGTTGGTTTTTTTGGTACCCGGAAGGAACTTTTATACGAAAGGCTAAGAGGGAGATGCCAACCCGGCGAAAGAAGTAGAGGATGAGAGCCTTTAGTAACGGATAAGTGACCAGGCAGGCTTGTTAGTTAGGCCCGATCTAGCAGATAGTAAAAGATTTTTCACATGGTGCCGTTACTATTCGCTAGGAGAGAAAAGACGTGCACAACGCGACGCCTGCTGTCTTTAGTTCCTTCCATGAGAGAGGGATAGCATGGTGAGAGATGATGATGTAGCCATGGAGTATCTTGGCTTCTTACCGGTGCGGTTGCTCCTCCTCGTATTCTACCTTGCAGCAGCCTGATCATGAGTCGATCCGTGCATATTGCCGCAACTCACATATTTTTCTTTTGCTATCTGTGATTGCCTGAGAGAAGGATCTGTTGAGGTGGACAAGGGACAGAGAAAACAATGGGCCCCATGTATATGTGCTTGTGGGGTATGCAACCCTGCTCGATGCTTCTTTTAATCCTCCAAGACACACTTGCTGTTGCCTTGTATCCTCACAGAAAAGCAGATTACTTCATCTCCCTTCTGGTTTCGTCAATGGCCAGAACGCATGCTTTTGTGGTCAAGTCAAAAAATGTACGACGCCAGCAAAAAACAAGGTACGAAATCAAGTAGTACGACATGTCGAAAGCAGTTCAAGAACTGTGTCATTTTTTTTTTGTTTTTATCCATCGACGATCCTGTTGCTCATCCCTCCTGACGTTGGCACCCAAATGTGTTGTTATTGTTCCCCGGAACTCGTACGCGTTGTCTATCAAATCATGCCGTTATGCTAGACGAAGTGATGTTGCAATAGGCACTTGATCTTCAGTCAGCGTGTTCTCTGTGCAAGTGAGAAAAATCATTTCTTGCTTGTTGTGTTTTAACCCCTTGACCCATGTTTTGTCTTTTGCAGTGAGTATGGCTATACTGGGAGAGAAGGAAGCCAAACGCACAGCGCCACAGAAATTCAACCGTGAGGTGAACAACACCGAGGAAGCATGGTAACTAGTATTGCTTCTTCTTTTTCTTAATTTTCAATGGGCTAGGCCATGGCTGTTAACCGAAGTGCAATGGCCTATGTGGGGCCACCTTTAAATTCTAATATTCCAACCGTTAATAGCTGATGGATACTTACCCGCGACAAAAATCAAAAACTCATCTAGCAAGGAGGCTAAAAAATATATATATATAAAGTTAATGAATGAAGGGTTTGAGGCGACTTTTTGAGGAGCTTTGCACATAGTTGGAGAGGGAAGAGTAAGGGATATGAGGTTGGCGATGGTCAATGGGTGATCTGATATCAGGGATCTTATCAACGGCGTACTAAATGTCTCCGTTGTTGGATTGAGTGATCGTGCCTGACTCAGGACAGAGGCGATTGATAGATCAGCGCGTCGCGTTTTCATCTCGGAACCTTGACTTTCTAGAGGCAAATGTTTCATTCACCATCGTGCGAACCACATCACTCGTGGTGTTCCTTCCACCACCCACAAGGCCATACGAATGGCTGGCAATAAACGTGTTCATGATGGGGCAGTCCGAATATACAACTCGCAGATGTGTGGAATGCCGTCGGTCCTCACTATACACACACGAAGTACATGTGCCAAACATCCTCGCCTCATCTTTATTAAGGATGGTCCAACTCAGTGATACTCCACTGTCAACCGGCTAGTAATCAGACTAATCTCTTCAAAAGCCACCTCGTTGCGTCGCATCAAAGCTCGGTGCTGAAAGCTTGGTTGGAAACGCATTGTTTAAAGTACACGTGACGATCAGTTCCTTTGTTGCTTCTTTGGTCAAGGAGATCGAAATGTCTTTTTGTCAACTTGGTTGAGCAAGATCGATGTCAGCCAGCTCTACAGTTGACTATTTTTCAGCGCCACGCAACGCTTAAGCGTGATGTACAGCGGTTGAGCTTGTCCAGGCATCTGATACCTTCCGCCCATGCCATCCTTATATTCTAATACTTCAACTGACTGTTCCAAGCCAGAAACACTCGAGCATACCGTCTTTTCTCTACCAGCGCTGACCACAAACCGATAGGGTATAAACAGACGCATTTTCAGACGTAGCTACATGTATCTGTTTCATTGTAGAAAATTGCTGTTAGACTCTATGCGTGGAGTTACACCTCGGCTATAGTTGTGCGATGGTGTGGCAGCATATGCTTGCCGAGGAGATTGACAATACCTACCAGTGAGTAGAGAAAGATCGTGATAGCCACAAAGGAGAGTGAGCTGGAGGCTTTGGCGAAGTGCATCTCTTGGAAAGGAGGGTATTGAGAACGGAATGCTATGAGGGTGGTAAGCCAGTAAGGGTTTGGTTGAGATGTCTTGTTGGAAATGAGATGACTCCTTGGTTTATGGTAGGTGTGTGATTGGTGGCGAGTGAAGAAGTTAGCTGTGGTGGGATTGAACAGAGACAAGAAGTGTACTTTATACCATTTTCGTTCATGGGTCATATCGACTTACATGTTCATGCAGAAAAATGTTAGGAGGAGCTAGTCTCGCGGCGATCCCCTCCCTTTGCGTGGGTTGGAATCCAATTCCTTGGGAGGGGATGGCCGCGAGACTAAGGAGGAGCAATGACACAGGAGAAGAGAAAGATACCGAAAAAGATCAAGATATCTCTTTCTTTCTGGATGCCATTGACATGTACTCCTTGATATTTTCAGCGTCCTATACCAAGGGACAACACCGAGGGACAACACACCAAAAGAATCCATCAAGGAACTGCTGTACACTCCCTTTTGCACTTTTCATAAGAAAAACCTTACTGAGTTGACAAAATACAAGGATGTTATCCAGTCAGCCTTATATTTTGTCAATTCAGTAAGGCTTTGTGTCTTTCTTATGAAAAGTGCGAAAAGGAGTGTACACCAAAGGACTACACCAAGGGACAACACCAAGGGACAACATCAAATGACGACTTCATGGGATGATATTCTTGCGCTCACGTGTGAACTGCGCTCTATATATAACGTGCATTCATTCATAGCTACGGGATGGCCTTTTCGATAACAACAATCAGTCATTTCAGCGCGTGTTCCTGGTAGTTGTCCCCCCGCTACTTGTAGGATTAGAAAAAAGATAAGCGCGAAAGGGACATAATAAAAGGAAGAAGAGAGAGGTTGATCCCTGCTTGCGAATCCGGAGCCGTGGATCAAATGAGTCTCGAACGAACCTGCAGGCCAATGCACACGTTCATTTTTTCTCTCACTCTGCAGAGAAAAAAGGCCCTGTCCTCCTCCCTTACAAAATCGAACTGATACGGAACAGACACAACGGACTGTCGCCCTTCCTATCGTACTTTCTTGAGTCCTGGGCAGCCTCTACTCGGAGCAATAAACGACAATTAGAAACAAGGCGTCGTGAAGGACGGTCGGAATGGATGCCTATGGTCATAAGAATAAACGCAAACACATGTAGCATGAGCCCATTGTTAGCCTAGACAAGAGAATTGGGCGGTGAAGGAAGAACAAGTCAAGACCAACCCTTTCCTCCCCGTCATCTAAATGTATAGTACATGCACATGCACTGTACCTCCGCATTGGTACGCTCTAACCCGCTCATTTGTGGTGTGGAGGAAGAGGGTTGTGAGCATAGGGATCAATCGCAAAATCGAGATGAACTGACCACGATGAAGCCAATATTAAAGTTCACTCGGCTGTTAATTCGCCTCCACTTTTCGTTTTTCTCGTCTTTTCACCTCCATCTCGTCGACCTTTGTTCCTCCATTGTTATTTTATTACACTCGTCCTCAATGACACTCTTCTCCCTCCATTGAGCTTCTCTCATGATGTGTGTTTTGTGGAAGAGACCTCCAAGAGAAGAAAGAAGAAAAAGAAACATTAAAGGGATGTAGAAATCAAAGCAAGAGAGATGAGATCTTGCTTTGCTGGTTATTTTGCGAATACTTGTTTGTTTGTTTGTTGTTGTTGTTGTTGTGTGTTGCAAGATGGCACCAATATGGATGAAGGGTTCGAAAACTGGAATGGCAATACACTAATGATGTTCGTCCCTTCATTTTTCTCTCTTATGTTAATACCTTCGTAACAAACATATAATGGTTGTTTCGTCTATGCCATGCTTTTGCTTCCCTTCCTCCCCCTTCCTTCGGAACTGTCTTCGCACCATTACCCCAAAAACATTGCAAATGCCATGGTTTACCTCGGACCATTTTATTGCTTGAGTCGGTCTCTTTCCTGTTTCGTTTTTTACATGCTCTTAATTTATTTTCTTTCTCGCCTTTAATTATTCTTCGTCGGTCTTGGACAGAAATGCGCTGCCACTCCCGGATAAACGTTATTACCAATTCTGAATGTCCCCAGGTCTACTGTTCGTTCAATGCTTCGTTTAGATCGTTTATTAAAAGAGATACGGTCAGTCTCTCCATTTGAGATTCTCCCTTCGTCTTGTCACTTGGCGCCCAATGCGCGAGATCGAGCGCAGACCTTTTGGCGGATCATGATAGTACTGTGGGCTAGACGCACGCCAATTGAGGGTTACCTCTTGCTTACAACCCAATAACACTTTTCTAATTCATGCGAAGAAGGTGAGGAGGTCGTATCAGAACGCAAACCTTTTTTGCGAGTCATGCTAGTACTGTTATTGTGGGCTAGATCCACATCAATAGAGGGCTAACTCTTGTTTACAACCCCTTTTTCTTCTTCATTTAACGGGTTTGACTTTTCCAACCGTTGTTTTCTATGACCATGCTCAGCATCCAGACTTAAAACAGAATCGTTCTTGTTTAGTTCAGAGCATTTGCTCAGCCGGCAGGGTTGTGGGTGGGTAGCATGGTGTGGTATGGACGTTGTGCGTTTGTGTGCATTTGTGTTTGAGTACAGTACTTTTGTGTTTGTTTGTGTGTGCTATGGTCCAGTCTGCTCACCATCATCTCGTTAGCAAGCTTCCTAACGATCCACGTGATAATTAGCCTCCGTCCTTTCTTAAATATTAGATCCTGCTCTTGATTCAGCTTCTGACTCCAGGTTTACGTGCTCGATTTGATTGATTGATTGTACGTTTTTGCTGAATCGATTAAGGCTTTTAAGGAAGTAGAGGAGTATGTTTGAGACTAATTCCCCTCTTTTACCTCTACCCTAGGGTTGAATGGTCGGAGTGTGGGGATAGCACTTTGGGTGAGAGAGTGTTGTTGGTTCATATTAGGGGCAGGAGCAGTGAGGGTCTGGGGGTGAGAGAAGTGCAAAGGAAGTAGTAGAAAATGAAAAAAAGGGGAAGGGAGGGGTGACATGAACTCGAAGCAGAAGCAACTCCAACATCAGAAAAAATCGAGTACGTAAACCCAGAGTCAGAAGAGCACAATCTAATATTTAAGAAAGGACGGAGGCTATTGTTGTTGCAACTATTATCTGCTGGTTGAAAACAAGAACGAGGAAGAGGACAAAGAGGAGAAGTTAGAGGAGGAGGATGGCCTTCACACGACCATACACATAGATTTGGGTTCGATTAAAGTTCTAATCACTTCAATTGAAAAAAAAAATATATACGTAATTATTTTCTTTCGCTTTCAAGTCGATGTTGTTGGCAATAGGGCGCCATTCTTTGGACCACTCTCTTGTCACACCCCAATGTCCCTTTTTCATTTCTTTCATCCAACGGCTTTCTCATTTATATTTTTCGTTTTCTTTTTTCTTTCCCCACATTTCTTCTCTTTTTCTTTCGTTCTCCTCTGTTCTTTTTCTTATTTATTTTTTTTGAACGTTGTCACCCTTTACCTATTCCACCTCTTTCCCTTCCTCACCTGCCTGTTTTCCTCTATCCTCCTCTCCACATCTCTTCTGCGGGTTTGCCGCCAGTGGATTCTCCACACTCCCTCTTGCCTTAATATTCTTTTCTTCTCTCTCTCTCTCTCTTTCTCTCTCTCTCTCTCTCTCTCTCTCAACCATATTCGACTACCATGACCAACAAGCTCTTCCCACGTCTTCCAAAACGACAACTACACTACTCCTTTCTCATCTTCGCATCTACCCTTCTCTTCGCCGCCCTTTCCTCCCTCCCATTCGTATCTTCAGCAGCCACTACACCAACAGTCAACCCACCAACAACAAGAGCTGCCGCATTGTTCAATGTAACCTCCGCTTCTCTGATGGCGTGCCCGCCACCCATGATCCCAAACATCTACAATCTCACAACTGCAGGCTGTAATGGTCCCTGCTGTCTGCCTTGCCCTGTCGCATTTGCATTTTACGAACCCCATACATTGGAGCACGTGTACACCATCACCAGCGTTTTCCGTATTATTTCGGCCGCATCCTCCTTCTTCCTCTCAATCTGCTATCTCATCCTTCCCAGTCGCCGCAAGCATCCTCATCTCATTGTTCTCGTCTTTGCGATTCTGATCGTTCCTTGGGAGGGACTTGGTACGGCTTGGCTGTTCATGAAGAAAGATCTTTTGTGTGTGAATGAATATGAGGTTGCCGATATGACGAACTCTTGGTACTGTGGACTTTCAGGTAAGGCAGCATTCTCGTGTTTTGTTGCATGTGATTCGTTAGACTTTGCATGTGTGTTTTTTTTTTCTTTGCTGAACAACAACTAAAAACGCTTTTTTGGTTGTTATTTGTATTAAAAGGTACACTGCTCCTCTTCATGTCGTTGATCATCCTCACTTTGGGTTCCCTTTTGATCACCAACCTTCACTTATTGACCGTTTATCGGTCGTCGTTCATTCAGGACTCGCTCTCGAGGTGGATGGTCGTTCCGCTCGTGTTGCCCTTGGGCCTCATTATCCCCATTGTGATCAAGAAGAAAGTTATGAACCCTGGCTTTGGATCGATTTGCTTTATTAGTCCGGACGTAGCCAGCGCCTACTTCTTCCTCCCGGTCTCTATCATTGTTTGCCTAGCTACTTTGTTGCACCTGGGAACCATCGCCTTCATGATCAAGGTATACTATTTTTCTTGCAAAGTAAACGTTTGTGTTGTTCAACTCTACCCACAAGAGGCTTATTTCTCACACCCACCTTCTGCATTGGCAAAACCATAGGCGACTATTGTAGCAAACTCATCGAGCTCGATCGGCACCTCAAACTCCGAAATCTCAAACGGAAGCAATAACAGCACCATGATGACCCCACGACAACGCCGCCTCCACACCGCACGCGGCATTACCCTTCAAATCAAGCAGCAATGGCGCCCCGGTGTCCTCGCCCTCTGGCTCGTACTCATCGATGTTGTCTACAGTCTCTTCTATTACATCGAAGCCAAGAAGCTACTCACTGTCACTCCCACCTCTGCCTGGTTCCAGCAGTGGGTTGCTTGTCTGGTCGACCAGATGATTGAATCTGCTATAGCAGGACGTCTGTCCTTGACCAACCCCACCATGGACCAGTTCTTGGTCGCTGGCGAGTTTGCTCAGAGGACTTGTGCCCCAATTGCTACACCCTTTGTGCCCAGCTTTGTTTGGGCCACCGTCACGGATTTTTTGCCTGCGATGCTTGGTATCGTCATTCTGGTCATCTTTGGATCCAAGCTTGAGCTGTGGGAAGATCTGAGAGAGAGGCTTTTTAGCAAGCGGAACCCTGATAATGTCAAGATCATGATGGGCGATATGCCGCAGAACAACCACAACAAAGTATACAGCAATTCATCGTCGCCTGGTTCTCCCAACAAGGTTGACCTCGCCCACGTCGATAACCCCTACGGTAGCCAGACAAACTTAACCCCGATCCCTAGGGTTTCCTTGCAAAAGACAAGCCGCAACACCAATGGCGGCTCAATCTCCAAGAACCAGTCTCCACCCGCACTTGAGCCATGGAACTCTTCAGCTTGGATCACCCTCTCAATAGATGACAACTCCCTCCAACCACCCCATCGCGCCATTTCACCTCCATCCATAACCAACAACACCCAGTTCTACAACAGTGAAGACCTAAATGCCGTCCCCTATTCCAGTCTCAAATCCTCAACACTCAGCAACGCCACTGCCACTGGTAATCGAGGATCCGCAACCTCTTCAAAGCCAGTCAACAACAGTCGTAGTAGAGAAGAATTCAATTTTGATCAACAACTTCTGTCCCGCTCCCTCTCACCGCCATTGCGACCCAACAAGAACATGTCTCGTTAGATGGTGGATTTTTTATTTGTTCATTTTCTTGTATTTTTTACTTTTACCTCTCTGTACCTTAATATACCACTTTAATAAACCAATGAACTTCGCCTACTCATTTGTCAGCATACTTCACCGCTTTTTCCTTGACGTTGATGAGTCAGTCCAGCCATTCTACTCTCGGATCCAGGTCATTGTCACAAACCATCGAGGACTCGGCAAGGAGAAGGAAAGTGAAATGAAGTTCTTGCACCGTTGTTGAGGGATAATATTGATGAGGACGAACTCTATCGCGTGAGACAGTATCTGACAGTAGCGATGATGCTTTTAAGATGTGAACAAGACGGGGAACCGTGCGCCTTCTTCTGCAGCTTTCTTTGTAATCCTGCTGCACGGTCGCGCGCAAAAATACGAATGGACGTGTAAAAAAAAGGTTCCAAAATAACACGTCAAAAATGAAGAGAAAATTATCCCCTGCGATGGATTCTGGAACTGATCAGTTCCAGATTTTTTACACGGAATTACTGCGAGCACTTCTCTCCACAGTTTACAAAAAAAAAATCCTGACCCTGGCGGGACTCAACACTCGAGAAGGGATTGGTTTCCAGGACTGGTTTGGATCACGGACAGGATTGTCGTTCGGTTTATGACGACCAGCAGGTGTGATGGTAGGGGAACGGCCCAACGGATAGTGGATCAAGGACGAGCTTAACTAACTTCAGAACTGTCAGCCTTCTATGCCCTCTGCTCAGGAAATCATATTAATCAACTCGATCGAGTCACCACACCCATTTTGGCGCCCTCGTGATCACGACGGTGCCCAGACGGAACGGCGTGGTCTTTATCAAGCCGACTCTTTCTCCTTTTTTCCAGCTGCGGGTGTGGTTCAATATCTTCTTGAGACTAACAATATCAGTCCATTGGCGTTTCTGTGTTGATCAAGACACCTCCAAGGAATGCTACAGGGGAGTAAGCACTTGAGAATGGACTACGACGAATGTAAGTAGGCTTGAGAGAAAAAGAATGAGTTGTTTTTATTCTTCGTGCGCAGGATTGTCGGCTGGTTCGTCCGTAAACTTGAGCTCAGTAATCTCCCCACTGTAACAAGGCTTGGCTTATATTGTGGAGATTGAATGTTTTTTTAATAACGTCAATGTTATGAACACCACCGCCAGACTTGGAGTGCTTGATAATTTTTTCAAACTCGTATTCCACTTGATAATAGGCAGGGTTATCAGGAATCAAGGGTTCTTGAATGGCTTCTTGAATGGCTTCTTCTTGATCTTGATTGACAAATTGCTCTGGGTTGCGAGGAACGTGTTTTCGGAGCTTGGAGACGTGGAACACGGGATGGATACGAGACTTGGGAGGTAAGTCAAGCTTGTAGTTGAAGGAACTAGGACGTTCGGTGATCTCGAAGGGTCCGAGGAATCGCGGTTGGAGTTTGTTGTTGGCGGTGCCGGGTTGTGGAGAGAGACTTGAATCCCAGTTGTCATGTGTCTTGGAGGTATACATGCGCAAGTACTGTTTGAGGGGTTTGAATCGTTCGTTCGGATTGTTCATCTGTTTGATGATGGTGGGCAGTCGACATGTCGAGGCTGGTACCAAGGCAGGAAAAAAGACTCGACCAGAAGAGGCTTGTGAAACGAGTATCTCGGTCGGAAACAATGGACTTGGGGAGACCGCAACGCGTAAAGACAAACTAGAAGAATAACTGGGCGAGTTCAAAACCGGTACAGGTAGTCTTGCAGGGGACGAAGACAATAGCCTTGCTGAAGCGATCGACAAGGATGGCGTTGTGGTAGGACTTGGTTTTCGGGAGATTGGTAACAAGATCCATAGCAATATGAGTCCAGGGTCTCTCCGGGATCGAGAGCGACTGTAGTAATCCATTTTCTTTTGTAGTTCTTGTTTTAGAGGTGTTGTAGATATGACAGGATTCGACATAATGCTGGACGGAGCGGTACATGCGTGGCCAATAGTAGAGTTCAGACAAGCGGGCATATGTTTTGTCGACACCACTGTGACCTGCAGTGGGGCAGTTGAGAACTTCGGATAACAACTGCATCTTGACGGTAGGTAGGTCGGGAATACAGAGTCTGTCACCCTTTTTGAGGTACAGAAGATCGTTCTTGACTTGGAATTTGAAGGGATCATCGACATTGGTAATCTTGGATGCGCGTTCGAAAAAGTCCTTGAAGTACTCATCCTTGGTAATCGCTTCTCGACATAGGGTCTTGATGTTGTCACCAACAATGGGAGCGGAGACAGTGGTGGCGGAGAGTTGATAATCTGGACGACGGGACAGTACATCGGGAACGATATTGAGGGAGTCTTTGCGATACTTGATCTCGAAATTGTACTCAGCTAGTTTTTCGTTGCTGCGGATTTGTCGAGGATTGAGGTTGTTCTTGGATTGACGGTACTTGAGTGATTCATGGTCGGTGTAGATCGCAAAGGGTTTGGCGGTCGAGTGAAGGTACACACGCCATTTGGTCAGCGCAAGCACAACGGCTAACTGTTCCTTTTCGTGGATAGGATAATTAATTTCGGCGGAGGACAGTTTGCGGGATTCGAAGGCGATAGGGCGACCGTTCTGGCGAAGTTCAGCTCCAATGGCGAAATGAGAGGCATCGCAATGGACTTCAACATTATCACCAGGGACAAAGATACCTAGGATGGGAGCTTCAGTCATGAGCTTCTTGATAGTGCGGAAGGCCGTTTTTTGTGCATCTTGCCAGACAAATGGATTCCCTTTTTTCAACAGTTCGGTAAGTGGGGGGGGGGGGCGGCAATCTTAGCAAGTCGAGGGACGTATCGATGGTAATTGTTCACGAGTCCGAGGAAAGACCGAACGTCGAGAACACAGGTGAGATCTGGCCAATCGACTATGGCGGCGACTTTGCTGGGATCGACGGCAATGCCTTCTTGAGAGATGATATGACCGAGAAAGTTGACTTGAGGCTTGAAGAACTCACATTTGGATAATTTGGCATACAACTTGTTCTCCTCTAGCATTTTCAGGATACGTTCAAGGTCGATTTTGTGTTGCTCCTCGTTCTCACTGAAAACAAGGATATCGTCAAGGTAGATGATGGCGATGGTGTCCAACTCCTCTTTGAAGATGTCGTTCATAAGGCACATAAAGGTGGCGGGGGCGTTTGTGAGACCGAAGGGCAGGATCAGGAACTCATATAGTCCGTAACGCGTGCGGAAGGCTGTTTTGGAGACGTCTTCTTCGTCGATCCTGATTTGATGATATCCGGAGCGCAGATCGATTTTGCTAAAGACTTTGGCGTTGGCAAGGCGGTCGAGGAGTTCATCGATCCTGGGTAGAGGGCACGTGTTCTTGACGGTTTGCTTGTTGAGGGCTCGATAATCCACACACATGCGTAGGTCGCCTTCTTTTTTACGTACGAAGAGAACCGGGGCACCTCAAGGCGATTTACTTGGACGAATGAAACCACGAAGCAGAAGGTCGTCTAACGGCTTTCTTAGTTCACCCATTTCTGTTAAGGATAACGGATAGGTCTGACGCGACGGTGGTGTGGAACTTGGAATGATTTCGATCTTGTGGTCGACAGATCTTGATGGAGGTAAGACCTTAAGGAGTTCGTCGGGGAAGACAGAGCTGTATTTCTCAAGTAATGCCTGAGCAGCGAGGTGTTGTTCGGCTGGTGGCTTCTTAGAGGAGGATTCGTCGTGTGGCTGGGCAAGGCACAGGAATGCTGGGTCAGTGTTTAGGCAGCGTTTGAACTGCATTGCGGACAGGACAGGAGTATAGGATGTACGGACATAACCGTGGATGACAATATGGGGACCAATACGGATGGTGTGGTGGACAAGGTCAAGGTCAGGCTTTGGAACGGATCTTGCCAGCCGTCGTTTGCCAATGACAAGGTCAAACTTCATTGGAATGACAAGGAACTGGATAACAGGCTGGAAGTTGGGAGCGAGCTTGAGACGGATGTGACAGTAAAGGGTGCAGGTGGCGATTTGATCACCGTTAAAGCCATTGACTGATAGTGCCTCTTTCTTTTTGGACGTAGGGATATTCAGGGCGCGTACAATTTCTTGGTTGATGTAGTTGGCGCTGGCGCCACAGTCGATCAAAATATCGAACTTATGGTTCTTGATATGACCGGCAATATACATCACATGCTCATCCTCGGATTCCTTAGGTAAGATGGGGAAATCGGCTGGGTCGGATGAAGAGGCAGGGAACGGTAATGTGGACGCATTAAACGCGGAGACCGGGACAGACGAATAGAAGAGTGTCGACGCGTCAACTGACGATGACGGAGTAGACGAAGTGGACATAGAAGACTGTATTGATTCCATAGCCGACGACACTGGGGCAGACGAAGACGACGACTCAGATGATTTTTTAATTTGATAAGAGGCTATCTCTGGAACAGGGCTTGACTGTTGGATGTGTTCGATTCCATTGAAGGTTCCAGATGGAGTTGTTCTTCGTCTGGGCTGGGTTGCTTGAGGACACTTGCGGGCTTGATGACCGGTGGCATGGCAAACGAAACAAGTGCGGTTCTTCAAGTCTAACTGCACCTGCTTATCTTGACGTGGATTGTACGATGAGCCCGAATGGACGGTGGAGTCTAGGTCCATGGACTGAGGGAAAGACTCGTTTCACTCTGATAACTGGCACATGACCAACGCCACCAACTTCTAGATTTTTCTAGCACCACCAAATGATCAAGTATCCAGAGACAACTTGGTCCATACAACAATATAAATAGTTCTTACGTCCGTAGTCTAGTTCCACAGTCTTGTTCATAACATTGACTTTATTAAGAAACATTCAATCTCCACAATACAAGCCAAGCCTTGTTACAACAACACTTCGTCAAGTCGAATAGAGAATAAAGCCCATTGTTCTTCAGAGGCACCATCAACTTTGATTTTGTATTCGCGAACATAGTATTGCTCTAGAATATAAATCGGGGTTGGTGAAACTAGCGTCCGCACGTCTAGTTCGGCAAAAACGACCTTGTGGTCCGCACGAACAATACCCTCCAAGAGTATCATTCCTGTTCCCGTCAGTCCCTGTGATAGCCATATCATGTCCAACCGACTAGTTTCTTTGAAGGAGTAAGCGCGAACTTCTGGGGTACAGCTTGCGGAAGCTGTCAGTGAACTGGTTATTATTAACAAGCCACTCCAGAAGTTCATTTTCTCTGTTAGTACTCTGTAAGTTTTCGTTTGAACGGTCGCGTGCTGGGTTCACCACGCCATTAAAGTCCCCGCACACGACCGTTTCCATGTCTCTCTTATCTCCATCTTGAATCTCTTCAAGCACCCTCTCAAGCAGCTCTTTAAATTCTTTTTATCCTCTTTGCTGCTTTTTCGCGCTGGCACATAGCAGTTCACTATTCGTATGTGGGCTCCCAAGCGAAATCCAAAATCCAAGGAAATGCCTCGCCCTTTGTGTGTCATTTTTCTTATTATATTTCTGTTCCAGGTGTCGTTCACTAGGAACGCTACTCCAGAGCCCAAAGCCACTGTGCTTGCGCTTGCCCAGTGGCCCTAATATTGGCTTGGTTCTTGTTAAAAATAAAAGGTATTTTGTTTTCATGTTTGCATGTAGTTTTGTTTCTTGACACGCAATTATGTCAAAAAAACCAACTTGGGATCCCCAATCTGCCAATCCTTTAAAGTATCCATCACTTCTCCCCCCTTGCACACTGAGTAATGCAATGCGCAACTTCCATGTAAAGTCCGCTGTATCAGTCGTTACACGGAATGAGATGTTGTTTGTTGATTGCTGCTTGAGTCTGGCACCCTTTCTTTCTTTTTTGCGCTATCACTTTCGTCTCCATACCCGATGTGGCTCATTTGTGATATGCCATCTCTGAAGTTGTGGAACGAATCAAACATCGCGCTGTTTTCACTTTGTGTTTCTTTTAATTGCATGTCTGCGACAGCTGTTGCTGACGTCCTTAGGGGTTGTTTTCTTCGTTTGCCTTCTTCTCTTGCCTCGCTCCCTTTTTCTGGGGCCATGTTTTCTTTCATCATCTTAAATGCACAATACATTTCGTTTTGCATCTGAATTTTTTATTTCTCCATTGCAATAGCCACCGTTAACGCTACCGCTGTTGTCACTGCTTTTGCAACAGCCTGTCCGATTCTGTCCTCCAGCGCTGTCATTTGTGTTTCTTTCGCCTCTTCTGATTGTTTTGCTCTGTTCTCTGCTGCGACGCGCATTTTATTTTGTTCTTGCATCTCGTTAATAATTGCGCCCTGATTTTGGATCATTAGTAGCAAGTTGTTGTAACTGGGCTGCTGATCATTTCCACTTACCTGGGCCGGCTGGGTTCCCTTGGTTTGTTTGCCTGTGTTCTGGAGCCCTTGTTTCACCTGGGCGCTGTATGTATCTAGCGGAGCCGAAGATATGAAGGCTCAAGCCTATTATCCGAGGGCCAGGACCATATATGTGTTATCTTCTTTTATTGTATAAAATGCGAAAATCCAGAAAACTAAACGAAAGTGAAAAGAGAAAAAATGAAATAAGTTCTGCTCAGGCACCAGATCTGTCCCTTATCTTCGTGGTGTGAGCCAGGTGCCAGGAGACAAAAAAGGGTGGGAAAACAAAAAATCCAAGGGCGGGACATATATGGTCCTGGCCCGACGGATAATATCTAGCGGAGCCGAAGATATGAAGGCTCAAGCCTATTATCCGAGGGCCAGGACCATATATGTGGATCCAGAGCAGAAGTTATGAGAGAAACCAACGACGTCAAATTGGTCGCGGTTGCTCGCGTCAGGCGGTAGTAATTGTTGACAATCACGTCGTTGACATGGGCGCCCTTCTTGATGGCCCCTGTAGGGCCGATCGCGCGGGCTTTGGGTCGAGTCTTGTTCGGCGGGAGGCCGAGTAGGTCGGTGATCGCGGCGATGTGGCTGCTGATCGTTTGACTGGTGACAGTTGTCTTGGGGAAGCGGACGTCGCAAATGAGAGGTCGATGGGGGACCAATTCCTCCTTGTGATGTGGGACCATTATCTCATGGTCCTCGATGGTGGCGTACTTGATGGTCGGCTGGTCGTCGCATCCTTCATCCTCGGGGCGGCGCCGCTTATGCGCCATGCTGTTAAAGACCAGTGAGGATTCTTGGCCAGAATGTCGAGGGCATTTCCTGGAGCTGGAAGCACGTGGTGTCGCGGTATCGCAAGGGGGGCTGCGACTGACATCATCTTGACCGTTGGGTACCATACTGCTGAGGGCCAGTGGGGTGTTACGATCGTTGCTGAGATCTGCTCCTGGCGAATCTTCTCCAGGACGAGAGGGAGGAGATTCCAAGGTGGGCAAAGGTAAACGTTGCCTAGGGGCTGCCATCGGTGTCGGAGAGCATCGTGACCTATTGCGCCTGATGATGGTTTCCAGGTCATGTACTGTTGTAGATGGTGGTTTTCGGGAGATGCGAAGAGATCGACGGTATGGGGACCCCATTTTTGGTCCATGTGGTCGAAAAAGGATGGACTGATTGACCACTCGAGTTGGCCCGTCAGTTGACGGGAGGGGGCATCCGCTGGGTTGAAAGCTGATGGGACGTACGTTGTTCGAATCCTGGTTCCGGTCTTGAGGCACCAGTTCCATATTGATGTCGCCAGCTTCATCAGCTCCGGCGACCTCGTTCCGCCAAAGTGGTTGATGTAGGCGATTGTTGTGATGTTGTCCGATATGATGTTGACTGTGCGACCCTTGACCTGTGGTCTCTGAAGGGCGTAGAAGACCGTCAACAATTCCTTGTAGTTGATGTGTCTGGGGTAGTGAGTTGCCGGCCAGGTGCCACTGTATGATCGGTTGTTGATTACTACTCCCCACCCGGACGTGGAAGCGTCCGTGTAGATGTCGATCTGAGGATTGGCCGCTATCCATGAGAGACCGTTCCATTGTTGAAGGTGTGTGCGCCACCAAAGCAGTTCCTCGGTCGCTGTCGTCGGCAGAGTAATGGAGCCCTCCCATGGTATTCCCGATTTCAGTGCATTGATCTTGACCGCTTGTAGGTGCTGCACCTTGAGTCGAGCCGGAAAAACTGCTGCTGTCATGGCGATCGCCTTGCCGATGAATGATGATAGCTGTCGTACTGTGCATGTCGTCTTGTTGATTAACTTGGATGCCTCGCGTCTCATGTCTCGGATCTTGGCTCCTGGGATCTGTAATGTCATCGCCGTTGTGTTGATCTCGTAGCCCAGATGTTGTAGTGTCTGGGATGGCGTCAGGCTCGACTTGGATTCCTTTGTCAGAAAACCGAGGCTGGCTAACTTGTCCGTCACCATCTTGGTGTGTATCTGTGATAGCTCCTTGGTCGCTGCTGCAATAATCAAATCGTCCAAGTAGGCCGATATCCTGATCCCGCGTGATCGCGCCCACCGTAGTAGCGGCTTCAGAATCTTGGTAAAGATGAGCGGAGCCAGAGATAGACCGAACGGGAGCACTTTGAACTGGTACAGTTTGCCTCGCCATTGAAATTGTAGGTAACGCCGGGAAGAAGGGTGAATGGGCACGTGTAGAAATGCATCTCTTAAATCGATACTGGTAAGAAAATCGTTCCTTTTTATTAGGTGAACTACCTGAGAGATAGTCTCCATTTTGAAAGGTCGGATCGGCAGATACTGATTCAAGCGACGCAGGTTCAACACCGGGCGTAGTTCTCCTGTCTTCTTCGGAATCACGAACAACTGGCTTGAAAAACCGGGTCCAGTGCTGGGCTCGATCGCATTCTTGCTCAGCAAATCGGACACTTCTTTGTCGATGCTCGCCATTGCTTCCTCCGACATTGGGTGTGGCGGGGGATGCGAGGTCGATGTTGGTGGTGGCGACTCGAAGGGGATCCTGTAGCCGTCCTTGATAATGTCGAGGATGGGGGACTCTTGGGTAATGCTCTTCCAGGCTCCTAAGAATCCTTTGAGCCGCCCTCCGACCTTGGGGATCTGTCGTTCCTGCAGGAGGTGCTTCGTCCGCGCTGTTGGCTGTTCCACCTTTGGTTTCCGGAGTCCCTCTGAAAAGAAGAGGAGGAACGGTTGCTGTTATTGAAATCCCGACCTGAGCGGCTCTGTGAGCGGCGGTCCTGGTTGTTGTTGTTCCAATTTTTGTCGGAGTTATGTCGGCCATTGCCGTGACTATTGTTGTTGTTGTTGTTGCCGCCTTTGTCTCGGCGGTTGTCGGTTCCCGTCTTGCTCTTAAAGTATGTCTGTAGGGTGAGGATAGACTTAGTATGGTCGTAGAAGGACTGTGGGTCGAACATGTTGAGAGCGTCGTCCTCGAAGTGTGCTCCTGCGGCTTCGCGAACGTTAGCCATGCGGGTCTCGTGCATCTTAACAGCCATTCCGCCCAGGTGTTGGCGCATAAGGACTGCAAACCTGACGGAAAGGTCCAGAATCTGGTCTGGCTTGAGATGTTCAGGGTCGATCTCCTGAAGCTGTCGGAATTGGTGATAGAAGTAATCCACGGGGCGTGTGAGCTCGGTGCATCGCTCCTGAAACTCGCGGATCTGTGAATCATGCTTCCTATTGAAGTCGAGGTTGTTGGAGACGACGTATGGGACCTTGGGTGCTTTATATTGGTCCATGTGAACGTTCTTGGGAAAGCCTCGAATGACTTCCTTAAGTTCGGTGTCGCTCTTTGTTGGTTTGGTGAAAAACTCGATAGGCGTTGCTGGTTTGATGCTGGGGCATCCCATGACATCCACGTCTGAGGGGCGGTAGTGTTGAAGTGGAGCTTGAGTTGTGATCGCGGGATCGGAGCCCTGGCGAAGGCGATCTGCCATAAAGCGTTCCATGCGGTCCAGCCTTTGGCTGAGGAAGAGGATCTCTGCATCCTTGGGATCGAGTGGGTGGTCGAGTGGGGGTGAGGAAGAGGGAGAGGAGGACGGTGAAGGAGAGGGTTGTTCCATGGGGACCTGCTGAGAAGGGTGAACTCTGATGATGCGGGCAATGTCCCTGGCGAAACAAAAGAAGATAAGGGACAGATCTGGTGCCTGAGCAGAACTTATTTCATTTTTTCTCTTTTCACTTTCGTTTAGTTTTCTGGATTTTCGCATTTTATACAATAAAAGAAGATAACACATATATGGTCCTGGCCCGACGGATAATCGGGCCTACTTGAGCTGGTTGAGAAAAGGTTTGCACTTTGGGCACGGGGCCATTGTTGCGGTTTTTGTTAGTAGTCGGGGGAGCAGGCGCTCTTGGTGGGTGCGACTTCGCGATGTTTCGCGCGCGGTATTCTTTACGCGCGGTCATCTCGGGGCATGCTGCGATCAGGTATTTGGGCGGTCCACGCTCGTTACATAATTTTGTTTCCACGTCCACCCAGGTCATCCTTGGATCTGTTTCATTAATGAAATACTCCTTGCTTGTCAGCTTATCGAACGTCTCTTGAGTTGTGAACGAAAAAAACGCCTCTCTTTCTTTGAAAGTGGAGTTGCGGTGAAACGGGATTGTCACGGAATAATTGTTCACTATCTCGCACAAACCTTTCAGCATTAGCGGGGTTGTGCCTCTTGGCAGGTTGGTGAGCTTGCGGACCAAATCCTTGTGGAAGGTACTGTTGTCTAGTGATGCGGCCTGAGTCCGTCCCAATGAATACCACTGCCTGTTGTCTTTGCTGAAAATCCTTGACCAGGCTATCGTTGTCGAGGGTCACCGTCGCGGTCAATAATCCTCCGTACTTGTTGGGTGAGAGGCGCATGTGTTCAACCTTTCCCTTGGGGTTGAACAGGTCTTCGATCTTGGCCTTGGTGGTGTTGCTCATGAGAGAGGAGATCTCGATCTGTCAACCTCTGTTCTCGGCGATTTGAAGGTCGGTCTTTCTGTCGGAGTTACCGAGATCCTTGTCGCCATTGTTGTGAGCCATTTCGGAGCTTTTATCGTTTGCGTCGGGGATTGTTGCCTCTGTTGGTTTGTTGAAGGCTAAGTCGAAGAGATAGTTCTTTGAGTGCTCGTCGCTGAGCTTGACGGAGAGATACTTCTCGGTGGTTTGGCTGTCGATTTGGAGGTAATGGATAATGGGGTTGCCGATGAGAGTAACCAGTCCTCCCAGTTTGTAGGTCAAATCGTTGAGAATGTCTCCGGTGGCTCCGGGGTCGTCGGTCCAAAAGTCAGCCGCTTTGAGGATGAACTCCTGGATGCCGGTGTCGAAGATGATTTTCTCCATCTCTTTTGCTTGCGATTGCTGGTCGTCCGAGCTGTTGGGGGGGGTGAGTGCTGCGCTGTTGACGCCCTCGTGGGCTTCTCCAGACGTCATATCTTCATCTTTCGAGCGTGGCAGGTATTGGACGCTGCCGCTCGGCTGCTTGATGCCGCGTAATTGTTGTTGATGTTGTTGTCCGGGCATGTTGGTGTGGTAGGTGGTTTTGAGGCAGGTAGGGTGTTGGTTTCCGATGGAAGGGGGTTGATGACTGCCGGAATACGTTCGTGGTAACCTTTTTTTGAGTGTGTTGAGATGAGGAATGTGTATTTCGGGGGAGAAAGTAGATGAGGATGACACTGTGAGTGGGGTGATTCCAGATGCTGTGTCGATGCCCATGAAGGATCGATGCAGAGCTGGGAACTTGAGGAAAATTTGTTGAAATCAGTGCTGAAAGCTTGGTTGGAAACGCATTGTTTAAAGTACACGTGACGATCAGTTCCTTTGTTGCTTCTTTGGTCAAGGAGATCGAAATGTCTTTTTGTCAACTTGGTTGAGCAAGATCGATGTCAGCCAGCTCTACAGTTGACTATTTTTCAGCGCCACGCAACGCTTATGCGTGATGTACAGCGGTTGAGCTTGTCCAGGCATCTGATACCTTCCGCCCATGCCATCCTTATATTCTAATACTTCAACTGACTGTTCCAAGCCAGAAACACTCGAGCATACCGTCTTTTCTCTACCAGCGCTGACCACAAACCGATAGGGTATAAACAGACGCATTTTCAGACGTAGCTACATGTATCTGTTTCATTGTAGAAAATTGCTGTTAGACTCTATGCGTGGAGTTACACCTCGGCTATAGTTGTGCGATGGTGTGGCAGCATATGCTTGCCGAGGAGATTGACAATACCTACCAGTGAGTAGAGAAAGATCGTGATAGCCACAAAGGAGAGTGAGCTGGAGGCTTTGGCGAAGTGCATCTCTTGGAAAGGAGGGTATTGAGAACGGAATGCTATGAGGGTGGTAAGCCAGTAAGGGTTTGGTTGAGATGTCTTGTTGGAAATGAGATGACTCCTTGGTTTATGGTAGGTGTGTGATTGGTGGCGAGTGAAGAAGTTAGCTGTGGTGGGATTGAACAGAGACAAGAAGTGTACTTTATACCATTTTCGTTCATGGGTCATATCGACTTACATGTTCATGCAGAAAAATGTTAGGAGGAGCTAGTCTCGCGGCGATCCCCTCCCTTTGCGTGGGTTGGAATCCAATTCTTTGGGAGGGGATGGCCGCGAGACTAAGGAGGAGCAATGACACAGGAGAAGAGAAAGATACCGAAAAAGATCAAGATATCTCTTTCTTCCTGGATGCCATTGACATGTACTCCTTGATATTTTCAGCGTCCTATACCAAAGGACAACACCAAGGGATGGCCTTTTCGATAACGACAATCAGTCATTTCAGCGCGTGTTCCTGGTAGTTGTCCCCCCGCTACTTGTAGGATTAGAAAAAAGATGGGTGCCAAAGGAACATAATAAAAGGAAGAAGAGAGAGGTGATCCTTGCTTGCGAATCGAGAGCCGTGGGTCAAATGAGTCTCGAACGAACCTGCAGGCCAATGAACACGTTCATTTTTCTCTCACTCTGCAGAGAAAAAAAGGCCCTGTCCTTCCTCCACATCCATTTCGTACACCCAATTACAAAATCGAAAAAGAAACCTTGATACGGAACAGACAACAGACGCGACAGACTGTCTCCCTTCCTATCATATTTTTCTTTAAGTCCTGGGCAGCCTCTGCTCGGATCAATAAGGACAGTCGAAATGGATGGCGGCTATGGTCATAAGATTAAACGCAAACACATGTAACGTCAGCCCGTTCTTAGCCCAAACAAGAAAATTGGGCGGTGAAGGAAGAACAAGCAGAGACAAATGAGCTGGTTAGAGAGCGTACCGATGCAGAGGTACAATAAGTACATGTACTGTACTGTACATTTAGAAGACGGGGAGGAAAAGGTTGGTGGTGTGGAGAAGGAGAGTTGTGAGCATCGGGACCACTCGCAAAATCGAGATGAACTGACCCCGATCAAGCCAATATTTTAAAGTTCACTCAGCTGATGGCTCGCCTCCACTTTTTGTCTCACTCTTCCATCCCCGTCGACCTTTGTTCTTCTATTGCTCATTTTTATTACACTCGTCCTCAATGGCACTCCATTGAGCTTCTCTCGTGATGTGTGTTTTGTGGAAGAGGCGTCCAAGAGAAGAAGGATGAAAGAGAGAAGAAAAAATAGATGAGATCTTGCTTTGCGCGAATACCTGTTCGTTTGTTTTTGTTGTTGTTGTTGTTGTGTGTTGCACCAATGAATGAAGGGTCCGCAAACTGAAATGGTATTACACTAATGATGTTCGTCCCTTCATTTTTCATTCTCTCCCTCTCTCTCTTATACCAATGCTTTCGTAACAAACATATAATGGTTGTGTACTCTATGCCATGCTTTTACTTCCCTCCCTCTCCCCTTCCCTCGAAACTGTCTGCGTACCATTAGCCCAAAAACATTGCGAATGCCATGACCATTTTATTGCTTGAGTCGGTCTCTTTCCTGTTTCGTTTTTTACATGCTCTCAATTTAGTTTCTTTCTCGACTTTTAATTATTCTTCGTCGGTCTTGGACTGAAAGAAATGTGCTAACACTCCAGAGCGTGGACCAATTAAGGTTGTGGGTAGAAGTTGTTGCCAATTCTGAATGTCCCCAGTCTGCTGTTGGTTTAATGCTTCGTTTGGATCGTTTATTAAAAGAGATACGGTCAGTCTCCATTTGAGTTTCTCCTTTCGTCTTGTAACTTGGCGCCCAATGCGTGAGGGTTACCTCTTGTTTACAACCCAATAAACACTTTTCTAATTCATGCGAAGAAGGTGAGGAGGTCGTATCAGAACGCAAACCTTTTTTGCGAGTCATGCTAGTACTGTTATTGTGGCTAGATCCACATCAATAGAGGGCTAACTCTTGTTTACAACCCCTTTTTCTTCTTCATTTAACGGGTTTGCTTTTTCCAACCGTTGTTTTCTATGGCCATGTTCAGCATCCAGACTTAAAACAGAATCGTTATAGTTTAATTCAGAGCATTTGCTCAGCCGGCAGGGTTGTGGGTGGGTAGCATGGTGTGGTATGGACGTTGTGTGTTTGTGTGTGTTCGTGTTTGTGTGAGTTTGTGTTTGATTGTGTGTGCAATGGTCCAGTCTGCCCATCATCTAGATCGTTAGCAAGCTTCCTAACGATCCAAATGATGATGGTTGTTGCAACTATTCTCTTCTGGTTTGAAAACAAGAACGAGGAAGAGGACAAAGAGGAGAAGTTAGAGGAGGAGGATGGCCTTCACACGACCATACACATAGATTTGGGTTCTAATCACTTCAATTGAAAAAAATATATACGTTGTTGACAATAGGGCGCCATTCTTTGGACCACTCTCTTGTCACACCCAATGTCCCTTTTTCATTTCTTTCATCCAACGGCTTTCTCATTTATATTTTTCGTTTTCTTTTTCTTTCTCCACATTTCTTCTCTTTTTCTTTCGCTCTCCTTTGTTCTTTTTCTTATTTATCTTTTTGAACGTTGTCACCCTTTACCTATTCCACCTCTTTCCCTTCCTCACCTGCCTGTTTTCCTCTATCCTCCTCTCCACATCTCTTCTGCGGGTTTGCCGCCAGTGGATTCTCCACACTCCCTCTTCCCTCTTGCCTTTATATTCTTTTCTTCTCTCTCTCTCTCTCTTTCTCTCTCTCTCTCTCTCTCTCTCTCAACCATATTCGACTACCATGACCAACAAGCTCTTCCCACGTCTTCCAAAACGACAATTACACTACTCCTTTCTCATCTTCGCATCTACCCTTCTCTTCGCCGCCCTTTCCTCCCTCCCATTCGTATCTTCAGCAGCCACTACACCAACAGTCAACCCACCAACAACAAGAGCTGCCGCATTGTTCAATGTAACCTCCGCTTCTCTGATGGCGTGCCCGCCACCCATGATCCCAAACATCTACAATCTCACAACTGCAGGCTGTAATGGTCCCTGTTGTCTGCCTTGCCCTGTCGCATTTGCGTTTTACGAACCCCATACATTGGAGCACGTGTACACCATCACCAACGTTATCCGGATTATTTCGGCCGCATCCTCCTTCTTCCTCTCAATCTGCTATCTCATCCTTCCCAGTCGCCGCAAGCACCCTCATCTCATTGTTCTCGTCTTTGCGATTCTGATCGTTCCTTGGGATGGACTTGGTACGGCTTGGCTGTTCATGAAGAAAGATCTTTTGTGTGTGAATGAATATGAGGTTGCCGATATGACGAACTCTTGGTACTGTGGACTTTCAGGTAAGGCAGCATTCTTGTGTTTTGTTGCATGTGATTCGTTAGACTTTGCATGTGTGTTTTTTTTTTCTTTGCTGAACAACAACTAAAAACGCTTTTTTGGTTGTTATTTGTATTAAAAGGTACACTGCTCCCGTACATGTCGTTGGTCATCCTCACTTTGGGTTCCCTTTTGATCACCAACCTTCACTTATTGACCGTTTATCGGTCGTCGTTCATTCAGGACTCGCTCTCGAGGTGGATGGTCGTTACGTTCGTATTGCCCTTGGGCCTTATTATCCCCATTTTGGTCAAGAAGCACATTATGAACCCTGGCTTTGGATCGATTTGCTTCGTTGGTCCGGACATGGCCGGCCCCTACTTCTTCCTCCCGGTCTCTATCATTGTTTGCCTAGCTACGTTGCTGCACTTGGGAACCATCGCCTTCATGATCAAGGTATACTATTTTTCTTGCAAAGTAAACGTTTGTGTTGTTCAACTCTACCCACAAGAGGTATATTTCTCACACCCACCTTCTGCATTGGCAAAACCATAGGCGACTATTGTGGCAAACTCATCGAGCTCGATCGGCAAGTCAAACTCCGAAATCTCAAACGGAAGCGATAACAGCACCATGATGACCCCACGACAACGCCGCCTCCACACCGCACGCGGCATTACCCTTCAAATCAAGCAGCAATGGCGCCCCGGTGTCCTCGCTCTCTGGCTCGTACTCATCGATGTTGTATACAGTCTCTTCTATTACATCGAAGCCAAGAAGCTACTCACTGTCACTCCCACCTCTGCCTGGTTCCAGCAGTGGGTTGCTTGTCTGGTCGACCAGATGATTGAATCTGCTATAGCAGGACGTCTGTCCTTGACCAACCCCACCATGGACCAGTTCTTGGTCGCTGGCGAGTTTGCTCAGAGGACTTGTGCCCCAATTGCTACACCCTTTGTGCCCAGCTTTGTTTGGGCCACCGTCACGGATTTTTTGCCTGCGATGCTTGGTATCGTCATTCTGGTCATCTTTGGATCCAAGCTTGAGCTGTGGGAAGATCTGAGAGAGAGGCTTTTTAGCAAGCGGAACCCTGATAATGTCAAGATCATGATGGGCGATATGCCGCAGAACAACCACAACAAAGTATACAGCAATTCATCGTCGCCTGGTTCTCCCAACAAGGTTGACCTCGCCCACGTCGATAACCCCTACGGTAGCCAGACAAACTTGACCCCGATCCCTAGAGTTTCCTTTCAAAAGACAAGCAGCAACACCAATGGCGGCTCGATCTCCAAGAACCAGTCTCCATCCACACTTGAGCCATGGAACTCTTCAGCTTGGACCACCCTCATAACAGACGACAACTCCCTCCAACCACCCCATCGCACCATTTCACCTCCACCCATGACCAACAACACCCAGTTCTACAACAGTGAAGACCTAAATGCCGTCCCCTATTCCAGTCTCAAATCCCCAACACTCAGCAACGCCACTGCCACTGGTAATCGAGGATCCGCAACCTCTTCAAAGCCAGTCAACAACAGTCGTAGTAGAGAAGAATTCAATTTTGATCAACAACTTCTGTCCCGCTCCCTCTCACCGCCATTGCGACCCAACAAGAACATGTCTCGTTAGATGGTGGATTTCTTTTTCATTTTCTTGTAATTTTTACTTTTACCTCTCTGTACCTTAATATACCAATTTTAATAAATCAATGAACCTCGCCTTCTCATTTGTCAGCATACCTCACCGCTTTTTCCTTGACGTTGATGAGTCAGTCCAGCCATTCTACTCTCGGATCCAGGTCATTGTCACAAACCATCGAGGATTCGACAAGGAGAAGGAAAGTGAAATGAAGTTCTTGCACCGTTGTTGAGGGATAATATTGATGAGGACGAACTCTATCGCGTGAGACAGTATCTGACAGTAGCGATGATGCTTTTAAGATGTGAACAAGACGGGGAACCGTGCGCCTTCTTCTGCAGCTTTCTTTGTAATCCTGCTGCACGGTCGCGCGCAAATGTATTTTTTTTTTTGTTTGGTAAGAAGTTTATTGCGTCGTAGAAGTAGCGTGCACTAAAACTAATACTCGTCAGCTTCGAGTCACCGCCAAATCAAAAGATGTAAAAATAAAATACTTCCCAAGAAATCACATCTAAACTGGGGGAAAACAGATAAACAGATAACTGGAAAAACGCAGTGCAACGCGCGCAAAAGTAACGAATGGACAGCATAAAAAAAAAAGATCACGTGTACGAATCCGTCCTCTCGGTTCCAAAAACAACACGTCAAAATTGAAGAGAAAAATACCACCCCTTCGATGGATTCTGGAACTGATCAGTTCCAGATTTTTTACACGGAATTACTGCGAGTACTTCTCTCCATATTGTGCAAAAAAAAAAATCACCAAGGATAGCACCCCCTTCGCATTAAGTGTATGCAACTTTGAGAATCGCTCCGCCAATTATGATACCTCAAACTCATTCGAGCATGGGGGTGATGGGATGATGTCGGATCCCAGAAAAAAAAGGATGTGCCAATTTGTAGTTCTATTCCCTCACTTTTAACGTCAGCGAGGTGGACAGGCAATAATGGAGAAAAGGGACGGGTCAAGTGTCTGGCGGGACTCAACACTCGAGAGGGGATTGGTTTCCAGGACAAGGGAAGGATTTTCAAGAAATAAATATTGTCGTTCGGTTAATGAAGACCAACAGGCGTCGATGGTGGGGGAACGGCCCAACGGATAGTGGATCAAGGACGAGCTTAACTAACTTCAGAACTGTCAGCCCTCTATGCCCTCTGTTCTAGAAATCATATTAAGCAACTCGATCGAGTCACCACACCCATTTTGGCGCCCTCGTGATCACGACGGCGCCTAGACGGAACGGCGTGGTCTTTATCAAGCCGACTCTTTCTCCTTTTTTCCAGCTACGGGTGTGGTCCAACGTCTTCTTAAGACCAACAATACCATGCCATTAGTGTTTCTGTATTGACCAAAGCACCTCCAAGGAATGCCGCAAGGGAGTAAGCACTTGAGAAGGGACTACGATGAATGTAAGTAGGCTTGAAAGAAAAAGAATGAGTTGTTTTTATTCTTCGTGCGCAGGATTGTCGGCTGATTCGTCCATAACCTTGAGCTCCGTAATTGCCCCACGCTGCTTCATCAACTCGAGATCGATCGAACTCAACCCAACAGCACCGCCACCTTCGCTCTCACCGCAGACATTGGCATCTTCCAGAGAAAGCTCCTTCCTCCCAGAACTCCACAAAAGCAGCAACGAGTAACCGCCCTTTTCCTTCTCGATCAGCTTCCACACCCTCACCGACCCCAGATCGATCGTTGCCAGGTAATGCATGCCTTCAGAATCCTGTTTCCACTGTATCTCAAGGGTCAATCCAATCATTGACTGGAATACTCGCTCAAACGCTCCCGTCGACCGATCCCACAACCTGAACAGCCCATCCCTATCTCCTGAAGCGATGAGGTTCCCGTCGGGCGAGAAGCAGCAGCAGATGATGTTCAAGTAGATCTCCTCCTGTCGATCAATGGGCTGACCGGATTTAGGATCCCAACACCGAAGGATACCGTCGCCGGGTGAGATGGATATGAGTTCCTGTCCGTCCATGGAGTAAATCGCTTGGGTGAGGCCTTCTGGATGTTCCATGATGAAGAGTAGGTCTCCTGTCTCGGCGTTCCATAATCGAGCTGTCCCATCGTCGCCGCAGGACGCAATCTGGTGGCCGCTTGGGGAGTAGACAACTTCCATAATAACATCGGTATGACCCTCCAGAATAAACTTAGGCTCCCCCGTTTCAACGTCCCAAGCTCGAAGAGTCAAGTCCTGGCCGCCCGAAACTAGTTGGTGTCCGCTGGGAGAAAATGCCACAGTCAATCCATATGATGTGTGGCCCTTGAAAATCCGCAGACACTCTCCTGTCTGAGCGCACCAAAGCTGCACATCATGCCCAGAGACAGAGGCGACCCGCTTTCCGCATGGTGAAAATTCCACCGCCTGAATCATGTCGGTAGAGCTGGTCATAGTGGTGATTGAGTTGCCGGACAACGTCTCCCAGACACATATCGCGCCGTCGGTGTTTCCCGTGACAATGTATTTGCCGTCTGGAGGTGAGAGAGCAACACATCCCCAGCCGTCAGTGTCGCTCTCTGAGAACCCATCCGGCGAACTCTCCCCTTCTCCCGCTTTCCAAAGCCGCACGGTCCAGTCCCATGAGCCCGATACTAAATAGTCTCCTGCTGGCGAGAAGTCAACACTGGTGACACGGAACAGGTGGCCAGTGAGCGTGTTTAGCAGCTCACCGTTTTGAGGGTCCCAAAGACAAATAGTCCCGCTGAGACTGCAGGAGGCTAGCAGATGGCCGTTCGGGGAATAGGCCAAGCTTTCGACGGCGTCGACGTGACCGACAAACCCGTGGGTGTTCTCGCCAGTCTCGGCATCCCAGAACCCAATACCCCCGTTGGAAGCACCGGACGCAAGTTTACGACCATCGGGGGAGTAGGATACAGAGACAACACCATGCTTGTGTCCATTAAAGACTGTGACCAACTCGCCCGTCTGAGCGCTCCAGGTTCGCAATGTTTTGTCCTCGCTGCAGGATACAAGTTGGGATCCGGTTGGTGAGAAGGCGACGCGGTTGACAGACTCGGAGTGACCGCTCAAGGTATGAAGGGACTCGCCAGAAGAAGTTGACCAAACTTGTAACGTGGTGTCCTTGCTTGCGGTGGCTATCAGCGATCCGTCCGGCGAAAAGGCAATGCTGGTAACCTCATCACTGTGACCAGACAAGGCGAGTCGGAGCTCACCGGTCAGAATGTCACCGACCTCCACGACGTTGCTCTTGTGACGACTCTTGGCGAGCTCTTTTGTTGTTGGCGAAATTGCAATGACACCTGCTCCAGGGTGACTGGCGGTCCTGGTCCATGACGCGGTGCTGAATATGTCGATCCCAGTCTCATTTATCGATACAGCGAGTAGTTCTCCGTCATACGAAAGCACACAGCCCTGGACCTCCTTATCCATCCTGAGATATGGAAGCTCTCCAAACTGCACTCCTGTCATCCGCGTCCTGTTGAGGTTCGCCTGTCTCAACCATGTCTTGCTCAAGTTGGCGCCACTCAGATCTGCTCCTTCCAAATCTGCAGAATCGAAAGATCCTCCGCGAAGGTCCGCTCCTGGAATCCTGATGCCGCTTAGGTCGGCTCCGTTGAATCGTGTCTCCGCCTTGACCAAGATCGAAATCGCATTTGACCCCGCCTGGCCACCCTGCTCATCCACCTTGGAGTCTTCGACCACAGCGAGAAGCTGCTCCTTGAACAGAAGATCCGTCTCTGTACGCTCGGCCAAGAACTGTAATACGGACGGCTCACCAACAAAGTTCCTCTGCGACAGCTTGGTTTTGGGATCTGCAGGCACCGAGCAGTCATAAGATGATGCGTCAGGATCGTAGTCGAGAGGATCGTAGACTGTGCGGGAATAAAAGTACTCCAGAAGAGATCGATGGATGAAGCGGAAGTGGCGGCCAGACCTTACCACGGTGCTGCACTCCCGTAGTACCTTGGTGTGCGCGTCGGGACTGAAGAACGAGGACTTCCAGGACTTGTTATCGCGGAGATGAGTGTAGCTGACGACGGGCTGTCCTTTCTGCTCCTTGAAGATCGCCGCTGCAAGATCCTTTTGGAACTTGATACCGTGGTAGAGAAAGCCGTCGTCGAGGATCATATCGAATTCCGAACGCTCGCTCTCGCTCAATGTACTGCTCTCCAACCTCCGCTTGTTGACTTCGAGCCATCGTTTAACGAATCCATCGTACAACTGAACGCGGGTTATCCGGATAGTCGAAAACTCCTTCTTGGATCCAATAACCTCCGGCAACGCCTTCAACGACAAAGTCAGCAAGAACGGATTCGACACCAGCTCCATCATCTTGGGAATCTTGGTCAGCCTCTCCATGTACTCATCCTTTGTCCATATTGGTCGCGCATGAACATCGTCGTCCGCTGACAACTCCTTGACGTATTGGTCGACATACTGCTCAACTTGGGCCTTGGTGAAAGGCGCAATCACGGCTTCCAGCAGGAGATCGGACGTGGAATGAGCAGAGTGGTCAGTTGGTCGAGGCTGAAACCGAGAACGATAATCCTGCCCCAAGTACTGGCTCCGGCAGCTGACAACCATCTTGACTTTCCATTGATATGGCTGGTTGAACGCATTGCCAGTATGGAGGTTGGTCTTGAGCTGACTTTCGTCGTATCCGTCGCAGATGAGAATGAACTGTCGGTGCAGCTTAAGCTCCTGGATCTGCTCCTCCGAAAAGTTTTGATGGTCCAACTCTTTGCCGATAAGGTCCTGCGTCGGGTTGTCGATGGTGGGGAGGTTGATGTAAAGTGGAATGGGTCCGTAGGGTTTGTAGCTCGTCCATAGTGTGTGCTCTAGCTTCTGACTGAATGTCGACTTTCCCGCTCCTGAATCGCCCAGCAGCAGCATCACTTGTTGAGTACTCTCAACAAACTCGAGCACCTTCTCCATCAGCGGAAACAAGGTGGTCTCGTCAGACTTGAGGCTTGGCTTGGCTTGTGGCGGGATGTACAATGATCTGGTATGACTATCCATGCGTTGGTGTCTCAAACTGTGAATATCGCACTCGACATCAGGAATAGCAAGCACTCGAGCAAGTAGTGGCGAAGTCGACGGAACGGGCAGGCCAGCCTTAATTGGATACGGACTGAGAGGGCCTGCCACGATGTCACGGTAGAGGCCCTGCGTGGTAGCGTTGCCTCCCTTCTCCAGGCTTTGGAGTACTGATTGGGCGTAGTCTGAAATAGATAGGTCGGACAGGGCAACAAGCTTGCGGAGAATCTGTAAGATCCAAGATTCAACCTCATCGTTGGAGGTCCTGATGGCATCGTCTTTGTACAGCGCAGCAAGTAGGTCGACAGCTTGTTGACGAGTGGCGACCTCCCACTGCGAATCGACAGCAATCTCTCCAAGGATCTTATAGACGCCCCATTGGAACTCGACGTCTCGACGGCAAGGAGCCTCAAAGATCAGGCGGTTGAAATCTGCCAGTCGGCCGTTGCGGACGTGATCCTGAGCTTCACGCAACGCGGCGTACCAGAGTAGACGTCCACCAGACAGGACTCCTCCTTCCACGCTCGCGAAAATGTCCTGTCCGCTCTCACGTATCGACTGAATGCCGCCGAGCATCTTGGCACCGACTTCAACGACCTCCTCGACGGTTTTGACCACCTCCCCAGCTCCCTCCGTGAACCCACTAATATCCAGCTTGCACACACTTGCAGCTCCTAGAAGGCCCATGGTGATGTTTCCTGCATGCCGTAGCATGAACTGCCGGCGTGTCTCGTCGTTCGGAACATGAAGCAACGCCTGCAGGGCATAGGCTGCTTGATGCTTGAGGTACGGATCCGAGATGTTCACCAATTGACCCAACAGCGCAGAGAGGGGCTCGTGGTTAACGACACGGTTCAGTTCTTGGACCTTGCCCTCGACCATAACATCCAGGAGGCAAGAGAGCGCCAAGGTCAGATAATAAGGATGATTAGTCGATTGCTGATGGGTCTCCTGTAGACGAGCTCGAAGGACAACGAGGATACGGACAAGGTCGTCGGGGAGGAGATAGTCGGGCTGAGCGCATTGGACAAGGTGGACGAGTCCATGAAGCAAATCGATGTCCAACAGACTTGTTGTCTCGAACTCGGCGATGAAGCTGTTGAGCAGCTTGCGGTAAGCTTCCTGACCGAGAAAAGAGCCGAGGAGAACGACTTCAGCGATCTTGTCCGACGTCTTGAGCCTGTCCGCCGCAAACTCTTCAACGACCCTAGTGACCAGCCAGCGAATCTGAGCCCTCTCATCCTCGTCCTGAAGGATCGTGTCCACTGACGTGTGCTGAGCGGAATCCAAAGCAGTGGCCCTCGCAGAGTCCAAAGACGATGACAAATGAGGGTGGAGCAAACTGCTGCAATAGGCCAATTGAGCCGTGGTCTCGAGGCGGGCGCCTAGGGGAGGCAATGAGACCAGGGGAGATGGCACGTTGACGTTTTGAGGGAAAAGATTTAGATAGTGCTGGGCGGTGTGTTGACGCGAGAGTAGAGATGCTACATTGGATTCTGAGGCGTCCGGATTAGAAGATGACTTCGAGATGACTGGGGCTGCACCCGATGAAGCGTTGTTGTTGTCGAAACTAGTGGGCGATGAGGCAGTCGATGGTTTTGATTCAACCAGGAGCAATGGTTGCAGGCATTTAACGTTGGGTTCGCCGGATTCTGCCGTGTCGCTGTGTTGGTATTCCTGAGGGGCAAGCACTTTAGTCATCCCAATTTGAACAGCTGCGAGTCCATTAAATACTGTCCGATCTTTGGGATTGACACTGGCACAAAGAACTTTCATGGATGCCTGCTCGAGTCGAACGAAAGGTGATCCTTTGGGGCACACTGGTCCTGATTGAACTCTCGAGATTGTTGTCGAGCGTAAGTTCTCAGCCAACTTTTCCTGCCCTGAGGTCGTCATGGCGATGTCGGCGCGTGTTATATTGTTTCCTATTAAACATGAAGGAAAATAAAAATGAGTGAGAAAGAGCTCACATATTTGTCTTATCGTTGTCATTTCGAGATTTCTTATCAACACAGGTACAATGTACCCAGCTAACACTCGGCTAACGCTCGGCTAGCACTCGAATAACAGCCTCAGCCAACACCCAGCTAACACCCAGCTAACACCCAGCTAACACTCGGCTAACACCCAGCTAATACACGGCTGATACAGTATCTCTGGTTCTCGCAGTGGGGAACGATTGAATCCTACTTCTCTCACGTCTGCTACGACACTTTGGATACATACTTTTGTCGCGATAAATAGCTCTATGTCGGCAAATTGTAGGAAGACAGCTAGCACTCACTACGTTGCGTGATGGTAATAGGCGACGTATCTAATAAAACGAGGATAAAGCCAATGATTAGAGACCACCACTCACAGGATTGCAATTGCTCATGTATGTTACCCCGTACAATTCGTGCGTACCTGTCGGGGTTTGACACTAGGCTTATGTGTGAGCTTGCGAGATTCGAAGAAGGATGGCCTGTGGTTGTCGCCCAGGCAATTGGGTCGTGAAAGGTCGTACTCGTTGTGGACGGGGTGGGGGTACAGCCGCTGTAAGTAAGGTGTCGCGTTTGCTGTCAAGGATGCTCCTAACGGTTGTTACTCTCTTTCTTCTGCAGAATAGAATTACAACCAGAGGGTGGGGGGAGTGAAGCCACGTTCAGAGGTAAGGGTGATGAGGATGAATGAGGATGAATGAGCAGACGTAAAGAGTAGAATGCACTAAGTGGTGGAGATGGAATCGCAAGGAGAGGAAAAAGAGAAAAAGGGAAAACGGATGGAGAGACGTCAAAGTCGACCCATGGGACAAAGTGAGCGTCACTTTTTTGATTGTTTGTGGTAGACCTTTGCGCCCTGCTGTTGATGTTGTTTTGCCCTATCGAACCCAATGCAATCAAGCGCAAGCCTCGCTCTTTCTTTCGCTTTCTTTCTCTTTGCATTCGGTGGCACAGACCATGATGACAGAGAGTGTAGAGAAGCACAGAGGGATCACAACCAGGATACGAACTGGTCAAAACCCCTTCACCTCGCGTGTTCGTAGCACTGAAGGCGAGGCTAGGGTGTTTCTATTCCTGATCAAAGACTCCGTATCTAAGACATCTAGCTTCAGGGACGCGTCAAGGAGAGCTTGAAGTTGAAGGCGTTCGCCAACCATTTTATCGTGAAATACTGAACCACACTCGCGCAAACAAATAAAGAGATGATGAGTATATGTAAACTCCACGTACTAGTAGCATTCATTCTTCTCGCCAATCTGTTGTGGAGGAAACAACAATGCGCAAGAAACAAAAGAATACCTCCACAGTCGCGAAAACATCGCTTGACAGGTATAGATAGAGAGAAACCAATCAACCGGCAGCAGGGGTCAATTAAGCCGCCGTTGCCATTCAATCCAGTCATGAATATCCTGCTCCCCCATCCTTCTTCCAACACAGAGTAATAAGAACATTAATATGGTGACAGAGGCACGGTTGAATCCATCCCCGATCGCATACTTTTCTTCCTTCAGGTTCTAGGCTGCACATATGCTCACAACGGCCCATTCACACTCAGACATGCACTTGGCATATGAACATGACAACCACATGTTGGTAGACTATCAGGTCATGGGGAAAGAACAAAGAAATAAATGTGTGGCGGTGGAGGAACAAGAAGGGCCTCCCTTCTCTATCCTTCCTCCACCTTTTTCATTCTCCTCCCCTCATCTCCCACTCATTTGTCTTTTTTCAAATCTTGTCTGTACCTCCGCACCGGTACCTTCTCTGAATCACTCTTGGTGCTGTGAGTATATGAGAAATATTGACTAAGGCATTGGTGCAACCAGTCGAGGCAACACAACTTACAACAAACAAACCATCGATTTGTTGTCAATCAACGGTCCACCAAACACGACCCCTCAATCCTTTAGCATCTCCCTCTTGTCCATCATATTGCACAACAACAATCACGCCTGCGAGGACACGATGGAGAAAGGAACAGGTGTGAAAAAGAGAGAAAGATGGAGAACGAACAAGGGAGCAACATAACCGTTGATATTAGGTTGGGACTAGATTTGTGTTTGCTTCCATGGTCAAGAAAGCCGAAAAAATATTCTTCGTACACTTGAGTACAAAATGCGGGTTCCTACTTGCTTTCATAATAAAAGATACGTAGCATGAAGGGTGTACACAATTCCATCTATATGAACTTGTGCCTCATCTCTCGATATTCTTTTCCTTCTCCACCACCTCCAATGTAACGTTCTTCTCAGAACTTATTTTGTGTGTTTCCAATGGCATCAAATCGGTCTTGCTCCTGTATCGTGGCTCACATTTTATCTCGCCACTTCCCTTTCTCCATGTCTCAACGCCCCAAGCTGGCCCGACCACTGTTTTCTATTTCTCCATCAGTCTTCAAGTCCATTGTCCTAAACGACAACAAAGGGGAAAAGAAAAGAGTGTTAAAGGAAAAGAGTGTTACTGAACAGTCAAAACATGAACGATATTATATTTGAGTTCCGGCAGAACTTTGATGAATTTGTTCTGACGATCTGCTTGCTTTTATTTGGTTCCGTTTGTTTGCTCATGGTTGTGTCCGTTTCCGTTTGTTGATTCTTATTTTCCTTTTTTCTTCTCGCACTCAAGAGAAAAGGGTATAGTGAAGAATGCTCATTTCATTTTTGAGTTTTCTGTACCCCTTCGCCCTTCTCTGCCACTGGATGGATATTCATTGCAGATAGAACTGTGTCAGAGCATGATCCCCCCCCCTCAATTCTCCGGTTCTCCATATTGGATAAACACCCAATTGAAATACAAAACGCTTTTTTTTCTTCCTTTCTTTTCTCTATCTCAGTTCGACAGTGTGTGTCCACATCCAGGCCTAACTTGATGTGGAAAAAAAACAATCGTTCTGAGAATTGCTCAGATGTCAAGTAGGGATGAAGACGGAAAGGTTGTTGGGTGCTTAAGTCGATGGGCGTTTGCATGGATGGGCGTTTGCGCATTCGATCGTTCGACTGTATTGACATATGTGAATTGGTGTGGGGGTGACATGGAAGGACCACTCTCGCGACACTCCGCACCCCGCTCTCTCTCTCTCTTGTCTTGCCTTTGACAGGCCTTCGCTTTATTCATTGTTCGCCTTTCATTTCTTTTTCTTTTTCTTTTGCTTTGGCCTTTGTCCCTTTTTTATTGACCTCCTCCTTGGTTCTCTTTATTCCGTGTGCATTCGTCGCCGATAGACCTCCCATCCTCCACGTCCTCTCCTTTTCTCCACAATTATCAGACCGCCATGACCAACAAACACCTCCCACAACCATCATGGCGAGCCAGACGCCAAATCTTCCTCACTCTCGCAACCCTCCTTTTCACGACCCTCTCCTTCATCCCCCTCATCTCCTCAGCTCCAGCTACCACAACTACATCACTCTCAACCACAGCAGTAGTCGTCCCACCAACGGCAACAACCAACTTCAACCTCCCTACATCTGCCCCAGCTTCTCCCACAACCTCCACCTCCGCCTCCTTGTCAGGATGCCCTCCACCAATGGTCCCCAACATCTACAACCTAACCACTCTCGGCTGCTCCGGTTCCTGCTGCATCCCCTGCCCAGTCTCCTCAGTATTCTATGAACCGCACAAACTCGAAAACGTCTACACCGTCACCAGTGTCCTCCGCTTCCTCTCTGCCGCTGCGTGCATGTTCCTGTCTATTTGTTACCTCATTCTTCCGAGTCGTCGTAGACATCCACATTTGATTGTCCTTTTGTTTGCGATGTTGATGGTTCCGTGGGAGGCGCTGGGGACGGCGTGGTTGTTTAAGAAGGAGGACTTGCTGTGCAAGAATGTTTATGAGATTGCAGATTTGACCAATTCGTGGTTCTGTGGTGTCCAAGGTACACAAGTGCTTCGTGGTAGTTTATCCGCGTTTGATTACTTGTTTCGGATTGTGTGTAACATGGCATGCGGCGCAACGAAAACACTAACATGCTTTTGTGTTCATCTGCACCAAAACTAGGCGTGTTACTCCATTACATCGTACTGGTCATGCTCTGCCTCGGCTTCCTCTTAATTGCCAACCTGCACCTCTTGACCGTCTACAGATCTTCACTCATCCAAGGATCACTCTCAAAACTCATGGGCGTCTCTTTCATCCTACCCCTGGCTCTGGTCATCCCTGTCATTGTCAAGAAACAGATTATGAACCCTGGGTTTGGGTCCGTCTGTTTTGTTGGACCCGACGTTGCTAGTGCTTTCTTATTTTATCCTCTTTCTGTCATTGTTTGTGTGGCTACGTTGTTGCACTTGGGAACCATTGGATTCATGATCAAGGTAAGTTTTTGTAAAGAACTTTGAACTACTCAGTTTCATTACGGACTGTAGGGTCATTTTCGCTAACACTTCGGCTTTTACATGGACTTTGTTGAATTAGACGGCGGTGCAGGCAAACTCATCTAGCTCAGTCAGCAACTCACACTCCCGCAGCAACGGTAACAGCTCCACTGGAAACAACAACCCTGCCAACATGACCGCCCGTCAACGCCGCCTCCAAACCGCCCGCGACATCTCTCAACTCCTCAAACAACAATGGCGCCCTGGCCTCTTCGCCCTCTGGCTCCTCGTTATCGACATGATCTACTGGCTCTTCTATTTCATCGAAGCCAAGAAGCTCCTCTCCGTTGGTCCCAGCACCATCTGGTTCCAACAATGGGTTGCCTGTCTTGCCGAACAGGCCGTTGCGTCCATTAAAGCGGGGCGTCTTTCTATGACTAACCCGACTCCGGACCAATTTATTGCGGCTGGTGAGGTTGCGCAGAGAACGTGTGCGGCGATTGCTGAGCCATTTGTGCCGAACTTTGCGTGGGCAGCGCTTTCCGATATCTTACCGGCGTTGTTTGGCATTGTGATCTTGATCATCTTTGGGTCCAAACTGGAGCTGTGGCATGATTTGAGGGAGCGGTTGTTTGGTAGGCGTGGCGCGGATGGGGGTAAGTTCATGATGGTTGATGTCTCCAAGGAGAGTCGCGACAAATTGTACGCCAAGGGACCATCATCTGGCGCTCACAGGGACAACACGCCTTCCCCTTCCCCCGCTGGAGCTCTCACATCTGCTTCAGCTGCCGCTACTGCTACTACTACCAACCCTCATCGCCAAGAACGATACAGACGCGACTTGAAGGTAACAACCCAACAACCCGACGACGGCTTCTATGTTGAGGACCTCGCCCACGTCGACAACCCCTACGGCAGCCAGACAAACCTAACCCCCACCAACGAAATCTCCTTCAAAAAGACCAACAACGGCGGCCCCATCCTCAAGAACCAAACCGAGTACAGCAACAACCTTGCTTCCCTCGGAAATAGCGGTGGCTACCGTACAGAAACCCCCGAGCCCTGGAAACCCTCAGCCTGGGCGACGACGGCCACTAAGGCCAACGCCAACCCTTCGCCAGATGACTACTCGATCCAAACAGCCTACCGCTCAACATCCCCACAGCTCCGGATCAACACCCACAGCTCACCCTCCCAAAGACCCGTGATAGTAGGAGGAGGAGGAGGGGGAACCTTGTCACCCCTATCACCACACAGACAATTCTACAACAGCGAAGATCTGGACGCCGCTCCTGTCAGTTTGACAACGCCACCACCCACATACAACTCCAACTCCAGTAGAAACGCGTACAGAGGACCGGTGTCTCCACGACAGAACAAGCGGAATAGCAACAGCGCCTATAACAGCAATCAGTCCAACGCCACGTTTATGAGCGAGACCAGTCGTGGCAGAGCAGAGTACAATGCCGATCCCAGACTCCAGCAATACCATCAGCAACAGGAGCAGCAACCACAGGAGCCGATATCTCCTACTCGCGCTTTGTCACCACCACCATCACGACCTAATAAGAACATGGCTCGCAACAGATAAACCCCTCCACTCCTCCAATACCAAACACACACTCCTCTCGTAATATATCTCAGTTAAAAACCCCAATTGTATCTCGGCGGGTAGACTTGACCATGTCCGTGCTCATTCGTTCTTCTCTTTATTCTGTTGCCATTGCCTTCAGCAAATTTGTCCTTCCGAACTGTGAGGGAAGTGAAAGAGTGGCTGTGTGGAGGGTGACACCGCACAGGCACAAAATGATCAAGCAAGTACAAGGGCAGAAGGTATGATGTATGGAAAGGATTGACTTTTGGGACCTTTGTGTATGAAGCGTCCCAAGTATCATGACCCATTTTTTTTATCATTCAATGGCACTATTCAACCCTTTCCAAAAAAAAAAAAAAACTCATTATTTGCAGGCCGTTTTGTAGGAAGATATTTTTTCTTTTCTTCATCTTCAGACAGTAAGGGATCCACCACCCATCGAGTCACTCTACGAGTCCGTTTTTCCCTTTGTGCGTTGCCTGGCGAAGCCAGTTGAGCGGTCATTTAATAGTAAAATAGAAGAAAGAGAAGACAGAATAACACGCCTCTTTACTTTCCTTCAAGAGTCCTTGTCCAATCCCAAGCATTCCAAGACTTCTTGAACGCCTCAACGCGTCTCGGATTATCCGCCTGCGGGATCCGCTTATTATCCCGTCTCCGCCACTGAGTCGAATCCATCTCACAGACAGAGGCCAGTACCTCCTTCACGAAATAGTCCTCGAAACGATCTGCATCCTCAATGACGTGGCCATAGCCCTTGTCGGGTGATCCGAGCCAGACATGGACAAAGGGCATCTTGCTGGTTAAGCGTCTTCGGAATCCTCCGTTGGCTGCCACCTTTGCGTCCGTCTCGATCAGCTTCTTGTGTTGCGACCATTCCTCGTCCGCGCTCAAAATTGCTTCCTACAAAAGGGGTAAAAGAAAATTAGGCAGCCAGTTAGCATTTGGTTAGGCAAGTCAAAGAAAGGCAAACATGATGCATGTATCAAGCATATTACCTTGAAGTATCCAGGAGCGGCTTGACCGGCCTGCCAGGGGATAGGAATACACTCGATCACAGTATGCTTCTGCCACTTGAGGTTAATCACAGTCTCGGAAAATATCATGGCCTTGTCCTCAGCAGCATTCATCTGGATCAGACACTTCATAAAGTTGCGGATCTCGTCCCAGGCGTCGTCATCGAGTTCCAGAGTAGAGGTAACATGCTGAATGGGTACAATCATACAGTGACCGGGCAAAAACTCCTTGTACTGCGGTAAACCCAAGTAGGTGCGCGTGCCCATCGAAACCACAGCCATTTGAGGTGGAGTCTTGCCGTCGTCCTTGTAGCACATGTTGCATCTGTCGAGCGCAGTCTGGGTCTTGCGGTAGTCGTTGACAGCAGAACTCTTGATCTGCGCGTCGTTCTTCTTGACCGTCCGCGCGATCCTGTCAGCATTGTCATCCAGATAATCATTGTCCTCCTATATATTTAGCTCTTAGTTAGTAACTTGTACAATATCCACCCACAATGTTTGACAGCAGCTACAGGTAAGCAACTTACCCGGAAGGCGGCATCGCGAGTGATTCGTCGTTCAAGCTCTCTGTCCATGCTGTCTTCCAGTCCCAGCCTCTCTCGACGCACCAGCTCGTGCAGATCCAGATCATTCTCCTCTCCATCATAGGCGATCCGGTTTCCCTGCTCGTCGTGCGTCACCTCCTTCTTCTTCTTCTTTGGTGGTACATTACCAGCACCCAATGGGGCTGGCGAAGACGACCCACTTCCACGGCCCATGGTCTGGACAACGACAATCCTGTTAGATTCTGGTGCTGGTGCTGGTGGTCTTGATGCGGCCTCAGAAACGGCCTTTTGTGCCTCCTCAAACTCCTTCTCCAGCGCATCAGCGTCAGGCATCCCCAACATCTTCGCACGCATCGCCTTGGCTCTCAGCTTATTCAACTGATCCGCCGTCATAGTGGGCTCCGCTGCTGAATGGTTCGGGATGGGCGAGGAGACGTGAGTCGCAAACGGTGAGGGGATAGGAGTGAACCTCCGCTCTTGTTCTTTCTCCTGCTCCTTATCCTTTAACCGCCTAGCCAGTTCTTTCTCAAGACGCTCTTCCTCATCCATAGGTCGCTGGAAGGGAGACGATGCTGCTGAGCTGAACTCTGAGAGACGACCACTCCTTGAAGGCTTGTTGTCTCTTTCGCGTCGATAGTCGCTATCATCACGTCGTTTGTCATCTTTTCTGTTGTCTCTGGAATCCCTGCTGTCCTTGCTATCATCCCTCCTGTCGCCTCGGCGTTCCTTCTTCTTTGTGCTCCTACGATCCAACTCCCTGCGCTCATGCATAGCCTCGTCGAACTTCTCTATTGACTTTTGGACAAAGGTAGTAAACGAGGTAAACGAGTTAGGTTGTGATTCAATGAGTCGAATGTCATTTGCAAGGTACAGGTAAGAAATGGCAAAGAGGCATACCCCATATCGCTCAACGCCGACAATCTCAGGTGCAACACCTCTCTCCTCCGCCGACTCCAAGACACGCTTCAGCTTTGTCATTCTCCATGAAGATCCTGCGTCTCCAATGGTATACGATGGTTTTTCTACGACATAGACAAATCCAATCACCCTCATGTTAGCTACCTCTTTTCATTTTATAATTCCATACTCCATGCTCAGAGATATTCCTGACATACCTTGGACGGGATACTGGTCAACATGAAGTCCAGACTTGAGGTGAATGTTGAGCTCGCGCTCACTAATGTAGATCTACAAGTTGACAAAAGAACGCATTGAGTAAGTAGCCGCTTCAAACACAAATGGTATGTAATATGTAAATTCCTGTGAGAATACGGAAAGGAGTCGATATGTACCTTATCTGGGTTAGGTTTATCTTCTTTGGGCTTCTTGACCTTCAATGCGCCCATGAGTCCGAAATCCATACCGCCAGCGTCCGTCATCCAGCTATCGCGTTTAGGACCCTTGTCAGCCACCTCATCGAGTTCTGCAACCTCATTGTCTGTTGTGCTCGACTTGAGCTCTGGCTTTGATGCTACTGAGGTCGCGGGGGCAGGTGCACTTGACACGGATGCAGAGACCTCCTTCTCGACCCACATGTCCTCGTCGTCCTCAGCCATATCAACGTCCTCCTTGTCCTTATCCTCCTTGCGGCTCCGTGAACCTCTTTCTCGATCTCTGTCGTGTCTTGAGGATGACGGTTTGTGGTGGCTTCGTCTGCTGTGCTTGTCGTTGTCGTCTCTGTCGTCGTCACGGTCATGGTGGCGTGACTTTGAGGACGAGGACGAGGACTTATGTTTCTTGTGGTGGTCGCTGTCGGCGTCGTCGTCGTTGCGGTGGCGGTCATGGTGTCTGTGTTTCCTGTCTTTATCTCTGTCGTTGTCTCTGTCTGCTTTCTTGTCGTGGTCGCGACGATGGCTACTGCCGCTGCCTCTTGAGGATGAGTCCATGCTTGCTTGTCTGTGGAAGAGAGGGTAAGAGAGCGTGTGAAGGAAGGTTTGAATGAAAAAAAAGAGGTCGCGGCGCGCAAGTACCTCTCAGCGGGTGGCTTTGCCCTATGTTGTGGCTGCTTTTCTCACTTCAGTCAAAAAAACTGATCAACTTTCCCGCGAACAAAAGAAAAAGGGCCGAAAGAAACAAAGCCAAGCTCATTCCCCTCGACCTTCAAGCTCAGGAATCAATTCAACACTAAAAAAAAACCATGTCAACAGCGCTCAGGAAAGCTCTCTCGGGGGCATCGATTACCGCCACAAGGACAGTAACCACAGCACCCGCCTTTTCACTCACACCCTCAAGATCAGCTCTCTGCTTCCGCCACAGGACCCTCTCAACCCTCCTCCTCCCAAGCCCAGACCAGGGCCACCCCAACAACAACAACAACAACAACAACTCCAGAAGTTACTCGACCAAGCACAGGGGCCGTAGGAACAAAGATCACAGCAATGACGTCTTTGACAACAACTACTCCCCCTCAGCAGCATCGACACGTCCAGGGAAGGATGAATACAACGGCGACCCGGGGCTTTACCGTATCTTCTTCCGAAGCCCGGACAAGATGCGGAGTCTGGAGGAGGCCCAGGTTTTTATCAACCATATCAAGTCGAGCTATGGACCCTTGACTCAGTACCAGTTTGCGAGGGTAAGCATTGACTTGTTTTTTTCGCAGGTTAATTGGAAACTTGCAGAGCGAGGACATGTTCCTACGTGGAAACAAACAATGAACTTACCTTTCAACATTTTCGTTCCCGAAATGGAAATAGTGCCCAGAGACGAGAAAGTACTTTGGATATGGATTCATGACATTCAAGAACAAGGACTCGCTAGACAAGGCCCTAGAAGATGCATACATCCGTGTTGGCATGAAGGACTTTGAGCTGATCCGATCCGATAACAATAACCGCAACCGGAAACCTATCAAGGTCAAGAATACGGGATTCTCGGGGTTCAATGATCTGGAGGAACTTCGCGCCAAGAAGAAGCAGGAAGAGGAGAAGAGTAGGATAGCTACTGAGGAGGTGGAAAAGGAGGAGGTCAAGGAACAAGTGGTCGTTGAGGAGAGCGGGACTACTTTCGCCTCGGCATTACCGTCATCATCATCAGCAGAAGCAACATCGGCAGCAACTCCAACCGACAACAGCAGCGACGACGACACACGCCCCTCAGCATCAAAACCCTACTTCGTCCCTCTCCAAAAGAAGGGCATGGCCCAGCTCTGGAAAATCATCCCAAACGAGATTGAGCGCGCAGAACAGACCTCCAAACAAGTAGATGAATCGGAACAGGAACTTCCCGTCGCCCCAAAGGTTGACAGCAAGAAACTTGCCGCAGAGCTCGTTGGAGACATCCTGGACAGGAAACCATAGATCCGCTCACCAATAAAATAAAACCAGCATTTCAGCATACAACAGTTGGGAAAGGCCGTGTTTTTATGACACAAGGCGCTGCACGCGCTCAAGGGCGGTCATACTGGCATCTAGACTGGTCCGGCGACATATCAATAGCTCGGACTTTGCAGCTTCTTTTTGCTCTTGGAGTAGCAGCAATAAGTATTCGAGGCTGTTTGGTGCCGTGTTGCGTAAAAAGTCGTTATCTTGCGACATCACCGCCTGTGCTACCTCTATCACAGTCTACGACGCAACAACACAAAAATTGAGGGAAGTATTAGTTTCTATTGTAGCATGAGAGGAGGGAACACGTTTAAGTTTTCAAGAGCATGTGTGAAGGGTACACATCATACCTTTACATCCTGGAAGGTCGGGATATCGCAACTCTCCAACATGCTGATAGCCCTTTGCATCCTGACAAAGTCGCCAGTCTCCATGGCAAGTAGCAGCGCCTGGAACAGATCCCATGCCCCTTCCTCCACTTGCTGCTCCTTCTCCTCTCTGCCCAAAGAATTCGTCGAGAACACCATCTCCGCAGATCGGATCAAACAAGCAGCAGCCGAGTAAGTGAGTCGAAGCCCTTTATGGTATATCACAGCCATGCTCCTCAGTGCATCTATCGTTCCCGTAGAATCCCCGCTAGCTTCAGATAAGGCCACAACCAATGCAAAAAGCGTGAGTGCAGTCTCTCCCACGAAGCGGTCGTCAATTGTCGAGCCCTTGCTTGCAGATGAATGAACTCCTGAAGATGTCTGACTCAGCATGCTGGCGCTCTCTTTCAGGATTGTCAGGAGTTTGAGGTTAGGGTCTGCTGGCTTCTTTGCTGGCGCTTCTGCGGTGCTGGGTTGGGTTGGTACTGGAGGGGGCGGTGTCATGAGTTTCTCAGTCTTTGAGTGTGCTGAAAGGTATTCCTTGCAGCGGTGGAGGTGTTGAGCTGCCGAGGTAGTATGTACCATCTACAAAGATGAAGGATTCCATGATGACAGTCAGCACTATACCCTCGATTGATTCCTGCAAAAAGCAAAATTGACCGACACGGGAGGGCTCATACTTCACATAGGCCCTGAAAGTCGTTGGGGTCGATCTGCCACCGTCCTTGAATAGCATCCAGATAGTATTGAAAGGCAAGACTCCGAGAGTGGTATACGATCAACCTGGCCATTGAGAGTCGAGATAGATACAGCGTCATCCCGATCTGTGTTGGCGAAAGTGATCCTGGTGCTGATGGTGGATCCGCCTGTAGTCCTGTAAGGATGGTGATCAAGAGAACAAGCACCTTCGCCGTTTCCTGACTCTGCCTGTATGACCACAACGCTACAAGAATAGAAATGGGCGACTGGGTTAGAACCTCTAATCAAAGGTACGCCCCAGCGAATGAACCAGACGCAGTCAGCACCTATACCTTTGGTGATCTTCCAGAGGACACTGGCGGCCATGCTTGGGTTCTCTTTCACAATCTTTTCGACTTTACGAAACGACATCAGTGCTTCGGTGACTTCTGGCGGATCCTGCTCCTCCACAGCTGTGTCTTGTGACTTTCGTTGTCTACCTTTGGCATTGTTGTTGTTTCCGCCCTTCTGTCCTCCGCCTTGACCTTTTGCTCCTCCACCACCCCCGCCGCCGCCGGACTTGTTCTTCTTCTCAGCATCCTTGACAGCCGCGATATGTTTGGCGCTCATTTGATGACTGTTCCAGGTTGCTTCGGATCCAAAAGACTTCTTGCAGGGCACACAATTGAACTTTCCGTCGGTATTGGCTCCCTTCTGTCGCTGTTGTTGTTCCTGAAGGGATCCTTGAGCGCGCGGTTGCTGTGTTGCTGATGGTCGATTGGTTCCTAATGCCGTTGTAGGTGTAGCTGCAGGTTTTGAAGCGACATCAATTGGTAGAGTACTGAAACGCGAATATTCAAGAACGAGGTCCAGAGAGTAAGGTCCTGGACATATGGGTATCGGAGTGAAGACTAAGCAGAGATCAAAAATATCAGGTTAGAACAATGCTGTTGTTACTGCAAAGGTCCTGCTTGTCACCCGAAGAGCGTTCATATAGTCCTTGAGCGCCATGGCTACAACAAGCGAATTCGTACTGTCTCGTGGGAGTCCTTTCTCGACCCTTGGTAGGGCAGCGATGCATTCGTCTGTGAGGGCCATGGTCGACGTTGATTCCTGAGTTGGTGTGTTGACCAGAGAAAGAAACCTTGGTCATTTTTTTTTTCAAGGCTTTACCTTGCAAATGTGACTGCGTCCAACAAATCGCCCTTCAAAACACCACACGAGTGCGGTGAATGAGGCGTCCTCTCTCTCTCTTTTTGCTTCTTTTATACGAATCCCCTTCCTTCATTCAAAACTCTTCATTTGCATCCATGTTCTCAGGAAACACCGACGGGTTCGACGTGTTCGACGAAGACAACCGCGAAGACTTTTCACACCTCACCTCATCCACGACACCACCAACAACAACACGCCGGCAGCATGCTGCTCCAGCTTTAACGAACGGAAAGCTCACCGATAGACAGCGGCGAGATATGGAGGTCCATATGCAAGACCCAGACAACAAAAACAACAGCGACAACAGCCAGAGCTGGACCCAGCCACAAGATGATGTTGACATGGATACCAACACCGAAGGACTGCTCGTGAAGGCTAATGAGATCGCCCCAACCTTCACCGACGAGTTTGAGGAGGACTTGCAGCGCGAAGTTGCTTACGCACCAGGATTGATGGCCGCCACCGAAGGAGAAAACGTCATCCTCAGTCACCAGGTACCACTTGATTCGCTTTCTAATGACTATGAACCGCTTCTTTTCGAATGAAGACAAGGATTAAAAGCACTAACAAGGAGCAACACGTTAATTAGGTCCGGCATCAAGTGGCACTTCCACCAGACTGGAACTACACGCCAATATCTCAGCACGTACCCAGGAACCCTCCAGCAAAAACATACCCATTCACTCTGGATCCTTTCCAAAAACTGGCAACATACTCGATTGAACGCGGCGAGTCGGTTCTTGTTTCAGCCCATACCTCAGCAGGAAAGACTGTCGTGGCAGAGTTTGCGATCGCGACAAGTCTCCAGAATAAGCAACGAGTCATCTACACAAGTCCAATCAAGGCACTGAGTAACCAAAAGTATCGGGAGCTGCTCGAAGAGTTCAAGGATGTCGGACTTATGACAGGAGATGTTACTATCAACCCGTCGGCGTCGTGTTTGGTCATGACAACAGAGATTTTGAGGGGAATGCTCTATCATGGATCGGAGGTGATGCGTGAGGTTGCTTGGGTTATCTTTGACGAGATTCACTACATGAGAGATGCAGGTAAGGCTTTTGCTGTTTTGTGTATACTTCAAGGCGAGGGATGTGAGAACACAACCTAACAGTGCCATTCTCGATACGAATACCTATTAGAGCGCGGAGTAGTGTGGGAGGAGACGATTATTATGTTACCGGCGCAGTGTCACTACGTCTTCCTGTCGGCGACTATCCCCAACGCGATGGAGTTTGCAGAGTGGGTGTGCAGGAACAAGGAGCAACCCTGCCATGTCGTGTACACCGATTTCCGACCTACCCCACTTCAACACTACTTGTTCCCCAGTGGAGGCGAAGGCATTTACCTTGTGGTAGACGAGAAGGGACAGTTTCGCGAGGACAACTTTAATCAGGCACTGGCGGCGATCGTAGAAGGCAACCCAAAGAATGGCAAGAAGTCAAAGTCGGGACCGAATAACCACAACAACAAGGTCAAGGGCGCTGGCAAAAAGGACATGTCCACAGGTATGGAATTCACTTAGGGCATGGTAAAGAGTGTTAGGAGTACGGAGTACTTATGTGGCTGAGATTTGCTCTCGTGCTAACAGAACTACATTGATATATGATTGTATAGACGGACCGTCAGATATCTACAAGATTGTCAAGATGATTCAGGCCAAGAACCTGTACCCGGTCATCGTGTTCAGCTTCAGCAAGCGGGAGTGCGAGGCGTTGGCGCTTCAGATGTCGAACCTGGGATTCAACAGTGACAAAGAAGGAAAACTGGTCTTGCAGGTCTTCAACAACGCCATCAGCTCGCTCCCGGAGTGTGACCGGACACTTCCTCAGATCATGCATCTTCTACCTCTGCTGCAGCGCGGTATCGGGATCCATCACGGAGGACTGCTGCCGATTCTCAAGGAGGTCATCGAGATTCTGTTCCAGGAAGGATTGGTCAAGGTTCTCTTTGCGACAGAGACCTTTTCGATCGGACTCAACATGCCCGCCAAGGCTGTCATCTTTACAGGGGTTCAAAAGTTTGATGGCGAGAAGATTCGGTGGGTGTCCGGAGGAGAGTACATCCAGATGTCAGGACGAGCAGGGCGACGTGGTCTTGATGACCGTGGGGTTGTCATTATGATGCTGGATCAAAAGATGGAACCTGCAGTGGCGCAGGGGATGGTCCTTGGTACGACAGACCCTTTGAACTCGGCGTTCTATCTGTCGTACCACATGATCCTGAATCTGATGAGGATCGAGGGGATCAGTCCAGAGTTCATGTTGGAGCGGTGCTTCTACCAGTTCCAAACCGCAGGCAACATCCCAAGAATCAAGCAAGATCTTTTGAAGTGGCAGACAGTCGTAACCAAGATCCAGTTCACGCCTGTAGAGGAATCGTCGCTGGAACAATACCACGACCTCAGGGTCCAGCTCGCGACATGTGCCAAGGAGATCCGATCTATTATTTACAACCCTCAGCACTCGCTCCAATACCTGCAGAGCGGAAGAGTCGTGAATATTGCTTTCGATAAGCAGCCGGTCGGATGGGGCGTCTTGACGGGATGCCATAAGGCAAGGCCAGGGCCAGGCAAGAAGGCAGCCGACTCTGCTGACGGCAACAAACCCGGGGCCTCGTTCATTCTGGATATTCTTCTCGCGTTTCCTCGGGACACCAAATTTGAGTATGGCTCTGGCGGAATTGTAACAGGAATCGAAGAGTCACAAAAGGGCAAGATGGTGGCACAGCCGACAGAGTTTGCAGCTATGAAGGTGTCATTGGATTCTGTGCGGTATATCGGCGCACCACTGATTTCTCTTCCCAAGGATATCCGTACGAGTCCTGGATCGCGCGCCAATGCGTTCAGAGCTCTTCTCGAGCTCCAACGGCGGTGTCCAGACGGGATCCCGATTCTTGACCCAGTGGAGGACATGGGCATTCGGAGTCCAGCGCTTCAGCGCGTCATCCGCCAAGTTGAGACACTTGAGGAGTTGCTCTACAAGCACCCCATGGCGAACCTGCAAGCAGGAAACAACCAAGCCATGTATGAGCAGTTCCTCGCGAGGAGTGAGGCGAAGGCCAAGATCAGGTCGCTCAAGGCTACACTCAGCAAGGCCGTGGCGGTTACCCAGATGACGGAGCTGAAGGATCGGAAGCGAGTCCTCCGGCGATTGGAGTTCACGACAGCATCCGACGTGGCTGTGGTTAAGGGTCGAGTTGCTTGTGAGATCAACTCAGGAGATGGGTTACTGTTGACCGAGCTGATTTTCAACGGAACGTTCCGCGAGTTGACGGTAGAGCAGACGGTGGCGCTGATGAGCTGTTTCTGCTTTTTTGAGAAGCTGGACGCACCCCCTGCCAAGCTGAAGGAGGTTCTATCGGTGCCGTTCAAGATGTTGCAGGAGAGCGCGAGAGCCATAGCCAGGGTGGAAGTGGAGTGCAATATCCCTAACGTGGACGTGGACGTGTATGTGCAAAAGTTCAAGCCCGACATGATGGACGTCGCCTTCGCCTGGGCCAATGTAAGTGAAATGTCCCTTTCTATTATTTTTGTTGTTCGGTGTAAAAACGGTGCGATCGGATGCGCGTGAATTGCTTACGCCTATTTTTTCTTGGTTCAACTCTAGGGTGCCTCGTTTGAAGAGATTAATACGATGACTGATGCGTTTGAAGGATCGATTATCAGGATGTTCAGGCTGTTAGACGAGCTGATGAGACAGATGGCGGCAGCCTGCAAGTCCCTCGGCAACGAAGAGCTGGAGAAGAAGTTCCTGGATGGGATCAAGAGTATCAAGCGCGGCGTTATTTTTGCAGCGTCGTTGTACCTCTTCTAATACAGGTTTGCTTCTTGTCTGTGTATTGCCCATGTACCATAGCGTTCTTTTTGTCATTGAATAAAGAACAAACTTGTGGACCTTTCCATGTCACACCTTCGTCTTTGGACGCAAGCCGTTAGATAGTGCCTGCCAACGGTGTTTCCTCGTACTGTTATGACCTTCTTTCCTGCTTCTAAGATCCAGCGGTGTGGAATTGATATCCAGACTTCCTTTGCATACAGGGGACAAGCGACCAAGGAGAAGCGCACCACTGCTGCCTGTTGGGTAGCTCACGTTCGAGTTTCCCTATGCTATAGCACCAAGGAAGACGATTAGCTAGGATGGACAAGGCAAGTGGGTGGTCCCAGGTGTCGCCCATCTCCTTGACGACAATGTATGGATTTCTGTTCTTTATCACACTCGTTTCGACCCCTCCCTCCTCCTCCTTGACTTCGGAGACATTTATTCTTCTTTCTCCCTTCTACTGCTATTGTTACTTCCAATTCTGCTTCCCTCACCAACATATTCTCGCATCCTTTTCTCCTTTCGTAATCTTGCGTGTTTCTCGTACCTTTCTTCGCACCTTGTTTTCTCCTCTCGCTACCCTTCGCCTATGCCTCCGTCTTCGTCGTGTTGTTCCTTGGAGTGGAGTGAGTCCCTTTCGCTACACCATTCCAATTTCGCTGTGGCCCCCTTGATCGAAAAACTATCCTATATGTCCATGGTGTTCCTCGTCGTCAGGTAAAGAAGGAATGTTGGGATGAGGTGAATGATAGATACTCATTCGCTGCATTCTTCTCTTCTTTTTATTTCCACGATACTTTCTTTCTTGTTTATCATCTTTCCTTTTGCGCTCTCCCTCTTCCTCTTCCTCTTCCTCTTTCTTCTCACTCTTGCACATCTTCGCCACTACCCCCCCCCCCCCTCCCCCTTCACATCATATCATATACCCCCATTTAAAATAATTCGACAATGAAGATTAAGATCCTGGGACCTGTGCTTTTATTAACCTTGGCGACCCAATTCGCACGGGCCGCCGAATCCGCAGAGGGCGACAACAACAACAGTAACAACAACGCCATCGCGGACGCCAACCTTGCAGCCGTTCCTGACCCACCTACCCCAGCTGCGGAACAAGTTGTGGCACTCAACAGGCAGGAAGCAGGAGAGGCTTTGGAAGTTGCGGTCGATGGGTTAGTTGAGGCTGCTGCCAAGGCGTTTGAGCAAGACGAGGAGGGTGAGGACGAGGAGGGTGAGGACGAGGATGATGAGGATATGGAGACTGTTGATACTGACGACGAAGAGGATGGGAATGATGAGGATGAGGACAAGGACAAGGAGGGTAACGAAGACGATGATGACGAAGACGATCTTGCGGAGGATGAGGACCAGGAACGGGACGAGGCATTGTTGCTTGAAGGCGACGATTTCCACTATGCCGATCCTTTGACTGCGACCTACGACGCACAAACCGCCAAATGTAAACAACCACAGCAACACCATGAACCACAACAACCACAGGAGCAACATGAACAGGAACAACAAACAATTACCATCCAAAAACGCGACAAGACTCCGCTCTTCCCCCAAATCGACGAACACACGCTCTCCGCCCTCGCAACTGCAGAGATCGGTGGCGCTTGTATTGACTCCTTTGTTAACTTTGCGCTTCGCTTCCGGGAACGGTGCTCGATCAAATGCCTCAAGACTTTTTCGCATGTCTTTTCGAACCCGGATGTCCTGGGGATCCTTGATTGCTTTGGGTGTTCGAATTTCTTTGTGTCCGGGTTTTATGCGTTGGGGATTGACTGCGCGGGGATCTTTGCGGCGTACCCTAAGCCTGCTAACGCGACGAAAACGCTTACTCCTACTGGTACGGCAAAAGGTAGTGCTACGGCCACGACGGTTGTCTCGACCAAGGCCGATGCTGGTGGAGATTATAGGTTGGGGCAAGTCAAGCCTGAGGATTCGGCGTTGCCGCCAATCGACTTTTCGACGATGTTGACGAGCCTGGGTCAGATTTCGTCGGGGGATATTCAGGACTGGGCCAATATTGGAAGTGATCTTGCCAAGGTCATTAGTGGTGGTAACAGCGGGAAGAGTGAAGGTGAGGAGGGTTCTAGAGGGAATGAGGAGGTGGATGAGGAGAGGGCTACGGCGAGTAAGAACCTTTTCAACCAGTTTGTTAGCAAGGCTGCTTCCTTTGCCAACGTAAGTTTATTTCTTTTTGCATACTTTTGTTCATGACTCCGTTTTGGTGGGTCGATTGGGAATGTGAAAGTAGAAAAGGGTGTTGTTATTTTGTGTTACTCACAGTTATTCACATCCTTCCCAATCGCTCTCTTTTTTCTTCATGAATGAATGATAATAGTGGACACTGACACCGGAGATGTTGGACCAGACAGGAGTGTTCGGCAGAGTCCAGCAGTCGCTTGGACTCTAATTTGACCCTCTTCGCAACAAGTCCATGACTCTTCACTTCTTCCTCTTTTGAGCCCAACCCATGTGCGTGCACAGATAAGGGGGAAGTGCTTCTTGAAACAACGCCCAAACTTACCTTACACTACCACAGACATAACATACAAAAACTCATAATAATAGCCTTTTCCATTGCCTGTAAGAAAAAAAAAGGTGTGAGTCGATGTGGTTCATTAAGTGTTTTTTTTTTTTTGTGCTTGGCTTCCCCAATATTGGCTCTCTGGTTTTGCTGCGGTGTTTTTCCCTCCATCCTTTTCTAATTGCACGCGCGGCATTCAATTCTTGGCTCTCAGACGCATTTACCAAGCCACCCACTCACGGTGACTCGATCGATTTTTTTTTTAAAATTTGGGCGAAGAGAGGTCTAGAAATATGTGATTCATCGCTTTCATGGGAAACAAATAAATATCATGGCTCCCCCCTCCTCCCATTCTCCACATCTCCACAAACAACAAAGCAACAGTACTTTCTACAAGAAAATACAACAAACAGCGACACACAACAGCAGCCAGCCAAAAAAGAAGCACACAAACGATACCCTTTCCCTTTTACAAAAAAAAATACATACCCCCCTTCTCTCTCTCTCAGAAAAAAGAAATCAAAGCAAATGTCCGCAATCCAAGAACAAGTCCAGTCCCTGCCCGAGCAGCAGCCATCTCAAGTCTCCCAGGTCCTCCAGGAAGTGGCTCCTCAGTCCAAGCCTGTGAAGGAGAAGAAGGCCAAGAAGCATGCATCCGAGCATGCTTATCCTCTCGAGGTAAACAAATCCTTCCTTTTTTTTTGTACCATGGAAACATTTGAATGTAAACTTTATTTTCCATGGTGTCTGTGTTCGTTTTCCTGACGCAAATCCATTTTCGATTGTGTATTGTAGGTCTCCCCGGTCCCTGAGTATGTGGCCCACCGTATCGCCATGTTTGACGAATTGAAGAAGAAAGCTGACCAGGTCGATGCAGGTAAGCACGAACAAATAGTAACCATGCATGGAAAAGGGAGGGAAAGATGACCCCCCGCTACTGAACCGCATTTCGGAAAAACAAGAGAGCTGACCATAAACCGTGCTCCCATCCTACCATTGGCTTATCAATTCCCTCCACCCCTCTCCCTCAGCCCAGCCAAGGCTGCCCATCTCGATCAAGATGCCCGACGGCTCCCTCCGCGACGGGATCGCCTACGAGACGTCCCCCCTCTCCATCGCCCTCTCCATCTCCAAATCCCTCGCTGAAAAGGTTGTCATTGCAAAAGTCGACAACGTCCTCTGGGATCTCGCTCGCCCTTTGGTCCAATCCTGCTCTTTGGTCCTTTTGGATTTCGAGAACGAGGAGGGCAAGGCGGTGTTTTGGCATTCGTCGGCTCATGTGTTGGGTGAGGCTTGTGAGAAGCATTATGGGTGCCATTTTTGTGTCGGCCCTCCTATTGAGGATGGGTTTTATTATGAGATGTCTATGAAAGACGAGCGGTAAGTTTCTTTTGATTGCTTGGTTTGAAAGTTTTGTTGTTGTTGGCCATGGACAATGAGACTAATGAATGATGTATTCGTTCGTGGTTGACGCATAATAGCCTTGTCTCCCAGAATGATTATGAAAGTCTGGAGACGGTTGCCAAGAATGTGATCAAGGAGAAGCAGCCCTTTGAGCGCCTCGAAATCAGCAAGGAGGACCTCTTGGAGATGTTCAAGGTACGCCCTTTTTATTTACCATTTGCATACACTCGTTTGTCTTCGAACACTCTTTTGTATGAGCACAACACTCACCTTCAATCTTTCTTTTTCCATACCTCCAATTAGCACAATGAGTTCAAGCTAAAATTGATCGAGTCCAAGATCCCGGACAACACGTCGTCGACGGTCTACCGCTGTGGCCCCCTGATCGACCTCTGCCGTGGCCCCCACATCCCCCACACGGGCCGGATCAAATCCTTTGCGGTCCTCAAGAATTCGGCCTCTTACTTCCTCGGCGACGCCAAAAACGCATCCCTCCAACGCGTCTACGGTATCTCCTTCCCGGACCCCAAACAAATGGCTGACCACCGCAAGTTCCTTGAAGAAGCCGCGAAACGAGATCATCGCCGAATCGGTCGGGAACAGGAGCTGTTCTTCTTCCATGAGCTGTCTCCCGGATCGTGCTTTTTCCTCCCTCACGGCGCGAGGATTTATAATACGTTGATGGGGTTTATTAAGAGCGAGTACCATAAGCGCGGGTACACGGAGGTCATGTCGCCCAACATGTTTAACGTCAAGCTCTGGAAGACGTCGGGTCATTATGAGAACTACAAGGACGAGATGTTTATGATCGACGTCGAGAAGGAACAATTCGGTCTCAAGCCCATGAACTGCCCAGGCCACTGCCTCATGTTCGACGTCCGCGAGCGGTCCTATCGTGAACTGCCCCTCCGGTTTGCCGACTTTGGAGTCCTCCACCGGAATGAAGCTTCGGGAGCGCTTTCTGGATTGACGAGAGTGAGGCGGTTCCAACAGGACGATGCCCATTTGTTTTGTCGGTTGGATCAAGTCGGGGAGGAGATTGATGCCACGTTGGATTTCTTGCAGCATGTTTATGGGATCTTTGGGTTTGAATTCTCGCTGGCACTTTCGACGCGCCCAGAGAAGTTCCTTGGCAAGATCGAGGAGTGGGATATTGCCGAGCAGGTAACTTACACTTTTTTTTTTGCTGAATTATGATATTCGTTGTAGTAGTTTTTTTTTTAGTTCATCTCTCCTTTGTGTACCATTCAACGATAACAATTCTTTTCTCTCTCTCTCTCTTGTCTGCATTAACTTCACCCTCCTCTGCATTAGTACTTACCATAACAATCTACTTCTCCCTCCCCCTATCGCTGAAATAGCATTTGACGGATGCATTGAACAGATTCGGACGTCCATGGTCAATCAACCCCCAAGACGGCGCATTCTACGGTCCCAAGATCGACATCCTCATCCGAGACTCCCTCCGCCGCAACCACCAATGCGCCACGCTCCAACTGGATTTCCAACTCCCCGAACGCTTCAACCTCCAATACCGGAACAACGGCAGCAGCAGCAGCAGCAGCAGTGACCACCACGGCTCGGACTTTTCGCGACCGATCATCATCCACCGAGCCATGCTGGGCTCCCTCGAACGCATGATCGCCATCCTGACAGAAAACTGTGCCGGCCGCTGGGATTTCTGGCTCTCCCCGCGTCAGATCCAAATCATCCCTGTGGCTCCACAGTGGGTTGGGTATGCAGAGGAGGTGAAGGGGAGATTGGATGAGGAAGGGTTCTTTGTGGAGGTTGATGGGTCGGACGCGACGTTGAATAAGAAGATTCGGAATGCGGAGGTGGGTCAATGGAATTTTGTGTTTGTTGTGGGCGCGGAGGAGGCGGGGTCGGGAAGTGTGAATGTTAGATGTAGGGATGATGAGGGGGAGAAGAAGGGGAAGGGGGAGGTGAGAAGGTTGGAGGAGGTTGTTGGCAAGTTAAAGGTACTTAGGGAGTCTAAGGCTAAGGGCAGTCGTTTGTAGGTAGCAATGGAGGGGGCGGTTGTCAAAAGTGGCTGTGACGCCGGAAGGGGGAAAGGGGGGCACAGAGAGTGAGTAAGCTCATGTGCTTCCCTCTGTCTGCCCCTCTCTGCAGCCAAGCTCTCCAAGTTTAGTCACCGTTCAACGCTTCTTTTGGTTTTTTGAACAGTCAAGAAATAAATGAAAGACAACAAACAAAACCTATCATAGCCATATCCAGGCATTTGCTAATCAGACCTTAGGACAGGGAGGACAATGAACCTAGTGAATGACTGACATTGACATGGGAGCCCATGTCTCAGCTTGCATATTTGTTTGTTGTTTATGAAAAATGTGTGTACGGGTACTTGCATGTTTATTTTTTTTAGACGAAAAAGCTCCTAGGAGAAAAAATGACAAAACAGATGGCGTGAGAGGACAAGTGAAAGGTGAAGGAGAGAGGGTGGGCGTAGTTTTTGTTGTTTTAATTGATGCATTGTTGTTGTTTGAACAAATCGCCAACTTTTTTCCGGTGGTTGGTGGTAAAGTGTTTGGGCGATGATGGGTAATGCCAATGCTGACGCTGATGGTAATCGAAAAGGGGGGAGTGGCTGGCAAGTACATACTAAAGATGGAAGAGCAAGGATAACGATCAAAATGGCATGCACGCCAAACCTTTCGAACAGGACTCTCACTCCACCTCCAAAAGTAGAGGCATCAAAATACATTCATTCCAACATGTAATAAACTTGAGCTAGGAGCTAAAGTCTAAGTGACCCTGAGAAGTTGTGTCACTAATTGCTTACGCTCTCACACCCCTTCGGATGATAAAGGTCGCCTAGCTGGTGATGCATAAAGTGTACACAATTTACAAGGGGGAAAGGGGACGAGTGAGCGAGGGTCTGTTAACATGAAGCAAAGGGGCATATAAGAAAGAGAAAGAAAGGGAGATGATCCGTTCTCTGTCGTCGTTGGTCGTCTGATTTCGAGTGGCCTTTTTGGCTTTAGTACAAAGTAAAATAGAAACAAGTGTCCCCAACGGATATTGTCCCCGTCAATGCTAATGCACACTGTTCCTTAAAGAAGAAGAAAAGACAGCAGCGTAAAGGCTGAACGACTTCAATGGAGTGAAATTAAGGAGTAAATGAAGAAGAAGAAACGACGAGGAGAAAGGAAGGATGTCCTCATTAGGAATGATGTGTATTTTTGTAATTGTTGTTTGGTTGAATGTTATTTCCTGCTTTGTTGTTTGTTTGGTGCTTTGGAGTTGGCCAGAAAAGGGCGGTGAGGGGGAGTGGTGTGGTACAGAGCGGTGTGTGTGTGTGTGTGGACAAATGCATGATGATGCTGATGCTAAAAAGGGGAGTCGAGCAGCCCTTTGAGGAAGTCAAGAGGGAACAAGTCCTTCAAGGTCGCAATGAGTTCGCCAGTTGGATGATCAACCTTGATACAGAGATTATTGGCATTCGGCATAGTCGATGGCATTGGAACCAAAGATAGAGAAATGATAGGTGGAAATGACTGACTGCAAGAGAGAGAGAGGAGAGAGAGGAGAGGAATTTTGGGTCGGAGTCCGAGACCAATGAAGGATGGCCATTGGTCGAATGGATGCGGAGAGAGAGAGAGAGAGAGAGAGAATGAATGACCAACAGTACCTTCCCTTTGGGACAATGTCAAAACGGATGAGTGATCGCCACATTGGGCTGGCAGCTTGAATGCGTCTGCGGATGGACAGGAACAAAGTTGTAGAGAAGAAATAAGCAGTTACTCTCTGGCAATTATCGGAGAGGGTATCGGAAAGACAACATGGACAATTAATTGTGTGGGCTGTGGCAGTAGAGCGAAAGAGAGAGGAATGGGCATCTTCCGCCGTCTCTTTGTACCACTTGCAGCATGTAGACGATCATTGCTGTCAACAGACACAAGGGAGGATATATAAAAGGGTGACCATGTCCACCTCTTTCGACATCATCCATCCGTTCTTCCTCTTCTTCGTCTTCGTCGTCTTCTTCTTCTTCTTCTTCTTCTTGTCTTGTCGCTCCCTTAATTCACCTGTCCTGTCCATCCATCCATTCATTTCTCCGCCAAAAGAAGCTGTCCAATTGACCTTCAATTGCTTCCTTTTCTCAGCCTCTTGGTTGTCATTCTTCCCGCTCCCTCTCTCCCTCGTTCCCCCTCGCAGGCTCTTTTGTTTGTGTCCTTCTCTCCCTCTCACACCCTCTCTCTTACACAGCCAGATCTCATCGTCATCCTTCCTATCCATACATACTCAAGGACTAGACCTCCTCTCTTTCCCCTTCTGGCAACTGAACCCAAAACCTTTTCTTTTTTCTTTTTCTGTTTTTGTATTTATATACATCCCTTTCTCTCTTCTTCCTCTCCTCCCCATTTCATTCCTTCATTCCTTCATTCCTTCTCTCTCTGCGCCTTCATTCACACCTTTCTTTTTTCATTCATTCACGCCTCCCTTTCTGATCACTCACTTCACTCCAATCCCCCTTCTTCTTAATCTCATCTGTCCCTTTTTTATTCAACGCCGTTCTTTTTTCCTTTGTTCTCTCTTTTTTTGTGCCTGTTCCCTTCCCTGCCTTTCTTTTTTTAAACCTCGTTTGCTGTTTGTTTTTTGTACACTTCTTTGTAATCATAAAAAAATAGCAATTGCCCACCGTCCTGGTGCTTCTTTTTCCCGCAAACTTTCCCTGTTGTTGTACGGTTGTAGCACCCGACTATCACTCTCTCTCTCTTCGACCCTCTGCTTCAGCCCCACTTCTCTCTCTCTCTTTCTCCAAATAGCACAGCAACAGCACTCTTTCTTAAACTATACCCGCACAAACATTGTCCCTCTCCACCCACACCTGATCCCTTTTATTATCTTGTGCAACGAAACCCTGCCATCCTTAATCCCCACTACCATATCCATATCTTACACATTACAGCATACCAACCATGTCCTCCTCGTACAACTACGAGATCGACCCCAATGTCCTCGCGGACGTAACAAGAGTCGTCCAGGAACTCATGAAGATGCAGAAACAGCAACAGCAAGAAGAACAAGAGGCCGAGAACTACAACACGCACAGCCACCACACACACGACCCTGTCTCTCGCAGTGACTTTGACGACCGGCACGTCCTTGAACACGCCCACGGCCAAGACGTCGAGATCGAACTGCTTTCTGTCCAGGACGAACAGACAAAGAAACAAAAAGAATCCGACCAGAGCATGAACAGCAGCTGGACAGAAGATCAACCTCCACTACTGCCCTCTTCCACTTCCACTTCATCTCTCTTTTCTTCCACTTCGACCTCTTCCTCCACAGCGTCTACTTCATCATCATCATCCTACCACACTGCCTCTTCCTCCTTCTCTGAATCGGCCTCTGGATCGATTTTCCTGCCTCCCTTCCAGGTCGACGAACTCAAGGGCAAGGATCCGTCGACACCTTCGCCGACATATCTTGCAGCCCCTAAAACACCAGGAGCACCAGCTGTGCCATTAAAGGCAACCACAGGCGACAATGAGCACGACAATGCAAGCAGTAATGGCTCAACACACACACCAATCAGCCAGCTGTCTGGGCAGAAAACTCCCACACGAGCAACAAAAAACACTGAAGGACCCACGGCCATGCCTGATGCGCACGATCATTCGTATTTTGACCACGACAACGACACCATCCCCCAAGGTTCCAAGGACCCGGTCAATGCGACTACCAAGGCCAACAGTCTCAAGCCAGGAGCCCTCGGTGCAGTCCCCTTCAAAGGAGCAGCTTCCTCGTCGACAGCGGTTGTCCCACGAGTGATTCCTTTACCATCGACCCGCCCCCGGAGGAAGAAGGCGCTGCTGATTGGAATCAACTACTTTGGTGATCCCAACCAGCTTCTCGGGTGCATCAACGACACGCGCGACGTGTTTGGGTTTCTGAACGGCTACTACGGCTTCAGGTACCAGGACACGATCATGCTGACCGATGATCAGATCTACGAGGACAAGCGACCCACTGCGGCCAACATCCGGTACTGGATGAAGTGGCTCGTCAAGGACGCAGAGCCCCAAGATTCCCTCTTCTTCCACTACGCAGGTAGGCATCCTCCCCTCCTCCGTTGTTTGTTTGTGTTTGTTGATGTAGTGTTGTGCGCATTGCTGCCGATATGCGATGTCTGTTTGTGCATTGTTGTGTATTCTCGTACTCCGCCCTTGACAGAAGGGGACAGAGAGAGCGCACGGCCCCTGAGAATGCACAAGTTTATGCATCGTTCGTTCCCCTTCTCACTCGCAATCCTCCTGCCTTTTTTTTCCTTTTTGTCCTATTGCTTCCCTTCCGCTTTTTCTTCCGCTCTTGGCGACCTGGACACATCGAAAACAGGACATGGAGGACGGATTAAGGATTTCTCCTACAACGGCAAATCCGAACATTGTAAGTTCACATCCTCTCTCTCTCTCTCTCTCTCTCTCTCTCTCTTTTCGCACTTTTTTTTTATTCTCTTTGATTGAATGATCCTTAACTGGCCCTCAAGATGAACAAGAAGTGGGGCACGGATGCCTTGATGCTCCTCCTAGACGCTTCTCCACGTTGACTCTCTCCCCTCCTATAGCACTGTGACACTTGATGATGCTAACAACCCCTCCTTCTTCCTGTCATTGTGTCCACCCCTTCTTTATCCTTGCTTATGCTTACTGAACAGTGGGTGACGAGGCGGATGGATACGACGAGATCATTTACCCGAGCGACTATCTCCGAACAGGAATCATCTCGGACGATGAGATGTACGATCTGCTCGTCAAGGATTTACCCGCAGGAGTTCAGCTCACCGCCCTTGTCGATGCATGCCACAGTGGTAAGCACATTTCTTTTCCTGTTTGAAATCGAGGGGCTATTATGTGTAGATGCAATGATTGAGCACTGTGTATTGATGCATGTCTGTTTTTGCTTATTAGGAACCATGCTTGATTTACCATTTGTCTACAATGGAAACCAAGTCACAGCGCTGGAAAAAATTACCAGGACCAAAGTCGGAGCTATGGCTGCCATGTCGGCCTCGACGGATGTCGTCTTTGACCTCCCTGGATCCAACAATTCTTCTCAGACACAGACGACAACCACCACCACCACGACAACGACTACTACGGTCACCTTGTCGGCTTCCAACAGCGGGACATCGACGCCTGTGGTCGCGCAGTATACGGATGGCACGGCCACGACGACTGATGGGCACCTTGCCCCACCTGGCGGCGTCCCTGCGATCCATGCCAAGGAGGGCGGGTCTCCGATGATTGGGGGATCGCTTCAGGCTCATAGCAAGAGGTCGATTCTTTCTGCGGACGATTCGGATGGTCAGGGTGGTGATACTGAGATGGACGAGCGGGTGTCCCGGTTGACGACTACCGATTGTGGTGATGCTCAGGATGGTAGCTGTAGTCCTGAGCAGCGTCTTGCTCGCTCTGGGTCCATCGCTTCTCTTTCTTCGCCACTTGTCGACAAGAACGGGAACAGTGATCAGGCTCCCGCCAGCAACAACTACCCGACTATCCAACTCTCTGAACCTACCATTACAGTCGAGGAGGAACAAACTGTAGCATCCTTGTGGCCCACTGCTGTTGCTACAGGATCGTCGTCATTGCTGTCGGTGGCTGATGAGGAAGGAGATCTTCAACCTTCGCCCAGGAAGCGGTCGAAATCTGTGCACAATATGGGGATCTTGGGCGTCTCCGAGATGGATCATCGTGGGATTGAGTGCGACTCTCAAGCATGGACTCAGGTCGACGAAGCCGAGACTGTTGTTGCCGCCACTGATGTTGCTGCTGTTGCGGATGAGACAAATGTCGTCGTCCCCCAGCAGGTGTCCATCGAGACTGAGAACGAAGAAGAAACTGATGACGAGGGAATGGAGGAAGCACGCAAGGTACAATTCCTTTCTTATTGCGTTGAAGCCTTGTCATTGTGGTACTTTAAAACCGTTGCTCGTTGCTAACCACCTCATCTTTTTTTTCATTGTGTGCAACATAGATGGCGTTGTTCAGGAAGACAAATGGTAATGTCGTCATGTTCTCTGGCTGTCGGGACGACCAAGCCTCGGCCGATATCCGCGCATCCGCAAAAGACGCCGCTATTATCGCCGACCACCACAAACAAACCAACAGCACCATCACAAACTGGAACGCCCCTTCCTCACACGACCTCCCCGATGCAGGAGAACCCAACCCACTCGGATACAGTCTCCCTCAGCCTTATACATCCCCCATGGCCAGGGGTGCGGTTTCTTATGCGTGGATCCAGTGTTTGAGCCAGAAGCGTGAACAGACGTATGAGGAACTGTTGACGAGTATGAGGCATTTTATGAAGCAGAGGGATTTGGATCAGGTCCCACAGTTGGGGTCTGGGAAGCCTATGGATATGAGGACTATCTTTACTTTCTGAATGCGCGAAGAAAGGGAGAATAAAGATCATACTTTTAACCATGAACCAAGTTGTGTTGTGTTGATGCAAAGACTAGGAGAACACATATGTGCGATAAAACCAAGATATCCAAGAGCCAAGGTACCTGGTGGGTATGCAATGCCGTACACGGTTTTAAGATGGCCGGATAGACACAGGGGAAGTGCAGGAACCAGAAGCAAAAATCCTCTTTCCTTGCATTCGATGGGCTGGGTCATGGTTGTTCATAGAAGCCTATATAGGTGCCTTCAGCTTCATTGCTCGGTTTTTGAAAACAGGTACCATCAGTGATGGATAAATAACGCGACAGAATCAAAACGCGTCTCCCAAAACAGGGCGAACGCGATGTCAATGATGAAAAGTTGTCGAAGGAAGGAAGAAGGGAAACTCGGGTTAGATATGCTGTCGATTTGTGGGTTTTGCGCACTGTTGGAGAATGGAGAGCGGGGAACGTGTGATGGACATGAGTCTGACAATTGGCGCGCGGGTGCCAGGGACTTAACTAATGGGGCTTCTAGAGCAACTTTCTCGCTGCGTTGATTGATGATTGTGCCGGGTCTAATTTTCAAAGCGCTTATTTTCACTAGTTTGAGCCGACGTTCGGAAAAAAAGAAAAAAAAACGATTGCAGGAGACAAATTAGCCCCATGGTGTCTTCATGCATCGTACCTCAATGGATGATCTATCATCACTACTGGACCTGGCAGCCACGATAGATAGACACGCGTAGGAGAATTGGAATGTGTGTCCTTGAATAGTGTATCCATATGTGTTTGTATCTGTTAGCCCCCTGAATGAAGGCAAACTATTACAGAGAATCCTACAGTTTCATTTCAGGGAAGGATGGAATGAGGAATTATGAGGTATTGCCAATTCCTTGATGTGGATTTCACCACGAAATAACAAGGGGTCTTCTTCTCTTTATGTTTGATACTCACTCACGCAGCAAAGGAGTGGCATTCGATTATCTCTCTTCTCTTCTTTGTCTTCACTACAATCGTTCTCCCCCCCATCATACTCTCGCCTTCCTCACCCTTATCTCTCACTCTCCTCTAGTCTCACGCTCCCATCTCTCCAACAATGCCATATGTAGGACAGTTCAAGGCGATCGCAGTCCTTCTGGTCGTACTCTGCACGTTCGCTTCCTTCTTCTACTTCAGAGTCTGGTCCAGTATCGACATCAACAATGACAACGCCACCCCTCACCCTACTGACGCCAAGGGTGAATCATCAGAGTCTGTCATCTTTCGCCAACAATACCATCACCAACATCAGCAACAGCACCAGTCAACACAGAATAAACCCAAGCAGGAATCTCAACAACCTCAGAAGGGCCAGCCGGACCTTGCTGATTCAGGATCTGATGGCACCGGACGACCCTTCCTTCTGCCAGAGACAGAGCTCCGCCCAATGATGAAGAATCCGTCACAAGAGAACAACATCCCCTCCGACTCCACAACAACAACTACACCTGTATCGCAATCACAACCGCAATCACAAGACCGACCTCGCAAGAACCGGAAGCAGCGCGAAAAGGAGCGTCTGAAGCAAGAAAAGGCAGAACAGAAAATACTCAAGGAGGAACGCCGTCGGAGGAAGGCTGCAAAGTTGTTGAGGTTACAGCAACTGGATAAGGAGCCCTACCCAGCCCTGATCAGCACTAACAGCGCTAGAGTCGCCGCCCTGAACTTGAAGGCCTTTGCAAAGTTCTGTCACTCCAAGGTTGCACAAGACCGGATCGCCTCCTTTGCTGCTGCTGCTAGCCCGCAGGATGGGTCTTTGTCTTCCTCTTCTGCAGCTGTTGGTTCAGAAATGGATTTTGCGTCGTACGAGGACTGGACTGACTACATTCACAACAAGAACACCGGTCAGGAACAGGAACAGGCGACTGAACCAACTACAACAGCAGCAGCATCACCGGCCCAGAATCCAAATTCATCTGGCTCTTCAATAACACCATCAGAACGACATGCACAGAATGCACCAGCAGCGGCAACAGCAAACCCGCCCAAGCGACAACATCGCCTGCAACAACGACCTTTATTTATGGAACGACCCCTCCGAGGCTGGATCATCAACCACACCGCGATAATGGAGCCCTGCAACAGAACGATTCATACCTCTGCTCACTGTTTAGACTACCTGACAAAGGAGCACCTCTACCTGATCCCCTCGCGTGAGGCTCGCTCCTGGCCTAACCGGATCCAAAGGCGCCCTTCACAAGTGGTTACAAGCGAGGAGGACGACATTGAGGTGGAGACAACTGCCGAAGGGTCAATTATTGACGGGTATCAACGAGAGACCGTATCAGGAACTGACGGTAGAATTGTCACCACCACTTCAACAATCACGACAACAACAACCATTACCGGTCATGGCGGAGTGGGAGCAGAGGATGAGCTGGAGGAGGCAGGGATGATGGATTTCCATATTTTTTGGCAAGGGGTCATCACGGACAAACTGTCGCTCTCGGCACACTCTTTCCTCTTCTCGCAACCCCTGGATCGTGCCCGGCTACACTTGTGGATCGACTCCTCAAATCTCCCTGGAGGCGTGGCAGAGGACTATCTTCAGAACAACTTTGCCAAGGATCTCGTCTTGGAGCCACTGAACAAATACATCAAGTTCCATGTCTGGAACCAGGAAGCACAACACGCATTCGCCTACCCGCCACCACCACCCTCAGCCGACAGTGACGATCTTGATCAACCCTCAGAAGGAAGTGAAGTGGGTTCAACGGACAATAAACCCACCACCACACCTATCACTCCGCCAGTCGCCCTCTCGGACGAGGCCCGGTTCTTGATTCTCAACAGATACGGAGGCATGTACCTGGACGCAGACGTGCTACTTCTCCGAGACATGTCGCCCTTCTACGACGCTGAGATGGAGTTTGCGTACGAGTGGAGTAACCAGCTGCTGTATAACACCGCGATCCTGAGGCTGAACAAAGGCAGCAGTGTCGCTCGTCGGATCCTGGATGGCGCCACCATGAAAGAGAAGGAAATCCAGGAAAAGCGGAAGGCGATAAAGGGACAGAATGTCAAGGTCAAGACTACAAAGGACGGAGTGACAGGTGTGGACCCTCTTCGGTTGAAGAAAGTTGTGCAAGTCAAGACCGAGTATAAGGACAAGAAGCGTGTGCGAGCCGGCAAGTCCAAAATAGTCAAGGAGGTCAAGCCCGTGGTACCTTCTGCTCCAACTTCCTCTCTTGCGCGTGCCACTACTGCCGATACTCCTTCGGCTGACAAACAAGCAGGATATGACAGTGGTGAGGACGACGCTCTCGGTTCATCAGATGGCGACTCTCTCTTTGCAACTCCTATCGACCCTGCCGCGAACGCTTCATCTCGCCGTCATCATCATCATCACCGTCGTCGATTGTTTAAGCGTGGAGAGATGCGACCTAACGAGATCTATCACCCAGCCCGGTTGCGCGCATACTTGCGACCCCAGGACAGTGCGATCGAGAACAATGGTCTGGTCATGATGCCAGTCGCTGTGTTCGACCCCCTCTGGCTCCGGGTCGACGATGCCGAGTCCACGACTGGTCTGAAGACTGACCGCGAGACGACAGTTGAGGATCTCCGGACCTTCCCTGATGCGTTCAACAGTGTCAGCAACTCTGTATGCCCACAGCAGCACCTGGCACAAGAAGGATTGGAAAAGAAGAAGAAGGGCTTCACGGCTGGACCGGAGGTCTTTGTGATGGGAGCATATGCGTATCATTGGCACAACAACTGGCTGTCATCGATTGAGGAGCAGAGTTGGATGGGGTTGATGAAGGAGGCGTACGAGCAGTTCTTGGGGGGAGAGAGGCCCAACTTGTACGGCGAGTGGTTCCACGGCGATAGCAATGCCTTCTTGTTTTGAGTTGGTGGAAGTCGTAAATAAAACGCGACTTATCTTTTTGTATTTGTCTGGCTGCGGCATTGACCGCGCCTGTTTTAACCTTCTTGTGTCTTATGATCACCTTTTTGAGTTCTTTCCTTGTCTTCTTTCTTTCTTTTCTTGATTACTTTCTCTTTCACCTCTCACCTTTCAAATCACACCCCAACCGCCAAACAAGTCCACCAAGGACCACAACACTCGTAACTTCCTCTTCCTCAACAACCCTTCCTTTCATTCACCCACAGGACAAGAATGGCCCCTCGGACTCACATCGCTGTCCTCGGCGGCGGAATCTCGGGTCTGTCTACGGCATGGTACCTAGCAAGGACAGCACCTCCCAACGTCAAGATCACTCTCATCGAAGGAGCCAAACGAACAGGAGGATGGTTGCATTCAGATCGTGTCGCCGACCCTCAACACCCAAACGGAAAGGGCTCTGTTCTCCTGGAAAGTGGGCCTCGTTCGCTGCGACCGCAAGGTGTCAGCGGCCTCAACACCCTTGAAATGGTAAGCCGAAATATTCTTTTTCTCACGGGTGAGAGAAAAGGGAGAGGTCGATTACTTCAGTTGCTTGCTGCCTGTTTTTTTTTTTCTTTTTTCTCGCGAGAGGAGGAGGGAGAAGTCATTTGGGTCAATTGCTCGCTGCTTGTTCTTTTTCTCACCAGAGGAAGGAGAGGATCGTTTGCTTCCATTGCCTGCAGCCTTTTTTTTTTTCTCCTTCCCACAGACTAACAGGCATTGTTTCTATCGTCTTGCTTTTCAATGGTCCAATATAGGTCAGAGAACTCGGCCTGGACTCAAAGATCGAACCAGTGTCCAAATCGTCGCCAGCCGCCATGAACCGATACATTTATTCACACAAGACCCTCCACAAGCTACCTTCGTCCATCATGGGTGCTTTGACACACCCCCTCCTCGCCGCAAAGATACCCCGGGCTGGACTGGATCTGGTCAAGGGCGGGAGCGGACAGGAGGACGAGAGTATCCAGGACTTTGTCACCCGTCGTTTTGGCAAAGGGTTTTCGGACGACTTGATCTCGGCAATGGTGCATGGTATTTATGCGGGTGATGTCACCAAGTTATCGGTCCGGTCGACGTTCGGGATGCTGTATCATATGGAGAAGGATTATGGATCTGTTGTGTTGGGGATGCTGTTGGGCGGTGGTGCGGTTGAGACGCCGTGGGATCTGACGCTGAAGGAGAAGATTATCAAGGAGATGCCGGATCTGCAGGAGTTTGTAAGCAAGACGAGCATCTATTCGTTTACGGATGGACTGGAGGAGTTGTCGCGGTCTCTGGAGAAGGATCTTGTGAAGGGTGGTCGTGTTGACATTCACAAGGACAGTATCGTTGAAAAGTTGGACGCCAACCTTGACAGCCGTGATGTTCGGGTAAGCCTATTGTTTTTTCTTGGTTTTTTTTTGTAGTTACATTTCAAGCTGTATGCATATCAACACAATAGACCAATCTAATTAATGTCGCAAAAAAATAGATATCGATCAAGGGACAGGAACCAGTCCACGCCAACACGGTCATCTCAGCACTACCACCTCTCAAACTCCAAAAGCTCCTGTCAAAGCCCTACCCAGAATTGACTCACAACCCCTCGGTCACAGTCGCCGTCGTCAACCTCGTCTACTCAGCCGACCAGGCTCGTCTGGCTTCACCCGGGTTCGGATACCTGATCCCTCGTTCGGAAAACTCTGCTGTCAACCATCGGGGACTCCTGGGTGTTGTCTTTGACTCTTGCGCGATCCCGGAGCAAGACAAAGGGGAGAGCCAAGGCAAGACTTTGAAATTGACGGCCATGATTGGAGGGCACATGTTTAACGAGGCCCTCTCTCAACTCGCGTCTGGATCCGGTTCTGGAGCATCGACATTGGATTTGGAGTTGACCGGATCGCACAAGGAGGATGTGAATGAGTTCTTTGCGAAGACTGCGATGGACGCTGTCAAGAAACATTTAAAGATCGATGCGGCGCCCGAATTGGTCAAGGTTCATATCCACCATGAGTGCATTCCGCAGTACCTCGTCGGTCACTTGCAGCGCATGCAGACCTTGGATCAGTCCTTCCGAAAGGACTTTGATGGACTCTTGGGTGTCACGGGGGCTGGGTACCTGGGCATCAGTGTCAATGACTGTATCAAGAACGCCAGGGAGGTCGCTGAGGCTGTGGTGTCGAAACTGGAGGAAGAGGATGATGGAGAGGCTCAGCTTGTTGGACGCCAGGATGCCATCACAGGCCTTGAGCGTTCCTGGTTCTTGTAAATAAATTATCTGCTTTCTGGCATTTTTTTTTTTTTTTTTTTTGCCGAGGGCTTGAGATGACAGATTATGCATAATGTTGACCGCTCAAACGCTCCCTCGGGCGCAGCACCTTCGAGGCCTCAACTTGGTATCCTCCAGGGGGCAAAAATGGGGCCGTCCGGGGCCGATCCGGGCTAAAAAAAAGGCGACTCTTCGATTTCGTTACATGAACTTTCTCTATGATAGTTCATAAAGGATATAAATTTAGCACTCACAAGTAGCTCATTCCTTGGTAGTATAGTGGTGAGTATCTCCGCCTGTCACGCGGAAGACCGGGGTTCAATTCCCCGCCAGGGAGCTTCTCTTTTTGCACTTTTTTTCTCTGCCTGGAGACGTGATGGGTTAGAAGGGCGAAGGAACGAACGCGTTGCCTCATATATTTTTTCTTTCTAACTTGTCATTGTTCAAGAAAGAGAGCGTATGTGAAACGTGCTTTTCTATTGTCGCTATTCTTCAAAACATAACTTTTTTTTTTTCAACTATGATACAAACAAAAATTAAATAACAAAAAAGAAAATGATCTAATCAAATCTCACTCTGGGTATCCCCTCTCTTCTCATCCCTTCCTCTTCCCTCCCTTCTCCTCCACACAATCCTCAAACATCAAAAAACTCATTCCACTGATACATTCCCTCAGACTGCAAGATATCCACCGTCGACGTCGACGTCGAAGCCTCAGCCTTGTACCGCTGCCGTGTCGCCGAGACGGCCGCCTTGTACTGCGACGCTGTCGTCGACGCCGACAACTCCACCATCGACATTGCCCTCCTTGGACGTCTGGTAACTGCAGCTTTCTTGATCTGGTACTGGGCGTTGTCGTGGGTGGCGTCGTCCAGGAGCTGGCGGAGCTCGTCTTCCATCTCCTGGTCAGCTTCTGTTTCGAGGTCCCCTTCGCTCAAAGCACCTTGACGACGCTGCCTCTGGTCCTGCTGCTTCTTGTCTACCGCAGTAGTGTCTCCTTGTCCTGAGGAAGGAGGGGGAGGAGGTGGTGGTGGTGGTGGTGGGGCAAGGAGATGGACAGGATTACGCATCCACATCTTCGATCCAGAGATAGTCATCGGAGGAGGAGGAGATAGTAACGTCGACCGGGACCTGGCAGAAGTGGACATGGACAAGGCACTCTGCGAACGCATCTTTTGGTCCCACTGCTGCTTCAGTCTCTGGGCCGAGTCGTTTTTGAGAGTCTTGGATGGAGCACCGGTTCCGTCTCCTTGTGGGCTGTCAGGTGGGGGTGGGGGTTTGGTGAGAGCGTCCAGGAGGAAGGCGATAGCTGAGGGCGTGGTGGTCGTGGTCGTGGTTGTTGTTATTGCTGTTGGTGGTTGGTTGGGAACATCGGACCAGGATAGCTTGCGACCAGGGAGCAGCGCTGAAGAAGATGAGGACGACAGGTCAGCATTTCCTCCATTATCCACAGCTTCTGTTGCGGGTGTAGCGACAGGAGAAGGAGTGGCAGGAGTGGTGACATCTCCTGAATAGAGTGTACTACCAGGGGTCATGCTTCCAGACCCGCGGTGCTTCAGTGGCGGATTGTTCAAGAGTGTCGAAGGTGCAGGCGAGAGTAATGTCGTTGTCGAAGTCGATGCAGACGACGCGTAAGAAGACGTCGACAAAGTCGGAAGGATAGAGTAGGATAGCGAAGCGCGCGACTTGATAGCTCGAATGCGACTCAGAGTCGACAACCCATGAGCGCTGGCTTGACGAGCTAGCGGGTTGGTGCTTGGGGAGGAAGTCAAAGATGTGACCACCGTAGACTGAGCACGAGGAGGTGGCGCAAGTGCGTTCACGGAGCTGGGCGTTGATGGCCGCGAAGACTGGGGTGAAAAGACCTGTGACGAATTGGCACTGGCAGTCGGAGACTCTGAAAACACGTTCGTAAACCGAGGTGACAGAGGTGAGTCAATAACCGTAAGCGACCCCAATGGATCCATCTCCTGACTTGGCACCCTCTCCCTTACACCTCCTCCTCCTCCTTCAGCTGCAGGCTCATCAAACGTTTGCACTCGATTCGAACCAGAATCACCACCAGGGCCCTTACCCTTCTGGGCTCGCTTGAGGCTCGGACTCGACTCTTGTCGCAGACGCTGTTGCTTGATCCACGCCAGCTCCTTCTCATCAACCTCCTCCTCATCCTCCTCAATCACATCGGTGGCATCATGTCCAACAAAGCCGTCCTCTGGTCCTCCCTCTTCCCATTCTGGGCCTCGCTTCCTGGTCCCGTTCTCGTAGTACTGGCAACGACCTTGATCCAGCACCAGAAGCATGTGTCCTGAACTTTGTAGTCGTGCCTGTGGCTCCAAATCGGTTGGTTGCTGAGAGGAGGCAGCGGTGTCGGGTACAGACGTTGCGGTCGACAGATCCGCAAGGAAGGTGTTGCCACTACCGCTGCTACTATTACCATCAGCAACTTCAAGGGGCCGAGAGGAAGATGATGGTTGAGCAAGAGAAGCAGAGGAGGAAGATGGCAAGGAAGGAGTAGCAGTAGTGGTAGACGTGATAATAGTATTAGGCTTAGTAGCGTCGAGCGCCGCACCATCCGGGTATATTAAAAGTAACTGCTGTTGTTGCTCCTCCATCTCCATCATCAACCTCTTCTGTCTGTCTAATTCTTGTTTCTCCAACAGAGCCTGTCTCCGCCGTTGCCGCCCTTGCTCCTCAACCTCCAAGAGCTTCTCTAACGGCATGATATGATTATGAGACGCATACTGGCCTGGGCGACTCAGACACAGATCCTTCTTGTTATTGCTGCTATTCCTGTTGTCATTGTTATTATTGTCGTAGTTGTTCTTGTTGTTGTTGATATCGTCGTTATTGTTTTTGTCGTTTAGGTTGCTATTGCTGTAGCTGTTGTCGACGGCGTCTGACGCTGACGGGCGACGGCCACTTGGGTCCAGATCAGGACCGCTGTGGGCGCCGAGTGACCCTACATGTGGAGAGACGATGAGGTTCATTCAGTCTCTTGTAAAAACCTTGATCGCCGAAGGAAGACTGTAGCACCCTGAAGCCGTTCCCAGCCATCTTGTCGCCAGCGCTCTGGTCGTCACCCTCGCCACCCTCCAGATCACTCTTGCCACCAATGCGGTCCTCCAAAACTCTCTTGTCAAAGTAAGATGCAACAAGACAACCCATCATGCCCTCATCATAACCGTCCTCAATCCAATAGGGGGTCGTACTTGCGTTCTTGCCGTGCTGGGACGAGAAGGTCAAGTCCTTCATCTTGTTGCCGGATGTCGTAGTCGCCGACCTGGCAGACTTGTTCAGCAGCTGATCGCGGGGGTCGTGCACAAGGGTAGGATATACCTCTGCGGTGGTCGCGGCGGCGGCGACAAAGAGGATACCGCTGTCGGGTTGACGCTGTCGCTGGAGGGAGGCAAAGGATGACATAGGGTGGGCTCGATCCTCGGCCTCGTATTGGTCCTCGCTCTCGTCGTCACTGCTGCCGAGGTTGGTACCATCATGATGGCGAGCATATCGACGTTGGCCGTGGTAGACTTCAGAGAGAGACGACTGTCCAGCGGGGCCAAGACGAGGGTCGACCATAGTATCACTACCCATGATAGCATCTCCAAACCTGTTCGCAGGCTGGGTCATGGATCGCTCACGGAGGGCACGGACATCGGTCATCAGCTTGTCTGTATCAATTCCAGCAGTGGGGGAAGCCATGGCCGCAACATCGAGCGAGCGCTTGTGGTCAGTGCGGTTCTTGGACTTGACCTGCATCGCGGCAATGTAAGCGCTGTAGGTCGTGTACCGAACACGACTCTGACGGTGGCTGCTCGAGGGGGGCGTGCTCTGTCGATCACGTCGGGCAGTCCCCTCGGGAAGCGAGTTCAACTGGTCGGTAATCCTTCCTTCATCGTCCTCATCATCCTCATCCAACAACGAACCCGAGTCGCCTTCAACCAGTCCAGATCGGGCATCCGTCATTTGTTGCTGCTGATGTTTCTGGATTTGGTGTTTCCATCGCCGTTCCCGAATACGACAATGCTGTTGCCAATAGTCGTTCCGATCAGGGTAGTCCGGGAAGTTGGGGTCATCCGCGAGGAGCATGATCTCAGTATCGACTGTCCGGACCGAGGCCCGATCCCATCGGTCATCATAAAAGACCTGACTGTCCGCATGCCACTCAAACTCAAAAGCTGGGTAGAAGTCCAGAAATTGTTGGCGTGCTTGGGAACCACTTGACTTCGTTGCTGCCAGAGAATCATTCTTCTCTCCTGTGGAACCCATCATCGGTGGAGGGAGGCGGACGTTGGGATCGAGATTTTGGGAAGAGTGGGAACCGGCTCCAGTACGGATTTGACGAGAGAGGTAGAAGGGCGACAGTAGTCTGCTCGATGATTTCCTGCGTCCGCCTCCGCCTCCTTGCTTCGCTGTCTCTGTCGAGCCAGGAACAACAACCCACTCCAAATCAGGTCCAAGTGCAGCATTTGAGTCTTGTGTTGAAATTTCAGGGGGGGCCTGCTGGGTGCTGCTGCTGCCGTTGTCTCCGTACCCCGTGCCGACCTGCTTGGCCGCCTCCTTTTGCTTCTTAGATTCAGACTTGGAGACAATGATCTTGGGGCGGGTGTCGAGTTTGGGCAGCTTGGGGAGGAGGCCTCGTCGCTTCTTGCGTTGAAGTAGTTGTTGTTGTTGGGCTTGGGTCTGCTCCTGAACTGGTTGCAATGACTCTGGTTGTGATGGCTGTTGCTGTGCCCCTTGTTGCTTGTTTCGGAACGTGCTGGACAGGAACGCGCCAATAGGAATCTGTAATGACCCTGCGGTCATGCGCTTTTTCTTCAGCGGTGCTGAGTTGATCTTATCCTTGCCCGAAAGAACACGCTCCCCAGAGTTATGACGTGTCTTGCTTGTGGCGAACAAGGATCCGAATCGAGATCGGGAACTGAGCGTTCCTGAGGTGGCGAGGTTGGTCGGGCTGGTTGGGAGGGTGGGCGTGAGGGGTTCGGGAGAGGCAGAAAGGATTCTTGCAGGGCTATTGGTAACCAAAGGTGTAGATGGGGCAGAGGGTGATGTGGGCATGCTAATATGAGGCGAAAATGGAGAGGGTGAGAAGGATGTCGATGTGGGGCTGGACAAGGCCGACATGTGCTGCTGCTGCTGTTCCTGAAGTGAGAGAGAGAGAGGGGCCTTTGAGATATGGAGGTGTGAGATCAGATCGGAAGAGGGTGATGAAGGCCGAGGGATGGCGTCAGGGTCGAGTCTCTCTAGATGGCAGGAAGAGAGTGAACTATGGGCGCTCTTGTGTGTTGCCTGGCTGCCTTTCCGCCTCAGCTTGCTAATATCCTCGCCCTTGCCCTTGCCCTTTAAACTGATTGATTTGCGGCTGTCGCACCGTCCAAGAGTAGAAGGTAGTGGTGTGATGAAGTCGACTGTGTTACCGCCGCTGTTACTGTTGCTTTTGTCTTCGACCACAGGGACGACAACGATCGAGGACGGCGAACCGGCGGTGCTGCCAGAACGAGCGTGCGCATGACGATTTTTCCGAGACGAGTTGTGGAAGGGGTTTGGAAAGGAGCGTCGGAATACGTTGGAGAGCGGCATTGTTGTAGTTGGGTGGTAGTGTGAGTGGTATGGTGGTAGTGTGAGTTGCGGTTGTTGTGGGAGGTGGTATTAAGGTATATTAGGGAGGATCGATTAGGGTATTTTGATAGTGTTTGCTGCAGGGATAGTTGATTCGGCGAGGAATGGGGGTACAAAAGAGGGAAAAAGATAGATAGATGGATGGGGGAGGGAGATGAGATGGGATGTCGACAGAGCGGGATGGGATCTCTATCTATTTCGCACGCGTATTTTCAGGGATCTCTTCTCTCTTTTTTTTTGTTGGAAGCATGAATGTCCGCATGAAAGTGAGAGAGAATGGCGACAAAACGGCAGAGGATGCAACGGGAAGAAAGAAAGAGAAAGCAATGGGTTAGAAACCTGGTTGATTCCTGGTATGCGTGTTACTGTCCAATGATCAAGGACTAGGACGGGAACACAAAGGTAACAACCGACGAAGGAAAGTGAGCGCCTGTGCCACGTTGCTCTGTTGGTGCTCTCACGAATTAAAATTTGAGTTGAAGGGAAACTACTTACAAGCGTGTACACACAGATGTGCAACGACCATGGGGGAACCAAGAAAAAGGGCGATGAGAGCGAAAGAAGGAAAGAAGAAAGGAGGAGGAGAAGGGGTTTATATGAGAAACGAAAAAGAAGGAAAGAAAGAAAGAAAGAAAGAAAGAAAGAAAGAAGGAAGGAAAGAAGGAAAGACCAAAACAAAAAAAGAGGTGAGCGCGAGAAGAAGAATATAAAGAGTGAGTGCTTGAACACGAAGGTAATTGAGAAGGAATAAAGGAGGGGTGGTGAAGGAGAGAGAGAGAGAGAGAAGCAAGAGGCGAGAGGAAGAAGGGGAGAGGGAAAGAAAGATAAAATTCAGACAGAAAAGGAGGGGACTGTCCGTGTGTTTGCTGTGTCTGTTCGTCTGTGGGTTTGTGCTGTGTGTAGTGTGTAATGTGTATTGTGTATTCGACCAGACAAAAGGAAAAAAGGAGAGGAAACGCAATGAAGAGGGACGTGTTGTTGTTGTTGTTGTTGGGGAAGAAGGTAGTACAACAAACGCTTTGGCGAGTTACCTATCCGTACTACGGGTCATTCCTTCTTTTTCACGCGATAACGAACAACAGATCAAAGGACGTCGTTCGTTCAGCAAGTGGTGTTCATTACTCGTTGGCGCCATTCCTTGTCTTCCTGTCTCTCACCCTTTTGTTGTTTTTGTTGAGTAAGATACACATGGGAGATATATGAAAGGTGGGTATGTCCCAGTCTCCGTCTCCTTTCCGAATAAAAAAAAATGGGAACAAGAGAACAACAACAAAATAATTGCAAGGAGGCACTCGAATGATATTGAACAGAAAGAGAGATAAATGGGATTAGAGAGATAGCGTAGTCGATGGGAAAGAAGGAGACAAAGGGGAGAAAGATGGATGCTGTCGAGGTACAATAATTAGGTGAATCTGTGAGGGCAGGTAAGGTACAAGGTGCGGCGCCTCTTGGCTAATAAACTTAGTCTTTGCTTTTACCCTGAAGACGATAGATGGAAGGATGGATGCCTTACTTGGTGTGTTGTGCGTTTGTTTATCGTTAATAAACGGGAAAGGGTGATGAAGGATGGAAAAGAAAGGAAAAGAAGGGAAAAGCGCGAATGTAAAAGGGAGGATAGAGGTTGACAAGGAGTGAGGGGAAGTATGGTGTAACAACGAAGAAGAGCGTGGATTCGGAAAAGGAAGATGCATAACATTTTCTGTCTTCGAACCCTCTTCCCTTTTATTTCATCTTTCTTGCTTGCCCTCTCTCCTGTCAGTCTTCTCGCACTGGTATTTCTCACTCGACCCTCCATCTCCCTTTTCCCCATCCGACATGCATATTGCACATACCAGGTCACTTGCCTTTCTCCTCCGAGGCACTGCACTCATTCAAGAAATGGACCAATAAATTGCCATTATTAGTGCGGAATAGGTATGTGTCAAGCATTATCCCTTTTGCTCACCTCAACGCGTAGACAGGATCATAGGAGTAGGTGATCATTCCTTGACACAACAACATTACAAAAGGCGAGAGCAAGAGGGAGAGAGAGAGAGAGAGAGAGAGAGAGAGAGAGAGAGAGAGAGAGAGAGAGAGAGAGAGAGAGGCAAGGAGAATGAGAAGAAGGGGCGATGAAGGAAAGAGGATGACGGCAGGGTTTATTTGTTTCTTGACGTTAATCAGCGTAGAATGTGAAAATGGGCAGAGATAGTAATAACAAAATTGGGCGGAAAACAAAAAAACCACCTTGGCTTCTCCCTGATGACATCAGTCGAGTCAACAAAAGCTACATTGTCGGTGCTGCTGTACTGCACCCCTTGGGTGTGGTAATAATAAAAGACGTGGCAAAATAGGTGGTACCCTTTTGGTTGAAAAAAAGGGGCGCATGCAGCCATTATTTTCAGTACAAACCCCAAGTCGGAACAAATCGAAACTTTTATTCGAAAGAAAAGAAAAGAAGGAAAGAAAAGAGCGCAAACAAAAGCTGAGAGATCCTAATACTGACCTCACATTACACCGCACACGAAACAAACAAACATCAACGTCAACGGACCATGTCATAAAAACATATGCAACATATACCATAGGATGGTATGCATTGGCGCTCAAGCCATGACTTCACGTTCAATAAGCAACAGGCACATCCGACAGTCGTGGCATTGTTTGTTTCGCAGTAAGGAAAAAAGAAAATATCTCTTTGTGCTCTATCACAACCACCGATAGTTTCTTTCACCTTGTCATCCCTAATCCTCCTTTTCACTGTTGTATGTCCGTCGAAGGCATCCCGAACATTGCTACTGCGCTCACAGAAATTGTTTGTCCATGGAAACCCAAGCAGAAGAGCAAACGAGAGGAAGGAGTAGTAACGGATACGATTTACGCATGATTTTTTTTATTTCCTAGGGCCGGAGCTTCTTCTTCTTCTCTGGCGCAAGGATATAAGCTCCCCGTCCTGTCCAGAACTTCTCGCCGATAATGTCAATATGATCAATGACAACGCCCTTTTTCATCCTCTTGAACGCGGGCGCCTCCTTCTTGGCGGCGGGTCCTTCCTCTGCATCATGCCGCTCTGCTTCGTTTGCATCAATGGATCGCTTCTTGCCCTCACTGCTACTGGTGCTACTGCCCTCCTGCATAATTGTCTCCTGTGATACGACTGGGCTGTCGACGGCAATCGGTGATGACTGCCCTGACGGTGCCTCCGAGACGGATCCTGAGATTGGATCTGGACCACTCTGCAAACCGGGTACTGTTGTTGCTGTATCTAATGCTGGGACCACCTTGGCTGATTTGGATCCTGGTAACGTCTCTGGTAATGTTGGGATGATGGCATCCTTGTCCTCGTCCTTTAGAATCTGTTCCCGCAAGAGGACACTGCCCTTCCTATACATGGCTGGCAGTTTGCTGTAGTTGGTGTTGAACTCTGTAAATAGCATCTCGTTCTTGTCCTTTGAATCAGTGCCCTATTCACACATCGATATAATAATTATGACTGGTGGGTGAGTTACGATGCTACTGCGGCCCTGTTTTGCCTTCGGCTCAACAAATGTAAAGCGGATCGGATCCAGATCTCATGACTTACACATAGCCTGGCTTCTGCTGCTTTGGGTGTAAGGCCACCCTCCTCGACAAGAGCCCAGAAGGAGGTGTTGAAGAGGTTGTTGATATGAGTGTCAGCCTGACGCCATGCAAAGTAGTCCTTGACCTCGACCTCTGAAGGGTAGAGAACAGCGCGTCCATCGAAGACAGGTGGGTATAAGGGTCGCTTCAGATCCGTGAAATAGTCATTCCAGTAGTAGACATAGGCCGAAGTGAAGAGTGAGACGACGGTCGAGACGATCTTTGACTCCCGTCGTTGATAGAGATCGGTCGATTTGCGAAAGAGGAACGAGTATTCGTCCGATTCCCCAAAGGCGAGGAGGATGTCGTCTAGTTCGTTCATAACACATCGTGCGGCGTGGTTCATCAAGTTGATCCCGCGTACGTCGTTTGGCTTTGCAAAGTCGTGTGTCTGTGAGAACCTAGTCGATATTGTGTGATGATGGTTAGTGGCGTTTCTTGAGTTCCCTCGTAGTTGTCCTTTGAGTGAAATGAGTTCATTAGCTTACTTATGAAAACCCTTTCCGTCGATGCGGACGAGGACGTAGACGTTCCTGAGCATCCTGTCGTCCGTCTCGAACTCCTTGACGTATTCATACTTTGACTTTGCCATGGCGTTTTGTTGTCCGTTGGAATTGTTTAAGAGATGCAAACAGAAACAAGAGTCGTTCAAGAAATAAACAAGTGTGGTGACTGCTTCGTTGATCCACAGTGACACACTCACAAGAAGGTTTGAGCGCGTGGGCATGTATGCCTATTCCCCCTACTGTGCAAAAGTAGTATCTAGCCCACGCGTCATGCCCGCCCTGTCAGTTGATTTGCTTTGCTTTGCCCCTTTTTTGTTCTTTTTTTTACAGACACACACAACACTGCCTGACTGGCTGACTTACTGACCGACGACAAAGGGCGTACTCTCTGTCTCTCCGTCTCTTAGTCTGTGCCTGTTTTGTTGTCCCGAGGACACACACAGGTACCTGCAGTTCTGCACACTCTCGCGATCGATTCAGGTGGACAGGAGCAAAGAAAGAAAAAAAGGAGCATACAGGGGTAGACAAGACAACAAAGGAGTGGAGTGGAACTAAGCAAACTAAGTCGGAGGGTGGATCATGGTTGAATGACCATGCCCTTCACCCCCTTTCTTTATTTCTGCCCTCTGCGTGAATTCTATTGTCATCCAACGCTACCTGTTCTTCTTGTTGTTGTTGTTGTTCTTTTTTTTTCTTTCATTCATTCTGTTTGCTTTCTTTTCTTTCTTTCTTCCACTACTTTCACTTCTTCCCTTCCTTTTTTTCATCATCATCCAAACAACACTCGATCGACCTTCACTCTTCGCAAAACAATAAAATCAGCAACAAGAAGCCCTCACACGCACATACACACTCTTTCTTCCTTCCTTCCTTCCTTCCAGCCTTCCTTCGCCTTCGTTTGTTGCAAAGATCCCAGGCTTACCTTCCTGTTGACTGACGCGATCCTTCCAGAATATCATACCCCATCCTCTATTCTTCTCCTCTTTTTCTTTCCCGTCCTTCCTTCTCACATCCACCCATCCTTCACACCCCACTTACAGGAGAAGCAATTACTCACTAGATATGGACCACAGCACACCGGTCTACTACGAGGACCACCATCAATTCGAGGCGGTTCCCATTGGAGACGACGATGAAGAGTACCAAGAAGACCGCTTCTTAAGGCAACACTACGGTCGTCCCAACGCCTCCGGCGAGGGACTCGGCCTTGTCCACGATGACGACGATATCTCTGAAAGCGACGACGACGACTATAACCCTCTCAGTCAACGTCGTCGGCACCACCAGAACGGCAACAATAGTCACCTCTACGAAGACGATGACGACGACGACGATGACGATGATGTGGAGGAGGATGAGGATGAGTATAGTGAGTTGGATATGGACCATCATAGCATTCAGCTGTTGAGTGGATCGTTGTCTGTGCGGAGTCCGTTTTTGGATGCCATCCGTGAGGAGGAGGATGAAGAGCCTGCTGCCTTTACCAAGCCTTCGAGTTATCCTAGTTTTGGGAGTGGGAGGTATCTGAATCGATTGAGTGGGGATGGGTCGGCGGGTGCGTGGGGTGGGAGGGGTTCTCTTGGTACGTCAACTCTAGAGAAGCAACATCAACTGCACCTCCAACAACAGCTCGAACAACAACAGCTGCTAGAGAAGCAGAAACTACAAGAGGAGCAGCAGCAGTCTGCTTTGCTGTCTGACCAGCAGGGGACCAATTTCAACAACACAAACCAGAGCGACAATGGCAAACCTCGTGGACCACGACCACCCCTAATGCTCGGACGACCTCGTTCCAATACCTCATCTCTCACGAAGGTCGTTACAGGATTCGACATTACTTCTTCATCCGCATCCACAGCAGACCAGCAGAAACTCTCGAAAGATGAAGAGGCCCTTCGTAACTCTCAAGCCTCGCCCGAGAGCACCATGCAAGATCTAGAGGTGAAGCGTGTCCTCGAGGGGGCTGCTGCCCTGGCCTCGGGTACCACCCTCTCCAACTCTGTGGACCCCTCCAAGTCTGCCGAGTCGACCCCACTACCTTCCTCATCCAAATCCAACCAAAACACCATTTCCCTCCCCGGTGCTGGTGCCGGCGCGGACTCAATGGCATCATTCGGAACCGACACCCAAAAGTCGATGGACAACTTTTTCGGCATGGTCAAGTCGGACCTAGACAAGCGTATCCAAGAAGCGATCCAAGAGGTGGAACAAAAGTTCCTCGACCGCGTCAAGAGGCTGGAGGAGCACACTGCTACTCTGGCTGGCGCACCTCCAGAGTTGCTACTGGCCAATGCTTCGTCGGGGGATGCAGCACCCAACGCTGGGTCGCTGATGGAGTCACTGACGCGTCCTCTTCCTGCCCATCAGAACCCCGGTGGATCTCTGGCACTGAGGAAAGAGATCCTGAGCCATGTCACCGAAAAGGTTGGCGATTTGGATCTGCGCGTCAACCAGATGGAAGTCCTTGTCTCCTACAAGCTTGTCGATATCGAATCCAAGGTAATGTGAGCACATACCATTCCAGCTTACGACATCTAGAGATCTGCATGTTGTGTCTGTGTGCAAATTACTCAAAACAGCTATTCTCTAACACTTTGTATCCTCTTCTCCTCGCCTTACTTAGGTGAAAGATCTGCATGGTGCTCACAACTCGATTGCCCAAAAGGTCCATCAGGTTGCCAAATCTCACAAGTCCAACATGCAGGGGCTCCGTGCAGGAGACGGCGTCGGAGAGAACACCATTAATGCCGAGGAGGCTCGTATCTCGGCCGCGATGCAACCCTACCGCGACATTGAACCCCAAGGTCCTAGCCAAGGCGCCAGTGCCTACCTCGAACCCTTCGAGGGTGGTAGCAATGGTAATGTCGGTGATGGGATCGTCAGTCTGCGAAGAGCTGGGTCTGCTCGTGATGTTGGTGCCTCGAATGAGTTGGTCGATACGTCATCGTCTATTGTTGAGCTGCGACATGAGCTCCAAGTGCTGGGTATGCGGTATCAAGAGCTGAATGATGGGCTGTTGACGGATCTGATGGGCCAGATGCGTGATGCAAAGTTGGTGCTGTTCCAGAGTGTGGATGAGGTCGATGGTCGGATAAGCAAGCGAGTCGATCGGATTGAGGCCGAGATGCATTCCAAGCTGCTGAGCGAGATTGAAGGGCGAGTTCAGGAACGCGTTCGAGCCATGGAACAGACATCAGCAAGGTTGGAAAAGTGCTTTGACAAGATGGAGGGTCGACTTGGTGCCTTGGAGACGGTGTTGGCTTCGCGACGACCAAGACCCGAGAGCATGTACCAACTCTTGCAACAGCAACTTCAGCAGCAGCAACAGCAGGATGAAGAGAACGGGATCCCACCTCATGCGGGTACTTTTTCGGGCTTCCCCTCGAGTCCGCCACACCGGTCTGTCACGTCCATGGTCTTTTCCGATTCGGATATTAAGCCTGCGGAGACATATACCCGACCCCGGCGTCGTACTCTGGCCGAGAATGGTATCTACACCGACACTCAGCAGTCTCGTCAGAGTCAGGACGACAATGCACCCTTGATGATGCTCGACACCTCTTCCAACTATTCGACCGTCAAGGACAACAGCAGCTCTGGACTCAGCAGCAGCTACCCCAACAGCAACACCACCAACATGGGCCGAGTCTCCACAGCACTCGAAGGGTTCGTCAGCTCACACCAAAGCAGACCCTCGTGGTCACCCTCCCGCGGTATTTCAACCACCGCAGCCTCACAGACATCCAGGAGCGAGACCTCATTAGTAGCATCACCCTTGGAGCGTGGTACGGTCATTGGCAGTCGGATGGGCACGATCCACCCTGAGTACATCCCCAAGACTACCTACGTCCCCACCACCCCTATCCGAGAGCGCTTCTCCGACAGCCCCTTGTCTTCGACGCCAACAAGGAAGGGATTTGACAGCGGCGATCAAGAACCGTCTGACCATGGTTCACGAGGTCGTAGAGTGTCCCTCTCTAGTTTCGACTCCAACAGTCTTTCGGCACTGAAACCCATCAAGGCCACGGCCACTACCGCCACTGCTGCTGCTACTCCCGCCGAATCGACTGCTACCTCCATCGTCACCACCACTACCACAACGACTACCATGACCACCCAACAGCACACTGCCAACAACACTGGAGGCCCTGCAGGCCGTGGCGGCAACCTCAGCGTCAAGTCTTTATCCTCCTCCTCGCTCAGCGTAAAACTGAACAGCGCCGCCGGCAGCGGAGCCAACAGTCCCACCACCCCCACTCACACTGGAGGAACCACTGTAACAAAAACGATGCAACGAGCCATGACATTCGACACCCTCCAATCCCAAGCGGCATCCGGAGCAGGATCAATCACGAGTGTCAAGACTGTCAAGACCCCCGTCCAAGGCCCTTCTTCCTATAGAGACTTGCTTCATTTCTGGAAGGCTGGTGGAAGTGGGAATAGTGGTAGTGGTAGTGCTGCAGTGTAGCAATTCGAGGTCTTGTTTGTGTTTGTTTATGAAGATTCGGCGACAACTTGACCCGAAACACACAAACACGACGAGTATTTTATTTCGATTACCGTCTTCCAGTTTTTGTAGTGCCTAATGAATTATGACAGAAAAAACTTAAGCATTGTCACATACTGTCGTTTTTATTTTTCTGTTCAGTTAAAACGGAGATGGGGTCAGATGCAAAAGACAAAAAAAGTCATGGCCTCCACATGGAACAGATGGCCAAATTCTATTCCTGTCCCTCAAAAGCAGGCAGCACCAACACTGAAAATGGCTCCTGTCTGTTGTTGATCTGTTTTGTCATTTGGATTACCAACACCCGAAGCATAAAATGTCAATAGAAAATAATAAAAAAACAAACAAACAAACAAACAAACAAAGTAACCAAAACAAACAAAAACAAAAAAAAAAACCAGCAAAGAAATAACGAGAGCCGGCATCATGAAGGACGAACAGGACAGACAGATATTCAGTCAGACACTGCCTTGGTTTTTTATTTGATGTTTTTTTGACGGACCCTCTTGATCTTTATTAGATGAGCGGTACATCCATACATGGAGAAGGATACAGACTGCGTGCCCTTTTTTTGGTGAGATGGACAAGCTCTCTTTCTCCATTGTTTGTATCGATTGCGCATGTTTGCATGCATGGGGTGTCCTAAGGTTTTTGAAATGAAAGTCAGAGCAGGAGCTGTGACATGGGGCATCCATTTTGGTCAGTGGATGAGACGGAGAAGGACTGATATGAACTGATAGAAACGACATGTATCTTTAGCACCTTGTTGGTCTCGGGGCGGAGAATCTATTCAACATGGATGCGAATGCTCTTGCTTTTGGTTTTTTCTTTTCATACAAATGAAAAAAATGAAAAAAAATGAATGCTAAACAGAACCTAAAAGGAACACGCTGGCGTGGTTATTGTTTTGATAAAAGTGCGTTGATAGAGGCTGGGGTTGTTCTCCGTCCTCTCTCCACCCGCGTGTCTGCCCCTCCTCCATCTGTCAGCGTCCAATTCTCACTGTTTCTAGTAGACTTAGTTGAATACCCCCTATCATCCTCTTTCGTGTCGTTGTCACGTTAGGCACAACAGTCGACAACGAACCAGCTTAATCCTCCGTCTACAAACCAGCACATGTACAAACTGGTTCCTTTATACTCTCTAATCGTGGTATCGTGGCATTGGGCGTTCAGGGGGAAATCGAGTGATAAAAAACCAGGGAATCGTTGCAATGCGCTTTAATGCGTGTGTGTGACCACACCAAAGGCCCGACACTCTTTTGTAACCCTTGTTCAACCCCTACCCCACCCCACCTTGGCCTTCACTCCAACTACACAACTTCAACCCCCTTCTTTTTTCAGCCCTTCGATCGACAGCAAAATATTGGTGCAATCCTCTACAATCCTCGCCTTACGCTCCCCTGTTTGGGGTTTTTGTTTATGTTTTGATCGACCTGTGCATTAGGAAAGGGGGTTGCTCCTCTCGTCAATGCGAGGTGAGGTGTCGAGGAAGAAGGAAAGGGTTGAGAAAAATGTTTCGTCTTCTCTGTACTTCGATCAATCTCTTTCGCTTTCAGCAAGCAAGCAATTGTCAACAATGTCCAACCCATCTGTTGTTTGCTGTCCTAGTTATGTTTTGTTCTTAAGAAAAGAAAAGAATAATAAAACGAAAAGGGCTCTTGACTTATTATTGCGAACTGGCTGAGGTACCCCCGCACCTCTTACTTCTATTCTACTCCGCAACCTACACTAGCGCCCACCCTTGTCTTCGTCATCTTGTCCCCCCCCCCCTCCCCTGTTTTTGTATCTTTTCTTTCCTTGTACCTTCGTCTTCATCCTCTTTTCCGTCGTTTCGTTTCTCTTGTCTTTTATCTTTTTTGATCTCCACTCCCCCTCATCAACTCGCTCATTCACTCTCGCCTGTACATTATCTCATCCAACTTTGCATTCCTCTCTCCTTCTCTCCATCCATCCTTCTCTCGGTCATCACTTTCACCAGGACAACTCTCATTCAACACTGCAATCCTTCCTCCTGACCGCCTCTCACTCTCCTTCTGCATACAACTCCCAACGGCTTTTCATATTTTTTTTTTCAGGAGTTCCCACAAACAAGCTCCCATTTCCCTCCTCTTCCTCCTTCTCAACTCATCGCCGTCTTCGCCAGCAACAACACCACTCGATATTCCTCTCCGCACACAAGCCTTCACAGAACCAAAATGGATCCACTACCTCCGACGACGCACTTTGACGACGACAAGAACATCTACCAACCAGAGAAAGTCGAAATCGCCTCCCTCTTCATCTCCCTCCTCTGCATCTCCGTCATGTCCCTCCTCTTTGGGCGCAAGACCGCAGGGACCCGGATAGGCAGCATCAACTATGCCCGAGGGCTCGTCATCATGCTCTACTTCCTCTCTTGGCTCTTCTCTGTCGTTGCCGCAATGCTGGTCCAGACCAACAACAGGAACCAGACCTCCTGTACACTCTCTATCCTTGTCTGCATTGTCCTCTACGCGTCCTCTAAGGTTGTCATCTACTTGTTCTTGACTGAACGCGTCTATGTTGTGACGGCCCTCGGTGTCACCCGCTGGAACAGTCGGATGTACAAGTTTAACCTAGCGCTGATCTCCCCGTACCTAGGCATCTTTGTCCTTGCGGTGTATTTCCGCGTTGCCGAGATCCAATCAGATGACGGACATTGCATGATCGGCCTCAAGGCTGCGGCCTCGATCCCATTGATTCTCTACGACACTTTTATCTGCAGTTGGTTGACGGCTCTCTTTGTCCGCGCCCTGTTGTCCTCGACGTCGATGCTTCAGGGCCCCACAAAGTCGCGGTTGAGGGATGTTGCCCGGAGAACGTTTATTGGTTCTGTCTTTGCTCTCATCCTCTCCAGTGCCAATGTTGCGAGTCTAGTGTACTTTGAAGGCAACCAGCGTGGATTGTACTGTATGGCGTCCTGTACCCTCGATGTCACGCTCAACGCGATCGTCATCCATTGGGTGACATCCAGGACGGGGCGGTCTCGATCTGATAGATATCACGGTGGTGGAAACTCGAGGGGGCCAGCCTGTGGTGTTCATCCTCACGGTGGAAACAATGGCAACGGCAACCAGCAGTATGCGATGCAGGGGATGGACAACTCTGTCGACCCCTTGGAGTCCCACATCTCGGTCTCAATCGAGTCCTACGTAGAAGACTATCATCGCATGCAACTGTCGTCCAAACCTCCTCACCAAACCAGCGCCTACAGCCATGTAGTCGAGTAGACAATTTAAAATAAAAAAAATTCCTGAAGCAATTTGTTTCTCTTTTCGACGATTGATGTTTGTTCTTCAAAGAAAAGCGGGTGGCTCCCTTGGGAAATGTCAAACATGACCTTCTGTTAGTTCCCCGTAGTGTTATGTTGCTGTTGTTTTTGTTCCACCCACGAAATGCATTATTCGTGCTAGTTCTCCCCTTCTTTCTTTTTCTCGCCCCTGTTCTTTCCATTCTTTGGGTCTTTCGTCTTTTTACGCCCATCAAATTTTACTTTGTTGCCCTTCGGTAACATTTTTTGTGCGCTCGTGCTCGGACCTGTGGGCACTGGAATCAACCGTTACATGGTTGCACACCGCATATCGCATGTTTGCATGTTGCATATAGTGACGAAGAAATACTCCCCCCTCTCCTCCTTTCTCCAGAAACACCAGCAAGGATGTCGTGCTCGCATACATACCTTCGCTCGGAACATGTTATTGCCCCTGAAAGAATGTCTAGCACGTTTTATTGCCTATCAACTCTATTTGAATTGCCTATGCCTGCGCCTTACAAAGGCACTACGCGGAATTGTCAAACTCAAGGGGCTGGCTATTCGTAACTTTATGGACACTACGCACTATGCAAAGGAGGGGGGGATGAGGCAACGCTCTTCTAGTACCATCGCCCTCTCTCGGTATTATTTGAAGACTGTGTGTAAGGGGAGGAGCGAGATCTGTGTTTGAGGAAAAAGCGATGGCGAAGAAAACATTGCAAGGGATACGATCAGAAGGAGAGAGAAAGAATCGAAGGAAGACGGGCGCATCATCAGCACAGAAACCCCCCCCCCCTCCAGCCAGACGAGCATGCACCAGGGTGGCATTGAAATTGATGGAAGCGAGTTTCAAGGTCGAGAGAAGCAGGAGCGCGTCCACAAGTAACAGAAACAGGGGAAGAGAAAGTGAAATCACTCAAGTCTTCGAGGACAGACGATGCTATGATCTGTCGAAGGATTTTGGGTAGCAAATAAAGAAAAAAGGAAATATAACGTGAGTAAGGCGCGTGTCCCCGATTAAAAGTAGAAGGACAAGGACACGAGAATGGACAACGGACAGGAATAAGATAATATGACACTAGATGTCAGAATAACTTCATTCCAATAGACATGATTGACAAAAATGCGAAAAAAAGAAACTCCTGGGACCTAAAGAACCAGGGACGAATGAGAAAGTGCCCACTGCAGGGATCGAACCTGCTACCTTCTGCTTACTAGGCAGACGCTCTACCAATGAGCTAAGCGGGCATTTTGCTGTTTTATTGTCAGAAACGATCTACTTTTGATCTGGCACCACCAACCAGAGCAGCAGCAGCGATCAAGGGAAGCGGTGACGTAGTCCGAGCAGTATATTAGTCCGCCTGGGATTGTACGAAACAAAAAAAAAAAAAAGTCCGCCTGGGACGGAGCAAGCGTATCTTCCACTTGCTGTACTTTACCTCCGCTTCCCAGGTACGTTCCCCACCCATTCTTCTCTTGATCGATTATCCTTGGTATCTAGATTATCATACTTTATTAAACATCTTCCACTTGCTGTACTTTGCCTCCGCTTCCCAGACGCCTAGTCCCCTGCATCCCCTCACCCGGGATCTGGCAGGTGGCGTCCGGTTAGCTACGGTTGATAGGAAGGTCCCTGGCGCTGAGTATCCACAGTTAGTCGGTGCAGGCCAGGCAGTACCCCCTTTGAGCTCACTATGAGTCTATCGCTGGATCATACCCAAGGTGGTGCTTACCCACCCCTAGGCCAGCGATTCTTTCATGTGTCGTGAATTGCCACCCCTTTATTCACCACTTTCCCTTTTTCTCCTTTTCCACTCTTTTTGCTCTCGTTGTTTGCACTCGCCTTTCTAACCGCAAACGCGACTCCTACCTCTTTCATACTTCCGTCTACACCTTTTTCCTTTGTTGACTACAACTATCGTCGCCCCGCTCGCTCTCAACACCCAGTGACACAAGAAGCCATCGCCCCGAGTCACCTTTATTCATTTCTCTTCTTTTCTTTTATGTTGTTTATCCCTTTGACAAAGACCCTCTTCGTCAAAGGCCCTTCCTCTGTTGTTGATGGCCCCTTCCTACTTTCTTTCGTTGTTCATCAAGTCGTAACCCTTACACCAGTTAGTAGTAGCTCCCCCGGGCCATCTCTTTTTTACGTCTTCATTCTATTCTCTTTTATTCAGTGCCCCCACAAGTAGTAGTCTAGTCAGATAGTATAAAAGGACGCCTAGAATGGATGATTGAACAGTATCTTCCCCCCACTGTCAATCATACCCTTCTAGGTAAGTTCCTCCTCCCCTCCCCTGTTAACCACTGTTCTCGTTGTCCGAACAGCCACTGAATAAAGGTCTTCCCCCCACTGTCAATTACACCATTCTAGGTTGAGATACTCGAGCCCGTTGTCCCTTTCTTGCGCCGAAGATCCGCATTCTTTCCCCCGTCGTCCCTGAGCGTGATCTAGTTGAGATCACTTCCTCTTCCTCTTCCTCCACTTATTTACCAGTCTAATTGAGACTGCGTGGTACCTCCTGCAAGAGTTGCTTGAGTCCCCCATAAATGCATTATTTCCCCAGCTATTTTTGAATAGTTGCAATATATTTCATGTCCGACATTTGTCCACCTAAAAAAAAAAAAAAAAAAAAGCCTTGCTGGCGAGCACCGGCCTCGGGCAGGCTCGCAGGCTCGCAAACCCAACCTGTACCCAACATGCGTATGCCGACGATGCGAGCTCGAGAAGGAGGATAACGAACATGTCTGGAATTGTCCCTTGGCAGCTGAGACCACCACTGAGATCTGGAAGGAGGCCATGGGCAAGATTGATGAGTGGGGTGTGCAGGCGACAAACAGCTACAACGCAGCCAGGAAGCAGGAATACAAACGCGCGGTGGACAGGGGTCTTCAGGTACCGAGGCCAGTACCCATACACTGGCGGCCCCCCTTCGAATGCGGATCATGTACGAGGATTTTCCTCCATCGGCGGAGCTCGAGCCGTGCACAGCGGTAGTCCTGCTCCCGACCGATATGAGAACCCGATATGAGAACCCGATGTGGAACGTGTCGGATCTCCTCCGCGGCATCACAACCATGAGCATGTTGACTGAATGGTCCGCGGTCTTCCGGACCCCAATGTCCATCGCCAAGACGGTCTTTCACAAGTTTGTTGGCTACCTGGAGGCGCAGGCCTCCGAGCTGATCTGGAAACCACGGTGCTCCGCGACGATCACGTGGGAGCAGACGCAGGGTATCTCTGCCAAGAACAAGACATCCAAGTACACAGGTCCCCAAGGTGACTGGAGTCAAGGATACGGTTACATCGCCCGCGATGGTTTCTGCCCGTGTGGCGCCTCGCTAGCCACACATGGGGATGGAACGTGCCCTGGAGTACTGCTGACGAGCGGCTGTTGGAGAGTTTGTTAGGAAGGAGGAGGTTGTCGATGATGGAGAGGATGAGAAGCATCCCCATTTATTCGTGTCTAATTTTTAATTTGTCTTCCGTTTAAGCTGCGGAGAGCAGCGACAATTGCTTTGCAGAGCCGGGTTCCGGACCGGACCGCAAATGGTGACTGGTGCACTGAAGAGTTTGGTCTGTAGCCCCCTTTACTTCCAAATGCCCTTTGCTGTTTGTCAGAGAAATAAAATTGCGCACGAAAAAAATCATATTGTTTTCCCATCCACCAAGTCATTTTTGCTTACAGCAGTTAGATTGCCGTCGTTAGTTGTAGAAAAGACAGGGGAAATTATAGTGCTGGCCTAAAAGCCGGTTATAACGAGTTAGTTGTACGAGTTGACCATAGAAAAAAAAAACTAGGAAGATCGGAGAGGAGCTGGTAAAGTTTTTGGATGCTGGCATGCCGCCTCGCATTTTTATTTGTCACTGTTGTACAGAAAATCAAGCGCCATCAGTACCAATTTTTTTTTCAGTCAAAGGGAAACAGACAAACACTCTCTTTCTCTTTGCCCTCACACAACTTTTCACTGTCGGCGGACACTGGTTTTTTTTCATGGACAGCTGCTCTTGTATGTCAAAGGACAAATAATGAACCGAACCAATGGCTTGCGAGAAGAGAGGCAGGCAATGAAGAAAAGGATGCTACTAAATTGAGAGATGAGGCGAATAAGATTCATTTCGCTTGCCAAAAAGATTTTGAAACGTCGAGTGCTGTTTTTCGTGAAGAAATGACAACCAACAATTCAAACCAGCTCGAAAAACGGCTTAGATCTTTGGTACATAAAGAAAGGCAGCAGATATCCCCAAAAAAGTAAAAAAAAAAACTGCGGTTTGTTGGAAAGTGCGTTGGGGAGGTGGAGAAAGTGGTCAATGATGGAGAGGGACGAGACTAAACTCTTTTATTCGCATGTTATTTTCATGATGCTGTGAGTAACAGTGACCATTGCTGCGCCGAGCTGTTTCATATTGAAAAGGGTAAGAAAGGATGGAACAAACGGCATGATGGGGGACAGTAGTGAGATGTGAATGGTGGAGAGTGATTGAGAAATAAATAAGAGCCAAGAGCACATTGAAGAAAAATGTCGGCAAAATGGTTTCTTTTAAGCAACCGCAGTGACTTGAAGGACCTTTTCCCACCGCCGTCTCTTCCTTCTTCCTTTTTCTCGCGTAACATAATGATTGCAATCAAAGAAAAAGGCGCCAGTGGTTATCAATCATTGATACAAAAAAAGACGGGTGGAGGTATGGTACATGAATTATTTAGGAACAAAACCTAAACACGTCGTTGATTGGCCTGGACGCGACGAGAAGATCAATATCGTTCGTTCTACTGTTCCCCTCCATTCCATGCTAATGAAATTGAGAAAAAAAAAAGAGAGAGAGGAGATAGAGACTGGATAAAACAAGAAATGAACAGTTGTTACACACCTTTATTCATACGCGCCAGTGTCCTTGGTGTATGAAGAGGCATGTTTTTATTTTCGCATCTCGCAACAACTGAGTGACAAGAAAAAGAGAGAGAGAGAAAGCAGCTACAGAAGAACGCGTCGGTTGGAAAGGAGTAGTACTACTTCTTGGAATCGACAAATCGTTCATGGCCAAGGCGAATGAGTAGTTTAGGAACGAACACCTTACATCCAACAAATATGAATATGTATTAAAATGGTTGACGAGAAGAAAAGGCCTCAAGGTCAGCAACAAGCGCCTCAAGTCCCTTCTGATCGCTTCGATCGGCCAGATCCTGATACAGTCGCTGAGACCTCTCAAACAGCTCCTCCATTTTCAACCTGTCCACTTCCTCCTTGCCTCCCTCCTCAGCCGTCTTCTCTACAACCTCATGACCATTCCTCGCTACAGGGTTCCTCGTCCGGTAGACATCCAATCCTTCCTTCTTCGTGAACATATCCTGAAATAGCATCCAATCCGCATCACTCAGAAATGACGGTTCCTTTCCCGAACTCAAATCTCCAAACAGCGCCATATGAAGGATATGTCGACAGGGGAGTAAGTACTTGTTGAAGAAATCGCATCCGCACCGGAGATGTTTCAATCCTGGGGGTCGTTTGCCTTTGGCGATCCTTGCGTTCATCGCACGCGCTTCGTCCACGAGGAGGGTTTGGACGGTGTAGGGAAAGTGCTTGATGTGGCTAAGAAGTGGGGATCGGATGTCGTCGATGCGGGTGCTTTCGTTGGTGCATGATGCTGTTCGAGCTTTGAGCGCGAGTTCCGTATTGATATCGTCCAACTCCATGACGGCTCGACTTGTTCCTATCAAACACAATAGTCAATTAATTGTTAGGCGGATTGTTCTTTTGCAAGCGCAAGATATCGACCAGTCGCAACTTCATTTTTTTTTTTGGCAAACTTGTTCTTACCAATGAGACCGCGAGTGACAGATGAGAGACGCTTGACTTCGTGGTGGTAGGCGTCAAGGATGGAGAGTGAGGCGGCTTGAAGCAAAAAGGGCGACTCCTGACGTGCAAACAACGCCCATCGATCTGTACTGACGATGCAGTCTTTGATGTGCTGTTTGGTCTCTTGGTTGTTGCAGCCGCTAAGTGCCTTCTCTATCATATGTTCAAAGCCAAGTCGAGTCCTGCAGTGAAGCGCCTGTACCATCATTTGTCGTGTCTGAGGAGCGGTAATGCTCCGCTCCCAGACCTGCATCGTATGTGTCGCGGAAAAAATGACCTTGCACTCTTGCTGGTCCGCCTGTTGCTCTCCATGTGTGGCCTTGGGGAAGGTGATCTCGATGCCGGCAGTAACGGCAGGAGACCGATCCGTCAGCATGTAACGTGGTTGCCATGAGGGTGCAAGCTGTCGCACGAGCTGGAGTGCTTGAGCGATTGTTGAGCTGTTTGTGTCGCTCACAAAGAAGTGCGCTCCTGAATCCCAGCAACCGAGACAATCCCGCACAAAGAGAGTAAAGAGTTTCCAGCCATGTTTGTTGGTATCCTCCACTGAGCCAATTAGTGTAAGCCAGCCGTGGGTAGACATCTTGGCCAATTGCTGTGACCGAGCAAAGACGAGTCCTTGTGCAGGGTCGGCGATCCCGCTGTTGGTGTTGGTGTTGTTGTTGGAGCTACTGCTGCTGCTACTGCCGAGACCACCATTATTGATGTTGAAAAGCGGTATGACACCCGTCAGTACTGAAGCGGTGGTTCCTCCAAACGACAGCCATTGATATCCCTTTGTGACCAAGAGCTCTGCCGCTGATCGAACTTCCCCGTCAACATGAACGTCTCCCACCAATGGCTTCAAATCTGTCTGTCGTTGTTTCCTGCGAGTGTTAACTAATTCCGTGCGTGTCACAAAGGCAGCCACCTCGCCTAGCCCACTTTCTTCGGCCAGTTGCCTGATAGAAGCAATGGTCTCCAGCGGGCTGTTGCTTTTCAAAGTCTCCTTGCCGATCAACGTTTTGATCGCAGCGGGCCTCCTGACCTTGTCGACATCCGCAAGCGAATGCGTATGAATCGCAGGTGTGTCGTAATGATTCCGTTCGACGGTCGTGATCCCCGTTGCGGTGACATGAGTGATCTTGATCGCAGCCTGGCATTCGCACGGGACTCGAGAGGTTCTTTTCCTGCGTTTTGTGTCGGGGGTGTCGTTGGAGGTGTCTTTGGGTTTTGGGTTGTATTTGGCGGCGAGTCTACAGGAGTAGTTCCTGATGTAGCCGAGGGGCGCGCCGATGGGGGTTGGTTTAGGCCCCGAGTTACAAGTCCATGCGTTTGAGATGAGCGGCCACCAGTCGTCCTCGAATTCCTTTGTGGGCAGCTCGATGGGTATGTTGACGTTGAAAAGGAGTTCACGCTTCTCCTGTGCTGTCGGCATCTTTTTGTAGTGAGGTCGAGGTTGAAGGAATCAGATTCTGGCAGTGAGAAAACCCCTTTTCACGTTTTGCGTAAAGAGAGTGTCACGTTTTTTTTCTTCTTTCTTGCCTTGGTACACATCGCAGCCTAATAGCCAAAGTCAATATTTTATTACATTCTTCTCTTTTGTATATCACGATTGCCTTCCCTAAGGTTAGCCGCCTAAAGCAGCAAGAGGAGTGGAAAAAGAATAGTTGCTTGATGACGATTCTTTCCTTCTTTCTACAACGACCGTTTATTGATGATCCCTTGTAGAGACACGGATGTGATCAGTGAGGAGGTGATGCTGCCTGGAGTGGATAGGGATCGACCTTTCTATGATCGTCGATATTCTTAAGGATTTTAATGATTAAAAGAGGGGGGCATTATCTTCCTTACGAAATCTTATATCCATTGCGCACACCGGCTGGTGGACCAAGTAGAGAACAAAATAAACGATTATGTGCAAAAGCGAGTGCTGTATTATGATGAACGAGAATGCAAGAGATAAGAGAAACGACCCCGTCCAGTCCAGTCCAATCCAGTCTATGCATCGACGCGGCGCTGGAGATCCTGCATGACCAAGTCATCGTCATCCAAATCATCGTCGTCGTCCTCAAACCCGTTCCTGTGCCCATATGTACCCCCTGCCGACGGAGACTGCTCGTCGTCGCTTTCAGACTCGAGACTCTGCAGCCGGATCATCGTCTCGCCCTGGTAGATCAACGCAATATAGCTGACAAACGGCGTCGTGATTCCCGTGGCGAAACCATAGATGCCCTTGAAGATCTCCGGGAACGGCCATACATTAAAATCGCCTCCGAGCTGGCTAAAATCTTTGCCGACTCCCTGATTCCTCAGCGCAGAAAGGACTCCGATGGTCAGCGGCCAAAAAACCAAAAAAGTCACCACAATCATGACTCCAATCCGCTTGCCATGAAACTTGAACTGCTGCAGAATCTGTTCCTTGCGACCGGCGGCTGCCTTGTTGTACCGCTGCTTGGACCGGGCCTCTTGGAGCTCGTCGAGTCCGACAAACCATTGGATCCAGGGGTGGGCGTTGCGGGGCATCCGTAGTGGGGCGACAAGACCCTTCTTCAGGTCTCCAGCGACGGCGAGTCTGTCCAGGATCCATGTCAGTGTTGTTTGGATGATGATCGTGACCGCTGCTTCGCCGGCGAGGGTGTTGGGAAGGGGCCATATCATGACGGGATTGCTCGTGCCCTTATACATGGCTGTGGCGAGTGCAAAGTTGATGACGCCGTCGAGGACCATGGCTCCGAGCATGTGCATGAGTCCCAGATAGGCGATATGCCTCGACGTCAGACTGTCCGTTGCTGTCCTTGGCGCCATTGTGTCCTTGTGTTAGTGCTGTTGCTGGGTGTTCTTGTTGGCGTAATAAGTAAGTCGATCTTGTGCAGCAATGATAGTCGTCCAAGGTAATGCTGATGTGTCCTGTCAAGGGGAATGAGGAATGTGGAAAGAGAGTAAAAGTGTGTGAATGTAAAAGTGAAGTGAAAAAGAAGTAGGAAGATAGAAAGGGTGCCCAAACGGAAGACAAGACGAAAAAGGAGAGGAGGGGGTAAAGAGTAATGCCGGAGGGTGAAGGTAACTTGTTTGAGGTGAGAGGGGCAGAAAAAGGAAATTGGGTTCTTGTTCCACTCTTGTCTGGTCTGAGTTGTTGAGGCCGTCAATGTGCCCAATGGAATATGATATCGACGCCAACGCGCAGTCGTCTTCGTCTGTCAGTTGTTGCCATTACCAAGCAAGCACTGTAGCTGTTGGGACAGTAATACTCTCTCTTTCTCTCTTTGGTGCGCCCATTGTACCTAGATGCTCCATGACGCGTAAACAGTTTGGCCAAAGGCCTGTTACAATCTATCTATCTATCCCACACAGTTGTGTACACTGCCACCAGGGTTGACCGCTGAGGTCTAGAATTTCATCACTTCTGCATACAATCTTTGCTGTCTATGGTAAATGTGTAAATGTGGATGGTTAAAAGAGACGAATCAGGAAAGAGGTCAATGGACAAAGACTCTACGCACGGCAACATAAAGTACGACAGGAGATGTGTATCTCTTGACAGTCAACGTAGCAAATCTTGAATGCTCTGACTTTCTTTCAATGGGCACATTGCATTGCTCGTCTTTCATAATCCTTCATAGATATTTCTACCGCGGACCCCATGCTCACACCCTTTTGCCCATCATCTCTCGCCATCAGCCGCCACTTCTTGCACGCACTCTCATTTCTTTTTTTATTGTTCTCAGCTACAAAGTATACTAAAGCACTTGACAGCACTGGGACAATGTAAACCAAGAATCTAGCCCAGGGCAAGAAGGCCTCTCTTTTTGATTTAACAACCTGGATTCATTCCCACGAAACCAAAAAGAACAACGTAAAGAGCGGTGACTTTTCCCTCTCTCTCATTGGGTTCATTGCGCACAACATCTCCACTCATATGCATGGACTATGAAAGGGTCTCTACGTCGCTAACCTCTCCAACAAGACTTGTTCAACAGTATCATCAACAAAAACGAAGTGTCGCCTTGGGTCCAGACAGACCTTGACGTGTTTCAAGTCATATCACTGCTAGGGGTGAGGAGTTTGTGTCTTCGCTGAGGTCCTGACCTTTTGTTCGTTTTATTCGAGGTGAAATCAAGTAGCAGGAAACTCATGGTTGCTTCATTATGTCGTGCGATGAGTGTATATTTTTTACGAACATATCCTACTTGCAGTCACCTCTACTTCTCCCCTGCTATGCTATGGATGCATGACATGATTCCCCTCCCTCCACAATGCGCGTCGCGAGAGACGACGACGAATATAAAAAGAAGATTGCCTCCCCTCGTTTTGAACCTCACCCCTCATCCACAGATCAGTCGACTCTACAAGAACCCCAGGAACCCCAAGAACCCCTGTCTCGGTCCTCATCCCCCCAAGACCTCCTAGCCCTCAAGTCCAAGACCAATCCCAAGATGCGTTCCATGTCCACCGTCGCCACCCTCGCAGCGTTCCTGCTGATTTCCTCCTCTGTCTCTGCCGCGGCAGCGCCCCTTACTGCCAAGATCGAGCTTAGTGACGTTTTCAGTAAGGTCTGTTAAAGCCCGGGTTATCCATGCGGGAGTTATGCGGAATGTTGCTCCGAGGAGTGCTATATGGGGATGTGCCTTTAGTCAAGACCAGGTTTTTGTAGGTCGTTGACATTGGCCATAGGGTTTTCACACTCTGCCAATCGAAGTACCTACATGAATTTATTTCTCTGGACGCGTATTTCATGGTCGTCATTCTATATATCTCTTTTTTCTTCTTTTTTTCTTGCGTCACGCTCTTGTTGTGAGATGCGAATAAACACGCAATGTCTCCGTATACATTCTCTACCAAGTCGTCTCTTCATCTTTACGTCCGTGGTGTTCGGCAAACATGCAATGAGACGTTAAAATGTGAAGAGTGACAAAGTCAACATATCAAATGCCCCCGTATTATTTGCTCTCCTTTGTGGTTTGCGTGCAGACTTAACAGGGGACGTATTCAAGTACACGTTGTCACGACTCTTCTCAATGTCACCACTCTCGCGCATGTTCTGTTTTTGTTTTTGAAAGGGTGTAACGATAGACGGAAAGAAAGGTGACATCATGGTGTGATGACAGGCTACGACGCGCTTGCTTCGGCCGCCTTTCAACCAATAAGTCTCTTTTAAAGCAAGAAAACGCGTAATCCTTCAATCTCCAATCCCGCGGCCACTTTTTCTCGGTAAGGTCTTGGCCTCCTGTGCCTCTTTTGTCATTCAGATCGCGTAGACCATGAGACCTATAATTTTTTTGTTTGGTCTGTTTGTATCAAGCACGTTTTACGATTATTGTTTATGATTCCTTCCGCAGACATGCTGTAGGTTCATAACTGCCGTCCGTTACCTGTTTTTTCTTTGATTTCATTGTATTCTTTCTTACTTATATCCGCAGTTTCCTGGCTAAAACATCCGAACAACAGCAGTGAAAGGTTAACAGGTTTGGTAAAAGAGCAACGAAGCCTGCTCATGTAATGACCCCCACCCTTTTCCGCCTTTGAACCATCGTCCATTTCGCCGGGGAAGAAAAAAATTAACGACAACGAACACACAACATGTTCCCCCTCCTTCCCTTGCATAGTAGGATCCAATCGTTGGCAACGCTTTCATCGGCGACGCTGAATAAACTGCTGGGTATAAAAGGGGAAACGCCCAGCATACACCTGATTCCATTCCTATTGTTCAGTACAGCTCAGCAACACAAAGTTCCTACAGAGCATCTTCTACCAGCCACCAGCCAGAAACCACTTCCCATCCTCAAACCAAGCCCAAGCTCAAGCTAGAAAAAATAAGTCCACCTCCATCCTTGCCGCCATCGGAATTTTGTTGATGATCTCGTCGTCTACCTCAGAAGTGGTCGCGATCCCAATCGAGCTCCGTGATCGCGAACTCACCTGTCTCTCTCCTGGCGGAGCCTGCTTCAAGGAGATACACTGCTGCTCCAACAAGTGAGGCTCCTCCTATGAGAGGTGCATCTAAAGAGGGGCGCAACATTCCTATTTTTTTTGCTCCTTATGTCTACATCCTACATCCTCATCTATCTTACCTTTCTTCTTGAATCCTCTTAAGCGCGAAAGGGAAGTCTAACACCACAACCAATCATTTTGCTTACCCTGGTCTGCAGAGAAAAATTTGAGCAAAGACATCAGGAGCGATTTTCCCATTACGTCTAGCCTGCCAACGACGCGCCTTCTTTTTGTCTGTGGATAAGCTCAAGTACCACGCCGCCATTTTTTTCTGTTTCGATGATGCCTAGAACTCTTGTGTATTTTCAAGTAAGCATCATGGGTATTGAAACCATATACCTGCTTTGTTTTTGGTTGGTTCTCTTATGCTATATGACGCTTAATACATGTTTGTCACCCATGTCACCTTCCCACTCCAACAGCATGCCCGCATGCCTGCACGTATGACATCTTTCTTCTCCTCCCTCCCTTTCCTTCGGCTCTCGAAAACTGTCCATACCACCATCTTCAAGAACCAGCGTACACTACCAGGAACAAAAAAATGACACTCTGCAGAGCGCGATTCTAGCGCAGACATACTTTTGCAAACTCATGACATCCATAATCAAATGGACCGCAAGCAACATGGCGCCAAGCGTGAAGTCGTGTATAAAATAAAGACTTCTCCCATTCAGACCAGCTCAACAGAACAAAGACTCTCTCTTTCTCCCTCCATTTCCCCCTCTCTCCCTACTATACCTCCCTTAACAAGAACATCACCAAACCCCCGACCACATCGCTCCTATCTTCAAGCCTACCTCAAGGTCCAACTTTCATGAAGATATCCCAAAAAGTGTGCCACGACCATCCTCGCCACCCTTGCAGCATTCCTGCTGATATCCTCGTCTACCTATTTTGCGCCGGTGCTGTTGGTTGTCACGATCGAGCTCAGTGACATCTTCATCCACAACTGTAGACGTGTGGACTCTCCCCGTGATGACGATGCTGAATGTTGAGACGGTATTTGCTTGTCAATGAGGAGGTGTAGCTAGTTCGCCCCCGACTCCATTTCTTCAAAATCAAGGAACTCGCTGACCATGGCTACGGACCTTTTGCCAATGCCAGTAGCATCTGCATTTCATTTGATACGTACTTCAATATCTGCTTCCTTCTCCATCTCTCTCTCCTCTCTCTCTCTCTTTCTCTTTCTTTCTCTCTCTCTCTCTCTCCATTTCTTTATCTTATCTTCTTTATCTTTGTCTTCTTTGCCTTCTTTGCCATAGTGTTGTGGCGAGACACGAAATAAATAATTAAATTAGGATGCGAAATACCTCTTGGCAATGCGGCTAGCTGTCTGTCATCGGTGTTCCGCAAAATGTGCCGGAACGAAGGAGTGTAAAAAAGCAAGTGTAATGTGAGGAGGAGAGCAACTGGCTATTTATTTTTTGTTTCCTACCTCTTTCCCGCTTGTTATCCAGTCTATGCTCCATTCCTTTGATAGCTCTACTCCAATGCCAGTGAGCCTCCTTCCAACGTTTTTTTTACGGCTTTTATTTCTTCTGCCCTTTCGCAATATCTACATTCCCTTCATTGTCTTGACACCGGCAGCCAATGGCATCACACATATACCTATACCAGAGACAAGAAGAAAGAAGGTTTTCGGGTTCATTCTCTGAGCGAGATTTGAACCCTCTTCCTCAATCTCTCTTGCGAGGTGTCTGTGTGGATATTAATAGGCGAAGTATTGCGGCCAAAACAGAGAGCGCAACGCCCAGGCAGGCAGGGCACGCAGGTACACAGGGCACTGAGGGCACTCAGGATATAAAGGGCAGGGCAGGCTGATTGGTTCGGATGTTGCTGGCTACCCTTCCTTTCTTTCTCTTCTTATTCTTTACCTCTTTCTTCCCCTTCCTAGACTAGACTCGCATTCATCGTCCTTCTCCCTCACTTTCATCTTCCCTAATCTCTTTTCATCCACTTCCACACACCCCTTTTCCTGCCCTACACAGCACTCATTCCTCATTCACCCTTCTCCTTTCTGTGCCAACCACACCCTCACTGTCACTCGCACTCATCCATTGCATTCAACAACGACTATCAAAAGACGAAAGACCTTCAGTTCACCTCACTACCGAATTATTCTTTCCCAGTATACCCCTCAGTCGTCCTCCTGCTCTTTCTCTTCCCTCACTGACTCCCCTCAAGGCGACACCATCCCTTCCGTCTCCTTCATACCTTTTCATCGTCTATCGAATTCAGGAACGATCACCTCGACGGCTTGTTATTACGCCCTAACGCCCAACTGATTCCCATCAGCAAGTAAAACAAACATCGGTCTAACCTCCCAACGGTCAATCAAATCAAATACAACCCCAGACAAGACAAACACAGGGATACCACAACAGCCCGCTTGCCAATTTGCACCATACTTCCAGTATAGTGTACCCCTCCTTCTGCCTCTCCTTTTTGAGAGCGAAAGTGTGATTGATTTATCACCCCTTCCAATGGTGGTCTTCTACTGCTCCCCTCCCTCGAAAAAGAGGACATACCTCCTTGTAGCAGCAACGGCACTCCTACTAACGGTCACTATCACTCCTCCTGTCCACGGTAAATACCATATTGATGCTCTGTGTTAGAAATATAACCAATCAATTAGTGATCATCGCTCATAAATTAATTCTTCTTGCACTTCCTACTTGGTTACTCGTTCGTTCGTTCGTTCGTTCGTTCGTCCAATCCATACCGTTTTTCCACTCCGTTTATCTGAAAATAGCACACTCGAACGCATGGCCAACAATCACCCGCTCAGAGCATATCATCGACATCCGCCACGACATCCTTCCAAAGTCTCCCTCCTCCCACCCTTCCTCCCTCCACTTTCGAAAACGGTCCATCCACGACGTCTTTCCTCCTCCTTCCTCAACTCCAGACTCAGACCCATTATCGTCAATAGTCCGACATGACGACATTGTTCGTGTACAGTTTTCGGCATACAACACCACTTTCTTTCTTCACCTCGAACCAAACACCGAACTGATCCATCCAGACGCAGATCTTGGGCCGGGCGTCTCGAGAGAGGACATCAAGGCGTTCAAGGGCGTTGTTGTACAGGATAATGACCATTCGGATCGCAAATGGCGGCAGGCGGCGACGACTACTAGAGCAGAAAAACATACCGTTGAGCATATGCTCTACGAGGAAGGTGTCCTTGGTTGGGCTCGTATGATGATCGAGCATGATCCCGACAACAAGTACGCGCCTTTTATTGCATGCTATGATACACCAAGTCAGTTATCTTATTGGGCCGCACAGAAAAAACGAAACTAGATCACTAACAGATGCTTGCTTGCTTTTTTTTTCTTTCGTTGGTAGGGATGCGGTGGTGCTGAGAGGCGCGTTTATGGCGAACGGGGATACATACCATGTCACAACACGGACACATTACCATATTCAAAAACGATCCGACGACGCTGTTCCTTACACCTCCTCATTCCCAGCATCCAGTTTAATCATCTATCGGGACTCGGACCTCTACGACCGTGCAGCTACACAGAGACGGAAACGTGGGACCGAGGACGGATCGACTGGTCATAATACCTGTGGAGCAGATGCATTGATGAAGCTGGAGCATACTCACCCACTGGGAGCCAAGGCTACAAGCGCTGCATCAGCACTAACAGATCATGAGTTTTATTACCCGCCTAATTTGGCGACCTCTATCCCGGATCCCAGTTCATCGTGGATGGATATGTTGGCGGGAGGAAGTGGTGGGTTGAGGAAGCGGGCTGTTGCTATGGGCGTTGCTGGACCCAGCCCTGTCCCTGACGGATGTCCTACCAACCGCCTTGTCAATTACATGGTAACAACATATACCTCTTGCATAATTTTTTTTTGCTTGGTGATAGGTCATGTATTGAGAACTTGTTTATTTACGAATGCAATTTTTTTCTTCTTTTTCTATATAATAGGGAGTGGCAGCGGATTGCACATATGTGAGGAGTTTCAATGGAGCAGTCGGTGCACGGAAGCAGATCTTTGCCGACTTTAATACGGCCTCGGCGATCTACGAAAGTACCTTCAACGTCGCCTTGGGCGTCATCCAACTCAACATTGTCGCCGACGGGTGCCCCACCACGCCCGAAAAGGATGTTGCATGGAACCGGGAATGTTCTTCGACTTATGCGATCGATCAACGATTGAGTGATTTCTCGGCCTGGAGAGGGCAGGACGCTCGTGTGAAGGATGGGGCTGGGTTGTGGCATCTGATGACGAAATGTAATTCGGGGCCGGTGGTCGGTATTGCCTGGACCAAGGCGCTCTGTCAGGCGAAATCACAGGAACAGTCGTCCAAGGGGAAGGTGGAAGTGACGGCAGGAGCGGCGGTGTCGTCGATTACGCCGAATTCGTGGATGGTCGTTGCACATGAGATTGGGCATAACTTTGGAGCGATCCATGATTGTACAACATCGACTTGTACGGGTATGGGAACTGCGGTTGGGTGCTGTCCATTGTCGACGACGGTTTGTGATGCCGGGGCGAAGTACATTATGAACCCTGCCGAGTCTGTGGCGACAAAGTTGTTCTCGCCGTGTTCGATCCAGGCGATTTGCAGTACCATCAAGTCCTCCTCGGGACAGTGTCTTAAGCCACCCGGGACCAGGCAGCTTCAAAACTCGGAATCGAATATTTGCGGGAACGGGATCAAGGAGACTGGGGAGCAGTGTGATTGTGGGTCGGCTGAGGATTGTGCAAAGGACCCCTGCTGTGATGGAGCCACCTGCAAGTACAAAGGAGCCGCGGTTTGTGATGATCTGAATGATGGGTGTTGTCAGAACTGTCAGTTCAGGGCTGCGGGGCAGGTCTGTCGAAAGGCCATCTCGGAGTGTGATCTGCAGGAAGTCTGTACAGGAACCACGGGCGAGTGCCCTGCCGACGAGAGGGTTAAGGACCAGACTCCCTGCAAGGGAACCGGAACCTCCAGCAACATGACCGGACTCGAGTGCGCCAATGGACTCTGCACCAGTCGCGATCTGCAGTGTAAACAACAGGACCGCGCCGGGATCAATTCTCAGTGCAAGGCCTCGAGTACCTGTGAGCTCACCTGTAACGACCCCAAGGGCAGCGGCATGAGCTGTATGCAAATCCCAGGCGTCTTCTTTGTCGACGGCACGTCTTGCGGGTTTGGGGGTACTTGCAACAGCGGGAAATGCGAGTACTCAAACGGAGCCGATGGCGTCCTTGGCTGGATCAAGAACCATCTCACAATCGCCGTCCCCATTCTTTCGATCTTTGGATTGCTCTTCCTCTGCTGCATCTGGAGCTGCTGCTGTGGAAGCTGTACGGACCGCAGGAGATATCAAGAACAAGGAAAGCCGAACGGATACCAGTTTTCAAGTTACGGCCCACCGCCCGGTCAGCCGCCTCTTCAACAGGGACAGTATTACCAGATGGAGGCTTTGGCGCCCCCTCCGCCTGCGTATGGTCAGCCGCAGCCAGGACCGTATGTGGCTATGCCCCAGCCACAGCAAGCTGCTTATGGAACCCACCATTCGAACCTTAGTAGCCAGAATCCGTTTAGTGATCACCATGCTGTTTCGCAGCCCCAGGCTCCTTCCAGACCCCAGAATTCTGGCGGGTATATTTAAACCTATCTTGTTAGACCTTAGACTTTTCTTTTCTACATCTTCTTGTACAATACAAAATACAGCGCCAAAACATAAAGACCATTGCCCATGAGAACGGAATGAAAGTGGTATCGAAAGATATGTTATTATTTTAAAAAATAAGAAGGAAGATAATATGGCGACTAAAGAGAAAAAAAAAATGGAGGCGAGCTCAAAGTGCTTAATGACGGTCGTCAGAGGAACGGATGAGTGACAAGAAAACCTCCTCCAAACTAGTCTGCGCAATACCCCACTGCTTAACCCTACCCAGCGCCTGAGCATTCTCCAACATGGCCGTCAAATCTGCCATCCTCTCAATCGCCTGCATAGGGATCCCAAACACCATCACACCACCCGACTTGTCCAACAAGACCGACTCTGGCATGATCGTCCTCGTGGCCTCGGTCATCTCCTGTTCCAGCTCCTTCTGGGCCGGGATGTCAGGGTACTGCTCCGTAGGATGACCCAAGGCGAGCTCGACACGGTATCCGTTTCCGAACTTGTTCTTGAGGCGCGTCGTGTTTCCGATGGCCTTGAGGTGGCCCGAGACCATGATGGCGACCTTGTCGCCGAGGGCGTCGGCTTCTTCCATCGAGTGGGTGGTGAGGAGGATTGAACGGCCACGCTTGAATTGGGCGAGGAAGGTCCAGACGTGGCGACGGTGGACGGGGTCCATGCCTGTGGTGGGCTCGTCGAGGATCAAGACGCTAGGGTCTCCGATAGTCGAGATGATGGTCGACAGACGGCGCTTCATACCTCCAGAGAGACGGCCGGCCATGGTATCGCGGTCCTTCCAAAGTTGGACGGCTTCCAGACGGGAGCGGATCCAGGTGTGGCGTTCGCGGGTGTTCTCCTTGACGGTTTCGGTTCCAGCGGAAGAGTCGTCAAAGTCGGCACGGAGGGCGTCGGCAGGGAGATCCTTGATTCCGGCATAGAGCTGCATATGCTCCCAACAGGTCAAATCGTTGAAAAGCACATCATGCTGAGGACAGACTCCCATGGTGGACCGGATGGCTTGCATGTCGGTCTTGATGGACCGGTTGAACAAGAAGGCGTTGCCGGAGGCCGGGGTCGTGACACCATAGAGCATCTGCATGGTCGTTGATTTACCGGCACCGTTCTGACCCAGCAGGGCAAACAACTCGTTAGGTTCCGTCAAGAGGTTCAAGCGATCGACGGCACGGTTCTCAACCTTGTTAGAGCGACGACGGGTCCGGCAGCAGCAGCAGCAGAGAGCCAGGTAGAGGTTCTTGAAGAATCCAGGACCGTTCTTCGTATAGGTCTTTGTGAGGTTCGAGATACGGATGGCGACATCGGTTTGGCAGTTGACGGCACGTTCGCGCTCAGCGACCACATCATTATCCTCATCGGCGGGGGGTTGACCTTCATAAGGAATGACTTTCTGGGCATCGGCAGACTTGAGACGAGCAACACCTTCCGCACCACCATAACGGATCCATCTAAAGAAGTCACCAATGCCACCGAGGAAGAAGAACGCGCCCGAGGACCGACCGTGCTCATCCGCAATGACCTTGTCAAAGTAAAGCGTCAACAGGGCAATGACAACAACACAGACCAACTGGTAGGTCAATCCACTGACAGGCAACGGGACAAGTCCCTGCCATTCCTTACGGGGTGCGCTAAAGTTGTTAAGGTTGGTAAAGTTGAACCCAGGCCCTGCAATATACTCTCCAGAATCGTAATTGGTACTGCCGAGGGCGGCGGTGGAGATTTGGGACCATAGCTGGGCAAAGTTGAGGAAGGGGAAAACAAGGCAGATGATCCAGGTGTATCTGCGGCTTGGGGGCAGAGACTCTCCCGTCGCGATATTGACATCATAGAATGAGGTATCCAGCCACAAATCGGGCCACAGACCGGCAGCCAGGATAGGGACGACAATCAAGACGGCGACCAGCAACGCGAATCCGAATCCCATCGCAGTACCGGATTTCTGACAAAAGGTCGTCAACAAAAGTCCCAATAAGGTCATGGCATAGGCGAGGAGGACAAACATCGCCCACATGACGAACCCATTCGAGTTGACAAACATCTGCATCTTGAACGCATAACCAAACGCAACCATAACCGTCCCCTGGATCAACGCCATAATCCAAGACGTCAACCACTGTGCGGTCCAGTACGTAAAACTCGAGAGACCCATCATCTCCATCGACTCGCGGCACTTGGACTCCTTCTCGCGGCTGACGCGGAGCATCGCCATGATCATGGTGATACAGGCTGGCAAGGCCATGAGGTTCGACAATGCGTTGACCATGTCATCCTGCGACGAGAACCCATTGACCTTATCGGCGGTAGGGAAGGATTTCAGAGAGTAATCGAGTTGAGCTTGGGTGTGTTGCGGGTCGAGGAAGGTGAGGAGGGCTTCGTCCATGGCACGGATCATATTGGGCAGCTGGGCCCCATACGGATCATCGAAGCCGGCCTCACGGCTGTATCCGGCCTCCTGTGTGTATTTGTAACCAGACTTGACCGTGATGTTGGTCGCGTGGGTCATGTTGTAATAGACTTGGTAGTTCCAGTGCACTGTGGTCGCAGGTGCCACAGGCTCCTGCTTCGTGAACGCCACACCTAATAGCACGCACACAAAAAGTACAAGCAATAGGGTTAATTAATCGTCATTTTGTCAAGCAGTAAGAGAAGAATGGGTTAAAAAGAGGGTTCAAAGACAAGGAAAGAGAACATACCGAGCTGGATGGTGTCGGGGTGGGCGAGTGCATAGTCATAGATAAAATTTTCAGAGGGGACGGGGACGATGCCCATGTTGGATTTGGGGACGCTGGAGAGATCGTCCCAGACGGTGGACTCGATCTTGAGCTCTTGGTTGGTGCGGGCTTGGTTCTGAGTCTGGAAGTAGTTCATAATCTCGGTAGTCTCGGCGTTCTGGGGGGTGTAGACGATCGTCATACAAGCGTTTGAAAGCAGCTCTGGCTACATTTCGTTTGTTGTTGTTGTTTTGGTGGAAGGGTGGTAGGTTGTTGTGTTGGTTGTGGGGGAAGGAAGGAAGGAAGACATGGTTATTGTTTGTTGTTTGTTGTTATGGGCGTAAGAAGAAAGGTAAAGTAGACGAGAAAGTTCATAACTTATTATTCACTCCATCATCACTAGCAAAAAAAAAAAAATGCCACAGCCCATCACTGAGCACTCGCAGGAAGCAATCAAACAACAAACGAAACCTTAATCCCAACTCCCTCAACCCATACCCGAGAAACAAAGAAAAGAAGAAGCATACCTTGCACTGAGGAATACCAGGCATGGTCCAAGTAGACACAGTACTGTCTCCGACAGTAACCTTGCCATTATCCGAAGAGTAAGCCTTTTGCACTCCATAAACCATACCAACCACCAACAGCGGCAAGATGATTGTTTGGAGAATAGCAGCCTTCCAGTAACGGATCAACAGGAGGACGTTGAGACGACAGACTACGCCCAGTTGACGGAGCCAGCGGCTAAAAGAGGACGATTGGCGGGAGGTTGCGTAGACGACTGTTGAGGATACTGACGAGGGTTGTTTTTTGGAGGTGGGATGGGATGCCTCTCCCTGGTGGGGGAGGGTGTGGTCGATCGACATTATCTTGAGTATTAAGGTATGTACTGTACAATAGGAAAGGGAAGAATGAAAGTCGGGGTGAGGGAAGGAGGGTTGGTGCCGATTGAGGGAGAAGGAGGAGATCGACAATCAACGAACAAAGACGGGGTGATGGAGAGGAAGGATGAAGGGAGGGAAGTAAGGAAGACAGAAGAAAAAAGAAGAGAAGAAGGTTATGAAGAAAAGAACGGCGCCTCTTTATATTTATAATTCGGTCTCTTCCATTGCTTTGGCTTTTGCTTGTTTCTCCTTCCTCTCTTTATTTAACATGCAAACAACACAGGCGGTGGTGGGAGACAAGGAAGGAAGAGACCGCCCTGGGTTGGCTCTCCTCCTTCTCCAACCCTCTCCCATCAGAGAACGTCCACATTTCAAACAACCTCAAAACCTTAACAGAAAAAAAGCCCACAGCCATGATGATGGTGGGTTTGGAGCCTTGCTTGGCAACCTTTACTAGAGCACATATCCCTACCTATACTCTTCATCCACTCCTTCTTCCTCTTTCTATACCATTTACCTTTTTGTCATCCACTCCCTCCGTTGTTCTATCCCCTTCATACATTCCTCCCAATGTACTTTGTCCGCAAAGGTCCGACTTTGACAAGAGCAGCGGCAATCCCCCAGAGACCAAGGGCCACAAGAAGTCGACAAACAGGAGGAAAAGGATAAAAGGACACACGGTAGGGCTGTAGTTGCACATATCCAAGAAGGGATAGAAGACATGTCCAGAAATACGTTTTTTTATTCTTCTGTTGTTTAAACTTTCTCTCTTCCTGGACACATCAAAAACAAACATGTTTTTCTTGTTCCGTTTTTCACTCCCTCATTCTTTTTTGCTCGTATCGATGGTTTATCGCTCCGCCGTCCTTGCATGGATGTATCAATTGCGCATCTATAATTTCTATATAGCTCTGGTAAAGGGTCCGGGAAAGGGGAGAAAAATGCCTCTAAAAAATAGTAGGATCCTTTGTCGTTGATGTTGCACAAGCAAGAGGGCAGGGGTGTTCACAAGTCGTAATGAAAGGTGTAGCTCTTTCCTTCTTCCTTTCTTCTTTTATTAACAAAAAAACATCCCTTCTCCTTCTCAACCTTCATGTCATTTAGCATTTTGTTTATCTCGATCGAAATCCACGGCAAAAAACTGTACAGGTCGTTCGTTACATGTTCCAATTACCGCGACAGTCATAGGTCTCTAAAACAAACGTACAAAAAAAGAACAATTGGCTGTTCATGCCTTCATTTCCTACTCATGATAGAGCAATGACAACCAGAACAAAAAACCCATGAGGTCGGAGCAACACGAGAAGAGAGACTCTGGCTAGCGAGCGGGCGTTTAGTCGCAACAGGTGCCAAGACTTTTGAAATGTTTAAACTTGAAAAAACGCATCAGCCACGAAAATGAATGAATGCATCTAATCCAGGAACCAGGGGCAGACCACTGATAATTGTATTTTTATCTATCCCAGTTTTTGTTGTTTCATATCTCTGCGAATGAAAAAAACCAATTGCCTCTTTCAGGTACCAGGATTCTCCCCCAGTTTGCGTCGCCACTTCTCTCTCACATTAAGCTATGCTCTGCTGCTTGATGTGAGAGAATGATCCGACCCCTCCCCTCTCGTTCTTCCCTCTTTCCCTCGCCCGTAATAAAAACGAGTCTGAGCAAAACTTAGATCGCCATAAGGCAAGGAAGAGGGAAAGTCTTGGCGCTCTTGATGATATCCTTGGTATATTGTTTTTCTATTCCTCAATCTTTTTTTGTATTATGTGAGAGCCCACAAAGCAAAAGGCAGGACAGGCATCCACGTTTGAGTACGTTTTCAGATCTTTGATACCGGGCTAAAGCATGGTAGTTCAGCCCACACAACATTTTTTGACTACGTGTTCAACAGAGAAGGGGTCAGTCCCCACTGTCAACGACAGGGAACAGAGGAAAAAAAAACCTACAAACAACATTCCACTACCCTCTTTTATTTCCCTAGCACCGAAGTTTTAACACGCAAATCGCTTTGAACAACAGGACTACTGATCGATCAGTGTTCTTATTCTTATCAAAGTCTTCATCCATTAGCCTTAGGTTAATTTATTTTTCATGCGCTGCAACTGGCTTCAGTAAGGGCGACATTCTCGACCGCCAACCCCTGACAGACACCATGACTACCAGCCGCCGCTGCTGCTACAACAACAGCTGCGAGAGCATTCGAGAATACATTCGAACCATCTTCTTCCTCCTCCTTCCTCCTCATAGCCCTTTCTTCCTCCTCCTCCACCCCCGCTGCCTCCTTCGTCTCCAACACCTGGGACACGCCCGACGCTTCCGCAACCACTACTTTGGCATCAGCCTCTCTCGCCTTCGCAGCTCTGACGAAATCCTCTTCGAACAGATCAAAAACACCTGTGGGTTGATGATAATCATTATTGACAATGTTCATCAAGCACCACTTTTCCCTCACCTCATCCAACACCTTCCTCGTCTCCCTCGTCGAATCCGACTCTGTCTCGCCCTCGAAGCACTGAGCCCACTGGTCCCAAAGCGCAAACGCCTCATCCTTCCATGCCAAGAAACTGGATCTCTCGACGATTGTTGGCTGGACGATCTCGTGGTTTAGGAAGACGCCCCATGTTACCGTGTTTGGTTCCTCTTCCTCCTCCTCTTCCTCTTTATCATCCTTGTCGGCGTTGGCGTTGGTATGTTTGGACCGACATCTGGATTTGGATTTTGGGGAAGAGGAGTGGAAGAAAGTGGAACCAGAGTGGTTGATGGCGTTATAGGTGTAGTTTGGGAAGTGGGTCTCGAGTCTATTGATGAGGATTGGGAGCTGGTCCGGTGAAACAAAGAACTCCAAGAACGCCTATTGTCATTTCCATATCATAACATAGCAAATGCAGTTAGCGCATGAACCACAGAGAAAAAAATAGAGATCAGAAAGACAGAGTTACTAACATCAATGCTGGACCTACTTTCTGGTAAATGTATCCACTGGAGGGTCCCCATCCAAGAACCTTGTCGTCACTCTTGACACCATTCACGACCGGCTGAGAGTTGATTGCCAAATAACACCCAACCCCATTCAATTCCACCAACCTATCCCTATAACTCTCCATCTCTCCTCCACTTCCACCTCCAGCTCGGCACGGATGATCGCACCAGGGCAGGGTCTGCAGCTCTCCCCGCCAGTACCTCTGAAACACTTCACTCAGATCCTCCACCCGCCTTGGCTGTCCACCACCGTTCTTACTCCAGTGGAGTCGCGCCTCGGCGGCGGTCGGGTACTTGATTCCAACACCGTACCCCTCCAGACTTCCGTACTTGTCCAAAGAGCGCTGCCATTGATTGGCGGCGGAGGGGAACTGGTGCCAGGTATCTGTTCGACTGATGTAGGATTTGGGCCGGTTCGCCCAGAAGATGGGGCGTTGGTGTTCCTCTCTGCGACGGTGAGGTAAGAAGTGGGTCCGCCAGGGTTTGTCCTTCCTGATCACTGACAGTGTCGACTGCTTTGGCGCAGAGGAAGGAGAGGGTGGTGGAGGAGTAGTGGACGTGGACGCCACAGAGTTGCTTGAATCGGAAGAAGATGGCTGTTGTTGAGAAGACGAAGGGGAAGGACAGGTAACAAGTCCAGTACCCTCAAGGATCAACCGCGTAGACGTTTCCAAATTAAATGTATAAAAATGCACCCCGCTTACAAGCCCACTCTCAACCAACTCCTTAACCATCTTCACCCCAACCTCCACTCCAAACTGCCTCACAGCGGCTTCATCCTCCTTAACCGCCTCCAACCCATCCAAAATCCACTGTGGCACACTCAAGCCGGCGTCCACAACATTCTTCCTAAACCCTGTATACGTCTGAATCGGCATCAGACCCGGCACAATTGGCACCTCGATTCCTACACCATACCTCCTCACCTCCCTCACCCAATCCAGGAACTGCGGCACATCAAAGAACAATTGCGTCACAATAAACTCCGCTCCCGCGTCGATTTTCTGCTTCAAGTAATACAGATCGCGTTCCAGGGTTGGGGATTCGGGATGGAGTTCGGGGTAAGCTGCAACGCCGATTCCGAAATAGTCACCGTGGGTCGCGCGGATGTGGCGGACGAGGGCGGTGGCGGAGGGGAGGCCGTCTTTACAGGGTGTCCAGGACTTTTGATCGCTGGGCGGATCGCCTCGGAGGGCTAGGATGTTCTGATTACCGCATGCTCTTGCCTCCTAGTCACATACAATAAGTACGGTTCGAAAAAAAAAAGAAAGAGTCATCTCGTGAGCATGAAGATAGTCAATGAAGCTCATGCAGAGAATATAAAGGCGGGAGGGCGCCTGAAAGTGGTTCTTCTTTCCCGCTCATTTTTATTCTTCGATTTATCAACGTGTGAGGGCGGAGATAAAAAAAAAACTGGATTCCACCAAGAACACACATGACCCTATTTCTCTCCGTCCCTCCGCCCACGTTGTTTTTACTCCTTCATCTGTTCTCTTTTCTACGGCGATGTAGCCCCTCAAGTTCATATCAAGTCCATGATACGGTTATTCGAACATTTGGGCACGAGAACGCGGGCAATATGAAGATCATACCGAAACGCGCGCTATCTCCAAGGAAAGAGAGTGATTTCGAATCGTGTATGTGTCTTTCTTGACTCATCCCTCCATCTCCCTCTTGTATCTCCCTTTCCTCTCCACACCATACACTCACACTCAAACAAAAGCACAAATTTACCTTAAGAGCCTTATCGATATTGTCAATCGGATTGTCAGTACAAATCAAATGCATACAAGTCTCCACACCAAGCACCTTCTGCACATTCGAGACCACCTCCAACGTCGCTGCCGGTCTGGACCCGCCCGCACCCCAGGTGATGTCGACGAACTCTGGGGAGAGGTGACACATTCTTTCGATTCTGTCGTTCAGGTTTATCATTCCCTGTATGGTTTTGTGGAAAGAGAGAAGGTTGAGGGATATATTAGTGATTTTCAATAGTCGTTATCTCGCGTGGCCTCCCCAAAAAAAAAGAACAAAGTGGCGAAGAAAAGAAGTAGCTGCTATGACAAAGAACGGAGGAGGGAGAACCCATCGCATTGTTTCTATTCGGAGTAGTTTATGTTGTACTGTCCGTTCATACAAATCAACGACAACCCTTATGCTCCCACTATTTGAATGGTTCCACAACGACAAGGAACTAAAAAGATCCCCCCTCCCATCGGAGTATTTTTTTTGTTGCAACCCGTTTTGTTGTCTCTGGCCGTCAACCCACGTTTCGGCGCATGTGCATGCTTCACCGAAAGTAACACCAGCAAAGACAACGACCTTGGCCGCGGCCATCAGCCTTTCCGTGCACTCCTCCCTCCTTCATTTCATCTACTCTCTCTCTCTCAAAAAAAAAGGAGAGTAAAACTATGGTACACGGTAGAACAGCTTCGTCGCTATTAATGATTTGTCGATGAACAGCTGGTTTGTGTGTACCTGGACGGTTTTGGGAGAAAAATACTCGAACGAGAAGAATGGACGCCCTTCTTCTTGTCGCTGATGGATGCGATCAACAATCTTCATTTTATAAGTATGTCTTGGGGGGGCTAAGGAAAAAAGAAATGAGAGTGAAAAAAAACAAGGAAATTATGAAGGTCGGCTCGTTGGCTATCGGTGTTGGAATGGAAGGGAGAGAGTAAAGGGCTGGTTGGCTGGAGGGGGAAGATGACGAAAAAGGAAGGCGAAGGGTGAGAGAGAGCAAGAAGGCGCTACAACGGGTGAGTAAATAAGGTCGAAAGGAGAACGAAAAAGAAAAGAGAGAAATAAGAAAGAAATCAGCCCTAGGAAGTATTACTGGCAAGATTAAGAAAGAAAGGGAAGACACATCAGGGATGGAAAGTGAGTCGACAGTGACAGCAACAAAAAAAATCCAGAAGAGGCAGGGGAGACATATGAAACTAACTGATACACAAACAGGTTAGGGCGTTAGGGTTTGATCACTGATCAGTCGATGCGCAGGGTACACAACCAGTCATTTGTTCCGATCTTATCGCAACCAAATAGCATAGCCCTTCTATTATTTCCGATCACGTTGGTTTCTTTTTCGAGGAACTTGTTTAATAAGATGGAGAAAAAAAGAGGAAATTAGGGTAAGGTGGAAGGTGGAAGGCGGAAGGTAGAAGAAAGTAATTACAAGGGAGAGGATGGTGAGAGAGATATACTATGATACATTACGAGTGTGAGGGATGAAGGGTAATAAGGTAAAAGGTCGTCTTCCAATTAAGCGACAACGACCAAATGCTGCGAAGAGGACAACAGCTCGCGACGAGGAGTCCTGCCACGGCGACTCAGCGAGTCAGACAGATAGGGCTCAACAGCCCTCGAAAGCGCATCCTCCTCTGTCGACCGGCGACCATGCTCAGCTTCAGTCTCACTGCGAGTGCTCGAATAAACACGCGTATGTCTGCGATGAGCAACATCGCTATCCATCTCCTCCTCGCTCTCCTCAACAGAGTACTTTTGCTGCTTCATGCTCGACGAATGTCTCTGGCGGGGGCTCCTGCGCAACAAAATTCCATCACCGCCCTCAGCTGCACTGCTGTCGTCGCCATCGTAATTCAATGCGTACTTCTTGTTGCTCCTGCTCGACTTTTTCAAAGGCACCTTCTGAAGCTTCAAAATATCGTCCTTCTCGGCCACATTGGGGGTAACAGCAACATCTCCTGACGTCTGACCCTCAAGCAACTCGTCATCCTCCTCCTGATTTCCGTTACGTTGACTCTTGATCAGAATGTCGACCACAAAGTGAATGACCGCAAACGTGCTTCTAACAATCGAGATAACAGTGGGGTGGCGGAAGAATTTCCTGATAGACGTCTGGGTCGACTGAGGAACCATAGTGTTGGCCCAGAAGGCAGCAGTAGTGGGCGAAGGAGGAGCAGAGTTCGATCCAGATCCAGAGGCAACAGAGACCTTAACCTTGGGCAGGGGCTTGGCAGAGACAATGGGGCGAACAGTGCCATCCCTCAGCAACTCGAAGGCCTGGTCGCGCCAGTCGACGGTTGATCCGACAACGGCATAGACATAGAGAGGAAGAGCAACCAACTCACGCAAGCACCAGGCCATCAAGAATCCGCGCAAATTATCCATCTTTTCACCCGACAATGCCTGGTACATCGAGAGATCGACCAAGAACCAGACAACGACGTGGAAGGCCAAAAAGTTGAGGGCGTGGATGTTCCAGAGTAAGTTGAATCCATAAGAGGCGACAAGACCGCATCCAATCATCTCGATGTAAGGCTCGACAACGGTGGCGGCAGTGACGGTGTACTTGCGAATGCGGCACCAACGAGCACGGCGGAGGAAATAGTCGGAGGGGGTCATCGATCCGAGGGACTGGTACGCCAAATCGCTGGTCATCTCATGCTTGTACCCCATGTTGAAGATCGCCGTCGCCACAAGGTTGTCCTCTGCCATGTACTTTCCAAAGGCTGCCATACCGCCAACCTTGTCCAAGTCCGAGCGTCTGTACAAATTCGACTTTCCGACGACACAGGAGGCGAGACCAGTCCAGTTGATAAAGAGGTACATTTTGGCGTGGACAGTGTCGAGGAACATCAGCTCCAGTTCAGATCCAAGAGTCTGGGGACGAACGCCAAAGGGCAAGTGGTGGACGAGACCGACACCGGGCTTCATCATCTTGTCGATAGAGCGGCCCATACATCCAGGATCCACATAGACGTTCGAATCCAAAACCCAGACAATGTCGTACTTGGCCGTTTCGTAGGATTGGATCATGTTGTTAATCTTGGGGTTGATACCCACGTTCTTCTCGCCTATGACAGTTGACAATGATAAGAGAAAGAATGGTTAGAATCATAAAGGCAAAAAGGGGTGAGATGTCATGTCATGCAACAACCCGCATTGCCGCCGTGATCAATTCAGACACAGACACACAAATAAACAAACACGCGTTCCAGCCATCCTAACCGTGCGCGAACGAAAGGTAAGGCATGTTGTCGGTGTATGCTGTTGTGCACAATCAGGCCACTCTGAAAGAAAGGAACCTCCAGATCCGCGCTCAGGTCCACAACAGCCCCATGATGCCCAAGCCCAAACACAGATAACGAAACAAAGGAATCGCAGCGAAATCAACCATTATTTTACAACTGACCGACCTCCTTTCCCCCTATTCTCTTGTTTGTAGTTCACATGAGGGTGAACAATGTGATCTTCCTTCGATCCTTCACAGGCCTAGGGCCACATTCCACCAAAACACAAAAGTCCATCATCTTTTTGGGAGAGGGGATGTCAGCAGTGTTTGTTTGTATTATTTTGTTGGAGGGCTACCGATGATCATGCCAATAACAACAGCGTAACGGTGCAGTAAAGTGTAAACATCCAATCCACATTGACGCACCCAACAAGGCCAAAAAATAGTGCATGAAAATAAAAGAAGGCAACTGGACGCGTTTATCTCTGCATCACGATGGGTTCACGAAACCACGAGTTGTTCAGGGGAGCCAACCACATCCTGTTTTCGACCCATCATGCAACAAGTCCCTGAAGGTAAAGGAAGAGGTGAAGGGGAAAAGGGAAAAGGGAAAAGGCAAAAACAAAAGGGGTTGTGTTGAAAAAGGTAGGGTGTGCTAGTTGGATGCAAGCTTGGCCAGTCATTCCGTCCACGACTGTTCAACAGAAGGTTCAAAACGTAAAATAGGGAAAGGGGCTCTAACGAGAAAAGCGAGACCCGTGTGGATTGGGGGTTGACAAAAAAGCAAAACAATTCCTCCGGTGGCAGATACCCAGCCATCGATGGCGCGTGCAAAACTCAAACAGACACATTGGATAATCTCGAACACACCGAAAAAAAGCGAAAGGGAAAAAAGAGCGGCCAGACCATAATAGAAGGAGAGACTGAGCACAAAAAAAAACGAGAACACAACTGTGGAGAACGATAACCCTGATCTGATCCCCCCACCTCCCCGCTTCGACCTCTTTCAATCCAATCCGTCATCCTGCGATGCGCACGTTTGCTTTGCTTACCAATGATCAGGCGGGCGTCCACCTTGGGGTACTGCTTCATCAGGTCCCTGACGACGGCAATGGCGGGGTCGTTGGGCTGAGCGACGGAGAAGACAACTTCAAAGAGCGGGTAGTCCTGGCAGAAACTCGAGGCGAGGTTCTCATACATGTTGCAGTCGATGCCACGGAGGGGACGGATGATGGTCACACCAGGGACCTTATCCTTGGGCATCCTCGACGACAACGATCTCTTGTGTCCAGCATACCGCCAGCGACTAGTAGTAGGAAAAGATACAAACAGACAAAACAGATCAGTCCACTTTATCCCCTTGAGTAATGTCAACCTCTCTTCCCTTCACCGCTCGGCGAACATCTGTCCTCACGAAAAGCAAGGGGAAGGGACGACGGTGAAAGTAAAACAGGAGAGAACGGAAAACCAAAAAAAAAAAAAAACAAACAAGGAAAGCACCGCACTACGTTATGCAGGGGAGGAAGAGGGAGAGAAATGGAATGAATGGGGGCCTGGCCACCTTTTTCCCGTTCTTTTTCAGAGAACGGGACTCTTGGCTTGGCCAAGAGCCAAGCACAAGCAACTGGCAACGGTGTGTATGTGTGTCCAGTGAGGCAGGGTTTTCCGAAACAAGAAAAAGGCGGGGCACATAAGCGAAAGTAGAAAGGAAAAAAAAACTTTTCCGTCCACAAGTGTACTGTATCGTAGTAATACCTGATGGTGATGGCGGTGAAGGCAGCGGTGAAGGAGAAGACCCAGAAGAAGATGGAGATGACCATGCAGAAGAGCTGGAAGTTGGAGTGCCTCTGCCAGACGGATGGAACTGGTTCTTTCTGTGGTTGTTGTGCACGCTCGCTGTTGTTGTTGACGAACAGCGTGCTGAAGTGATGCTGTAGGTGGTTCATTTTTGAATTAGGGTATTGTGTGTAGTGTGTTGTTGGTGATGAGGAGAGGAGAGGAGAAAGAAGGACTCAAACTGCACGAGTTGTCATGCAGGTGAGTGAGAGAAAGTCGAGTGGGAGTGAGGAGGGTGTCTGCAAGGAAGGAAAGAGACAAGGAGAGAGAGACAGAGAGAGGGAGAGGAGAAGAGAGGAGAAGAGGAGAAGAGAGGAGAAGAGGAGAAGAGAGGAGAAGAGAGGAGAAGAGGAGAAGAGAGGAGAAGAGAGGAGAAGAGGAGAAGAGAGGAGAAGAGGAGAAGAAAAGAAAAAAGCGCGTAAAAGGGAAAAAAGAAGAATAGGCGCAGTGTAAGGGCTGGTTTGGAATCCGAGGCGGGAAAAGAGAGCGAGGAATAAGAAAGACAACGGACAGATCGCAGATATTTGTAGCTATTCGTTCGGCAAAGGCAGGAGAGAGTGGGAGGAGTGAAGGAAGGAAAGAGGGATATGATAAATAGCAAACAAATGTGTGTGTGTGTGTGAGAGAGAGAGAAAGAGAGAGAGAAGGGAAGCAAAGAGGTGAGAGAAGTGTGAAGAGAGGGGAAAAGCAAGAAAAGGGAGAAAAGAGTAAAGAAAGGGCAGGATGGGGACCCCTTTTATGCGCAGAACAGGATGAAGATGAAGAACCTGTTTTTGTGCCGTTATTCAATTGAATGAATAAGCGATTGATATGGTCAATGCTGCTTATCCTTTCCTATTACTCAGTCAGAGGAAGTGTCTCAAAAAGAGCGCGGGTAAGCTACCATTGATTCTCCGTCCATCCTGACAGGCGGAGATGGAGTGTGGTTGTATGTTAACAGTACTCGTGGCAGAAGTGACCTTCAATAATCTATCGATGACAGCATTGAGGCTTGCTTTATAGAAACTGCACTGTTACAGCAGTTCCCTGGTGGTGTATGAACGACAACTACGACCGCTTTCTTCCACGCCGTCAATGGCCATAGCAAAAGCCATAGCAAATCAATAGGGAACAAGTCGACTTTCTTGGCAAATTCGCCCAAATCAAAACCGCTTTCCTGTCGTTCCATCCATCATCATCACACATAACACACAGAAACACCAAAACAATCAATCAGTCAATCAAACAAAATATCATACAGTCATTCAAAAGCAAAGCAAAAGCCATCGATGATGATTTCCCCCCTTTCTGTCAGGGCCGTTGTTTCGTCTTCCTCTCACCCTTTTCTCTTGTCGTTCAAGTGTTATCCCTGGGTAAAAGACAGCCTTTTTTGCTTTTTGGTAAAAAAGAAGATTGGACGCAACTGCCCAATTCCGTCCATTGTGGTCGTTTGCATTGCATCTCTGAACCCCACTCCTATCGCTTCCTTTCTTCCTTCCTTCCTCTTCACCCACTGGACACCCGTCAATTGAACCGTTCCTTTTCTCCTTTTTTGCATTTTGCTTTTCTTCTCTTTCCTGCGTGCGCAGTATTCGTGCGTCGGGAGTTGACTTCGCAACGGTGTAAACATTATTCATCTTCAGCTGGGCTTCGATTTGTCACCCATCGAAATCGCCCTGTGCTCACTGTGTCCCAAATCGATACATGTCCATCCACACCCCCTTTCCTTTTTCTCCATCCTCTCCTCTCTTCTCCAACAACTCCCATCTCCTACGGGCGGCATCTCAAAATCAACAAACTTGTCGTCATCCCTCATACCCTGCGCACTGAATGACAAATTGACAACAACAACAAAGGGCGCCAGGTTTCTTACTCCACCTTCACCTCGATCCTCCAATTGTCTCCTACACTTTTGTCTCTTCCTCTTTCCCCGAGGTATCGGATTTCCTAACTATAAAACCAACAGCAAACCCCTCACCAACTTTTCTTCAGCAAAATGAAACCCTCCTGCCAACTCTGATTTCACTTTCAAGCGGAACAATCATGAGATAGAGAAGTAGCCGAGGACGAGGAGTCATGGATCAATTGATGCCTGTTCTCCCGATCGCTGCTCATCCTTTCGCATATACATATATCTAAGTGCCCCCAATTTTGAACTGCTGTAATGCATCGGGTGTATTCTACGTTGAATCATGAAAGTATCTGCCTTTTGCTTGGGTTATCTACCCCCTTTCCTCCTCTTCCTCCTCTTCTCGAATACCACGAACCTCCCAACCATCTTCGTTTTGTTAACTTTGAAACAAGGACCCATCCGAGCTAGCAATCAATCCATATGGTCCCTTATTCTTCCCTTTGACCAAGAACACCAGTCCCCCCTTCTTCATCCTTTGTCTTACGCATGTCAACAAACAACATCAACAAAGCAGACAAAATCAACAAAGCAAACAACATCAATAAAGCAGACTACAACAAACAAAACAACAAGGCAGTAAAAAAAAATGTCCCGATGATGCCCTGTACAACAGGTCAAGCCAAGCGGCTGCGTGAATAAAAAAATATTGTTGTGAGCGTGTGGTGTTTTGTTCGCGGCAAAACAATTAAACCAGAGATTCAAACAGAAAAAAGAAACTCAGTGGTCCGGGCACATGTTGAACTGTATGCCGTGTTTACCCTTTTTTTGTTTTTTTTGCAACTCCCCCCACCCCACCCTTCCTCTTCCTCCCTTGTTGACTCTGTTCTCTTTTGCTCACACCTCCCTCTTCTCCGCATGGACACTTCAGAGGATCGGACAAGATGAGGGGGTGCGGTCCCTCCAAAAGAGGCTTCTGACCCGAACTTAGACTACTGTAGTTCATCCTCTCTCATATCATTAACCTTCTAATGAAAGTACTCGTGTGGGTTGTGATAAGAAGAATATAATAAATCGGTTATAGAATGCTGAACAGGAGAAAAAGAGAGTATGAAATCATACTGCCTTTGTCGCTGTCTTCTTTTACTTCATACAATCCTGCATCTTCTCATCCATCTACTTCTTTAAAGATGGTAGACAGCAATACGGCCCTGCATCTTCCTATCTCCTATCCGCGGATGCGTTCCCGCAACAAACAGTTTCCTCACCCCATCTCCCGCCGCACTTCCGTTACCACTCGTAGTAACACAATTGATCCTCTCAAACACATCACTCGCCCGAAACTCCATCACAGGCTGACAGGGTCGACCATACGGCAATACAACCTGCCCCTCCACCTGTCCCTTCTTTGCAAGGGTCAAGTTATGTTTCTGAAGGTCGAGAATTTCGTTTTGACGTTGCATGGTTTCGTACCGCGCGGTGCCGTCTTCCCAGATGGCGATAGATCCATTGCCGGACGATGTGACTAGCCATCCTGGGTTAAATCCTGCATACTCACTGTTTGATGGTATCGAAGGAAAGAAAGTGGAAGAGATGGTAGTGGTAAGTTGGGATACTTCGAGCTGAGATATAACATCAATGACAACGAGAAAAAAACCTAGGGGTAGAAGGAAACTTACATGGTAGCGATAGGACTGGCATGGGCATCAGAGAGCCGCCCACCAATCAACCAGCCGTCAGTTCCCTTGCCACTGCTCGCAGCCTTCTTCTTAGACTTCTTCGAAGCCGTCACCTCCAATGCCGCCATACTTTCTTCCAAAGGAGCGGTAGGGAGATCAGTTGAAGTATGCAAGAACTGGACACTTCCATCGCCGAGACCAACGGCCATGCGTGTTCCTGAAGGGTGAGCAGCAATCGAGTGCACAAACGGTGGGTTGAACAGTTGCTTCGACTGAGCCACATCCACTTGTGGCGTGTCTATAGCAAAAATGCAAAAGAAAAGGGCTTAGCAAAGTAGGTTGTGGCTTGGTATTTCTCAATGGTGTATGGTGTAGGGTGTAGGTATGACATATCCCTGGAGGTTGAAGTTCAGACACGAGCGATGACAGGGAGCGTGACTTTACCTGTCTCAATGAGCTGCGTTGCTCGTCCCTTGTAAAAGTCCCAGGCTACTACCAGCTTGTCCATTCCACCCGAGAGTGCTATTAGAATAGAAACAGAACACGAGCGTGTGAACAGGATGTGGGTACAGGTGTGAGCAAGCATGTATCGCTGTCATCATCGTGGTCATCGTGCATCCTCCATGTCCAATGCACCCAGGAAAAAGTACCCTGGAGATCCTTTCTGGGAACAAATTGCACGGTCATTGCAATCTAGAGTTAACACAGTGGATGGGAAGAAGAAAATGATATGAATACCATGTGGCTCATGAGTAATATTGTGTCCAAGTATCGGCGAGCACACAAATGGCAAATATTATCATTCATAAAAACACAAGAACGTACGTTGTCATGGGTACGGTCAAACTTGCGCATCCATTTGTGAGTTTTGAGGTCCAGCACACGCACATCTCCCGCATCATCGCACGCTGCAAGGCACGTCGCACGGTGGTTCACTTGAATCTATCCCCATCATTGAAAACAACATTTCCCCCAATTAGAAAATGATATTAGCCCAAGGAAGATTTTTTTGCTCTCTTCATTTCATGAACCCTTTTTTTTTCAAGAAAGATATAGCAGAAATAGAGGACCCTGGAAAAAGAAGGACTCGGCAACATCACAACGAGCTTGATAGTATTGTACCTGATTGATTTCATCTTCCGCTCCGTCGTAAACCCTGGTAGATTGTGTGGCCGAGTTGAGGACCAGTGACTCCATCCGCAGATCAAACGTGTGGATCTTGGTTCCCGAACCCACATAGATCGTGTGTCCATCTGCTGGTGTAAACGTCGTTGTTGCCACCTATTTTTATTTCAACGGGGTTACATTAGGATGGAGTGTGTACATGTACATATCTTGACAGAAAATATAATTAGAACGTAACGGCAATGCTAACAGGAACAAACAGCGAAACGGAACGGAAACGTACGGGAGAATCGAAACCTGTGATGGCCTTGTGGACCTTGTCTGTTCGGAGGTCCCAAATACGACACGTCTTGTCCTCTAAGAAATTTCACAGGTAGGGACACATACCCGTGACACATAGCACAAGTGAAAAGTGGGAGGCGAGCGTCAGATGAAAGAATGAGGTTGCAATCAAGTTCCTAGGCGCATGCTCTCGTTGACCATATGAACGGGCGAGAATAATAATTAGCACACAGCCCAGTGAACAGAGTGGGAGGGCGAAGAACAAGGAGACAGGAGGGATGGATCGGCAGGAGTGAGCGGGCGAGAAAAAAAAAGAAGAGGAAAGAAAACAAAGCGCAAGAAGGAGGGTGTGCGCGATTGATTGGACAGGGAGCGATGATTAATTCCCATGGAAATGGAAATAGGAGAGTAGTCAAAGCCATGAAGAACGAAGGAATGAGGCTCACTTGCCCGGTGGTTTGTCCTCTTTAATAGCTACGAGAAAAGGAGCACGATAGGTAGACATGGCGTACATTTGCCCTTTTTCCCTTCTTTGTTGGGCGGAGGGTTTTTTGCATTTGCATTTATTTTGTGATAGAAAGACGAAGGGACGAAGGCATGAACGCTTGTCGATCTTACCCAAGACAAATTGGAGAGAGAAAAGGGGAAGAAAGATTACCTGAGCCTGAGGCAAGCATCCAGTCGCGAGAGTCAAGCGACAGGACGGGAGCGACATGTCCGAGCAAGAAGGACGCTGGCAGCTTCTATATGTGTCCAGTTGGAAGGAAAAGTTAAGTTGGTCAGTCATGCTGCTGAGAATATGAAGTATCCCCCTTCTCGTGCTTATGCTGTGTATGATATGACATTTATTAATTCCTATGGAGAAGGAGCAGCACAGGAGGCGGCAATAAAGAAGCAAAAAATCTATATATACCTGTTGCTGCAGTTGCAGTTCGGTGGCCATATTGCTCGTTATTTTCGTCAATGGTATGTTGTTGTGTATGTATCCCCTTATGCTCTCTCTCTCTTTCTATATTCCTTCACTTTCACTCCTGATGCAGCGTTCGTGTGTGTGATGAGTGAAATGAGATGAGAGTGAGGATCTCGAAAAGGAGTTAATGGAAGGTATGTGGGCGTGCGATTTCAACAATTTTTTCTGCTGTGACCTCTAATTGACAATGGGATGTCTAACTGCACAAAGACCTGAGACCGGTCTATTTTTGATTTTCAGACCAAATGATAATGATGGATTGATTGACCAATTCGAACCCCTTCTCCCAAAGGCAGGAAAAGAGAAAGAGGGAAAGGACAATGGGTAGAAGGGCGTGTGCCCATGGGAACTCATTCTCTTTTTTTGCCTCCTTCCTTTTTCTTCTTTCTTTCGTTCTTCCTTCACTCTTATCACCCTCTTATTCTCTCTTCACGACCACTCACCTTCACTTCAAACCCTCACCCACACTCTCAGCTTTCATACTCGGTGCCTGACCCTCCCACTCGACACTCTCCAATTCGGTACGTTCCCCCGACCATCATTCTCACTTCAGCTTATCTTACCCACCCACCTCTCCACTCTCTTTTCCGGTCCGTTGTACACTCTTCTCTTCCTCGCTTAACTTTCCTCGACTCTTTGACACCTCAACGACCAAGAGTCGTCATGGTTCTCCTCCTTCCATCACCGTTGCACCCTCTCTTCCCAATCCAATTGCTATCCAGCCAAAAGCACCCCGTTCAGAGACAACGAGCCGGTCGGTTTCATTCGATCTCTTGTTCTTCCTATTGCGAAGATATGAACAAAGCATGCATCAATCATCAAACGGAAAAGGGCAGAGATGGAAAGAAAGGAGGCATCACACACACAGACGCCACATGCAACAGGGGGAGGGGAGACGGGAAACGTGCGATGGGGTGGGGCGAATATGGTGATGGATGGTGATGCAACTGATATCAACCACTGCCAACAATCAAGCAACGGCAAACTTAGCCGCCCTCGCCCTCGTCAATCCTTCAGCTTCTCCCACTCTGCTTGGCCTGCTCTTCATCACACTTCTCGAGGGGATGGCTTGTTGACGGACTTTCATCGTGTGCTTTGTTCCTGTTACGTTTCTTCCTTTCATTCCCCCCTCTACCGTCATCTTCATGACTTTGTTCGTGTCCTACTCTCAGGTGGAAATAATATCACACGGCAAACATCTTTTCGGTACTCAACCAGACCAGCAGACCAATCATGCCCCCCTTTCGTGCTGCTACATCACCCACTCCGAGAGTACAAAAGGTCGCTAACCCATAAAACCCTCAACGTCTCCTCTTTCTCCTGTGTCTCTTGCATTCCTTTCTTTCCTCTTCTTCTCATTTTGTATTTGCACCATATAGATACCTAAACACCAACACAACAGAGCACAGTAGCATCATCAGATATGTGGACGTCATTACCACCAACAGGATCCACACCGCCAACAAATACCAGGAATACTAGCCGGAGTAGTAGGATCTGGTCAATGAAGACCCTCCTCTCAACAACAACTCTCCTCCTGGCCGCCCTGCTACCACAAGTGGCCACCGCCCAATTGCAATGCCAACAGTTTGGATCCGACACCTTTCGAGTCGGCTCGACGATCAAGTACCTCTGGACAGGAGCCGACTCAATCCCCTCGTTCAACATTGACCTGTACTGCTACGAGAACAACAAGTATATACAGACGATTGCGACGATTGATACCTCGTTGGTTGCTTCGAACTATTCGTGGGTCGTTGATCAGTCTATTACCACCAATCTTGCCCAATGTCAGTTTAACGTAAGTTTTTTGTTATCGTATATTGCATTCATTTTATTTTGTGGGAACAGAGGTGTCGAAGGACGAACAAGGAGAACAAGGGGAAGGGGCAGGAAGGGGGCGGAATTGAGGTTTTAGATTTTGAAATCAAGGATAAGAAATGGAAGGGGGGCGAAGGGATTGTGATAGTTTGCAGGATATATTATCGCGCATACTTATCCTATTCCTAGGAGACGGGAGTAACTCCTTTCATATTTCGCGGAAGGAGTAGGAGGAGCTCATCGGCAGTATCATGACCATGGAGCACCAGCAGGAGTACTTGCGAACAGTGCGTACATGCATATCTGGAAACAACGTGGATACAGATATTTATCGAGCGGGTTTGGATTATATTTCATGGGGTTACTGGAAGCAGGAGTCGTTTATGCAGTTATTTTACAACCGACACACTAGAGCAACGACCATCAACGGGCAACGACTCTCCCTTCTCTTTGATATTTTCTGTTGCGTGAAATGCTCACTCGCGATGGCACGGATCTCCTTGCTCTCACCAAATACTCTCCTTGTTCTCCACCTGGATTGCTCATTTCCATTTATGTCCAACTACCGTCTCAATTAACACATCCTGTTCTTCTCATGTCCAAACAAACAAACAAAATAGCAATACCAAGGCCGTTACACATGGAACACAACCGACGAAGCAACAGGAGCTTTAACACAAGGATCAGCGCCCTGCAAAATCATGCTCCTCGTCGGCCCCGGCGTCGTCACCAATCCCTCTCAACCAAGCCCCTCCGACCCATCATCCCCCAGCGGTCCTGACGAAGACCTCCCTATTGGCCAGATCGAGATCACGGACAAGACCAAGAAGATTGTCATTGGTGTCGGATGTGCAGTCGGCGCGCTTATCCTTGCAGGATTCGTGGGCTTTTACTACGTCCGGTTCAAGAATAGACGTGCTGTCGAGAAATCGGCCAACCGGAAACTGAGAGAGCCTTTGCAGCCGGATCAGTCACGTCCTGGTATGGGCCCCGGCGCGGCGGCGAGTCATGCTCGGTATAACGAGTTGGGCAGTGTTACGACTAGTGTTGCCGGGTATTCCCCACTCCAGAGGCCGGGCGAGATGGTCGAGTTGGGCGGCATGCCTCCTGCACCTTCTTCAGGTGATTCTTTATCGTCAAGACCTCAGAGCGTTGATTACCGCTCCGGATCCCCAACACCTATCGCATCCCGCCATGCTGCCAACTCTTCAGGACTCCTGGTCCAGCCCAGCGGAAGCTTTATCAGCGACCGACCTCCATCCCTTCTCACCAGCTCATTCATCCCACCAGCCGAAGACCCCAACCCCTTCCAATCGCGTCCCAGCGGCCGTGCGCCTCCTCCACCCCCCTCTAGAACACAGCACGAGGGTGAGGAACGCCAATTGTACGAACAACAGTTCCAGCAACAGCAACAACAGCAGCAACAGCAGATCCAACAAGAGCAGATGCATCAGCAGCAGCAACAACAGAGTTATGCCGCATACCAGTATTAGTTCTCTCGTAGTTTTTCTCCATTTATGTGCACCATCTCCCACTATTTTTTTTTTCAAATGATAATTCTCAACCATTCAAATACGTTCAATACGGGGAAGGGGGGGAAACCACTCCGCGGCTTCCCATACATACAGCGCGTCATAAACGCGACAATTGAACATGATTAGGGGCGAATAAGTTCAACGTTATGCGAATGATCATGCAAGCAAGTGTAGACTTATGCTGACTTTCCCTTCCCTCTCTCTTTTTCTCAAATATACACACACTCCCACATGGCGCTCCTTTGATCGTCGAAATGGCACAAGTACAAAAAAGACCCAATCACTATTGGATAAGAGTGCTGGTCTGACAACAGAAGCGGAAATGGCGGGTGAAAAAAAACAGACACAGTTGGCATATCAACGTAGATTCAGTCTGCTCCCACTCCCCCCTAATTTCCACCCCTATGCACATCGCATTAAGTGCAAGATTCGCCTTGTTTTCTTTTTCTTTTGTCGCTATCTCGCGACAACATGTCTTCTCTTCTCCTCTTCAAGAACATAAAAAAAATTGATAGATAGCTTCAGCAACCAGAAAGTCTAGAGGAAAACGCAACGCCATTCACACAAAAAAACGCATCGAGAAACCACGGGTACCTGGTCCAAAAACCAAGTTCAAAAGTTGACTTTAAAAGGACATTGCCCGCCCTTTTATAAATTTCTCGCTCCTCAGCACATTCCTGTCGAATCTACAAGACTACCAAGACCTCCCAAGGAACTTTCAGTCAGCCCCACCATCCTCTCAAGACCTCCAAGTATCCTCCCCAAGTCCATACCAAGATCCTCACCACCCCTCGCAGCAATCCTGCTCATCTCCTCCACTGTCCCTGCTGTGCAGGCGTGCGTGTGTGTGTGGGGGGGGGGGGAGGGGGAAGGTCTTTTACTGAGAGGAATTCTGATTGTTGCAGACGGACATTGCAGTCATTAGGAGGGGCTCCTAGTCGAGACCAGGTACTCCTTTTTTTTTACTCGTTGACCTTTCTGCCTATCGGCCTTTTCACCTTATGTCAGATGTGTACCTAAACCCCTTCTTACTCGACGATGCGCATCTCGTTGCCATCGTTTTTCTCTCTCTATCTATCTATCTATATATTTGCCTTTCTCTTTTTCTTTTGGGGCATCACTTTTGTCGCGAGATGCGAATAAAAATGTTATTTACTCCCATGTAATGTAGCAGAGGATAAAAAATTCAACCAACAGAAAGAAAAGGTGGCAGATAGAGATGGCGGTTGAAAATGGGTCGTTCAGGCGATTGAACACGCGTGTCCACAAGATAACCAAAAAAATAAAAATAAAATAAAATAAAAATGGATAAAAACACCATGAGTGGCCTTGTTGCTGTTGCGCCAACGAAGGACAGATTATCCACGTTTTGTCATTTGGTGCCTGAAAAAACCGACGAGGTGGCGATTGTTATTGCAGATAGGTGGGAGGCGAAGGACCAAACGCGATTATAAACGTATCAGCATGTTGAGAACTAATGCATCCCAATTTTTTAGTTCGCTTCCAACCGCCGTTACGCATTTCCTTCAAACGAGTCGACTTGTGTATATATATCTATATATCTACATCGCATTTTATTATTATGAAAAACCCATATCAAAAGAAATTATATTGTCGTTTACTGCGTGCCTTTCGACTTTCCGACATCAGCCCATTCTCTAACTAACCATGCAAATGAATTTACAGGTAGTTCAAGTCCTGGAGGGTCTTCCTCTTCTCGGGCGAGATGCTGTTCCAGATGGTCGAGGTCATGTTAGAGTCCATCGACGCGAGGGCAGCCTTCATGGTATGCACCATGCGCGTGGCAATGGGCTCAGGGATAATGCCTGCAACCAACGCCTCCACCATGACGGTGACCAAATGGGGCATGTTGACATTGTTCAATCCCAAGACCGAAGGATGTTGACTATTCGATTGCAGCAAGTGGTAATATAATGGGGATTAAAATAATGTACAAATGAAAATATACCACGCGGTCGAAAGCAGTGTAAACGCTCAAAAAAAATTCCAAAAATGAAGAGACGAGACTTACGCGTCGATGAGGTCCAAGAGGTATGTATAAGTGGTGGGAGCCTCGTCCTCGTCGTTGAGGAGGGGGAGGGCCTGGACCCAGGAAGGAAGGACAGTGTTGACGTCAAACTTGCTGCTGTTGAACTTGCAGATCTTAGTCACTGCAGAGATGGCGTTCTCGGTCACATAGAGGTTCTCAAGCTCTCTTGAGCGGGGGGCGTTGATGACCTGGAAGAGAGGCTGGAGAGCAGCACTGCAGAACTCGGCATAGTCAGCCCCTCCGAACTCTCCGCAGAGTCCAACTCCGTAACAAGCAGCCTGACGGACATCTGAGGCAGTGTCAAGGACAGACTCGAGCATCTTGGGCAAGTAAGGGCCCATGATGGGCCATGAGTGGGGGCCAGTGAACTCGATCAGGTCATCCAAGACGCAGATAGCCCACTGGCGCGAAGCAGAGTTGGTATCGGCCAAGAAGGTGGCAATCACGGGCTCCAACGACTTAAACATGGGCACATAGGCAGCACCGTGGGTCTTCATCACGCTGTGGATAGTGCGCGACATCTCTCCGAGGACAGCCTCCTCGTTCATCTCATCCTCCAAAATGGTCTCCTCGTCCTCAGCCTCAAACTCGGTGCTGGCGCGGGTCTCCTCGCGGTGCTTCAAGCGGGCGTAGAACTCCTTCAGCTGAGCCTCAGTGGCACGGGTGAACTCCTCCAACAGCTCGGGGGTCAAGCTGGGGCCGTTCATAAAGTCCAAGGACTCGTAGAAGGAAACGTAGAGTTGGAGCAAGAAGGCGGGGTCGGCCTCAGTGGCCATGACCTCGAGGATCTTGCCGCAGATACCGTGCCAGAAGTTGATGACATACTCCTGTCCGAGCTCAGCCTGGTTGGCGCAAGAGATCAACTGGGGGAGGGTGGCAGCAGCAGCGTGGCGGACACCATCGTGGAAATAGAACTTGAGAAGGGGCAAGACAATGTCGCGGACCTTCTCGATGTAGGGGCGGAAACCAGGTCCGAGCTCACGTGCGTAGCAAATCAACATCTCAACAGCGGTGCACTTCTCCTCCAAGACGGTGGTCTTGATACCAATCTGCTGGCCGTCAACACCAACAAACTCCCAACCATCCTCAGCAGAGTACTTGGACTCGATATCATCCTCGGGGTCCAAGACAGCGAAGTCAGGCTTGAGCTGAGCACTGGCCAACAGCGGAGGCATGACAATGTCCAAGTAAGGAACAAAGTCACGTCCGAGGACCTTGCAGACGCGAGCCCAGGCAGCCAACAAGTACGAGACCTGGGGATCATCGGCCTCAGTAACGCTGGCCTGGGTCTGGACCAAGAGCTGGATAAACTCCTGAGCGTGAGGGGCAAAGACCTCCTTGCCAACTGCGAGGGCGATCAAACTGGCGCACTCCATGGCCTTTCCGCGCAAGAGACGGTACTCCTTGTTGGTAGCCTGACGGAGGACGTTGATCAAGAGTGGCATAATGCTGCTGTAGTACTTGACGAAGCGATCCTCAGCGCTGTCGGCAACAGTGGCAATGGTGGTGATGGCCTGCTCCTGAACATAGGTGGTACCAGTGTTGAGAAGCGACAAGAGGCGCTCGAAGATAGCATCCAAGTAGGGCTCCAGAGTACCCTTCTCAACAGCCTCGCAAAAGTTGACCAAGGCAGCGGCAGCGTGAGCGCGGACACGGGGGAAAGGAGCATCATCCATGACGGGGATCAAGTTGGTGAGGACGAGAGCGTGGTGGTTCTTCTGCATGGGTCCAGCGAAATCAGTCGACATCTGGCCGATAGCATTGCAGGCAGCGTAACGAACACGGGGGTGGGGGTCGCGCAAGAAAGGGAGGACCATACCAATGATCTTTCCGAGTTCAGCCTCCATGATACGGACGCATCCCTCGCCGATGGCCGAGACGGCAAAGAGAGCGGCGTGGCGAGCCTTCCAGCTCTCGTTGGCAAGCATCTGGGGGATGTAGACGAAGGAAACGGGCAACATAGCCTTGCCTCCCAAGGCACGGGCCAAGCGGTCCATAGCGTGCTCTCCGATGACATAGTTCTCGTCGTTGTCGCCCTCATCCAAATCGTCGGTCGAGTACCAGTCCTCATCCTCCTCCAGCTCGGTCATCATCTCCAAGGCGACAGGTACAATTGTGGTGGTATAATCTGGCACCTTGCGGACCATGCCAGGAGCGCACTCGGCGAGGGTCAACAATAACTCCAAGGCAGACTGTCTGGTGCGGTCCTCGAGCTCCTTCTTCTTGACAATATCAATCATGAAGGGAAGGACATCAACAATGACGTGACGGAAGAGGCGGGGCGAGTGCTCAGCCAACTCGATCATGACGACCAAGCCCTCGATCAAGGATTCTTCATCTCCAGCAGTGGCAAGGGCGTTCAAGACCTCGAGCAACTGGGGCATCAACGAGGCCATCGAGTTGCGAGTGGCGTTGTTGGTATCCAGCATGAACGAGACAGCAGCCTTGGCAGCAGCCAAACGGACCTAGAAAAACATAGAGTCGACGATATCCATCAGCTGTGCTGAATCCGATTACTTTGATCTACAAGTCGAGTCTAGATTCTCGATTGGAATATCCTTGCGACTGCCAGGCGACTTACATGGAGGTTCTCGTCACGCAAGCTGTTGGCGAAGACAGACTTGAGGATGTCAACGTGCTGTCCAGAGATCAGGTTGGGGACGGAGGTGAAGATGCGGAAAGCCGACTCGCGGTGCTCGTGGGAGGGCGACTTTGTGCACTCGAACAGGGCTGGCAAGATCTCTGGCCAGGCTTCTAGATAAGGTTACGATAAAAAGATGGGCCGCGCGTTAGTTCATTGGCGTACTCTTTTTCTTTTTCGTGTTGAATACTGGTAGTCGCTTCTTTTTTTCGGAGAACACATCGAAATATATGCTTGCAAAACCGGCTCGCCCTCTTCCTCATTGTTTCTCTCTCTCTCTTTCATTGTTGTTCTCTGACATACACGAACTTACACACTCTTTCCTTCTCTTTCACGCTCACACTCTCTTCCTCTAGTCCCCAAATCCATATATATCCAGATATCATCTCTCTAACACCCTTTTCTGCAAGATGAAAGTAAAATGAAGACGCTTACGCTCTTTGGCGGTTGAGGCACGAGCCATCTCGGCGATGGTATCGCAGACCTTGTTACGGACAGACTTGTTGGGTTCCTGAGAGAGACCGGCCAGGAAGTGGGTCTTCATGGCCTGTCGCGTCTCCTCCTGTGTAACGTCCCACAGAGTGGCATCCTCTGCCTCTGGGTCCTGAGTGGGAATTCCCTTGAAAGCCACGCGACGGGTCAAGACAGCAGCAAACGACCGGAGCTGTTTTGTTTTCGTTGTTGTCGTTTAAAGTTTTTTCCCAAGAAAAAGATCCAGATCGAGAAAAAGGGTTCCATGAAGTTGATGTTGTTTGTTTGTTGATAAGTGGTTGTTGGAGTTCCATCGACATGAGAATAGAGAAAGGCAAAAAGGAAAGTAACGATTGTTAGTGTGATCCATTTTGGTGGCAAGGGGCTCGCTTTTTTGTGTCTTTTTCTTTTCTTTCTTCGGCATTCGTTGTTGACATAAAAGTCAGAGAGATCATTATAAGCTTACATCGGGTTCTTCACTGTGACGGGAGAGGTAGGCAAAGCCGGAAAGAAGGGCATCAGGGGACTTGACCATCCACTCGTTGTTGAGCTGCTCCTCGGCAGCAGAGCGGACAGCGTTGTCGTTGGAGACGAGGTTGGCAAGGACTTGGACCAATTGGCCAAGGATATCTTGGGGCACGTTCGACATAATGATTATATGTGTATGTTTTATGGGGATATGTGAGAGTAGAGAGTGAGTGTGTGAGTGTGTGGAAAAAGAAAAGAAAAGGAAGGACAAAAGAGGCTATGCAGGGTAGAGTACAAGGACGTGAGAGTAAAGAAAATAAAATGCAAAGAGATATGAAATGAAGAAAACAAAGAGAGAAGAAGTGAGAGGTGGAGAAGGAGGAGAAGGGAGGGGTGGAAAGTGGAGAGAGAAAGATGGAGAAGAGAGAAGAGGACAAAGGTAGGAGGAGCACCAAAAAGGGGGGAGGGAAAGAGGAGGAAGGAAGGAAGGAGGGAAGAAAAAAAGAAAAGAAACGAACGGACGACTATGACCACGTTTGCTGGGGAGACGACACTCGCCCTCTTCTGCCTGTGAACACTGCAAACACACATCACATTACATCGCAACGCACAAGGTAAAAAAAAAAAGGTGGCAAACAAAAAAAAAAAAAAAAAGGGAAAACACAAGAGCCACACGCAGCAAATGCTACACAATCTCAATCTTATACGTAATAAAGTTTTGATCACGTGAAAAGTGATAAGATCAATCCAAAGGTGTTCAGCAACTGTAATACCCAGGATGGTGCAGCCAAAAGACGAAAGGGCCTCAGATAAGGGTGGACCACATGGAATCAGGAGATGCAAAGAGACTGTTGGAAGTGGTTCAAGTCGTTAAGAAAGGACAGCATGTCCAAGCAAGGCAATAGTCTACACTGCCTGTTTCTGTAGAGACACTAGCCTAGCTGCCCTTGTAATGTAGCCAGATCGAACAAATAGAAACCGCGGGATACAGGAGGAGGCGGAAGGTATGTCCGAGAAGAAGGTGAGTGTGAAGAAAGAAGAAGGAAGGAGGATAAGCGCGAACGAGTGAGAGCGAGAGAGCAGTCAAACAGGTCGAGTAGAAGAGAGAGAGTTCAAAGTTCAAACCTTGAAGCTGGACGCCATTGACCAATCATATCATGAGACGCTCCTGGCACTGGACTCTTTCCATTCGTTCTCTGTGTGTTCTCTCTTGTGCTCTTCGTGTGCACCACAAAATTGCGCTTATCTTCTTTTCTTCTTCCTTCTTCATCCTCCTCCCCTTCTCCTCATCTGTACATACCAACTCACATACACACTCACAACCATGTTCGGTTTGAAGTCCACCCTCAAGGCCCTCGTCTGCGGCGCCCTCTTCCTTGCCTCAGGTACACACTCAAAGCACACTACTCGCACACTCACCATCTACTTCTCTCTCCTTCTTAAAGATCAGTTCTCATCGCCTGCTCTCCGGAACTGGCGTTTTTTGGCACGCAAGAAAAGAAAGAAGCACACGACAGCCTGTGCTTTCTTCTCAACAGGATAAGGACAACGGGTCAGGAGTCGGCAGCACACTTGGCGTTTCTCGGGATACAGGAATTTGCAGTCAGTGGCTCGAGATGGCGCGACACTACACTTCGCGTTCATCTGACTGAAGACAACAACTTCAGATGGAGATGAGATCCTCTCCAGAAAAACAGACGCGGCCAGAAAACTCACACTTCTCTCTTTCTTTTCTTTTCTCTCGCAATAGTCTCTGCTCAGGATTCTGCCCCTAACGTCGCCATCTCCGCCGAGTTCCCCAACGCTATCGCTGGCTGTAAGTCTCTCTCTTCTCGCGCGAAACCCTCTGTTCAAGGCCGATCCGATTTGGGGGGCGTGTGAATAATTGACACTCAACTCACCTTTCCTGTTACCGATCAACCGTATTAGTGACCCCCAACATTGTCTCTGGAGACGCCAACAACTTGAAGGTCACCTTCAAGAACACTGGCAAGACTGACCTCAAGGTCAACTTGATCGTCGGAACTGTTGCCGAGTCCGATGACTACAACAACATCATCCGCAACGTAAGTTGAATAACGCCTTTCACTCACCCATTCAGAGACAGATAAACTAACTTGCAGTGTTTTTTCAGGGGGTGTGAGTTAACAGGATCACTATCCCCTTTCTTTTTTTTCTTTTTCTTTGTTTGTTTGCTGAACCGTTGATATCTAACCCCCATTTCCCTCTCTCTTCTTGGACCATGTAGTTGACTGCCTACAGATATGGCACCACCCTCAAGGCTGACGGCACCTTGATCTTGCCTTACGCCATCAAGATGGAGCATGCTTCCCGCGAGGTCGGATTGACCCTCATGGCCGACTTGATCGACTCCAACAAGAACCACTTCCCCGTCCTCGTCTACAACGGCACCATCAGTTTCAGCGAGCCCGTCCAGTCCTGGATCGACCTCCAGTTGATCTTCTTGTACGTCTTGATTGCCGGAATCTTTGCTGCCATCGGAATGTTCATCAAGGATGCCATGGCTCCCGAGACCAAGAAGACTGTCAAGAAGACCCCCGCCATGACCCCCGAGGAGCGTGAGGCTGCCCTCGAGAAGATGAAGGTCTTGGACGAGGACTGGATCCCTGAGCACCACAAGAAGTCCCCCCGCGTCGTCAAGAGACGCTCATAAACGAAAGGGCATCTCCGTTTTGCTTTCTTCCCTCCTTCCTTTATGTGTTTCTGCGCAATTAGTATTTCCATCACATCGAAGTGTACAATAATATTCTGAAGTTTTTTTCTTAGCAAACTGAACGATCCTTTTATTCGTGAATGTATGCGTGTGAAGATGTTTGTGTATGCATGTGCGGAGGAGGAGTGTGGAGGAGTGTTGTTGATCTGACACGTTGCTGCCTTGCTGGTTGTTGCTTTTGTGCTAAATGAACAAAAGGAAGGATGAATCAGTCCATGATGATAACGTCTCGCTGGAGTCCCTCGCAGTAGACTATGCCGAAGCTGCGACTTGGTCGTCGTCGGGGCTGTCACGGAACGAGCCTATCAGACTCAACAGTCGTTTCAGCGTGCCGTTGTCGAGTTGAGCCGTAGAACTAAACGACTCCATCATCTCCAGAAGAGCATAGTGTTCGTTCTATTAATCGATCGTGTCCCATACTAGGAGAAGAGTCTATGTTACCTTCAGCGCATGGGCCTCCCTTGACCGCGTCGTGAGAAAAGTAGTAGTAGTGTACCTCAAACAACGTCAACAATTGGTCAAGCTTAAGGATCGTCAAATCCTGAGAGATCACCGTCGAGATTCCACCTCCACTATTACTACCACCCGCGTTTTCTTCCTCCATTTCCGTCTCTTGACTCAAGGTGTCGCCTCGACATCACCATCACCGTCGTCATCGTCCTTGTCATCATAGTTTGTCTGGTTATTGAGGTACTTGAGCAACTGTTCGAGGCACACGATAACCGCGTTGTGTCTGGTGCAGATCCTCCCACCTCTCCTTTTATTCGTCATAGGCTCCTTCAAAAATGAACGGGCCAACAAGAGATGGCTTGTCGACAGGACGCTTGCTCTTGAGCATTTTCGATTGTGCGCTGTCCAAAGCTGCCTTGGGGTTTTGGTTGGCGCGCTCGGGGTGGCATCTGTCTGGATTGATAGACCGGCTGGGTGGCGTCCTGAAGTTGCCTGGAGGGTCGTTATCGTTGGTGTCATAGTCGTGGGTTCAAGGGTCTTGAAGAGTCGAGGTGAGATAGGATGGTGTTGGAAGTTCATGTTTGCGTTGGGTGTTGAATGAGGAGTTTGGAGAAGGAAGTGTGTGAGGTACAGTTTGGTGAATGATGGAAAAGAAGAAAAGAGAGGTGGTGAGGAAGATATGACGCCCGTATGCAGATCTGAGATATCTGCTGTCAAACGCGTGAATTGTGGAAGCTCTGAACCCAGCAATTTTTGCTGAGAGGGGCTGGGACAAAATCTCCCCCTCTACTAGGCTCGACTCCATCCATCGGTAAGCGCCTACAATTCTTATTCACGATTTTGGTCATAAGGCACTTGCTTCTCTGACGGCTGGCGTCAAAGTCAAGGGCCTTTTTGTTACATGGTGTCATGGTGAGCATCTGACGACCAAGCCACTCGTCAACTCAACTGTCCCCTCTCACGCCGCTCCTTCCTCCGTAAGAGTGCACTTTCCTCCTCCTGTTATTTCTTTTTCTTTCTCTCTTTCTTTCCCTCCCCCTCCTGTTTTTTCATTTTCATTTTCATCTTCTTCTCTTTCTCTTTCCCCCACCCCTCCTCGTCCACTTTCTCCACTCTCAACCAGCTCCCCTCTCAACCAGCTCCCCTCTCAACCTGTCCACATCGTCCTCGCCACTTTCACCTCTCTTTACTCTCGGCATCTTCACTCGCCCTCGATTCCTTCGCTCACCTCCTTTATTGTTCGATATTGGGCTCACCCACAGCCGCGTAATCCCCACACATACCAACAAGGAAGCATACAACAAGGAAGCATACCAACAAGAAAGCAAGGTAAAAAAATGACTCAGTCTTGGGTGGCAACAGGCATGACGTGTGTACGGGTGTTGAATAGTGATGGTGAGCTGGGTTCACCTTGGGTACAGAAGGACCAAAGACTGTGCTGTGCGCTGGGCTGCTCTTCATATGACCTGACCGTCAGCCTCGGCTGGCGGTGGCGCTGGATTTGGGCGGGCTACTCGAATCACTCTGTAGGTACAGAAGAGCCAAAGACTGTGCTGTGCGCTGGGCTGCTCTTCATATGACCTCCGCCATCGGCGGTGTTGCTGGTCCTTGTAGCTTTGCTCTCCGTCAGACTCGTGGGTACTTGAGGGTGCATCGGCCCTCACAACGACCTCTCTCATTTCTTGACATCCACTTCTCGCTGAGGGTAAGCGAGGCTTCGTGTGCATTGATGATTGTCCAACTCCGTGGGTACCGAGGGCTAAAGGACAAGCCGTGCGCTGGACTGCCCATCATAATGACCTCACCGCTACCTGCCTGAGGTAGGCTTTGGGTAACGGTGGTGATGCTTGGACCTGGATCTAGTGCCGTCGTCCGCAATGTCCATGAGGTCTTTTGAGACCTCGCTCAGCTCGGCTGTTTTCACCGCTGGGTGACTGGGGCCATCACCCCCCGCTTTGTGGGGGTGGTTTAATAGCACACAAAGGAGTTGTACGGTTGTGTTTTGTTGTTGCTTGAGACTGAGCCATTGCTTTTTCTTCTTTCCAGTCTTTCTCTGTCCTTGATAGGGTTGTACAAGTTTTGTAGGATTGTTCGAGCAAGATTATGCGATAGAATCGTGCAGTAGAGTAGCAATAGAACAATGACAAGATAGGATTAGATGCTTTCCGATTGTTCAATAAAACATGGAGTAAAAGGTGCTGAAAGACAATGTTCAACATGACAAATATATCGAACTCGCACGGGTGTTGCAGTTGTTTGTTTACATCGAAGAGAGCGAGAAAAGAACATGTATGTATTAATATACGAGTAGATCGTCTTTTGCTGCTATTATATAGCGAACGCAGTCTGAGTCCTACAAAAGACACATCCTTCCATCTAACCATTTTCAACTTCTTCCTCCATCTCTCTCTCTCTCTCTCTCTCTCTCTCTCTCTCTCTCTCTCTCTCTCTCCATTACACCTTCTCACCGACATTCATCATTGGCATCCACGGCATCTGAGCTTGACTGCGAAAGAAATACATATACCCAACCTCTCGCATGAGCACAGCGTTCTGTCCCACATGCAGCCTCGGCTCCTGCTCTTAGCACTCCATCCTCCATCCATGTCGATTTACTGGGTTCTCTACCCTACAGTTCAATATACGTGTAGCTGCAACAGTATCCAAAATCGCATGGCTCACACAAAAACGTTTTGTGGAGGAGGCTCAAGGCAATCAATTCTGACCAATCATTTTTTTGAAAAAGTTCTCCTCGCCCTCTTTTCTTTCTCTCCCTTCCCCTACTTACCACAAGGTACGAAGCCGCTGAAGAGTTTAATGACAATACACAAGACATTCGCAGACTGGGGAGGCCAGATGCATCATCCAGGGACGCATTGTGACGAGAGACACGGATGTCGACAATCATCTGTTCCATCGGTGGACGCCACCTCTTGTATTCGTTCCACTTGTTCAAAGGTCGAAGTTTTCATCTTTTTTGTTCCTTGGTCTTCTTCTCCACCATGGCACGTTTGGTTTTGATTTCTTTCCCCTTACACAGGGCACACTTCTTTCTTTGGCGTCTTCTCTTTTTCTTCTGAGCTACGCGTTCAAACGTGTCTCTGGTAGCTGCCAGTGAGAAAGACGACCAAGAGGGAGGTGTGTAGAGAGTTGGAACAAGGGATCAACGAGATGTGTCTCCACGATTGCAAGGGATACAGCAACATTGTGCAGCTTGATGGAGCTTGTCTTCTCTCATTTGTCAATGCTGAGCACTTTTTCTATTGGGTCGCTTTGTCATTCGTGAAGGATGTGCGTATGATTACTTGGCCATTTCCATACGTCTTTCTCTGCTCTCCGCCTTGGCCTTGTTTTTGTTCAGCACTGTTTTCCAACCCACTGGATAGGTGTCTGGCACAGTTGACGACTTTATATTTAAATCCTTTCTCATTCATCAATAGATGTCATCTCCCGGCATGATTGTATCGAGGGTGACACTAATGTACTGAGTAACAGCACAGGGACGAACATGCAAGGAAGGACAAGGACAAGGAAAGGACAAGGAAAAGGACAAGGACAAGCGGCACAAGGCAAGATCATTCGCACAAGGCGAGCATGCTAGCAACTGAAAGCACTTATATCCACCGGTGTCGAAGAGCAGGTGCAGGGCCTCTTCATCTTCCTCTGTCTCAACACTCGACAGCGACGACTCCATGGTAATAACACTAGACTCTTGTCCTTGTTCGACATTTGGCTGCCCGCGAATGGGTAAAATCGTACTCGCTCTAACGACAAATGCTTGGCCCAAGTCAATGCCGAGGATCTTGATACTCTTGGGATCGCAACTCCAGAGCTGGGTGACATTCTACTTGGTTGAAACGATACTCCTGATCTCCGTCAAAAAATAATCCCTGCCGCCAACAGTGGATTTAGTTGAGAAGGCAGCTTCTCTACGGGTAGTCGTCTGTACTTGACAGAGTGGAGCTCTTTCAACCTGAAAGCGAGCACTTGGAGCCGGAAACCGTCTGTCCGAATCGATCCACGCAGAACGTAGCCTTTCTCGGTGTAGGGAGGTAGGTTTAAAGTTGTCGTCCCGGATATTCTGGAGATGACTCCTTATCTCCTCCAAAAGCGTTAGGGTGATCGACTTGGAAATAGTAGGCCTTTTCCGTTGATCCGCTGAGTATCGGCCAATGTTGGTGAGTAGCCTGGTGATGAAGAACCCAGGCGTTTTTATTGACAGCCAAAGACCGACATCTGTATGTGTGCCTTGATTGGAATGCTCCATACTCGGATACTCTGGGAAGCCATACGGCTGAAGCACGCGCCTCAATGGTAGGTCTTGCCAAAAGATCTTGGTTAGATCCAGATCCCGCAAAGTATTAAACTTGACATCGAAAGACGACATTGGCACCAACGAGCGACGACTCCCGCAGGCCCTGTTCAATAGTACGAAATTCTCTGATGCGGATCTTCGAGGCCTCTAATTTAATCTCTCACGTCTGAAGGCAGAAACTTTTTGTGCTTGAGGGCTTCGATCTATTGTTTTTGGGGAAAAAAATTGTGTTAACATTGATCAATGTCGAAAACTTATGACTAAATAGAAGTTACAGCTTTCAACTCTTTTTACCTTATTGCGGAGATCGATCACTTCATTCCTGTCGTGATTTTTTTTAGCTCGACGGATAACTGGAAGGCGGCAGACCTCGGAAACGAAGACCCAGAATACTCCTCTGTAGTTCTACTCTCCGTAAAGTTGGGCAAGAAGTCCTGCGCTTGTTTGATAGATTTCTGAACGTGCAAACACCCATCCCGCTTATTTTTGGGAAGCTTGGTAGAAAATGTATGGCTGTAAGGAGCGACATGAGAAAAACGACAGCGCCTCGTTTTTCTTGTCATAGTTGTCGCCGTGTTCCTTGGGCCCCTCGGGTTTGTCAGGTTCTTGGTCTGTTCCTTCCTTGCTGCATTCGACTAAATCCTTGTTGGAGAAGGCAGGGCAAAGAATGTTAAGAAGTCTCTAGTCGACTTCACTGAGAATCTCGGTGCTTGTGGTATTGGTGGCGTTGGTGGTATCGGCGGTATAGGTGGTGTTGGTGATGTTGATGGCCTCGGTGGCCCGGTGACGTATCCCAAGCACAACAGTCTTGCAGTGACTAGAGAGAGTCGTGGTGCGGGCGGTTGCATTGGCGACCTGAGTATCGATTGTGGAACGTATGACAACCACGACTTGAGGCCTCTTGGCAAATTGTTTTCCGGTATCGGGCTCTGAGCATGGCATACTTTGTATTGTAAGCCATTTGTTGCTTCTTGGCTTCACTGGCGATGCGAAGGACCTCGACATTGTATTCGGCCGTGGGACGGAGGGGACGCTCTCTGCAAGACTTGTCCAAGGTGTCGACTGCCCACTCAAAGATAGGATCGGTTGCATCAGATGGGAGAGGTGAGGGGGTGATGAGAGTAGCTGGAGTGGGTGAAAGCGCTGGAGTGATAGGAGCTGCAGTGTTGGGTGGAGTACCTTTGGGTGGAGTACCTTTCGGGGGGAAGTGAGATGTAGACCGACTCAATGAGGCAGAAGGAGCAGGACTCGAGACTGAAACGGGTATGACGATAGGCGAAAAAAAACCGGTGACGGAGCGGGACTCGAGCTTGGAGCAGGAACAACGACATACGAAAAGATCGGAAACGATAACGACAAAGAAGGACTAGGGGGGCTGAGGAGATGGTGACAAAGAAAGGGCGGGAGACGACTTTTTTATTTTTGTTTTATCAAAATCATATCGCAGACACAAGTGGCACATCAACTATACGAGTACTTTCACGAAGACTCAATTGCACCACTTTTTGGTTTTAGCGTGTGCCTGTGTTTCTGTATGACGACGGAAAGCCTAACATCATCCCCAAATCAACAATGAAAATAGGACGATAGCACATAAACAATTGAACAAATATAAAATGACTCTGTCTAGGGCGGGATCTGCCTGATGACTCCAACACGACTACAGCGAGGTTCAATATTCTCAGAACCGTCGACACTTTGTATGCCTATGCTTGCATTTCCAATAGGGGAGCTTTTCAAAAAAATGATTGGTCAGAATTGATTGCCTTGAGCCTCCTCCACAAAACGTTTTTGTGTGAGCCATGCGATTTTGGATACTGTTGCAGCTACACGTATATTGAACTGTAGGGTAGAGAACCCAGTAAATCGACATGGATGGAGGATGGAGTGCTAAGAGCAGGAGCCGAGGCTGCATGTGGGACAGAACGCTGTGCTCATGCGAGAGGTTGGGTATATGTATTTCTTTCGCAGTCAAGCTCAGATGCCGTGGATGCCAATGATGAATGTCGGTGAGAAGGTGTAATGGAGAGAGAGAGAGAGAGAGAGAGAGAGAGAGAGAGAGAGAGAGAGAGAGATGGAGGAAGAAGTTGAAAATGGTTAGATGGAAGGATGTGTCTTTTGTAGGACTCAGACTGCGTTCGCTATATAATAGCAGCAAAAGACGATCTACTCGTATATTAATACATACATGTTCTTTTCTCGCTCTCTTCGATGTAAACAAACAACTGCAACACCCGTGCGAGTTCGATATATTTGTCATGTTGAACATTGTCTTTCAGCACCTTTTACTCCATGTTTTATTGAACAATCGGAAAGCATCTAATCCTATCTTGTCATTGTTCTATTGCTACTCTACTGCACGATTCTATCGCATAATCTTGCTCGAACAATCCTACAAAACTTGTACAACCCTATCAAGGACAGAGAAAGACTGGAAAGAAGAAAAAGCAATGGCTCAGTCTCAAGCAACAACAAAACACAACCGTACAACTCCTTTGTGTGCTATTAAACCACCCCCACAAAGCGGGGGGTGATGGCCCCAGTCACCCAGCGGTGAAAACAGCCGAGCTGAGCGAGGTCTCAAAAGACCTCATGGACATTGCGGACGACGGCACTAGATCCAGGTCCAAGCATCACCACCGTTACCCAAAGCCTACCTCAGGCAGGTAGCGGTGAGGTCATTATGATGGGCAGTCCAGCGCACGGCTTGTCCTTTAGCCCTCGGTACCCACGGAGTTGGACAATCATCAATGCACACGAAGCCTCGCTTACCCTCAGCGAGAAGTGGATGTCAAGAAATGAGAGAGGTCGTTGTGAGGGCCGATGCACCCTCAAGTACCCACGAGTCTGACGGAGAGCAAAGCTACAAGGACCAGCAACACCGCCGATGGCGGAGGTCATATGAAGAGCAGCCCAGCGCACAGCACAGTCTTTGGCTCTTCTGTACCTACAGAGTGATTCGAGTAGCCCGCCCAAATCCAGCGCCACCGCCAGCCGAGGCTGACGGTCAGGTCATATGAAGAGCAGCCCAGCGCACAGCACAGTCTTTGGTCCTTCTGTACCCAAGGTGAACCCAGCTCACCATCACTATTCAACACCCGTACACACGTCATGCCTGTTGCCACCCAAGACTGAGTCATTTTTTTACCTTGCTTTCTTGTTGGTATGCTTCCTTGTTGTATGCTTCCTTGTTGGTATGTGTGGGGATTACGCGGCTGTGGGTGAGCCCAATATCGAACAATAAAGGAGGTGAGCGAAGGAATCGAGGGCGAGTGAAGATGCCGAGAGTAAAGAGAGGTGAAAGTGGCGAGGACGATGTGGACAGGTTGAGAGGGGAGCTGGTTGAGAGGGGAGCTGGTTGAGAGTGGAGAAAGTGGACGAGGAGGGGTGGGGGAAAGAGAAAGAGAAGAAAATGAAAATGAAAATGAAAAAACAGGAGGGGGAGGGAAAGAAAGAGAGAAAGAAAAAGAAATAACAGGAGGAGGAAAGTGCACTCTTACGGAGGAAGGAGCGGCGTGAGAGGGGACAGTTGAGTTGACGAGTGGCTTGGTCGTCAGATGCTCACCATGACACCATGTAACAAAAAGGCCCTTGACTTTGACGCCAGCCGTCAGAAAAGCAAGTGCCTTATGACCAAAATCGTGAATAAGAATTGTAGGCGCTTACCGATGGATGGAGTCGAGCCTAGAAGAGGGGGGGAGATTTTGTCCCAGCCCCTCTCAGTAAAAATGCGGACGTGGTGCCAGCTGGGTTCAGAGCTTCTGAATTGTGACGGGAAAATTGGTGGCGCGTATCGTTCCAGCCTTCCAGCCGACCTTTCTGGGTTCCTTTGTGGATCCAAGGACAGGTACGAGGATTGTTAGATCTATACCCATGCACTTCTCGTCCTTCTGTGCTTTGGTGTTCCTCAACAAACACATGCTCTTTCTGTTGTCGCCATTTGTATGCTACTATTGTTTAAGCATGGGGACACAACTTCAACAATCCCTTGCACTAATGTGACTGCCTTTACTTCCAAAAAATCAAAACAAACCCGCCTCTTTTTTTTTTTTTTTTTTTTTTGGAGCTCTGTCCTTCTGTACCTTTCCATCACCTCACTCATCTCCTCCATCCCCCTCGACTCTCCCCCTCCTATTCTTCGCCCTCTCTCTTTCTCACACACAACACATCAACATGGTCGCTATTGCGGAAAGAAGAGTCCGCGGTTCCCGTGGAAAAAAGAACAAGTCCGAAACGTCTGCCCCCAAACCTGACACCAACCCCGGCAAGACCTTCCAGCGCACCCACCAAACCACCTACGACCGCAAGGCCGAGGGCGGTGCTGGCGAGGAGGGCCGTCCTGCTCGCCCTGACAGACCCGACAGGAGGGAACAGATTGACGCCGCTGCCATCTTTGGATTTATTGACCCTGATGTCCAGCAGTACTTCAAGGGTGTCGAGCAGACCCTGGACGAGCTCAACTTTGAGACCGCCGAAGGTACTTTTCAACGACCTACCTGGCACACTTGTGGCAGAACCCTCTTTTGTTTCTCTCTGACTTCTGCAATAGCCGTGAAGGTGGCGCTTAACAGGGATCTAACTTTCCCTCCAAATTGCTTTTATTGTTGTAGAGCAGCAGCTTTTCTTGGAGAATGTCTACACTGAGGTTCAGGGCAAGGAGCTGGTCTTGGCCACTGACCACTCCTGCTCCCTTGTCTTGGAGAAGCTGCTCAGAGCCTCGAACGACTTTCAGCTTCGTGTCTTCTTTGACAAGTTCAACGGAAAGTATGTTGCACAGCTCGACAGGAACTCAGTCTACCGTTCGTGCTATTTGTCATCAGGGTGTTCGTTGGATGCAGAAACTAACCGCTTATTCATGCCTTGATAATATTCGGCACTTTTGTCATGATAGCTTCTTGAAGGTGTTCACTCATCGTTTCGCATCGCACGTCTGCCAAACTTTGATTACACTTTGCGCCGACTCTGTTGAGAGGGAGGTCAGGAGCAGCGAACTCAAGGTCAAAGACGAGGCCACTCAGGAGGAGGGTGTCTTGCTTAGCGCAGAGGAGATGATCTTGAACATGTGCCGTCAGACCCAGGAGGAATTCACCGCTTTGATCTCGGACCCCTTCGCCTCTCATATCATCCGTGTTCTTCTCTACGTTCTCGCCGGACGCACTGTGGCCGATGATGGAACTGGAAAGGGTACCGTCAGGAGTAAAAAGTCGGCAAAGTACAACGAGTCCAACAACAGCAAGACCAACGCCGGTGCGTTCAGACCCACCCGCCTCGTCCCCCCTTCGTTCAAGGAAATGTTGCGCACCATCACTTCGACCATGATGAACGGTCTCAGCGACTCGATTGTTCGCTCGCTCGCCGTCCACCAGGTTGCCAACCCCGTTTTGCAGTTGCTTTTGGAGGTCTCGGCCAAGGATGATGAGGCGTCAAAGGATGGACTTGTGGACAAGTTGTTGATGGATATCACACACGAGGAGGAGCCCGGCACCAAGAACCACGACCGTGATGCTTATGTTGAGACACTTCTCAGAGACCAGGTCGGCTCGCATTTGCTGGAAAAGATTATGCAGGTTGCCTCACCCGCCCTGTTCCAAAAGTTCTACACCTCGTACTTCCGCGGTCGTCTCGTCAAGCTGTCGTTCCACCCTATTGCCAACTATGTCATCCAGCAGTTCTTTGTCCATGCCAAGACGCCTGTTCAGCTTGCAATGATGGTCGAAGAGGTTGTGCCCGAGTTTGAGCAGTTTTTGCAGTACGGACGTCCCGGAGTCATTCGTGCCGTTGTCGAGGCTTGCAAGAACGTCGGAGCTTGCCACAAGGAGGTCATTGGTGGTCTCTGCGCTGCCTTCCAGACTCACACCACCATTGAGCGCAAAGATTTTATGCATGTGGTCCTCAACATGGAGACGCACGATGCTCTTATGGAGCGCCGTGCCCAGCAAGAGTCTACCAAACCCAAGTTCCACCCCCAGGGCGCCGTTATTCTCCAGCTTTTGCTCCAGTTTCCCGAGGAGCATTCCAAGATTGTTGTCGACAGCTATTTCGCCCAAAAGGAGGAGCTTATGTATGCCTGGACCATGGACCCCGTCGGCTCGCACGTCATTGAGGCCTTCTTGACTTCGCCTACTCTGAACCTGAAGGTGAAGAGAAAGATCTTGAAGTCGTTCATGGGCAAGTACCACTCGATGGCTAAGGATCGCTATGGAGGACACACCGTTGACAAGTGCTGGGCTGTTTCGGATATTGAGATGAAGGAGAAGATTGCGGCCGAGTTGTTAGCGCATGAGCAGGAGTTGTCGCAGAACTTCCATGGCAAGTTTATCCTCCGCAACTGCAAGATTGACCAGTTCAAGCGCAAGAGGGAGGAGTGGGTTGAGCGTGAGAAGGGCATTGAGCGCAAGAAGGACATGTTCATGGATATTCTTGGAGATGCTGTTTTGGCGACCGCCCATGGCAAGCAGAAGGCCATGAATGATACCACCGGCGCCGCTGAACTGCCTGCACCCAACCCCAAGATGGCCGAGCTCGGTTTCGGAGGTGGAATTGCTGGCGTCAAGACTGTGACCGAGAGGAAGAAGAAGAAGAAGTCCAAGAAGTCCTCCGAGGACCCCGACAAGGTACATTTCATTTTTTCTGGTTAATTGTCAAGCTGGTTTCAGTTTCTTGTTGTAAGATTAGTTATTAACCTGGTTACTTCCTTCGCCTTTGTAGATGCTGATTAAGGATGAAGACGAGGAGAACCAGGTCAGGGATAAGTACAAGTCGGACGAGATTGACAAGATGTTCAAGAAGCGTTCGCACGCAGAGACGACCACACCCAAGAAGCAATCGGCAGCGGAGTCTGATGACTCTGATAGTGATGGCGGGGAGTCTGACGCCCAGGTGGAGGAGGAGGCACCCAAGAAGAAGAAGAAGAAGGTGTCGAAGGATCTCGAGTCTGTCCTAGATGCGATTGACGCGACCAAGAAGAAAAAGAAGTCCAAGAAGTCGAAGTCCGAGGATGCCGATGATAGCAAGGGCAAGAAGAAGTCCAAGAAGGACAAGGAGAAGCGCAAGTTCATGTCTTAGAGACCTTTTCTTTTCTTTCTTTCTTCATCTCCGCCTCACCTCATTTACTTTTTTTTCAGCCATCTATCTCATTTACACCCACACTTGTACCATATGCATTTTCTTCACACTCTCACATTTTCATAATACACCTTTTTTTTCGGCAACGTCAACGACAATATATATCCATTGTTGATTTTCTGACGTTCAATGGTTCGTACAGTCGAGGCAACATGCGGATAGTTTCTTCAAGCCGTCTACGTTCATATGAGACACTTCGCGTTTCAACAAAACAATGGCGATCCTGCAGTCGACAACTATATTCATGACTGTTCGTTCGTTCGTTGTGTATTCAAATCCTGATAGAGTCGATCGAATGAGCGAATGAACGATGTTGAAAGATTCCATGACAAGGGTATTTATTCTTGAATGTCTATGCGGTCTTCTTATCCTTGAGATCAGAGGGCGAGGATTCCTGCTTCGATGCAGCGGCAGCGGCAGCGGCAGCAGCGAGTTTCTCCCTGCTGGGCAACCACTTGATAGGGCTCTTTCTCAGGTATGGCCATGCAGGAATTACCGACTGGAAAAATATATGGGAGAGGAGGATGGCAACTAATTAGCGTTTGTTGACAGGGTGGATCAGATCATGTTTTTGTGGAGAATGAACGAACTTCAAGAGGCGAGAAATGTAAGATAGATGGCCAAACGGGTTAAAGTATGTGAGAGAGAGGTAAAAGGTGTGTGTGTGTGTGTGTGTGTGCTGTGCTTACAAAGGCGGCGACGACGACTCCGGCGGCAAAAATGTACATAGACAGACGGATATCCTGAGCGATCAATCCCACCAAAAAGGCAATCACCTAGTAGTTGTAGTGGAGTAGACGACGTGAGGCGAGCACCAAAGGGACAATAGGCGTAAGCTTCACTTTCCTAGGTTGCCTTTGTTGAACCAACTACTTGCATTGCACAGAATGGAGAAAGAAAGGAAATGGGAACGTACGCCAAAGAACGAGATGACGCCCTGGGTGACCTGCTCGGCAAGGTGCTGTCCTTGAAAGTCCTGTTTTGTATGATAGGGGGATTGTAAATGAGGAAGAAGGTTTTTGTGGGTCAGTTCCTGGTTGTGGGATTCAGCGTGTGATGCTTGAGAGAACGATGTAAGAAGTGGGAGAAGAGGACGTTACGATGTGGAATTCGAACATGGTATGTATGTATGTGTGTATGTGTGTATGTGAGATGGGAGTGCGAAGTGTAAAAAGTGTGCAAGTGGATGAGGATAGGAGCGATGTGAAAGTGAAGGAGTGAAAGAAAGAAGAAAGAAGGGGTGATATGAAAAGGTGGTCCAGCAGCCAGGGCCAACTGCGAACGCGACACGTCACAGAAGCACCTTTCCAAGGACCGAAGAACCGCGTTAGAGCGTGGCTGGGGTTGTGTTTCGCAGCACCCTGTTCTTTGCTCTGTGCACTGCAGTCTTTTGTTTGTTTTTTTTAGCTCTTCTGGCGCTTCCTCTGCTCCTGAACCTGTTCCTGTGCCTGGCCTTTGACTTTTTTTTTTATTATCCATCCACACCTTCTCTTTGCCTCCTTCTCCTTGCATTCCCTTCCTCCTCACGTTCCTTGTTCACTCTCCTACTCGCTCCTTCCCATTCCCGCAACAACGATAAGCACAACAACAAAGAGAGAGCACAGAGCTCACCACACACACAACTGCACACCTCACTCTCTCTCTCTCCGCTATCTTCCACTTTTTATTATTTAACATCTCTCTCTCTCCTCTCTCTCTCTCTCTCGCTCTCTTTATTTCCGTCCTTCACTCGTTTCTTTTTCTTCATTCATTCATCTTTCACTCCCTCCACAGTCAACCTACATACCCCTTGTCCCTCCTTACTCTCTCCACCCCTCCACTCTTCCACCCTTCCACCTTTCCACCCTTCCAACCTTCCACCCTTCCACCCTTCACATCAACACGGCCAACTGTCATGTCCACCTCTCTCCTGCTGGAGATGCTCAGGCGGTCAGGCCTGGAACACTTTTACCCAAGGTAAAAAAAACTCATTATTGTCCTTCTTCCGCCACCACCCGCATACACATGCGCCTCTCTGCTGTTATTGTTCATTCATTCTGGTAGCGCGCCCTGTCTAACGACCGCCCAAAGAACAGCACATGCCCCCACAACGCCCAGCATGAGCACTGTTTTCCACCTTTCCTTGAACCCTTGCACCACATACCCCGTCTCTGACCTGCACGGTTTCTTGTTCTTGACCTTGTATCTAACTTGCGTGTCGCTTTATCGTGGATCGGGGTGCTATCTTTTGGTTGTTTCGTTTGATAGCTTTTCAACGCACGGAATCACCCAACTCGATAACCTCGTCCAGGTAAATGAAACGAACAAAGAGAACCATGGTCAAAATTACACATGCATCGCTATGAACACCCCTGATTCTCATATCAAATCATTTCAAACTTGTGCCTCCTTTTCTATTTTATCTTTTTCATGATCTCTAACTGCTGCCTTGTACTGGATCTGCCTCCTCAAATGTGCTATCTCAACAGCTCTCGATGCAGGACTACAACTCTTTGGGAGTAACGAGCATGGAGGACAGAAGACGGCTCTTTCAGTTGATCCAGACCATCAAGACCGAATATCCGGACGTCTCTGGCTCTGCTTCAGTACCAGCATCATCGACAACCATGACACCATCATCGCCCGGTATGGGAACGATGGATGGATCAGGTTACGGTATGGCCACCGCGACTCGAGGTTACAGCATGAGTGACATGAACTCGAAGCCGATGGAGGCAAGACAGTCCGTTGGACGCCGATCTGGTTCAGGAGTTACCAACTCTCTTAACTCTTCAACCCATGGCCATTCCAGAACCATGTCTAACCAGCAGCAGCAGCAGCTTGATCTGCAACAGCAACAATTGAGGCAACAGCAGCAACAACAACAGCAGTTCCAGCAGCAACAATACCAACAGCAACAGCAGGCGCAACTGCTTCTCCAGCAACAGCAACAGCAACAACAGCAGCAGCAGCAATACCAACAACAGCAGCAACAACAACAACAATATCAACAACAGATTCAACAACAGCTGCATCAGCAGCAGCAACAACAGAACTTTGGTGGGCGAAACTTCAAAGAGGCATCCGAGGATGAGGAGGAAGCTATTCCGATTCAAGAGGCCAAGCAGCGTGGGCTGGATGCGTACTCGGTACCGACGCGTAACAAGGGAACCCTCGGACGAAGCACGGGAGCCTACATCGCAAACGACTTGACCGCCAAAATCCGAGTCTGTGTCCGCAAGAGACCTCTCAACAGCAAGGAAATCAACCGAGGCGAAAAGGACATGGCCGGTGTAACAGGACGCCAATTGACAGTGGACGAACCAAAGTAAATGCCGTGGACACGCTTGGATGCTTGATCCCGTTGCACTACAAATGGTACTATGGACTGACCCCGTCTTCCCTTCATGCTTATCTCTACTAGAGTCCGCGTAGATATGACAAAGTACATTGAGCGACATGGCTTTATCTTTGATGAGGTGTTTGATTCGGACGCAACAAACGAGGATGTAAGCCAAAAACAGAATCCCCTTTCTGTGACTATGCCATCATGGGGCTATTGTTCTCTTTTGCTAACTTTCTTTCCTATTTTTGACCTTGTGGCATTCTAGGTGTACAGGCGGACAGCGTACCCCTTGGTCCAGTATCTGTTTGAGGGTGGAAGGGCGACATGTTTTGCATAGTAAGAGATCAATCATGGTTCTCCTGGACATCACGGTGGTGTGGTAACGAGGAAGATAACGATCATGACTGACGATGTAATTATCTATATTTACCATGCCTACAGTGGTCAAACAGGAAGTGGAAAAACTTTTACGATGCTGGACGACAAGCAAGGTAATGATTGGAGTTGTCGCGTATGTTGCCATTGCAATTGAACAAGAAGGTTGACTAATATACGTTGCCAATGCTGATCCACAATAGGTCTTTATGTGTTGGCAGCGAGGGACATCTTTGTAATGCTTCGCAAGCCGGAGAATGCTCATCTTACAGCGTACATTGGATTCTACGAGATCTACCAAGGACACCTGCACGATCTGCTCAACAAGCGCAAGAAACTGCATCCACGCGAAGACGGAAAGAGCAACGTTGTAATCTCCGGCCTGAAGGAGTACGAGATTTTGAACGTCGAAGGACTGATGCAAGTCTTTGAATACGGCAACAGCGCTCGAAGCACAGGTTTGTCGCATGCCTTTCTTCATCGTGGAATTTGCTATAGTGATGTCATGCTACATATATAGACTTAAATCTGACGATTTGTGCTTATTATTGTTGTTTGCAGGGAGTACAAATGCCAATGCAGACTCGTCTCGCTCTCACGCCATTATGCAGATCATGCTCAAGGACCAAAGTCGGAATGTTGTTGGCAAGCTTAGTTTTATCGATTTGGCAGGAAGCGAACGTGGCGCAGATCGTGGAGAAACCGATGCTAAAACAAGGTAAGATTATGTCATTATGTCGGAGAAAACTGCGAATTGTACTAGCAGACGCACGGTCCGGCGAACAAAAATATTTACACGCTACATCTATTTATTCTGACGCGTGTAGGATGGAAGGAGCAGAAATTAATAAGAGTTTGCTCGCGCTCAAGGAATGTATTCGTGCACTGGATCAGGACAAGAAACACACACCTTTCCGTCAGAGCAAGCTCACCCAGGTGCTCAAGGATTCTTTTGTTGGCAACTCTAGGACATGCATGGTCGCCACCATCTCTCCCAACAACTCGAACAGCGAACATACCCTCAACACCCTTCGATATGCTGATCGGTAAGATGGCCATCTGTTGACTCACTGTCGCGTTTGTAAATTATGCACAGACGCGTTATTAATATGACTAAATGGCGTACCTCATTCGATAGAGTGAAGGAACTGAAGGCTGAAGGCGGAGCAAAGGGCGTGGCTCAGGGACAGGATGTCATCGCTGCTCAGGAGGAATACATGGATGACGTTGAGGGCTACGAAGAGGACGAGCTGGAAGCCAACGTGTATGATGATGACTATCTATCATCTGAGGGCGAGAACGTTGCGGATGTGACAATAGACCTTCTGGAGGATGAAGAGTTTCCGGATTTGCTCGACCAGGAAGAGATGGATCACCATACCCTGGCCATGACTACATATGACCATGAGCTGGAGGATCCCAACTCCAAGCGCATCGGAGGACGCGGAGGTTTCGGAAATCAGGGAGCACTCTCCCATGGCCAACAGATACAACCGCAGTCGCCGCGCCAGACGCCGTCGTCGCGACATACGCTGCAACAGCAACGTGATCCCAACACAGATCGCACTAGAGGCTCACCGTTTGCAAAGTCAAAGTCCTCACGGGAGAGGGACCCTCAGCAGGCATCCAAGAATCGTAAACCTGAGGGCTTGAGCAGACTACCCATGCCCAGGAATTTTCAATCGTCCACCCCTTCATCATCATCTGGTATCCCAGGCCCACAACATCGACATTCGCAGTCTGGTGGATCTGGTCGTAACAACTCGACAACATCAAACTCCTCGCCTCCATTGGCGATGAAGTCTCGGGAGCCTAAGCCCAGCCCTTCGGATATGTCGATCAGCCCAGGAGGACCTAGCGACTATATCAGCCAAAAGGGCAGCAATACCAACAACGGTGCTTCGCCGATTGCCATCAAGCACCCGTCGATCAACACCAAGAACCACCAGCAGTCATCGTCCATGTCATTATCGAATCGCAACGGGGCCGCCAGTGCAGGACCAGTCACACCAGGAAGCCATGATCCTAACAACTACCCAATGGCCTCACCACCCACATCATCCCCCACGAGTGAAGGTCGGCAGTTGATGCAGGCAGAGATGGACGCGTTTATTCAGGAACACCAGGCTCAGATGCGGGACTGTGCAGAGTTGACAAAGAGGGAGACTAAGCTGTTGGCACAGGTGACACTAGGCATGTCGTCGACGGTGCATGCACAAAGCACGGGCTTTTCCAACAGCCGGGAGTCGTTTCTAAAGTACCTGAGCGACCTGGACGAGATTGTGGACGAGAAGCTGATCACCATTGTCGCCATGTCCCAAAAACTCAAGGCGTTGCGTGGCCAGGCGTAAACACACCTTCGTTTTTCTTGTTCAGGAGCAAAATAGTAGCAGCAGCGCGATACCATTTTTTTTTTTACTATTTTTCTAGCATCACCACAACTACCACCAACAAATAATAAAGACGATAAAATTGTACATGTATTCACTAGAAACGCCATCGTAAAAGTTTCGCTACGAAAGAATAGTTTTGCAAAGTGCAATTGAAGGATACAAGCTCTCTAAAGCTTCTACTTGTCCTTGAGCTCGGCCTTCAACAAGTCGAGATAGACACTTGAATCAGGGAACGCCAACCGCCTATGAATACAGGAAAAAAAAGGTTCGGGAAAGAACATCGTTAGCGCGTTTGTTTCTTTTCTGTGGAGTCAATTCCTGCTTTTGTTTCAGCCCTGGAAATTTTTGAATCTTGGGCCTGTCAACTTACTTGGGGGGAGCATGGGCCTTTCCACTCCAGATCAGCTTGTCTAACCATGACAAGTTAGAGTATACAAGGTTAGCCTTCAACGGACGGACGTTTCACAGTATTTCATTGAAAGACATGTTGAAGGTGACTTACTCTTGGAACCGTTGTGGGTGACATAGATCTCAAAGGACTTGGAGTTGGGGACGACGACCTCGTTGACGGTCGCGTTGGGATAAAGCTCCGAGGTAACCTAGGGTTATCAATTAAAAGGTTGTGAATGACGATTAGTTTGTCGAAACGATATCTTCTCGACATCTAGGGTGATAGTGTAGACAAATAAAAGAAAGGGTACCTTGAAGATGCGCCTCATGTTGGACTTGTACTGTGTGCATGTCGTGCTGTGGTATTTTAAAAAAGAAAACAACGAAAAGTGCAATTGTTAAAATATTAATGGAAGTGGATACAGAGAAGGAGTGAGTCTCTCCGGATGCCTAAAGCAAACAATTGTTTTTGTTGTTTTCCTGCCATTTTTTTCCACCCCTTGGATGTGGTGTTGCCATTTGTTTTGTTTTGTTTTTTGTTTTCTTACCAGCGTTCGACGGTCAATCCGATGGCCTTAGGACTTGATTTGGTAGCGACAGGTGCAGCGGAATCCTTCTTCTTGCTGGTAGGCTTCTTTTCCCCATTCTTTTCGGCGGTAGCTTTGGCAGCGGTGGCAGCAGCAGCGGGACGGCCACGCTTCTTGGGAGCTTCAGCAACGGCAGCAGCAGCAGGCTCCTCTTTCTTGGTCTCCGCCTTGGCCTTTGTCGCCCTTGCCGTGGTGGCGGGAGTGGTATCGGCAGCGGCAGGAGCGGCCTTCTTGACGGAGCCCAGAGGGCGACCGCGCTTCTTGGCAGGAGGAGTGGTAGAATCATCAGCCTCGGATTTGCGCTTCTTGCTTGAAGAGGCAGCGGCAGCGGCAGGGGCGGGAGGTGCAGAAGCGACGGCGGCGGTTTCCTTCTTGGTTGTCTTCTTGGTTGGCTTCTTTGTGGTGGCGATTTCGAGCATTGAGACCTGGTCATCAATTGTTTCGGCCTTGGGCTTGCGGCCACGTTTGGCGGGGGTCTTCTCGGCAGAAGCGGCAAGAGACATCTCGGTAGCAGTCTTGGCCTTGGTGGTGGTGGCCTTGGTGGTAATGGCCTTGGTGGTAATGGCCTTGGTGGTAATGGCCTTGGTGGTAATGGCCTTGGTGGTGATAGCCTTAGCATTGGCCTTGGTGGCGGCAGGAGCAGGGGCGGCAGCGGATTTCTTAGTGACCTTGACTGGAGCTGTGGCCTTGGCCTTAGTTGTTGTTTTTGTTTCAGCTTTGGGGGCGGTAGCTGCGGCTTTTGTTCCGCGACGCGTTGAGGCGGGAGTAGGGGTGTCTGTCTTTGCCATAGTTGGAGATGATGAATTCTTGAGAAGAGTGGAGGTGGAGAGGTGAATGAGGAAACAAGGGAAAGAGGAGTTGAGGTGGAAAGGTGAAAGAAAGGAAGGAAGAGTAAGAGAGGTAAGAGAGGGGAAAAAAGGTCGGGAGGAGAGAAACAGTGAGGACAAAGTAAAAAAGAAAACAACAAATTGAGCAGAGAAGAAAAATGGAAAAGCAGGGCCACACCCTGAGGAGAATCCACGTCACGCGTGTGGTGCGAGGAGAGTGGCAATTCATTTTTCGTTGTTGCTTGTTCGCAAGAGCAGTTCCTTTGTTCCTCACTTTTCTTTCGTTTTCTCTGTGCATCCATCACGCGGACGACCTCAACCTTGCAACACCACAGCGACTACTCAGATTCCCCTTCTCCTCTCTCCATCTTCTTCTTCTTCCTCTTCTTCTTCTTCACACTCTGTCTTGGCAGGACTCACTGCGACCATCACTCACACTGTCGCAAGATTCCATGCAGACAAACTACAATTCGAGAGGTACTCATCATTCAGCCTTCACCTCTGCGTCCCTGAACGATCCCACCTCAGCAACAAGTGTCCACCAAAGACGCCCAAAACCAGCTCCCTCGCTCCCGCAACCACACTCCAACCTATCCAACAGATCCAGCTTCATGCCCAGGGACGACCTCGAGTTTCCCAGTCCTATGGAGAACACCGGGTACGTTTTTTTCTTGTTACCCTCGATAACTCCCTTATGCTTCGTTTTGACTTCATGCGAGCTTGTTTCCATGACTCAACTATCCTCGCCTTACTATGACAAAATCCGCCCTAGGATGAAGCGGACGGCGTCTTACAGCAGCTTTCTCTCAAAAAAGTCAAGGCCGCTGTACAAACCAACACTCCAGCACGCTCGTGCCCTGAGCGGACAGCTCCAGTAAGCAATGGACGAGACCACAGTGGTCTTGGATCAATCAAGTGGAGTTGTGCCACCAAAACAATGGAATGTCAGATGTCTAATTAATTTACGCACGGGGCTTGGTGTTCATAATTTAGTCCGCCAGACACATACTCGGCACCCGTTGACGACTCTCTTCCTACGACTCTGACAAAGACGCCCACGTACGAATACTATGGATTCGTACTCTACCTCGTCTCCGGTATCACCTATGGTACCTTCGAGGCTCTCGATATTGTTCTTGCTCGCAATTTGGCGACGCGTCAATTGTACTGGCACGCTTACCGTTCCTCTCTTCTCGCTTTCATGTTGTATTAGCAATGTATTTGGGATGGGCGTATCTACCAAAAGAGATTCTGGACTCGATGGGCATCACCTACTACCCTAGCAAGTACGTCTCCCCTGCTGCTATTTCACTAGCGTACGTTGTCGTCAAACCCAACAAGAGTGCCCATTTCTAAAACGCCACATTATTTTTAATTAGATACTGGTCATTAGCGTTACCGATCTGGTTGTTTGTACTAGTCATCTACCTATACGTCGCATTCTTTGCCATCAACATGTACAACACCGAACCCTTCGACTCCTTCCAGACCATCACAGGCAAGTCGCTCTATTCTTTGATCTCCCCTCTGTTCTCACTTCGCCAATTAACCCCCTCCAGTCCCTCCTAACGTCCACTCTCTTTTCAATTGCCGATTGACCAAAACAGATGAACATGCAAACCCGTTTTTGACAATGAACTCGGCTTCGTCGCTCACAGATGATTATGTACCGGATCTCATGGATATCCCGATCGGCATGGTCAACGCATGTCTCTACCAACATATCGAGGGCATCTCGGACGAGGAAGAGGAAGGCGAGGAGGAATATGATGAAGAGTATGATGGATCGTACTTTGATGATACCAATCTCAGCGACTGGGACGGTTCTGCGGATCTCTAGGTTTTTTCTTTTTGCTTTCTCTCAATGCCACTTGTTTTTTTCCACATTTCATTAACTATGTACATTATCGTAATAAAAAAAAGTAACACGCATCGTTTTATTTCCACATCAGAAAAAGGAGCTGAATAAGCTGTAAAATAATGTGTGGACGATCAAGAGTCATTAGTGTAATTCCTGGCGCGGATGCCTCCTTTCGGTTCTTCAGCTGCTGATGCCATACTTGAGAAACATGGGCTTGAATTCGTTTGCAAATAGGGCGGGGAGTGAGGCGAGGAGATCGCACACACCAATGAAAGGAGGAGACATGCGGCTGAGAGGCTGAATACCAAGATGTGTCACTTGATTTCTCGCGCCGTTGAAAGAGTGTCGATGGCTATTGTGACATTCAAGTTCCGCTCCTGCTGGATCTTGCTTAGATCCTTGCCGAATCGCGCTCCGATCGATTGTTGTCAAGCAAGACCAGGATATGTGTCGATCCACTCGAGAATGTCGGCTTACTTTACCTTTCCGAAGGCGAGGAGGATGAAGATGTCGTGTGGATAAAGAAACAAAGATTTCGCGTCTGTTGATAGACTAGGATATGACTGGACAGGAAGGAGTATGGAACGACATTGGGTGAGCAGTATAGTTGAAGCCCAATATTTTCAGAAGAAAATTAAAAGGCGTGTTGTGTTACCTGCATTTCAACGTGCGCTCGTTCACTCAAGGTGGCTCTAATTACAACTTGCAGAACCTCGAATTAAACACGAGGACAGCAGTTCGAGGACCGATCTGATAGGAACACGTAGGCAGGCGCCGCCGATATTCTGGATTGTAGTCCATGTTGCTGATGTCTTGAATTACCAAGATGCTCCATGGTTATTTGAATGTGATACACACCGATCAGACCAGGCGTGAATTCCAGCGAGGTGTCGAGGTTGGAGGTGGATGGTTGTCATCAAGGGAGCGGGTCGTAGGGTGGGAATTGTAGGTCGGTATGAACGTGGAGTGAGGTGTGGTGTTCTTGGCGGTGAAGGTTCGGTGAGGCTCTTGATGGGTGAGGGGAGCAAGGACCGCCACCTGTGGTGATATAAAGGGGGGAAGTGTGAGGAGCGGTGATGAGGAGAAAAAAAAAAAGAAAGTAAGAAAACGGGAGATATATCCAGGGATTTAAAATTGTGGATTCAGCTGGCGACCATGGAGACTGTTGAAAATGGACATGTAACACGATTGTCATAGAGGAGATGGGTTCAATTGACAGTATTTGTTATTGTTGCTTCAAGCAAGCCTTTCTTCTTATTACAATTGATATCTTGGGAACGAAAAAAGCAGAAAAAAATAAAAAAAAGCACGTTTTCACTTTTCTCTCGAATCGCTTTCAAATCGACTCCTGGGGCATTGTCTTTTCGAATTGTGGGTATGAGGGTGCAAACCCGTAGTTGCTGATCCTTCCCATCATTATCCGCTTTCTATTGCTCGATCGTGAAAGTGAAGGATGCGGTTCGGATGGATAGTTGTGAGGAACTCTTTTGTCGGTACTTTTTTTGCCTATGCACCGATGGGGGTCCTTCTCCTGACATGCAAACGTGGACGATCAATTGTTCGTATTGCGCGAGAAGGTCGTCCTTTTCGTTTGTCGAATCCAATTTTCTGCCGGATTGATGATCGCGATAATCCACTGCTCCTGTTTTCTTGCTTTCGGCCCCCCAATACCTCTATCCTCCGTCTCTCTAATCCCTCGGGGATTATCCTTTCATTTAACGAGGCGCTGGGCTTGGCTGCTGCCACCAAACCGATACCTTGAGATCACGACTTCAATAAGCGGCGATGCTCCATCCTATTATCACCACCCCGATTGGCAGCTCCGGGATCTTGACCGATACACCACACTTTTCCAAATCGACCGATCGACCCACATCATCCTGTCCTTTCTCCCGCGCCCAGTAGGGCGCACCATCTAAATGGCCACAAAAAAAAGAGGGTTGATCAGTCATAGTATCCGACCGCGAGACAGGTCATCAAAGCGCCAACAGGAATGGGCGCATAGACCATGATGACCAACTTTTGAAGGCGATATCCCTCTGAACCAAGAGCGGCCCGCATCACCCCCTTCTCCTCTGCAGAATCGTCGCTGACACGGATGGCCGCACAGCGGACACCCTCCCTGGAATTGATGCAGTTTGAACCAAAACAGATGCTCAAGTGTTGCTAGTAGGATTTACTTGTTGCCTTCCTGCCTCCAATTGATCCAACCTTGTGCATAGCCAGTTAGCGTAACCCTCATGATCACCTTCTGCCCTGCTAATGTTGACAGTCTGAGTTCGCTGGCGAAAGGTTTCCTTTGATAGGGCCTTGACTTGCTCCCTTGCATCTTCAATTAGGAATCGGATTCCACATTTCTGGACGGATCCCCCGATCTCGGTCTTCAGTTGCACGAGGGTATCCTGCCTGGTCCCTGGAGGTCGGCTTTGTGCATACTCGACGAGGTGAGGAATGGCGACAAGGTAGATGCATTTCGTCAAAAAGGAGAAATACGAGAGGGCGGCCGAGAGGTGGGGAGTTATATCGCATGTTTCCAGTGTCTCTTTCCGGCAAAATTAGGCAATAGTCGTCCTGCCCTGGTCCAAGCTTGACCACTGAAAGCCTACCAAGTGCCTCGATATAATTCGGATTGGACTTGATGCTGGTCCAGCTCTTCGCGACTCCTTGTCCGAAGGCGGCCTCCAGCGACGTATGAGTGTGAACGTGTTGTTCCGATGACGCATGAACTGGTTTAGGGAATTCTGCGACTGCCAACAAACGCATCGATGATTATGTTTTGAAGGTCATGGGTACCAACATGGAGTGCGGGACCAGCAGGATTGGGTGCAGAATGTTGGAAAAATACTCGGACGATATTCACTTAGCGTACGTGGCTACAGCGAGCAACGGCTAACAGTATGAGACTCTGAGAGGTGGAAGAGATGACCAGAGGTTGACGATGCAGTCATGAATGCCGATGCAGGGACAATCCCATATAGTAGATGTTCCATGGTCAAATTGTTAGCAAATCAACTGCCTTTAAATCCTCAGTTGGTCACATTTTTGCCTGTGTCTTTCTCAACATCATTACCCTCCTCCTGACTCTCGTCTGTCGCAACTCCTGTTCCATTGCTCTGTAAAACTCCTCGTTTTGGCGAGCTGCCATGGCAGCTTGGTTTCGTTGAATGTGTTCGTCGTCATCGGGTAGGTTGATTGTGTTGATTGATGTTGACAGGAGTGAGCCAGAAAAGTGCAATAAAGAGTTGCCGGAAGTGCGAGAGGATGTCGCAAACCTCACCTTTTTGGAGGGGTCCTCGCCTACCGGGTAGATCGGACTTAAGCCATCGCCTGTGTCGTTGTGTTGCTTCTGCAAGTTTTCAACAGTAAGGCTAGGAGCTAAGGAAGGTATAGAACCGTTGGAAAAAAACGGTGGAAAGGTGAAACAAAGGATGTAAGACTGGTGGAAAGGATATGCAACAACAGCACGGTACACAATTACATCCTTGAACATTTTACTTACCGAACTCTGAAAAATCATAAGATAGAGGGACGCGGGCCAAGCTCATCCCATCCAGCCGTCGTGTTGATTCCTGACTGTCCGCCCTTTGTTGAGAGATGGCTCCCAAAACATCGTTACTTCGAGCAATGGCGTCATTATTCTTTTTGGCCAACTCCATCTTGATAACCCTTAGCATTCTAGCGATTGCAAGAGAAGGCCCAACACTAGCACGTCCGACAGCGTCTTGGATGGCTAACTGTTGTGTGACTTGGAGAGCCAACTGATCCGTGAGGTTCTCCCACTTGGCACTGATGTCAGCTCGATAGGCGGTTGTTGTTGTAAGGCATTTTCCTCAAGAGCAGCGATCGAATTGGTGATCTGTTGGAGGGTGACTTTGGACTGCTGAAGGACAATCTGGGAGAAAGTGCACAGACGGCTGCCAGAGGTATCTCCATAAAGCCATACATCCATGTCCCCTTGACGATCCTCGAGGGAGTCTCATAGCTCCCGCACGAGAGCTTCCGATCGGCTTTCTTCAAACCATTCCCGTTTTTTGAGAAGATTTTCATCGAATCGCAGGGGGGATCCAGAACACAAACGCCCATAAATGGGGGAACCAGGATCTTAGGAGAACGATCCTGGCGTCCCTTGCCACCAACCTGGACCCACTCTCGCCTTCCGCTAGCAAAGTAGTCAAAGGCCCGGTCAGCTGAGCGGCGGGAACGGAGAAACATTGACCAATTGTCATGCTCGGGAACTTGAGCGATGGCGCACCGGCTGGCGATGGAGAAGAGTATAGCAAGAGCCATAGTCGTCAACCATCGTTTCTCTTCCTTGTCCTGGCTTGGGTCTTGGCCGAAAGATGACGGTGTGAAAACAATCTGGCTCCGAATATGATCTTCCTCCGCGTCATCCAGGCTTGCCAATTTCCGAGAGATAAACTGTGCAACTTGTCCTTGTCCCTGGCCAAGATCCTGAAGGAGTGGAAGCACAATGCGATATCCGGGCGCTCCATTCTTTTCGATTGCCTGTCGTGCGAGTTCCCTGGGGTTGGCTCCTTCGGGAGTGTTGGCCTCGGATATCTTGTCCACAGCAGTCCTGTAGTCGTTCAACCACTCCATCACATCTGCCCTCTCAACCTCGCTTGTATATTCGAAGAGATCATGAGGGTAGAGGAGGTGTCGTACGATCGTGAGACACTCCTTGTCTGCGTTCTTGTCGTCGAAGCATTTGTGTGGGCGTTTATCCTGGCCCACAAACTCGGTAGAGCATTCTTCACAGCGAGCGTAGTAGTAGTAGAAGGTGCGCTTGTCAAACTTGATCTGCGCCAGGTTAATGATGGCTGTGATCCATTGATGGCGCCTTCGTGCCCCCGCTTCTGTCACAGCCTGCTTCCGCATCTCCAACCCCTCAGGGGTCATCCTCTCTACATATGGGGCACTAGGTTTGCATGCAGCGACCAATCCAATGCCCTGGGGTCGTGACATGAGGAAACGATGCT